GGAACCGCCCGTTGGGCTACCTTATGTACATAATATACAGGTTTCTTAGACTTCCGAACAGTCCGAATGGCAATGGAGGTAGACACGATATTCTGATGGAGCCCCTCGCCGCGTGATACATGGCATGAAAGAAACTTGATCTTGAATGTCGAGTTGTCACCGCTACACCGTGTTCAACATCGGGATCCTCCCCGAGATCTGTCAATGATTCCTTCAACTACCTAGGACAAACTCCGCCACATCTTGTAGGTCGCTTTGAACTGCATGGCGTCTTCCATGCATTTCTTGCATAGAAGGATTCGTTATTACGCACTCTACTTGATGCAACCACGTAAAGTCAAACGTCTTCGATTGGCATAATCGCCCAATGTCGAATATGAATCTAATCATGAATATCCGGATATAGCATTCATCGTTGTTTGCTATCAAGGACTCGAGCCATGTAACACTTGGGCCTCGCTGCAAAGCTGTATACCTCGTGGCCAATGGCCGATCCCTCGGAACTTCCACATTCAAAGAATCGTTGTCCATAATTCAATCACACCGTGAATAGAGATCTTTACAATTCGCCTCGATTACTTCATCTATGCGGTGGCCTTCTTGTATTTCCTAAATAGGTTTCCATTCTTTCCATAACCTATAACTTAGTTGTCGCCCAAGTATGATGACGTCGCAAGACCCATTTTTATTTTTATTTATTCATTTTCTTTTTCAATTTTCAGCTTTCCTTTCTCTTTGCGCGGGTCTCTCACCGGCTTTTTTCTGGGTATGCCCCCGCCCTTGGGCTCGCGTGGCTAGCATCACAGCGAACTGCATGTCCACTTTCTGTCGTACATCGGAGTGGAAAAAGTTGCGGTCGTATCGTTCAATACTCCATACAAGGCAGTGATACAATAAAAGTCCCGCTAGTAAGAAAGGTTTCCAGCCCCCTGGGTCCCCGCTCCGTTGGCCCCTTCTGCTGGGTCGGCACATTACCGACTTTTCGACAGGCTCGATGCAGGTTTGTTATGGTTGAAGAATATCTCTTGAGGAGCTTGTGGGTTTACTAGGCACGGAGTACAAAGTCGAGTTAAGCTATGTGAAACAAGAAAGGAAGAAAAAAGTAAAAATATCGAGGTGTATACAAAACTAGGATCTCGTCTTTGTACTGCATTCCGCATCAATCATTAACAAGGAAACTGGTCTTTCTTCTAGAATATCGGGTGACGGAAAACCGTATGCCACCGAAGACGATTTGTTTATGTGAAGCGATGGGACCCCAAAGTGGGTCTAGCAAGACCCAGAGTGTCGGTGAAATTGGTGTCAAGCTCAGCTGATGAGAAGCTTTCTCGAAGGGTAGGCTCCAAAAATAAAATCCACTCAACTTTTTTCGGTTTCTTTTTTCTTCTTTTTGAAGGAAGCAATACACTGGTATTACCCCGAGCACCAACGTTGACAGCAATGGAGGACGATCATCGCCTTCCCCGTTACGGAGCCACCGGCCCACCCAACGCAAAGGAACAGGAAATCAATAGCACATCCACACCACCCCTTTTTAAACCCATACTCAAAAATCAGGCTCAAGGGGGATATTTCTTTCGGTGATCCAGAAGACCACCGGAATAGGAATTATTTTGTGAGCTACCATTTGGCATTTAGCGGAAACATCAGGCCCGTTTACCGACCCAGGACATTGGATAGCTCAACGTGGCCAGCTGTGTAAAGTACCATGTATCTACAATTCTTATGTACTCCATATGAGTACCAGTGGGATGGATGATTGACATTGCCCCCCCTCCTTCAACGGGTTGAAGGGTGTCATTTTGCCGATAATAATACGAATTATCAACAATGGACATGGAATGTTGGCGGCAATCTTCTATTGGATGCCCTCCCTCCGCACACCGCATCTCTGGGGATCATGGAACCACCAAATCAAGGCAGAAAATCAACGTAATGTACATAGACATATACATACATGGACATTCCTTGGTAAATCGGGATTACAGGAACGGCACAGCCCTACTGAGGCTGTACTAGGTTGATCCTCGCGATCGAATTACATTAATGCGAGACACAGGGAGCTCTTTGTTTGTGATTGATTGTTTATGCGTTGTAATGCAGGGCAAGAGGAACAAAGAGGTCGTCCTGGTCTATAGCGCGATCCACCAATAGTGTCTAGTCGGTACCAAGAGTCGAACAAAGGAGACCAGCATACAAGTATCCATAATCGCCTTCGGGGAAGACGATCTTTTGGTCCCGAAGAACAAAGTTCAGCTCATCTCCCGTTTTTCCAGGCTGTCCCAAGTACACGGTTTAGGGAGTGGGAAAAAGCGGCTGGGTACTTTTGTTCATAATTCCGCGACACTAAGTAAAGTAGGTTGTGGGTCAGAGAACAAAGAAAGATACATAGTTGATGACGATATCTAGGTTGGTTGGGATTGACACTACGGATGTACAGATTGAAACCAAGAAAAGGGAAAAAGTGACAGAGATGACATTCAAGATTAGTATTATTTTCAATTTAATAATTTTTTCTCTTTTTAAAACACACCAAAAACACTGTAAATACCCTCCTTCCTCGATCTTGCCTAGTGTCGTTTTTTGCCCCTCTAGAGTTCAACCGGGTCTCGGGGAGGCGCAGACGGACAGCAGAAGATTGAGATCTATCATCTCACTAATTCGCACTAAAACCACAGCTCCGGGAGTGAAGGAAAAATTCTTGTAAGCCGATCATCCTTGCCATACGCCATACGGGAGGAGAATCTTGTTAGCGCGCTTTTAGCAAGGCACTACTAAATCGCCTCCTGTTGTTCCCCGGGGGCTCAGGGCCGTGGGTCTACCGGTTTCATTGATCCATCATGGTACTCCGTACAACGTAACGGAACTAGAAAGGCTGCGGTAGGTATCAACCGTTACTCTTTTTTGAATTATTGAGTATTTTTATTTCTTGTTTATAATTTTTTTTGATGGCTGGGTCTGGGGTGGAAAGGACGGGATCTATCGAATCAGACTGGGGAAGGAGGAGGAAGAAAAAGAAAGTCACCATTAAAAAAGCAAAACAAACATACGATGAGATTTAAGTAAGAACTAGAAACGTTGAGATGATTGTTCGTATTCAACCAAGAGAAGGACTCGACATTGTTTGACCCGTCCAGAGTACAGAGTAGGGATACTTCTGCTTGGTGCCCAGTGTTCCCAGGTAAGCCCCCGAGGTGCTGTTCGGTACCTATAGTAGGTACCAGACAGGACCTGCTAGTGGAGAGACAATCGGGTTCTTTCCCAAGAATCAGAATCCCTTTCCCGGAAGCACTACCATTGGCTCCGCGAACTCTGAAAGGCGATGATGATGACGATGGATGTTCCCTCCCGTACCTCACCACTTTGATGGCTTCTGTGTTGCTATTGGTTCTGCCCTGATTTTAGTATTTTAGTATTTTTGATTAATTGATTTGGTTTTTTTATTATAGATTTTCCCCTTCCCTTGCCTCCATGGTGGTTTTACTGCGGTTCCCCCTCCCCTTCCCCTTTTTAGGCTTTTGTTCGTTCCGATTCGACTGGGAGAAAATAGAAAAAATTTAAATAAAATCCTAAAATACCTTCCAAGAATAGAGAGTTACAAGTTTAAATAGGGGGAATAGTGTTTTTCTTCTGTGGTGGTCTAAGTAGTTGGCCGCTGTTCGCCTTATGCATTGAGCAGTGCAAGTACAGTTGAGCATTGGGAGCTGGAGCTTAATGGTGGAGGTGGAGTGTAAGCCAGAAAAAAACCCCGAATAAAAAATAAAAATAAAAATCAGTAAAGAATACCTATAGCAAAAGGACGGAGTCCTCGGTAGTAAAAATTTAAAAATCTACTGGTAAATTCCCCAAAGAATTTTTCCCCAGTGAGATCACGAAAGCAAATCGAAAGAATCAATCCGACCCACATTGATAAATTCAATTTCTTTTTTATTTGAATTATTTGAAAAATACATAAAATTTATTTTATTTTAATTCATTTAATCGAATTTTTTGGTTTTAATCGGTTTTCCTTTATACCTGATTGAACATGTTTGCTGCCATCTGCATCCTGCGGCCCTTCTGTACAGCTGTAACCGAAATTCCTACGCTTGAACGCTTGACGTTTTAGTTTCTTTTGGCGCCTGATCATATCGGACTCTATAGATGGAGCTATCCACTGTTGACACCCGTGGATTTTAGTATAATAACTTCCCCTTTCCCCTCTGCATCTTGGAATGACTCTCCCTTCCCTCTGGTTCATCGCAATCTATAATCCAACCTTCAAGGTCTTCTCTCCTCGCGAGATTCTTCATAGATCCCTTCTCCATTCTTGATTACCGCCCTTTTTATCTCCTTGTCCTCCTCCCTCAGACCCCGATTCATTACGTCGATCTTCTTGCTAAGATCCCCAATATTACAACTTGATCTCGATTACCTTTTGGATTATTATTCGATTTTCGATTTTCTTTTTTTCTTGTCCCTTTCCCTTGGCAAAAAAAAGAAGAATCAAGGAGATCATCATCCACCATAAAAACCTCCGAACTTCCGTCTCCTTTCTTCCTCCAGTCAAGATTGTGTCAAATCTCCCTTGCAGGTGTCTCATAGTCTTCTGGGAATCCCCAAGATCTACGATTGTGCTTTATCGGATTTTTTTATCAAATTACCAAACCGCAGGGGGAGCAATGCTGAAGCCCTAAAACAACATCCACGCCGCTCCTTGCTCCGAACAAATCAGCTGTTCACGCCAATTGCATTCTCTCCCTTTCCAACAACGCAATTAACCTGGGGTAACTAAAAGGGGGAATCAAAAGCACCGTCTGGTACTTTTTTTCCCCTCCATACTTTTTTTGAGATTTACTTCTTATTATCTCAAATCAAATTTGGAGGTGGGGTGTTCTTACTGCCCCTACTATTGACCCTTTGATCCTGCCTTGCGCTATCTGTGGGATCTACTTCTTTTTGGATCTTCTTCTCTTTTTTTTTTCTTTGCTTGAATTTGCAAATCCTCATATTTCCACACAATGTTTCAACGGCCATCTTGTTTACAAGGCCGACGCCAACGAAATGGCAGTCCGGAGGATATGTCTACATTTCCCATCCGGCAATTGTTTGTGTTAGGTAAGTGAAGATGGTACTTTTGTCACCGAACTATGTGGCTTGTCGCAAATAGATATAGATCTTCTATGTGGAAGGGGGGAGAAAAGAACAAAAAAATCATCAATATCAAAACCACCCCGGAGAGAAAAACGGAGAGAAAGAAGAAAATGATATTACAAGCACATATAACCCACAACGCGAAAATACAAACAGCAACTAATTCACCATGTCTTTACAGCGATTGTCCGAATTTGCGAGCCAATTGCTTTCATGTCGATTTTCCCGTACGTGTACCACATGGTCGAATCATTTCATGTGACCGACAACGACCAAAAGATTGCACTTTACGCCGGTATGATCACCTCAGCGTTCACCTTCGCGGAATTCTCCGCTGGCATGTTTTGGGGTCGGATGAGCGATCGCATCGGTCGCAAGCCCGTGCTCATCATGGGATTGATTGGAACAGCAATGAGCATGGTGGCATTCGGATTTGCGCCCAACCTCGCAACAGCAATGATCGCGCGAGCCCTAGGTGGTCTACTAAATGGAAATATCGGAGTGCTTCAAACTACCGTCGCCGAAATTGTGACGGTCAAAGAGCACCAACCGCGGGCTTATTCGATTATGCCCTTTGTGTGGTGCCTGGGATCAATCATTGGCCCGGCTATGGGCGGTGCATTGGCCCAACCCTGTGACAACTACCCGGGCCTGTTTCAGCGTAACACGCTCTTTGACCGGTTCCCGTTCCTGCTGCCCAACTTGGTCTGCATCACTGTGCTAATTTGCGGCATTGTCGTTGGTTTCCTGTTTTTGGAAGAAACACATCCCGAGAAAAAATACCGTCGTGATTGTGGCCGTGAATTGGGCCACTGGCTTGTCAGCCAATGTTGGCGCTCACGCGTGCAACTTCCCGACGATTCCGATGCCAGTGTTGAGGAATCCAAATACTTCGTCTATGGTGATGTGCCGCCTGAATATGAAAGTGCCGAATCATCGCCTTGCCTTCGCCCCGTTCGTGACGTCGGATCTACGGAACATGACTTGGAAGGTCAGAAAGCTGCTCCACCCAAGGCGTTTACTCGACAGGTCATTTTTACTATCGTTGCTTATGGCATTTTAGCCTAGTGAGTTGGCACCCTACCTTACCCTTAGCCCTATCCGACACGATAAATCCCCCGAGATTTAGCCTTTGTTCTTACTTTGCTGACGTTTTGCTTTTTTCTCTCTCCCTGCAGCCACAGTGTGTCATTTGATCAATTGATGCCTGTATTCCTCAGTACCCCCAAATCGGACGATCCGGTTGTTCTCCCACTCAAGTTCGAGGGTGGCTTAGGCCTTGCAACTAAGACCATCGGGTTTATGTTGGCCGTCCAGGGTGTTTACTCGATGATCGCTCAGCTTTGGCTGTTCCCATTCGTAGTCAAGCACTTCGGCACCCTGCGCACCTTTCGCTTCGTCTTGCTGGCATGGCCACCCCTCTACTTGGCAGTGCCCTATCTCATCCTTCTTCCAGCCAAGCTTCAGATGCCCGCTGTCTATGTCGCATTGATCAGCAAGATCACCCTACATGTCATCGCCTTCCCCGCAACTGCCATCCTGCTGGCTAATGCAGCTCCTACTTCCAAGGTTCTGGGATCTATCAATGGCGCAGCAGCATCCACTGCCAGTCTAAGCCGTGCCTTTGGCCCAACCATCACTGGTCTCTTACATTCCAAGGGCCTCGAGAGTGGATACTCTGTGTTGGCCTGGTGGGCCTGCGGACTTGTCTGTTTGATTGGTGCCATCCAGAGCTTCTGGATGGAGGAGTCTGAGGAGCCCGAGCGTTTCAAGTCTCGCGATTCCGAGATTAATGAGGAGTTGAAGCGGGATGTTATGTCCGAAGACTCCATTGAAGAGGAGGAGCAGCGACTCCTTTCCCTGCGCTCTAGCATCGACCAAGACTATGACGTCTCCAATCTGGACTTGGATGGCATTGACCTTTCCCATCCTGATCCTGATACCACACCTACACCCACCCCTCTTCGCACTTAGGAAAGTGCTGAACTTCCAACAACCCTCCTCGACTTCCTTCACTTTTTCTAAGTCCTTCTGCGAAGGATTGCATTCTTCTTTTTTTTTTTTTTTTTACTTAGCGACATTGTCCTATGAACACTTGATGAAGTTGTTCATACATTTTCTTTTCTTTTCTTCCACTTTTCACCTTGGCCATGATACCTGATCCTCATATTCCTCCACGACTCTTCCCTGTTCATTTTCTCATTTTTCTCATATCTTTCTTTTACTTGAGACCTGGATAACGGCGCAACTGACATAGAGTGGGGTGCATTGCACAAGAGAGGAAACAAAAAGCATATAACCTTGGGTGTCTTATATTTATTCGTCTGTTAATTTTTTTTCTCTTTTTCGTTTGTTTGAACTTTTACTTGGAGCATTGAACCGGCTATATTACGATGATACTCATGTGCATCTGGGAAGGCTATCTGATTTATTTATTTTGCGTTTTATATCATGTCTTTTCGCTGATCATGTTACCCTTATGTCCACCTGGGCAAGATTCGAAGACAATCTGGGTTAAATGACTTCAATTTGACTCCAATACCACCAACTTGTTCGCTCAATGGACTGTCGTCATCTTGGCGCTTCTATATCATGATCATTATTTTCCACCTCCGCGCTTCTTTTCCTCTGTAATATCCACTCGTACTCGTACATGTCGCAATTCTATTTTGCCGAGGAGTAAGTCTCCAAGCGCGTTTCGCTCTGTAACTGCAAGCCAAGAGCTTCCATTATCCACTTTATGTCGAGTCTGACGGCTTAAGGTAGTATGTGCCTTGCAGCAATTGACCCGTGTGGATCATATGATGCCAAATAGGATATAAGAATCTGATTTCCCCATTCCCCAAGATCTTTCTGTTATCCTTTTCTCAATGACTACATCGTCCCCAGACTTCTGAATCGCTCGCCTGTCAACCTGCTGTCAAATCTCCGCGTCTCCACCAATGACAACTGCCGTATCCCGGGGAAATCTCCACTTGGCATCTTGGGTCTCCGCCGACCATGCACACAGATGTCATGGCGGTATTCGCGCGTGGCCAATTGCCGTGCGGGGAATCGGATCTTGAAGGATGAGAAAGTCATTCGTATCGCTGTGACCTTCCCCATTGCTTGACCCATAGCCTACAAGTTCTTATCGGTTTTTTCTGGGGTACTAAGCGTTGTCTCCATTCCCGAGGGCAACTTAACTGAGTGGGAAAGGTAACCTAATTTCCTTTCCTCTTCTCTACCCGAACTCCACCAGAACCCTATCAGAGCCCAGAGAGAGAGAGAGAGAACGAGTACTACGCTCCAGTCTCCAGTCTGGCTTAATTCCGCAGTCGACACTGATCGCCTATCATCGCCACTCATTCACTAATCGGCTAATGGCCGCTTCTTGTGTTACTATTTTCATATCCTAACCCCCCTCCAAAACACCCTCGATCTGGCTCTGTACTGAGCGATCATCATTTCCCTCCCCGCCGACCGACGTCTTCATCGATATCCACTCAACCCACGACCCAGACCCAGCATTCGGAGGATAATCTAATTCCGTCAAAATCAGTTGCGCCGCGGAGAGCTCAACTCGGTTACCGACCAACGTTGTCTACCCCAGATACGGGCCGTCTCTTTTTCTATTGTTCTGGATCGCAAAACCGAGAGTCCCTGAGCTTCAAGTCGGCACATCGCCACCCAATCGCTCCGATCTATCATGAATGTTGATCCGGTCCGGGGGCTCCAACCGCTGTTCCCGACCGCTACTATCTCCGCAACACTCCACCACCAAGAGATGATCGCAGGCCTGCGGCTCTGGCCTTTCGTTTCTCACAATGCCTAATACCTCTTCCCCGCCGTCGCCACTCTCTTCGGGGAAGAAGAGACCTCATCCTTCCGCCGAAACACCGCCCACCCAATCTGACCCCGCCATCTCGAACGCCGCGCGCGACGGCCAAAACTCCTCCGCCGCCGCTGTACCTTCCACGTCACCCGCTTTGTCTACGGCGCATTCTACAGCTACGGTCGCGTCATCCTCCTCCTCCTCTTCCTTTCGAAATGTCTCCGCCTGTAATCGCTGCCGGTTGCGAAAGAATCGCTGTGACCAGCGCCTGCCGCGCTGTCAGTCGTGTGAAAAAGCTGGCGTCCGTTGTGTTGGCTATGATCCCATTACCAAGCGCGAGATTCCACGGAGCTACGTGTATTTCCTTGAGACTCGCGTCGCTCATTTAGAAAAACAGTTGGCAGACCACAATATTGAACTTAAAAAAGCTGTCGCTTTTGACGAAGAGGAGGCGGTCAAGACCGAGGTTGATCCCGATACGGCGCACTCTATTTCTGGTCCTGATGGCCAACTTGAAAGTGCAGATAAGGGACACTGGAAGAATGCTGGCTCCAAGGAAGACGCTTTATCCGAGCAAAGAGTAGATGGGCAGCAAGCACAGGGTGGAAATAAGGACCAAGATACCACGAACCAGGAAAATTGGAGAATACACAATTTGGTATCGAATATTGGGATGGTATCTGTGCAGGGCACTTCTGATCCACGATATTTGGGTTCAACCTCGGGTATTTCATTTGCTAGAGTCGTATTTGCTGCAGTTCGAAGCTCGCTCCCGGGCAATATGCCGGAGCGGGCTCCGATTCGTACGAGCGAACGTCTGCCGCAGACTGCCGCAGCCGGTCCTGGTGGAGGCACTATGCGTGATTCGTTCTTTGGGTTGCAAACGCGGCCAATGATGAAGCGGGCGGCGTTCCCAGACCGGGAGCTTGCAGAACGACTAGTCGACCTTTACTTCGAGCATGCTAATCCTCAAATGCCAATTCTCCACCGCGGAGATTTCATGGAGCTCTTGGATCGCACATACCAACTCGAAGAGAAGAATCGATCTCCTCGAGCTCTATATGTTCTCAATATCGTATTTGCCATCGGCGCGGGTATCATCTTCGATGATAAGCCCCAGGGCTCGGACGAGGAAAACCGCACAGGCCGTGACCGATCATCTTCCACCACGAAAAGACCTAGACTATCAAATCACCAGTTCCAACCGGAAGAATATCATGCCTCCGCAATTGTTCACTTGGAGTCCTTCCTCGGATCGTCTTCAAGTGAGGGCTTCGGTGGATTAGAAGAACTACAAGCTGTTCTATTGCTGGCTAGTTTTGCCTTGCTGCGCCCTGTTGCGCCGGGTCTTTGGTATATTGTCGGTGTTGCAATGCGCCTGGCAGTTGATCTGGGTTTGCACTATGAAGACGGTGTGGGTCTCGAGACGACCAAAGATGGAAGCCAGGTTAACCCGCGCATAGATGCTCGTGAGCGCGGACGACGAGAATGGGTTCGTGACTTGCGACGCCGTCTGTGGTGGTGTGTCTACAGTTTTGATCGTCTTGTTGCTACATGCGTCGGTCGACCATTTGGTATCAGTGACCAAGCCATTAGCACTGAGTTCCCATCTATGATGGATGACAAGTATATCACCAAATCTGGTCTTCTGACCCCTCCCGAGGGTGCTCCAACATATAAGCATGTCGCTTTCCACTACTTCAAACTCCGCCTTCTCCAGTCAGAGATCCACGATGTCTTGCAATATCAGCAAGCACGCGCCGTGCGTCGACGAGCGACGGATAGCGCCATTATCCTTCCACACGCTGAGCTTACCTCTCCTTTCCTCCAAGGTTTTGACTCTTTCCGCTCATGGCGCCATGATGTCCACCGCCGTCTAGTGGAATGGCATGAGTCTGCCCCGACACGTCCAGATACGGGCGTGCGATTCTCAATCGAATTGTTAGAGTTAAATTACTGGCAAGCTATCATCTTGCTATATCAACAAAGTTTGACTGTACCCGCGGAGTTGGCTGGAGAGTTGACCCCTGCTGATGATGTGTCGAGCCCGTCCTTTTCGAATCCCGATGAAGGGGATGAAGAGGATCAAGTTTATTTGAATGTGGCCGAGGCAGGTCAGAAAGTCATTCGTATATATCGACAGCTACACCGTGTCAGGCTTGTGAACTATACGTATCTTGCTACACATCACATCTTTATGGCTGGTATGTCAAGATGCTAATCATCTAAACTTTAGACCACCACTAACAGCATATCAGGAATCTCCTTTTTGTACGCGATTTGGTATTCGCCGCTTGTGCGCAGTCGTCTGGTATGTAGTCCTAACTCATAGTGTTAAATTGCATATTGCTAACTAGATATTCATCGTCACTAGACTCTTGACGAGGTGGATTTTACTGTTCTCGCCGCAACCTCCGTTCTTGGCGATTTGATGCATAAATGTCCCCCCGCTGAAGCTTGTAGGGATGCATTCGAGCGAATGAGCAAGGCTACCGTTCAAATGTGCCTTTCCACCACCGGATTCGGATCACAAGTTGACATGAGTCGCATCAACTCCGGTCCAAACCCATCTGGCTCTCTACACCACGGTCGTCGCCAACAGACAGATCCCCGACGAGCAAGTCAAGGCCAACCACGCCGACCAACCCAAAATCGATCCTCACGGCCAATGCCAAAATTCGATATGAACCTGGCTGATCTGTTCAATGACAATACGCCACTAGCCGACCGATCAAGGCCAGATGGCCGACCAGCGCATCCATATCCTGTTCGAGCTGATCAGGCAGAGTCCATTGCGGCTGGCTTGCCTACCGATCGTCCTGCACGTCCATTTATACAGCGAACCCCGTCAATGGAGTATTATCTCAAGTACGAGAATCCCACATCGCCACAACCCCCTCAGCAATTCTATTACTCTACCTCTCCACAACAAGATGGCTCCCCCGGCAGTGTAGCTCCCAATGCTGCGAATGGGCCCCATGGTGTCCCACCCACAGATCCTGAAGCACAGCCTGGTATTAGTCTTGATTTCCTTGACTTTGGGTCTGGAGATCCAGATGGGCAACCTATGGAGACGGATCCTAATGGTGATTTTAATATGGCTAATATGCCACCTCTTGGACCCAATCTTGGACAAAATGTTGGTATTGATCTTGGATTTGGCATGGCAATGGATTTTCAGCATGATTGGAGCGAGAATCCAAATTATGATCTTTTAGAGGGTTATTTCTTCGGTGGTTCTGGGCCAGGCGCTTCCGGTGGTGGTGAACCTTGAGAGTTGAGTTGAGTTATTATCCTTCTCCTTATTTTTCCTTCCTTCTCCTTAACTATTCCTTTATACCTATACTCATGGTTGTCTATTGGTGTTCTGTGTTCTGTGTTCTCGCTCTGTCTCGCCTGGCTATTACTTTCCACTTTACTCTCCCTTTATTTACTCTTCTTGTCGTTTTGCTCTTGACTACACTACTTACTATCCTTGCATCTTGCCAAAACTTCATTTCCTCTCCTTTGCCCCCACTCTTCTACCATTGGATGTTTTTTATTCTGGGAATTGCATAGTCAAAGCTGTATTTCTGGTGAACAAGGACTGGCTTCATGGGAACAATGGGTGCGTTGTATTGTTTTGATATTTATCTTCTTTTGTTTGAGTTTTTGGGATACCATTATATACATATTATATACTATTTGATCCATAGAGTATACAGATAACCTAAATCAATAAATTCTATGCAATTATTGTTAGTAGATACGTATAATATCGCAGATATGTAGTTGTCGTATATACGTGCAACAGATCGTCTTGGCCTGGACTCAGCGAGTGCCTTGGGCAGCAGCACATCCCGCGCCAAAACAAACACAACCCACTTTTTTTCTCCCTCTCCGGCGCCAACTCACCAACCTTGCCCCATTTGCTGACGGTAGCATTCACCGCGAAGTGACTCGGCTGCATCCTGTTGGCTGCTTCGCCTTGCGATTCGGCAAGATCTCGCGCTTGGACCTTAACTGCCTGACCTTAACAGCCTCATCAGGTGCCCACGACCACTTCCGCTTCCCAAGGGTCCCGCATAACCCCCTCAGATTCACCTGGCTCCGTTTGTTTTGTTTTTTCTTGTGTTCTTGTCATAGCCAGTGAAATTCAGAAGAAATATCATGCCCATGCATCGTGATCGTCGACTCAGAATTCCCACTTGTCTCAGCCAGATCGAGATCTGATCAGCCCTGCCGCAGCGTTACCTGCAGGCAACCGACTCCGCCGATACCTTTTGAATTACCCTTCATTGTTGTTAGATTTTGGTTTCGCGCTGAACGGACGAACCGGACCGATATCCACTTACTTTCACTTCGAAAGCTGTTACCTTGTCTTATCTATTACCTTACACTTCTTACACCCCGATAAACTGTAACGCGAACCTCGAACCTCGAACCTCGAACGAACGAACCCCTCCTAGACTGGTCATGCACTGTATCCTCCGACTATTTACAGAGACCTCGATTATGCGCATGTCCTTCCTCTCAACTGTTAACTTTCCGGAGCCAATAATATCAACATGGTGAAAGCCGACGTACGGCGAGATTACTATGCGGATCTGGGGTTAGCCCCCAGCGCGGAGTCTGAAGAAATAAAAAAACAATTCAGGAAACTTGGTAAGCTGAACGAGGGAAAGAAAGAACTAAACAAAGTGCAGATCACTGACCACGCAAATCTGCTTTACAGCCCTCAAATTCCACCCCGATAGAAACCCAGGAAGGGAGCAAGAGTTCATCGCCAAATTTCAAGCTATCCAGGCAGCACATGAGATCCTCAGTGACTCACAACAACGGATAAAGTACGATACGAACCGACTGCGCGCAGGATATGGCAAGTTTTATGGACCGCCAAGAACGAATACGCAGAGGAAACCACCACCCACCCAAGCGTCAACCGCGTCCGCTAGACCTACACCTACAAAGCCAACATACTCTCAGTGGAATGAAGCGAACAGGGCGCAGACTGGACCTTCGGCTGGCGCGCAACGTTATTCAGCCCATGCCCGCGCGGGGCCACAACAATGGCAGAAGAAGCAGGATGATGCGCAAACGAGGGCCGACGCGTTCAAGGGCTTTTCAGGTATGAGGGGATCCAACGCGGGATCATGGCGCCCATTTGATCCTCAGACTGGCCGTTCACCGACTGGCACTACGGCCGGTGGTACACCAAGACAACAAAATACGCCATTTGGAGCTCAAAGACCAAAATCAGCGTATGAATTCTTCAAGGACAATGCCAGGACATCGAGCTCTACTAGTCCCAATTCAGCAAAGAAAAAGCACGGATTCGCACCAGGCACTGCTGGAGGAGATGAGCCGCAAGCGAGGAATACTTCTGCGTATACCCATAACCGAAGTGATCGTCCCAGCAGTATGTACTTCGACTCTGTACCATCACCAACTGCAAAAAAACCCCCACCGGCACCTGAACCTCCTCAGTTCCCTGAAGAGTTTGAGCGTAACAGGAGAGGCTATGCAGCTACATCAGGAGAAAAGACGTTCTTCTCAAACAGCCCCCTTGGTCGATCAGAGAGTGCACGTACGCCTTCAGGAAGCTTTCGGGCCTCCAGCTCGCGCACGAAACCACCTAATCACGCCAACACAAGTTCGAATGGAAAACGCCGGAGCGCCAGCCCCAAGCCCGATAGGAAGAAACCTGTTTACGACATCTCATCTGGAACGAGCTCGGATGAATCAGGTGAATCGGAGAATTTCGCGCCAATGCCTAAACATAGTTCATCCAAGGGTAAACCCAAGGCTGTCCCCAAGTCTCGACTCAGACCTAACCAAAAGTTTTCCGACTTTTATCGTGGAGGTGATTCTAGCACTGGAACTGGTGAGGAACCTTCTCGTAGCGGACAAAACAGCCAACGATCCCAGCCAACGCCAACCCCGGCAAATACAGGCACACGGAGACCTCGACGGCAGCCATCATATGTGGACTTGACGGCTGACAGCGATGAAAACAAAGGCCATAATTCCGACAGTGCAGCGTTTCCTCGAGGCTCGACACGTCCCCAACAGCCTGCCCAAGATCAAGGCTCTAATACCCGGTATGGACGACTTGTTCCTTCTTTTGATGAATACGATCCTCTTGATTCCTTACTCTTCTGCTCATACTGGTACTCGTGCTCATGCTCATACTCATACTCTTACTCCAAACAGACCCGACTCTTCGAAAAAAGCTACGATGCCCTCCTTCGCCGGCTTTGAGAGTCGAAGCTCTAGCGATGCAAACAATCTCCACAAGAAATTCTCCGCAGAAGACTGGAGAGATCACTTAGAGAACGTTGACTTTCTCGGTGCTTCCGCATACTCCACCCGCAAATCCCCTAATTCGAAATCCCAGACACAATCCAATTCTAGGAATGATTCCGCAGAATCCATACCTTTGGCAGGGTCGCCCAGCCTGAACCCTTTTGGCCCCCTCAATGAATCATCTCAATCAAAATCACAGCAGGCACCCACCCCATTCGCACAGGCAAAGTTTTCGGCCGACGAATGGGCCAAACAGCTTAACAATCTTTCTTGGAATGTCCCTGAGCCCTCCAGGGCACGACAATCGGCAAATACCCCACCTTTAGCTCGGAGTCCCAGGAAACAATCTAAGACAGGAAGTAAAGTGCGCCCTACTCCCCAAGCTGCGAGTGTGGCATCTGAGGCGGAGGAAGCCAAGGAAACTGTCAATGGTCATCAGACACCTCCTATGCCTGAGCAACCAGTGCCTACGGAGGCAGAGGCTATGGATATTGATGATGAATTACCACCGTCTAATTCAGAGAAGAAGGAATCTAAGAATGCAAGCTACCCAGACCTTAATTCACATGCAGCCCCGGGTACCACATCCAACGGCACAGTTCCCCCTCAACAAAACCCAACTACACCTCCACCACGGGCGGAAAACAAGTCAAATGGAGAAGCACAAATCCCCTTGTTCAATCTCGATAACCTCAGTAAAACGGCACCGTTCACCAATACCAACAGTAGCGGGATCGACAACCTCAACGATGTCCATGCAACATTACCCTTTGAATCCCGCGCTAAACAACCAACCACAACAAACCATGACATTCGTCCTCGAGAGTTGAGCCTTCCCAACCCTCCTAAACGACCCTGGGCCCCTCAATTAGTTCCAATGGGACCAAACTCACAGGTTCTCCCATTGGAGAAATGGCAATACTACGTCTCAGCAATGAGCACCTACATCCACGATTGGAACAACTTCAACCGTCGCATGCTCCTCCATTTCAATACACGCCAAGAAGCCGTCGAAACGGGTCTTTCGCCTAACTGGATCAGCGCCGTCGGAGACTCCGCCCGTCTAGACATAAACGGGGACGATGACGATACTGACAGCGAGAAGAAAAATGCTGATTACTCCGAGCTGGATGAGTACCTTATCCCCGGACGTGCGAAAGGTGGCTTCAGCGCCTATAGGCGTGGCATTGAGGATGATATGCTAGTGCGGAAGCATTGGGATGTTGCGTGTGAGATGCACCGCGACTGTATAGTTGACCTTGGTCGACTCCGTGAATGGATCAGGAATGGCGGGAAAGTTGTTTCTTTTGCCCCGCGTCCGCAGTATGACATATGATCTATGATACGTGGTATACGAATAGCTGAAGATGTGGTGTCTAGTTATGTGGTTAATGGCTCATTGTTGGAATGACTCTCGTTAGACGTGTGTTTTTATTAGGCTTTTGCATGATGGTATGATGGCGTGGTGTTGTTTTGTTTTGTTTCCATGAATACCCTGGATATGTTTGCATCTGATAGATTATAATTCGGGCTTTTGATATCTCTTCCCAATACACTTGAGGTTTTATTCTCCCCAGGCTATGTGGCTTCTAGGTAACAACTAGTATTTCTGTATATATTCTAAGAGATAACCTGGAGATAATGCTCTCTTTTATAAGTACTAGCATAATAGCATAGAGGCTTTGGAAGCAAGCCGGAACATGTATAGTATCCAGCAATAGTAGGCTAGAGACATGCAGCGGGTAATGTATTGTCCGTCACATGAAAATGTATTCGTGCCTCAGGCAAAGGCCGCGGTAAGGCTGTATATTACATACCAATATTACCCCTAAGTTCCCTCAATTAACCCGTAAAACAGCGGGAGAAAAAAATAAATAAATTACGCTTGTATGTACAGTGAGTCACTCCGAAAATACATAAAAAGTCAATGCCTTCATGAACACCGAGTTTCTGCTTGTCAATTTAAAAGACAATCCCCTCGGAACTTCCTAACTTGAAATGTGAGTCACACATTCCCTGCTAAACGTGCAGCACAATGATGCTGCTGCTCAAAAGACACACCGGAATTGACCGAACACACAGATTCCTTGCCCCGCCATCCCGAAGCCGGACCTACTTCTTCTTCTACACTCCCCCGCCACTAGCACGACCTTCGTTCACCAATTGCCAATCCGAGCGTTGCAATTGATTCACATTGATAACACCCCACACATACAAATATGGTCTCCATCGTTTTAGGTAGTCAATGGGGAGATGAAGGTATGTTCATCCCGCAACCCCACGCTGCAGTGGCGGGGGTGGCCAAAATCCGCTTGGGCTGAAACCGCGGGGATACGGAGAACCCAGGCGCTGACTTTTTATATAGGAAAGGGGAAGATCACAGATATGCTGTCGCAGAAGGCGACGCTGTGCGCTCGTGCTGCCGGTGGTCACAGTAAGTTCAGTTCAGTTCATGCTTTATACCTTTGTTCGGCTGTGGTCCAAATTTCAATTCTTTCCACGGAGATGATATCGAAGCCGAGATCTAAAGATCTCATCTAATATCCACTTTTCTCGATATAAAGGCTAACCAGGTTGCTTTTCTTCCTATCTTATAGACGCTGGCCACACTATCGTTCACGAGAACGTAACTTACGACTTCCACATCCTTCCCTCCGGTCTCGTCTCGCCCTCATGTATCAACCTCATCGGCGCTGGAACCGTCTTCCACGTTCCTAGCTTCTTCAAGGAGCTTGCTCAACTCGAGACCAAGGGTCTCTCCTCCGCCGGAAAGCGTATCTTCGTTTCCGACCGCGCACACGTTTGCTTCGATCTCCACTCCGTCGTCGACGGTCTCGAGGAGAAGGGTCTCGGTGGTCGCAAGGTCGGTACAACTGGTAAGGGTATCGGTCCCTGCTACTCCGATAAGGCCGCACGCCGCGGTGTGCGTGTCGGTGAGATCTTAGATGAGGAGACCTTCGAGCGCAAGCTGCGCACCCTTGACATCTCCTACCGTGCGCGTTTCGGCGAGCTGGCCTACGACGTGGAGGATGAGATTGCGCGCTTCAAGGTATGTGTCCGCCAATTTTTCTTTCTTTCTTACAAATAGCATCGTTTCTTGTGTATACTAACAATAAAAAAAGGAATACCGCGCCAAGCTGAAGCCCTTCATCGTCGACCAACTCGAGTTCCTACAGGAACACCAGAACTCCCCCAACACCCTGGTCGAGGGTGCTAACGCTCTCATGCTCGACCTCGACCACGGCACATACCCCTTCGTCACCTCATCCTCCACCGGTCTCGGTGGTGCCGTGCAGGCCCTCGCTCTCAACCCCTCAAGCATCAAGAACGTCATCGGTGTGCTGAAGGCCTACACCACCCGTGTCGGATCCGGTCCTTTCCCCAGTGAACAGCTCAACGCCGATGGCGAGAAGCTTCAAAGTGTCGGTCGCGAATTCGGCGTGACAACCGGCCGCAAGCGTCGTTGCGGATGGTTGGATCTCGTCCTTGCCCGCTACTCTCACGCTATCAACCACTACACTGCGCTTAACCTCACCAAGCTTGATGTGCTGGATGACTTTGACGAGATCAAGGTTGGCGTCGCATACGTTCTGCCTTGCGGTAAGCGGACGACTGGATCGTTCCCCGCTGACCCTAATGTCGTTGAGAAGATTAAGGTCGAGTATGTTACTCTGCCTGGTTGGAAGTGCAATACTATGGGTGTTACTAAGTACGAGGATTTGCCTGCCAACGCTAAGGCTTATATTGAGTTTATTGAGCGGGAAATTGGCGGTGTTCCTATCAAGTGGATCGGAACTGGTCCTGCGAGAGAGCACATGATTGCGCGTGATTAGATCTGAGAACTAAAATGGTGGAGAGAAGACTTAGGTAAATATAGTCGGGCTTGGATTTATATTTCTGTTCCAAGGTTGTTTAGAACCTTTTTGTGGGGATTTGCCTACAATAGAGGTGTTTGTTTTCAAGTTCAATATGGGTTTATTTCGGGTATATGATAGGATTCCATGTACCTTTTTCTGTCAAAAATGCAGTATATAAAGATACCAGACCATACTAAAGGCGATCGTAGTACTTTTAGTGAATCTTAACGTCAGGATCCCTCGCCAAAGCCAGATACCTCAGGTGTCCGACCTTGCGTTGGCTTCTGAAATAACCAGCAGTAGGTATCTTTTACAATACACGCCGAGGTCTACAATTCCTATCTCAGTTTATTTACCTCTATGATTAGAAGGGTTAGAAAGAAGGTTAGAAAGAGGATTCAAAAAGAGGGTTAGGAAAGGGGTCAGAGTATTCAAAGATAATTATGGTCTGTTGAATGATCAGTATAATTGGGAGATTTAGCTAGGCGTTGGACTTTGGATTTTTTAAGGTTGTTTTCTTGTTAGTTTAGTTTTGCAATATCTAGGTAGATATATATACTAGATTTTTCCTGACGGCTGCACAGCAATAATACTATACAAAATCCCTTACACCATACTAGTTAATTGTATTAATAGTATACAACCACACATCGATATATATTTAAATAGCTATAAATTGATACAATTAGAAGAGGATTTACTTATTGAATAGATACTCTCTATAGATATATAGAGTAGTATCTAGACTAGCTACTATACAAGAGATAGCTAATTGTTACGGCATACATGCATGTTGATATTCTAAAGAGAGGCTTAAAGAACAATGCATGTTGATATTGGAACGGGCAAATGAATTACCGAGGGTTCCAGCCCCGGACCCCTCACGTGAGGCACATGAACCGTGGTTGATATAAAATCTATGAATGCTTGGAAGTAGTAGACTTCCAAGGATTAGTTTCTGTATAACTTCATGAAAGAACTCTATCCAATATCACCACTCTTTATCTGCCTAACCCTTTGACGTCAACCTAAACAATCAAATACTTACAATTACTAGGAATGGATTACAATTTAGCTAGTGATAACTAGATTATTATAGGATTATTCTAGTCATTCGATCGATTATCTATTTATATTCATATAACAATAGATATTAATACTTAAGAGTCTCTACTATACATGGAAAAAATCTTAACTCCTAAGTCTAAATATTAATTTACTTTTAGAGAGCTCAAGGGCTTAATATAGAGTTTTAAATAGTATTAGTTTTATAGCTTATATAACGAACCGATGCCGAGTTGATACTAATATCGAGGTTACGAGGTTGCGGGATCACATGACGGATCACATGATCCTATACCCGTCTGATTCTTCTATATAATAACGCGTGGGAGCCTAACTCCTCTCTTTCCTTTTTCCTTATCTTTGATACTTTAGTTAAATTGTACGAAAGTTCTTCTGTTTTCTGGTTCTTATATTGTATTAAAGATTATTTTACGTCACTTGAAGCCGCACAGATCTATATCCATTTGGAAGTGTGTCTCAGCTAATTAGGTTATATCTCACTTGTCTTATATTCCCTAAACGAACGAATTACTATAGTTTGTGAAACCCCTACTATTGGTAAGATATTGATATATAGAACTAAATCTGAAGAACCTACTGATAGCAATAGTAGTTGTGGATAACCCGACGGTATAGAGGAGCTTAATCCTCTAAGTCTAAAGAAGAATCGGAGATTATTTATCTTTACCTATCTAGATCTCCCTAAACTAGATCTAGAGGATAGTTTTATTGAGTTTAGTTAATCTAAGGATCTATAGGAGTACCTATAGGAAGATCTGTACTAATATAGATACTTATTTGATATCTAGGAAGATATAATAGATAAGCTGAATATAATTTATAAGAGGATTAATATCTATAAGTAAAATTATATAGATATTGCTTAGCTCTGGGATCTTTTAAAGTAGTATCTCTAATAACTTTAAGAAGCTAAATAAGAGAGAGATAAACTTCGATAGGTCTTTAATAATATATATAATACTTCTTAACTAGAGGTACTAGTACCTAAGAGAATTAAAGTAAGGACCTATAAATTTGTTGATCTCTTGTTATTTACTGATAGAAGTAGGACTAATATAAAGTTCTATAGTTAGTGTACTACTATAGAATTAAAGCTATATACGAATATAGATTATTTCTTGACCCCTGATCTATATAAGATATATATAATAAGTTAGTTAATTAAAGCTGTATATAATTAGATTATATCTCTTCTAAATAATAATAATAATAATACCCTTGATAATAGTAATAATATCTTAGACTACCTAGAGTAGATCTATAAAGACCTAGTCTATTAGGATTGTACTAAATTTAACTTTAAAAAGCTTTGTATAAAGGAAATAGAGAAATTTATAATCTTTCTTATTGAATTTATCTAACTAGCTAATAATATTGTTATTCCTTATAAGAAATATATAAAACTTCTCTATCGGAAGTTAACCCTTAAGCTATAATATAAGCTTGTTAGAAAGGCCTTAAAGATTAGTATTACTTTCTTAGACTATATGGAGAAGGCTTATTATATTGTATCTATCCTAGAGATTATGGATACTAATATCTAGTAGATAAAGACTATAAAGGCTACTATAGCTATAGCTACTACTATTAATATTACTAATAATATTAGTAAGACATAGAACACATAGAATATAAAGCCTATTATAGATCTTCCTAACTAGTCCTCTTTAGTTATCTTATACCTAAAGTTAAATATAGCTAAACTCTAGAGATAGCGAAAGGAAGAACATTATTACAAATATAACAAATAAGGCTATTATAGTAAGGATTATCCTATCTGTATAGCTTGTCTTATAGCTAAGGCTACAACTAGAAAGACTCCTATTGTAGCTAAAGTAGTAGAGCTAGAAGTAAATATTAAGATAGAAAAAGATTAAGCTTATTATTAGTCTTCTTAATAAGTAGAGAGATATTAATCCCTAAGTTAAATATAGAAGATATATCTATAAGTAAGAAATTTATACTTAAGATAAAGATAGTCTTTAATAAATATTCTTATTCTATATTAATATTAGATAATACCAGAGCTACCGGATTTATATATATAGATATAGTATTTATTATATCTTTAGAAAAGTTTAGATTAAAGAACTATTATCTTCCAGTTCTAATAATCCTAAAGGACTTTAATAGATATAAAGATAAGTCTATTACCTATAAAGTATAATTAAATTTAATAATAGATAGATAGAAGATAACTAGGCTGTCTTTTTTGATTATAGATCTAGGTTAATATTATATAATCCTAGATCAGGACTAGTTTATATAATATTATATCCTAATAGACTATTATAACGATAGGCTTATTTAGCTAAATAATCCTATTCCTATATCTAAAGAGCCTATATCTTAAGAAAAGTCTCTAGAGTCCTGATTAAGATATAGCTACTTAGCTAGATAATAGTATAACTACTAAGAATTGTAAGTAAAGATAGATAGGGCTTTAACTAGTACTGAATTACTCCTAAAGTAGTTTAAAGAGGTATTATTTTATCTCTTTTCTCCCTTTAAGATTATAATAATCAGAGTAATAGGATTCTATTAATATATAAAGAAGGAAGATATAGAGATCTTTATAACTTTACTCTATAAGATTGATTATATTATTAAAGAGATATCTCTATAAGAAGAGATTGTAAAGATTAAGAAGAAGATACTAATAGTATACTACTACTTAGTATAAGTATTTTCTAAGCTAGAGTTAAATAGTATACTATTGTAGTAGGGTAGTATTAATCACATTATTTAGATAGATAGTATCTTTAATCTAGGATACTACTCTCTCTATAAGTAATTCCTTAAAGAGCTAAAAGTCTATAAGGAGTATATTACTAAGAAGCTCTATCTTAGCTTTATTAAGCTAAGCTCTATGCCCTTTATATTACCTGTCCTAATAGCTAGGATACCTAGTAGGAAGATATACTTCTATATTAATTACTAAAGGCTGAATGTTATTACTAGGAAGGATAAATATCCTATCCTACTAATTAATAAGCTGTTATAGTGAGTAGTAGGTGTAAAGATCTTTATAAGACTAGATATCTAATAGGGATTCTACTATATCTAGATATATATAGACTTAGAGGATTTAACAACCTTTTAGATATAATATAGGATATTTAAATATAAAGTAATACTATTCGGGCTTATTAATATCCCTACTACATTTTAGTGTTTTATTAATATAATGTTAGTAGAATATCTTAATAACTTTTATATAGTATATATAGATAATATCTTAATTTATAATAACTTATTAGAGGAATATATTAAGTATATAAATAAAATACTATAGTAACTAATTAATACTAGTCTATAAGTCTCTCTAGAGAAATATAAGTTCTATATAACTTATACTAAATTCCTAGGATTCTTTATTAATATAAAAGATCTAGAAGTTAATCCCTAGAAAGTTAAAACTATATAGAATTAATAATAATTAGGAATAATTAAAGGTATATAATCCTTCTTAGGATTTAATAATTTCTATTGGAGATTTATTAAGGATTATAGCTATATTATATAGTTTTTATACCTCCTAATATAGAAAGATATTACTTTTCAATAGAATATTAGTTATTAGATAATATTTAAAGAGATTAAGAGAAAACTAATAGAAGCTCTAATCTTTTAATACTATAAACTAAATCTAGAAATAAAGGTTAAGACTAATATATCAGAAGAATATATAAGTATAGTTCTTTTTTAATAAGCAAATAAAAATAACCTATAGAAATCTATAGCCTTCTTCTTAAAGTTAATAGACTTAATAGAGTAAAATTATAATATCCTAGATTAAGAGTTACTTACTATTATATATATATTAAATAAGTAACACCTAGAATTAAAAGGATTATAATAAAATAATAGGTTTAGTATCTATATAGATTACTATATCTTATAATACTTTATAATAAAGAAGATACTTAGCCCTAGATAGATATACTAAAGTAAACTCCTTTCTTAATTCTACTTTATTATTAAATATTAACCTAGTAAGATAAATATTATTACCAATACTCTATCTTATAAAAAGAAGCTTAAGTAAAGAGATAAACAGCCCCTAATCTTCTTAACTAAAATAATAGAGCTATATATCCTAATAGAGTTATCTCTTATACTAATAGATCTTAATATCTTACTAACTATAGTAGAATATACCCTCTCAGCTAATTAAGTATATACTTCTCTCAATAATTATAAGATAAAGGCTTTAAATAAGGAAGAATCCCAATAGACAGTTAAGAATAATCTATTACTCTTTAAAGGATATCTAGTAGTTCCTAATAATAGAGATCTATAAATAAGACTCTTAGATAAAATCTACTAGTAATTATATATAGTATATCCTAGACACAGCTAGATACTAAGATTAATTAAGGATTATTATTACTAAGCTAGATATATAACTAATATAAAGTAATATATTAATAACTATCTAATATATAAGTATATAAAATATTAGTAAGATAAAGCCCCTAGACTATTATAACTACTCCTAATCTCTCTTTATCTAGATAAATATCTCTTAATAGATTTCTAATCCTTCCCTAAGAATAAATATAGATATAATATAATTTTAATATTTATTAATTATCTATTAAAGTAACAAGTATCAATTCTATACTACAAAACTACTAACGTAAAAGAGATAGTATATCTATTTATCTGAGAGATTCTCCCTTAGTTAAATATTCTAAATATAATTGTATTAGATTAAGGACCTTAGTTTATATTTAAATTCTAGATAGAATTAATATATATTCTAGGTATTAAAAGAAAGCTATTAATAATTTACTATACTTAGATAGATAGCTAGAGTAAAATTATAAATAAATAGATAGCTTAATAGTTATAGGCCTATATAAACTTCTATTAAGATAATTAGTCTAAATATCTTCTACTAATAGACTATACTACTACTATATTTCCCTAGGCTAGTATAGAATAATTACCTTTCTTTATAAAATATAGATTTAATCCTAGGATAACCTTTAATTAGATATTAGATACCCTAGCTATCTTCTCTAAGAATATATAGTAAGTGAGAGATATTATTAATAATATAAAGAATATATAGGATAATACTTAGGAAGTAATAGGAGTTATATAAATAAGTTAGAAAAGATATATAGATATATAATACTATAAGGATAAATTTAGAGTTAGTTAGTTAGTCTTTATTACTATATATATCTAGAAGACAAGAAGATAGAGTAGGAAGCTATCCAATTAGTAACATAGACTATTTGAAATCATAAAAAAAGAAGATAATTCATAGTATTTAAAGCTGCTAGACTCTATAAAGGTATATCTTATCTTCTTATTAGATAAGCTATACCCTATAGTATATATAGAGCCTCTTATTAGATAGATCCTAGATATAATACCACTAATTATTATTAATAAGAAAGAGACTTACAAGGTTAATAAGATTAAAGATTCTTATATATACTATTAATATCTATAATATCAAGTATCTTAGATCAGAAATAAGAATACTAAATAGTACCCTGTAGGCAACTTTAAGAATACACTAGAGAAATTAAAAGAATTCTATACTTAATATTCTAATAAGCCGGGGCCTTCCATACACTTATCTATATAGCTTAAGGCAGCAGAGAAGGATAAATTTATTAATAATAATAAAAGCGATAATATTCTAATAGCTAAAGCCTAGAGGCTAGGCTTTTTTCGGAGGGGGGGGTAATATAATAAACCGATACCAAGTTGATACTAATGTCGAGGTTATAAGGTTACGGGATTATATAACGGATTATATAATCCCACATCCGTCTAATTCTCCTATATGATAACGCGTAGGAGCCTAACTCCCCTCTTTCCTTTTTCCTCATCTTTGATACTTTAGTTAAATCGTACGAAAGTTCTTCTGTTTTCTGGTTCTTACAGCTTAGACTAACTTAAGGTACTTATATCTATTAACTACTACAAATTAATATATTTAATATAATATAAAGTTTAATACCGACGCAGGTATAGGGATGTATCTTGTAGATTAAATAGCTTAATCTCTATTAAAGGTTTAATAGAATAGTGTAGAAGAGTAATAAAAAGACCTGCTGATAAGCGAGTCTTACCTGTTGCCTAGGAGAGAAGCACCTTCCCTCTCACAATATGACGAACAAATGATTTAAAACTTATAATTGAATACATCATAATGATCATTTACAGCGCAGAGATACCTTTTTTATCCGCCCAATATTTCCAAACCTCCGCAGAGTTCTATGTCTCTCCTAACCAGGCGACCGTAATCATAAATCAATGTTGATCGCCGAAAAAGTCCCCAGCACAGCATTATCCACGAAGTATAGAATCTAAGAGACAAGCAGCTCCCATATATTAAATATATATGGTCTTAAAAGCCTAGCTCTCGCTCGGTGTGGGCCGGAGAGTGCCCTGCTTAGGCACTATCTCAACTCCCGGGCTCGCACACGAAGACATTTCGACTATCAGAGCATTGATGTAGGATCTAGATAAGAGGCCAGCCTTCTGGTATTAACTGACTAGTGAATCTAGGGTTATAGAGGACGCTGGCTGGGTCCAGAGTGGCTATATAGCAATTGCTTCATTGCGTTTCCTGTGTGTTATATTATGGGCCTTGAGGTTGTTGCGTCGTGAAAACTTGCGCCAGCAGCCAGCGGCCCAACACTTATAGGGCCTATCTCCCGAATGGCAGATAAGATAGTGTGTAAGAGTTCTTTGGAGTTTGAAAAGACTGTCACATCCCGGGTTGCTATATTCAAGGTATCGATGAGGCTTAGTCGGCTTAGTAGTTTTGAAGTCCACAGGTAGAAATTCTGGGGCGCTGTGAAAAGCACTCGGTAGTTGCCCAACAAGCTGTAAAGATCTAAAGCCTAAAGGAGCTTGACAAATGAGTGACCAATCTCCAATTTCAGAGAAAAATGACTGGAATTTTGTGGAGCTACAACAATCGACAGCTAGTTTGTCAAATGATTAACAAACTCGAGTGAAATTGTACCACATGAGGTGGAGCAGAAAAGATGATTGTCTTGCCCAAGGAAGTCCAGATTCATTATCTTAATCCGCATTTTCCATCGTGCGTACCCAGGGGGCCTTCATCGAGCTCCTGGGCCATTCTTTGGATTTGAGTATATTAGTGGGCCGCGTTGAATGAACTACATAACAGGAGGCTTCAAATAAATCTTTTATAGTACAATCCTCATGATTGATCGTCTCTATTCTTTTGGAACTGCGAGGCAGCCGTTGGTCAGGATGCAGTCAGGTAAGAAGCTGAATATAAAACATGGCGGCTGTCTGTTCTTTTCTCAGGCCGATTATGTTCCAGCATAGAGTTTTATCAAAGCAAGGATAGTCTTGATAAAGATCCCAAGCGTCAGTTTACGACTCGACAAGGCGGAAGAATCAATGAACGAGCATCAGAGAATCTATATTCTTTCAAGGTTCTCAATGATTCAGGAAGCTCTCCCGCCCAACAGAACCTAGTCCTGTAGGCAGTTTGCATGTGTGAAGTGAGGCATAGGACAAGAAAAAGCGAAAAAAAAAGGAATTATGCGAGGCCATATCTACCAGAAACCAGATAAATCCAAGAAGTGTTAATTGAAATATCTAATATTACTCTTTATGCTGTAAGAGCTTGAACAGATCGAGGCCTAAGGTACTATATCACCTGATACGAAACCCCAACAAACCCTCCACTACAGTAGGTAGCAACGTCAGTCAAGCTGTACACTAGGTACGTATGGCATACATGGCTGGCATCACTTCAATAGTTGGACCCAAATCCAGTGTATTGTCAGGGACGTTCCAGGCCTTGGAAGGCTCGTGCTCGGCAGCCTTGACAATGGCAAATTCCATGATAGTTGGTTTTTTATCCCCACTCGCATCCCTGTTCGTGTTTTCCAGCACTCGAATCGTAAACTCAAGCTCTTTCGCGTGTTCCAGCCTCTCAGCAGGCTCAATCTTGGCCAGTGTTGTGTTATTTTCCTTGTGGACTTCCAGGCGAGGAGGCAGTTCCATGTGCGTTGTCAACTCGAGGGTGTTGCGGCAGTTGGCACAGCTAGGGACATGCCATCGACTGAAGACGGGCTCGATACCTACCAACACGTTTTTCTCTTCGGAGGCTTTTTTTGGCTTTGCCCACACGCCGACAACGAAAGAGCCCTGCCGGTGTGCCCGGCTGATCCCAGATAGGCGCACAACAGGCAGAGCAGTATCGCCACCGCTCCATGCTTTTTTAGCACTTACTGCTTCCATTTGTGGTGGTAGTAGGACCGGGGGAATAGGCGAAGGGGGCTCGGCATCTTGATAGTCATACCCGTACTCTCTGATGTTTACCACATCCTAGGTCCAGTCAGTCAAATACAATTGTGACTCAATCGGCAACAGGGAAGGCCAATGTGCACACGTACCTCAGACTTCAGGTATATATTCTTGTCATTTTTGAATGGGACCAATGGAGTCTCCATACTCAAGCGTGAATCCGCCGGTGTGAAGGGTGTAGGACCTTGGTTATCAATGGGGCTAGTTCCGGGATAGTCATCGATGATTGTCAGCTTTTCGGTCGCTCCGTAATTCTTCTGCCACAGCCAGAAGACATAATCAACAAAGCAGTGGTGGAAAAAGAAGATAGGATCAAAGGCGGCTGTGTCATTCTCCCCCATGTCGCCGTTTGCGAAGGCAAAAGTTGGCCGATTTAGGTCCTTATTGGGTAGGCTATATCCCCCCACCGCCAAATGTACTCCGTTATGAGGCTTCTCCAGGGCGACAGCCAAATCGGTTTTCGAGTAGTCCTGACCAGCGAAGTTGTCGTCATTCCACTTCGCTGCCGAGGTTGTGTTGGAGAATACAGTGTAGTTGGGCGCCAGTTTTGCCGCCCTCATGTACAGTTCACTCATGCCGGGCACAGGGACATTGTCCGAACTAGGTTTGAAAAGCCAGGCCTTCACATTTGTCTGGAGATCTTCAGCTGCTTGTTGATCCGATATTCTCGTATTAAAGTCATCGTATCTCGGCGATCATCTGGTCCGACCAGCCCGGAGTAGGGACATCGCACTGTTTCATAATCTTTGTGCTTGCTGTAATCGATCCTTTTGGTTGTTCCCTTCCCATTGGTGGATGTCCGAGCTAGCTTATCGTAAAAGCCCTGTTGAAGTCTGTAGGAGAAGAGTGGGTTGTCGATTGTGACTCCATTGCTGTCATTGCTCTTAATATCTCCGCGGTTGATATCGCTAGCCTTCGGAAAATTTGCTGAGAAAGTATAGGTCTTCTGGGTGAATATACATGGGACTCCCGCGTCCATGAATTCGTTCCAATAAGGAATGGCCACATCGCTGTAACCAGCCGACTTATTAAAGAGCCTTCTCTAGATGGCGTAGGTAAGCCCGATGCCATGTTGGAAAAAGAACGTTCCCATGATGGCAGTAACCCCCCCCCCCCCACCACTCCCGGTTGGTATACCCTCCACCACGAAAAGGTTGGCCATGGTATCCCGCGATGACGTAGAAGGAGTTCTCATTCAAATCTGAGGGCATGCCCGGGTGCTCTTGCTGGAGCTTATAGAAGGCGAAAACCAACTTGTCCCTCTCATCCTCAGTGAGATTCTCAACGTCCTTTCGGATGAGGCGGTTGTTGTTGTTACCAGCCATAGGAGATGGAGATAAGGACGATAGGAATATTGAAGGTCTTTATTATAAATGTTAATCTTAGCAGGCTTTGATGATAGAACTGTCAAGATAGGAAGAGAAGGGCGGGGTCTATATAGATCCTCGGTAATTCTGGTGTACCATGCTGGTTAATTGCATTATACTTTTTTCATTTTTGGCTAGTCGCTGATAATCTTACAACTAACAGCAAGAAATTTCCTGTAGCAGCAAGCTGACAAGAAAATCGTGATGTAGTCCAGCGATGTGCTGCAACAAATACCCCACTCAGTAAACCAATGATAGGGAATTCCCGAGGATCGAAGGGTGTGGGGCCTTTACTATGATGTATGCTAGTTTCTATACGCAGAAGAATGTCTGTAACTTCGCAAGGAATAGGCTGCATCTTAATATGGATGATGCAGTGAACGGCGATAAAACCCCCAAGATGAACCATCATTCTATCCTTTCCGAGAACTGGAAACCGTGGCAAACTTATGCAAATCAGGTTTCATCAGGATCAGTTTCAAGGTTCCAACCTTTGAAACCTAAATCGGACCATCTTGAGGTCTACTGTACCCATATCCCGCAATCCGCATTCTATTATGTTACGTGATTCACTGGTTGACATAATCCAATAGGCTCGGTCCGGTCCTTGCGTAGAGAACGTGGTTACATTAGCATGATCTTTCGGGGTCCGACAGTAGCCCCTCCTTTGGCTATACTGCGTTGCTGTAGTACACCCTTGTACCATAATAGTGGTCATCTCCGAGGCCAGCTGCTTAGATGGTACGAAATGGTATGAAACAATTGCTAATTCTCGTAGTAAGTAACTGAGTCTATGGATACTACCTTCATACTAGTTCGCGACTGCCTATCACTTTACTGATAATCACAGTGATATGATGACGCGTCGAGTCGACTTGATGTATCAAGTCGATGGACGTAACCGAGGATGACCGAAAAAATAGTTTAGCTGAATATGAGAGCTTGGTATAAGCCTTCAATATTGCTCAGCGGTTCATTTGCTGAAGGTTCTCAAATCCTTTCTCGTAGAATTGTCGCAATGAATCCCGATCGCCTATGCGAACCGTGCTTTGTCTCGGCGGCGGCGTTGGTGCTGGTGCTGGTAAGGGTCGTTTATTTGCGGCCGGATAAGATTCCCATTCGCATGGTATCAACTCGGTTGGTCTGGACTGCCCTAGTTGCCCACATCTTAAATTTGGCTGTACGCCCCATTGTGACGGCGTCTGGCTTGGATCTGTAAGAATTATTCTCAGCGTTTGAGTCTTCAGTAAACATATCATTTGACGTACTAAGAGACTAGGCTGTCCCTTGAGTATAGGTACTCAAGTTGTATTGTACTAGTTTCTGGTCTGAAATAAATGGAATTTCCTTTGTAGGGTAGGGTTTTCCTACTGGATCTTTGATCTCCCCTAACGTACCATGTAATTTGTCTATTCAAACTGTCAATTTAGAGATAAAAAAAGGAAAATCATAGATTCGAAGTTGGACAATGATATAGAGCCACATACATTGACAGAACCCCCCAAACATTCCCTGGTCAAGTCGCCGAGGCAGGCTCTTTCCATCCTCAGTTATAATTTAAGTAACATCTATCACCTAAAAGGGTTATTATAAGGAGATGTTTTAAATATTTAGGTGAACAATAAGCAAGAAAAATACCCCCGGCGTGTTCCTTACTGAAGAATATTTAGGAATCAGCCTTTTATTTTCTTAATAATAGAACAAACTAAGTGTTGGTTATACAGCTAAAGAATAGGTAGTTACCCGAACTCTCTCCATCTACAAATAGTTCTGAAAGAATCGTTGAAAAAACGTCCATCCTTTGTTATCCTCTTATATTGATATTCAGTGACCCTCCGATAAATGATCTGCAAGAAGGTGTAAACGTTGAAACCCACATAACGGAATACCACCGAAAGCTTTGAACTCCGATTTTCAAACATTCTCTTCAATAAACAGGATAGAGACTTTGGTGTTTCCATCAGTCCAGTCTAGACTGCAGAGATCCATTTTTTCTTTTGCGTATGTTAAGAAGGGACAGGGGAAATATTCAATTTCATCAGTCGTTAGACCGAAGAATCCGAAATCAAGTTTGTACAGGTCGGTCTCTTGGGAGCTGAAGCTGAAGCTTTCGGATGGGCCTTTGTGGAGTACAACCTTTCACGATCCGGGTGGGAGTCCAAAGCCTTGACAGATGAGTAGATTGGATCAACACGGTCAATGCATTTTGTCTCATTCATGATTCAATCGCTGAGCAAGCACTTGGCAAGGCCAGTCACCGTTCATGGTGGACCCTTCAACCCGTTCAAATCCTTGAGACTCATAGTACTTGACCAATTTACCGTCATCGCCTGCATAGCAATCGACCCGTAGTAATGAAATTCCAGCTCTGCTGGCAAGCTCACGTGCATGGTCCAAAAGGCGTTTGCCAATCCCGTGACCGGCACATTGTCGATCTGTCACTAGTAGCCGTATGTAAAGCTCAGGCTCTGAAACTGGTGCCACATAATCTGACCTGTCTCCAATAGCAATTGCCCCTACAACGGATCCTGAGGACAGCCCGTTGATGATTTGGGGCTGTGTGTTGTGTAGTCCATTTTGGTCGTCAATGTGCGTGTCATTTGTATTTTTGATAGCGAGCCAAATACCGTGACCGGTTGTTGCAAATTCTGTCATTTGCTCGACACGTTTCGGATTCTGAGAGAATGAAGATGCTCCCCACTGCCCAGTTCTGTCTTGTGAGGCTAGCCATGTGACTGCGGTATCTAGAAGGTTGAGGACTGCGGGACCATCGTCCACCCCTCCTCGCACGATGCTAATGTCGTGGCTTCCATTTTTGATCGCGCTTTGAAAAATTGAGTAAGCAAGTGTGATTGACCTTTCGATTTTGTTCTTTCTATGATACGATCTCCTTCTGATCTACCACTTCTTGGGTAGTTCGCGATTTAGATAATCACACTTACTTTGATGCCATTTAGTCCAATCAGCGTCGAATTGGGTCAAATGATTCGAAAACGGGGGGGAATATTTCAATTATGGGGATTTCAGAGCGCGATGATCAGTTGGAAAGTTCAAATGTTCAAGTTGCTATGCGATGAACGTATGAGAAATGTTCAAAGGGATAAACCCCTACGCTAGAGGAAACCTTGGGACTTGTGGGCCGCTAAGCCCAACTGGGACATGATATTGATTTCTGGACGTCATCTCGCCTGGGCAGAATGATGATATAATGCCATTTGAATATTCGAGCATCTCTATCCACTAGGCATGTAACGGAACCTGAAGATCACAGCCCTGGAGGATCCCATGTTGTATACAACGTTAGAATCCCGAGAGGAAACCAGCAAGGATGTGAACTGATGCAATATATTTCAGTGGCGGCTATGTAGGTTTTCTTGGCATTGTTTCGCAATGTAAAGGTACTTTGATTTACGAGTCGGCGTTATGAAAGTTCTGATCAAAGCTCATCGTACTTAATGGTTTATAACAGTACGAAATTGCATGGAAAGCTTCATAATTGCGGAATAAAGTGCGAGTATACTGGGTAGTATATTTCGCGTATAGTGGAAATTATGAGCTTCTATTGGTTGAGGCTCAAACATTGAAGCTCCACATGTGCACGTGCCTCTAGGCCCGGGGAGGATGATCATTGATCCGGCGTTCGGCTTGGCCAGCCTCCAACAAGCTTGAAAAGGGGTCAAGTGGTGTGGTGTCGTATTACAACAACTTTGAAAGACCGTATATCAGTATATGTCGAATCCGAGTAAAGCAGTACGCACTGATACGGAGATGGACCAATGAATTCCTTGAACCGTACTTGAGATGTGTTCTTCTAAATACAAGATGATGTGTAAAATAAGGGGGTTGAATGTGCTGATTCAGCAGTTGATGCCTAAGGAATGAAAATGATATGGTGTTGAATCGACGCTAGTAAAATAGACCTCCACTTTTCCGACAATATAGCTTACTTTATTACTATTTTTCTTTCTTTTTTTACTTTCAAAGCCCCAGATCAAAATTATCAGATAAAAATGGTCATATGATAATTCTAGACGCTCGAGGGTCTGCAATCAAGTAAATTAACCACGACTCTGCTCATGGAGCGCCAGAAAACCCTCAGCGGCCTGTTTGCCTAACTTCTCGAGGGTGCCCATGCTCAACATTTCTAGTACGGTTATATCTAGCCCAAACATCTGCTTCCACCATGCCCGCATCTCTACTGCCACCATCGAGTCCAGGCCCAGTTGCGTAAGCGATATCGAGACATCAATGTTGTCATCCACAGGACGCAACACCAAGCCTAGTAGCTTCCTACCAATCTCCTGCGCTAGCAGGATGATCGATTCAGGCTTGTTGAGCATCTCTGGATTAGCCTTGGCTGCGCTGAGAAATTGCCGCAAACCGTCGCTCGAGGCACCACCTTTGACCTGGCTACGGATGTTGTGGAAGACGGACATTCGCACATCTTTGCGTAGCCTGGCACTACTGTCTGGATTGCTAAGGGGAATCTCTGGGGCGATTCCCACGAGGGTAGAGCTTGGGTTGACAAGGTTCGACCTGGGCGCTTTATCTTCTTTGACCAGCCCTTGTGCTTGCTTCTCAACCTGAGCTGACGTTGAAAGCATAACGGTCCCTAGCACACTCAGTAGCTCCGACTCCTGCACTGCCCGCCAGCCTGTGCCTTTCATCTTCTTGAGCAGCTCATCGTCCTCGAGGAGATAGCCTGCCCCCTCCACGGCTCCGATATTGAGCGATGTACATGGAAGGCCCTTGATTGTCCGGAATTTGACAAACGCATCAAGGAAGGTATTTGCGCTTGCATAACCAGCCTGTCCGGCCTGTCCAACGATGCCAGAAAGTGAGCTGAACAAGATGAAGAAGTCAAGGTTCAGCGACTGTGTCTCGTTGTGAAGATTCCATGTTCCCTTCACCTTGGGTGCCGTCGTGTCGTTCCACTCATCGATTGTCACCTTCTGCCAGGCTTGGTCTCTAAGTACCATCGTCATTTGGAGGACTCCTTTGAGTGGGCGAGGCGATTCCGCAACAGCGCGAGAAACGTCGGCCGCATTAGTGACGCTTCCGCGTACTAGATGCACCTTACAGCCCATGCTCTCGATTTCTTCGACGAAGAGCCTCTGTCTTTCGGTTGTACCAGCGCTGCGGGATAAGAATGTGAGATTTCGGGCGCCACGTTGAATCATCCATACTGCCACGGAACGACCTAAGCCACCAAGACCACCAACCAACAGATACGAAGCTGAGCTGTCAAGTAAGGCGGCAGTAGGCATATTGGCGGGCTGAATATCTCCAAGCTGAAGTTCCACAGATGTTGAATGGCGGAACTCGAGCACAATCTTACCAATATGGTTGCCCTGTTGCATGTGCTGGAATGCTTCTTGCATCTTCGAGCATGGAAAGATCTTGTCGATCGAGATTGGCCGAATGTGTCCATAGCGGAAGAAATCCATCATAGATCGGAGTAGGCTTAATAGATCGTTAGCCTTACTCATCGCACGAGCAGTGACATAAACTTACCGACTGATTATCTCCGGCCTCTCCTTGCACATTTGGTCAATGTCTACACATCGGTAGCTTCGATTGGCAAGGAATAGCTCCATATCCAACTTTGCAGCGCCCAGAAGGTCGCGCTTTCCAATCTCTACTAAAGATCCCCATTTTGCAACGCAGCGCCAGGTTGCGTGTAGTAGCTCACCCGAGAGTGAGTTGAGTGCCAAGTCAACTCCTCTACCATTGGTTGCTCTTAGCAAGTCTTCTTGGAAGCCCACACTCCTCGAGTTGAAAATGTGATCCTTTGAGATGCCAAACTCTCGTACCAGGAAGTCAATCTTCTTCTGACTGCTGACCGTTGTGTAGACTTCTGCACCGATCATCTGAGCGAGTTGAATTGCCGCTAGACCCACGCCACCGCAGCCACTATGGATAAGAACAGACTATAAACAGGGTCAGCACTATTCTCCAATCAGAAAAATATTTCAAATACCTGGCCTTTCTGCAGTCCCCCGACATTTATGAGCGAATAAATGGCCGTAGCAAAGACAAGAGGCATGGAGGCTCCGTTCGTGAAGTCCAGCTCGTCAGGAAGTCTCTCGCACAGTTTTTCAGTGGTCGTCACGGTCGATGCAAAGACATCATACCCCGTGAGGGCAACCCTGTCCCCAACATTGAGCTTTCCTGCGCTTGGTCCTACCCGGCGCACGATTCCGGTAGCCTCATAGCCAAAAGTAGGAGGCGATAGCTCAATAATTCCCATTGCCACAAGAACGTCCTACATATCTCGTTAGTATCTTTTTGTCTTCGGTTGTTCTCAAATTCACCTACGCGAAAGTTCAAACCCGCCGCATAAATCTCTACTTGCACTTCATCCCCTTGGGGCGCATTCACACTTTCAGCTTGCCAGTGAAGGGTATCAAGACGTCCTGGCTGACCGATAGTCAAACGCGCATCCTGACTGGTTTCAACAACCGAGACCTCGCTTGCAGATGCAACTGGGAAAAATCGATTGACTCGGGTCACGCCATTCTCAATAATATATTCGAAGTCAGGTTCAATCTCTCCGTCATTGACTCTTTCTGAGAAAATTTGTAACGCGCTAGCCACCGCTCGGCAACCTTGCTCACTTTGCATATCATCTGCCTCACAAGTTGCAAAATCAATACCAATCTCAGAGCGGATACACCGAGCCAGGCCATGGATTTGTCCGAAGCTTGGGTCTACACATAGACTCTGAGATGGCTGCGTCACCCAAAAAATTCCAGAATCAACGGTGTTGTTGATGAAGGTTCTCAGCTCCTCAAGCCTTGTCGCATCTAGCTTGTCTAGGAAAGAAGTTTGCTCATCAAGGAGGACGATTATGTCTTGACTGGGTGGAGGAGTGTCTGCGAGACTGCAGTGGGAAATCTCGTAACCGCGACCAAGTAATACTTCCGTAATTGGATGAGGCTTGGAAGATTCAGGTGCAAGCTCGGAAAGCACAGTGACATTTTTCAAGGGAAGATGTTCCCGTTTTGGCCTTGCTAAAATAGCATAGCTTATGTGACTTGTTTCGTCGGAATCGAACGCAAGCTCACCGGTTGTGTCATAACCTGCCGTGGTTAATTTTTCTTGCCAATTCTTTGGATCAACATATGGCTCCCCGGGTCGGCTGTCATCGACACCAATCTGCCAGTTTGGCAGAAGTCCAAGAACGAACTTGACCCATAACAAACCAGGCCGTAAGGATTGCAGGAGAAGTTTTCCTGACGGGGCAAGAAGTTGACGAACTCGGGCGAGGGACTCTGAAAGCTTGGGCGTGCTGTGAAGCACCCCGGCTGCAATGATAAGATCAAAGTCTCTCTCGTCAAAGCCCTGGAGCTCAACGTCGGTGCCGATGTCTAATACTTCAAAACTCATATTGGAAAGGCCTTGGAAGCGTGCCCTGAGGGCCTCGATCATACCTGGAGACGGATCGGATACGACGTAGTGCGAAAACAGCACCTGGCCGTCAGGGCGTGTCAGATTTTTAATCATTTCAGCCGTTGCCGAACCACTCCCAGCTGCCAGCTGTAGAACTCGAAGGTTTGGTTTGTTGTGACCAATGCAATTGAAGAGTGAAGATCCATCGTATTCTTCCAAAAACCGATTGAATTTCCCAAGGGTATCTTCAGTGTCCAAGACTTCAAAGGGCTTCTTTTGGCCACAATATATGGCAGGTGCATTGTCTGTCACCAAAGTGATGGCTTTCGCGATCTGAGCAACAGGTGTGGACTCTAGAGATGTTGCGAGGAATTTGATACGAGTGGCCAAAGCCGCTTCGTCTAATTCTTCCGAAGAGTGTGAGATCTCGTCAAGCCAGGTCTTGTAAGATCGAAATTCTGGAATGATATCCAGACCGACAGTTGATCTCCGGGATGCAGCAATTGAGCGATTGACAAGCTCATCTAAAGCTGCGGCGTAGGTTTTATTGTCTCGTGAAGGCTTCACAAGATCGTTTAGAGCTTCAGTCTCAATGTGCGAGACCCACTCGCTACGTGCCGTGATGGGCGCGCGTTCTTCGACATCACCATTTGTGAAGGATGCTAAGTAAACTTTCGAGATCTCAATGATGTTCTTGTTGTCGGCTGAAATGGTACCCGTCCCAAAGACACCACTGGCGCTAGGCTCAGCTGTTGCAGATACCACAAGATTGTTGATAGAAGAACGACGAAGAATCAACGAGCCCACCGTGGAGGGAATAGCTTGATGATAGTCATGCGTAAGTCCGTACCAGGCTCCAATATTTAGAAGTTGGAAGTAGGAATCTAATATGACAGGATGAAGGTGGTAGAATTTCTCATCACCATGCCAATTGTTCCGGACTTGTGCTTGAGCAACTCGCGAGCCAGTTGTTGCTGTTGTGATATCTTCAAGACTCTCAAAATGATATCCATAATCCAGGCCCTCACGGCGCATGGTATCGTACCAACGCTTGCTAGGAGCTTTACGTGGCAGATCCATTTGACTACTCACGGAGCTTTGTATGGTTTCCGCTTCATTTCGAGCCTGAATCTCGCCGGAGCAGTGCTTTGTCCAACTATGGCCATTGTGTGACGCAATGCTGAACTCCCACCACTCGCTCTCCAGAGAATCTGTTAGATGGAGCCGATGAAAAGTGGTGACAACTTCTTTCGGTGCGCTCTCATTGACAACCAAGGCGCTGCGCACGGCAATATTTCGAAACTCAACTGCTTCTTCCACTCCCGTGATCTGACGAACAGCCTCAGCTGCCATAGCGATGTATCCGGAGAAGGGAAAAATGATATCCGAATTGATCTTATGGTCGCGTATCCATGGAGCATTTTCAATGTGCAACAAGTTCCGCCACACAGGCTCGAGGTCTGAGGTATCTGGAATCTTTGCGCCCAATAAGTCATGGTGTGGGTGTTTGCGCATGCGCCATTCATAGGAAATTCGAGATTCGCTCCAATGGCTATGAGTATGATCCCATGGATAGGATGGAAGATCTGAGATGGCATGGCCTGTCGGCATCAATTTTTCGAGATCGAAGGGTACATGTTGAGAAAAGAGTTGGCCAAGAGCGGAAAGCCAGCTTTCAGAACTGTCAGTTCTTCGCGCCAAAGTCGATATGTAAGATGCTTTACTAGAGTTGTGGGTCAAGATTTGACGAAGAGGCCCGGCCATAGCTGAATGTGGACCGACTTCAAGGAAAACCTGCTTCGAAGAGCCTGTGTGCTGCTTAATGGCAGAGCTGACGGCTGATGTGAAAAGCACAGGACGCTCTAAATTGGTCTGCCAGTACTTTGGCCCAAATCTGCTTTTGTCGGCTGGGGCGAAGATTTCACCTGAAACACTTGAAAAAAATGGAATGCTGTGCACATTGCCAACGATGCCGGCATCGGTCATGTTTGCATTGTACTCGGACCCGACTTCTACCATATGCGGTGAGTGGTAAGCCTTCTCCACTTTGAGCATGGTGGCCAGGACTCCAGAGCCGCCTTGCTTGATACTTTTGATTATTTGTTCCAATGGCTCTGCATCTCCGGATATTGTCACGCTGTTTGGCGCGTTGTCACAGGCTAACACCACACCAGGCACTAGGTGACCTTTGGCAGCCTCCCAACTCATACCCAAAGCTCCCATAGCGCCCTGTCTTTTCTGTCGCGTGGTCACAAGACCACGGAGAAAAGCCACAATAATAGCCTCACGGGCGCTTAGACCACCAGCGGCGTAAGCGGCAGCAATCTCGCCGCTAGAATGACCAAGGACAGCAGCTGGACGGATTCCAACTGAAGCATAAATGTCCACTAAGGCAATCTGGACGGCTGTGCATAATGGTTGGGAGAACTCTGCTTCATCAACACGGCTCTTACGTGCAGACTTGCGGAGCTCTTCGTCGATGGTCCATGACGGAGCTAGAGGGCCTAGGTCTTGGAGAGCTTTGTCAAGGGATGCGATAGTGTTGCTGAATATCGGGTTAGTCTTCGAGCGTAGAAGCTCGTAGCCCATACGGGGCCATTGTGCGCCCTGACCGGTGAATACCATCACAAGGGATGTTTCTTGGTCTTTTTGAGGTTTTGACAAGGGACCGGGACCAGGCAATGTGGTCTTCTCAGCTGTGCATACGGCAAAATTGCGATATGGTAGATGCTCTCGCTTATTAGCAAGAGTATATGCCACATCAGGTAGAAGATCTGGATTTTTTTCCAGAAAAGTCTCGTACTTTTCGTTCATAGCCTTGAGAGATGCTGGTGTATTCGCTGAGAAGAGCAGCAAGTGGGGCGTGTTTGATGCCGCTCTACTGGGCTCGCGTGTCGCATTGAAGCTAGCTGCGGACTCGATAATAGCATGGGCATTCGACCCTCCGAGACCAAAGCTATTGATACTCACGCGCTCGTCACGGTCTTTGGGCCATGGTGTTGGCTCAATAGGAACCAAGAGATTTGCGTCCTCGAATGGAATTGCAGGGTTTCTGGGGAGCAATTTAATGTTTGGCGGAATAATACGATTCTCCAAAGCAAGAACGGCCTTGAGGAGACTCACAAGACCCGCCGCGCCCTCTGCATGACCGAGATTTGCCTTGACCGAGCCAATGTGGACGCCAGCTTTTCCAAAGCAGGCGGATACAGCTGCTGTTTCAACAGGGTCACCAGCGCTTGTCCCCGTGCCGTGACACTCGAAGAATCCCGTTCTAGAAATCTCGGTAATGCCAGCATTGCGATATGCTTGCCTGATCAATGCTTCTTGCGCCTCGCAGCTGGGGTGTGAGACCGTTGATGTGTGACCGTTGTGGTTGGCCGCGGAGCCAGTCACAACTGCCCGAACAGGGTTACCGTCCCGAATAGCCTCCGCTAGGGGCTTCAGGTATATAGCGATTATGCCCTCACCACGCGCATATCCATTTGCATTAGCTGAAAAAGTGTTGCAGGAGCCATCCGGGCTGAGAACACCTTGCTCAGACTTGCCCGCAGTAGAGCCTGGGGCCATGTGGATGCTTGTGCCGCCAACGATGGCGGATTTGCAGTCGCCGCGTGCAATGGACATACACGCTTCATTGACACCGATGAGAGAAGCAGAGCAGGCTGTTCGTATCGTCACACTGGGGCCGCGAAGGTCGAGCTGGTGGGAGAGGCGATTGGCAACCATGAAGTCATTCGGGCCCAGGATCTTATAGATGCCATGTGCCTGGGTGTCGCGGACTGAAATGTCGTACCAATCCTGGCTATAGCTCCCGACGTACACACCAGTATCTGATCCTTTCCAGTCCGTTTCGCCAGAGTCATCGAGTGCCTCGCGAGCGACCTCGAGAAGCATGCGTTGCTGGGGATCAAGTGTCTCCACTTCCCGGCGTGGCATGGAAAAAAACGATGTGTCCAGGGCGGCGAGGTCATTCGTCGAATCAAGGAAGTAGCCCTTCTCGGCAATCACACTGCCGGGCTTTTTAAGCGGTGAATGAAAAGAAGAAATGTTGTAGCGCGACGAAGGCACCGGACCGCGAGCGTCGCGCCCATCATTGAGAAAGGACCACAGTTCTGCAGGGGAGTGGATACCCCCAGGTAGTCGACATGCCATTCCGCAGATGGCAACAGGCTGGAATGGCTTGTGATGATTGCTTGTTCCGTTTGTTTTTGGTGTCGAATCACCGTTGGTGGAATGGCCATTAGTATGACCGCTTGTGTAATGGCCATTTGCGTGGAGGCCATTGGTTCCATTCACTCCGTTCGTGGGAGTGTGCCCATTGCCATTACCCACATGTTCTTGGCTGAAATGATTCGTAGATCCATTGGTGCCGTTTGAGCCGTTGACCTTACTGGAATGGCCGTTCATCTTGATTCGATTATATCAGAAGTACTTGGAATGAGGGTGTGTAATAATGTCTGCCCTATTGAGCTATTTTATCTCCAGTCACAAGTCGTCCTTGAGCGTGCCAGAGGATAAGATGAAACTAGTGGGCGTCTTTATTTCGTAGTCATTCAGACGAACGGCTGGTGAAAAGTAAACTTCTCATATACCGTCCTATGGGACCAATGAAGATGGCGTGCGTGCTGTTGTCTCTGAGGAGTGATTCACGTTTTGATAGCAGTCTGGCTGAGGGCAAAAGCTCATACTAATGGCACGCATTCAAGTTTCAAGCTTCATGTATGCTTATTGCTCCAGAGGCGTCTCGGGAAACTGTAGCTTTGCCGGGCTTAACTCATGAATAAGACGGGGAAGTTCATATCACAGAAGGATCTAAGTAATTAACAGCTTTACTATGTATGTCGACATTATGCTGACTATGTTTTATTCTCCAAGTTCACTAATGATGGCGCAAGCCTTGAAATAATCCGAAAATTAGCGATCAAAAAGGGCTAAGATGCCTTCGACTGTTGTCAAAACAAAATTATGACGCTTACTACACATAGATGACTATTCACTCTGACAAGACCAAATCCCGTCTCGGGAGCAAAACTTTGTCTTTTAGTAAGATCTTTATATCGCGTCAGTGCACAGAGTAAGACGATCTTTGCTGAGGCCAGTAAGCCCCCACTCTACGATAACCTCAAACAATGTTTGACCAATACAAATCCAAATGTCGCAATGCAACCCCGGAATATAGTAAGCTCTTGGCATACAACCAATCCCAAACGCCACAAGCCACACCAATATGGTAGCGGGACGGGACTAGCCAATGGGGCACCGCTATCCCAAGATTCCAAGAACAAAGAAAAAAAACCAGGGCAATTGCGGTACAAAGGCTTACTGGGGCCTGAAAGGACTCAGCTTTGCCAGGATTGTTGAATCTCCTTTCTTCAAGTTTTGGTCTAATTTTATTTTTGCGAGAATGGACTCAGTCATGGAAAAGGCCGAGAGCCACAATGATCGTCCAGGGGAACACAATGATCGACCGGGAGAAACAGAAGCAGATGCACCCCAGGAGGACGGGGCCACGAAGCCCCAAAAGAAGCATTTTTCCTTTTACATGTCAATATTGATGCTGGCTGTGATCGCCCTCATTGTGTCCTGGGATGTGACAGCTCTCTCTTTGGCTTTACCTGTAAGTCATCTGTAAGTCATTCACCACGGTTTAGCTGCAGCTAAGTAACCACAAACTGTTACAGGTCATTGCCGATCAGCTACATGGAACAAACTTCCAATCATTCTGGGCCAGCATAGCGTTCACCCTCGGCATTGCTGTCACCCAACCTATCTATTCTAATATTTCGGACGTGGTAGGGCGCAAGCATGTTCTCTACGCCTCAACTGCTATCTTCGCCATTGGATCTGTTGTGTTTGCCACTGCAAAGGATATGAATATCGTTGTCGTCGGTCGTCTGATCAAAGGTATCGGTGCTGGCGGGCTAGATGTCTTGCAGACTATCGTCCTGTGTGACATCACAACCATGAAGGAGCGACCGCGCTGGCTTGGAGTCATGTCCATGGCAAATGCCTTAGGGGCCGTCACTGGGCCTTTCATTGGGAGTGCATTTGCCGAAAATATCGGGTGGCAGTGGCTTGGTTGGATCAATTTGATCACTGCAGGCTTCACCGGTATCCTGACATTTTTCTTTCTTCACTTGACTCCGCTCGAGGGTCACATTAAGGATAAGATCAAGAGGCTTGACTGGTTTGGATATGTCATTTTTATACTCATTGGTACCCTCATAGCCTTACCGCTGAGTTGGGCCAATGAGCTCTACGGCTGGGGAACCTGGCAGACTCTTCTTCCCCTCCTCATTGGGTTACTGCTTCTCGTTCCGTTTTGGTTCGTTGAGAAGAGAGCGACAGAGCCCATGATTCCATATCAAATCTTCGACAATATCTCCATTGCGACAGGAATCTTGTCTGGGGGATTCTACGGCTCATTGATGAACTCCGTGCTTCTTTATCTTCCACTGTTCTTTGAAGCAGTATACCTTGAGAGTCCTATCGAAGCTGCAAAATCGATTCTACCACTCTGTTGCCTTCTTGTGGGAATGAGTATCATTGTCTCAGGGCTAATAGATTGGACTCGAAAGTACCGGCTTGCATTGTGGACAGGTTGGGTTTTCACTGCGGTATTCCTGGGCATGAGCTACACTGTAGGCGCCGGCTCCACAAGAGCTTATGCCTATGCCTTTCAAGCTCTCCTCGGTGCTGGTCTTGGCACAACCCTGGTGGGAACCATGATAACAGTTCTGGCGAGCGTGAGAAGGGTTGACGAAGAGGGACTTGCTGCAGGAATGCTTGTCACTGTGCGTTTTATAGGCTCCGTATTGGGCTTGGCTATTTGCTCGACTGTCTTCAACTCGATGTTTGGAAATCGTATCTCCTCGCTAAAAGATTTCCCTGGGCAGATTGCAGTACTAGAAGACCCAAGCCAAGCTGTGAGCTTCATACCAAATATGAGGAAGATTCACATATCAGATGATGTTATGCGGGTCGTGACGGCGGCCTATGAAGATGCTTTCCAAACTATTTGGCTTGTTTTGGCTGCCATCGCGGCCGTGGCAGCGCTACTCTCGTTCATGACTAGACACACTTCTCTAGAAAAAGATGACGTTGGTAGACAGGGATTTAAAGCACCAGAGTCATGATATGTTGCGCGAAGGGCGTATTTGGTTTTCCGAGTATTCAAGTGTTTGTTCCAAAGCAACCGGCACTGAGTCATGATGAAAGTCTTGCGGTCAACTAGTATCGTTGACTGGTAGTACATAGTATTCATAGCAGGTAGCCACATATAAACATACTTGTCATGAATAGTATTCTGATCTTCATCCATGTTCATTTGAATATAGGAATACTATTAGTATATCCTGATTTTAGTATACATGCTAGGCTATGTATAATTTTCAAACATTTGCGACGTGTCAAAACTGAGGAATCAAGATAGCAAATTCCAAGGTTGAAGAGAAATCCAAATTCTTCTAGTCTCCACGTACGGGTACAGTGACCTGAGGGTCGAAGACGTACTTTGCTCATTTTCCTGGCTGATTTTGCTTAATGATGCCATTTTTTAGACTGACAGAAATTTGGAATACCTAAATTCAAACAATAGCGAGGCTATTCCGACCGTATAATATCAATAATTTATATCTGTTTGGGGAATTTTCTTCATAAAATAACATTGGTATCATTCAAAACTTTATATAACCTCTGCTTCATAAGATATCCGGTAAATTTACAGATCCGTATGTAGAGCGGTCTCTCAAGGATCAATCAGGTAGCAAAATGACGAAAGTACGCCTTCGACACTCGAGCCCGCTGTACCCCTGCTTAACTCAAAAGTTGGTGCATATTGCGAATGTCGGTCGCCAATATTTGCTGACAAGTCCCCGACGCTAAGAAATCGCGTTATGTATGGCTTAGTCTATACAGAGACAGATCTGCAGGCGTGCGACAGTTCTCGGCGGCAACCATCAATATCACTGCATAAGATGCAATTTGTTCATGTCTCTGCAGTTTTACGGGCTGTCATCACACGCTTAGTTTCCGGAAGATCGTGAATTTCGGGTTTTTATTACGTGTCATCTTTTCCCCATTTTTTTGTATGGTGACCGGGTGGCCCCGAATTGTCTATAGTGATCGTAGTATCTCCCCTCCTTATGGGGGTGGATTACAGTTCAACTTTCTACGTATTTTTATGATTGAATATTTCTTGCGTACTCAAACAACTACCATAAAAGCACTTGCCATAATCTGTAATAAGTTTGATTTATGTTCCAACTTGATTTTTAAAGGTCATTTCAGTCCATAAGAGTAGAATTTGATCCTGCTTGGCTGAAAGTCCGATGTTTCTCCCATCTCGCCTATAAAAATAGACCTACTACTACTTCTGATAAAGTAAACAGATTCATGATTCCGAAAAAGGATCGCATAATACTAGTAGTATTGTATAACAAATAAAACCATCCGGGTCAATCCTTTATAGAATACGAGTATTTATCTAATCTGAAGCTATCAAGTGGGACTTTCCTTGGACACAATCAAGATAATAGCCAACCGTATCACGCACTTGCTGGTCATACGGAATGAAGTTGATCCCCAGCAGTCGTGCCGACTCGCTTGCATCCACCCTAAAAGCAGAAGTAGGCAGGGTTCCATTGTTGAGTAATGCATTGCCAACGTGCTCTGGAAAGTTCCGTGCTACGATGTCAAAACAGTCTTCGAGCCTGGTGCCTTGCAACCCACCTGAAGACAGGATGTAGAGTCGATTTCCAGGAATGCTTGTGTCTAAAGCGCGAACATGAGCTTCAGCTACATCATCAAGATGCACTGTTACTCCTGGCTCGCAAGTGTATGCTTTCCCAGTAATGGGTGCGAGGATAATTCTATTTGAACCAGCCTGCAATAGTTTCTTTGGGTCGGTAACAAGCTCGTTCGGTCCGAACACATGGGCCGGTGCCATATGCACAAGATCAAATGCTGGCTTTTGTGCCTCGACCCATTCTTCAGTCAACTTTAGTGTGATTATCTTGGCGGCAGTGTAAGCTTCAGCAGGGGATCTAAATGGGGGTTGTTGGATGTTTGTAGCCCTTGTCGACTCTGTATGGATAGTCTCATCTGTATCTGTAATGTAGTCGATGAGGGCGGCGAGTGAATTTGTTAGCATGACTCGTTTGACTGTGGGATGTGCTTTTGCCGAGGAGAGCAAGAAGAGTGCCGCGTCTGTTGTAGCCTTCAAGTAGTGTACTGCTAGGTCTTTCCCGATTGTTGATGGTTCGGCAGAAGCGATCGGGGCAGCAGCATGAATCACATAGTTTGTATCTTTGAGGGCGTCATCGAATGCCCCAGGACTGGATATGTCTGGGATCTCCACAAAGGTGAGGTTGTTTTCCGTCCCAAGGACCCTGATTGACGGCGTGTCAAGAATTCCCGGTTTCTTGACAAGATCGCGCAGGACAACACGCACTCGATAACCCTGGCGCAGGCAGAAGACGAGTACACGGAAGCCAATAAGACCCGTGGCTCCGGTCAATAAAATAAGTTCTGACCCCATCTGAATTTTGAGATATATAATGTTTCTGGAAAACTTTTACTCATGCAGTCAAAACTAGCATGGTCATGCGGGGTTTTAATATTATTTTACAGCTTACTATCTTCTATCCTTCGGTGTTGGGATGACTATACTCTAGTAAGCGGCATATAAAACATTGTAGCCTTGGTGAGAGCAGCGCCCAAGCGCATACACTTGCATTAATCTCATGTGTATTCATTTCCTTGCGTGTACCTTTTTGCAAAACAAAACAAAACAAAACAAAACACTTATAATGGTGGAAAACTTCATAATCCTGAGAAATTCGTCCTGAATCTGCCATCAGTTTCCAGAGGTAGATTACCACCTCTGACAGGCCCCGGATTAGCTCGAAACTCAAGTAGTAGCTTAACAATCTCCGATCTGCCATGCATAACGGCCCGCTGCAAAGGTGTGAAGCCTTCGCTGTCCTCTTCATCAATCATGACCCTTTCATCCTGCAATAACACTTTGACCGTATCTAGATGATTCCCCGCCACTGCCATATGTAATAGTGATGTCGACTTGAGACACTTATTGGCTAGTTCAGCCATGTCTAAAGCAAAGTCCTCGTATGCCGTCGGAGAGAGACCGGTTGAATTCAATGCCAATATTCCCTCTGATTTGGAAATTTTATCCAGTTGAAGGCTCGAAACAGGTGTTGGGGGCTCTGCAATACTTCTTTGGTTGTCTGTCGGTGCCCCAAATTCCATCCGTTGTCGCGAACTAGGTCTGAGAGTGTTTGTTGACTGTTGTTCCTTTGGGGCTGGACAGACTTGTGATTGCATATAGCTGAACTGAGGGTCATTTGGAAATGGTAAATAGCGGTCCTTGCTTGATGTTTCAGACGGTATATCTTGCTGTGTAGAGCAGCAGCCTCCAACGCTCCGCTTCCCAGGTGAAATCATTGAAAGGTTGCTGCTCTGCTCTTGATATGTGCTTTCTTCGTCTGGTGTAACGTGGAGATTCAGATCCTCGTACGTTTTAAGTTGTCTTTTTAGCGTCTCAATCTTGTTCGCCCTCTCACGCATGTTCCGTCCTATGATATTACTCAATGGTTAGTATAAGATCATATATAATGGGGCAGTTGCTCAGCTTATATGGTATTCAAGCTAGATTGCGCGAGTACAGGAGACGAACTATATGCACGCTGTGCGATCCGATTTTGAATTTTCCTTCGCTCCGAGGGATCTCCCAGTTCTCTCTTACATCATGTCAGTACTAAGCTGAATCGAAGTGGCTATCCGGGGTATTCTTACCCAATCTTCGTCAGGCCGCATAAGGTCAGTGTGCTGCATAGTATGGGAGAGTCTCAGATATGCGGCGCGTTCGGAGATGGTACGGCTCTCGAGTATAATAGAAGACCATTCAAATTCGAGGGTGCAGATATTTCCCCCCCGGCTTTGAAAGAGCCTCTTGGCCCGGTGGCTTAGTACCTCTTGGCAAAAGGACACACACAGACGACACGAAGTATACAAGCAATGAATTTAACAATATCACCGGCGAAACCATAGAGGCAACGGGAGTACGCCACAATGATATACGAATTGCCTACCCGCTTTCCTGATTTGACAAGAACGTGTAGGAAGAGCTAGTGGTTTGCCAATTTCCTCAGTATGGCTCGCCTTAGCTCATCTGTATACTTTGACGTGATGGGCTGCTCGGCCCGTTCGCCATCCTGAAAGCAAACGATTTTTGGCCCTTTTGACAAGAGACAGTCGATCGAGACTCCGAACCCATTACCAGAGTAGTAATAGGATAAGAAAGGCGAATTTCCATAAGAGGGGCTTACTGCGAAGGATCCGGAGGCGTCGTTGGCAATTGGGTGTTACATGAAGACTTGCAGTAGCGGGGATGACAGGCAATTGCTCAGCTGAATTAAGACTCGTGCAACTTGTGGCAACTACTCCTCATGTCAAGGAGTATCAGAAAGTGCTCGGAGATCTCCGCTCCGCGCAGGGCAATATCTCACCCACAGAGCTTCTTTCCTCTGCCGTCGCACTCCATATCATCAACATTGCTCTCTTTCTTCCTCCCATACATGCTTAGATCCTGCTATTGTCAATCCCAAGGTCTAAGGAAGAGACATTTGCTCTGGGAAAATATATTGACTCCGGTCAGGGGCTTATTCGCTCACAGGGATGGTGACTTCTAGGGTCCTCACTTCCAGGCTTGGTTGCGCCATGTCTTGGCCCGGGCAATTGCAGATCGTCGTCAGTACAGTACCTGTATTGATCTGCAGGAAGCTACCACTCAAGAAAAGCAGGATCCACACACGTGATGTAACATATAATAAAAGGGTGACTTCTCTCATATCCGTTACTATGGTGAGTTATATACATATGTGTGATTTCATATGTAGCCAAGTCGCCAAGGGATGTAATATTCGAAGCGAGCGTCTGGGAATCTGGAGCTGATAATGACACTAGCTCATACGCAGTGTTACGGACCCGCTAATACTCCAAGGCTCGACAGTACATGTACCGTGACCTCCCATTACTCATTGTTGTGCGTACAATGAGATTGTTGCGTAAACGATCGAAGAATAGACAAATGGGGTTGAACTCTTTAATATTTCTTTTTCTACATTTAAGATCTGCATGACTTGCAGGTTTGGTATATAAAAAAGATCTTTTTTATCCATAGCCCACGATCGCCCATTCCGCCACTATTTCCATTTCTAGTAATACCGAGCTTGTGGCAGTTTGGCGCTTTCTGTGGACGGAATGTCTTGCCAAGGCTGTAGATCTTGGTCTTGGTATTGCGCCTCATGTTTCATTTTCTGCTGTTAATGTATAGTAATAATTTAGTGACCACGGGCTACGGACTATGGACCACGGACTCCGCTTGACAGGCTGGGCTCTAGGCCCCCGGGCCGCGTGCTTAGTGGCTTAGTGGATCGTCCGACCCCACATGCGGATTGGTCCGTCACTTGAAGCTAATGTAGATGTCACACAAACCTGAATTATGTGAACATGTACAGAAACATCGCTTAATTTTGTTGGGGGCCGAGGCCATAGTTAGCTAGGTACATGTAGCGCCTTGGAAGTACTAGGGGAAAGTACTATGCAGGCGCCGTGTCTCTACTATGAGTGCACAGTGCACTCACCAAATTTTGAACTCATGAATATCTACTAATGTTTACTATAGAGGTAGTTGAAGCCGAATTTTATGTTAAATAAACCTGGGCATGATGAACAGTTGACCAGAGCTCACATATGGATTTTGGCACTATTCTAGCGGATCGTTGTTGCTTGTGACACGATATCAACCACAGTATCTTTAGTACATACTGACTTCAGCGAACCTTCACATTTAATCCAAGAAATATCAAAATTTTCAAGTGCTCAAAATGAATTAAAGCTAAGTCCAGATTATCATTGACGCCATACACAAAAACGATTCGGCACTAGATAAGTGGTCTCTGTTCAAATTGTTTCACCCCCTCCCCTACACAAATCTAGTTATCCTGGGGGTCCAAAGTAAAAGAACCAAAAAAGCACAAGAAAAGTAAAGAATGAATTGATTAACTACACCAAGCTCCTCTGAATGAGCAGCATAGAGGATGCCTATAGAGTGGCCTTAGAGTACTGTACCTCTTCAATAAGTTTGCTGCGGTGAGGACTGAAGAGGACATGGATTGGATCGTGTTCACCAACAATAGCGCGATAGACCGCTCTAGAAATGGCCGGGGATTGAGCAAATCCTCCTGTGTTGTTCCCACCGGTAATGATGAGATGGCCGCCGCTTGCTGTAGGAATGTCTTCGAAAATTCCTAACCCAGTACAAGTGAACGGACGAATGCAAAATTTCCGTTCCCCCTCCGGCCATAGAGTACCCTGTTTTTTCGCACGACGATATGCTTCGGGGAAGTAGATGTTTGCAACTTCCTCCAGCTCTTCGAAGAGTGCTTGAAATTCAGAACTGTCTGGTGACGGGTAATCCAACCCAACGTAGCCGTATCCACCACCCAAGATGAGTATATCTTCGCCCGTTTTGCCATCTTTCGATACGGTGACGTTTATGTCTTCCACAAGAAAGCCGCGACGATGAATCTTGATGGAGTTCTTTATCGCCGGACCCAAGTTGGGGATCTGTAGCCACACGCCCAAAACGCCGTGCACGAGGCCATCTGAGGCTGTTCCGCGGAGCAAACCATTCCGCGTAACCCCTGTGCTTATCACAAAATGATCTGCTTGCAAAGGTCCTTGCTGAGATTCCAGATAGGTCACCTCACCAGAAGCGCTACGTCGAATCCGTTGCACACGGCAGTCCCAAATGAACTCGCCATCGAGCTCGATGATTCGATCGATCAGCTTGTTCACGAATGAGTGAATTCCAAGTGTAAAGCCTTTGACGGTGAGTCCACCGGCGAGATGGCTTGACTTTGCAGCTGCATCAAATACAGGCCATTCAATTAGGAGTTTCTTCAGGGAGAATTCATCAATAACGGCCCCAAGCGCTCGGTTAACTTCATGAGCCCCATTCAGCGCGATGTCCTCCGCATACAAGCGCAAGATGTCGCCGTGAAGCAAAACCCCTTCAAACAGCTCTGGAGATCGACTCATAAATTCCTCCCAGAGCTTTCCTGCCTCGCTGTTAACGTAATAGATATCCTCTTTCATAGCCTGCGCCAACCAAGTTGGAGTCTGCTCAAAAGTATTGACCCAAGCAATTTCAGCAGCGTTGAAGCTCAATGGTGATTTCACGCTCCAGCCACCATTGAGAGTAGTCTTGCGAAAAACATGTCGCATACCACGGTAGATGGAGCTACTCCTTTCATTGTAACTATCCGCTTCGGTGTAGGTGAACATACGAGCATCGCCGCCTCCGTGAGTAACACCTTGGCGAGTCCAATCATTGCAAGTACGGGGATCTGGACTGGCATCCACAACTCGCACCTTAAAACCCTGGGTAGCGAGGAATTCCGCCGCCACAAGATTCATGATGCCTGCTCCAACAAGCAAGACTGTCTTTTTGGGAAGTGATTCCTTGCTTTGACTTGCACCACGGGCACAACCGCGAGCGTAAACCATCTCTGCCTCTCGGAGAGTCGACGTGACCCATGAAGAGTCGCAATCGTCTTGCTTAGATATTGCTTGGATTTTAGCCGCGCGCCCCTTGAAGAGCTTCTCAAGCTGAGGTATGAGCGTGGTGTCGTGTACGAGTAGCGCCTTCGGGGAATTGCGATTCCGGTCCAACCACTGATCCAGTAGCTCCTCGGTAACTTCGCTACCCTCGCATATCCAAACGTTTATCGTATACAGGCCGTTGATTTGTTCGGCGATTGCAGTGTCGTGTTGACAAAAGGAAACTTGCGAAGCGTCATGGTCTCCGAGCACGGACCGGAATTTTTCAACGTTTGTACTGATAAGGAACTTCATTTTGACGTAAGAATGGTATTCTTTGCACTTTGGCCATTATGATTTTGTCTGTTAAGATATGAGAAATGAACAAGATTCTTGGTCAACCCCGCCAGCATCATGCAATCCTCTCACTCCAAGCTTGCCACGACTTGCGCACTGACGCTTACTACCCATCCATTACGCTTAGTGATGCATACTAAGCAATAAACACATCGCTTCAATTAGACTTGTTGGCAATTGATAGTGCACAACATAGTGAGCGGGCGCAATCATCTGAGGCTAAGTCTCTTAATTTTAATTTTGATTTTCTTTCATTCCATCCTCGTTTGATATAGTTATATCAGCGGAAGCGGAACCTTTGTGCCCTTAGCCACTGCAATCGATAGAATCAAGATTTAGAAGATCCCAGAACTTCACGTACGCGATGGCGATCGTCCACCTGGAAACGACAGTTGTTGATCTCGTCGATACCTGGGCGACGAGTACACCTAATGCAACTGCAGCTGAGTGGAATGGCCAACAGCTGAGCTATGCTAGTTTACGAGATGCTTCGCTCCATGTCAGTAAAGCTCTTTTGTCAGTTGGCGTTCGACCTGGCGACAAAATTCCAATTCTTTCACAAATGTCGCTAGAGCTCCTTCCGGCAATCTTGGGTGTTCTCAGGGTTGGTGCGTGCTATGTGCCAATTGATATGGCGGCTTGGAGTAAAGCAAGAATCGACGCCACGCTTGAGGATATCTCATCGCAGGTTGCCATTGCGACAGATAAACTGGACACACGAAAAGTACCGGTTTGTGTATTTTTTCAAGAGCGATGGCTTGAATTACCGTTTCACGACAAAGATGATACTTGCTGCCAGCTGGACACCATCCGCCGCAGCCTCGTGGCGGAAGCGCTAGTCTATATCACCTTTACATCTGGAACAACCGGGAAACCGAAAGGAGTAATGATATATCATCGGGCCCTCTATGGGTTTGTTTCACTTAGAGATGGCGATTGTTTTAACACAGCCCCTGGCCAGCGTGTGTTGCTAGCATTCTCAATTTCATTTGATGGTAAGAAACCCAATCTTAGTCAATTCATGAAGTAACTAAGTCTCAATATAGCCTGCGCTGCTACGATCTGGACGACAATTACAAGAGGAGGATCTTTGGTCATGGCTACATGGTCATCGTTCCCTGAACTTTCCACCACCTGCGACAACCTGATGTTGACACCGTCTATGCTTGCTAGTCTAGACCCAGCAGGGCCGTATGAAAAGGTTAGCAGTCTTTTTTTAGGTGCCGAAGCCACTAACTTTGACATTGCACGTCAATGGATTACTCCTACGCGAAAGGTAATCCATACCTACGGCCCATCGGAGGCGACCATTATCATCTCTTTCGGAAGGGTTCCTGATGACACGGAGCCAGACCTTGGGGTATTGATTCCTGGTGTAGAGGTAGCTATAGTTGACGAGAATTTGCAAGAAACCGACACTGGCGAGATTTTGATAATCGGACCTTGTTTAGCTGCGGGATACTTAAATAACCCCGAGCTTACAGCCAAGAAATTCATTCAATGGAATGGGAAGCGTGTCTACAGAACTGGTGACCTGGCCAAAAGGACCAAAAGTGGACTATCATGGATTGCTCGAGCGGACCGCATGGTAAAGAATCGAGGATTTCTCGTCAACTTGGAGACAGAAGTTGAGTCTGGAATTCTACGATTTGCCAATGTCCGAGCAGCTTCTGCTTTTATGTGGCGAAACAAACTCGTTGGATTCGTGCAGCCAGCCTATATCAAAACTGATGAACTGCGCTTGTTTATGAAACAAAACTTTGACCCATTTGTGGTCCCGGACGAGTTCGTTGCAGTGGATCAATTCCCTCTCACGGCGCATGGAAAAGTTGATCGAGTTGCCCTTAGTGCTCAATTGGAATGCAGAATGGCCAAGGAAGATGCAGAATTAAATAGCTTAATATGCAATTCATCATACGATGCGCTACGCTGGGCATTTGCCAAATGCCTCCAAGTCCCCTTCGGAAATCTCAACAGGAATTCATCCTTCGCACATCTCGGAGGCAATTCACTCGCGGCTATACGCCTGTCAAGATTTCTGGCACAACAAGGTTATACAATCAATATCCCTTACATTCTCAGTGAAGACACTATAGACAGGCTTCAAGCAAAGCTCGTCAATGTCAACGAACATGAGGCAACGAATTCCAATGGTGCTGTATCTGAATTAGTGCCAGTTCACGATATGCACAGGATCATGCTGAGCCAGACCGAAATGAATCCGCTGATAAATTCACTCGTGGTGAGTGCCAAATTCAAGGGGCCACACGATTCTATTCCAACCCCAAGCGAATTGAAAGCCGCTTGGACAAGCACTCTTTCAGCGCACAGTGTATTCAAAACACGATACGACATGCAAAACTGGACTCTACATGACATTGATCACCTCAATATGGACTGGGAAGAAATTGGTGTTGAGACCGAAGACTTCGGAAGCACCCTCTTGTCTTTTGAGGACCAGGTGTGGGCACATCACAAGACCATCCAGAAGCCTCGTCTTGATGTACCGTTTTGTCATATGACTTGTGTATACGCGCCGGACCGTAAAGCTATAGGTTTTGTCTGGCGGGTGCAGCACGTTCTCGGGGACCCTTTCTCACTTCTCATGCTGATGAATGACCTGGAGCAAGCTCTGTCGAAGAAAGAGCTGACACCTGGTCCGCGCATCAAGGATTATGCGCGGTTTATGCAAAAGTACAAGAGCGAAAATCTGACCACAGCGACCGAATTTTGGGAGCGCATGATGAATCCCCTTAGTGAAAGATCATTGTTTGATTTCCGTCCCCCACAGACATCCGTTCAGGGTGACTGGCTGGTAATGCCGTTCGCGACTGGAGAGACTGTTGAGTCCATTGAGGCGTCAGCGACCAAGTATGGCATCTCAAGTGCGACGATTACCTTTGCTGCGTGGGCACTCGTCTTAGCCAGGTACACAGGTTCCAATGTTTCGTCTTTTATTCTCAGTCGGTCGGGCCGGATGGCCCCCTGGCCACAAGCACCATCGCTTGTAGCATCCATGAACTGCCGCGTGCCCTTTGCTACGACAATCCCACTCGGAGGAAAACTACAAGGATGGTTAACCAGCATGCACAGTACTTTGCACAGGGTTTCGGAGCTTGAAAACTTGTCCCCGTCACTGGACGCATCGATCTGTCCCGCGGCATTTTTCAAGTCGGTGGTCGTGGCCTCTCTCCACACGCAACAGTCACCGGCTAATTGGGAGATTCACGACAGACTTACTGGTCAAGCGGAGCCAATAGGAATGGTATGGAGAGTCCAGCGAGAATTAGAAGGTAGTGAGGCTGTGGAGGCCACTCTGGAGATTGACCGGAGAGTGGTGGACGTTGAATGGGGCAAGGAAGTAGGCACGGTCGCAGCGGGGGTACTTGCGAGACTCACTAATGCCCCGAACAACACGAAATTACAAGATTTGCTCTTGAGCTAGCCAAAAACAATCGAGTACTTTGCGTCTTTATATCATTATTTTGGGCGCACAACATAGAGAAGGTCAATAATGCACCATTTAGAAAAACATGGACAGGAGGAAGACCCATGGATGTGGATGTATATCAGTGAGTGGTGCGGATGAGAGAGAGAGAGAGAGAGAGAGCGAGAGAGATCCGAAGGAGCGACGATGAACGAGCTGATGTTGCCTCCGAGGAAGCGACGATGAACGAGCTGATGTTGCCTAAGGTATCTCTTATCTACAGCCCTCAGCGTACACTGACTATATTACATTGAAAGAAAGACATCATTTGATTGAATGCACCGTTGAATACTGTGCGCCTTCAAAGATGCTAGTATTTCCATAAATAATTGGTTAATGTGCTTCTTTGAAGTAAAGGGCCTGTAGACCACGCACACCGTTCAAGCATTGAGTTATAGCGCGACGTGAGCTTGTCCACAAGTGAACTTGAATGATTGACATAGGCATATCGTCTCACTTACTGTTGCTACCAGTAGTACTTCGTATAAATTCAAGGCCTCGCCGCAGCAGCACATAGGGAGTATTTTTATTTCATATTGCTCCTAGGGGCAGTAATTGACTAACACACACTGACAGCTTCCAGTGATTTTCACAGTTCCTGGGCTCTTATTTCGTCAAGTTTCTTGATCTGTTTCCCATAAGTGTCAAAATTGGCCGAATTTAGCCACTTTAGCAACACTCTTTTGTTGATAGGCCACTCTTCGTCTAGCATACTCAGGCAATCTGAGTCTCGCGTGGTACCCCAGCGGGTAATCTTATCCTTGCGAAAGGTCCCTTCATACTTGTAACCTATCCGCTCCGTATACTGCCGAGATCTGAAATTAAATGAGTTAGAAACAACCCAGACCCTACGGTATGCCACTGGCAGTCCTTCAAACAATTGACGATGCATGAGGTATTGTGCTTCTGTGGCGGCATAAGTACGTTGCAGCAGTGGAGAATGTATAATGTCGTCCAGTTTGGCGATGTTGGCTGGCGGGTCAAGCCGGTAGCCACAAATTCCAAGAACAGACGTGTGGGAATTGCTGTCGGACAAAGACGGTGGGCCTAGCTGAGCCTCGCATGCTTTTATGACATAGATAGTGAGGTCTGGATGTTCGCGCAAAGAGCCAAAAAGGTGGTTGGCGAGCTCTTCTTCATTTTCGACGTATGGAAATCCCTGCACATAGTCGACAATTTGTTTGTTGTCTGGAAAACCGAGATATTTGAACAGCGACGCAATGTGCGATTGATTGATGAGCTCCAGGGTCACGTATTGACCCTTGATCTGAGTTGAGCCTCCATTAGGATCTGGTGATTGTTAGCGTCTGAATAATGAAGGACTGAAGTGGGAAATCATTACTTTCTGTTTTTGTCATTGTAAAACGTGTGATGTTGGGTTTCCCAGAACTTAATTAGGCAGAGAAGATAGTGCTTTGGGAGATTTTCACATTGAGTTTGGTTCAAATTTCGAATTGTTCAACCGCTCGAAGGCTGGATCTAGTCTTTGATCTCAATTTCCTCTTCCCTCAATTGTTCCTCGCCTCCGTCTTGCATATGCAGGCGCTCGACCCGCGAACATAATTGGTATGGATCAGCAATCGTAAGCAATTTGATTATGGACAAGTTGAAATTTCTTACGTAGCGGCAGGTGTAATTTTTTTGATCGGCGGGTCGTCGTTGCGGTAATTTGCCTATGCCAAGTGCTGAGTACATAGCTCTGTAGTAAGCTCCATGCTCATAGATCTCCAGAATTCTGAAAGCCTAGTAAGCAAATGGGTCCCTAGAACTGTAACGTAAACTGCACCAGCGACCACCACAATAGTTTATGCTGCAAGATAGTTCCATGAAAATATTGAAGTCAAGCCGTCGATGCCTCAAGTTCAAATCGAATATACGAGGACCTTCCAGGGTTGAATGTGCCATATTTTCTTCGCGCGAGCTTCACCAAGATTGAAGAATCTTCCACCCCTGCATGTACCCAACAACGCGATTTCGATAAAACATTAGAAATGTATGCCGACAAAATGCTCACGAAGTGGCTACAGGACCACAAGCCTCGGGCTGCTGCCATGAAAGATCAACCGGCTTTTTATCGCAACCTGGAACAAGCTATGGACATTTCGCGCGCAGAACATAGCTTCTTCGTTGCGAAACCTCGCTGGGATGACTCCGTTTTGGACTTCACTTCTAGTGATTTCTTGAGTCTCAGCCGCTCCGGTCGCATTCGTGAGGCCTTGGAGGAGGAGTTAGCTCGCCATGAAAATTTTCGCCTAAGTGCCTCGGGCTCCCGGATCCAATACGGCAACTACGACTACCTCATTGAAGTTGAGAAAGAAATCGCAGATTTCCACGGGGCAGAAACAGCCTATATGGCGCACTCGGGGTACATGGCTAATGCAGGGACAGTGGCTGCGGTCACTTTGCCTGGCGATGCAATTGTGTATGATGAAGCTGTCCACGCGAGTACTCATGAAGGCATGAAACTATCACTGGCTGAACATCGGATGCCCTTCAAGCATAATGACTCTGACTCTCTCCGTGTGGTTCTTACTTCACTAAAAGAGTCGCACCCAGCCTTTGCGGCGGGAAAGCACTCGATCCTCGTCGCGGTAGAATCCGTGTATAGTATGGATGGTGACATTTGCCCACTAGAAGAGCTAGTTCAAGTTGTGAAGGAGTTGTTCCCTCTTGGTAATGCTCAGTTCATTATCGATGAGGCTCATAGTAACGGTGTTATTGGACCAAGAGGAGCGGGCCTAGTAAATATGCTGGGGCTAGAAAAGGAGATAGCCATTCGCATTCACATGTGCAGTAAAGCTTTGGGGTCGACTGGAGGTGAGTTATTTCTCATGAGTACACATCGCGTGTGAAAAGGGCTAAATTCCCCACCAACAGGTGTTGTGCTATGCAACAAGACCATTCGAGACCGGCTGATTAGCAATGCTCGCTTTGCCATATACAGCGGCGCACCATCGTTCCCGATGGTGGCATCGATGCGTGCTGGATACCAGCTATTGAGAAATGGTGAGGCTGAAAAAGTAAGACCTTCTTCGACAAATCTCTCTAACTTCCTGGGGTCTGGTCTCCCTTGCTAACATTTTTCTAGGGAATGGACAAAATACAAAGTAGTGTCAGGCACTTTCTCAAAACTATTACCGCTCACCCTGTATGGGATGAGGCCGTGGATGAAGGCATTCTCAACATTCCTCTTGCCGCGGATTATGAGGACATTGAGCTTCTTACTCACATCGTACCAGTATTGACGCGTCCTAAGCATGAGTTGTACCTCTTCTTCCATTTGATGATTAACAATATCAACGCGTATAACGTGTCTTTCCCGGTCGTTCCGAAAGGAAAAAGCCGTGTTCGCCTGGTTTTCCACGCGCATAATGGTTTAGAACAAGCGGAGACTTTAGCCAACGTCATCTGTGAGTGGGCTCAAGAAATGTTGGAAATCGAGGATGGTCAGACGGGGAATGTCATTCCGAGCGCCGCTCGCCAGGTTTATGCTATGAAGACATAAGTTATTCAGAGAGCATGATTCATGCTGATCTGAAAAGAAATAATAAGGTTTACACATTACTGGGGATTTTCAGAGATATTGACACTACCCCTGTACATGGACAATAGCGTATGTGTGACTTCCTGGCTTCGATTATACTGTTTTTACGCATTCCAATGATGAGAATTTGATAGCATATTTGAGAAATAACTTCATCATATATTTATTTGTCAAATTGGAGGCTGTGTGCACATGTGTATGTAACAAGTTTCTATTCAACGGGCTACACAAGCTCAGAGAAAGCCAATATTGGAGGATTGCCCTCATATGATTGTCGGAATGCCCGTAAAGAAATATATTATTATATTAGATTTAACTAGGTGATTATTCCAACAATCCCCCTCTAATTTGACGGAGCACATGCATAATGTACTGATATTCGTTTGTCCAAATGAGTTGGTCAAAGCCTAAGAGGATCAAACACCCGCGCTTACTAGGACGTAGTAAGCTAAGCTAAGCCACGAGATTGTCCCTGTGCAAGACGCGTGAGAAGTAAATCAACATCCACGAATCCAACATCGTAATAGACTTCAGCCGTGAAAGTGCAAGAGGAAACTATGTAGTTTTTACATCCTGATGATGGATTATTGTTGGACCTCATGGTGATGGATGCTTGCGAAAGTGAATGGCTATGTCTTGAGAAAATCTCTCTAAAACAGCGCTTGGTCAATCGCGTCAGCATCCCTGATAATCCAGTATGTACATGATAATATCCCATGGCGAAGGATCGGAGTGGGTCGAAGTAAGACTTTTTCAGCCGACGCTTAGAGTCACCCAACAACTTGAAACCCCCACTGGGGAGGCAATGCCTATATATCAACGAGATAACAGGGTAAATAATCTAAATGTTCATTCAAAAGGGCATATCAATTTTCAGTTTTTATATAACACTCTTTGTACGAACATCATGCGATCCCCTTTGCGTATTGCTATTCTTGAGTGCGATGAGCTGTTCGGAGAAGCCAAGCAAGAATTCATTAGTTTAGGCGATTTCTGTGCAAAGTTCCTTGAGACTGGTGCCTCGAAACTTACGAAGGACGGCCTTTATGAACGACCCAACCTCGAATTCTCTTACTATGATGTGGTGAAGAAGCAAGAATATCCGAACGTTGAGCAAATCGACGCAATATTTGTGACAGGGGGCGGTGAGTGAACCAGGGGGTGCCATGTATACAGGGAATTATTTGGCTAATTTCCTCTTCCCATTCTTGGTTGAAGGGTATGATTCATTCACGCCAGGCTTGAATGATTGGATATTAAAACTCACCGATTTCATCAAGTCAATTTTACAAGGGCAGTCCCGGGTTCGGGTAATGGCTGTGTGCTTTGGGCATCAGATCGTCGGACGTGCATATGGAGTGATGCCAGAAAGGAGTGGTGTCGGTTGGGAAGTTTCTGTCACGCCGATGACTCTAACAGAGACCGGAAAAAAAGTCTTTGGATGTGATTCACTGGTATGTGTTATCAAATTCTACGGAACATCAAATTCCAAGGTCTTATGAAGTCATGGTACTAATGAGGCTCTTCTAATAGGCCCTTCATCAAATGCATCGCGACGCCGTTCCACGCTATCCACGGTTTGTTGAGAAGCTTGGACACTCAGATCTTTGTGAAGTGCAGGGTATATATGTCAAAAATCGTGTTATTAGTTTGCAAGGGCATCCAGAGTACAATCCGAAGTTTGCAAATATATTGCTGGATCGAAGACGCGGATCATTACTGACTGAAATTGCATGGCAAGACGCAAAGAATCGAGTCAATAATCCGCATGATGGAGTGAGCGTTGCGGTTAGCTTCATTAAATTCCTGTTGGAGGACTTCAAATGAATTGACCGTTGACATCAGGTCATAATTGGCTCGAAATCAGTATTCCTGGATATTCAAGAATATACAGGGATATCAGAGAAACCAAATTTATATCCAGTGCATATGCTATCATATCTTGTTGGAGTTGATGTTTCGTAATGACTAGTAAAGAAGGTACATGACATTAGTCTCCAGAAGTGTTATATTTACTAAAAAAAACCGTGTTAACATAGAGAAAGCTCATTTCCCCTACATCTATTTCTATTGATAGTCTTCAGCGGGACCCATGGGTACCCACCCAAAACCCATCACTGCGTAGGGTATTAGGTCCAAAGTCCCGACCTGTATATCTTCAAACGATTGTTTGCGCTGATCCGAATGCAGCAGGAGACGCACAGGTCCAGAGATCGACCAATCAATTGACGTGGAAGGAAAGTGGGAACAACACGTAGATCGGCGTCGCGGGCGAACAGCAGCGCGATACAAAGCAGCGCAGATTGCGCTCGGGGGCTCAAGAAACCACAGGACCGGTCGGTGCGTGCTGGTCACCCAGGGGCCACGGAGCTCGGTGTTAAGGTTGACGTCAAAGGGTTAGGCAGATAAAGAGTGGTGATATTGGATGGAGTTCTTTCATGAAGTTATACAGAAACTAATCCTTGGAAGTCTACTACTTCCAAGCATTCATACATTTTATATTAACCACGGTTCGTGTGCCTTACGTGAGGGGTCCGGGGCTGGAACCATCGGTAATTCATTTGCCCGTTCCAATATCAACATGCATTATTCTTTAAGCCTCTCTTTGGAATATCAACATGCATGTATGCCGTAACATTTAGGATCTTCTAATAAAGTCCTTCAATAATTGTATTTATATAAGAATCGAATTAAGAGATTTAGATATTGTTTAATATATTGGGAAGACTAATTAATCCTAATCTTAGAAGATATATTTTTCTGTTCTTAAAACAAAAAATTAGCTATATCTTACAATATAGATAAATTGAGAGCTATACCTCTTATATCTATATCTAGTAGCCACTTTTCAATAGACTCTTCTTCTGCCTGAGTAAATATATATCTATTTAGCTGTTTTTCTATCGTAGATTCACATCTATTAAGCCGGGTCTTCAAAATTAAGACCGGTAGTTGAAAAGACTGCACAGCGGCAGCAGTAGAGGGATATCTGCTATTTTTTATATCTTGTATAGCTAATAAAAGATAACCCTCCTGTTCGGTTGGCTTTTTCTTTTCCGATCAGATCGTTGGGGTGGCATATTTGTTGTGGTTAAAAAAAAGAAAGTGCTGTTTTGAAAGTGAACTTTTAGTAGGGCCGCTCGGGCGACTGTGGTTCACGTTAGCTTATATATAGAATATATATAATACGCATAGTTATCTAGTTCTGGGTTTGGAGGGTGAACATGCCCTAGCCTAACAAATCTTCTGTCGGTAGAGTTTGTTTTCAGCTGAAAACCCGTGGATGTGGGCCATCAGAAGGATGGGGTCAATGCTTTGACTTACCGGAATGGATTGAAGGTCTCCCTTCACGCGCATAGGTATCTCTACATATAACACGTAAAGCCTCTTAGTTGGCTACTTACTGGAAGCTAATAGCGGAAAAAACCATCACAAAACCCCACCATATACGTCATAGCTGAGTGACCAAACTCAGCCCTCCCCACCCACCTAAAGTTACTGCATTATATAAATCTCAATATGTACACCCCAAGGGTAGATAATCTCATAATTTGCTGTCCTCAATCCTCTATTATTCCCTTGATATCTGTGCTCTCTTATTACTTATGATCTGACGCTTTCAAACACCAATATGTCGTCTGATGCTGAAGTAAGGACCCTTCTGTCTAAATTCTAAATTATTTATATTAGACAGTTAACTATAGGACTTCGAAATTGATACTAGTAGTGGCAACTTGACCTTCCCGGCAGCCTGTTCTACTATGAGAAAGAATGGCCATGTCGTGATTAAGGGTCGTCCCTGCAAAATTATGGAAATGTCCGAATCTAAGACCGGCAAGCATGGCCATACTAAGATTCACCTTGTGGGTCTCGATATCTTCACGGGTAGAAAGTATGAGGACATTTCTCCCAGCACCTACGAGGTGGATGTCCCATTTGTGCATAGAACTGAATACAACCTGGTTTGTTTTCATATCCAGATGGTTTACATATATGCTGATCGATCCTCTAGGATGGAACTGAGAACGGATATCTTCTGTTAACAGATCATGATGGTAATTCTAAGAATGATGTTGCTGTACCTGAAGGCGATCTTGGTTATCAGCTTGCGGATAGTCTTAGTAACGGTGATAGACTAAGTAAGCCAACTGGTCTCCTGTTCTCTACGAGTATGCTAAACAAGTTACCAGCTGTTACTATAATAAGTACTATGAATGAGGAGGCATGCATTGCTGTTAAGGTTGACGTCTAGGGTTAGGCAGATAAAGAGTGGTGGTATTGGATAGAGTTCTTTCATGTAATTATACAGAAACTAATCCTTAGAAGCCTACTACTTCCAAGCATTTATGCATTTTATATTAACCACGGTTTATGTGCCTTACGTGAGGGGTCCGGGGCTGGAACTAGGCCTGTGCAATAGGCGGCCCATGGGCCGGAATCTGGCTACCCACCTATGGACAGGGTGCCTATGAATGAGTTTTATGGGTATGCCTATAGGTATATTTATCCTATTAGCCAATTAGCTATTGATACATAATTGATTGATTGATTGATTGGTTGATTTATTCACGGAACTGTCAGGCATAAGGCCCGATTTGCCGGCAGGGCACTGCAGGATAGCCGGAACAACTATATTATACATAGAACAGAGAGAGAGAAGACTAAGTACATGCAAATAAAACAAACGTACGCCGCGGCCCGTAGATATAAACAGTACAAACACCACAGCTTCCCGCAAACCAAGCTATTGATACATATTGAATACAGCAGCTATATAGCCAAGCAAAGCATATATCTTTATGTTTTATGCAAATCACATGATCTTATTATTTACCCCACTTATGGGCATGTTATGGGCGGTATGGTATGGGTATGCCTATGAATGGGCAGGTTTGCTATTGGGCATGCCCATGGGTCCGCACAGGTCTAATAGGGATTTCTAAGGGTTTCTTTTCTGTAGTGTGCTGGTTGTTATATTTGGTTTATTATATTTGTATATTGTTTTTCTTTAAACTTTTTTTGATTTTTTTGATTTTTTACTTTTAAATTAATTGGTCTATGTCTTTCTTTTTTTGTTGTTTCTTTTGTTTTGCTGCCCTGGGACTGTCAGCTGTGTGCCTAGGTGGTGTGTAGTGGGGAAAAACCTTCACCCTATTAGGAATGACCCTTACGGTCGCGGAGTTGTTATCCTTTTTCTTTCTTGTTTCTTTCAGTTATATAGTATCGCGTTGCGATTAGTTCAACACACAATATACTTTTTACACTCTTTTGATCACGTTCTGCGATTCTGATTTCCCGCGTTGATCAGGGAAAGATATTGATGTTTTGCTGTGGGTTTTTCTGACTAACATTCCAATACAGGCCTATTTCCCCTCTTCAGTACCTAGAAACTTGGAGCTCAATTTCTTATGGTACTCAGGTTGTTCAATGTTTGCTTATTAGGAATAAATCTCTGGATTTATGTGCCTGTATAATGATGTAACTGCTAGCGACGTCCATTAAAAACCGCACAAGCGACTAAGCGAGCTGCAACATCATCATTTAGCCAAGTCACCCTCACGCATTCTACTTTGACAATTGTACAGCGAAACGCTATTCCTGGATTTTGTTTCTGTCTTTCGTAGGAAGAGTATAGTTTCAGCCGTAAGGCAAGCTATGATCGCAGGAAGAAAGCGCGGAATATTTTCAGGCCTGCCGATCAAATGAATCCATCTGGTCGGTGCGGAATATCGAGCATTATTCCTTCGAGCACATGGTCACAATCGTCAAAGATATCGTCGCCATTTGGAGGCCATGGCGCCATCTTATTGGTCAACCCCAGCAAATCTCCGGTCTTAGTGCATGCAACACCACACGGATGCTTGATCCTGGCCAACCTCCTTCATTTTATTTCTTCTAACCAAGGGGAGATAAGATCGACACCACAAATGATAATGCCGACATTTCAAGAAAGCGCCAATTCGGGGAAAACATCCATGGTGGTAGGAACACGTCGCAAAAAGTAGTAAAAGCCGATGGACCTTTCTCCCAAACAAGGAAGATCGTCTTGGTACTCTGTACACATGCTTGAGAGGGAACATTGAGCAAGCTTAGTGACCCCTGGCGATAATTGCGGATTACTATCGACGTACAGAGCAGATGGCAGATGTATGAGAATAAGTGAAGGTTTGACGATCTGTGATCCCTAACTCACCTCCTCGATTCTGGCTTACTTTCCCAACGAGAAACACTATCTTGACTTTATTAGAAGGATCGCTCCATCGGTTCACTCTTTACTAAAGCCGGCATGGAAGAGAGAAGGTGGAGACAGCTCAGCGCCCTATGGGGTCAATGCCAGACTAGTTGGCCGAATCCTTGAATACGCACAGACAAAGCGATCGTGGGACACCGTCGGCATACATGTAGATCTGGAAAGGCCCATTGCCGGTTCGGTCCTCTGATTTTTCGAAATGGATCCACAGCAAATCCCCGGAGATCGCACGTACAGATAGCTGAGCGTGATGGCACTGCCCCGGCTTCCACTGGGGTTAAGTCCGGGAATTTAGCGGGATGCGACCCTTCCAATTGATCAGGGCACGAGTCAGGAACGAACGTTACAAAGTTAAATTAAGGTGGCATAGTCTTTCAGATGCAATGTGTGTCAAGAAGTTGTGTCTATGCCGATATCTTCAATTCGGTTACTCCGGGATCTACATCTACGCCGCAATGATATTTGAAGGGGACTTGGGGATAATCTCAAATGGGGTGAAGCCACGACGGGATCATGACCCGTTAATTGCGGTGGAATTCTTTTCAGAATACTCCGTAACTTGAAAGGCGCTGTCTAGTCGGGATTGGCACTATATTTCCATGCACTCGTGAGGTCTTCTATTCTATCTGCAGGTAAGATATCTTCAATACTACATGATCCCTGTTCTGGAAGCGCCCACAGCGAAACTTTGTGTGCTACTAGTAATTAATTATGGTTTTTACCAGCATAGTGTATGATTGATGACAACCTGAATGATCCTCTTGCCGTGACCCACAATAAAACCGTAAGTTGAATTTGCTCAATATTTGGCGTTTACTTCATTGCATTCGGAAACAATGAAGTATTGGCGCTTTTATTAGGTACGCTAGACCATTCTATAAGTAGACTGAAAGAACTCATGATGGTAAGCGTAATAAATCCTCCGATATGTCGTTTAAGCTTCGCCTCTGGTTTTATCATTCCAGATCCGTGTAGATCCAGACTAGAGCGGAAAGGCCGTGAGGAGGCTTTTTCATCTGATTGCCAAGGGGCAAAAGGTGGTAGAAGGATTAATCCGTAAGCATATAATGTATCATCGTATGGTCTAGTCCAGGAACAGGTGTATTGTGATTGGACAGACTAGCTTAGCGCCACGCGCTGTCTGGTAGTGTTCAAGGGTCGATTTAGAGGTGAAACACCGCAATGCATTAGAACAAATAATAGGATTTATCTTGTCTGCAACCACATTATGCAAATTTAGTGAGTCCCTTAGTGGAGGTGGTGGATATCTTGCTACTCCCTCTGATTGATACTCCCCGGTTGCCCTTACTGGCTCACGTTAGTCTTACTACGAGCTAGCAATTATTAACTTGATGCGATTTACGAAGTTAAAAGCGTCGGAAGGTACCCCATGCCCCGCTTAGTACGACCTCGAGCGGGCGAACATTGGCACCATCTTGTATCTATAGCGCGTAGATCTAAACTCGTTTCGTAAAGCAAGCCGCCCTCCACGGCTCGTGAGTACAGAATCTATGAATCCTTTTGTGTACCTCATGTATGCAGCTGTACAAGTGCGAAATAAGATATTCTACATAAATAGAGCCGAAAGTGCCATCACTGCCATATGTTCTATTCTCCTGTTTTCATCCCCCACGCTCTTTGCGCCTTGGTAGTAGGTAGTGTCTGTGACATTTTCATTCTTTCCCGGTGTTGAACACGCCCTTTTGAATCATTTACACCCTTTTCTTCGCCTTGAAGGACTATTTTTCACTCATTTTTTATCATAATGTTTGGTTTCTCGAAATGGGCCATTGCCCTCGCCGCTTCAGCGGGTATCATGCTGGCTGTTGCAACTGAGGTCCACCCAGGAGGTCCCAGAGACGTTAAAATCGGCCCCAACAACACCATCGTCAGTCCTCCTCACTATAAAGGTGGTCCTCAGAGCGCCAAGCACTCACCCAACGCCGATGCTTCCCTGGAGTTTGTCATCTCCAGCAACATTGCTGGCACCATCAACTCCTATGTGACTGCTCTGGATCCCAACGGTGCCCCCGTCATGCTGCAGCCTGGCGGTACATGGTTTTACCCAACCAACCCAAACACGGCTGTTCCACTGGCAATTGATGGCGCAACCGTCACTATCCCACTGAATAGCCAGGGCCAAACCACGACTTACAGTCTTCCTGGATATTGCTCCTCTGGCCGGGTTTGGTTCGCCGTTGGTGAACTCGATTTCTTCACTGTCAGTGCACCCAATGGATCTTTCGCCATCGTGCAGCCTTCTCAGACGAATACTCAAGACCCAAGTGCTGGTATTAACTGGGGATTTATTGAACTTACCTACACCGAGAAAGACGGTCTCTACGCCGACGTCAGCTACGTCGACTTCGTGGGCCTTCCTCTTGGTATGACTCTGACGTTAACCGACGGTACTACTCAAGAAACTCTTGGTCTCAGTTCCGATGCCGTCACCAGTGTTTGCAGTGACCTACAAGCCCAGGCTGCCTCGGATGGAATGCCGTGGGACCAGCTCTGTCAGACAATAAACGGCACCGTTATGCGTGTTCTTGCCCCATACGACTTTGTTGCGAGTGGCGGTGCCGGTTTCGATGACTACTACAACGACTATGTTGATAAGGTTTACAGTAGCTTCACCAGCACGAGCCCCTTGACTATCGATACCCAGGGAGCTGCTGGCAACCTGACCTGCACTGGCGATGGCACAACTCTCACCTGTGAGAATGATGAGATTCCATACCAGAAGCCTACTATTGGTGATATTTTTGGTTGCAACTCCGGTCCCTTTGCCAACACCGGTAGTGACACTCACAAGGCAAACCTCGCTCGCCTTTGTGCTGCCTTCAACCGAGGTAGCTTCTTCGTTGATGGTGGCAACGTTCAACCCGGCCCCAGCTCCGCCGAGTACTATACTACCTCTCCTGCCAACTTCTACTCGGCCATTGTTCATAAGTACGAGGTCGATGGTAAAGGGTACGCATTCCCGTATGACGATGTCAACCCAGCGGATGAGAATGCTTCTGGTACTGTTGCTGCTGCCAATCCTTTAAGTCTCGCTGTGACTGTTGGTGGCCCTAGTACCAACGCTCCCTCTCGCCGAGTTAGCCGTTTCCACAGACACAGTCGCCGCCATGGTAGCATCCTTGTCGACAAGTATAACTTGAAATAAAGCAATACTCCTACCCGGTTTGCTGAATGTAATCCATTTATCCCATATATTCTGGTTATTATACGCTCGTTTTTATACCCCAATAACTGGATGATTCATGTACATATTTTGCCATATTGTTGTGCATATGAGGCTAGAGCAGTGGACTAGTCAGGGATTGAATACTACGAAGACTTATAAAGACATTTTGAACTTAGTAGCTAACTTCCAAAATCCAGCTTTCTCCACTGCAAACTTGTAAATTTACAAACCATTATCAAGAAATATACAAATTGCCTCGGACATATTTTAGACCTGTATCACAAGAAACAGTGACTACAACTTTTCCAGGTCCAAGCTTCCTTGCCAATTCAATAGCGGTCACTACATTGAGGCCCGTGGACGTCCCTGCCAAAATTCCTTCTTCCTTCGCAAGACGCCTCGATATGGTACGACTTTCAGACTCTTCCATTGCAAGGGCACTATCATATAGCGTCATGTTCTAGATCGGTGGAAGAAATCCAATTCCAATACCCTCCACTAAGTACACACCCCCATGTCCTTTAGTAAGAAAAGGCGCCGAAGCGGGCTCCAAGACAACCACATGACATTGGGCCTGCGTCTCTTCAAAACCCTTGCGACTCCCATAGCCATTCCTGCGCCTCCAACAGCACCGCAAAAAGCATCGATGCCCTCCAGAATCTGCTCCAGCATCTCACGACCCAACCCTTCGTAGCCAACAAGAAAGTTCGGGTTACTGAACTGATCTGCATAATAAAAACCATCCCCATTCGAAAGCTCCTTGGCCCGTTCGTGCATAGAAGGAATCAATTCGGGAGTAATTTTTCCGCTCGGGCTATGGACTATATCCACGGTCGCACCAAAAGTGGATATTGTCTTCAATTTTTCCTCTGCGAACGCATCTGATGATACAACAGAAAACTTGTACCCCGTGATGGCGCAAACAAAAGCAAGTGAAGAGCCAGTACTGCCACTGGTCGCTTCAACAACAGTCATGCCTGGTTTCAATTCACCACGTCGCTCAGCCTTTTCAATGACCGATCTAGCCATGCGGTCTTTATAAGAGCCTGTCGGGTTCAAGCCCTCGAGCTTTACAAAAATGCGGGCGCATCCATCCGGATCCACATGGTGCAGCTCGACACAAGGTGTGTTTCCGACTGCATTGAGGATATTTCGAGAAGGGCGCATGTTTGACATGGTGATGCTCGTGAAAGTATTTAGCAGTCGACTTTTTTGAAACAAGGTCACCAGGGATTAAAACATAAGATCTTAGTACCTTAAAATACAGAGAACTGGAAAGTTAACTACGTGCTCTCCTCAGGCTGCGTAAACTGAGCATGAAGGCCGCGATGATAATCAAGAGTTTTGGCCTGTTTTTTTGTTAGTTCCACTCGGGTATAAAGTAAGATAGCTAGAAGAGACAAGGAATTACAATTTGGAAAGCTCCCTGGCGTCTGCGGGCAGCTGTCTGGGGGCAGCTATCTGGTTGAGTTTTCTCTTTGAAATTGCATGTTTCCCCATTATCTGCTGATTTTGTCATGATGATTTTCGCAGGTTGTCGATCTCCAATGGAAATTAGGTCCAGTCCGAGAGAAATGATCAAGGAGGTTAATGACGAAGTATTCAGGGCATGGAAGTTGACTACTAAATAAATCAGAATATATATGATCTTTAAATGTTTCAGAAATCATCGAAAATTGAAGCTATCCCGACCAACCGGAGATATTCAACTCTCCCCCGAAGTTGCAAACACCATTTTCTCGTCATTTTTATACTGGTAGCTATAGAGGGCGTCGTTCTCATGCACTGCTTTTGGACAATTCCCCACCAAAAAAAAGCTTAGCTGGTATATAACTGGTCGCTTTCCCATGTAAAGCGACCCGCAATTGAATCCATAAGTTCACGAAGGCTTGGCATTTTGAGGAAAGTAAATCTCTTTTAAACTCGTGAATCATGCTGATTATATTGATTTCAGACCAACATTTTCGGAGGATTAAAAAAGTGGAGACAATCATTCGTGATTGAAAATGACCCTTTGGCATGCTATCACACCAATGAACGTCTGTGAAAATAGACTAGAATCCCAACCCCCCACAATAATCCGGCAGCGAGCCGATAAAACGGAGTTCCGCTGTTACGGAAGCTTTTCTCGCGCGACATGACTTTCGATAATTGAGCGTTCAAAAGTTCGAGTTTTGATTTTTTTTTAAATCATCCGTCCGGCGTCTTGAGTCGTCTTTCCCAGTCCGAGATCGGAGACAGGAGACAGGAGACAAGATGCCTCGCCAACCTCATGATGCCTTGACGACAGCGGAGAAAGCCCTTCACGATCAGACAAATCTCCTACCAAGCCGACAGCTCATTTTCTGTTTATGCATTCTATCACTTGGCCAACTGATATCCTTCATTGACCAAAATGGAATATCAACCGCTTTACCTACTATCGCTGCAGACTTGAATGCCGGCGATACAATCTCCTGGGCAGGCACCGCATCTCTCCTAGCGAACACAACATGCCAAATGCTATATGGCCGAGCATCCGATATATTCGGTCGAAAGACCGTTCTCATCAGTGCAGTACTTCTACTTGCGATTGGCGACCTTGTTTGCGGGTTGAGTACCAGCGCAGCGATGTTCTACGTTTTTCGAGGCGTGGCAGGTATTGGTAGCGGAGGAATTACGAACCTTACGATGATTATTCTGTCTGATGTTGTGACGCTAGAACAGAGAGGAAAGTATCAAGGGATTGTTGGAAGCATGATTGGGCTGGGAAGTGTGACTGGTCCATTCTTTTCCGCGGCTTTTGTATCAAGGGCAACGTGGAGAGGATTCTTTTGGATGCTGGCGCCATTGGGCGCGTTGAATGCGCTTTTGGCTTTCTTTTATCTCCCATCTAAACCGCCAAAGACTACTTTCAAGGTTGGAGTTAAAGATATTGATTATTTGGGAGCATTGACTTCGTCAATCGCATCGATACTACTTCTTATCCCAATCTCAGGAGGCGGATCATATTTCTCATGGGACTCCCCTTTGGTGATTAGTATGCTTGTCATTGGAACTGTGGCTCTGGTTATTTTCCTTATTTCTCAATGGAAGCTTTCAAAACTTCCTATGATGCCAAGTTAGTGTATACCCTTTTCTAAATAACAACTGTGGTTACTAATGAACAAAGTCGACATGTATCGCACGCCAGCAATCGCTCTATTGCTTGTCCAAACTTTTCTTTTAGGGGCTGTCTATCAATCCACGGTATACTATATACCTTTATATCTACTCAACGCCCACGGTTTAACTGTCTTCGCTTCTGCCGCTATATTCGCTTCTTTGGCTGGAATCCAGGCAGTGATGTCTGCAGGATCTGGGTTTTTCATAAGCCACTTCAAGAAATACGGCATTGTCATTCGCTTTGGGTTTGCCATGTGGACACTGTAAGCACCAGATGAAAAACGCTACAGAAACTCTCAAGAAAGATGCTGACTACTTAACAATTAGCGGGGCCGGACTATCCCTCATATTCAATAGGTCAACCTCGCCTGGCGTCCTGGTGGTTTGTCTACTTGTTATTGGAATTGGCGTGGGCTGTGTTTTTCAGCCAACACTAGTCGCTCTACAGAGTCACTCTGTCAAAGAAAGACGAGCTGTTATCATATCAGCTCGCAATTTCAATCGCAGTGCCGGTGGTGCGTGTGGCCTTGCTATTTCCGCTGCAACCTTACAGGCCCGACTTAGGTCTAGTCTCCCGCCGAATTTATTGTATCTCGCTAAGTCCTCATATTCCCTTCCTAATTTGAAGGGTGGAGTACCAACTGCGGTGCTGGATGCGTATATGGCGGCCAGTCATATGGTGTTTATCGTACAGGTACCATTGATTGCCACGTGTTTCTTGGGGTCAATTCTTCTTCGGGACAGGGGTCTAATCCCAGTGGGGACACAAGCTGTTCAAACCTCTCTAACAGAAAGAGGGGATCAGCGTGAAGTGCTCCCCGACACTATCGGGGAGCAAAATATTAAGAAGGCATGAATAAATGAGATAGATGAATGTAAAAAATGTTAGAGCAACATCAAACGTAGTCAATTTTGACTGGATCTCTTAGTTAAATCTGTATACGACATACATCTATCAGCATAGTGCACTAAGACTGAAGCTTGAGTAATTCCTCCTCGCTCCATGGAACATCAGACTGAGATAGCTTGAAGCGTTCGACGAACTTTACCGGATCTAACTTCGAGTTCAGGCTAGCTATGAAAAATATTTCCTGATTAAAAACAATTTGAACATACGAATTGAGATTAAGATGGAAGATGGGATAAGAGGAAATGTCAATTATAATCTTTTAGTACAGGATGATAAGATCAGAGTAGGTGATATGTAAAAGTATAAGACAGGAGGAGAGAAGTCGAAAATAATAAGAAAAAGAAAAGCCCATATGGTACATAGATGTCGAAAAGAGACAACAAACGCCGCCCGATGCAAGGATGGTAAGTCTAACAGAAGTCTTTTGCGACAAGGAGACATTAGTCTTGTAAAACAGGTAAAACATTGATTGGGTCAATCACGGCATCCAACGACTTTTGACATCAAAAGCCCTTTGCTTCTTGATTGATGAAATCAGTAGCGGGATCGAGAGCCGTAGGAGTCGCCGTCGCGAGAGCGAGAGCCGTAAGAGTTACCCTCGCGAGATCGAGAACCGGAGAAGCCACCATCGCGGGATCGGCCGCCACGGAAATCTCTTGAGCCAGACTGGCGGGAAGAAGAGCCTCCACGACGGGAGGAGAATTCACCAGAGTCCTCGGAGTTTCTACCGAAGGGAGATCGGGGAGAGCGAGGAGAGCCCTCTGAAATGTTGATAAGATCTGAGTAGCGGCTGATTCCAAGGTTCTTTGCAAGTGCTGCGCCAATAGATGGGGCCGCGGGCAGGCCGTATCCATGGAGAGCGAGGTTGTTCAGAACATGCAAAGCGGTGCGCTTGCTGTTGATGGACCGGAGAACGCCGCCCAGTTGGGATCTCCAGGCAGACTCCTTCTGCTTAGGTGAAACACTGGCAACGGCTTGGTTATGATGTTCGATGATCTCGCGTGTGGCAGGAGACACATCGCGCATGTCATCTCTAGTCATGTTAACCATGGCAGATCGGATTGTTTCACTGTCTTCCTGAAGGGGCATGCCGTGGAGTAAATCGTCCATACGCTGGATTTCGCCGTCATGGATGAAGATCCAGGCCTCGCCGGTCTTGTTGGCACGAGCGGTACGGCCAGTTCGGTGGATGTAGGTCTCCCGGTCATTAGGGACACCCATTTGGATGACATGGGTAACGTCTGGGAAATCCATGCCACGAGCAGTCACGTCGGATGAGAAGAGAATACTCTCGGCGGCTTTGCGGAATCCGTCAGCACTGTAGGTGCGCTGTTGCTGGGTAAGGCGGGAGTGGATTTCCAGCAGGCGCATACGGCCTAAGGAGGGACGAGTGCGTGTGCCGTCCTGCTCGCGAGGAAGATTCTGGAAAATTTCGGCAGCCAATTGAACTTCACTAGTAGAGTTGAAGTAGACGATGGCTTTGAACGGACGCAAGGAAGGGTCTTGGGCTTGACGTCCTTGGTATTCCTTGATGAGTTCGAGGAGACCAGGCAGGCGATTCTCATAACCGCGCACGAAGACAATCTTCTGGGGAACCTTGAGATGAACGGGAACGTCATCATCACCAACTGTCTTGACATACTTGTAGTCACGCTTCATGGTGTTGTTGACCATCTTCATGACACCCTTTGGCACGGTGGCGGAGAACATCAGTGTCTGACGGTCCACGGTGAGAGGATCCGGAAGCAGAGCCTGGATTTCCTGGATCTCCTCAGCAAAACCTTGGTCAAGCAGACGATCGGCCTCATCAAGAATCAGGGTGTTGAGCTTGGGGGCTGACACGCCACTGCGAGGATCGCTGAGAATATCCTTAATACGGCCAGGGGTACCGACCAACAAATGGCAACCGTTACGCTGGATCATTTCAAGTCCACGTCTCTTTTGAGTGCCACCGACAGCGGTTTGAACCATCAAGCCAGTGCCGGGTGTCAACTTGCGAGCCTCGGCGGCAATCTGCTCAGCAAGCTCACGGGTGGGTGAGATGATCAGAGCGCGAATGTCGTCTGAGAAAGCCTTGGTGGGACGACGCTGCTCACGGCTCTGGGACAATTCAAGGGTAGGGTCACTCATGATGTTCTGCATGGTAGGGAGGAGGAAAGCGAGTGTCTTGCCGGTTCCGGTCTTAGCCTGGGCGAGACTAGGCACGTTGTTAGTAAATGCATGAGCTTGAGCGGTTTGATGTTCCTGTTTGTAGTACTTACACATCAGTGCCCTGAAGCATTTGGTTGATTGTTTGGCTCTGGACATCAGTCATGGTTTCCAGGCCCATACGGACAGGAGAAGTGATGTTTCGGATGAGGGCGCCATCAACGAGTTCATGACGCTGCAGATCAGCAAACTTGGTGATCAGGTCTGACTCTGAAGCGTCCTCAGTTGCCGCCGCTGCCTCCTGAGAAGCGGCATTCAGTGCAGGGAATGAAGTTTGGAACGACCGGGCCAGAACAGGAGACCGGGAGATCGGGGGTTGCCATTTGCACAATTGGGGGGCTCCTCGAGCAGATAATGTGCGAGGCACAGATGCACGAAGCACCTGAGCGACACCAAACTGGCGAAATACACCAAGCATGATGTATATATTGATGGAAGAAAAAATTGAAGTTGCTGGTTATCGCAAAGGCCAGACGATCGCGCCCAGAAAAAAAAGATAAAATTAAAACACGTGTCACATGACTGTTATCGATAAGACCCCGTGTTTCTATGCCTGAGGCTGCAAGAAATATTGCCCCTTGGTCCCGCCAATCAGCGATGAGTTGAAGGCGTTACACGCCCAGGTGCTACATGCACTCTTCCCTCGGGAGGTTTTGTTAACAACAACCTTGGAATTAATTCCAGGTACAAAAAATATCTTCTGAAGACTCAGGTCTCCCAAACTGGCAATAAAATCACCAGTTCCGAGAATCTCCCCAAATTCAGACTTTTGCTCATAAATCAGCTATGTCAGCGGAACCGGACACACTCCGAATGCCATTATCGTCCAAAGTTTAAGGTTGTAATCCCTGTCAATGGATGCATTGATAATCCCTGCTTATTTGCAGGAGCGGGCTGACAAACACCATAGTGAGAAGATCCATAATTGACAGAATCTCACCCAATGAACCATATCTTCGAATTATTTGACATGTAATTATACTCCAAAAACCGGTGTGGGGTGGAGACTAGCACTGATAGACCTGGAACGTGGGTTTACGCTATAAGAAGGCTAACCCCCTTACCACCCGTTATGGTGGAATTTCTCTTTTTCTACCAGACCCAACGCTTCAACTGCCTGATTGACCGATTGATTGTTCCAAATCATAATCATAATGGCGCCTATTAATATTGTGATCATTGGAGCTTCTGCTGTCGGTAATACTGCCGCTCACGCTTTGCTAGAAGATGCTCAGCGTCTGAATGCCAAGATCACCCTTATCAATCCTTCGAAGACATTTTTTTGGAACATCGCTGCCCCCCGTATCGTGGCCAAACCCAACGCTTTCCGAGCCGATGAGTATCTGCTTCCAATTGAGAAGTCTTTCGCCAAGTACCCAGCTACATCGTTCGAGTTCATTTTTGGTACTGCGACTGCTATTGATACATCCGCCAAGACTGTTTCAGTAACTCCAACTGATGGCGACGCAAAGACCTTGTCATTCGATCATCTCCTTATCGCCTCTGGCGCTACTACACCCTCCACAACGGGCGAAACAACCGGTTTCTCGATTCCCTTCAAGCCCTCTGGGCGCGATGATCTGAAGGAACTTATCGAAGCCGCGCAACAAAAGACCACAAACGCAAAGAACATTGTTATTGGTGGTGCAGGGCCCATTGGAGTGGAACTAGCTGGTGAGCTGGCCGAAGCGGTGGATCAAGGTGTTTCTATCACGTTGGTTTCTGCGACAGATCGAGTACTCCACACTCTCAAGTCATCCGCCAGCTCTGCCGCCGAGGATCAATTGAAAAAGAAGAATGTCAAGGTGCTCACCTCTACTCGCGTCATTGGCGTTGAGAGCTCGGGCGACTCCTGGATTGTTTCTCTCGACAGTGGAGAGAAACTCACGACCGATCTTTACATCCCCACCACAGGCTCTATTCCCAACAACGCTTTCATTCCTGAGTCTTTCCTGGGTCCTGATGGTTGGGTCAAAGTTGACAAACAACTTCGTGTCCAGCCTGCAGACGGCTCATCTTCTTTGCCCATATATGCAGCTGGTGATATCACCAACAACTCCATGCGTCTTGGTATGAAGGCTGTGGAACAGGCTCGTATCGCAGCAAACAACATCAAGGTGGACGTTCTGAAAAGTGGCGAGCGCAAATCTTATCACCAGGGCGACAGTGTCATGATGGTTGTTCCCATCGGCGAGGCTGGTGGTACCGGTCAGGTTTTCGGATTTGTTCCCTTCAGCTTCATGGTTAGAATGATCAAGAGCAAAGACTTCTTTGTCCCTAAGGCACCACTTTGGCTAGCTGGTAAGGCTTAAGGAGACTGGTCACTTTTTAACGTTTTCTTTATTTTCATTTCTCATTCTTCTTCTCCTGACGAGCATACGAGTCATTGACGCTTTATACCTCCGGTCGATTTATTTGTTATCAATATTGAAATTAATGAACAGAACCTAGTTTCATAAAGACAATCCAAAGTATTCAGCAGGAGTCTTAAGTAGTCCTTAGTCTAATTAAGCCCGGTCAATAGTTCGTGTGGATTGTAGATTAGGCGTAAAACATGCATTAGATGAACTGATCACTGATCGTTTGCCCGCACGAGGCACCAATAACAAAACTTTAAAATTCGATCGATCCACTTTGCCTCCCCGTCATGATGCCAAAACTGGCAGTCACCTCCGTGCTGAGAAATCAAGATTGACGACCCTTTTCCTTGTCCCATCTGTTTCTATTTTTTTCTTTTTCCTTTTTTTTCTTCAACGAACGGTCCTCCACGGTCCTCTTACCTGAATTGCGCCTGCTCCCGTCGGCCTGACTCGTTTTCAGTTCCTCCGGGCTCCACTTTATGCAATTAATGGGGCAACCAGAAAAAACTGCCTACCAACCACTAGGCTCATTCAAAGCTTTGATAACGGCCTAGCTCTGCAGAGTTTCTTTGGATTGAGAATTACTAAGAGGACATTATACCTCGGCAGGTTTAGTTCTACGGGCATACTGTCATTCCTAATCAATTTCCGGAAAGTGGATCCGTCAGCACTTTACCTGTCATAAAAATCTTCTAATGCAAGATGTGTACTGCAATAACCTTCTCGAGAAGCTTCTCCGGGACCCATCGGCAACCCGTCTGCGTTAATAATCATTATGAATGGCAAATTTTGAAATCTGCCTCGGTTCCCCGCCCTAGATAGAAATAGTTTCATATAAAAGAGCCGCGAGTGCTCAGTTCTGTTCACAATTTAATCTTCCTACATACCAAAACCTTATCACACTTGCATACTACCTCACCTCAACCCCCACTACACAGTCAATCACCAACTACGGAATTCAACTCTCACAACTCCAACAACTTAACGTCTCATATCTTACATCATGGTGAACAAGGGTCTTTTCTTCACCCAGGTCCCTGAGGCCGGCACCTACCCTAAGCCCGGCCAACATCTCACAATCGAGTCAGTTGGCTACGAAGCTGACGCCCTCGCCCCGGAGGATGGAGTCGTCCTTCAGTCCCTCTATTCCAGCTACGACCCATACATGCGCGGCCGCATGCGTGATGCCAGCGTGAAGTCTTACTCCCCAGCATTCGCTCTCGGCAAGCCCCTCGAAAACAACACCATCGCTAAGGTCCTGCGCTCAAACAACTCCAACTTCACCGAAGGCGATGTCGTCATCGGCTTTCTGCCCCTCCAACAATACACCACCCTGGATAAGCAAAACCTCGTGCGCATCCGCAAGCTCGAGAACCCTCTCGGACTAGAGGATATCCGCGTCTTCCTCGGTCCCCTGGGTATGCCCGGATTGACCGCCTACTCCTCCCTGTACGACATCGGCAAGCCCAAAAAGGGTGAGACTATCTTCGTCTCCGCTGCTAGCGGTGCTGTCGGCCAGCTGGTCGGTCAACTCGCCAAGCATGAAGGTCTGCGCGTAATTGGATCCGTCGGCTCCGATGCGAAGCTCGACTACATTCTCAACGAACTTGGTTTCGATGGTGGTTTCAACTACAAGAACGAGAAGCCTGCTGATGCTTTGGAGCGTTTGGCCCCTGAGGGCGTTGATATCTATTACGAGAACGTTGGTGGTGAGCACTTCGAGGCTGCTTTGAACAAGATGAATGACTTTGGTCGCGTTATCTTCTGTGGTCTTATCTCTCAGTACAACGCTGCTCCTTACCCGATCACAAATCTGTTCCAGGTTATCTCTCACCGTCTTACTATCCGTGGCTTCATTGTTGGTGATGCCAACATGGGCCCCCTCTACACTAAGGAGCACCAGGAGAACGTACAGAAGTGGATTAAGGATGGCTCTTTCAAAGTCTTGCTTCACGAGACTGATGGTATCGATAATGCTGCTGAGGGTCTGGTCGATATTTTCTACGGCAAGAACATGGGCAAGGCTGTGCTGAAGTACTAAGTATGAAGGCATATGCGGATTGCAAAATGGTTGAGGCCCACACAAATATAGTGGAATAACGAGATGCATCTGACGATTACTGAGACTTTAATAATAGTTTGATTCATCTGAATATTTCTGAACTTTGGGTCTAACCTAGCTTAACGAAGAAGAGATGGAATGAATCATGATAAATTCTGGTGCATGTCTTCCAATTCTAGTAGCAGTAGAATTACAAGTCAAATCCTTAGAATGCGTAAATTGCGTATCTAAGAAAGCCCTCAGATAAATACTCAGCTCCAACTATCTATAGTCGTAGTCGTAATTGTAGTTCTAGTTGTCTGCTTATATGTATCCAATCCCCAGATCCCGGCAAAGTGTTAGTCCCGCCCGCATCGGCCAATTTCGGCTGCGCGGGAACCTCTCGACCAATCACCTGACCCGTAAATGGATGACATACCGAATCGGACTCCCGAGGTTGTCACCAACTTCATCCTTGTGCGCGAAGTTGATCCTCGAACCTCACCATCTCCCCTCAACTCGTCACAATGGCTTCGTTCGCGCGCCCCTCGCTGCTCCGGCAGTCACTTGCGATCTCCCGATCGCCTCTGCGCCAAAATGTCGGCGTGTCGCAGGCCGTGGCCTTCCACGCCTCTGCCCGGAAGCAGATCCTGCCCCCGTTGCCTCGTACGTTGAGACTCTGAATATGGGCGTCCGATAACCAGATCCAGACCCTGTATACATGCTCTATGTTTGAATACATGGCTAATGATTTTTTACACATTTTACAGAGCGCATTGACGGAAACAGTACGTTGCTAAACCTATGCCGAGATTAAATTTAACTTCCAATCATTGTTCCGACACGAGGAGTTCGATCATGCCGACCTGATATACCCTATATACCCTTTTTCGGATACGGATGCTCGAATGATTTAGCGGAACATGAACCGGAAGCATTGCAGATTGTATTGAGTACTAACCGGCCGTTATAGTGAACGATCCCGTTCCCGTTCCCTCCCCCAAGCCCACCGAGGGCAGCTACCACTGGACCTTCGAGCGGTTCGTTATATCTTGCCTTCGCGTTCATCTTCGAATTCGAATTCGAATTCGATTCGGGTGAAATTACCTGGTACATCTGAACTAACTCATCTCTGTCCAGTGCTGTCTGTGTCGGTTTGATCCCTCTCAGCATTGCCCCCTTCGCCGCCGGCTCCCTCAACCCCGTCATGGATGCCGTTCTCTGCACTCTCCTCGTCGCCCACTCTCACATCGGTTTTGAGTAAGCAGCACCAAACACCAGAATGATAGCATTCTTTCCCGCTCCACGCGACTCGTTCTAATATGATTATGATTCTAGGGCCGCTATTGTCGATTACTTCCGTCCCCAGCGTGTGCCCAAGTTCTACGCCCTTTGCCAGTGGCTTCTGCGTGCTTTCACACTGACCACCGCTGTCGGTTTGTACGAGTTTGAGACTAACGATGTCGGTATCACTGAGGCCCTGCGTCGCATCTGGAACGCATAGATAAGGAGTTGATTTGAAAATGGTTTTTCTGGGTTCTTTTTTCTTTATTTGGTTCCAGGCGTTCCGCCTATGTATATCTCGTTGAAACACAATTTCATTTGTCTTGCCCGAATATATCGGTGCTGAAATATCATATTTTTTTTTCAATGCTGGATTCTTTGACGATCAGAAGAACGGGTTATATCCGATGTGAATTGGCCCTGGTCTGAATACGCTTGCGAGTATTTCAGTAATACTCAAGAAACCAATAAGAAGTCTGGAGCAAATTCTCAGCAGTCTCAGCTTGCTAAAGCCATATAATATAGGTAGTAGGTACAGTAGAGTGCTTCTGAGAAAACCTACTATAAACTTTTGATCTATCGTAAATACACACTTCCCAAAAAGCTCGCTAGACAAATCATGAACATCTAACTAAATGCCTATAAACAAAAAGAAAAGGAAAAGCCTCCAATAAATCGAACAAATAAACCCACTACTCCAACTCATCATCCTCATCATCAACCTCCAAGAGCGGATCCCCCTCCAATCGATCCTCATCATCCGCCTTCCTCATAACAGCCTCAATAAGCCTCAAAGTCGCCTTGAGCGGCATCCCAATAACGTTATCATAGGTTCCCTCAATCTTCTCTACAAGAATCGACCCAAGACCCTGCAACCCATAACCCCCCGCCTTATCCGCCCCCTCCCTCGTCCTCACATAAGCCGTAATCAACTCATCCGAAACATCCCCATCAAACCGCACCGCCGTCTCCTCAACAACAGACTCAATCGCGTACCCTGGCTGCCTAGCAGATGCAAGCGGCGCCATAGCAACAAGCGCAGTATAAACCTTGTGATCTCTCGCATCGCGCAAAGCCTTCAACATAGAAAGATGATGCGCTTCAGAACGAGGCTTCTCAAGAATAGTTTCCGTAGTTGTGTTCACGACAATTGTATCTGCTGCTAAGATAAGAGCTGGTTCGCCTTGAACTTCGTTGTCTATTTCCTGCGCATAGACGGCTTGGGCCTTTTTTGTTGCTGTTGCGAGCACGTATTCGAAGGGTCCGAGGCTTTTGGGAAGATCTTCGTCTGCGTTTGAGGGGATGATTTCTATGTTGGGCAGGCCTAGGAAGGAGATGATTTGTTTTCGGCGGGGAGATTGGGAGGCGAGGATTACTCGCTTGCTGCGGAGAGAGTTGAGCACGGGGAGGGAGAGTGGTGGTGGGCGTGGGAGGGGAATGGCGCGGGGTGGTGGTGCGGTTTTTGTTGATGGGTCGTAGGCTGGTGGGGGGCCGATTGGGTCCTCGTCGTCGAGGAGGTTTGTCTTTGATGTGGACATTTTGTAGATTTGTGTTCAAATAAATTTGGGGAAGTTGGTGGGAGTGAGGGTTTGGGATTGGAGGATTGTTGGAGCTGGAGTTTTTCGGGCTGCGTGTCGGTGGATGTTGTCATCTCCCCACCGTATTTTCACGATCTGCGGTGGGGATCTTGACCATTATCGTCTTAGTACTAAGGTTGATATAGAGTTACATACGCATATTGTATTTCTTTTTTATGCATTTAGGGTAATTTGCGCTCGTCCAAGGAGCTAATTTGAATATAGTGTTCGTTTTCTTGGAATTTTTGGAATTGGATGTTGTATAGACCGTTGGATCTATACGAATGACTCACGCCACAATACGAACAAACATAGTCAAATATTCCTAGAGTTTCTATCTAGTAGTCTTCGATATTAACAAGGCGCTTTTTAAATTTATATTTATTACCAAAGAATCCTGCAAATCAGAATTCATTGTTACAAAGCAAGCCGAGATCGCAGGCTCCGAGGTAACTGACGCTAAACCTTATCCGGTCCCCGGGGATCGATCAGCCATACCGATCCTATTGTCGGCTCAATCAGACCTATACTATTCGGTATCAATACGATGCGTATAGCCGATGTTTATAGTTTGATGTTCGGTCTCACAAGGGGTCTTTTACGACCTAATATATTCAACAGCATCCACTTTGGCCAATCCATGACCTCTGAATTTCACTCTTATCAAAGGGGACCTATTTATCCACTTCGGACCAGTAGTTCCATAAATACTCACGCAGTCGACCTGCAATATCATTGCCTAAACGCTCGGTGACTCTAAGTGATTGGTCACACCAGACCAAGCCTTCCCAGTTTCTGGTGTGTGAGCATACTTTCGATATAAGGGAAAGACTCTGTGGTAGATAGTATGTGCCTTCGGTTCCCATACATGGTTTTGCACAGTACGGCATAGCTCTTGCACATTCATAGGCGTAGAATGCAGCCATCTGAAGCCCATAGCTTCCCCACTCAGTTGGGTCAATGGAGTCAGGGAGAATATCAGGGTGATGCGCATTCAAAAATTGTATGCATCGACCAAAAAAGGGATAGAACAGCGAAATTGATCCCCAGAGCCAGATATACATCCGGGCTTCATCCAAGGACCTAAACCGATAAGCAGTGCCAAATATATTATCTGTAGCTGGTAGCTCAGTTTTCAGCTCGCCTGGAGCGTATGTTGGGATATTGCCGCCGGTCTCGATCTCGGGATAAAACTGCTTGAAGAATTTCTCGAGCGCTTGGCAATCATTGAACAAAGACTGGCAGAGTTCGCGATTGGATTTATCAAGCTTATCAAGCACATTTCCGATACGTGCGGTTTCAGAAGAGCCCCAACGTACACCGGATAGCCGTGTACCGTCATAAGGCTCTTGGATAGATTTAATTTCATCTTCTGTTAACCGCTGATAGAGCCAGAAGAGCTAGAAGAGTTTTTAGTCACCTCCGAGTTGTCTAGCCGGGAATGATTATATATAAAGAACTCAAAATCAAAAGCAGTGGCTTACCGTCCTCTGTCTAGCGTGTTGTAGATAAGTAGAAGTAATTCCTGTATTATTGGGAGCTTTGGGAGCTTGATGTCTTAGAATTGCGTTAAGCCCCTCGATATGGGCGAACAATTCGAGGATAGATTCTGGGCAAAAGTAGGTCTAGCGATAGGTTAGTATTGGGACAAATTACCACGTATATAAGAAGTTTGAATACCTGAATCTCCTGGAAAATAACAGCAGCATGGAGGAATTCCTCCGCGTAGGAATTTTGATTAAGGCGTTTAGAGAATAGCCGAATTGCATAATTAAACCGCCTGAGACCGTCGTAAAACAATCCTTGATCCGATTTGACCTTGCCCAAATAAACACGCGACAAGGATGCACATGTTTGTTGAAGCAGTACACTCTTTTGAGGCTGGCTCATGATATTTGATATAATTGAGGGCCACATGTGCGTTGAAGAAGTGGCTTGGGGCTCGGGAAAGTAAGTGCTAAAGTATGTTGAGAATAACTGCACATTGATCATTGGCCCTGTGTGAACTATCTGGAATGGCGAAGTGACAGTCATCAAGTCTTGACAGGTAGTTTTCTCTTTTTTGGTTTCTTTGTTTTCAAAATCTAGATATTCCCATGGCCCTACCAATGAACGAGGGAGACACTTTTTATCGGCGTCATCATTGCATGAAAAGAAGATATATTCGTTTTTTTTGCGTGGTCCCGGACATTTGAAGCCTCTCCTGATACATCGCATGCATTCAGGAATTCGCTCATCACACTTTTGAAAATGGAAATATCAGCATATATCAATCAATAAGTCATGTTATACAGGAGCAATTGAACCTTGACTTTTCGTCTTTTACACTCAGTACAGCCTCTCGATGACCAATGCACTCCACCCATGCTGGCGGAGCCTCTTGTGAAATTGCTTAAATACCTGGTACCAGCGTAATGTTCCAATTATAACGGGATAAACGAAAATATCATTCAACGACATTTCTTATCCTGAGATGCTCCACCAAGACCGGGTTGATGAGGTACGTTCCACGTGATCCATGGATGTTGGGGGCGGGGCTCAAGCTAGCGGCTAACCTTGTTGCTCCATAGAGTACAGTCAAGTCTCACTTATTGCACACCCGCTTATAGCACATGATTTTCCTTGGATAGGAGGGTGTGCAATAAGTGAGAGTTGACTGTATAAGATCTGGGAAGGATACAGCTCTTTATTCTTGCAAATTTGCACAATCAATCTCCTCACATATTTTACATGCAACCTTGCTATTTTTCATAGTCTCGCTTTCAACAAAAGTTTCAAGATATCCACATAAGCTGGAGCTTCAGCAGAGAACCTTGGAAGTTGAGGACTTCTCATCTATATATATCCAGTATCGTCATATAGACCAACTTGGAACCTTTGAAGAATCATCGACATTTCAAATTGCAATACTCATTGGCGCATAGACACGCAAGCTAAATTACCTTGGAAATATCCATTGGTAATTTTAACATAAGAATAAGGGTAAGTACATTATAAAATTGTGCTGGGTAACAGAGATCATGTTGATCGTCGCCACCTGGATAAATTCCCCGCCTCGAAACTTTGGAATTAAGGCCGAGACCCAATCATATTTGTGACGTTCGCATGACTCGGAGGATCGGGAGGATCTACTCTAGACCTTTGGGAGACATTTCATTACAGCGATTCAGATTCAGATTGTATTTGATAGCAGATGGTTCCTTGCAAGATGTTAAAGAAGAAATTTTGAAATCCAAGAAAGTCGACCGGTAGAAAAAAAATACAACGCCCTTGTGACTCCTGAGCCACGCCCTTAGACATACATTCTGCCTAGACCTCGAATGACAACAGATAAATCCCAAAAATTTACATAGAACACGTATGTAGACATAAAAAGCATTAAAAAAAGGTATGGGACAAGAAAAAATCCCACAGAAACGACCTCGAGGGCAACGGTCGGCAGAATGGAACCATCAATCAGATCAGATCAGATCAGTAAGCAGTATTGCGTGAAAAATAGGCTAGGCAAGAGTCGCTAAGCAATATGGCCCTCAATTCTTTTCAACCCGCCCTGAAAGACCCCAATGAGAGCGCGAAGAGATTTCTTTGGATGCATGATTCATTTTCGTGTGGTTGAAGAAGGCCCGCCTCCTGGACCTCGGCACATCCGTGAAGTGCCAAGATCATCCACCAGTATGGCCAACAAGTTGCACAAATCGTATGTAAAGTTCAAAAACAACAGAGACCGCCATGTCATAGAAGGAAACACGTAGTTTGTAGTTTGTAGTTTGTAGTTTGAGGACCCTATGTAGGTCGCAGGGACTCGTCTACCCGACCGCCTTTGTGCTCGACTTCGGCGATGAGGTTGTGCCGCTCTTGCAATTTTAGGTGGATGAAGTCAACGGTCTTTTGGAGGACAATGCTCTCACTCCTACCCTGTCCTTCGAGTCCAGGGACCAATTCTGTGAGACGATCGAAGCCCTCTCGAATGGCGGCACGGCGCTTCTGCTCTGAGGCGATATGATTGTTCTTCTTTTCTTGATCGGTCAGACGGGGCTTCTCCTTGTCCTGGCCGGACTTGGATGTGCCTGTTGGGGTCGAGGACGACCGGTCATTATCATCGTCAGGGTTCATGGCGGATTGTGAGTGGAGGTGGAGCGAGTAGAAGAGGCCGCAGGAATTCGTGTTTGCCTATGCCTGCGGATGTGGGTGCGGGCCGTGGATGCTGAATGATATGCGAGGGGAGGATCCAGAGTTGTGAAAGTGGGCCTAATATGAACTTGTGGCGACAAAGAGTGTAAGAGCTGGCGTTTGTATATGTCGGCGGATACTCAGCGAGAGCAATAACAGAGAAGTGAACAGAGAGCGGAGTTGTGGCAGAGGAGAAAACGCGATAGCGATAAGCGTTGAATGCGGAGAAGCCCAAGTCGGGAACTTGAGTCTTGGCGCTCTTTAAACGTCATAGAGAGGGTCCACGGAACACACACCCTGTTTGATCTTTTTTTTTCCCCTCTTCGATTTCTTCCTCTTTCTTCTTTACATATAATCTCAATTCTCAAGCTTACCACATCTTGCGACTCGCTGATAAGCGAGCCAATCGCCCCAAAAACAGCTCTCAATCTCGTCGAAGCCCACTCTGCATCTCTACCCAACACCATCCTCGCCGTTTCTTTGTACTACTGTGCAACCATGGCCCACGAGCCATTACATGGATCATGCTCTTGTGGCCGCAATGAATACCGAATTGATATCCCTGATGATGTGACGGAACATGCTCAAGTCTACTTTGACAGCAGCAGAGATAACCGTATGGAATTTGGCTCAAGCTCTACTTCCCTTGTTTGCGGCTAACAATGCGATTCTAGGTCGATTCCATGGGACACCCTTATCAGCTTGGCTCAGAGTCCCTCTGGATTGGTATCAATCCAACACAACTTCTTTTTATCCCGATGAAACGCATTCTTCTATTCGTCGCACCTTCACACCGCGTCATGCTCCCCAAACCCAGCGCATCTTCTGCGGATTCTGTGGAACGCCATTGACGTTTTGGACAGAGGAACCGCCAGAGGAAGCAGAGTTTATGTCTGTTACTATTGGAAGTCTATTAGCAGAGCATCAGCATGCTCTCGAGGACCTCAATCTACTACCGGAGGACTTTGACGAGGAGGCCCAGGAGGCCGGTCTCCCTACAGGTCTTTCTACTTCCTCTAATACCCTATCGCCTTCACGGGAAGCTACCTCTTCATCTTCCGTTATAGTCCCATCATTTTCGGAATTGCCCGATATTTCGCGGACTTTTCGGAGTGGAGAACTGGGCGGGATCCCCTGGTTTGAGGAGATGGTCGAAGGAAGTCGTCTGGGTCGCCTGATGAGAGCGAAGCGCGGAAAGGGCGTTAGCGCCGACAATTCGACATCATTTGAATGGGAAATCAGTGAATGGCATGATGATGGTAGTCGTGGAATTGCTCAGGAGGAATCTGAATCTGAATCTAGCGGTCATGTCGGGAAGAGAAAACGGGGTCGACAAGCGGATACCGAGTCTCCTCAAAAGAGAACAGTAAGTTGATAATATAGGGATGGGGATGAATTAGCGATGCATGATTACTTAGCCAGGCGCTGCTGCGATTTGAAATGTGACGTGGGATGATATGGTATTTACAATATTTTTATTGACTGTGTATGCTCTTTGCGCCTATTCCGGGGAAATTATGTTCCAATTCCATAATAATCTTAAAAGAAAACAATAATCAATAACTCTAGTCTCTATCTAAGAAGCTTATATCCTGAAAACTAGGTTATCCTTTTTCTATCCTGCCAAATATTTTCATTAACACTAGCCTGCAAGTGCATATGTGTGTACAGATCTGTAGTCACGACAAGGGTACATTAGGGCTTTGCTTTAGGATTGATTAGATGTTCTTGTTTGCGTGGATTGTCTGTAGTCCCGTGATCTATACATAATTAGTCCATTTTAATCCATTTTAATGTTGTGTAATAGGCTGAAGTGACGATATCCCAGTTCCTTCCTACCTGGCTAATTTTGAGCACCACCCATGTCATAATCGTACCCTTCCCTCTCCACCTCGTGTCTCACCCAAGTCTTTAATTCATATTGTTTATTGAAGGTTTCCATCACTTCGCTCCCAGTCACCTGTTTGCATATGAGTGGTTATTTTCGTTAACAGCCAAATTTTGCTGCTTTTCCTTTGAAGATTGTCAACCCGAACTTTGAATGACGCTTATCAAAAGACAACTGCATTGTTGACACTTGCATATTAACTACCACCAAACGTCTTTTATTTTGGTATGTACCCTGAGAGCCAAGATAAACGCTCTTTTAACCTGAAAATTCACAAGCTAATAAACTTGGGTATTGGAGTGGCCATGGATCGAGAAGACGTTATCGACAAGTGGTATGCCGGGGCCATCTCTGGGCCCTATCGACCCTGGAAAAATAAGAGCAGCAAAAAGGAGAGCAAGAGATGCCCATGCCTGGTTGCTTTCAAACAAAAAGTCAGTCGCATAAAAATACATCATCGAGCATGCCAGAAACTTTATCTCACAAATTTTCGCACTTAGATGGCATCCATCATCAAAAAACTGACTGGAAGGGGCAATACGAGCTCAAAGCCCACTCGGCAAGTATGTTAGATCTTCCTACTGATCATTTGGGATATACTCGAGACTGATAATCAGCCAGAACGACCCAAACAGAAGCCCCGACACATCTGGGATCATCACCCCAATTGGAAGCGAGGCTGGTGGATCTGATACCTTTCATGTGCACTGGAGCAACTGGAGCGGCAGAAGGGAGATCTCTTCTGATGAGCCAGGGCGCTCAGTTCGTTCACGTCCTCCAACCCCAGGGATTTTGGGGAGTAAGCCGGTTTCCCCAATGGTACCGGAACAGTTTTCTCCCCATTCCGCCGGCATCAGATCCGATATTTGTCATACAGACTCTATATCAAGTCTGGGTTTAGAGGGCCAGGGTGAAAGACCACAGTTGGGAAAATCGGTGAAGTTGGTAAAAATGGAAGGGATTAAACTATGAGAAGTGAGGTTAGTTTGTGTATGATTGAGCATTGAATTTAATGTTGTTATGCAGTCCTTGGATTTCACAGGCACCAATATTGATAAAAGAACAGTCTTCGTTTCACCCCATTGTGATACTAAACCCTGCCGCAGATTCTCTTCTACCATGAAAGCATTGATTCGTAAGATTCACAGAGGTTAGGAGGGAGGACAAAAGGTACGCTTCACTCCATCACTGTTGTTCATTTTCAACATCACTTGTCCACTGTTGTGTTTCAGTCTCGACCATCTCCCACTTACCTCTTTCTTTGCTCCACCTCTCTGACAATGAAGAATACCGAATAGACCAAGTGCCCTTCATCCCGAATCCCTCGGCTTGTCGGAGGCCCTTTACTGGGAAGCCCTTTACTGAGCAACATGGCCCAACAAAATCGAAGCACCCATGGCCTTTCCCCCTTGAACACAGCAGAAGTCACCGCTGCCAGATCCGTCCCACGAGAACTAAAGTCAGCCCACCTTTCCCCTATCACCGAGAGGAACAGCACCGACACCAACCATGAGATTGAGACTCCTCTGAAAAATGAAATACCCACTCTTCGCATCGCATCGAGTGCTGAGAGATTTATCATGGGAGATGATGCGAGTTCTATTCCTCTTCTCAGCCGTCGAAAAGAGATGCGATCGGACGGCGTTTTTTATCCCCGCACGATGCGAAATGCCAGCCCTTTAAGTGAGGTTTCCACAAGCACGGTACGTGGTGAAGAAAGGTCCAACTCCCCGAAGAGACGCGTCCACCCCCATTCATATCCAGTCAAACGTTCCTCGCCGACCAAATCAATTCACCCAACCCCGAGATCCTCCACAGACACTTCCTCACTCGGATATTCGAACAGTGAAGTTACAAATACTCGATCAGTTTCAGAAGTACGCCGTGGCACGGTCGATACTGCAATTCCAGGCCCAGTGCACACACTTCCTCCACGAACTTCATCGATGAACGTCATATCGCGCTCAGCGCATTTTCTACATCACTCGAAGAGTTTCCAAAATTCCCGTTCCCATTCCATTCCCAACTCTTCTTCAATTACGATGATTGGCGCCAGTCAAAGCGTGAACTTTTTGGACATTTGTCACAGCCATCCCGAGCTAGAAGGGACTGTCATACAGACGAACGTTGTCAAAGCGCCGGAGCCTCGTATGACACGAGTCATGGGAAACTTGCGCAACGCGTTCACGCGTGGTCGCTCCGACAAGAAATCGGTATCATCTCCGTTATTTGAGATCGTGAACCAGCGGCCCCAAATTTCGCGTCCATTGGCCCCACCGTCACCACTTGCCACCAGTGATCCCAAAAGCTCTGTGTCATTATCGCCAAATGGCCCCAACGTCCGCCCCAGTCACAGCGCTAGTCAGCAACAGATAAGACAAGAGATAAGCCAGATTAAGGCGACTGGGACGGAGACTGTGTGTCGAACATTGAATGCACTTGGGCGGCGGCTAGTCGAGGATGACGATATTAACCGGCGGAGAGTGTGGTATCGCGTAAGTTTATCCTCAACTACCATTTCTTTACCCGTTGAAGAGATAAGGAATCGGTACTAAGCAATGTGCCACAGGAATTTGTTCAATTGTCCAACCTGCTTGCAGATTTCAATAGCCGTGATGCTCGTATCGGAGAAGCTGCTTCTCACGTTTCCCAAATGCGCGCAGAGGCCGCTCTTCATCGGTATGCAATGCTGTTACAGGTTCACCAAGCTCTCCAAGACAATGACGCCCTTGAAACCACTATACAATCGGTAGACCTTCCGACCGATCGAATAGTGGAGGAGTGGGACCACTGATACATACTGTACTTCAAATGTTTTGTTGTCTCTGTCTCTCGTTGAACTTTTGAGAGTTTCAAGCCCCTGATCATGGAGACACGCTGGGTACTCCAACCCTCTTACCCACTGGAACTGTTGTTTGCAATATTAGACCCCAAATTATGCTGGTGGGTATATGAAGTGGTGAGGTCTCCTCCCACTTCCGGCACCAAGTCGACGGTTAGTCCTTCGGGCTTCTTTCTGCTGCTTGGCCGCACCCATTCCCTGCCTGACAGACCATCTCCCTGCTCCCGGAGATCTACAGATGATCTCGTATGAAATCATACGAATAATTTAATGACTCGATGTGAATATGCCAAGATTCCCCGATGTAGTAATGTACCAAAACAGGAAAGATCCACTTCATTGAGTTTATTCTGCCTTTTTATTTTTATTTTTGTGTTCTATTTCTGTCATGTTCCTGATGATCATGTATGCTTCGTATCTCGCAAAAGTGTTCATTTTTTGTTTCAGATTGACTTCTGCAGCTACTCTGTCTGATACTTGTGATTCAATTTGACGGGGAGTGTGGATTATTCGGGTATCCAGTTTCATGCGGGTAATGTATAAGCTTTGCTTCGTGTAAGCTTTATGACATAGATCAATTTTGAAACCTTATACCCGATACTGCAATATGGGCGATCGGGAATAAGACTTGACCAAATTAATATTAATACGTTTGAAGATAAAATCAGTGTATAAGCAAATTTTGAAATTTTCATTGCCCATAATGACGTGCATAATTACTCGCTTCAAGTTGACATGACTTCGCTAAACAGCGAAAGAGATATAAAAAAAGTAGACAAAAGAAATATAATAAAAACATAAAAATCCATCCCATGCTCCATAACCCCATAGTACGCACAGCGCACTTAAATATGACAGTCTAGAAAGTTGAAAGTCCAATCATAGATCCACAGATAGCCTTGGCATACGATACTTTCTATATAGCATCATGCCCATTTGTAGTCATAACATATCCAAAGAAAAGTCTTCAATCATTTGATCAACCCCTTAGAAGCGGTTAGAGTGGCCGTGGAAAACAGCACCAATACCGGCCTCCTCCTCAGCCTTAGTGTAGTTGAAGTAGCGCACACGAAGAGTAAGGCCAATGCTAAGGAGAACAATGATAACAGCAAACTCCTCAATGACATCCATAACAAGCTGCACGGTCTCGTTGGGGTTCAGAAGCCCGAAGGTATTGTTGTTCACGAAGAAAGTGAGAACAGAGTAGGCAGTTCGCACAAGCAGGAAGGGAGAGGAGATGGCAACTGCCAACAGAGTGCGGCCCTCACCGGGCTCGAGACCAGAGCGACGACCGACCAGGATGAGGAGCATGAAGTTCAGAGCTACCCAGGAGATGATGTACATGATCATGCTGACCTTGACGGTGGCGGGTGGGTGGGCGAGACCTTCGGCGTCCATGTGGGTGGTAAGACCGTAGACACTGAGAACGATGGCAATCACGTTGAAGATACGGTAGAGGGTGAAGGTTGACTTGTGGAAGCTGTCGCCGGTGTTTGTACGGATGGAGAGGTTACTGCGGTTTGTTAGTTTGTTGTTTGGTTTGGATACTGTGGGGATATGCTTACGCTCGAGAGAGCAGACCGGAGCAGGCCAGGAAGAGAGGAGTAAGACCGATAGAGCTACAGATCAGGTAGGTTGTTCGGAGACCTTGGGAGTCTTTGCTGAGTCGGGCGAGGTTTGCGGCGTTACCGATGATACGGACGAGAGAGAAGACGGCCAAGAACATGTAACCACAATTTGTCTTGAATCCATGACGCCAGACGAGGAATCCAGAAAGGAAGATGGAGGGGAAGTAGACGAGAAGCTCGGCGACGGAGATACCGTCAGCGTATGAGAAGCTGCCCATTATGAGATGTGATGTGAAATATTTCTCTTAAGAGTGTATTGTGTGTATACTGTTGAATGAAGGATGTCGAGAAAGTAAGAGTTGAATAAATAAAGTATTGACTGGTGTTGTGTTGTGTTGCTCAGTAAGCTTGAAAGCGGGCGGTAAGCTTGAGAGAGAGGCTGATGGAATGGAATGAAAATAAATGCCAAGTTTTGGGGAGAAAGAAATGCTTTATAACCTTGCTGACCTGCTTGAAATAAAACACACTAATTTCCCCAAATTCTAAATTAGAAATAAAAGTTTTCACTCTTTGATCCTGATTGCGGCAGTGAGATGCTTAGTTGCATCGTCAACAAGCTTCGAATGATCCGCAAATCTCATTTCCATTTTTGGTGGAATTCGCGACGCTTGTTCAATATAGAAATCGCACTAGACCGTATCCAGAAAGGAGCGCGAGTACTATTATCCAATCAGATCCACCAGGCTGTGGTTTCGTAACCCTGCAGACGACCATGCGCCCAGTATGCGTGGGGGCTGTGATAGAAAAGCGGGTCCCGCCACTACCAGCCCTACATTTTTACTGTTACTTTATTGAGGAGTTCTCCATTCGGGAAATGGGGGCCATTTGGTACTGTCTTCCTTCGTTATAATGGTTTGATCGGCGTTTCAGGTATCAGGATAAGGAAATCTCTCGTATTTAGTATTAAGTCGGCGCCAGGGTATGTTGTTGGACTGGGTCGGCCATAAGATAAGCTGCCCCCTATAATGACGAGATGGGTGGCGAGGAGTTCATTTCTTTCTTTGTTCGTTAGTGTGAACTCAACCAAAATTAATCCCTACACATGTTGTCATCGTTATTGGACCCCTGTATAATCTTGCGTCGGGATCTGAGATACGTGCGCCTTCTGCGGGGTCTAGTGATAGTGAGATAGACGGTCACGGTCGACGTGTATGATGCCTTACGGATAGCCTCGTCTTTTAGGCTTAGCGCAGCGCCAAAATTACAGCCAAGAAATGAGCGACACACCGCGCATAAAAATAAAAATACTCGCACCTCTAGCTCTGTCTGGTTAAGTCGTGTATGGCTGTTTTTAGGTCGAAGCGTGAGGAGGCTCAGCTCCAGTGAACCATGCGGAGTATGGAGTATATTCAGCACGGAGTGTACTCCGAGTCTACTACTCCGAGTCCTTCGTAGGTTAATAATTTTTAAAAGCTAATAATAGTAAACCGTGGAGATACTTTATAGATCCTGCGTACTGTAACTTACTAGTACATGCATCATAATACAGAATATGCACCACAGCGTCATCGACAGGGATAATTTGAATGGCCCCCAAATCACGTGGAGTATCCTGCCTCAAGATGGAAAGACTTCGGGCACTCCGACATAAGAGACATGGGTTAGCCCATTTTTTGACAGGGATAAATGAGTCAATTACAAGGGTCTAAAAGGTCTGATCCTCCCCCCCCCCCACCGCTGTAGCGACGACACAAAGCGCATTAATCGCGGGTTAACTTCCCATTTGGAGCCCTTGTCACTGGCGTCCATGTGTCGTTGAATTGGCGATTATAATAACACCGAGAGCCTCCGGATAGGTACTTTGTGCGGATTCATGGATGTGATGGATAATGTGATCGGACTTTTATCCTGAATCGATTTCCTATCGCGCAGATCATTTTTGTACCTTCGGTTTTCGAATGGCTGGGATTCTCAAGACCACCGCTCGTGTTCGTCATACAAGGGCACCCTGGTAGCATTTGGAGTGATTGGTAGGAAAGGTACGACACTTGGTTTCATGTTAATATCAGTTCAGCCTTGGTTCGGCCTGAAATTCGGGATGAGCCCCAGATCGAGGAATGAGATAGCATCGAGCGCAATCCGAAAAACCTCGATAGATTTTTTGTGATGAATATTCGCACCGAGTTTATGAAACAATAAATCATCATTCAAATGTCGACCGACGGAAAATTTGAAGAACAGGAAGCGACCGAGCACCTCTTATTCTTCTCGCAAAAGAAGCAAGAAGTACATATTTTCTCGGTGATCCTTTGATTAGATCCTGAGCAGGGCAAAGGAATTGGAGGTGAAGGGTGGTTTCTCTAGGTCGTCTTGAAGCAGACTGCAAGCATGAACCGGAGGATACTTGGCATTTCCAATGTCTGGAGTCGCTTTACCTTTCATGTCTTCGCCGCGTTTCCCAAATGAAGTTCGCGAGACTCGTTCTTTCAATCCACTCATCGCTGAGGGCCATCGGGGCATTCATGATCTCAGCATGCTCATCAGAGTCTTACAAATTACCATCTTACGCCAATTTACTGCAAAGAAACTTCATCTCCCTGTACGCAAAGTTGAAAAAGTCTACTAGAAGCTTCGTTGGGCTTGATCGTTGACTTTCAGGGTACGCCTGGCTGTATTCCGAGAGAGGAATGCTCTGGAGTCTGCCAGAGTGACAGGGAAGATTTGAAGAAAAGCTCGTTTCCAATGAACTAGCCTCCAGCTAAAGTCTGATGCAGCATATCGAGAGAAGCAGTACATCTGAATGTCGAGGATGTATACTTCCTCGTAAACTTAACCACGAGTAGCCCCTCGAATGGCTTTCTCTGAAGTGCTGTTTCGCCGACGTTCAGAGATAACCACCGAGTTCTTTCTATAAGTCTTCTCGGCTATTACTCGCTGAACTCACTAAATTATCTTTGTCGGGCTCTGCAGATGCTCATTGGAACCGGCAAGTCCCTGTTGGCTCAATGTTCATGCCTTTCTGAGGATAGCCGCGAAAACTTTGAAGTCGGCTCAATAACCTCAGTACTGCGTGAATCTGAATCATGCTACATGGCCTACTATGTAATGATCTGTATTATCTGTATTATCTGTATATTCAGCCTTGGAGGATGGATATGCTATTTCGGTATCCCCACATTTGCCAATAGAATAAATTAAGGTTTGGCTCTAAATGAAAGATCTGACCGACCCGATCAATCCAAGGGCTTTAGATAAATGTTCATTATTTTTATGATCTAAGCATGGCATTTCATGCATGTGTTTATACTGGCTAGTAGTATCCACGTACGAATCTAGGCCCGTTTGTCGCTCTTCCAATCTTCAGCTGTGGCTGTGCATGCAACGTTCTTGTCGTCATTCCCACCATATTTCAAAGCAAAGCCCCCTTCCAAACTTCTATCGTAGTTAAATATCCGATGGAAAGACCCAGGCACCAGAATTCAGAGCTTTACTCTATTTAAATCTCAGCCCAGTAGCCAAGCTTTTGAAGATCTTCTCGCACAGCATACCCGAAATGGCTATCTGGATGTCTCTCCAAAAACCCGATTCGACCACTATTATCAGATTAGTGGGGCCTCCAACAGCCATACCAATCAGGCCGAGTGGCGGTGCACTAATGTCCTTAAGTCGCCCCCAACGCCTCATAACTCCCTCCTCAGATTTAATGGACAGTCGGTCTCCCGCAAGTTTACATATAATCAAGCTGTCGGGCACCCCACGAATCCGATCATGGTGTACTGTGGTAAGCCAAGCAAAGGATGCGGCCACTGTCGATCCCGCAAGATCAGATGTGATCAGGCCCGCCCGGCATGCTCGCAGTGCGTGAGAGCTAAGCGGGACTGCCCCGGATATCGAGATCAGCTCTCGCTCATGTTCCGCGACGAAAGCAGCTCGGTGGTGCGAAAAGCAAATGCAGATACTAAACCAGAGACAAGGAAATCGAGTTCACCGCCGGAAACTCGTGCATTATCGCGACCAAAACAGTCAGCAGCGCGAACTCGTCGCAAAGCTTCCCCAGATGGGAATCCAGAGAGTGCGCCGACCGTTGAGGTGGGGCCAGATTTGTTTCTCGATTTCAACGCAGATCCACTACAGCAGTTTACACTGTTGAATTTCACGAATCTTCCCATGGAGGTTCAGCCATCGGCTCCAAATCAAGATGATGCTATTTGTTATTTTATGCGCACAAATGCATTTCCGGGCGCTTTTTGGATGGTGGATTTCATGGAAAAGTTCCTTTTGCAACCTGGTGGAACTCAGAGCACAAAAGCCATGCGAGCAAGCATGGCTGCTGTTGCTTCCGCGATGCTATGTCGTGTTAGGAAGGTAACTGCATTAAAGGAAATTGCGCGAAAAGAATATTGTTCTGCGCTTGAGCTTTTAAATTCTGCATTGGTCAGTGTGGAGGAGGCCAAGTCAAACCAGGCGTTGGGGGCCGTCGTACTGCTTGCCATATACGAAGTAAGATACCTCAGGATCGACATCTGCATGATGAAAGGATGTCCTAGCTTACATTTTTGCCACTTTCAACCTAGATTGTCACTTCTAGAGCTCCCCAGGACATTGACTCTTGGACTAATCATATAAGAGGGGCGACAGCCCTCCTTGAAATGAGGGGTCCCGAGCAACTAAACACCGAAGCCGGCCTTCGTCTATTTTTGCACTTACGCTATCAGATCGTACGTGTTTAAATATTTATTTTCACTTTGCTTTAATATTTACTTGCTAACTTCTTCCCTTCTTCGCATAGGTCGTTAGCTGTATGCAACGAGACGCGAGAGTACCCGACTCCCTCTTGGAGAACACGAGGACCGTCCTCAAGCTCCGCCCAAATGAAGCTCATAGCAATCGACTGGTTATAATTGTCGGCCGACTTTCTAACCTCCGTGCCGATATTATATCCGGTGTTATAACCGATGACCAGCAAATTATTTCAATGGCGTCGGCCATTGAAGCCGAGCTGATCTCCTGGCTCGCAGCACTACCAGCTGGATTCACCTATGAAACCCATACAAAATCTCGCTTCGACTATGGCTTCCAAGAGCGTTGTCGTGGACTGGCTCCGTATGAGGACCAGTATCACGTATACCCTGATCTCTGGGCCTTCAACACATGGAACCAGTACCGCTGCGCCCGTATCCTAGCGAGCGAAATTATCTTAACCCACATCCGACAGATGTCCGACTCATCTTCATTAAAATCTATGTCCGAGGAATTCCAGCTCCATTGCAAGACTCTTCGCGCGAATATTCGTCGCTTGGCTGTTGATATTTGCCGTAGTGTGCCGTACGCCCTAGGCGTTCACAAACCGGAGTTCGACCCTACTCTCCCACCACCGGATAGCTACTTGGGCGGCATGGTGTTATTATGGCCGCTGTATATGGCTGGCACAGCGGAGAACGCGACACATCCACTTCGTCGGTGGGTGGTACAATGTTTGCGTATGGTTGGCTTTACCTATGGACTTGATCAAGCTCTAGCGCTGATGGACATTGTCGCCGCCGACCCGGGTATTTTGCATTCCGTTACAGATGCTGAATTGGATCAAGGCCGCATCACTGAGGTGCCTACTTCCAATATGTCCACTTCGAGAACTGCAGTTGAGCAGGCGAAAGGTTACCAAAACTCATTCCCTGGCTCGATAGTGGAGCTCTAATGGGCAATTTTCCCATGATTAACAGATCTGCCTTACCGATACCCCATAATCTGGCCCCTGACTTCTTCATTTCTATTTGGTGACTCGATATTTATTTTTTCAACATTTTGATTTTTGCTCTGTGGGGATGATCCTGATTGACTCGGAGGGCGCATGGACATGACGATTATGACATATTTCTTTTCTAGAAGACTATTTTTCCACGACTACTACTTTCTAGTCCAATTTCAAGAAACTTAATAAAAAAATCCATCCCGCACTCTAGAAGGTCTACACGGGATCTTGATTTCATTTTTCGTCTGTTATTGGTCTGTTTCTCAATCCTGGGACCTTTTTACGTAGTGTAGTCTGCCCTGCGGGGTTGCTGACCTCCCACGGGTGTTTGATGCCGTGGGGCTGAGTAGAGTTAAACATCTACACAGCCCCGGGTAAAACACTTGTGAGACAGCCGCCAACTTAACCCTGGTGACTCAGGCAATGTTCACAAGAAATGAAGAAGCAGCCTGACGCCCCTTTCCCCCACTTAACACGGGGTTCGCTTCTCAGGCTTTCTCTCCCGACACGCTAACGCTCTGGTAACCGTGCATAGCCCTATGGATTCCAAGAAGATTGCATAATGTAGCCCCTTATCCTGGCCCTTTTATGAGGCTATTCTGCCTTGTAATACCCAATCCATGGATCACTAGAACTTGAGTTTCGACCAGAATTGCGGGTTGCACCGGCTCACACCGCAATCCACGACAGGCTCTATTACCATCCGATCTGCACTCCGCTGACTTAGATATAAAGAATGAGATATATCTCTTTGTTACATAGTTCTTATATTATAGCAATTAGTGTCCATTCATTGGAACCAACAGATCCATCGTCGAACAGCCTTTCATTGCAAATACTACTTATAGTACTTGCATCATTTAGTTGGGCCACAGCAGAGTTTCAAAGAAATTATAAAGACTTTCGAATATGCCACTTCAAGAGAAGACTATTCCTCCTCCACTCTGGTCCTCTTTCCCATCAAAGAGACTTGCCGTCCATCCTCAACCATCTCAAGAAACACTACCACCCTATAACAAACCCACAAAAAGCAGAATGACTCACGGCCTCTCTTTCTTCAAGGGCAAGGGCAAAAGGGATTCTCAAAATCCCACACAGTCCTCCAACCCATTTCGCAACATGACCCCATCACATACCGTCCCATCATCTACTAGCAGCGGGACAACCTGGGACCCACCAGCCTACGACGACGTGCAATACCAGGCACCCGCCCCCGAAGCCTCAGACTCAGACTTCGCATTCCTCGCTGAGTTCGATACAATCTTCCTCGTAGACGACAGCTCCAGCATGCGAGGACCCAGATGGCAAGAAGCCGAACAAGCCATCTCAGCCATCACCCCAATCTGCACCCAATATGACTCAGACGGCATAGATATCTACTTCCTCAACCACCTCTCCAGTCCATCCACTACAGGAGCTAATGCTCTAGGAGGCTACAAGAACATCACGACAGCATCACATGTACAGGAAATATTCAGCAGCGTCCTACCTCGTGGTGCAACACCGGTCGGCAAACGACTTCAAACCATCCTACAGCCCTATGTCCATTGCGTACAGGAGATGGAAGCATCCCGAGAACAGCATGGTGGTCTCCTTGATCCAAGCCTACTTGTCAAGCCTGTCAATATTATTGTGATTACCGATGGAGAGTTCACGGATGATGCGGAGAGTGTCATCGAGCAGGTTGCGAGAAAACTGGATACCCCGAATCCGGCTGTGCCGTGGCAGGTTGGTATTCAGTTCTTTCAGATTGGGAATGATCGGGCTGCTCGAAGATATTTGGAGGAGTTGGATGATAATTTGGGTCGATCGTGCGTGGATGAGAAGTTGAGGGATATTGTTGATACTGTGCCTTGGAGAGGGGAGACGGGGAGAACTCTTGATGCGCAGGGGATTTTGAAGTGTGTGCTGGGTGCTGTGAATAAGAAGCTGGATCGAAGACAGGTGTGATTAGGAATTTTGTTCATTGCTTTCTTTTATCTTATTTTTCTCGAGACCGAATTGACAATGAAAATTCACTAAGACCAAATATATTGAAAAGCGATAGAGAGCATATCCAAGGCTGAGTATAATAAGCTCCAGTTTACTTAGTACACAACCTGGATATAGCACAAGATTGTGTTTCTTAACCTCAATTATTCCATCCTTGTCACAATTCTTCTCGGGCTTTTACTTGTGATCTGACATAGGGTGTATTACACAGCGTCTAGCCCTTACTATATAAAGCCATACTTTTTCTCTCCTCTCTCTCCCTCCCTCCCTCTCCCTCTCCCCCCTCTCTCTGCAAAATAGGCAGGCACTTCGGGGAAGCTTCGTGTATATATAGATCGTAGCATCTAGCGCGTTTGGGGATTGGCGCGCATCCGTGATTCTTCAACCTAGAGGGCAATTGGATTATCGCGTACTATGGGATTCTCCTATCACGGTGGGACTGTAAAGGTGGAGGGATTTAGCTCTTGAATAGCTTCAAATGTTCGCTTGGGGTCAGCCCCCGGGACTCAAAGATCGATATGGCTGGAGGGTATGCAATTTTCCGCTGATGTCCGATCATCACGCCAATGGATCCGTGTGTTGATTAGCGTGCACGGTTCTCAAATATGAGGTCCGATCTTTTGAGATGGGCCTTGCAGCGAGAACATAGGCAAAAAGAACACTGAACCTCATGGGTTATAAGAGCCGACGAGAAACCTCGCCACAGCATCCAAGTATCATTTTTCTCTCGGCATCCTCCGTCGAAGAAATCAAATCACAACATGAGACGAATAATCTGCACGCGCCGCACCAATTTCAGGAGCCGCCCAAGTGGAGCCACTTGGCTGGCGATCCCTAATCACGGCATTTGGCGTCAGGGGGCGAACCATTCGACCCTTGCAGAGCACCTGGCTCTCACTGTGGTGATTATTTCGGTGGACTTGGGACAAGCTGATGTGTTTCATGGTGTGCCACATAAGCCACATAAGCCGATCAACCCGTCAAATCCCCATTCAGCGACATCTTCGCGTGTTTGCGTCGGGTAGTTGGCGTACCTTGCAGTAGTGGGGGAAGAACCATGGTTAAGTGGGCGGAGTTCGCCAGCCACTGTAGATGATAATCTCCTCCTGAACATGCGATTTGCTTGGGAATCTCCATAATTATTGAATCTTGATTTGAGTTTAAACAGCCATGAGGATATTAAATTCACCGACTCTAATCTCTGCAATCGATAACAAATCAAATTCATAGAAAAAAGAGGAAAGGATCAACTTACGCTATTGGAATCCGTGACTGATCGACAGCTGTGACGGGATCCAAAGCTATCACGGTTCAATATTCCCCGCAGTGCCGATCGCGCGCGTCACCGCCAAAAAAAAAAAACCCTCCTTCTCCCTATCTCCCATTCTGTCATAACCACATCTATCCTTCCGACATTCCTCATTTCTACGTCGAGAATTGGGGTTTTAGCTATTCACCTCTCCAACACGCACACAACTCTGCCTCGTCTCTCCCCCCGAAACACGCCTCTTCCCAATCCAATTTTGTCGAAGCGCCGAGTCACTCTAGTCCTGCAGGTACAATCCGGGCGCTTCGCGTTCGTGCACGGCCATTGGTCCAAGTGTTGTCTCCCTGCAGCGTGCCCGGGAAATTACTCCTGCTGGTAAACAAACTCGAGACTAGCTGCCTGATCTTCTGTAACCCCTCGCGGTTCCTGAAGCATCCGCATCCTCGCTGCTCCTGTATCAAGTTTGCTGGGCCATGGAGTGGTCTGCGTTGTTCGACTCCACTAAAACCGTTCTCGAATGACCCATTAATAGACCTGTCATTATCTGAAACAGGTACAGACTTGACCCCCAGGGGTGATCTGTAATTATAGAAACACTTTGTTTACTATCCCGGCTGGACTACGGGGCTTCGTTGTCTTTATATTCATTGCATTCGACTCGGACGTCTCTTTCTTCTCATTATCATTGCATCTTCATTCTTTTTTCTTTCCTTTCGTTCTGTCTTTTTATCGCATTGCATTGCATTTCCTTGCTGTATACTATACCGCCAGTGCTTGGTGTTTCATTCTTTGACGACTTCCTCTTTTTAGCACCTTCGCTTTCAAGCATTTCCATTGTTTGCATTTCTTTTTTGGTTCTTCATTGGAGAGCATTGCCTCTTCGTTCAGCTATTCAGTTGCTTTACTCCCACCCACTGGTCTTTTGATACATTCTTTACCCGTAATATCATCGCATTGTGATGATAGCAACCACCCTGATGACTTTCTTATTGTAAGTGTCGGGTCTTCACATATCGCAATTCTGCAAATGACTAACTTGTCTTAGAACTACCACTCCCGATATTCGATCGGTCAAGCTGCTGGGATCATGGGACAACTTCTCGAAGCCATATGCGATGGAAAGGGACAAGCGAATGGGAGCAGGCCACTGGCGGGGATGCCATACATTCATGGATACAATGGGTGACGGACCTGATAAGAATCACTGGCGTGCGGGTGGACTCAAAATGGGTGCTACTTATTGGTACTTTGTGAGTTATGGAGGACCCCTTCTTCACTCGAAACACAAAAACTAATGTTCACCAGTATTTGTTGAACGACGACGTGGAATTCTATAGCGAGGCTGAGCCCGTGACTACGAAATGTCCTCTTCTGCCAGGCCAACCATTGAACGTACTAAATGTTCCCATCATCCTACCCGATAGTCGCGCCCACGGTCGCTCCAACAGTGGCAGCTCACAAAAAGAAGACTATCGTACGATGAACCCAGAAGACAAATTCATGAATCCGCGCAAGCCGCCAAAGCCCGATCTGGCTCGTCTTCAAACTTCGATTCCCAGCCCCGATCAGGACTCCTCAAATACTCCCAGCACCTCTCCCTTTGGTGGTTTAATTCACCGAAGTATCTCTCAGCCCAATAGTGCTAGGAGGTACAACCAGTCTAACGACGGACGATCTAAGTCTCCTCCACGGGGTCTTGGACTTCGTCATGCCTTGACCCAGAAGCGTTCAGGGCCTTCACCAAGGGCGAATGCCTACGCCTTTCCCGAACCTCCGCGCCGGGAGAATCTTGTTGTTAACGAGCACCGTAACGTTCCCGGTATCTGCGTCAACTCTGGTCCAGTCTCTCCATCCGCGAAGCATACCGAAGGTCCCGCTGCATCTACCATTCAAGACCGTCGTGCGCTCAAGGCAACCGGTGGGAATGCTGGTCAATCTCGAAATCTACTAACGGTGGATACTCGAACTCAAAAGCACAAGCCCAGTGTCGCCAAGTCCGCGGGTAATAGCTCCAACCCGAGTTCTACCGACAGTCAACGTGCTATGAAAGATACCCAGGCCTTCTCACATACCAGGAATGGCTCTGATGACATGACTCCAACCGGACCTGATGTCAATGATAAGAGGCTTCCTAGTCTCCCCAATACGCCTTCCTCTGTCATGGACGAAGCTGTGCGCGCTATAGACGAGAAAGATCGAGCCTTAGAAGCTCAAGTCTTGCATAGTCATTTCTCTAGCATGACTGCAGACGAGTCTACAACCTCTCGGTTCGTGGCCGAGCACAGCCGCTTTTCAGAATGGAGCACAGATACAGAGACAACAGAGGACAATTCACCCGAGTCAATGGTCTCTAACTCAACATTCCCCATTGAGAGTTACGACTCCCCAGCCCCAGAAGAATGGACAACGCCCGATCTGTCGTCTAATGACACAGCCACAAATACCGACCCCAACACCCCACATCTTACCGTTCACTCCAAACCATCATCTCCTAATTCGGCATCCGGCGATATCCCCTGGCTACCGCAGCTCACCGTCTCCATGTCAGACGATCGTTTCTCTGGATCTGGTCTTGGCATCGATCAGATGGACGAGGTGGAAAGAAACCCAAAGCGTCATGCAGCACTATTCAGCGCTTTGGAATCAATGGAAGCTCTCTCTCTCGCACAGAGCCGTGGCGGATCACCAATTCTTGTCCAGGAGAATGACAGTCACGAATCCGGCGCACAGTCTCGGCGAAGCGATGCTTCCTCGTTCCGGGGGAAGGCTACCATGCAGGAGATGATGGATGAACTCACTTACCTGAAGAATATGATACAGGCTGAGATGGACGGAGAACCTTTTTAAACACGCGGTTCTTTCATCTGACATATTGAATTCCTGGTGCTGGTCACCATGGCTTTTACAACTGTCGATACATAGTATAGAGTTAGTAGTACCTACAAAGCGTACGATATATGAAATCAAACTTATACAAGACAATCATATTCCAAATGAATATTTGAATCAAAATAGATCGATCGTAAATAATAATTGTGGTACAAAAATAACAAATCTGCATCTGACAACACCCTTTCCCTTGCAGCCAGCACCGGCACCCACACAAAACATCCAACGCGCCAAGAAATCGATCCGCCACGATCAACAACTTCAACAACCAAATCCCAAACCCCATCAAGGAACCCCAACCACCGTCTCAACCCAAATCAGAATGGGTTAAATTCCATCTAGTGAAATCACCTCAATTTACAACCAACATGGCCGAAGAAGGCCCCCAGCTCGTAGCTGTCGGGGAAAAGTCCCTCACAGCGAAATGTAAACCCAACACATTGGCATACTGTCCAACAATGGACCTGATCGCACTAGCGACCGAAGACGAAGAACTACGCGTATTCCGACTAAATGGACAGCGAGTATTCGGTGGCTCATTCGGAGGTGACCCCTACCTTGACGACAACGAAGAAGACGGGGAAGTGAGAGCGGTAGCCTGGAAGGAGAATGGTAAGTCGACTTAAACAATATCCAGTACATGATTTGATTTACTCTTTCTCGTGCATGACGAAAGCTCTAACATTATATTACAGGCCGCTTACTAGCCGTCGCGTGTGGTGATAACTCCCTCCGGATTATCAGCGCGTATAGCGGAAAAACAGTACACCACTACCCAGTGTACCAGCTTCAAAGCTCCTCAGTCTCAAACCCAGAACATCCAATCCCCTCACCAAAAGTAACATGTCTCGGCTGGGCCATGAACTTCACAGATTCCAAATCCGCCCAAAAGCACCTCCATGATTCAGCGGGTCGAATCTCCGTTCAAGATCTCCTAACACCAGGCATTCATCCCTCTAAGGTAGCTGCATTGCTAAAAGCGGATTTACCCCGCGAGCTAGCACTAATGGACATGGAAAGCTCATTGCCAAAACTGAGTATACTTCCTGCTACAGGTGCGGAGGATGATCTCTTTAGTTCGAGAGCATCGATTGATGCTATATTTCACTCTGCGAAGGATTCAAGTGACTCTGTTGATGTTTTGTTTGTGGGCTTCGATGATGGGAGTGTTCATTTGAGGATATTTGATTGTTTTGAGATTGGATCTTTTCCTATTGGGGATATGGTGGGGGTTGTGGATTCGAGGAGGATTCTGAGGCATGCGTCGCATCCTGTTAGTTCGACACATGCTCTTATCTCGTCGTCTGCGTCTGCGTCTGCGGCTACTTCGGGATCGGAAAATGCAAATGCAAATGCGCCATTGAGTCTTGTTACGCTTGATCTCAGGTTCATTACTAAATCCGGGCGGTATTTGTCTCTTTTGGCGTCGAAGACGACGCAGTTGCAGAATTTACTTCGGTATATTGGTTCTGTGCAGAAGCAGATTGAGCTGGAGTGGAAGAATGCACAGGAGCTTCCTATGCGGTTCTTGAGGAGTGTGGATATGGATTTAAAAGAGAAGTGCGATTGTGATTTCGTTACTGCGTTTTATCATCTTGTTGCGACTGGGCATTGCTTTGAGCCGATGAAGGAGTTTTTGGTTGATATTGTCGGAGAAAGGGTATGTTTGTCTCCATTTCTGAAATAGGCGAATATTCTAACGTTTCCTTTTACAGGGTCATAAAAGGTGGGAAAAGGCTGTCGCTGGTGGATACGAGAACATCAGACGACTCACCCATGAATGTCTTCTTCCCGCGCTAGAACGGAGTCAGGTTCTACTAAGTCGACTAGTGGGACTATCAAAATTCGCTAAGCTCAGCGATGTCCTCGGCCTCGATACCTTGAAACTCAACGCAATCGTCGAGACACTAGACTGCCTGCACCTCCTCGCTCACTGTATAATGAACCACGCGAACGAAGAGCTCGAGCAATTCAACGCTTTCTCAAGATGGATTAAGCATGAAATCCTCATTCTGAGCGCAGAGCCCCTTTCTCAAACAGAAGAAGAACTTCTTGAGAAACGGGACTTATTCGACGTACCACCTACAGTGAAGTATATTACAGGTGCGCTCCGCAAAAGTATTCTTCGAAGCTTCATCCGCCAAATTCCTATGATGGGGTTACCTTCAGTTCCTCAATATAGTAGTGATCAATGGCTTCCTGATGGTCATGATCGGTCGTTTTATGATAACTTCAGGTCGATATTACAGCAGCAGCGTCAGGTTAAGGCTGATGGCCGCGATAGTGTCAATGTTGATGCGCCTAGGTTGAATGATTTGACGAAGCGACTTGGGATACAGTTTGATAAGGTCTTTGCTGAGATCGCTTTGACGCAACGGAGAGGAATTCTGCATCGATCACCGCTTACGCTTCATACTGATTGTGATCAGAGTGTTCTAGATGTGAAAATCTGCTATGAGGTAAGCTATCTGTCTCTCTTGGATTCTCGAGACAATGCAAAACTAATCATAACTACATCAGGACGGCGAGCAACGCCAACCATGTTCCATCTACGTCGCAGCTCGATCATCAACAACAAAATCACTCAGTAAGCACTTCACCGCATTCCATTACTTATTCTCCCAAACCCATCATTCAAATACTAACATTCAACAAAGTTTACATCTACCGCGTCCTCTTCGACTCAATAAACGGCGTAAGCTCAACCCGCACAACCTCAGTCGCCTCCCTAAACCTCCAAGAAGGCGAGATAAAACAACTCCAATTCTCCCACGACGACACCCTAATGATCCTCTGGTCCACCCATCCTAATCCTGCATATCTCCTAAATCTCCCCTTCCAACCCGTCTCTGCACACAAAAAGGCAGACGAGCTCCCAACTATCTTCGACTATGTTGAGTGCGCCGCGCACCCATCTGAGTCCAAGCCTAACATCCCAGCTGTCTTGGTTGATCTGGCTACGTTATCTGAGTCTGGGGTTCTGAGACATGTTTTCCCGGCTTCGGGGTTGAAGGCGAAGCCTGTAAGGATGGATGTTAATGGCAGGAAGAGTAGGAGGGCGGTTTCTGTTTTGTATGGGGATGCGATGAGGTATGATGTTTTGGATTTGGATGGGGAGACTGATGAGGAGTTTGAGTCGGACTCGGATGAGGAGAGTGAGGAGTTGGGGGAGGATGAGTGAGATCTTGGGGGTGTTGCTAGTACTATGTTTGTTTTGGCGTTAGAGGTAGCGTAATTAGCATGGCTGGATGGTTCTGGTCTTTTTCTTTGATTGCATTTATTAGAAATTACATATATCCATGGGTATGGATTTCCAAGCCTGTTGTTTATGCCTGTGGTCAAAGATAACCTTGAAAGAGGAAAATATAATATTACCAGATGATCCCCATAGTATACCTGTCTTTGAGTACTACTAGGTACTAGGACTCGAATGCATACTATGGTGATGCAAAAGGTAGTAGCCAGGGGACATTTAGTATTAATAGTACCCACTAGCCCTGGAGGAACACAAGCTTCAAAGGTTTTACATTTGAAAAGGAAATAAACACCCGTGGACTAGGTACAGGTGCCAGCTACCTACAAACCATGAAAATCTAGAACATATAAATTTAGATACAGCGACCTCCAGGGCTTGGGACCAAGGCTTTGGTAGTCTATGTGAACAATGAACTTCCAAGGAATCATCTAGTCCAATTCTCAATCTATTCATAGGTAATGACGACATACTCTTTGTCGTATTCATTAGCCTGTCATTAGTATCGCGAAATATAGCTAGGATCCGCAAAACCCCTTGCTTTCACTGATAGATTATTCTAGAAATGCCACCCACAATTTTTTTCACTTGACGCATCCACTAGTCAGGCACCAGGTTGGGATTGGCTCCACCAGCGAGAAAATAGTTTGCGCCTTGTGTGTGTCCAGGGCTAAAAGAGGATCGGTCGCCGGGGCCACTCAGTGGTGGGTGCTTCAGGGAAAATCAAAACAAGCAGACTTTGTATGGAGGGGCAGAGGACCCATAATAATAACAAAGAAGGTCAGCACAAAAAAGACTGGAGATGGTGTCATGTAGACAGGTGATGGGATAGGGTTAATATTGCTGAGAACACATTGAATATGAGTGTAATATAGTATTAGTAGATATCATTGATAACCTTGAAATATACCATTTAAAATGATCTAGACAAAGTTGATGAATCAACTCGAGGGGCAAAAAGTCCCAATTCGACACCTCAGGCATAAGTCACGTGTGGCACAGTCATCATCCAGCAATCAGCCAATCAGCGTGCGTCTCCCTGATGGACTTCATCCCTCATTCTGTCTTTGTCGTCGATTTATTCTATCAACATAAAAAAAAAAAGTCCCTCGCTCCAAACTCCCCATCCTAATATTTTCGGGAGCCTTTTTTTCTACCTGAACTCGTTTATAACGGCCGCGTTCTGAAAGACACATTTGCCTCTCTGTGTCTCCTTGCGGAAAGATCTGGTGCATGCCTCGTCATATCCACAAAAACACCCCGTCCTTTCTCAACACCTGCCAACCTTTCCTCTCCCTTCACCACACGCCCACGTTTACTGGTGGTCTGTGACTCGTTTGCTCGTGATTTTCTGCCTCGACTGTCGGGCATCAGGAGCGCTTAATATCTTCCTTTCCACCTTTTTCTTTTTTTCTCTCTCTCTCTGCTTCTCTACCCCCACATTTTCCTGCCCACCATGGATGCTCGTCAGGTGCTGCAGAGCACCTTGTCGCCTGGTACGTGATTCTATCTGAGACTATTTGAACCTGCGGCTGCTTGCGGGCACTGCAGGGGAAATTAATTTTTAAAAGGAGGAGACCAGCTGACCCTTTCCTCCCCCAAAATAGATGCGTCAGAGCGTTCCAACGCTGAACAGCAGCTGGCTCACGCCGCGGAGGTCGACTTTGTAAGTGATGATCCCATTTTCTGTACAGCCCTTGTGATATTCGAAAAATTACTGCGATGGAGTCACGGAGAAGGCTCGAGTACACCGGTAACCGACTTGCCCGCTAACGCTCTTTTGTTTTTCTCTTTCTTTCCTAGGCTGTCTACCTCGTTACCCTAGGCCAAGAACTAGCCAACGATACCACCCCTGCCCATATCCGTGTTGCTGCCGGTATCGCCCTTAAGAACGCTTTCACTTTCCGAGACCAGGCCAAGCTGCGTGAAGTGCAGTTACGATGGGCCACACAAATCCCCCAAGAGACCAAGGGTCAGGTCAAGGAGCTTGCGCTCAAGACCCTGCACTCCGATACTCGAGCCGGAAGTGCCGCCGCCACATTGATCGTTTCGATTGCCTCCATCGAGCTGCCTCGAGGCGAGTGGCCCGATTTAATGAACATCCTCGTACAGAACGTTGCCAGCGGCAGCGACAACCTTAAGCAGTCATCCCTCGCCACCATTGGTTTTATCTGTGAATCTCAAGATGCCGATCTTCGCCAGAGCCTGACCGCACACTCCAATGCCATCTTGACTGCTGTTGTGCAGGGTGCTCGTCGTGAGGAACCCAATATGGATGTCCGTTATGCTGCTATTGCTGCCCTCAGTGATGCTGTTGACTTCGTTCGTACCAACATGGACAACGAGGGTGAGCGAAACTACATTATGCAGGTCGTCTGCGAGGCTACACAGGCCGAGGAGGTCCGTGTGCAGGCTGCTGCTTTCGGCTGCTTGAACCGAATTATGGGCGCCTACTACGAGAAGATGCGCTTCTACATGGAGAAGGCTCTGTTTGGCCTTAGCATCATGGGAATGAAGAGCGAGGAAGAGGAGGTTTCCAAGCTTGCCATCGAGTTCTGGTGCACTGTTTGCGAGGAGGAGAGCGCTATTGAAGATGATAATGCCGAGGTATGTACTCCAAACGACGGAGCCATTTCAATTTAGACGTCTTGCTAACCTTCGATTTTTTCTTCTAGGCCCAACAAGAAGGCGGCGAGGCTCGTCCATTCTTCGGCTTCGCTCGCGTTGCGACTCGCGAGGTTGTCCCAGTTTTGCTGCAGACTATGTGCCGCCAGGACGAGGATGCCACTGACGATGAGTACAATGTTTCGCGCGCCGCTTACCAGGCTCTTCAGCTCTACGCTCAGTGCGTTCAGGGTGATGTTATCCAGCCTGTCGTGTCTTTCGTTGAGGAGAATATCCGCAACGAGGACTGGCACCGTCGTGATGCCGCCGTCGCTGCATTCGGTGCTATCATGGATGGCCCCGAGCCCCATGTTCTGGAGCCTCTGATCAAGCAAGCTCTGCAAGTTCTGATCGGTATGATGGAGGACAGCTCTATCCAGGTCCGCGACTCCACTGCCTATGCTTTGGGTCGCGTTTGCGAGTGCTGCCCTGAGGTTCTGGACCCCGATGTTCATCTGCAGCCTTTGATCTCTTCCCTCTTCAACGGCCTTGCTAGCAGCCCCAAGATTGCCAGCTCTTGCTGCTGGGCTCTGATGAACGTCGCTGACCGCTTTGCCGGCGACGGTGGTTCTCAGACCAACCCTCTCTCCAAGCACTTCGAGGAGAGCGTCCGCTCTCTTCTTACCGTCACTGAGCGCCAGGATGCTGATAACCAGCTGCGTACCGCTGGATACGAAGTTCTGAACTCCTTCGTCATGAACTCTGCTCACGACAGCTTGCCCATGGTTGCCAATCTCTCCGAAGTTATTCTTCAACGCCTCCAGCAGACTATTCCTATGCTGCAGCAGGTTGTCAGCACCGAGGACCGTATCCTCCTCGAAGAGATGCAGACTAGCCTGACCAGTGTTATCTTGGCCATTGTCCAACGATTTGAAGTCGACATTAAGCCCCAGGCTGACCGTATCATGTCTATTCTGATCCAGGTCCTGCAAAGTGTTGGTGCCAAGTCTAGTGTTCCCGATGTTGTCTTCGCCACTGTTGGCGCTATTGCCAGCGCTCTTGAGGATGACTTCATTCAGTACATGGAATCTTTTTCTCCTTTCCTGTACAACGCACTGGGCAACCAAGAAGAGGCCGGTCTGTGCTCCATGGCCATTGGTCTTGTCAGTGACATTGCTCGTGCCTTGAACGACAAGGTTCAGCCATACTGCGACAGCTTCATGAACCTGTTGCTGGGCATTCTCCGTACCTCCACCAACCAGCTCAAGCCAGCTATCTTGGAGACCTTCGGTGACATTGCTCAGGCTATCGGCACTGCTTTCGACACCTACCTCAGCGTTGTCGGTGGTGTCCTCCAGCAGGCCTCCTCGGTCACCACTAGCTCTGATCTGCCATACGATATGGTGGACTACATTGTCTCGCTGCGCGAGGGTATCATGGATGCCTGGGGTGGTATCCTGCTCTCCTACAAGGGTACACCTCAGATCACCCAGCTCCAGCCCTTCGTCGAGTCCATCTTCCAATTGCTTCACATTATCTCCCAAGAGGGTAACCGAAGCGAGGGATTGATGCGCTCTTCCATGGGTGTTCTTGGCGATCTTTCTGATGCCTTCCCTAACGGCGAGCTGGCTGCCTTCTTCCGTAACGAGTGGGTCACCACTCTTGTCCGCGAGACTCGCTCTACCCGCCAGTACAGCTCTCGTACCATTGAGACTGCCCGCTGGACCCGTGAGCAGGTCAAGCGCCAAATCAACATGAGCACCGGAATGGCTGCTTAAGCATGTTTAAGCTTTCATCCGACTGCTTACTGAACTTCCACTGGCCATGCCTTTTGTTCCAGCGATGCTCCAATCGCGTGGAACAGACCTCCAAGGCTTTGGTCATGAACCGTTTACGGGTGCTATGACTTCCCGGTCCTTTGCATCCACCCTTCGTCCAGCGCAACCTGGACTCCGCTCCAATGGATGGTGAGGTTTCGTTTTATCGTTGCTTCTGAGCAGCTCTAAACAAGTTGTTGTTTCTATTCAATTCACCACCCTCTCCCACGAGCTTCGAGATTCCCACTTTCTTCATTCACAATTCCACCCCATTACCCGGTCTTCCATGTACCCCCAATTCCCTTTGATGACATTTACACATGAACCCCGCCTCACCTCCATTCCCCTCATGCCTTGTGTTTTGAGTTCTTCTTGATAAAAACCACTTTATCTCTTACCTTCCCACTTCTACGTCGTTTTTCTAATTAGACAAGACCCCTTCGCATCCTATAGCATTTCCCAGCCCCTTCATGTAGCCCAAGACCTCATGTATCCTCCCTTTCCCCAAATTATCAACCTCATGTATCCCCAATTATGTAACCCTGAACCCATACCTTCCCACCCTGAGAAAAGAATTGTTCCATCAAAAGCTGTTCCACTTTACCTACTATTACCTCCTCGTATGCTCCGACCTTCCTCCCTGACGCCCATTCCCATGCCCATGCTGTTGCACTGGACTATATCTGTCAAATCTGTATAAACATATCAATTGGCCTGATGATGAATGCTAGGATTGAATGCTGCCGAATGCGTGCCCGGAGAGGCGTAGAGAGTCTGGGCCATTAAGTACCTTGGATCGAGATAGACCTCTGGGGACTTTAGATTCTTATGACCAAAGCATTCCTAGAGCTTTGTAGGAGTTGAATGTAAATATTGTCTGAGCCATGTGCCTTTTGCTCACGAATCATCGCACTCTTCTGTTTTGCCCTGGTTATCACAATCATCCGTAACCATAATCATCTAGTCAACTGGAGCTGATAGCTCACACCTAAATCCCAAGGCATCGGCTAACCAGTTTAGGAAAGCATGGAAGCGACATAATCTATCATCACGTGACCTGGTCAGCAAAGGTCCGATAAGGGCTACCGTGGATCCTAACCCTAGGACCCGCACAGTCAGCAGAACCCAAACTTCACCCGTCGAACTTTTCACTCCCGACACGCCAACCAACCGACGGATCAGTCAATTCGAGGTATGTACGCCCTCATCGCCCTCGTTTCTCACCAGCCTTACAGCTAGTCTGGGAGAGCAATCATTCTGTCTGCACCTGTCTCACGACTCAACTCGATAATTTGAAAAATTCTGATGTGAATTTCAATTTCAATCTTGGGCACCGCGTTTCAGGAGGTCGTGCAGAATGATACGCATCTCCCATCCGGCACGGGCTGAAGAACTCCTTTTATAGGAAGGGGCACTCTTTACGCTCGAGGACTAGTTGATGGCTGACTTTACCGGTTCTTCGGTTTAAGTAGATACCTCTTATCCCTTCATAACCGATTTGAGAATCTCGATTCCCTACCGCCAAAATGGTCAAGACTTCCGTCCTCAACGATGCGCTTAACGCCATGAACAACGCCGAGAAGGCTGGCAAGCGCCAGGTTCTCATCCGTCCTTCCTCCAAAGTCATCGTCAAGTTCCTCACTGTTATGCAGAAGCACGGTACGTCGGGAGAAGACTTTTTTTTTGCTTTTCTTTTTCTTGTCTTTTGTCTTCTGTGTTTGTGTGTGTGTGGTAGTTTTGGGGTGGTGGTCGGGCTGATAACTAGGCGGATTGTTTCAAATAACCCACGACGTTTGCCTTTTAAGTGTCCGATAGATTATACTGCGAGGATCTTACATGTTTCCAGGCGCTATTTCTGTTTTTGGCGACTTTTAAATCTTTGCAACATACTGATATCTTTTCTTTCAGGCTACATTGGCGAGTTCGAGGAGGTCGATGACCACCGCTCCGGCAAGATTGTCATCCAGCTGAACGGCCGGTAAGTTTCACTCGAAGATACCTCTTTAATCAATCTCAATACTAACAATCCCCTTCAGTCTCAACAAGTGTGGTGTTATCAACCCCCGCTACCCCGTCCAGCTCCGTGACCTCGAGAAGTGGGCTACCCAGCTCCTTCCTTCTCGTCAGTTCGGTTACGTCGTCCTGACCACCTCCGCTGGTATTATGGACCACGAGGAGGCTCGCCGCAAGCACGTTGCCGGTAAGCTCCTCGGTTTCTTCTACTAGATGGAGTCGTTTTAGAAACGAAATAAAAAGAAAAGTTATTCTTTTGACTGGACTCGCATGATACTTGGGCTGGACCCTGGGAATGTAATCTAGTAGCGGATAATACCCCGTCTGTGATGGCTTGCAGAGTACAATGGTTCATATTCAAATGCCAGGTGCTTCTGGTCTATAAAGATATATTGTGTCACTGTAGAAAGATTATATAAGATCGACCAGCTTGATATAAATCTCGCGTTTCATCTGTAGTATTTATGCAACATCTCTGATCAAATGTTTCGGACCGAGGCCCATATTCACCGCCCCCTTTCTGCCCCTGATATACAATCTTCCCCGCAAGCAATTGATAACTGACATATCTCGCTGTGCTCATCATGCCTCTGGATACGATCTATCTCACTCGCCATGGGGTACGTATTCTTTATAGATTTTTTATTCCTTGAAGCCACCGATTAAGTGAACTAATTACCCCCAGCACCGTCTCAATTGGACAATCGATCTCCGAACCGGCACCTACAAATCGCAGTTCCCAACGCCAACAGGAAATCCGGCGGACCCGGCGCTGACATCGTACGGCATACGTCAGTCGCACGAACTTGGGAGACATATCAATAGTGCGGGGTTTCATCCGAAGCCTTTTCGGGTGTACTCTAGCCCGTTCTATCGGTGCTTGCAGACGATTCAGCCATCTGTGGAGGAATTGAAGAAGAATCATGCTTCAATTGGTTTAGATGACCAGTCCAATCATACTGAGAAGGGGCATATAGACCCAGCTTCAAACTATGATGTGCGCATAGAGAATGGTCTCGGGTTAGTCTCGCTCCACACCCCCTCCACACCATCAATACAAAACACACCCCAAAAAACCCAATCTCAAAGAATACTAACAACGATGTATGTAATAGAGAATGGTTCGGCCCAACAACATTCTTCAAACACCCACCCCACCCAACCGTCGAAGAAATGCACCAGCACTTCCCCTCCCTCGTCCCTTCATCCACCCAAAGAACCTATACCCCCATCCTCCACCCATCCCGCCGCGGAGAAACAATCCTAGAACTCCATAACCGCGTCGCAACAGCCCTAGCCGGTATAATCACCGACGTAGACGCCGAGATAACAGCTCTAGAAGCTGAAATCCCACCCGAGCACCGAACAAGCAAATCAGTCCTAATCTGCGCCCATGCCGCATCACTTATTGCAATGGGCCGAGTATTAACTGGTAAAATGCCCGATGATTCGTCCGAGGAAGACTTTTTTGTATTCACGGCTAGCATGAGTACGTTTCGGCGACGGGGGACTAAAAAGGATATTGTTGAGTCGGGGGGTGTGTTGGCTGAGGAGACGAAGCTTTTGAGAGCGGAGGGTGTCCCTATGTGGATTGGGGATGGAGTTGGGGGTGGGTGGGATTGTTTGAAGAATGGGGATTCTAGTTTTTTGAGTGGAGGGGCTGAGCGTGGATGGTAAGTTTGACATTCTCTTTTTTATGACTGATGGGGTGCATTGTTTGGTTGGTACTAATTTCGATGTTGTTTAGGCATTTCAATGGAGAGGAGTCGTTCGATACTGGACCTATGGCACCACCGTCGGAGCCACCTACTGGCGCTTCACTCGGAACTAAGCTTTAAGCTTATTTTGTTATCATTCCGTACTTGGTTCTTTTGGCTTTGGCTTTTGTTTTGCATATAGAGTTATATATATGCAAGTTTGTCTTGCATTGGGTTTTCACAAGCCCCATTTCGTTATTTTCATGAGTATCATGATGAAATGCTATTCATGACAAAGGTCCAATGGAAATTTCCAATCTATCAGAGATATCTAGGCACATTAAACGAATTTCCCCTTGTAAACACCACTGCTGAATTTTCTATTACTATTACAAACTCCCAGCGATCGCGGGACCCATCTCGCGCCTTTCAATGACATCTCCGAGGATACCCGCTATGTGGGTCTATCAATTCGACCCATCATGTCATAGTATTCAGGAAGAGAGAGAAAAAAGTTAAACAGCTCGAAAAAAACTCATCGCTGATACGCTAATTTTAAATCAATCTCGCGGCAGGTTCACTTGAGAAAAAAGAAACTATTGGTCCTGAATCAAAGCGACCCAGTATAATACGCTGGCCCAAGCGCAGCAGCACCGGAATCGGCATTTAACGAACTTGATTAAATCATCAGCTTATGGCAAATTGACTCATTAGCTACAACTAAAACCACGAACTTCGCTCAAAACCGGACACCCTGGATTGAAAAATATTCCTCTACTCAATCAAAAACACTACCCAGAGTAGGTAGGGAGACCACAAAATGGCAACAATCACTCAAACACAACCTAGCACAGCAATTGAGCTCCCAAATCTAGATCCACAAGGCGAACGGCAACGAAACGTTCCCAACGCTGTGGACGCCACTCAAGATGAGATTATGCAGCAGTCTCTCATTGCTGACTCCCAAGTCCCCGATGGCGGATACGGATGGGTCGTTATTTTCGCCTGCGCAGTCGTGACTTGGTGGTTTGTCGGATCATCCTATACTTGGGGTGTTATGCAAGCTGCTCTCGTTGATAAAATGGGCTACTCGTCTTCTACACTTGCGTTTGTGGGTTCTTTATGTCCAGCTTGTATTTCTTTACTTGCTGTGCCGAATGCGACTATTATTCGGAAGATTGGGCCGCGGCCTACGGCGCTGCTGGGTATTTTTTTACTTGGGTTGGGGAACATTCTTTCTGGGTTTGCGACACATAGTGTTGCGGGTTTGTTTATGACTTTTGGGTTTGTTGGGGGTCTTGGTACGAGTTTGTGTTTTATGGTATGTTTATTGTTGTATATCACATGTGCAGTGTTGTGTTGTGTTGATATTGATGGTTGCTCAGGTTGTTTCTGTTACGCCGGCACAATACTTCAAGACTAAGCGGGGTATTGCGAATGGAATCGTCTATGCAGGGGGTGGTCTTGGTGGAACAGTGATAAGTTTCATTCTGAATTCGCTATTAGAGAGCGTGGGAATTGCATGGACTTTCCGAATCATGGGATTCCTGATTATCGCAACAGGGCTACCAGCCGCATTCCTAATCAAGGAACGAGTACCAGTTCGACCAACAAAGATGCTAGAATGGTACGTTCCATCTACAACCTACCGCCACTGCAACAGATAAGCTAACAAGTCCTAGGAGCCTCTTCCGTGATGTCCGCTTCACACTCCTCTGGCTAACAGGTGCAATTGGAACATTCCCTCTTTTCGTTCCGGCCTTCTTCCTCCCCCTCTACACAAACTCACTTGGACTCTCCTCCAGCGCCGGAGCAGGTCTAGTAGCAGCCTGGAACTTCTCCTCCGCAATCGGGCGTCTATCATGCGGATTCGCGTGTGATAAGCTCGGCTCGCTAAACACTCTCTTCCTCTCGCTGCTACTTAGTGCGTTGAGTCTGTTTGTACTGTGGCCTATTTCTAACTCCATTGGACCTTTGGTTGCATTTGTGATTATTAATGGATCTGCTAATGGCGGATTCTTCTCTACCATGCCTACTGTTGTGGGGAATGTCTTTGGTTCTGCGCGGGTATCTGTTGCTGTTGGGATGATTGTTAGTGGGTGGCTTGGAGGGTATCTAATGGTGAGTTTATGCACTTACTTCAAATTGCTTGAGGATATTGAGTGGGATATCATGATTTGGTTATTAACAGTGTTTTTAGGGTGCTCCTATTGCCGGTTATATTCTCAATGCCTCCGGAGGAGAGTCGAGTGGTGCGGGTGCTTATCGACCTGCTATTTTCTATGCTGGATCTATGGCGACGGTGGCGACTGTTTTGGCCGGTTTGGTGCGTATCAAGGTTGATCGGAGACTCAAGAAGACGGTTTAGATGTGTTGCTGTGAAAAATACCGTGGCCCTTTCGACTATTAATGAGGGAAATATGTGTAGATGGTGAACAAAAGTATCTACAGTCATGTTATGAATTTGAAAATTATCTAGAGTCCTTGAGCATTGCAAATATTGTAGTAATATGTACGGGGGACTATAGCGGCCAGCTGGAAAAAGCCTCTTTGGCCCTATATAACACTACCGCTTAGTACACCACTATCTGCACTGGAAGCGCTATATAGATGAAAGAACGACTAGAAAGACGAGTAGAAGGACGAGTAGAAAGACGAACCAAAAAACAAATACTTAACCCTCTTTTATCTTCCAATTAGAAAGGTTGTTCAAGTTTGAAAATGAATCATATTGATGATACTATGATATCTCACATGAAACGCTGATTATGGAGAACACAGTGCTAAACTTCAAAGATTGATGCAACATTCGTCGATTTTCGTTGAAAGAAAAGTGCCATGACATAATTGGGCATTCGATAACTCTAAGGCAGAGTAGCTCGAGGTTGGTTTTCAGCGGCCACCTGAGGTCGAGCATGAGATTGCTCCTGGACCTGACCCTGCTCCTGCTCCTGTTGACCTCCGGGTGCATTTTGGCCCTCTGACTGCTGAACATTCTGCTCATCCGACTGCCGACGCTCTTCTTCTACCCGCCGCTGCTCAGCTTCGGCCTCAGCAGTACTGCGAGCTTGGACTTGACGTTCGCCAATTCCTGGAACCAAGCTGGCAAGAAGAAGAACTATTGAGCGCTCAGCACGCCAAATGTAGTCCATAACATCGCCTATGACGGCCCGAGGACGAGGCTGCTCAGTAGGCTCATCAACAACCGCAAGTCGTTCAAGATGGCGTTGCATTGGATTGACCAGCAACCTAAGCGCCTGGTGGGGGAGCTCAGAGTCCGACAAAAGAGAGATGAGGACCGCGGCAGTAACAAAGATAATGCGAGTCCAGGTGCCAGATTCACTGATCATGTAAATGAAGAAATAAAGGCGGACGAATAGCCAGATGCGACGAATATGTCCCCCGGCACCACCGTTTGCTGCCTCATTCTGACGACGCTGTTGATTGATGACTGCTTGGTGCACGACGTTTTGAACGTGAGCTTCATTTGGTCGGGCTTCTCCTCCTCCTCCGGGCGCAACATTTGGCCCAGTGAAGGGTACGGTACGGGTAGGATCCAACGGCGGAAGTGCGGAATGACCCACGCTCAAAGCTGGCGCTGTAGTCCCTAGCGATACCACAAGACTCTGGTTTCCTTCCGGCGATCTGGCAAGATACACGCGAGGGAATTCGCTCGTAATATTTGATTGACCATTCAAGGAAGTAGACAGAGACAGAATGCCGCGTGACCAGTTCTCATGGCGTTCAAAAAGGAGAGAGATGCGTCCATCCAGAAATTCAAGCTCCCTGTTCAAGACTACCGGACTCACAGACGGAGGGTTGCGTCGGGCGTCGTGAATGATTTCGGATTGAAGTAGGCGTAGATTAGCTAGAGTCTCAGCCGACGGGATAAAATGTCTATCCATCTGCTGGTGGACCTCTTCAACCTGTAGACGAAAGATTTGAAGCTGGTGGTCCATATCACCTGTCGAAGATCCTAAGGGAGTTTCTGAGCCAGTTTGACACGGTCTACAGGAGTGAATACGAGAACCGTCTGTGGTCCCCGCATTGAGCCCCGTCGAAGTTGACGAGCTGGATTCTGAACGAAGGTTGCTAAACCGGTTCGTGAAAGAGTGTACAGGGCCAAAGTTTTGGAAAGTGTCTGGGGTCGTGTTGACAACTGTCGGTGTTGGTGAATTGCCACGAAAGAAGGTGCCCGCTCTACCAGAGAAAGGAGATGGCCGTGCGCCTTCAGGCGGCGCACCGAATGAGCTAGTACTGCCGAAAAGTCCTTCTCGGGGGGCAGATGTCATCCGAGAGCCTTCCCCGCTGCCAATTGCCGAATCCAAGTTTGAATTAGGGACGGGACCAAAAAGTCCCTGTCCACGAGGAAGTTCATTCGTCTGACTGTGAGTTTGACCGGTGGAGTGAGCTTGCTCGGCCATGTTATTTGGATTTCCAAAAGGACGAGATAAAGGGTCAGTCCAGTCTGCCACAGCAGGTGCAGATGTAGCCACAGGTGCAGCGGATGGAGGTAGGATGAGATGCATCGTGTACTCATCTCCCTATGTTCGATTTAGATCAGATGGGATGGGATGGATATAGGAATAAATAACTGTACTTACATCGAGGGGGGCGAGTACTTGTGCAAGGGTTGAGGAGTCAGCTGTCAAATTGAAGTTCCTACCCCGGAAAATCAATCTCTGTTCTGCAGGTAATGGATGCGTTGGGATAGCTGTTTGAATGCGTGATCTGAGACTCCCAACTGTATCATCAAGGAAAACGAAGGGTATCGTGTAGCGGCTCGTGGGAGAGAGAGAGGGACACAGGATATGGATTTTTATCATTTTATTTGGCACAGGGCCTGCATCCCCATTCTCTCCAGACTTGCTTGAAGACATGGTTGGAATCAGAACGACAAGGATGGAGTTGGTGTCGAGAAGATGTTGGTGAAAGAGATGTGAGAGCTCAATCAAATTGGTTATGGCAAATAATTTCTGAACATGTGATCACAGATGTTGCAAATCTGAACAAGGCGGTAAGAACAGACTTCCAAGAAAGTAATTTGAAAGTGAGCAGAGCCTGCAGTTCTCAGATGCTTCAACAGTGATGTAAGAACACAGCGCGCCCCAGGGACTTAAATGTTGATAATGATATTGGACATCTGGCTAAAAGGTGTTAATAAATGTAGGTGGTCGAATGGTTCGTTGGTGTATAAGCAATTGGAAGAGTAGAATTTTCAAGAACAGTTCATTTACAGAAGTTGGTGACACTTCAATCCATGAAGGTCATAGAAAGAGACCGCGTGCCTGAGTTGAATGATGTGATGTTGGAGATCTGGCCGAGACGGGCTGATAGCCGATAAGAGCGGGAAGTCCAAGCTTTGACGGCACTATACAGTATATAGCCTATAGGGGAGCATAGCTGCCAGCGGGAGAAACCCCCTTGGCCATATATAACCTTTACCGCCTCTTACACCGCTATCTGTACTGTAAGCTCCACACCGATAGAAAACCAAGTGATAAGGCAAGTAGAAAGAGGATTAGAAAGACAAGTGAAACCAGTAGGAAGATAAATAGAGAATCATCTTTTGAAAATACTTTATTTCTTACTAAGATAGTGGGTTTAAAAGCAAAAGGGATTATATCCTAAAGATATATATTAAAATAATTTGTAGGCTTGAAGCTTCAAATGTTAACTTCGTGATATACGGGGGCTATAGGGATGTTACTATATTACGGGTATTGCGGTTTTCTGCCGGCCTGAAATAGGCCAAAATGGGTTTCCCTCTATGACCGCTATAGCCCCCCATAGAGGATTAAGTTAAGTCAGTAGTTGGTCAACTCTTGAACAAAGCCATTGTGATTCAAACAGAAGAGAAACCCCCAAAAAAAAGTGGAATCCTTAGAGCTTTCTGAACAATAGAAAAAAGCTAACATCAATGAAACTGATACAAAACATTGAAAGGGCCAAGGGAACTAAATCCACGTGCCTAAGGCGGTGAGGTTCATGTCGCGTGCAAAATCCGCGCAAAAAAGGGGACAAATCACGTTCCGCCCTAACGAAAAAGCCTCGGAGAAAACCCTTTGCACAGCCTGAGCGCTGATCTCAATGGATTGATTTCCCAGTATGGCCGGGCGCCTTCTTCATCACTCTTTTCCCCTCCGCTTCTCAACTGCTCCTGTCACTGGGGCCGCTGCGTCGATGGAGGTCCTGTCTTTTCGGGCCGTGGCCCGCAACAAGGCCAGCGTCCGTCAATTTTCCTCGAAAGGCTGGCGTCAATATCAAAAAGATCATAATTCAGAACACCAAAAATCGGGCTTTGGGTCTCGACTACGATTTGCCCTACGAAACACTAAGGTGGAATGGTATCCTATTCCCGTGGGACTCGGAATAGGGTTGTTGGGGGTGTTACACTTTTACAAGTCGCATCGGGCGGATCGTGATCGTGGAGATGGAGACGACTCCGGAGAAGTCTGGGAGAATGGAGCTCGACCACCTCGTCGACCACGAGTTGTGCCGACAGGATCCTGGCAGGTCCAGATCATGTCGACCTTGCCCCTGAAAGCCATGTCGAGGTTATGGGGCCGTTTCAACGAGATCGAACTGCCATATTATTTCCGTGTACCGGGGTTCAAGCTCTATTCGTGGGTCTTTGGCGTGAACCTTAGCGAAGTGGCAGAGCCAGACTTGCATGTTTACCCGAACCTGGCAGCTTTCTTTTATCGCAAGTTGAAACCGGGTGTTCGTCCTCTTGATCCGGATCCTCGCGCTCTTCTCTCGCCTTCCGACGGTCGCGTCTTGCAGTTTGGAATGATTGAGCGGGGAGAGGTGGAACAAGTCAAGGGCATGACATACAGCTTGGATGCTTTGTTGGGAACTGCCACACCTGCCAACGCCGATCACAGCAATCGACTTTCCGATACCAACGGCGAACCGACCCAAAAAGACGTGGAAAACATGAAGTCCGATGAGGAGTTCGCGTCTATGAACGGAATCTCTTACACTGTCCCCGGCTTACTTTCAGGTGCCGCAGATGAACCAGCCAAGCGACGAGCCTCGATTGATGCATCCACCGCCTCCAAAGCGACATCGGAAATCCAAGTACAAGAGGAACTTGCGCGAGGAGATGGTACAGAGTGGTACGCACCCAAGAAGGCCGCCAACCACGCTCTTTTCTATTGTGTGATCTACTTGGCACCTGGCGATTACCACCGCTTCCATTCCCCCACCGCCTGGGTTGTCGAAAGTCGTCGCCACTTCGCGGGCGAGTTGTACTCCGTCTCTCCCTACTTACAACGTCACCTACCCGGTCTATTTACTCTTAATGAACGTGTTGCATTACTTGGTCGTTGGCGATGGGGATTCTTCAGTTACACACCTGTGGGTGCAACCAACGTGGGCTCAATCAAAATCAACTTCGACTCGGAGCTACGCACCAACAGTCTGTTGACTGACACAGCTGCCGACTTGGCCGCCGCGGTGGCCGCCAAGCGCGGAGAAAAAGATCCCGGTTTCGTCGAGGCTACCTATCGTCACGCTAGTCGTACACTCGGTGGGCACCCGCTGCAGCGCGGAGAAGAGATGGGTGGATTTCAACTTGGTAGCACCGTTGTCTTAGTATTTGAAGCACCGCTCAGCAGTCGACCATCTCCGGATGCAGGCTGGCCCGAGGAGAAGGAAGGTGATGGCTGGAACTGGAGTATAGAAAAGGGCCAGCGAGTTAAAATGGGTGAGAAGCTGGGATTTGTGGGGGATGCATGAGATAAGAAGAAAAAAAGATCCAGGTCCGGGACATCCTTGAGTGGAGGAAGTCTTGGGTGTTGCACTGCATGATGCGTATGATGCGCCTCGCGATGATGTCTTCAGCCCCTCCGATTATGTGTTTGTATTTTCTTGTAATATATCCCTAGTTTATTATTGTTTTATTTAAAAGGAATCCCGTAAATAGTGATTGAGATGTATATCTTAATCGAATTCCAATCATCTTTCTATACTCATGTCTCTGCTCTATACTAAATTAAGTAAATTAAGCAGATCAAATGCAACAAACGTGCTAACATGATCGATCCACTTTGATTTGCTGCTCTGATAAGCACAAAACCTTACATCATTGGCGGCTCCACTTGGGCTTGTTGTACCTTGAAAATCTGGGTTTCTCCGTGCTCCTTACTCCGGATTGATGTACATGCAGTAGGACATCACGACATCTTATCAGTGTACGCGTAGTTGAGGAGTTATTTCTTGGCTATAATACTATGAAATGTCCAGGGGCAAATTAAATTATAAACCCCAGATACATTTAAGATTTACGACGATCATGAAATCATAAATACGAAAAAGAACCGCGAGAACCTTGTAGGCTATCGCAAGCCAAGTTTGGTTACGTAGACCAAGGTTCTAGGGTGAATCTTGATTGACAGCTTCGCCCCGTTCCAGCGCTGGGCATTATTCCTCCTTCCTTTCCTTGCCTTTGTCGCCTCCCCATTTCCAATCCCAGGAAGAGATCCAAAAAAATAGAGAACAATTCTATTCTTCTCTTCTCCCCCCCCACCCCACATCGCCTTCATGGCCATTTTTACAGCTCCTCGCTCCTTGAACAATGTCCTCGCCCAGGACCCTTTTGGGTCCAGCCTTATCGCAGGCGCCAACATGCAAATCCAAGCTAGCCACCCTTCCTTTTTCCACCTCGTCCTACTCGTCTTCGAAGCTGTCTTGGAGGTAGTATGCGTCTCTTTACCAGGCTACCTCGTAGCCCGACAAGGGCTCTTTGACGCTGAAGCCCAAAAGTTCGTCGCGAACCTGAACGTGATGCTCTTCACTCCTTGTCTGAGTATGTCCACCCTTATCATTGCCTTATCGCGATCGTCGCGATCACCCCATCCATGGATTGCGACCATGTAATCATATCGCTAACGTATCCTAGTCTTCATCAAGCTCGGCTCCCAATTGACCGCGGAGAAACTCACCGATCTCGCGATCATCCCTGTGATCTTCATTGTTCAAACTGCCGTGTCCTACTCGTGCGCATTTATTGTCACACGATGCTGTGGTTTCAGGAGACGCCAGTCCAATTTTGTGACTGCGATGGCGGTACGCTATCACCTTCCCTTATCTGGATAGCTTCCCTGCACATGTGCTGATCCCGGAACTGTGACCAATAAACAGGTGTTCGGCAACTCTAATTCCCTCCCAATCTCCTTGGTGATTTCACTCTCAGCAACCTTGAAAGGCCTCCATTGGCATCGCGTCCCAAACGATAATGACGATGAAGTCGCCGCCCGCGGTATATTGTACCTCCTCATTTTCCAACAGCTAGGTCAACTTGTACGGTGGAGCTGGGGGTACCATGTTCTCTTAGCGCCGAAGGACCGGTACCTCGAGGAGGAGGAACGCGAAGAGACAGGCCAAACCGTGATTGAACAGGGCCAAGCTCGCTATACCGATAACCCGATACAAACGGACCCCGATGAGCCGCTGGTGCGCACCCGCAGCTCCGAAGATCACCATCATGCATCCAACGGCCATGCAGACGGCGGAAATTTCGAATCCGGAGGTCAAACTCCGGTATCAAGTCGGGCTTACAGCTACAGCAAGGTCTCCTCCACACACTCCGACGAGGAGCCCGACTCTGACGATCCACCATCTGTCATCGGACCACCACCTATGGGTCCCTTCCTCCCCCGACCCAGCACAGACGGCAACATTCTCCTATTCCCCGATGTAGAAGCCACAGCTCGAGAAACCCACCAGACGAAACAAACCTACGCTCAGCGTTTCAAAGCATCTATCCGCCGACGCAGCTCCCACTTACGCCGCTTCTTCTCCCAAAAAAGCGATGCACTGTACGCCCGTCTCCCTACAAAGGCGCAAAAGACCATCTCATGCACCGCACGGTGGATCTGCCGCTTCTTCCGCGGAGCATGGGACTTCATGAACCCTCCCCTGTGGGCCATGCTAGTCGCCATCATCATCGCCTCGTTCCCAGCACTCCAGCACCTCTTCTTCGACGACGGCACCTTCATCCGCAACTCTGTAACACGAGCAGTGGAACAAAATGCCCAGGTTGCTGTTCCGCTGATCCTAGTCGTGCTAGGCGCTAATTTAGCCCGGAACACGCTGCCGGAGGAAGCGCTCGCTGACATCGAGCATCCAAAGGCAGAGCAGAAGCTCATTATTGCCTCTTTGCTTGCACGGATGTTTCTACCCACGCTTATCATGGCGCCGCTGTTGGCGTTGATGGCTAAGTTCGTCCCGATAAGCATTCTGGATGATCCTATCTTTATCATTGTCTGCTTCTTGCTTACTGGTGCACCGTCGGCATTGCAACTTGCGCAGATTTGCCAGATCAATAATGTCTACGTTGGTGCTATGTCTAAGCTTTTATTCCAGAGCTATGTTGTTTGGTATGTCACTCTTCATCCTTTCTTTAACAAGTGAAATGTCAACAAAACTAACCTATTTAGGATTCTTCCTTCAACTCTCATCCTCGTCATGTGTGCACTCGAAGTCCTGGAATGGGCCGCCTAATTCATGCACATTCATTCTTGTATCTGTATAATGCGAAACGAACCTACTTAGTCTCTTACCTTTACCTTGTCGTTGATTATCAGCCTGATACATATTTTCTTTCGCTTGGGCGGTGCATAATTGGGAGTCGGCGTTGAACATATTCTTAGTGAAATCTTTACAGCTTCGGCTATTGATATAACTCCTACATAGATGTGCAAAAGTCATTGTCAGGTACTTCTATCTATCCTGTCTATCTTTATCCCATGTGTTTATGAGTTCACGAAGTAATAAGTGTGTATGTAAGATACCCAGTCCAAAGACTCCTATCTGCGTAGTCTTGACTGCCTACTCCCCTACACGTCTTTCTCCATGTTCTTGCACACATTCGTACGCACATGATCCTTCAGCATTGAACTTGAAGTTGTCATTATGATATTCCCGCTCTTTCGAATTACCCGGGTGGTAGAGACAATTGCCTAGTGTATGGTATGGACAGTATCTATCGGAGAATGTGTGGGTATACCGTAACGGTGGCTACAATCGAGATCAATCAGTCAATAATTCTTCAACCCCAGCAATCCCATATTATAGAGAAATGAGGCCCCAAACCCCATCCCTCCTCCACGATAGCCTTGGCAAAGTCCTTCTCTTCAGCCATGATGGGCTCCACACAGTACAATTAGCTTGATTTCTACCAGACATCGTTCAATCATTTCTTCAATTAGTTCGATTCCATTGGAATTACTTACTGATGGTAATTGGATGGCAATTTGATGGTGATGGGATGAGAGGGTGACGTCGTGGGTTTGGTTTACGAGTACAAGTGAGAGAAAGCCTGAGGTTTTACATGTCTACAGCTGTGTCGTTCCTGCCGAAACCAGAACCAGAACAACACTACAAAATTGGAAAGAGCGAACATCATTATGTTCTTGCATACCTGTTGAATTAGGAAATATGTTGAACGCCGACTCCCAATTGCCAATCCTGTTCAAACTTGAAGTGCGGCCCGTGTAACCATGACCAAGATGGCCAGCCAAGCGGTCATTTACCAGCTACATCACAGGGTTCATCGGATATATTAATTCTGAGGCCACCTAAGCGCGTCAAACTGGAATCACAGTCAACAGAATTGCAGCCAATCAGCCGTTCAAATACTCGCCGCGACCAAGATGAAGAACCGCTGCCAAAACGCCGCTTGAATAGCTCCAGCGCTCAAGGCCAAGAGTACATCGACGAGCCAGAATTCGTGATTTCGTGACTCGCTGCCCTCCGGATCTACCTCCCCGCCATCGAGTACTCGCCCTCTTAGGAATATGTGATACTGACAATATGGCTCACTCTAGTGAAGATGGGTGGTTTTTTCAGGTTTTTATCAGTTTCATCATCTCCTTGAGCCTAAATTCCCTCGATGTGAGTAGTTTGTAGCCTTGGTGCTACCCACACTGTCTAATAAGTATGCTCATTAGCTCCAAACCAACTATGGCTTACCTGCGGAGGCCCCGCCGCACTTGTGGCTAAGTATGGCGAATTTATACATGTTGATTCGAAAGGAGACCGCCGAGTTGTTTTAGACAATGCAATTCTCCTTTGAATATCACCACAATAACCATTAATTCCTCTTTTACTTACGCATCCCCAATATTTTCATCCGCATAATTGCTGCAAATTAGATGCAATCACAGAGGCAGAATCCAAGGGCATTTGCCAGAGCTACGTGCAGTTCCTTTTGGCGGAAGCTGGCATCTCGCTGAACAGGTTTTCGAAACAATTTGGCTATGATTCTAAGAGAATTTGTAATATATGGAGCTGCTTTAGTTCAATTATTAATTTTGAGTCAAAAGACTTATATTGATTGTCTTTTGCGGCTGTATTCTGCCATCATTTGTACATAAATGAGGTTATCCACATGCAAACTTGCAAGTACAGATGTGAAGTCCTGTGACACCACATAGAGACATATGTGTTCACGTTGCTTACTTGCCGTTTCTTTTTACACCTCATCTTTTTTATTGTCGATATCATTGCTACCACCTTTGATTCGAACTTGAACCATTTCTCCGGCCGACTTTACATAACAGCAAAGTTGACTTTTCTCTTTCCCTTTCCCCAAACTCCGACTACACATATGAAAGTTTTGAGAGACAAGTCCATCCCTACAAACCCATCTGTCGTGCTAATAAATAATAAGGAATCATTAATCATTTGTTGCTTAGTACTATGCCTCTGCAGTAAGAAATACATTAAGTTGCTCCGCTACGGATTAAGATAGGTAAGAACTAACGTCTAGTTCCTAATACTTGTACATTTCTACCTAATTTTCTCTCCTTCTCTGCTCCGTCTTCACTCCATCACCTCCAACTACTGGTTTACCTGTACGCGAATTCTGTTCTTGTATACATGCATTGTCAATGCTACGTACACAGTTAACTCTTCCTTTCAAGATACCTGAGAGAATCTCATCGCTTGTGCCCTCTGGCAATTACACCCGTCTTCTTGAAGCCCGAAACCGAGCGGTCGTCTCAGCGTCCTCAGAGATTTCGGTGAAGTCGACGACTTCCGACTTTCTTGAAGCAAAGATAAGAGCTATTGAAGATGACGACGCCTATATCAGTCAAATCAAAGCCGAGCTTGATAATATCAGCTCGCTGACTCTAAGCAGTATAGGAAAGGAAAGGAAATAGTCCCGTTAACCAGGAGGGTCCGGTCGAACCAGACAACAACAATTCGAGTTTTAAAACGACACGTCTCTATCGGTATAGAGAGAAGGTCTAAAAATGATAAATAATAACGTTAAAAAAAAGGGAAGAAGAGAGAGAGAGAGCTATACTACGTATATATAGGGAGCCCACTCTTGGACTAATCATCTGATTGATATGTATTCGAGAGTGGGTTGAACTAAGTAAACGTCTAAATATGCAAACATGCCTGCCGGCCGACCTCCTCCATATAGCTATACTACTTCCCCTAGACGGTCAACTAGGTGTGGCTACGCTGCGCTCCGCCAAATATACAGCATTAAGTGAGCTGTCAACCTAGGTACGGTTGACACTCATAGAGGGGCAAGAGGGCTTGATAGCGTAAACAAAATGTTAGAATACAAGAGTATCTTCAGTTCTATCTACATCGTCATCAGTTCTTACCTCAGCAGGATCATTGCTATCTTCATCTCCACAGACAACATCTCCTGCGTTACTGCCGCTAGTGTCATCTCCTACATTACCGCTGCCGAGTCTTACAAATCCTGCACAGCATGGATTCAGTCAGACAACCCTAAAGCTGGCGCATGAGATGCTCACATCTAGCCAACGTGCTGAAATCCACAGCTTTGCAACAACAGACCGACCTGTAGCGAGCGCACAGCGCCTGCAAGAAGGCCTCCAAGGGCTAGACCTCGTTATTTTCGCGATGCCAGCGGGTCCAGCACGCACCGCGATTGAGCAAATCAGACGACATATAATACTTAACGATGCCAATATTGATACCTGACTGCGTTCTATGCAATTATATTCTATTCGCTCCTGATTTTTTCTGACTGCGTTCAATCTTTTCTATTCTATTCTTCTACACAACAAACAAAGAAAATTATTATTTGCACGCGTTCGGGAAGCTCACCGAGGGTGTTGCTGTATTAGGAAGAAAGTGAATTCCATGAATACATAGCTATACAATTGGAAAGACATTAGAAAAGACATCAGCAAAGACATTAGGAAAGACATTAGGAAAGAGGTCCAGGAAGAGATTCAGGAAGAGATTTAGAATAACGGTCAATCTGCACATCTTGTGGACACTCCTATATATAGGTCTTCATAGATGGCCCCGGAAAGCGCTCATTCTGCAGTAGATGCTATACAGTATGTCGGTGCCGCTCGTCTTCAAGGTACTTTCGAAGAACTCGGCATTCCACAACGGCATGTGTTCATGATCCTGTGGACCCCCATCTCCGAGTCGCTTGGATTGAGTGGCTATGACTGGAAGAGCAAAGTCATCTTCATCGAATCGGATCACGATGGGCCAGTTGGGCAAATATGACGGGCTATACGAAATGGCGATTGTAAATAATATAAATAAACAAAATTCTTAAATTCTTATATATGGTCTTGTCTATTCTGAAAAAATGCCATTAATGGGTTAATATGGTTAATCGTTACTGCATTTGGATTATTTATTATACTTATACATGATGATACAAAGGAATGGTTGGCCTTGAATCACTTCCAAAGTTTAGGTAGAGACAGGACAGACCCCTTGTACAGACCTATCGTGAACGGATGTGTCGTCCGAACTTCCAATATCCATAAGCATCGCCATCCCAGTCGCATGATGCCACAGAACATGACAATGGAATAGCCAGATACCAGGATTATCAGCACGAAAGCGCAGGACAGCATATCCGCGACTGGGAATTTGGACTGTATCCCGCAAAGCGACGCGAGATAAATCATAGGGCTCGATAGTACTAGAGTCATCCGTGTTTCGACTTTGGACTTGTTCTAGTCCTGGTGGAAATGGATCTTCAAAGGGATTGTATGAGCCCCAGCCGAAAGGTTTCTGGACAGTCATTATATAGAAGTGGTGCCCATGCTATGAACGGATTAGCAAATTAAATCGATTAGACAATTTACGCCAGAGACAGTAAGCACAACGCACCAAATGAAATGGGTGAGACCCTTCATCCAAATTATTGATGACAAGGTCCACCCATCCAGGGTCTGAGCCTGTTGTAATGGCAAATTGATTTGCGTCCCACTTTATTCTTGGCAGTCCGATTAATGGGACATGTGGATCTTGCTGTGGACTCCAGCTAGTTTGATTGAAGAAGCCGAGTGGGGAATTGTGATTGCGAGCCATTTTTTGAATTTTGGTATAGACCACATGCGTTTGTTCTGCTTTTGCCGGTAGATCCCGCAGAACTGATCTTGTTGAAGGTATTTCATCCAGGTTAATATTAACGCGAACCTGTAACGACGGAAGCGAGAGATGGGAGTCTGTGTTGACAGATGGTGGGCCGTATTTTATAGGAAACGTTTGAGCTGGTGTGAGGGCAGGGTTCATGTATTTGAAGCACCTGGAGTGTGTCAGAAAGATTATGGGCAAAACCAAAGGGAGTGGACATACTCTTCGTCTAGCTTGACCTCCATTGAAGACCCATTTCCATTGGATGAAGGATGAAGGATGAAATCCATACGCTGGCCTGGTTGTAGAACTCCAAGTGAGTTGATATGGGGGATTTGCAGCGGTTCAACATTGACACTGTCCACCTGAATGGGATCTAGCTGTTCTTTATCGAAGACCAGACTGAAGCCCGCCAGAGATCTATCCTAAGGTTAGCCTTTGAGTCGGTTATCGCGAGCTTCAACGTCACATACCCAGTATTAACCACGCGTATCCTGTATGTCATATTAGGGTCGATATCCAGGAAGGAGTAATCAGCCCGCTGATCAACACAATCCACTGGACGCGCGGGGGCTGCCATTGCACAATGGAAATGGCCGACTCCGTTGACAAGCAATGAGTCCGGTACCGGCTAAACGCAAATTAGTATTCCAGTTCTGTGCTTCTGCGCGACTCTGAACGTACCTCATTACCGAAATTTCCCGGGGCCTTGAACCACTCCAAGACATCCTTAGCAGGCTGATGATACCAATCACCCACTAGTAAAAGAAGCTCCTTCTTGTAACCATAACGATTCAAATCTGAGTATGATCCCGGGCGTAGTCCCCGGACTGTGGACGAAGATGCTGGGGCATGTACCACAAGACCTCCGTACAGGCCCTCGGCCCGTGAAAGCCCAGCATGAGCATGATACCAAAAAGTACCACTCTGGTCAGAAGGGATGGTGACTTTGTAGGTGAATTTAGCACCTGGAGCGATGGGACACTGCGAGATTCCCACAGCGCCGTCCATGGCATCTGGATCACGGTAAGTCGAAAGTCAATTTGACTCTGCGTGCAGGATGATGGGAATTTGGGTTACATACTGGCTACATGGAGGCCATGCCAATGTAGAGCGATTTCATCGTTCTCTAGGGCATTGGTGACAGTGATGAAGAGGGTATCACCGGAGCGGGCCTCGAGTGTTGGACCTGGAAACAAATCTATTGAATGCAAGAGAGCGAGACGGTAAGCAAATACCCAGGGGCAAATAGCTGTGTGAAGCCCAAGGCTATGATGTTGCATGGCTTATCGGGCGCATGACCTACCATTGATAAGGAAGATTTGCTTAAGGACGCCATCGGGCCTGCGCTGACCCGATGTGACCCGCCAGTCAAGATAGTGAGTAGCCGGTGAGCGAAACACATGATCTTCGGGATGAAGTGCGATTCTGGGGCGGTGGATGTCTTCTGCTTCATTGGGGCGAATAGGCTGGGAATCGATCGAGTCAATCCACGGTGTTGGGAGGTGGAGGCTCGGTCGCAGAACATAGATCAAAGTCAGGATCACCGTTCCCACTAGCGACCACGTCAAGCACGGACGAAACAAAGATTGTGATGTCTTCATCTTTGGGGGATATGGCGGTAGTTCCTGCGTTGGCGGAGACTTCCGGTCAAGACTAGCCTGTCTCTCCTGTCTCTCCATAACGTAGTACTCCGTTCTTCGTAGAACAGACGGGTCGGAAGAGATTATGGCAGGAGTCGGAAGAAATGCTTGAGTTTTGCTTTGTATTTCCTAGGCTGCATCCGTGCATCAGCTGCCCCTCCAAATGCACCGAGAGGATAATTAAGGAGGGAAGCGCGACGGGGTGGTTAGAAGGAGGGAGGGATCGGTTGGATTGGAATACATATTACACGTGCGGGAATGGATCGATATCAGGGCCCGCCAGCCAGCCAGGGTCAACTTAGTGGATTTAGTGGATTTTTAGCTTATGTTGATTCTCTAAAGGCTGTAGATCTGGTTTCACCTATCACAAAGGCGGATTGGGGCATTCGGCAGGTGTGGGGCCGGGACTATGTAACTCAAAAAACGTACACAGACTGGAAACTGTAGATCATCGGGAGGGGCAAAGAAAACAATGCAAAGAAACGATACAACTCGAAATTAAGTCATTTTATCGTTGTCCGTGCAAGATCATGCCCCCTCCAGATGTCCACAACGCCAGCGATATGGTTCACGTGGGCTGCATGCGTGCACCGGATTGGGAAGTTGGATTCCGGAGAAAAGAAGAGAAAGTGCGATCCGGTTACATGATCTTGTCGGGGAAGAGCGACCCAATATCACCTCATGCGTGTTACTGCCTGTTAAACAATGCAGGGACATTAATATCGGAAGCTTGGAGGTCCCTTGCCCCTCAATCATGTGGATTGGTAATGCCTGTTGGCTCATGCGTCGTTCTTATAGACGACTCTGCCCATCTTTCTTCATGTTCTATTCTTGAATTCCCCCATTGTCCTACTTGCAAGTCAACTTCGTAGACAACAGTCGTCATGGTGCTTCTATTCGGAGCGGCATTGGCTTTGGCTCTGGCGAGCAGGTCCGTCAAGGCAGATGAGCTGAAAGACATTGAGCATGTTGTGATCTTCATGCAGGAGAATCGTGCCTGGGACACAGTATGAAATTCAGCCCTTCGTATGACCTGATCTGACTGGAGAGGAGGACTAACAATTGCAACTCCTATGATAGTACTTTGGTTCTATGCCTGGTGTTCGCGGTTTCAATGACCCCAATGTCCAGGTTAACAGCCAGAATCAGCCAGTGTGGTACCAGTATGTGACATGATGACTGCTGAACTACTAATATTCTCATTACTGACCTACTCATTAATAGGGTGGTCGACCCGAGCATGTCAACCGAAGCGAATACCTTGCTTCCTTGGTACTTGGGATACGAGGGTGGGGACAGCTTGGATGCTATTCAGTGCATGACTGCTGGAGACAATGGTTATCAAGATAACCAAGCAGCCTACAATCAGGGCCTCAATAATCACTGGGCTCGAAACAACACTCCTTGGAGTTGGGGTTATTACAAGCGCCAGGATATCCCGGTGCAGTTTGCTATCGCCGAGGGCTGGACTTCGGGTGACATGTATCAGGTATAGTATCACAAGAGATTCAGATTCAGGGAAATGATTTGTCTGACTCAGATCAGGAATCTCAAATTACGGCCACCAACCCTAACCGTGTAACTCTGGTTAGTGGCTCAATCAATGTTCCGGGTAGTCCCCAGAAGAAGACTCAGGGCGGTGTTTACATCGACAACAATGAGGTTCCTGGTATGTGTCGAAAATCCCAAACGATAACAGAACCACAGAATCTGACATAATATAGGCTGTGACTCAAACGGTATCAACTGCTACCCTTTGAACTGGAAAACTATCTATGAGTACTATGAAGAAGCTGGCGTCTCATGGCAATTGTACCAAGACACGAACAACTTTGATGACAACCCCCTGGCATGGTTCAAGCAGTACCAGCAGGCTTCTTCATCATCGCCCCTGGGTCAAAAGGGCATGTCCTACGTGGGCCTAGAAGCTTTCTACGAGGCCGCTGCCAACGGTACTTTGCCGGAGGTCAGTTTCATTGTGGGCCCGACCGAACTGTCCGAGCACCCTCCATACATGCCTAAGGATGGCGGCTGGCTGCAGAAGAAGGTCGTGGATGCGGTGACTAGCAGCCCCAAATACTCTTCAACTCTGCTGATGATCAGCTATGATGGTAAGGCGAGCCCCAGGAGACGAGGAAAGTTGCATACCGAGATTCTAATATTTCTTGCAGAGACTGGTGGCTTTGGTGATCATGTTACGCCTTTCCACTCCCCCAACGGCACCGCGGGAGATTGGATGGAAGATCCACTCGGACTTTTCGGTGACGTATTTGTTGGACCTGGTATGTAAATCGCTTTCCAACCTCTTCCGGTATCCGCTAATTGATTATAAGGCTTCCGTGTCCCATTTATGATGATTTCACCCTGGACCCGAGGTGGCCGAGTTTTCACCGAGCGAGCTGATCACAACTCTCAGATCCTGTTCCTGGAACAGTGGTTAACAGCCCGCGGCTACAAGAATGTTGAAACTGAGCAGATGGTGCATTGGCGCCGGGAACACATGTCCAACCTGCTCAATGCTTTGGACCTTGAAAATGTAAGACTTTCCAAACAGCGTGACTGATTATCTGAACTAACTCGAAGAAAAAGCCCGACCTGACTCTACCTGATATTCCCACAGCCGAAACCCCAGCGACTAACAGCAAGGGTGGCTACGTTGGCACTTCTCAGTGCGAGTCCACTTACAGCAGCCCGAGACCTCCAGTCCCCTATGCTGATCAGGATAACTCAACCAACATTATGTTCTTCGAAGATGGATTCAAGGAAACAGTTGGATATTTGACCGAGGGCCGCTATCTGGTATTTGAGAAGTCTGGTAACGCTTTGGCCAACCCGCAAGACTCCGAATACTCGTCACTTCAGACCACGCAGGCCACAGACGGCCATGAAAGGAAAGACCAGCGATGGGTTATCCACTACAATAACGATGAGGAGAGTGGAATCTTCACAGTCTCCAGTGCCCTTGATGGTCGCTGGATTGGCGCAAACGGCGATTTCGTTGATATGGATAACTCCGACCAGGCTGCACAGCTGCATATTTCATTCCTCGGCAATGGAAACGGATATAATATCCAGTTTGTCAGCGATGGGAAATATCTTAGCACTGAGGATGACGGTACATTGAAGTTGGCCAGCAAGAACGATGCCCCGACTAAAGGGTTCAAGGTCTACAGCGTGACCTATCATACCTAGTAAGCCCTGGAGGGGACTGTTGATCATGTGCACCTGACTGCTTTCGCTCGTTTTCAACCTGCATCACATAATGTGTCATGACCTAATGTCGACAAGAAAAAGGGGAGATGTTTTTTCAAGTTCTCGCAGTATCCGCTGTATACATATTTCGCATTACATTCAATGAAGGGAACGAAGCTCCAAAGGAAGTTATTCGCGATTCCGAAAAAAATAAAATAGAATTAGCGTTCTGCTGTCTTCGAGTGGCTCGACACCAATATACACTTTACCATGATAACCACTAGAATAATTCAAATAATTCCTTTCATACAATGAGACCTTTTAATTTCCACCCATTCTATCATCCTAGACATCTATACCCGCCATGGGGCAATAGAAGTTAAAGCCAAGATTCCCCCTTAGCTCTGACTTAGCTATAACTTAATAGCCCCGCATATAGCTGAGCCACCTACAGCACCCAGCCAATTGCTTCAAGATTCCGAGCCAATAGCCAAAATACTAGTATGATCTTCAACGTCCCACCCGACCAGCCAAGCTTAAATAAGAAGTCTGTTACATCCAAAGTTTCAAAAAGAACTACATTTCATTGGCAAAATCATAAACTTATCAATTTTCATATGTATGCAATTTGTTTGTACCCATAGTTCTCATCAAAATTTCATAATTGACCCAGTCCGAATATCAATACATCTAAGCGGTAATACTGAAAGGACCAGCGGCATTGAACAAAGTAGGCATCTGCAAAGTCAAAGTCAGCCTAGCACTAGCCAAAAAAAAAAAACAATATAACCAAACCTAAAGGCCATAACTTACCTGAGGAGCAGTATCAAGAGAAGTATCCAAACGCAAATACCAAACAGTTCCATCCTCTACCTTGGGCAGAGAAGCAGGAATCTTCACCTCAATAAGACCATTGGTAACCTTAACACTTTGTTCAATCTTGACAGAAGCCGCATAGTTGATAGTATCCAGATGACGAACGGGGTTGTTATATAGCCACACCCCATATCCGCTGGCAGGGTACTTGGTCAATGCATCGGAGCAGTGTGTTGTTGGTTTCCGGTTGAAGCGAAGGTGAACCGTCTGTCCCTCGGTTAGGGTTGCGTTATCCGGAATACCCTGCCAAACGTTTAGGCAGGGGTAATCACGTTTACCCCATGCTGTTTCGAGGACAATGTTAGTATTCATGGATTTATGTGTAATGGTTGAAGTTTATTGAAGTTGAAGTGATACGTACGCTGCCACTTGTCAAAGGCAGTAGCGGTAGCCGCGAGTGCGGAGACAATGATTGCAGAGGAGATCTTCATGTTGATCGAAGTTGTATTTGTGGGAGAAGAAATTTGGAAGATGAAGATTGAGAAATAAGTTGGGGTGGGGAGTACACTTAAATACGAGAGCAGCTTGGCATCTTGCTACGTGATGGGTAATTTAGCCGTGCTGAATGACTTCAGATCCTGTTATTTGGGCGCAATTTGTGTTCTTCGAGGCATTTGAGCCGTCGTGTCTCAGTTGAGGACTCCACATGGCTTGTTTGTTGCTTGGCATCGGGGTCAGAGTGGCGGTGGGAGATCGGCAGGGTCATGATTATTGATGGTTGGGTGCGTATAGCAGCCAGCCACGATAGCTAGTATGTGTGGAGACGGTTGGTGCCTGAGGGTGCCTGGAATTTATCGTGGATGCCTAAGCGTGGCTGGGGATGACCGAGAATGATAGTATACTTAATGTCCTGCATTGAGGGTTGGAAGAGAAAATTCCGTAAAGTACTATTTTAGAGTCAATGTTAGTTGAGGGATATCTTTGGCTGGTATGTCTTATCCCCTAAGTCTTAACTCAGCGCGGCTGAAAACGCCTGTTTATGCTGTACCTGTCCAAGTTGGCCCTTTTTCAAAATAAGTAGACCAAAAAGGAATTATTACTTCGATGATAGTGTTACTGAAGAGTAGCAAAACAATTTCAAACTTGAATAATATATCATTTTTGCGATCTTATATTAACACTAATAACCCAAACCCGTCAGGAATTCGATGTGAAAGTTGGAAGATTCGGAGACTAGATGGACTTCGTCAGAATTTGCATACTTGACAGGGAAATAATAATAGATCATACCTTCAAGGTCAATTTCAATAGATCTCAATATTGAAATGCTTAAACGGAGCACTTGCCAGTCAAGGCAGTTGGGCCCATGCCGCAAGCACCGCTGCAGCACTGGGAGGGCTCACCACAGACACCACCAGCTATTCAAACAATACAAGTTAGTCATTAATTCCAAAGTCATATCACGATAAAAGTTTACCTTCAATTGAAGTATAAAAACATACCGGTAACACAGCGCTTCTCGATCTCAACGGGACCGGCGACGGCAACGGCCGCGAACATAGTAGCAAGGACAACGGAGAAGAACTTCATTTTGATGATTGTTTGAGAGATTGAAGATTAGAAGGGTCTGATTGATCGGTGGATAGATGGATGGAAAAGAGTGTATTCAAGCGGACAAGCAACCCCTATTTATACCCTTTCTTCCAACTCTCCGATCTACAGCATGTATTCACTCCTCGAACGTAGCAACCAATAGTCACGCGATGTCATAGAGTCGACTGCAAAATTCATGGGACGCGATGAGTCCCATCGGACAATCCGGCTAAACGAAGTTATCTGATTGCGCTAAAAGATTATCTCTCAGGCTAAGTGGGGCGCGGGATCCTTTCACGTACTCAAAACACTCTGATTAAGACAAATTGAGGTGAAAAATAATGGGGCGCCCCAGGACTTCCCCGGGGGCCTCAACGGGGGCCAAGAAGGGGGCTTAAAACTCTGCTGAGGGCTAAATCGGAGTCTCATATCCGGATTCTGGACTCTATGGCGGGGAATCTTGGATTTTAGTCGGGTTTGTTGGTATTGTCCATTGTGAGACACCGGAACCGCTACATTGGAGACGAAGAAGATTGCGATGCAAGATTAAATTCAGAACAGAGAGAGAAGATCAACCTTACTTTTTGAGATATTCACATTGAATGCGTGCAATATAGGGTAATCATACCACATGAATAATAGTGTATAGAAATTGCCATGATCAATGTTATGATTCTCCCCATAGACTCCGTTTCGGATCGGAGCATTGTTTTGACTAACAGTAATGACAATTCAAGCTATTTGGTGCAATAAAGCTCCGGGATTGTTTGAATGATAGAGCATACTGTATATAGGATAGTGGAGTCAATCCTGCAGGAAGAAGTAGGGCCTTGGCCTTCGAGGCTTGACCCTTCAGGAATCGCGGGTGACAGAACTTCAGTATTGACCGTGCGCACAAAAATGAAAAGAACCACCTATCTAACATCTAATTTTTGAATATATAGGTAAAACTGATCTGAGAGGATGCAAGATATGGGCTTAATCCAAGATGACTTTGCTCCTGGAGACTTTTCACTGCAAGCTTGATTGTGATCGGCTACACCCTGCCAAATCAAGCAAGCGTACCCACTTCATTTATATGTGGGCTCCAATATAAGATTCGTCCTGGTTTTGTTTCTAGAGAACTGATATAAAGGAAATGATCATATCCACGGGGAGTTAAATGGGGCGGCCCCAGGACAACAATCTTGTTCAAGCAATCAATCAATACCATGCCACTGTAATAGACCTCCTCAGATGCCCAAGGTATCTCAGAATATAATGACGCTTAGTTATAATTTTTCATTGATAGTTTTGAAAGGGAATCTTATGGCTGCTGGAACATCCCTAAGATGAGGACTGAGGTTAGATTATGCACGGACACGTGGAAAGATCCGAGTCTCCTTTGGAATTGTGACTCCATGTGTTGCTATCTAAGTATAGGATTATATAACCGCAAAAGAACTGGGATCAAGAAGGCTTTTTGAACTCTTGTAGGTCTACCTCTTGATGACAATGAGGACGTTGACTCAACTATAGCGACCTACGGTTGTTATACATGTAGCAACCAGCGGGGAGCAGCTCACAAAGTCTGCCATAGACTTTTCCGCACTGTAACCTCTGAATAGATATACTGCTGAACAAGAAGTAGAAGGGCAAGTCAAAAGATGAGTAGAAAAACAATTAAAAAACGGTCTTTCATTAATATTTCCAAGATACATCTTGCAATAGTAGGAATCAAACTCAATTTAGCAATATTACCTACTCAACCTGCCAACATCATGATTTGAAGATTGGAATCGTAGACTCGGAAGTATGGAGTGTCCCTATCACTCCCGAGTCACAGCCTGCCCACGGTCGCCGTTTTCTTACATTACTTTCTGCGTAAATTTCAAATATATATCTACCGAGTAGATACTTCAAAGAAACACTTTAATCAATCGTCAGAATATTTAACAAATCTCATTACATTCAAAATATATCAAATTTATTTCAAACCCAGAATTGGCCATCATCAAAGTGTCTTGTACGACGCAATCGCAGTGATCTATCTGCCTATGGCACATTTATCACAAATCATTAGATATCTCGCATCTTACTGTAAATGGGATATGATAGATCTAGGTCCTTTGAAGCCAGATCTTTTTACCTTCCATTGCTCTCTCCCAAGCAACACCCAAAGTCCAGACTTTCCCTTCAACGTTGATTCGAAACTCCGCCTCGTAGACATCAGGGCAAAAAGCTCCATAATCTTCATGGTGCTCCGAAACCATCAAGAAATGCTCACCAGTCACATGGCGGAATTCGATTGCCTCGGGCCAAGTCATATCTTTCCGATCGGCACGTAAAACACCCCCGTTGTCCAAGTACACGGTGAGGTCTTTATAGCCCGCGTTAGTATACGTGCCTACATACTGGCCCAATGCGAGTGTGGGCTGGATATAGATAGGGGGCCTATAATTTATTTTGTCTGCCACTCTCTTCTGTTCTTTTTCAATCACTGACCAGTTCCTTTGATTCCAGTCAAATCTTTGAGATTTGGGGACACCAAGACGCTCGTCTAGAAGATGAAACGCGAGTAATTGAGCCGCGAAATTCGATGTCTGTGATGTATTCGCGAGGATTATGACGGAAAATTGGAGTTTAGGAACCAGAAGCAGCTGCGCACCGAATGCATTCATACCCCCGGTGTGCTCGAAGAATTGAACGCCCTGGTAGACCCCAGTTCTCCAGCCTAGACAGTATGCTCGGGGACCAATGAAGGGTTCATCTGAAGGCATCAAAGTTCGTGGTTCCCACAGCTGGCGTACAGTCTCTTCGCTCTTGAAAATTTTCTCCTCGACAAAGGTTTGCGGGCGGAGAAAAGCACGCACCCACTTAGTGTAGTCCAGTACGTTCGTAATAACTGACCCGGCACCAGAGACCTCTTCCAAGGGCATCCAGTCTACTTCGCGATAAGCCTTCTCATCTTGAGACTCGCTCCTCCAACCGAGGTAATAATAGCCCTGGGCCAATGTTGCAGGACCTCTCAAAGCATTGTCCAGGGAGAAATATGTGTTTTTCATTCCGAGAGGCAGCCAGAAGGAGCGGGCCAGAGAATCACCCAGCCATTGGCCTGTTGCAATCTCGATAATATGAGAGACCGCAACGTACATAAGATTGTTATATTGATATCGAGTTCGGGGCTTGGCTGTCATCGGAAGGTGAGCGAGCCGACGAACATTCTCGCGGACATTGGTGTGAGCGCTAGCGTGGTCATGGCCTGGGAGACCTGTACGATGCGACAGTGCATCTTCAACAGTAATCTGGTCTGCAACGGATTTGTCTATGAGCGAAAAGCCGTCTGGGAGTAATTGGGTAATTGGTGTGCCCCATTCAATATCTCTGGTGGGATCCTCCGTAAGTTTGGCTATCATAGCCGCAGTAAAAGCCTTGGTCGTACTTCCCGCGTAAAAAAGAGTCGAAGGGGTGACAGGTGTGGATGAGACTATGTTCGCATATCCATAGCCCTATTGTGGGGGATCTTCCGCGTTAGCAACGCCAAGCTCTGAGGTGTATGGAGTCAAGTTCCCTGACAGCATTCAGTCTGATCATATGAGGGTACGTACCTCTGACCAGGTATCATCGCCATCTATCACTGCGATAGCCATCCCAGGCACGTGCCATTTGTCCAGCGTTTGGTGCACTAAGCGTGTAAACCCATCTCCTTTTAATTGGCTTGAGAGAGGCTCCTTCCTCATATTGACTTTGTTTGTCTTCTGTAGACGTACGTGGAGAGAGACGATTCCGGAGACTTTTTGCGTAACCTTAGATATGACAGGATAGACGCGGGAGGAGTTCGTTCGTGACTCAAAGTTTCTGGATTTAAATACTGGTTCTTCAGACAAAAGCTCAGAAGCAAGAGGGTGATAGATGAATCCTCAATTTTGCCAATCGATTTGGCTTGTCAAGTGCAGTCGCATCGAGCAGAAGATAGTTAAGGCGAGCGGATGTTTCCCCGCAGCCGAACGACCCCGCATGACATGTAAGCCTTGACCTCGCTCGAATAGGTTATTGACGAGGATAAAACCACATATAAATTTTTAAGATGGCATCAAGTGAAAGTGGATAGGTCTTTCAATGATTCGGGTACAACTGCTGGTTGTCTTTTTGAACAATCGCACAGTGTCCGTACTACTACAGTACCCCCGTTAGATAATCCCACTCCGTCATGTAAATTAAGAGCAGAATCAATTGTATTGCTCATGTAAAACTACAAAAAATCTTACACTCATTACCATCTTCCTATAGATTCACCGTTAACTTCAATTAAATCATTATAATATGTAATAATACTAAATATACACCTCAGAGCTTAGGTATAATATTATCTAACTCTAAAATTATTTTAATGAAGGTATTATGAGAGACGGTTAGAGCGATGATTGAACAAAGCTGTTGGAAAGACGTGTATTCAAAACTGACTGCTTCTAGCAAGGATTGGGATAATTCATCAGGGGGACTGTACTATTAGTAAAACGGAAAAGTCATTTTTTGTGAGCAATACATCCTGAAGTCTGGAAATTTAAGACAGTTATTATTCGACCTAAACCAATCTTCTAACTTATCCGATCTTTGTCTGATATATCTTCAATAATGTTACTATTCTCGATCTCTGGGGTACAGGAAGCGCAATCCTATTGATCAATAGTATCTATTGGAAGTGGTACTATGAGTGTAGGTTCATTCTGAAATTGGCCTATAAAAAGTTTCTGTCTCGGAACAAACAACTTCCAGTGTCGAATTTTCCTCACTCTTCATAGATCTGTGCTACTTGCGCCAATTTTCACCCCTCAACTATCTGTAAATAGCTTGTGAACTTTTCCTTTTAATAAGCCGCTTCCCGCATTTGTTTGTCTTATCATCGCCTGAATTAATTAATTTATTTCGTTTACGCTGTCTAGATCGAGAGAAGACCCCCTTGTCATTGATCTTTAATAACGTTCGCTTTCCCCAAGCATCGGTCATATAATGGCTGAGCTCACGAATATTCTATATATATTCTATATTCTATGTGCCCTGTCATTTGTCTCCGCCGCTCCAGCGCATTCAAATATGCGTGTCTTTACTGATTCCTACAGAGACCTCGTTGATCTCAGCACGCAGCAGTCTAAAAGGGCAGGAGAGTTTACGCTTCCTCCACTCCCGTATCCATATGATGTGAGTAAAAGTCTACATACACTTCTACGAGTACCATTCCAAGTAGTGGCCTTTACAGTTCCGAGCCAACATTGAATATGAAAAAAAGGCCCTCGAACCCATCATCTCAAAAGAGATAATGACAATCCACCATGACAAGCACCATCAAGCCTACGTCACGAACCTAAATACTGCTCTGTCGAACCAAACACTTGCTCTTGAACAATCTAGTATTCCAAAGCTAGTTGAACTACAGTCAAAGATAAAGTTCAACGGTGGCGGTCATATCAACCACTCGCTATTCTGGAAGAACATCGCACCCTATGGCTCCAAATTCACAAACGTCGACACGCAGGCTCCACTTCTCAAAGTAGCCATCGAGAAGAAATGGGACAATTTTGAAAAGTTCATAACCGAGTTTAACAATGCTTTGATTAACCTACAGGGAAGCGGATGGGTGTGGCTGACAGCCAGTGAACTGAAGGGGAAATTACACATTCGCAGTACAAAAGATCAAGACCCAGTTGTTGATGCTGTGCCCATCTTTGGCGTGGATATGTGGGAGCATGCATATTATTTGCAGGTAAGTCCCCACTCTATCTTATGAAGATTTTGAAGTGTGACATTGGCGGTAGTACGAAAACAACAAAGCGTCGTACGTGGCGGGTATCTGGAAGGTCATCAATTGGCAGGAGGCAGAGGACCGCTTCAAAAATGGAGTCGAGGGACTTGATTTGTAAAGTCGCATGGTGGCTTTCTCTTTGTATCGACTCTAACTGCTTATGGGTATACAAATTGTGAAATCATTTAGCATTTGTTAGGCTTTAGGATAGCAGTATCGAGTAGTTTATGGCGCCATTTGAATCAAGTGATTGATAAATGAATTAAAAACTTTATGTGTAAAATCAACATTTAATATGTATATGTAACCTATTTATTGGCCATTGCCAGTTGATAAAGCTTCCACAAAACTAGTTACGTCCGATTAGTATCGCTGGTGTGAATATCTTTAATTTTGATTGTGCTAAGCTTCGGTTCTAGTTCAGCCCGGTCCAGAATAGGCCTCTCAACGGAGCAGAAACCCACTGGAATACATGAGGACTAGCGTAAAAATATTTTTTGATTTAAATCAAAGAACTTCTTTGATCTTCCTCTTTGATCGAAGTGACAAAATTAAAGCCACAATGAAAACATTGAAATCTTACATTGCAGTATAAAGATTACGAATTGTATACTGTCAGAGTTGAGGCGCTATCTATAAGGGGCAAAAAGTCTGACTGGGAAAAATATTCTTGGCCTTAGCTATAGAGGTCTAATCTTTATCGCCCAGTATATCGAAAGACCTTTATATATGTCAGAATGTGCCTTGCCAAATAGTATCTGCACCTCGCGGTAGCTTCTTCATCCAGGAAAGAAACTAGAGTTGTATGAGCAGGCACATCGGCGTATTTTGAATTAATAAAATGAGAAGAAAGTTTTACAATTGAATGCTATATATATTTCTCTACTATTCTACTAGCCTCTTTATACCCGTTTAGATATAGTGTTTACAACTTGAAGGGGCGTCTAACAGGTACTCGTGAACAAATCATCAATAAGATGTTGCCAACAGCTACTAGTAATTCTTCAAATTTTAGAATTCGATTTTGAGTGTGATTTGTACCACAACATTCTTGGCTCATTTCTTGCTTGTAGCTTTAGTAAATTTTACGGATAGTATAATGGTATTGCTAAAATGAGTTAGTATGATTTTAAATGCCCCGACTCGACAGGCAAATTTGGGTTCCTGGACCAGGTATATGCCAACCTTGGACGGTTCATGTCGAGTAAGTACATTTTGAAAGAAAGGATCTTTTTATCTCGAAGATATCCATGAGTTATTAGGATTGAAGCTCAACTTAAGGCTAGCCATATCCCCTGGGCCTAGAGGGATGCTAAATGCCGTATTACAGGTCCTAAAATATGCAACAAATGGGGTCTTCCCCGATGATCGCCATTGTCTCCCGTAGGCGTGGAAGTAAATTAGGAGGGGAAGTAGAATACCTCAAGATTAGTTAGTATAGTACAGAGGTTCGTCAAATTGTTTCAATCTACTAGTGCAGATATACATGACGAGTCTGGTTTTGTGGATGGATCAAAATCCGATGTTTGAATACTCAGTCAAAACTAATTCCTTCAGGGCAAATTCTCCGTGGCTTTCATTTCCAAATAACAGTTCAAAATACGAGAGGTATATAAATAGGTGCAGCTCTTCTCCCACTACTCACATCTCCACAAAATGATTATAGTTGAGTAATCGGTATACTAAGTTTTTTCGATCAATTCACCAGCTGGACAACTGACGCTAGTGCAGTCAGTCCCATTCACTTCCATAACCGCGTCCTCTGTCTGCAACGTCATGACAAGACATGCGTCTGGGTTTGTAGATTCCATCAAGCACTGATTATCGCCACAGCAACTACCGGTAGTACACCTTGACCCGGAAGCGCAGTCTGCATCGGTTGTACATGTGTCGCCGCAGACCTGGCTCACGAAGCAAAAGGACTCGCCGTTTACATCAATACCACAAGCGCAGACGCCAAAGTCTCCATCGCCACAAGCGACAGTAAATTATGAGCCACAGGTAGCCCCAGTGTAGGTTGGAGTTGGGGTTACGGTCACCGTTGTAGTAGTCGTAGTCATGATGGATGTGGGAACGGTTGGAGTCGCAACTGTAGTTCTGGTAAGGTGAATACCGAGACAGGCACATGCGGAGCCATATATTCCCGACTAGGTACATGGATTGCCCAGATATGTGGGCACACTGGTTGGGCTTGAGGTGGTCTGGCGTGCAGCGTAGTCTCCCCTGCGCTCAAGTTGAGCAGCTAAAGTGGTGGTGACTGTAACAGTCTGAGTTGCAACACTATGGTGCTCACAGTCCTGATATGGTCAGACTTACTTTCGTTGCAATCTTGTAAGACGGGAGATGAACTTAACGATCATGGTTTACTCACGTTGGACTAGGCGTCACGGTCACTCGTTGGAAGCTAGAACAATCAGCCAGGCGGCTGGGGAGAGGAGGGGTGAATCACCCAAAATCTCCAATATGCAAGCTCCAATTTTGCCAGTGCATGGAAGAACCTTTGAAATTATGGCTTGAACTGGACCAAGACCTGCAAGGAGGGCAAACGCTACCAGATGGAATGAAAGCATTATGGGATGCTCAAATTGTTGTAGTATGATGAAGAATTCAACTTGTATGCCACTAATCGATATTTTCCCCAGCGGAAATAGGATATCTTCATATTGATATAGGTACTCATTAGTGAGTGCTTGGATACTCCACGGTTTCTCGTTTCTAGCTGGCCTCGGATCGTCGAAGGGCGTGATATATGCTAATGCGCGATGCAATGCGGTTCAAAGCAGCCTCAGCCAATACTATTCGCACTTGCATGTATTTTAAATCGCAGTTTCCCATTTCTCGGTAGTCTCGGAATACTCAAACTTAGAAGAAATGCGAGATTCAACACAATACAAGGCAGCCTTAACCAAAGTTTTCTATACAATCAGCGCACTGCTCGATCATGGTGAATGGGTCATTCACCCCGTTCTGTTCCAATGTCATTCCCAACAATGAATGTTTGAATATGAGGCTGGTTGATTTCGAAAGTCCAGCTATCAACATCGGCAAATGCTCTGAGCTACATAACTAGCAAGTTAATGGCCGTATCAACGATACCCTTTTCATTTTTTGCCCCCCCCCCCCCCCCCCCCCCAAAAAAAACTATTTTTATGCAGCCCACAACGTAAGACTTCAACAAATTACATTTCGACGTGAATCAGATGATGACTCTTCCGCATTCATTATTAGCCTTGCAGTGTTCGTGGCCTCAACATGAACCAATGACCACTATTTACGTGGCTTTCATTGAAGCAGTGTCATTGCATCCTCTATGTGGCTTTAGTGGTCAGCAGGTCATATTTTCATTAAAGAGTTCGTTACTTGGCAGGGTGTCACTGTCCCTGGTAAGCCCTAATGATAAGCTCTTAAGTCGAATCTTTCAAGGCCACGATACTGTCGGGATAGATGAGATATACATATGCCCAGATGCAAAAATAGCAGAGTGGGGCTCAAAGATTGGACCCGAGTCACAGCCAATCACCGAAGGTCCGGGGTGGAGTTAAAACGGATTTAGCCTTGACTCTGCCCAGTCTCTGTCTCACAACCCCCACACAATTACTGCACTTGCCCCTGCAAGTGCAAGTGCAAGATATGATACGCGAGCACTAACCAACACGCCTTGATAAAATGATAATGGAGACAGCATTCCTTATCTCTCGCTCTAGCTATGACAACACCACTGGCCGTTCGACCTGGCAGGGTAGGCCGACCGAAGTCTAAAACGGGCTGTGATACTTGCAAGTCAGTATTCCTCAACAATTCTACTTCGTTTAGTACTCATAAGTCTACTAGGGCTCGTCGTGTCCGATGCGGAGAAGAAAAACCACAATGCTTGAGGTGCAGTAGCACTGGGCGACAATGTTCTTATAGCTTGAACTCCACGCCTACAAGGAACTTGAAGAAGACCGAGTCACCACAACAACAAATCGCGCTGTATTCACATCAAGGGTCGCGAGAGCGACGTGCGTTCGAGTATTATTTTTACAAGGCTGGTCCAGCACTCTCCGGTGTCCTGGATTTGGCGTTTTGGCGAGGCTCTGTTCTACAGATCTGTCGGATGGAGCCAGCAATCTGGGATGCTATCATTTCTCTAAGCTCACTTTACGAGCGCCCTCCAATTTACGAAGTTTCACCCTTCCGACTTATTAGTAACCCGGCGGAAGTCGAGCATTCTTACCATCGTGAGGCTTTGGTTTGGTATTCACGCTCGCTAGCCGTTGTGCAGCAGCGTATAGACCGCGGCGACGCAGATCTGACAGTCTGCCTGATAAGTTGCATCCTCTTCATCGCCATCGAGCTTCTCCAAGGTAATCGTCGAGGTGCTTTGAATTTATGCACGCAGGGGGTTCAAATGATGAAAACTACCCTCAGACGTGCGAGCGGCTCTATGGGGGCCGTTTCGAGCAAAGCCTTCATCGATGGCGCATTTTTAATTCCAGTCGTCAAACCTATTTTCCGGCGTTTGGACACATGGGCTCTCATAACTGATGGTACATCAAAAGCTGATTGGTCATTTGACCCAGACCCAGTCAATATGCAGGTGACATCAATCGATGAAGCTCGTAATGTTCTCTGCAACATTGTTACAGACATGAAATCCCTCAATATCGAAACTAAGCGGCATTGGAACCTTTCAGCCGAGAGTCGGGCAAATAATATCTTGGACTTGGCATCACAGCGGAACTTTCTGAAGAATAAATTAAATCATTGGCACCAGTCTTTCACTTCGCTACCCAATGTTGATCGAGACAGTGGCGGCACCGCACTGCTCCTCATGACTTTCATGAGTGTCTCAATTGAAATTGACACCTGTCTTGACCCCAATCAAATGACATACGACAAGTTTGAAGCCGAGTTTACACAAATCATCAATTACGCAACTACAGCCATTTCATCAACACGGAGTCCGGAGGGCAGCCAGCCCCGGTTCATGTTCGAGGTCGGCGTTTTCCTCCCACTTTTTATTACAGCGCTCAGATGTCGTCACCCTCACATACGTCGCCGAGCTCTGCAGCATTTACATGAGGCACCACCTACCCAAGGAGTCTTTATGTGTGTTCCCGCAGCTCATGCTGTGGCGGTTCTCGTGGCCCTTGAAGAAGACCCTGCAACGGCACTTAATATTTCCGGGATAGAGGAAGTACTTTCTAGGCCAGGGTGTATTCCACCGGCTCAGAATCGGATCTGGGAATTTAACGTCTCGTCTGACAATGATCCAGAGGGAAGAACGCGCAACTGGCTTCATTATAGTCTACAGGACTTCTATGATATTAAGGATGGCCTCAAATTCATTCAAAATGTTGTGCTTTTTCCTGGCGCTCAATCGTGACACATGACGTTTTTGTTTTACACAAGGAGCGGTGCTTCAAGTTCATACATCTACGGGAGATAGCGATTATATTTCTTCACTTGTCTTTTATACATGTAGAGCATACAGGTAGCGGTGTAATAGATGGTAAGGGTTAATATAGACATCGGGAGTCCAGGGGCTTTCCCCAATGATCACTATTGTCCTCCTAATACATCTAACCTTGGACATTGATAATAATCATATAACTCTGTTTTATATTTGACTAAAGAACTTCTATTTCACCTATTACGCCTTTTTTTAGTGTGATTCGCAGGGATACTATCATGGAATCATAGTGTCGCGTGCCCATCATAGCTGAAGCTTTCCGTTTCTGTACGGTAATTTTACTCCGCTGCAGTACGCTGCACGCCTGGCACCTGCAGTCCAACGCCAACTCGTGTCTTCTTTCCCCCTCATTTCTTTCTTCTTCCATCTCTTCTCATCGGGAATTTGCTCTCACGAATTCATTCCAGTCGCCCTCAGAAATCTCAATCAATATCAATTCAGTTGACTTCCTTCACTCCCATTACCTCATTTCCTTTTAGAACGCGGCTCCACATTCCAAACCCGTCCAGGCACTACCCAATTTACTGCGTACCCAGTCAAAGCTGGTCCGCTAATTTCACAACCCAATCAACCCAGGAATCTCGGACCCCCATCACAAAGCTTCCCATGGCGCCACACTCGAAAGATAGTGTCTACCCTATGCGACATGAAACATAAGAAAATAAGCCATCTGCGCCTCGTATCGATATAGACCTGATCCCATGATCCCATCATAATACATGGAATTGAAAATGCGGTGTGAACGAAGTCGTTTATCGCCCACTGATGAGCCCTCTGTTCCGGATTGCAATACCTTATCTTGGGGTCTCGGGAAATATCCCCTGACGGTCCCGACGAGATCCTTCCGTTTGGCGATAGGCGATAGGTGATCGCAACTCTGGTACATCCACACAGGGTCCCTGAACAAGTGGACGCCAGATCCACCAGGCATCTCAGTCACCTGAATTCGCCCCGAAGCGTGATAAGCCATCTTTGCCACATTTCTTTTATTCGCATTGACACTGTTCTCTTTCATATTCATAAAGAATTCTTGTTCACTGTGCTCTAACATACTTTTTTCAAGAAGTGCTGCCCAGTTTGGTTGACCCCAGTTTACCTCACAAAGTGTTGCTGTATACCCAAGGGTCCTTTACTCCTGACCGCTGGGACGTTTCCGCTCGCTTGCCCACCCGCGCGCTATCTCCTGAGGGTCCAAAAAATAATATTTTCCCCGCCTCCACGTTTGCGAGAACAAATCTCCGGTCTCCAGTCTTCACTCTGACTGCGCGCTCGACCTCCCTTGGCTAGTGAAGACGATCGCTTAGGTGGTCTCGTGACATATATCCGCATTCAGCTCGACTACTTTTTTTTTCTGCCCACTAATCCTTCAGCGATTTCTCTAAGAGCACATGCCGTCTTTCAATGAGGAGCATGCTAACTCGGATTCCGAAGTAGCAGGTAGGCGCTGGTCCCCTCTCCTGCCTTGTATGAATTATAAAGCCCACTGCACTATTCCCTATGCGACCACTCTGCCCTTGCGATCGAGTATTATATCATGCGCCGTCGCCTTGCACCCACCACTCCCTATTAGGGCGACGGCTGCCCCGGCGGGGGGGGGCAATGACGTTGGCATGCGCCCGAAACACATCACCTCCCTATTTCAGGTTTAGATCTTTGTTTAACTGATCTCCAGTAGAATCGAAGCCTATCTCCGGGACAGGTTTGACCCTCCATTCGTTGCAAAAAACGACCCATGCAACTGGAGTTACCCCTGCCTCCCCACCAGATGGACCGACGTTGAAACAATACCGAGCCCCCATCGCGAAAGCCACTGCGCGCCCGCCTATCAATCCTACCTCAATGCCTTCTCCTGCGGCTACCAATTTTGCTCCCTCGAGTAACAAGCTCGAGGCCACGCGGCTAGATGAGAGCACGCAATCGCTTAAATCTGACGATGATCCCCAACTAGGCCTGTTCAACCAAGTATACGACTGGTTGCAGCATGAAAAGACTCGCAGAATGACTCGTAAGGCGCGCCATGCCGAGGCGAACGCTGCCAATTCCATCGCTGTCGCTGAGCGAGAGCCACACCCGCCAGCTCAAGATCACCCCTCCGAGAGTACATTCTCGCTTGATAAGTTGGAGCATATCTTGTTGCAGTTTGCTGGCCCCCGAAACCTACATGGTCTAGCTTCCCACCGGCTCCCCAGGCTCCCGACGCGCCGTCGTCACAAAGGCTTACGTCGGGGATCTGCCTCCGAATCAGACTACACTGATGTTGAGGCACCAGTGCCAAATGTCGAGGCGGTCCTCGATAATACGAAGACACTAGCCTATAGCTCTAGTATCGCTGCGGATAATGACACTACGAGTGAAAATTCTTCCAAGCGCTCCAAAGATCTGGAAGCTTGGGCGGTTTTCAAAGGGGAGATCGTGCGCATTGTGCATACACTTCAGCTTCGGGGTTGGCGCAAAATGCCGATGGAAAAGTCCCATGAGATCGAAGTCGTTCGACTCAGTGGTGCGATGACCAATGCCATCTATGTAGTCACGCCCCCCAAGCATTTTTACAATCTCAATCCAAAGGCTGAGAATGGATCGACCGCATTGGTTGCAAGAAAGCCTCCGCCGTAAGTATTCGCCCGTAGTATTCTGACTAAAATTTCATCGGTTAACACGCCACTTCAGTAAACTTCTTTTGCGAATCTATGGCCCCCAGGTGGATCATTTGATTGACCGAGAGAACGAATTGTCGATTCTTCGTCGATTGGGTCGTAAGAACATTGGACCTCGTGTGCTCGGAACATTTTTGAATGGACGATTCGAAGAATACTTTGAAGCGCGCCCTCTCACCTTCAAAGAGTTGCGAATTCCAGAGACGGCGAAGCAGATTGCCAAGCGAATGAGAGAGCTGCATGACGGTATCGAATTGCTCGAAGAAGAACGAGAAGGGGGCCCCATGATCTTCAAGAATTGGGATAAGTGGGTTGACCGCTGTGAGCAAGCGACCACTTGGCTCGATAAAGAGCTTGAGTCTCCACAAAATGAACTCAAGAGTGCTACTGAGCCATGGCGTCGCCGCGGCTATGTTTGCGGGGTGCCATGGGCAGCATTTCGAAAGGCCGTGGATCACTATCGGACATGGCTTATCGCCAGCTGCGGTGGAATCGAGCAGATAAAGCGAGAGCTTGTGTTTGCTCACAATGATGTAAGTCAAGCGCCATCGACGCCCTCTAACAATCCGTTGCTCATGTACATTTTTCTATAGACTCAATACGGCAACCTCCTTCGCATGGAGCCAGCCACTCAGTCGCCGCTTCTTCTCCCTGCAAATGAACATAAGCAGCTTGTGGTTATTGACTTCGAGTATTCGTCGGCAAACGTTGCGGGACATGAATTTGCTAACCATTTCGTAAGTTCTTTCTCAATATCTATCTACCTTAGAAGCTCCTTTCCTGACCACACTAGACTGAATGGTGTTATAACTACCATGACGAAGAACGACCTTGGGCATGCAACAACCGCTTCTATCCTACCCCAGAAGATCAGCGTCGATTTGTGATGACTTACCTTACCCATCGACCAGCTGTGACCGGCGGTGTCGTTTCCCCATTGTCTACTCCAGCTATGCGGGGCGGTACTGGTAGTGCCATCACGCCGTTAACTCTGGATGACTGCACCGACGCTTCTAACCAGCAGACTGAGAAGTCTATTGAAGATGAATTGGAAGCTGAGGTAGCACGTCTCCTGCACCAGACTCGACTGTGGCGTGTTTTGAACTCGGCACAATGGGTGGCCTGGGGTATTGTGCAAGCCAAGGTACCTGGCATGGAAGAAGGAATTGCTGAGACGACCGCCACTTCTGGCGATGCATCTCCCGAGAATGGCCACGATGAGACCCCCACATCCAAATCGCCCACTCCTGCTGATAGCGAAGCTGATGAGGAAGAGGAATTTGACTACCTGGCATATGCCCAGGATAGAGCTTTGTTTTTCTGGTCTGACCTGCTTGCCCTGAACTTGATTAACCCAGATGATTTGCCTCCACCAATGGTTGAACATATTCAGAAACGAGTTGTCGATTACTGAACAGAAGCAGTTGAGGAACAGTTGTTTATCATGTAACGCACATCATGAGCTTACGATATGGATGCCAAGTACATACGATACCAGGTTAAATAAACAGGTACCCTGGATTGAATCTTGGAGCACAGCGTCTGTACTTATTGATATCTAGCCAATTGCAGAAATTTAATACCCTTTAAGAGAAAAAAAAGAGATAGATTATCCTTCAGTATCTAATATCCCGGGTATCAAACAAGGTTCAAAGCCCCAAATGATTCATAAATCCAAGACTAAATCATCACCACATCACCTCCTCTCCAACTTCTTCTGCGTCTCCCCCTTAGCCTTCTCAACCCAAGCCTCATACTCCTTCCCTCCCCCACTCTCCTTCTGACTAACAACCCCCTTCATCATCTCCCCAATAAAGCCCACAAAATTCCATCTCCTTAGCGTATTCTCCCAGTCCCAAGCCCCCCTCTTCCTCTCCTCCCTCTCAAGCGTTTCCGAATCCCCAATCTCCCTCGCCCTCCCCCTCGGATCCCTAACAACAGCCATAAGATTAAACCCCGTCTCACCCTCCGGATACCTCTCCACCCTCCTCCTCAACACATCAGCAACCTGCACCGCGAAATCCCCACAAGCCCCATGACTAATAGGATGCGGCTGCAATCCATCAAGCTCGTACAAAGTCCCGTTAACATTCGTGTACGCAATGAAATGGTAAGCGTCTCCGGACGGTTCATCAGGTCGAGCTGTTTCGTCGGCGAAGGGACTCGCGCGCGCAAAGCTGTTATGGGCGCTGCGAATTGCTTCGCTGTTCGAGAGCGCTTCGCCCAGGATATCGGGTGGAAAGCCGGAGGTGAATTCTTTGAAGGTTGAGAGTTCGGTGCCGAGGGTTATGGGTTGTAGAGAGGGTGGGTTATCGTTGTTTAGGATTATGGAGAGGATTGCTTGAGTGCCGCAGGCGTTTTGGATTGTTTGGTTTGCGAAGAAGATCGAGGCTTCGGGGTCGTAGGTTCCGTCTAGGGGTGCTTCGGGACGAGCACCGGCTGTTTCTTTGGTCCATTTGAAGAGGAAGATGACGCCGTAGACTGGTCTGAAGTTTTTATGTTAGTTTCGTTTTTTTTTGCTTGTTTGGTCTGGTTCAAATGTTGTGGTTGTGGTTGTGGTTCTGTTGAGGTGGGGTTGGTTGATTGGTTGGAGCTGGAGCTGGAGCTATTTACCCAAGTGAGCGTATTGTGTCGGCATCTATGGAGATGAGTTCTTCGAATTGTACATCTTTGACACCTAGTGTCTCGATGAGAGAGGTGAAGAGACCCTCGGTGAGGTTAGCGAGGAGCTAGCTTTGAGCTTCGGAAATGACATGACATACCTCGTCGGATTCGATGGTGCTCCAACCACCTACGTCGGCCATTTTGGAATAACTAGGTGCAGTTATATTGTTCTGGGCGGTTTGATGGGAAGGACAAGCTTTTCAATGCGGCTTGACGAGCTTGATAGGCACGTTGTTGATATGTAAAGTAGATGTTACGTAGTGGCTGTATTTGCTCCGATGAGGATTACTTAATTTGAGAGTTGGACCCTTGCCGCTTTAATGGGAAGCTCAGGCACGTGATGTCTGAGTGGAGCAACAATCACGAGATATTACATACTTCATACCTATTTTCAACCATGAAATGATATTGGTTCTCTAATATTATTATTTTACTTGAATCCAATTTCTACTAATCGCTTTCGTGTAGGATCGTTATTAGTACTACTACTCCTTCCAAGGTTTACGATGTCTGTTTCATGGTTAAATATGCATTATATATTGACAACTTCAAAGCATCAATTGTTCCAGGAATTTTATGACATTTTTCAATTCTCGAGGCTATAAATGAATGAAACTGCTGTGCAATGCATAGAAAAAAAATTAATTCAATTTCAAAATGCCATTTTTGCGTCTCTTTTTCCAAAAATGTTTACTTATCTTCAAGTTTAGAACGGTCGAAGAAGAAGGGCCGAGAACGGTTGAAATAAAAGACATCACGAGAATGCAAATCTGTGGAGGCGCCAACGCAAATACTTCTTCTTCTCTTTTGACTCCATATCACTCTATTTATCTCAAGCTCATACATCGAAGAACCCGATTTAGAAATGCACAACAATCCCCCAATAAACCTCGATTATACTCTCTCTACCCGATCTCTGCGCAACGGATTCAGAAGACAGCCCAAATATCGTCCTCATTCCAAGTTTACTATCATCTACAATTCAAGCATGACCATGAGGATACACCGACAAAAGTTAGCTGAGTACAAAATGAAAATGGCCGCAAACATGGTACCGCATCGATACGCCTTTCAGCAGGCAAAATGCCTCTAGTTATTCTGGAGACTTATGCGTTGCTTCTGGCATGACTGACTGCAGGAACCGTTCTAAGCCCCCCGTATCATCTATATCCGAAAGAAATGCTAGGTGCTGATCAGGTCGCAGTAACGCCATGCATCCCTTATCTCCAATTCCAAAAGACGAATACAGTTTCCCTCCATCAGCATAGTGGTATGCTTCACAATCCGCCCAGACCCTGCTATAGTCTACGCCTTCTGTTGTCCAAGGACGGAAAATCATTGGCAGATCGTTGAGCTCAATGTTAAGCCTATCCGCACAGTGAACAAGATACACACCAAGGGCTGGAAATCCACGTCGTGCCACGGAAGCTGGGTTATTCAGCTTCTGGAAAACCGAATATGGGGAATCGAGGGCATCCGCAAGACCTTCAACACGGCGCTTTTGGCCCGCTCTCGCAATGTCACCCCCGAAAATGATCAGATTCCATTGTCCTGTACTGGGAATGATTTGTTGTAGATGACATGCTTGCGAGTCACTTTGGTTAACAATAATCACGCTGGGAAATCGCATGCCAACTTGGAGGTTTGTGGCCACAAATGGTCTGCTGATGCAATCCGCCACGTCTTTGGGTACTGGAGTATCGGAAGTCGTTGACGTGACTAAAGAATTAGGGTGATAATTCACAGCTAGGCCTGACATTGAAGAGTTCTCCTCTCTAAGTGCCCGCTTGTGGTCCTCATCGAAGCTGCCGTGCTTGGCCCCTTGATTTCCGTTTCGCAGGCTACACATTCCTTTGCATATTCGCCGGTCTAATGCGATCAATCGTTCCGCGATGGGTAGCCGTTCTTGTTGATACGTCCCCAAGATCCGTGGATGCAATACTCCCTTGATCACTGAGGCTATTTTCCAGCCAAGATTGAACGTATCTTGCATGCTGACGTTCATACCTTGTCCTGCGTTTGGAGAGTGCGTGTGGATAGCGTCTCCGGCAAGGAATACACGGTTATGTATACCTATCTTTCGGCAGATGCGTTGGTTAATCTACTTCTTATTAGCCTGGATGTTCAGGTATACTGTCGAAATCGCAAACGAAGAATTGAACTGACAGTGTATATGGTTGACCATTCAACATGTCTTGTACTTATGGTATATGGCTGCATAATTATTGCGACTTGCTCCATGAGTATGCCGGGATCGGATTCTGCACGGTACCTGTCGGCAACATCAGGTGGAAGCTCCACGTAAATGCGAACAAGCTTTCGCTCTCGTGGAATTGTCATGAGTGTTCCGTGTTTTGATTTGATAATGAAGCGCTTTCTGATATCGGCTAGATAAATCGGCTTAAATTAGCACGTTTTAGAGAGCCGTTATTTTGATGAACTTACGAAAATCCGTCAAGGGAATAATATCAACGACACCCCACGAATCATCATAGCTTTCCCCTTCAAGACTTAGCCCAAGTTGCTTCCTAAGCCAGCTATGAGCTCCATCGCAGCCCAGAATATATTTGGCTTCAACAGTTTTCCCCATTCCTGCATATCCGGAGTCATACGAGAGAGCATTGCTAAGCCCGCTGTCCGAACTTTCCGGGCTATCAGGCGGGGTCTCGGAATTCGAATTCGATGGCACGTTCTCAAGATTGACACGGATAGAGAACGCATCGTGATCATCGATAGTCTCGTGATCGATCTCGAATGAAGTAGGAGTTGTTTCCCGCTTTACTTCGATGTGTCTTTGAGCTTGCACGTATTCCATCAGATATTCTTCTATTTGCCCCTGGCTAAGCGTAGACTCCTGGAATCGGGACCATCCAGGTTTGGCATTCGCAGTAACGCTTTGTCTTTGCAAACCGCCATCTTCTGTATCGCCCTAGACAACATACCAAAGTATACGTTAGTCTCGTCCTTGTTGAGCCAATTGTAGTATCTTACCCATAAAGCAATCTCCATTGTATGATTTGCTTGAGCCCAAACTTTATCCGCGAGCCCAAAACTATCCAGGATTTCCAGTGTTCGACTCTCCAGTCCGTCCGCTCGCCCACATCGCGTCTGCTGCGACCTCTGGTCAATTATTATAGTTTTCACTCCCATTTGAGCCATCCAGGCCGCGGCCATCAAACTTTCAGTGACCATTAGCTAATGTTATCATTTGTTTATTTTCGGAAACAAGAAGTAAGTTGATAGAACATACCCGGCCGGGCCGGCCCCGACGATCAAGACATCGGTCCGGACCGTATCTTCCATGTAGAGCGATGAATTTCAATGGGTTATGAAATGAGAAAATGAAAGACGTTTCCCTTCTATGAAAAGTACCCAGAATGCAAGTTAATATATATTAGTACCCCTGTGCAATGCGCAGAATTGTTTCATACGGTCCGGTCAGTCAGTCTACGTCATGATGGAACATTTCTTGTGTTCTCCCAGAGGTTAGTGCCAGATCTCTGCATTCCAAGAACTCCTGAGAAACTTGTCCTAAGGGAGGGAGGATGGGTGGGCAAAAGTCGTACTCGAAGGCTTAGTCGAGTACTTATTCTCAAGGGCTCAGCACAAAACAAGTTCCTCCATATTATTTATTAGAGATGCATGTGCTACCACTCGCGTAATAATTTGATATTTCATCATTTACATTTCTTTTCTAGAAATCGACTATCATGGCCCTTTTGAGCACATACTCCATGATGGCTGCCATAGCGACAAGTACACCCACCTCGCAGGGGATCTACAAGCCCGAAGAGAATACCTTCCTAAAGAATTCGCCGTCCAATTAAGCCATATAGTGAGCTAATCAAATCAAAAATGCGATGATGCTCGTGAAGAAATGGTGAGCTCTGGTTCTTCGCGCTTCGATTTTAGGAAGTATGCTGATAAAACTTAACGATGCCGTCGAGATACCAAGATGTGTGAGCTTGGTAGAGAAAAAATGAGCGGCTATACCAGACGTCTTCAAGAGAAATACATGTATATTCTAGCCTAGAATCTATTCAAGTTCAAGATGTGATACTTCAGTTCTACCCAGCAGGTAAAAGCGGCGGATGGTAGGCACCAATCCGGAAATGGGGGAAAGCTGACCGCGACGTCATTGGTCACGTGGTAATATCGCTCATCATTTGAGGCCTCAAGTAGGATCATAGTATAGAGTAGTAACATGCAGAAAGGCAAATATCTAAACCAGAATCAATATCTAAATCTTGGAGCTGTATGATGGTAGATTCAATCATGTATAATTGTTTGATATTTGAATCAGTTCTATTTTGTAGAACTGACTATTGAATTTCGTGAGAACATTAAAATGTTGTTATCAGCTAATGTGAAGATATTAGTTAGAGCATACAGTATAGAAATGAATGGATGCCTTCAATCTCCAATGAGACACACCAACGGCCATGCTCATATCAAATGATCAGAATAGATAAGGAAAGTATAAGGAGAAGAAGAAAACAAAATTCGATCAAGCTCATTATATAAACACAGAGATGAGAACATCCTGAAGATAAATAAATAAATAAACATAAAATAAACCCATAAGAACAGACTCCGAGTCCGTACTTCACAATTCGAAGAGGGGGTATTGGTAGTTTCTTGCGCCATTGTCACTGTCCAATCAAATAGTAATAAAAAGGAAAATCACAGGTATATCCTGATCTCATAGACATATCATGTCCATAAAGGCTCAGGTGCAACCATACCCTGCATCTCGAACGGGTGTGTCTGCTGATACATCTCCACATTAAGACTGAGTCTGCCATCAGCACGAGGCATATCAGCACATAGCCCATCAGTACCATATGGAGGTGTATAAGCCGATGAAGTTGCAATACCACTCGGGTGCCCGATCTCCGATAAACCGAGCTGTTGATCATGTGTGTCGAAGTGTTGTGGGGAAGGCGGGTAATACGTATGTGAAGAGGCGGCAGTGACATATCCATCTCCGAGATGGAATGGTGATCCAGCTACAGTCACAGCGGGAGGAGATTGGAGGGGTGGTGTGTATGCGGCATAAGAAGGAGAGGCAGAGGCAGGCGATGATGATGAGGCGAGAGGGTACTCGTGCAGACCGTGGGTATGATATGGGCTCGGAGGACCGGGGGAGTACTCGATAGAGGGGTGGGGAGGACAAGCCAAACGACTGCGGTAGTGTGCGACGACACGTTGAGGGAAATCCATCAAGGTCATTGCGAGTTGGAGGTCCGCGTTGAATGGATCTGTAGCAATTTGCGAAGCTAGGATATGGTATGTTTCGTCGATTGGACCGATTGAGAGGGCGCCGAGGTATGCGCCGCCCGTCTCGGGGAAGAAGCGGTCGAGAGCAGCTGCGACTGCGAAGAAGTGGGATAGGACTGCTAGGCCTGTGAGATCGGAGTCGCTTCCTCGGAGCATGGAGGCTGGAAGCCAGAATAGCCAGCGGCGGAGGGTTCGAATGCGGTCGAAAGATTGCTCGGGTGATTGTGTTGGGTATTCTTTTCGGAATTGTTTCACGAAGTCGAGCAGTTCTGTTAGACGCTGGGTGTATTCAGGGTGATGGGAGACGCGCTTTTGGGAGATTTGAAGTCCACGAATGGTTTGATCGAGTTGGTTTAAATCTTCTTCGAGGGACATTGGGAAATCGGGTATTGTGATGGAACGTTGGTGTTCGACCAGTTGTGCTAATTCGGATTCTTGTTTCCAGAATGGATGCATTGATTCGAGGACTGATGAAATTCCCTGCTGCAGAGAGATCAAACTTTGACTAAAGGATGACGTTAGTTGTTTGGTTATTAACCTTAAGAACTAGAACCCTAAACCTACCGTTCGGTTGCTTGCCAGGATAACAAAACCGAAGCGGCGAGAATGGCGTCGCAGTTCTCTTTCGAGAATAAACCGATCGATGTTTGTAGGCCGTGGAGAGCAGTGACTCTGTGCTGATAAGCCAGCTGCTTGGTGTCTTGGTTGCCCGTGAGGTAGGTTAGATGAAATGCGGACAAGCTCAAGATGGCGCTCATGACAAAATCGTTTGACAAGGCGATAGCAAGAAAGCTAGACAGTATGTTAGCCTTGATATTCAGTGGCATGTATTCGTAAGTTCGGAGGAACGTACTTAGGCATCTTTTGCGCCCAAACTGTGCAATTGCTGAGACCCCGCCGATGTAGATCAATGGAAAGTCCAATAATATGGTGAACCAGGCGCAGATCTGCCCGTGATAGGTGAGACCATCCAGACTGTGGACACTGAGCAAGTTCATGATATGGAGGAATACCGGTTCGGTGCCACTCGTCAATCTCCATCTCGATTTCGGGCGACATGAGGAGATCGGGTCCACGCCTTGAAGCGGGGGGACTAACTTGTGCTGCGGCCATGTCCTGGTAGTCACAGCGACAGTTGTGTTTTGTGCAATTGCGACTAGATATTGATTAGTTATGAGTCACTTTTATATTTATCCTGTCTATTAAAATTCGCAACACACCATTGTGGGAAGGTTTCGTCGCAGCGAATGTGTCTTCGCTTGCATGTCTTGCATCCATTGCGCGACTTAGTATGGCTCTTGCGCGGAGGGCCACCACCTGGACCGGCCATTGTGTCTGAGAATCCTAAGACTGGAGTTTACCTAAGTGGCGAAAAGTATGATGGCGAGTCGAGAGGGGTATGTATAGTCGTAAACCCAGCTTGTGGGTGGCGAGTCGATGTATGAGAAGATGTATACCGAGATAGCCAGGTGGGATGGGAAGAAGTAGAAGAGAATCGATTTCAAGCAAAGTGATCAGGTGAAGAGCAAAGTTTATAATGAAAAAGAGACAGATCTTCTTTTCCAAAAGAGCCTTTTAACGTTGAGGGGCTTGTTGAGTTCTTATCCGCGGGAAGTTAGCACCACCCGCACCGCAGCGTCAGCGGGTTTTAAAGAACGAGCTGGGCCCAAGAATTCAACCCGTTCAAAAGCAATATGGCCCCCGCAAAAAGTGCCCAGGGGTGGGAGGGTCAAGGCGAACTGATTAAGGAGAAAAAGGAAACACAGCAATTGTCGAGATGCAATCGAGATGGAGACGAAGAGAGCATGGATCGCCCACCGTTGATAGAAATCACAACAAGTGCCAGTCAGGTGGGAGATATGATTAATCTTACAGGAATTATATAATTAGCAGTGCATTGATCTTGTTTTAAAAAAGAATTACCGTTTGATTATCGCTGATTTTGTAATTTTTTTTTTAAAAGAAATTATTATTATTATTTTTCGTGGTTTATTATTTTAATAATAATATTCCGATTATTATGTTTTCCCCAGTGATGATCGTCCATTTGAGCCTCTCTGCAGGGCCACCTAGGATAACCCCCTCACACTTCATTCAGCTGGAAGGTTATGGTAGACCAGGACCACATGGCGCCGTAGAACGGGGGGCCCGGGCCACGCAGAATAGCCAGAGTCTAATTTGACGGGGAAGGGGGGCCCTTAAACAGCTGCCTCGATGGGTTTAGTGCTGTCCATCCTTCTAAGTTGCAGGCGCACTCCACTGCACGGCATGTGAGCTTTCATTTCCCCGGGGCGCGGTTGATTTCCAGACAATGTGCCAGATCAACTACTATGGTTCTTCTGGGGAGAGACCCAAGGAACTTGTCCAATAAACCAGCTACGGGACAAATCCTCCAATAGCTTGACTTGTTGGAGGAAGACGAAAACGAAAACAGGACGGTAAGTGGGGAAATAGTCAAGAGCTAATGGTTAGCAAGAGATCGAAAGGACCAAAGTTAAAACAAGACAAGAAAAGAAACGACAAGAAACCGGCTAGGTCAACCAAGCCGACGCGCAACCGCAATTACTCCGTAGATACTCTGGTGCAGTTCATCAAACGGGAAGTTTCGTTTAAGTAATCGCTGTGGGCAAATGAGCAACGAGAAATGGTCCCCGGTAGATCATCCAGAGTCTATTCAGGTCCACGGGGAACGAAAAAGGGGGGTGGCTGATGTCTAAATTTTTTTTTTCGTCTTTCTTTTCTTTTTCTCTCTCCCCCGTTTCATCCCTGCGATCCATGAGGGTGTCGCGTCTGGTCCGCGGAAATATGCAGGGGCCCACTGGGACAGAGAGGAAGGGAGCCATAATAAAATGCTTGGCCGACGTGTATGTATACATAGTATGGAGTAAAGAACGAGGGGCTATGTAGAGATAAAGTCGAAAAAGAGAGAAAAAGAAAACAATGGAACAAGGTGATTGGATTGTTAAGGATCGTCCTTGGTAAAAAAGGTAGGCTCCGCGATCTGAGGACCCTAGCTTGTGGATTGTGGATCGAAAACGTCAGGATTGCCAAGCTCGAAAGCTTGGGCACCGTATGCCGTGTTAAGTAAAGGGGGATGTCAATCCTGAGCTGCGCCATCCCAGACTCGCCTCGTGGGGCATTTCATTTTTCATTTTTCGTCCTTTTTGTTTTGAGAATATTTCTTGTATTGTCTTGTTTTGTATTCTTAATTTTTGCTGATGAGGGTTTCTTAGCTTGCGGAAATGCGCCGTTTCTACCCGTAATACAGCGTGAGTCAGACGCGGGATGCGCTGGACCGAACTCGGTCATGACAACCGAAGGTGCATATGTTCTGGGCGTCGCAGAGGGCTGAGCCACATGGCCTCCAGGGCTTAGGGGGGGATCATCGTTACCTTCTTCTTGATCTCTTTTCTTTTGCTGGAGTACTGGAAGAGCAAGATGGGGTGACAAGACCAGAGCATCGGGATCATCCACGGGTCCTGATGGGTAATCCGGGGGGTCGGGAAAGCCATTTCCAGACCGGTGTACATGTTACCACTGGGCTGGGAATACTGGGATCCTGGGATCTTGTAGGATGAAGAGTTTCTTTTCTATATATCGTATATGACTGAAAGGGGCAAATGAACCAGGGACCAGGGTTATTGAATTATAAAAAATCCCGACAGGGATATCGGTCGAATCAAGTCCTTTTCCCGGAGTTTCTTCGCGATGCAGGGTCCTAGAACGTAAGCTAGGAAAGGGGGGGGGGCTTGGTTTTTGAGAAAACCTGGTTTGACTTCTTGGGAGATTTAGTCTCGATGGGAATCTGCCGGGCCCGCTGGAATGGATCACGGCGCTCTGAAGAAGTGTGCAGAGTTCTGTGTCACGTTATACAGTGACCGCCACTTCAATCTGGTCTGCCACGTTTTCTGGGGGACGTGGTCAGAGGTCGGTGAAGCCACTCATCTGGTAGACATGCATGCTGCAGCTAGGATATGGGATCGGGGGAGAAACATAGAAAAATGGAGAAACACGGAGCGAGAATTTGGTACTGTACATTCAAGGCGAGCAAGTATAACAGGGTCGGCAGGGAACCAGTTGGTTACTCAAGCCCAAATGGTATAGTAATCATCATCATCATATTATCACACGTGGCACCCATGATTCCCATGATCACTGGAGGAGATATCTCCCAGAGTCTCCCCTACAGGTCGGGGTAAATAGGAGCTGCAGCTGTCAGGAGCTCACTCGTTTCATCATAATGAATGATGGCTACCAGTTCGGGAGTGGAATGCGAAGGAGTAGAACCATGGTGCAGGCGGAGATATTCGGTTGTCTGCGATGGTGAGTGGTGAATCGTTAGCGGTGGGTCTCAGTCTTAGTCACTAGTGTGCTCTCCTTTTGGTTTAGCGCGTAATTTCTCGCGACATGACGCCAAAAAGGGATTAGCGCGTGGACAACACTGCAGCTTGAGATGAATGAGTCTCCGTACTTTTGGGGGCCAAAGACGGGGGGGTTTTTTTTTCTTAATTCATTTTGAACTAAATTTCAATCTAATTTTATTTGACTCCGCCCGACAAACGTACAAGGATATGAATTCGTAGGGGAGCAGTCCTCCGTACTCCGTACAAAAGAAACAGAGTTCATAGCTGGTACCCACCAAAGAAGATCGTACTAGGATCTCCTGCACCAAATCAACACTACGCAGTACTAGGGAGATGATTTCCCGATTCATCGAACCAAAATGAACGGGAATGTCAGTCAACCAGACAGTTGGGAAGCTAGAGTCGATAGGTCTTAGGCTTCTGGGTAAGGACCCCAGATCTGGGCCTGGGGAGGCCCAGGGTATATTTCCTCAACGAAGGGTGACTTATTGGTAGAGTTGGGCGCCAGAGCCCGACATTCTGGTTCTCCCGCTCTGCCAGATGACATAGCGGTTCTCATCTAACTTACACATACCCTTGCCCATTGGCAGGTGGCCGCATGGAGGAAAAGCACTGTCCATGGGAGGCAACACCCGCTAACCAACTTAAACAGCGCTAAGAATGAGTGAGGGTCATCGAGGACGTGTGGGGCGAAACTATGTACATGAAAGTAGACTAGCCTAGTGGCCCGTCGATCATGGGCGAGATTAACAATGGGCCCTTTTGTTCACTTGGTCGGAGTACCAGTCCGCTGGTTTAGCTTGAACGTCTATGGGAGGGGCGAGTCAAGCCGTCGATCTATAATCCCCTCCATTGGTTTCAGATATCCACTAAGCTAGAAAGAGCATAGGATTTGCAGGCAAACAAAAGCAATATCCCATCGTGCATCCAGAAACACATGGACATGTTGTAATGGAAATTAAACTCGAACAAAATCCGTAAAAAGTACGGAGGCAAAAAGGAGAAAAATGCAGGGGAAATAAATGAACAGAAGCATTCTCCACAGCTAAAGGATTGATACTACAGCGAAAATCCCCCGTTGTGCCGTGTGAACGACCTACAGGATTGGTAGTTCTGAAGCATGATAGACCCTTATCTACACGATTTCCAAGTTCTCATCTCCCAACAACTTAATTAAAGTCGCTAGCGTCAATCGGGCTCCAAGCCACTTGCTCACCAGGTCGCACTGAAATGCCTTACTCGTTTTCCGAGTAAGGCTAAGGCAGATTGTGAGGCTGAAATCCCACGTTTTAATTCTGCATAAAGTCATGATTACCATTACGTGCAAAAAAGACTAAGAAGTATAGCTAATCGATACACGGATTAACGAAGTACGGAGTGCGGAGAAATACCTAAGAAGTAGCCCCTTTCTCATCTCCCAGTATACAAGTCATAGTGAGGACAACATGATGGCAGACCTCAAGAGAGACAACGCCTCCCTCCGAGGAGAAATACTCGTCGGAATTCAGCACCGAGAAATCAGTAGGGAGGCAACACCTAAGGAGGCAAAACAGAACTTCACTGTATATGACAATTGGCGCCTTTGTTATTTCTCCTCCCTCCATTCCCTGTACAAAGGCATTGCATCCTGGATAATAGTACCATATTGTTCCAGGATCGTGACATCGATTAATTTAACCTTTTCCTCGCCCCATTACGAGACCTTCCTAAATCAGCCCTGCAGCCAAGAGCAAAGAAAAAAAGAAAAATGGGGTTTCACAAATCTTCAATGGATATCGAGCTCAAGAATGGGCACCTCCTGACCGCATACTGCCGTCGCCCCTCGGGAGAAGCAACGTACTCGGAATTAAATCTGGATGATTTCCTAGGAGCTAAGAAAGGCAAGTACATTACATGGAATGGCACAAAGTTGCAGCCCCCAAAATAAATAACAGACATAGAATTTCTATCGTCTCAAAGCCCCGATCTGCAGAGTATATCTTGCATCGCCACTGACTGTCTCGTTACGATAGGTCGCTTTGCCTGGAGCGCTGATGGATTCTCCGACCATGCATCTGATGTTAATCTCAAACTTGAGGGACCCACTCATGAGCCAATGTTGCATGCTTCACTGGAAGATGAGGAAGGAGGATCGCGTATGGACGTGGTGAATCTGGCAGATTGTATCAAGAATGAGAATGGTCGACTTCGTTTCATGGATTGCTTTTAGTACATACATGTACATCACAAAATGGAAATTGAAATGGAAACGAAATGAAAAAATAAACCAAAAGCAATGTCTACAATCTACAATACTCACTCTCCTTGCATTCTTCAAGTTGCATTTTCGCCCCCACACCCTTCTTCTACATCTCCACATGTATACATGTATGTACCTCTCCCAAATTTCTCCGGTGCCCGAGGTCCTAGGAACCTACCCAGGTAACACGTCCGTGCTGGGCTTAGTGTAGGGCAGAGTAAGACATACCTGCGGCTGAATGCAATGCCAGCACATCCTTGGCTGGTCCAGAGTATTAATTGGAAAATACCCTAGTCCTCGGTCAGATGTTAAATTGCAAAGTGAATCCTGGGTTCATTCTCCCCTGATGACTTATTCGTCTCGGATGCGAAACGGCCCATCTCATCTCGTGGCTTGCCTCCAAATGCGGTATAGCCTGAGTGTATTAGATGAATATAGCAAAATAAACGACGCAAATGGGTCTGCCCAGACACACTAGTCTAAGCTTATGGCTTAGACACTTAAAATTTGAACTTGAACTTGAACCTTCGATAACTTAACTTAATGAGAGCCTTGAATGGCATACTTCTCTAAAATGTATCTTCCATTGCGTAGGACAAGACTGCTAGCCTGAGTGACCTAATCTCCTACACGAAACCGAAGCCAAGAGGGGCCCCAAGTTCAAGATCGAATCATGAAGTTAATAATCAGCCTACCGTCTAGTTATCACTACACAAATAGAGTAAAGGCCATTCTACCATCACAACATAGCCCTGACCGCGCCCTGGGTGAGGCTAACAACAAAGCCCATTTCCCTCCGAAACTTAAGCTCAGACTCCCGAAGGCGTCAATTAAGCGAGATGAAGATCCCTGTCTAGAATTAAACTCTCAGGGAATGTAAAAACTCCAACTTTAACTCTCAAAAGCACCAGTGACTGCGAGTCAGTAATTAATTTCCCCCTACACTGTAGCCCCCCCCCCTCTCGAATAAACCTACTAGTAGTACTTCCCCCTAATCTAAATCAACCCAAAGCTTGAACCAACCAATCTCATCCCTGTACTCCGTACAGCGTACAGCGTACAGCATACCAATCAGAACAAAGTATCCTTAAACTAAATTTCTTGGCCCGATCTCCTCCGTAGCCTAAACCACCAAAACAAGTAAAAAGAAGGTGATCCGATCTGACCATAATCAGTCTCGGCAGAAAGGAAGCGTGAAGCTTGGACTTTGGACCCTTTTTTTTTCTCGCTTGTTTTCTTGGCACAAGACTTGCATTGTACGAAAAGAGGAAAGATAGAGCGCCGCACGGGACTTTTGGCTCAAGGCGTTTTTTGAGTGGGGGTTTGGTAATAGTTGCACTTGAGCCTTGGAGTTACAGGCGTTGAGGTGAGTGGTGGTGCCAAGGTGCCAAGGGTTTAAGTTAATTTGAGTCTGTCCTGCTGCCAGTGGTTAGTTGGTGTCGGGAACAAGAACAAGAACAAGAATAGGATCCTGAATGTGGATTCTGGGCTGTTTTGCCGATATGCTAAATCTGGGTTTAGGTTTGAGTCTGTTGGTACCAGGTGCTGGTGTGTACATGTACATAGAGGGAAGGAGGGAGCGTCGGTTGAAGTTGCAGGGAAAGGAGGCGACCACGGATCTAGAGCGCCATGTCGTTTATTCGAAGCTTAACACTTCTTAACCTGTGGAGTCGTCATATCGAGCTACTATCTATCACTGGCACGGGACTAACACAGACTACCTAGATTTTTTGTTGATTTTGGTGGTGAAGAATCTATCTAATCTATCTATTGAATCGGAGAAGAAAACGGGGAAGTTGGAAAGCAAAAGCAAGCAGCGCTAACAACGCAACGCACCTAAGAGCCTGTCCTATATCAACATGCAACATGAAGTGCAATAAATAAAAGGGGAAAAGAACAGGAAACAACAAGAAACAAGGAAGGAAAAACCAGAATGATATCAAACCATCCCATGCGATCGCAATCGTCATATAACGTATAAAGTATAACGTATAGTAGATAGAAGTCGAGTCAAGCCAATTCAAATGAAATGGCATCTGGAAACTCCCATGCTGGCTCCCCTATTCATCTCCCTCTTTCGCGCTCGCAGCTCCAATGTGGGATAAAAAAATATGCAAATGAAAATGAAAATGAAGAATACCAATGAAGATGAAAATGGAAAATAAAAAAATAAAAAAGCAACGCCCAGTCGAGATCTTAGCTCGCCTTGATTATTGACCTAATTCTCCTTGTTATTTTCCTCGTGCTTGCCCTATCCTGTTCCTGTCCTGTTCGTTCCTCCTATTTCTAGGTCATAATGATAACGGGTATAATAGCCCGTGGCGCTCAGAAGAAAAAAAAAAAAAAAAGATGAATTTGAATTTGAGAGTAAAAGAAATGTGTCAGAGAAACGTATCGCATCAGGCATGGTCATGTCATGACATTTCTGGATTCATCCACAACGGATGAGATACAGTCAAAAAGAGACACATGGAGGAGGTTTGCGCTGCTGTTCATAAAGCCACCGTTATACATGCAAGATGATAGGCGGAAGGTTGGAGTCGATGCGTGAAGGGGTGTCGCAAATCACCGGCTATACCTGGTAGGCTGTACGCAGCTTCTGACTCACGGGAGAAGGCAACTGTGAGAGGAACGAATCGAAGTCGGGTATCATATTTTTATAGCCTTGCAAAACCTGTTTGACTAGTTAGAATGGTGTTTCCCTGTGTCAGGGTGGGGCTAGAATATATACCTGTTGAAATGAGCTTTGAATATCCCGGTAGTCCTCGTTTGTTGAGAGCGACTTGGTTGTGGAAGCGGCAATGGCCGCGAAGTAAGTTCCAAGGGATGACTCCATAGCTTGAGGGTTCTTCATCACCACTTGGTTGAAGCCAAGGAGTGCGGATGCCTTCTCGCGGCTGAAGTCGATCTTGCCCATTGACTTCAGGAAGGGATTGGCATATTCGCTCAATCGTGGAGCCAGCTGGTCAGAGCAACACAGGCCAAGACGGCCAAGTGCCATGGCGGCATTCTCGTTGACGGAGTCAATGATATCCTCGCTGTTGATGATAATTAAAAGACCACGGTATAATGAGTCGATGTATGGCACAATGGCACCCTTCTCCTCCTTAACGGCAATCTCACCAACAGACCAGCAGGCATTGTTCAATACGCTGAATCCGGTGTGACGATCATCATCGGGGATCAAATCCAAGTCAAGCTGCTTGATGAGGTGCTTCAGGATTTCAGGAACGAATGGCTCCATTTGAGGGAAGATGCCGATGGCACAGTCGCCCAGAAGAGCGTATGAGGACTGGCGAACTTCATAGTTGGGGTCTTGCATACAAAGGGAAAGAAGCTCGAAGAATGGCGGGTTGGACTTGGCGATAAGTTCACTGCTCTTTTGTTTGTCGATGGCTTGAATAATGCAGGAGAGAAGGTCCAGGCTAGTAACCAGGAAATCCTTGTCGGGTTCATCAACGGCGGCATTGTTTGCGGAGGCATGGGAGTCTGCAAGGTTCTGGTAGATAATTGTGGCGCAACGTTGGAAGAGTGGTGGAGCGAAAGGCGCAAAGGCATCCTCGTAGGCTGCAGCTATGTATCCAAGACATTCAAGCAGCGGGAAGAGTTCGCGAGACTGGTCGTTCACCTGGTTGTATCGATCGATCAAGGCAGGCATCAGAATATCAACCAGTTGGGGTTGGGCCAGGTCACCTCCGACACATTCAGCGAGGGTCTGGACACAGTCGTAGAGAATATACATGTTTCGGTCCTTATACTTTCCAAAGCATTGGACGAATTGACGGAGAATAGGCTCGCAGTAAGGTGCCAAGTTCTCATCTGACTTCTCCTCCAAGCTGGCAAACGCAGACGCGGCAGCTTCCTGCACCTTCTTGTTGTTGTCAAGCATGCGGTGGAGAATACCCTCCATCATCGGCTCAAAGAATTGATGCTTCTGAGATGGCTCGTTCAGGTGCGAAGCCCACTCCGAGTACCGTCCCAAACACCAACAGGTAATCTGGCGCACAACAGGTTGTTCATCGCTTAGGAGGGAAATCAGGTACGGAACCAGTTCGGGCAGGTGAGGCATAACGGCGTTCATACAGCCATCTGCAACGGCACCCAATGTGAGAACGGCGGCCTCGCGGTTGGGCCACTGGTCGTGTCGCAGAGTCTCCTTGAGGTATGGCAGAATAATCTCGAAAATGGGATCATGGTAGACATTTGAGAATACATCCAGCGCAGCAGCAGAGCACTTCCGCAGAGTCCACTCATCCTCGGGGTCGTCTCCAAACTCCGAATCTTCAATTTCGCCTTCGCTCAGTTCGCCCTCTTCTTCCTCTCCGGGCTGCTGTTGGCCGCCGTTGGCTTGATCACCCTGTTTTGACATATCAAGACGACCAGCCTTGCTCTTGGCAAATTGGGGCTTCAGATCCTCCGCACGATCCTCGGTGTCGGCGTCATCCTGGTTGTCCATGAGACGGATAACATCCTCCTCCTCATAGACCATGTTCTGAAGAAGCACGGGGATAATCTTAGACATATGCGGGCCTAGAGCTTCCTGCAGGAGCTCCTGCTCACCCGATACAATCCAGAACTCCGCTGCATCCAGAGCAAGCTCAGGGTCCTCTCCATTCTGCTGCTGCACAAGGATATAGCCAACCAGACCCTCCATGTGTGGGATCAGCTTCTCAGGTGCGAACTCCACAAGCTGCGAAAACGACTGACAAACCGCTTTCCTAACCTCAGTATCCTGATCTCCAGCCAAGTTGAACAGGTGCGACAAGAAAATATCGAGCGAACTCATCAACGCCTGAGGTTGATGCGGAAGGAAAATCTGAATGCTGCTCAGAGCAAGAGAACGAATCCTAGAACTCTCGCGAGCAGTGAATTCCAGAAGCTTAGGAATAATCACATCCAACGGGCGTTGTCCTTGATAATCGCGGTCTAAGATCTTGCGGTTATCTTCGCAGACCTTAAAGAGAGCAGACATCGCAGCTTCCTGGGCAGCAACCGACACATTTCCCGGAGAGTTACCAACGAGAGAAAGCAACTGGTTCAAAACCTCCGGCCAGGCCAATAATCCACCACGTTGTACCAGCTCAGTGATCAGACTGCCGGCACCTCTTTGAACCTGTGAGTTACCGTCCTGCAGGGCGATCAGGGAAGCGGATCGAAGGAAATTCAGACTCTCGGTAGGAATGCTATGATATGCCACATAAAGCTTCGATTTAATGTTCATGGCTGCGGCGAATCGCACATAGCTGTAGACATTATCGTCCATCCCAGCATTGGGCGGAGCATGCGGCGTCGAGAAAATGTATGTAATGTAGTTGATATAGTCCGGAGATGAAAGCGCCTGGCTAAGCATCTAAATAATCGCGACATATTGATCAGTATGAAATTCTGTATAATCTTTTTGCTTTTCTTCCATCCTGGACCAGAGGGGAGGAGGGGTTGCCAGTGGGAGGGGAAATTCAAGATTGAAGGATTGGACTGCAACTGCACCGCAGGCCTCAAAAAAAAAAAATTAAGAGCGAGGATTAAAGGGTAAGTACCTGTTCAGCTTGTTTTCGGAGCTCGGGATTTTGGCCATTGAGTGAGTCCCTTAGGCAGCAGGCCAGCTGCCTCAATGGCTCTTCTTGAGGTTGCCAATCCATGTTGAAGCAATGGGCTAGAGAGTCTTGCTTTGCGACCGCAGGAGTAAAAGTGCGTGTGGCACAATGAGCCCCGCCAAGAATGTGGGAACGGGTCTCCCCCTTCTCTTGTTCGTTCCCCAGATCAAAGACGATCCGTCTTCTGATATGCACCCAGCACACGAAGATATAAGGGATGGGATAAAGTAGTGCAGAAACTCAGAAGGAACTGATTCCTGTAAAGCAAAAAAAAATAAAACTGAATTGTATGGCAAAGTTTCCTAAGAGAATGAGGGGAGGTTGGAGGCGAACGGGTGAAAGGGAAAGGCGGTAGAGAGTGTAAGTAAACGTGCCCACTGCAACAATACAGTTACAGTAGAGATTTACCAGAGTTTACTAGTAGTATGGGAAAACTGCAAACGACATGGTCAAGGGTTAGAGAGGACATCTGTACTCTAGATAGTATCTAATAATATACGAGAGTCTGGATGGTATGTCTTACAAACAAGGACAATATGTTCGTAGCAACCTTATTTTTAAGGCCTCAATATGGCGGGATCAACTGACTCGCCAGCCCCAAGAGGTAAATATAGTTACGCGATGATCATAATAGTAAATGTTGACTAACCTCGAGCACCCACGCCCTCAAAGGTCCCAGATCGTGTGATAAGTGAGAACACCAAGAAATAAGCCATAAACAGATCGACGCCGACAATGTAAACTGTAAATGCGACATGTGCAAATGGTATATTTGCACACTTCCCCAACCCACCAACCACGAGGTAAAACTAAATAACTAGGCCCACACCATCTTCTTAATATCATAAACTAAGTATTCTAAAATTCCAGTTCGTTTCTTCGCATCAGCCAAAGGAATAATATCACACTCTTCAACCACAGACCCCGACTCCGACTCGGCATTCTGTGACGTCCCTCCATCACTAATACCCGCCATCATCGCCCGCTCAATATCATGACTGATCGTCCGGACACGATCAAGCTCGCGCACAGTACCCGTAGTAGGTCCAAGACGAGGACTAGTCACCTTATTCGCTAAAGGAAGGGACTTGAATGCGACAAAGCGGGTAGTGGCCCGCTTACTACCACGTAACCAGGAGATCAGATCCCATTCCCCAGTTGAGCTAGCCGTAGCTTCAAGAGCAGCAGGTCGAACGTTAGTCTGTAGAGAGCGGGTGTTCACGCGCAACAGATTATCATCTCCATCACGATATACAATTACCAAACCAACATTGGTGCGTTCGTCTGATTGGCTTTCTGTCAGAATAGAGGTAACGTATGTACCGTAGTGAATACGGGAGATGGAGCGTAGATCAATGCGCTCGAAGGAGAGAACTTTGTCCGTTTCCCAGTCGAAGCGACAGCTATACACGGCGGCATCTGTTAAAAGAAGGACAGACTCTTCGAATGGGAGAGTCCGTAGTGTATTCGGTTGGCGGGGCGTTGACATCGTCCAGCCACCGAGGAATTCTTCAGAGGGACTACTGATCACGATTTTGCAGCTGGTGTCGATTGCATTCTGTCGGATTTTTCCAACTGAGATGCCCGGGTCGGTGGTTTGAAGTTCCACGGAGAATTCGTCGAAGACATGTTTCGAGACGTTACCGAGTAAATAGTCGATACAGGCTTGGGAGAAGTAATCGTTCACAATATTGTTGTAGTATCGCGAGAGAGTGAGACCGAAGTCGTTGAGGGCACCTCGGTAGTCTCGCTTCCGGGTACGGGTATAGTCACCTTTCAATGCTGCAGTGGATGAATACTGCTTGGATATCGCGTCGCCGTTATCAGCCCAGAGGGTATTGAACCATTGGGTTGACGAGTCACCACCCAGATCAATCGCGAGACCTTCATTCTGAAGTTGGCGTTCTAGCGCCCACTGTCCAAATGCGCACTGGGCAACTCCAGTTCGATCAAGACAGTCCATGCAATTCGTGCGCATGATACCAGTCTGCTTGAGCGAAGATGTCCCCCCTTTAAGGCTGGTGTATCCGAATTCTTCTAGCGTCTCTTTCACACGGTCAACAAGACGAGAGACATTTTCAAACTTCATTCCACGACACTCGTTATGGAAATCGAACCATTCCAATCCCAAAGGTGATCCTTCAATCCCGCCGGCCTTATTAAAAACATCCGTATACATCTCATACTGTTCACCGAGCTTCAGCTCACCAGCATGCTTATCAATCAAAGACACAGCCTGTATCTTGCCATACCTGCGACTCATCTCCCTGAAATGTCTTTCAAAAGCAAGTTGATTAATTTCAGTAGAGTGATGAAGTACAGGAACAGGCTTGAAAGCGTATGGCGATTGGGAGAAATAGAGCGGGATCGACCCTCGCACCTGTAGGTACGAATAAACATTATCTGACGGATCCCATCTAGGGCCTGAGAGAATCTGCTCCGTCTCAACTGTGTTGGCTGTATTGCCTTGATCATCTACACCACGGCGCAGATAGCGAAGACCAGGACGGTTGACTGAGCGACGAGAAATGAGTGTTAAGAGGAAATTGCGCTTAGGAACCTCGGCCTCCACAGATGCGGCATCGTGACTATTCCCGAGGATCTTTGGCTCAGTCAGCTCTTCGGCAGAGGCATCATTTGGTTTTTTCTCAGGGCTTGCCACGGTGAATTCTCGCTGGCCAACAAAACCTTGCAGAAGAGGTAAAACGAATCCATGTGCACCGTTTTCAATAAAATTGAACATAAGATGCTTGTTCCAGAAGTACTACTCTTAGTTAGCATGATATACCACTTTAAATTGCAAGTCCACACCAGTTGTACATACCACAGGATCCACAGCCTTATGAAGAGGAAGATGCTCCGTCCTCACACCCTGCGCATCAAAAGCCCTCGTAAGATCATAATCATACGCAAAAAAGAAATTATGCGACGAAAACAATAACTTCGTATAATTAATCAGCTTCGGCAACAATTCAGCTGCCTGATCAGATCTTGAGCCATCCTTAACGCCCTCTTTCTTCTTCTCCTTCTCCTTCTCATCTCCAGACGCAGCAGTCCCCTCCGCACCCCCTTCCGTACTCAGTCCAGACAGATCAACACCAACATCTGAACTCACACTCGCGCTCGTAAGTCCCAACGAATCATCAAACGGGCTCATACTCTCAACCACATCCTGCGCAATAGGTCCCGGCCTCGCTAATCCCAAATTCTTCCTTGAAAGCCAATTCGCCGCAAACCGACCAAACGGTACCCGTTTCCCAATAACATCTTCCGCAATACTACTAACGCTCGCACCGCGCGTATGGACCGCCGCAGCACGAGAGGGTGAAGTCGGCGCGCTGGGGATTTCTGTCTCTGTCTCCGCATTCTCGGTGCTAGTGCTAGCTCCGGGGATTTTGTCTTCGTGCTCGTCCTCGGAATCAGAGTCGGAGTCTAGAGTAGCATCTGGATCGGGATTATTGCGCGAAACATCTTTTTGGGCTTGTGTGATTGCGCGGTTTGCGTCTGATTGGCAGGATAGAGGGATTAGCGCGACGTTTGTTATTGCGTAGATTGGTCGGCCTTGGATTTGGGCGACTTGTGTTCGTTGCGTTATTGATACTAGGAATGAGCGGGATGCGACGGATAACAGGCCTAGATTATATTAGCTAGAGTGTTTCAACTTTGAAATGTGGAGCGTTGGGTTTGGTGAGTTGTTTCTGCGTTGCTTGGTTCACGTACCGACAATTCCGTATGCTTCTAGGTTCAAGTCATCGCGACTATCCAGTACCTCGGTGGTGGTAGTTGGTAAAGCGGATATTTTATTCGTTTTGTAATCGATGCGAATGGACGAGGCCTCATTATTGCTCCCATTGTTATTGTGGCGGGGTCCGTTGACGCCGTGACCGTGCAGAATCAGTCCGTCGACCGCGGCGATGATGATAAGTTTCCGGAGAAGACCGGGCATGGCGGATGCTGTCCCGCTCGGAAATGAATATATACAGGAACCAAACCGAGCCGAACTCGAGGAAGGAAGGTGAGGAACGAGAGTGGGACAATTCGATCAAGATCGAAATCAAATCAAGATCGGATGCGCAAGTTCCAGTAACAGCTGACTTGACTGACTTGTGAGCTACATCATCGGGCAGCCCCACTTCTATGGTTCGCGCTCGGTTCAGCCCAGTTCAGTTCCTGTACATAATGAGATGAGATGGATGTATGATGATGGATTAACCACTCTATTTGCGAAATGAAATTCCATGATAAAACACTCCGTATATACAAGATGCCCTCTCGCCCAATAACCAAATCACACAATGAGAAAGGACATGAAAAAAAAAGAGAAAAAAGAAAATGAGGAAACTAGGATGGTCGGAAAACAAGAACAAGGAAATTCACCTATTTAAGAAACCCAGAGTCATATCCAATCGTTTCATACAGCATTTCCAGTGCCTGGTATGAGAATGCCCGAGTATCATTCTCTTCACTCGGGCGTTTTGGAGGGAAACAATAAAAATACAGGGGCTTTGGGGGGGGGGGAGGCCGATGCGGGAAAGAAGCAGGGAAGGGAAAAAGATGAGAAGAAAATGGAGAAGAGCGTTGCGGCAGTAACTTCGTGAAGGAAGTGGGAGGCGCTACTAGCTTCAAACCACTCCAAGCGATCAAATTTGACTATTATGTCTGGTATGCTTTGCTGTCTCGTTGTCTCCGTGCGGAACAGTCGGACCAGGTTCACCATCCGTATCCTCTGCCAAATCATTCAGACCAATGCCGGAGTTATTTTCGAGATCGTACGAGTGGATAAGACCCTCGCGGTCTCCGTGGCCGTTGAGGAATGCGATGCTAGAGGAACTTCGGCGGGATTGCATGGATCGCCGTGTTTGGAAGCTTGCGATGCCGTCGGTTGGTACGCCCTCGTCGTCGAGCTTGGAGTGGGAGAGGTTTCGTCCGTCGGGATCGTGTCGGGATAGGTTCAGAAGATATACGCCGGTGAAGATGATGAGGAAGCCGCAGAGTAGGGAGATGGTGTTGACTGCATCTGTGGTGTTGAATCCCTGGAATAGAATAAAGGAAGCGCAGAGCGTAGCGGTCGTAAAAGTAACATAATAGAGGGGATTCACACTATGTTGCGGGAATGGTATTAGCGATGTAGATGTAGAATGATTCCTTCGGCATGTTGGTGACTTACATGGAGGTTGGGAATGAGTTCAATGCCTTGTTGAAATAGTTCATTTGAGTCAAAATGCAGAAACCAGTGACAATAGCAAAGACATATGTAGATGCATGCACAAATTGGTTATTTCCACCAAGAGTCAGTTTCACCGCAATGCCAAAGGCCTTGACCGACATGACGGAAACTGAGCCGACAGTGGAACAGATCGAGATGTAAACGAGGGGATTCTTCTTTCCGTGCAACGGACCGACTCGGTATATCATCAATGTCGAGAAGATTGCGACTGCCAAGCAGTATAGAAGGAAAGCTATTCGGAAGGTTTATTAGCAGGCAATGGGAGAATCTCAGGTGCCAGTCGCAAACGTACGGAATTTCACGGCATATCCGAGGATATCGTCAATGGTTTCGACGGGCTTGTCGGGGGGAGCATGGAGGACAATAACGACTGAGCCTAAAAGACACATCGCACAGCCCAATTTACCTAGTGTTCCCAATCGCTCTTTCAGGATATATGAGCCTAGAACCGCACTGATTTGGTTGTTAGCAATGTCACCAGCCACCGGACGGAACAGAGATCGTACCCGATCAGAACACTCAGCGCACCAAGCGGGGTCACTAGAATTGCGGGCGCAAAAGCATATGCGGCGAAATTGGCAATTTCTCCAATGGCGACTGTTCGTCACGTTAGCGATTCGGGTTTTCATCCTCGGGGTTGGTTGTTTCAAATGTCAAGGCTCCGTACGTGCAATAACACCCGCCCACCAAATCGGACTCTTCAAGTATGAGAACCCTTCGCCTTCAAAGCCATGTTGTTCGGATGCATGCATCAAACCCTAAAATAAGCGCATTAGCACTTCTATTCCACCGATATCGATGTCCAATTCCCTTCCGACGTTCCAGCCCAGCCTGGGCAGGCCTGATTCTCCAGCCGGTGGACTTCGGGGTCGCACGAACCTTTTTTGTAATAACGAAACTTGTGCCTAAGAACAGATGAATTAGTCGTTATCTTCCATAGAGACCGGAGTCAAGAAATCCCATACCAATGGCCATTGTTGACAGGATGGCTAATATAAGCCCGACATATCTATTGTACGGCGCGGACGGCAGGTTAGCCTTTCTGGCCAAGTTGTCCACATCGAAATGGGGATCAAAGCAGAAGCAGGGGGAAAGCGCGGTCGCTCGTACTTGTCTGGAAGCATTTTGAATAATATGATCTTTTCTTTTGGAGCCGATGCTCCTTCTGTTGAAAGGCCTCCAGTGCCTACTATGAAGATCGGGGGCTTGCGGAAATGAGCGACTCGGTCAAACGAAGGGATAGGGAATCGCGGAGGACCAGCGGCTAGGGGCTGGGATAGGTAGAGGAGGAAGAGGTGGTACAGAAACAACGAGCCCGCCCGAGATTTCTGGTAGATTTTCTGAATGCTGAAATGTCTGTTTCTGCAGGGAATCTGATGAGTAAGGGGAAAGGCGAAAGGTAAGATGTTTGGTGCCTGCGTGCGGTGGGGTTCCGTTTCGAGACTGGGCCGATCGGGACGCGTAAGAGAACGGCTGAGTTGGTGTACTTAGACTTAGACCTGAGCAGCGTTATGGCAGAATATTATAGAGTATATGTCTCTTGTTTTACTATATAACAGTATTTTAACATTATTATACATTTTATATGTCTACTCGGAATAAACGTGGTCAATTCATCCAGGCATTGTGCAGGCTTATGCTTGGACCCTGAAAGTTGTTCATAAGTAGCGGCGATCGTCGTTTCACTGCGATCTTCCATGCCAACACTCTGTAGGGGAACACCGCTTTCGGCTACATCTATACTTAGGCGGGCTCCACTCCTTATTTAATTTTAAAATTAGGGACCAGATATTGATCTGTGAGCCCAATTATGTGGGCTTCTAATTTCCAGATGCGCATATCCCAGCTGACACTTGTCCAGTCAACTGGTCCAATCATGATCACATGAGTTCATCCGACCTCGGGAGTAGTATATCATGGCCTATGAATACACAATTTGAATACATGTTTGATCATGTTGCCTTAACTCAGTAGCCCTCTTCATCTTCCGAGGAAATCTCCTTCAAAACAACTCCCAGCCCTCTCACTCTCCTGATATCTTCTTTGCTGGTAGGTTGGTTCCAAACCTCTTCCATTTGATCGAGCCATTCATCCTGCAAAAATGCGAGAAGATCCTTGCCCGAAGCCTCGTACATTGGTATTAATTCCAGCATAAGCTTCTCAAGAAAGGCAAGGTCATCTATCGAATCCTGGATCTCATCGTGATCGGGTTCCTCATGATGTTGACAGGTATGTGGAATACCCAAGGTATCGAAAGTGAGTACGCGAAGAATATCAATAGCATGTTGGTTGAGACTCATCAGTACCCCGGACATCATCTTTTCTGTCAGATCTAGCCTTCGCTTCACAAAAGTAGAAAACAAAGAAGGGAATTGACGCTGATAGGCATAAAAGTCTTTATCAGGAGGATCAGAGCGCCAGAAGAGCGTCGCAGCATAGCATCCGCCTGTAGAGCAGGCGCAGTGACACGAGTCTTGGCAATCCTCCTCTAAAATAAGTCGCAACATCCTTTCTTCGCTTTCACTTGCGTTTTTCACTTCGCGCGTAGCATAATACCATGAAGCATTATATGCCAAGTAGTGCAGAGCAGGAATATTCCCCCGTCTGAAATAGACGTCCGCCCCCTTTCTGATCAGCCAATCTGCATAATCCAGGAAGTCATCATGATATCGATGGATGCCTGGCATGGCCATTAGTGCGGTAAAACCATCACTGTCGGTCTCATCAATATCTCGAAACCCTGCATCCCATAACATATCCGCCACGATTGGATTTTCGTCGATGTGCATGTAAACAACCCACCCTTTACCTTCAATATCATTAAATTTCACATGATATTCCTTGAGCAAGTTATAGACTTGACTAGCTTGAAAACCCAGAAGTGTATTTGGCTTCGGCATGAGATCCTGAATTACATCGCTCGGCAAGTGGCGTTCTGCAAGATTATGTAGTCTCCTTCTTCTTTCCCCCAGCCCGTCAATAACAAGCTGAACGATATCAAGGGAAAAACTCTTACTATTACTCGCGATGGATGTCATTTCTTCTCCATTCAATTCGAAATTTTCAGCGGCAATGATATTACGGACGCATTCGATGTTGCCAATCGAACAAGACACATCCAAATAGCCCCCGCCAATCTTATATCCAGCACTTAACAGCGCATGAAAACCGTCACTCCAAAGCGTATATAGAAATAATGGCATTTCAACTCCTTTTTCGATATTTGACTTCAGTAGTCGGAAATCCCTGTTGATCAAAGGTTCAAGTGCTTCAGAAGCGGAAATTTCTAAGATCACGGTATAGTTGTCAGATTTAGCCAAAATAATCTCCAGTAGGACACACCTTCTACTCCGATGTAGTCCTTGAAATTTTCAAAGAGCAATATTTTCATGGAATTCCCGGATTGAGTACCCCCTGGTGTACCCAGGCACCAATAAGAGTCTTCATCTAAGAATGGCTGGCAGAGCCGAAAAAAGTCGTCGTCTAATTCCCAGCGAGGGAGGATTGAATAGCGTGCCAAGATGTGGCTGATAAAGAAATCAACAGGAAATTGATCCTGATTATTTGAAGAGTTGAGAAGCATTCTTCCTAACACCCTTTCATTCACAATATCCAGAAAGACTTTCTTTAGTCCATCGTCATAAAATCCGTACTCGCCGATATATTGAATGATTCGAGCTATAAACTAGAGTACACATTCAGTATACAACTTGGTTTAGATAAACGTGTGTCATAGTGTAGCAGAAGTGAAATGATGGAAATATTTGAAAGCGAACTTGAAGAGACTTAAATGGTATGGCTTCGGGGAATTTACATGCGCTATCGTGTTACCGTTGACATCGATATCTGTCGGAGAGGCCCTTCGATCCTGGAATACTCGTTCTATTGTTATGAGGGCATCTCTAAAAGCCCCCACGAGAGATCTCATGCCTTGTTTTGACCTAATGGTGTGTGCGTTGGACTCTAAATTTTTCAGCACCTCGAATGCAGGCGAATTGGCGACCATTGTTTGGAATTCCAGGTGAGGGCTAATTGCGAACCCACCAGCACCTGTCGTGATGCCAAAAGCGATTTTCACAGAGAAAGACAAGAATTTGTTGCAGAAGACATGTTTTGCTCGAAGACCCCTGAACTTCTTCCCTGTAAGGTAGAAACGACAACCTTCCATATGACCAAAGGATGTTTGTCCGTATGGGAAACAAATGCAGCCCCGCTTAGAGCGACGTTGCCGAGGTTCTATCTGCGTTTTAAGCTGCCCAATACCCTGATCAATTTGGTGATGCTGGGTGATAAGACCTTGGAGTGCAGAGGGATCGGGGAATCTTGTTTCGTAATGGGAAATGACTAATTGCTGCCCAGGAGTCAGTCTTAGAACGAAGGTGGAGATGTAAGAGAGATCCAACCATCTGTTCCATTTTGTGGGCAAGACCCACTAGATTATTGTTGAATTCATCGTGTCTGTGGTCTATCTGTTGAGTAAGTGCCAAAGTTTGCTTGGTACTCGTCGCGATGTTTGTCGAAGTCTCCCCGAGCAGAACTATTTGTTTCCTAGCTGCCAGACATAAAGAGCTGCTGTATTTTAGTAACCTGTCAAATGTAAGAAATCGAGGCACATACAGTTCTAGTAGATGCAGAGCTGTATCTAAGCTCTCTTGAAGCTCTCTCGTTGTGGATGAAAGCGCCAACAGAGTCTTTCGTCGGAAAGGGTACATGGCTCGGTCGAATATTTTGGCCCTAGAAGAGTTACCAGACTCGTGCTCCATGACCTTGGAGAGCATATCATTTAGTCGCTTAATTCCGTCTTCACAATCAGTGACACAGCGGAGCGCAATCTTGGATTTAGCAGAGGTAGAAGTATCTACCACCTGAGCGTCGGCGAGGACATCATGTAAAGCCTGAAGAATATCTTTCAAGATGTTTAACCGCTGTAGAATTTTGCTGGTTTCTTCGGAGAAGGATTTGTATTGGTCATAGTAAGTAAGCAGGCTCTGACAAACAGTGAGGCCGAGGGAGATGAGACCGACGGGATCGACCATAGCGTAAAATTTAGCAAAAAGTTGGAGAGAGAGGCGATTTAGGTGGTCTACCTGAGAGGGCGACTCTGAGTGTGAGCGATTAAAAGAAGAGAAGAACAGAAAGGTGGACTTGGAGGTTGATTCGAAAATACATAGCCCTGTTAGCTTCAAGGCTGAATTGGCTGTAAGCGCCGGGATGCCTTCTCCTGCCACAGCCCCTCGTTGGCTGTGCATGCATTGGTACCCATTGGTCTATCCACCAGTCACAGATGTGGGTGGGAACTGATCAGTCTAGGGAAGCAAACATGCGTTACCAAGGGCTCTATGCCGATTTCTCATGCCCACCCTGACTCTCAAGACCGCCTTCCAAGGTTGATGGACATGCTACAAAGGGGAGTTAAATGTTTGAATAGGGACGATTTATTTCCAGTATCTAAACTAAAGATAGATAGCCCATCACGCTTGTACGCCGAATACTATGTGTGGAAATGCAAACCGGGAAAAACGATCACCACCAGTACTCCCTTCCACGCCCGAAACAACTTTTGGTTGCAAGTGGTATCACGCAGAAAGCCAAAACAAAACAATAGTAACATTACAGGGAGATAAACTATGATAGCGCAAGAAAGGACAAGGAGGAATTGCAGACTAACTCTGCTTGGGTGGGTCGGCGGAATTTGAGAAGACCTCGAAGATGATCTCGGAGGAAGGGAAAGGGGGTTCTTTGACGTACCTGTTTCATTTCGTCGAGGCATCGAGTCCACGGGTCGTAGTATTTGCTGAAAAGGATCAGAATATCAGAATTAGTTAAGGGGTGAGAAGGTAGGTAATGGAACCAATAATGGCATCCAAGCAAGGCACTAGGTCGTCAACCAGAGGGAACATCTTGGAAGGCGAATCGTGCCCAGAAAGAAGATCCGTTTACGAGGGTCGCCGGCGCTTGATATCAGGCGTGGTCGATTCTGTGATGTCCCATTCATCCTCCTCTTCACGAGAACGTTTGACGGATAGGTTGTCATGCTTATGGGATTCAGTAGAAGAGGGATCTATTTCACCCAACTCAAGTTCCTCCGTGACATCCAATTCAGAGTCATGATGATAGTCATCATCAGCTGATTGTTGATGATCGGCGCCGTCTTCAAAATCGGGACCCACAAGCTCGTCTTCAGTATTTTCAAAGCCCTCGAAATTTCCAGAATCATCGTGACGGAGATCCTTAGGGGGAGTTTGCAACACATCGTCGGCGATTCCGAGTAAATGATCCTCTGGTTCCGGAGTTTGTTGATGCGATGGATCCTGATGTGGGGCATTCTCCAAGGTGGATTCGGACTCTTCATACAGGTTGGATTCGAGATTGTCCTCTGAGGCGTCCGTATCATCATGAGCCTCTTCTTCTGCTGCCTCTTGGTTACTCGAAGCATCTTCATGATCGTAATCAACATGCCCGCCTTCATTTTGGTCATCGTATTCATCCTCGTGAATAGTGAAATCAACTACTTCTAGCTCATCGGCCCCAGAAATTTCATCACTATCGTCAAGCTCATCATGCTCATGTTCTTGGTTGGCATGATGGGTTGTGTGTTCCTCTGAGGCGTCATGTAGGATATCTGTAGAAGACTTATCTTCAGGTTGTGCATTTATCGCATCAGGCTCGGAATCGGGGGCCACGGTGTTGGTAGACGCCGTTCTGGGATCTTCATCATCATCACGAACTTCAGTGTAAGCTACATCATCATGGGGTATTTCTTGGAAACTTTCATGCACTTCGGTTGTATTTGGCTCATGTTGAGCCTCATCAGGTTCGGCATGGTGTTCAACAATGGGCTGCTGAGTGGCCTCTGCTGTTAAATTTGCTGCTTCGTTCGACCGGTTGGTTCCATCAGGGACCTCACCACTTGTCGCAGCTTCTTCGTGGACCGACTGACTCTGCTGAGCGGCTCGGGAATGTAATCCCTCACCAGATTCTTCATGATCATTTTTAGTCTCTTCCGCGGCGGGTTCTTCTTCGGCGTCATCATAATCCGCCCATAATTGAATTTGGGACAGGCCTTTGCCTTCCTTGGCGGCGGAGTCAAGACTCGCCAACTCGGTATGAACAGCTTGCTTGCTAGAAAGGCTAAGGTAAAGGGCATCGGGATGATGGTTGCCATCGTTATGACAAAGGCGAAGATAAATTTCCATAATCTGATGCAGAGTGAATCTAGACGTATACGAGGAGTCCTTCGGATGCCAGTTAGTAATTTTTTTCTTGTTGAATGGGGTCATGTGTAGCGCTTGCTTACCTCTGTTATTTGAATACCAAGAGAATCGATATCAATAACAAGAACATCATTCTCGGCAATATTATCCAGAAGCACATCACGCAAAGATTCAAACAATTTATCAAAGTTGTCATAGGCTGTATCTTCATCGTGGAGGAAAAAGGTTTCCGCTGAATCACCTTCCAAGGGCGGGAACAGGGAAATCTCGTTCTCCTGATAGATGACCTTGACTGGGTGGAGTGTTTCATCTTCATGGACACCCTCATGCGTACCCTGAGGCTCTGGTTCACAAGGGGCGTGCGGCTCAGCACTTAAAGCCTCGGCTTGAGCAGGAGGGGATGGGGGAGCTTCCAAATTACCAACTAATTGATTGGAATGGTCATGCTCCTCGGAGACAACATTTTCATTTTCAATAACTTCGTTAGTTTGCTCGGTTGCTTCTTTGTTCTGGTCATGATCGACACTGGGCTGAGGGATCTCCGGTGGTTGAACCTCTTCGGTTAGACCAACGTCAACTTTGCTAGCTTCTAAAGAAATAGTTTGCTGTTGATCCGCAGGTTCTTGCTTCTCGACTTCCAAAGCAATGGAGGGAGGCGCCACCCCATGAGCATCTTGTTCTTTTTCGATGAGTTCAGTCGTTTCAGGGGCAATCTGTGTTGGTTCGTTGATCTGAGGCTCAGCTGTCGTTGAAGCTTCAATAAAGATGGTGGGCAAAATAGCATCAACCGGTTCTTCATGTCCACCTTCAAGCATGTCTGCCTCATATGTGACTTCTTCAAAGTGGACGTCGATGTCATTGTCGCCGTCAGGTAAATCTTCCACATCGACCATCGATCCTTCAGAGGGTTCATCAACCATATCGTCATCATCAGTGGCCTCGTTTTGAAATAAGGACGGTTGAGATGTATTGGGGAAATCGTCGGCGCCCATCATATCGCTATCCATGTTGGAAGCGTGGTCCTCCATTAGGTCGATGTCGATGTCGAAGTCGTCGGTCTGACCCTGGTAGGGCGAAGCCATTTCGAGATCCTCACCCGCTGGGATATCCATGGCAGAATGAAGTAGCGAGGATGCTGTTGTCATAGCAAAACGCGTCGAACGACGAGGTGCGATACGTGTTGCGAGAGTTGAAGTGTCGCGGTTACAGTGAAAGAAACATAGGGGAGTAAATGGGGGGAGAGGGAAAAAGGCGAGTGTTGAAAGAAAAGAACGTTTAGCTCTGTTTCATATCAAGAAATATGAATAAGCTTTAAGATCTGAGATATCAAGGGTAGAGTGTGAAGGGTTAACTGAGAGACATAGGAAGGAAAAAAGTTGAAGTTGTTCGCGGTCTGACAACTAAGCGAAGGGGGAAAGCGGTGTGCACGGACCAAGGGCCATGAAAGAGAACAGAGTAAGCTGCACTCGATGATCTAACTAAACACCAAACAGGGGCGTCGTTGATCTTGATTTGCTCCGCACAACACACCTTGAAAAACACTATCGCACTTTACAAGGCCTGTGGAGAGAGTCGCTTTATACAATTTCACAATGGTAATTAATACCACCCCTTCCCCAACTGCCATTAGGCCCCTCCCCGCAACGAACGCGGACTAACCACTTCCACTCCCACTTGGAACAACAGGTCGTTCTCGCAGCTTCGATATGTACTCGCGGAGGCAAAGCGGTTCTCTCACGTCAATTTCGTGAGATTGCTCGTTCCAGAATTGAGGCCCTCCTGGCCTCGTTCCCCAAGCTGGCCGATTCAGGGACTCAACACACAACTGTCGAGCAAGACAACGTGCGCTTCGTCTACCAGCCATTGGATGAGCTCTACATTGTTCTGATCACCAACCGCCAATCCAACATCCTTCAAGATATCGACAGCCTTCATCTCTTTGCCCAGGTGACCACCAGCATCTGCAAGAGCCTCGACGAGCGAGAGATCACGCGCAATGCATTCGAGTTGCTAAGCGCATTTGATGAGCTGGTGACACTGGGTTACCGGGAGAACCTATCATTGTCTCAGATCAAGACCTTCCTTGAGATGGAGAGTCACGAGGAGAGAATCCAAGAAATTATTGAACGGGTATGTTTGGACGATAACGGCAGAGGTATACTGAGACTAACGGTGGTGCACAGAACAAAGAGTTGGAGGCCAGCGAGGAGCGAAAGCGCAAAGCAAAGCAACTGGAGATGCAGCGCAAGGAAGCTGCTCGCTCAGGCCGCAGTGCCGCTCCACGAGCTCCTTCCTACCCCGTCTACACACCCCCCGCCCGCCCATCAGTGCCGGATACATACGATTCCTATGAAGCTGAGAAGAAGAAGACTTTTTCCAAGTATGTCGTTACTGGAGGGCATTGGATTTATCTATGGCAGCTCTAACTAATGCGATTTTTAGGCCTCTTGTTACCCGCGGAAAGGGTATGCAGCTCGGCAAGAAGTCCAAGGCAACTGATATCTATGAGAAGGTCCGCGGCGACTTGGGTCCCGAAGCCGAAGAAGAGAGCCCTCTGGTTACCCCTCAAATCTCCACTCCTGTTCAAGAACCTGTCTCTGCTCGCGAATCCCTCACAGCCGACCGTGAGCCCATCCATGTGACCATTGCCGAGACAATCTCAGCAACTCTCACCCGCGAAGGTGCCCTCAAGTCATTTGAAGTAAAGGGTGATCTTCAGCTTCGCATATCCGACCCATCCCTCACAAAACTCCGTCTCGATCTGCAGGCAACCCCAACCCACGGCGCCCAATTCAGGACTCACCCGAATGTAGACAAGGCCCTCTTTACTAGCACATCTGCGATCCAGCTGAAAGACACCTCCAAGCGATTCCCCACAAACAACGCAATTGGTGTCCTGCGGTGGCGTGTGGCTAGCTCGGCTGACAATGCCGATATTTTGCCTATCACATTTACCGTATGGGTGAACAAGGGCTCTGACTCTACCACCGTCACAGTCGAGTATGAGCTTAATGGCAGCGATAGCCTGCGCGACGTTGTTGTCACCATTCCTTACGGTGCTACGGAACCTTCTGTGTCCAGTTTCGACGCGGTCTACGAAGTTTCGGGTGATAGCCTTGACTGGAACCTTGGTGCTGTTGACGAATCGAACTCTTCTGGCAGCTTTGAGTTTGAGACTACCGATGGTGACGAGGATCAGTTTTTCCCAATGAGCGTTAGATTCACCAAGACACAGCCGTTTGTGGATGTCGATGTTACCGAAGTTTCCTTGTTGGAGGCGGAGGGTGAGAGCTCTGGCTTCTCAAAGGACATTCGGAGCGTTGCTGAGAACTTCCTGATTGAGTAATCTTGAGATTGATCTGTATAGAGTGGGATACTAATGACGTTCTGATTGTGGCTTTCTGGCATCTATTCCTTTTGCTTCTGAAATCGTATTCTAAGCCTTTTCTTTCTTTCTATTATTGTTCCAAGACTTTTTAGCCCTGCCAGGGCCTTGCCCTACATCTACACAAAATTGACAGTTTTATTAGACTAACCAAATTCCTTGGGGTCAATCTATAATTCTTTCCCGGTAACTCAATAGCTGCCCCCCGTGATGCCCAATCCGATCATTCTAGCGTAATCCTAAGACTTTAACCCACGACGTCAATACTATGTAAATTCGAGTTCTCTGAGGTTTGGCCAGTAGTACATAACAACCCTTCTGAATGGGGTTACCTTTTTAAATACTGGGTGGACAAGCTTCTGGTACCTCAGCGTCTACCCGTGGATAATAGCTTCTTCATCAAATTAGGTATGCTCAAGCTCAGCGCTAACCAAGGACACTAGGAAGCTTCGGCGCCACCACCAAAAAACGTCAGATTGACTCTGCCGTCCCGGTCTAGGCCATTGTAGCTTCTTCATTAGCAGCACGAGCACTTCCCCCAACTGGCCTAGGTAGGTTAATAAATGAGTGCACTCTGGTTAATTCAATGTTGCAATGATACAACAAAGCATGTCCACGTAGACATACTACAATGATAAGAAATCTTCAGCTTGTAACGGGAGTACCGCGGGGGTTTTGTGGACTATCTGATTTGCCTAAATGAGCGTCGGAGTTACGAACCTGTCGGCATTGGACACCGACTGACAGGTACTTGGAAGCCAATGCATAGATCCCGGGGTTCTGACTCCCTGGTCTGACCAATATCGAAGGCTACCTTCATTGGGAACATCCGTGATGAAACCGCGCCATTCGCATTGACGATGGCAAACACAATAACCGAAGAGCTGTAAAAAGACCTCAAATTTGCCCCATGAGCTTCTTGTGGCTCCTGAGGCGAATTATTGCTTCACGGCTGCTTGTTTACAATCCTCGGTGGCTAATTCTACGACCTCCCCGAGATGCTACCTAAGCGACCTTGACGTTGTTGTAGGGGGGAATTCCATAGAGTTTAGACCTCGTGCGTAGCCAGACCCAGACTAGGCATTGTGTGCGCACTACCAGGTACCGCATTTGTCCTAGATCGGAGTCTCGGATGTCTTTATAATCTCAGATACTCCCTCAATATTGCCTCCTCGTTGATAGTTTGATGCTGGCCGTCATTTACTGCCATTCGACACCCAAGGTCAGTCAATTAAGATCTGTAAAGATCTTGAAAATGACGAAACATAGCCAATGGTTCTTCCTAACACGAGCTTAGAACCCAGCAACTGAAGAATAATCTCTGTTCTCCATGATGACTAGCATCCACTTTCCATCATGGAATGAGCAGCAGAGTCTATTCAAACTATCTTGCGCCGATGCGGAAACATGTAATCAATTTTCCGGCATGGTATGTGCAGTTTGGAAGCCCAGAACTAACTTAGTGAAGAATTCATCTGACTTAATTCGTTTAGGACAATATGCCTTCCCTACAGAGATCGGATTCTGATCTAGGTACAAAGAAAATGGCAATTCCTCGGCTTGCTGAAGGGGCGGAATCGGCTTTTGCCTCCCCAGGTAGATTCCATCGCCGCCATGTTCGTCGAGCATGCGAGTCATGCCGACAGAGAAAAACAAAGTGCACTGGTGATAAATCTGGTTGCCGTAATTGCCGTGAAGCAGGTATTATATGCTGCTATACAGATGGCAAACGCGAGAAGTCTAAGCGGTTAGCAACATATCATCCTTTCTGCATGAGATTTGATCTGACATCTTGTGGTATAGGCAGCTTGCAAGCCTATCAGCTAAGGTACAGGCTTATGAGGACGTTATCAAACGGTTGAGTAGTCGTTTCGGTGTTTCTGATGAACAACTCGTGAATATTGCATTGACAGCGGTAAGCGATCCATCCATTGATAATGTTATAAGACCTAAAGAAAATAGGCATCCGCCCCGGACCTCGCCTTAAACTCCGATGTAAGTAGCTCGAGAGAAGCCAAGAGAGCTTGGAACTCCGAAGACTCCCCACCATCTCGACCCTCTTCCACGACACCTCTGGACTTGATTGATCACACCGAGGAGGACTTCAACAGAGACGAAGCTTCCCGTGCAACTGGATTTATTGGAAAGAGCTCCGAGATAAACTGGCTTCAAAAGCTCAGCAAAGAAGTCAACAATGAATGCGAAGCGTGGTCAGCGAGTATGTCAAACTCAGGTGACGACAATGGCCTGCCATCGCCTACTTTGACACCCCGGCCTGATAACCCGGTTGGCAATCTCATGAATGCTTCGAATTATTATCTCGATGACCTTGAAATCCCCGGTAAAGAAGGGAAGCACCAAGTCGATGCAAATGCGGTCCCATCACGTGAAACCGCAACAAAGCTTCTCAACGCTTATTTAACTTCTGTTCATCCCTCTTTCCCTATCATTGGAATTTCAACATTCGTATCCCAGTTTCAAGTGTTTTTCAATCAGCCTACTCTTAGGCCAGGGAGCAAGTGGCTGGCTATACTAAATCTCATCTTCGCGATCGCAGCAAAATATGGTCAGCTAACAAATACGGATTGGAAAGAAGGCGATGATGATCATGAGCTGTATTTTGCGAGAGCCAGGATGCTCAGCTTGGAAGATCAGCTTTTACATCATCCAGATTTGCAGCAATTGCAAGTTGAAGGTCTTGCTTGCTTTTACATGATTTCATCAGGACATATTAATCGGTATGCATGACCCAGTCCCCTTTTCTTAAAGAACTTTGCTAACTAACATCTCAGGGCATGGAAATTATCCGGAAGTGCAGTTCGAGGAGCACTGGCCTTGGGTTTGCATTTGCGTAATGTGGGATCCTGCACTTCTGATACCTCGAAAGAGATAAGGTATCGTGTTTGGTGGTCGCTGTACAATATTGATCATCTTCTCGCTGTGATGACAGGACGTCCATCTTGCATCACAGATGACTGCTGCACAACCCCGCTGCCAGTACCCTTCGACGAAAGTGACTTTCAAAAAGAAGAGATTTCTCAACTCATCAGCACCTCGGGACGAGCTATACTTAGCCCACTTGATCGAATGTCATTCAGCAACAGCGTCGCCAGCCTGGATTCCAATGCTGACTCGGACACAAATAACACGCCCGTCGAAAGGGAGACAAAGATCACTCGGGCCGAATACTTGAAGAGCCTACCGCCATGTGCCTCGCTGTATTTCCTACAATTGACATCCCTCAATACCATAGCAAAGCGAATGACGGTCAAGCTTTACAACCCTGAAGCTCTGCAGTCCCCATGGGCAAGCACTCAGTTTACGATTCAAAGTCTGATGCTTGAGATTGACTCCTGGTTCATGAATTTGCCGTCGGCGTACGATTTCACCTCTACACAGACATCGCAATGCCCTCTCGGTCAGCGAATGGGTCTCGCCTTCTTATTTTACAGCACGAAGATTGGCATTACTCGTCCCTGTCTATGTCGATTGGACCCAGCACCCGCCGAAAGTGACAAGACTCATGAGTTCTGTAGCAAGACAGCCGCTGAATGCGTCGAGTCTGCATGCCATATGTTAACACTGTTCCCCGACACTCCTGATGAGTCCTTGCTTCACAGAATTTCCCCATGGTGGTGTACTCTCCACTACTTAATGCAAGCCACCACTGTCCTTCTACTGGAACTGGCGTACAGAGCACAGCACGTTCCCGAAAAGGCCATTATGGTATCCAAGGCGGCCAAGAAAGCACTAGATTGGCTTTCCGCGTTGTCAAAATCAAGCCTTGCATCCGAGAGAGCTTGGAATCTCTGCAATGGGTTCCTACGCCGTCTTGCGCCTCATGTTGGAATCGACGTTGACGATTCCTCCGGTAATGACAACGACGAGTCATCCGCTGCCTCCCTTCTTGATTATACGGAGGTTGCAGATGCTGTGAATCTTGAACCAGACCAAATTGTCGACGATATTGTTTTTGATCCAACCGCGACTATCCCAACTGCTCCTGTTACGACTACTAGTGAAACAGCTACTGCGGATGAGATTGCCGCCGATATGGACTTCATTACTTGCTCACCAATAGATCAGTCTAGTACCCCTCTTGCAATGTCTGTATCCTCATATGGGCTCGAGCCAGATCTATTGGACCAGTTCATCAAGCCATATAAATCTCTCTCTGGAAAAGGTACTTACGATGATTACTTTCCTTATGATCCTGTTACTGGCCAGATCACGGGCTCTTTCTTCCCAACTGGATCAAACCTGGATTTTGATATGGGGTACTCCTGGCCTGATCCAGTTTGTTGAGGGTGTCAACCCAGCGGGTATTCTCGGAATTTCTAGGGAAGATGGATAGTTTGAAGGCATCGCCCAAATTGTCATACTTTGAATATCTTGAATCATTTTCATGCTGGTTTGTGCTTGGTTTCTTCGTGATTAACATTGAATTCGACGTTTGACCAAAACATGAAACCATGCATTTCTATACAATTGGGATAGATGGAAAAAAAATTCTTTCATGCGAGAGTTATCTAGAATGACAAGAAAGTACTGCTTCCCCTTATCATTGATCTGTTTCCATGAACTTGGTAGTAGTTCCTACTACTTATATCTTGATTCAAATAGTCTATCTATTCGTAGTATGTACAGATCGTATCAATGATGCATGTCTATCATATCTTCAATCCCAGTAACCTCGACGGGAACGCCATCCTCATCCATGGTAGATACAGCCCCCTCAGCATCCGATCTATGGACTCGAGTCCAACACCCCTGGGAGTTGATACCATGGCTCCCACAAGGCCAGGCCAGTCTATTTTCCATTCGCATTCAGGAGCTCCGTCATTATACCATATTAAAACCCCCACTCAAAAAGATGCGGATATTCTAATCAGATTGTGACAGCCAAACCTTAATAGCACGCCAACATCAATCGATGTTACATACCCAGGGAGAGCACATCGGCTTTTGAGTTCAGCCCGAATAAACCGAATCATGCTTCCCAGTTGCGGCTCTTGGCCGTGAATAATGCCTCCGCATATCGGTCTACCCAGCGACGGGATTTGGGTTCCCCTCGATGAGCAGAGATTGAAACAATCTGAGCCTGTCGAACATCAACGGAATGAGTCTTCCGACTTCCAATCCACTGTGCTGAATGACGAGCATCAATGTTACTCCAAATCACGTAGTCAATACCTAAAAGTCCCTGAGAGTCTAGTAGGTATTTCTCAATGCAGGGTATGATTGGAAGTAGCCGACGTCGGACACCACAACTTCCATGGTGCGCATCAATCTGATAATCCGGATATTGTCTCAAAGACGTTATAGTGGTGATCACGTCAGATGAAGCGGGAGAGTGATCTTGAATTTCGATGTCCCCATCCTCACTTGACGGATCGAGGGAAAAGTCGGGATCGGTCAAATTAGAGCCCACAAATGCTGTCTTGCTACGCATCGTAAAAAACCGTACCATCTGTCCGAGCTGGAACATATCACACTGACTTGCGTTTGCCAGTCCTGCTCGACATTGAAAATGACGCGTTTGAGATGACGTGGAAAATGCTGCGCCTAATGAGCTGCGAGGCGGCGCTGGGTTGGGATCGGTATCCTCTAACGCCCCATATGCACGTAAGAAATATGCATGTAAATCGGTAATTGTGTTCATGACACACTGCCGTCTATAGTAAAGCTCCTCTGAACCCGGAGAGTAATGATTAGTTACCTATAGAAAGAAAACAGAAAACAGTGAACTTCTTACCTTCAACATTGCTTGGTAGATAATGCCATTGGAGGTATTCACCAGATGGAGGTTCTGGAGCATTTCTCCAAAACCTTGAGCCAGCAATAACTAACACATGTGTAAATACACGAGTAACGATCGGATTTTGAATGGTTTTAGAAATCAGAATGATCTGTCGAATGCGATCTTCTTTCATTTTCAACAATACAGTGCTAAAACGAGAAACCGAAGCTCTCCCTTTCTTGCCGTATTGATAGTCAATTGAGCGGAGGATAGCTTTGATTTGATCCAATGAATTGAATGCATCGGCGATATGAATAAGCTTGGCAATGGTAGATGGCGATTCAATCTTCAGAGCATTTTGAAAGGACTGCTTGACATGATCGTCCATACAGTCTAAACAAAGAACCTTGATGAAGAGGCCTAAAACATCCGGACCACAAAGCTTGGTAACCGTGTTTGCAGTAATATATACAACGGGTAAAGAGATCTGGTCCGAGTCCTCGGTAGTTTCAGCGTTGAATTCTGAATGCGAGTTCAAATTGATATTCAACGCTTCTATTTGTTGCGCGAGTTGCCTCCCTTCAGCAAATTTTACCGGATCAAGCATAGCTCTAAAATATGGGCTCTTTTCAATAAGCATCTTGCTTGATACTTGCCAGGACATGTTGGCTGCCGTCGAAGACGGATCTGTGTGTTCAATAATCAAATCCCCATTTGGTGACACAATTCTCGGGAAGGCCAACCCGTTGCTGGCCGCTTCGGCGCCCCCCTGATTCCCATTTGACCCATGGTCTATCATCAAAGATGACTTCTTGGGCCCCGAAGCCTTTTGTGGAATCTGTGAGGACACATCTAGAGGTTCTGATGCCATCGTGGCCTTCCGTTCTAGCCCAGAATCTCAGCCACGAACAATTCGAAGCCAATGTTGGGACATGTGGATGATGTAGCAAGCCGGCATTGAATATCTGGTCCAAACGTCTGTCTGCCAGATATGCGATTGGAGAAGAGCAATATTTGTGTTGAAATAGCGTAAGTCTTGATAGCAACGTGCATCCTGATTTGGCCAAATGCTGACTGATCCATGTCACGTGTAATGATTACTAACATTTGCTCCATCACGTCTCAAAGTGCCTAGCGCTACGATGTTAAGATTATTGATTTGTTCGGGTGGTCTATGTATGGTCTATTCCTTTGTTATGCATCTAAACTCATACAAAATTTCTCATTTGGCCGAGTGGTCTACTACTCGTCAAACCCTTTTGGTCGAATGCAACGGTACAAGACCCATGTCAATGCTCGTCGGTCTCTGTCACTGCTATTCGGTCTCTGTCATTACCTTTCAGCCATCATCTATCAAACCCAAACCCCCACTTGGCCATCTAATCATTGACACTGACTAAGATTCAATGTCAGAAGCCAAGGAGCAATGACAGCTAGTTAATGTTCGATGTTCGCTTGACATGATTTAATACATAATATATCAATATCTCGAACTTGAACGCCATTAGAATTCGTCAGGATTGAATTAAACATTTTGACTATATAATAGCTACAATATATATCATTTCATCAAGGATTAATTATACTCCACAGCAGCCCTACAGATAGTAGTACTATGTGAGGCTTTCAAGGCTTCGACCGACAACCATCCCAAGGCTCCGGCTTGCTTCCTCGGTTGTTTTGCTTCTTTTGCTTCTAAGACCCCGGACCGGGCATTAATAACACTGATTTCCCCAATCTCGCACTAGAATCACTCATCATCCTCATCATCATGATGCTTTTTCTCGAACTTCACTCCCATCCAATAATTACGTCTTTCCTCACAATTCCAATCCGAGTTGTTTGCATTCGCGCTGGCCTCCTTCAACCATTCAGTCCAGTTCTTTGTCGCAGGTGCAGCCCCGGTCTTCTTGGCCCACTTGTACTGCCTAGTGGTTCTAATAGCATCCCACAACACCTGGGTAAAGTTCGAATTTTCCTTATCTTCAAGAACCTCCACCTCATATCGGTGTTCCATATCCCACACATCCGATGTTTCTGTCAACAGCGCCATACCCCAGTAAGCCATGTTGAGAATGATATAGGCAAGGCCGACAGCAATCTGAATCTTCCAACCACAGTTACTGAAGAAAATAATAGCAGCCATGAGAAGTACGGTGCTGGTGGCGAGGAGGATCTGGTGATAGGCACCGTTGAAAACATATTCGCATTTCTCGGTACCGCCATAGAGTTCGCGTGCAACTTCCTCGCTACACTTGACAGAGACAAAGGCACCTGCGCGAGTGCGGATCATGATATCCCCATCGACTACCTTGCCGGTGGCGTTGCGGACTGAAAGTTGAGGACGCCACTGTGCAGACATACAGGCCATGCTGGTAGACAATGCCATACAGCCCAGGCCAAGCAAAGCAACTGCATCGTGCTGGACACCAGCCCAGATGAACAGGGCAGCTGTCATCAGAATAGAGGCAAGAGTGACCAGGTTAAGCACACAGCCCTTCTTGATTGGAATGATAGCTTTCAAGGAGGGCTTGGGAGGAATCTTCATATCGCCGAGCCCGCTGTTTTCAACATCAGTTTTACCGGCCTTCTTAGCAGCCTTCAAAAAATCTTTTTTGGCCTTTTGCTTGGCCTGCTCCCACTCCTTCATTTGCTCCTCCTCTTGCTTCTTGATCTCACGCTCTGACAGCGTTCTGTGGGTAATGCGATAAGATTTGAAGCGAAATGGAGGTAATGATTCGATATCGTGGATCACATTGGCGAAGTAGTTGAGCTCGGTGAATTTATTGCCAGAATGAACGCCAACAACAGTCACGTCCTTAACGGCAGGTAGTCGCGATGGACGGTCGGTATCCAGCATGGTCTCGGGAGCTGGCATAAGGCGAGGAAAACTGCCAAATCGCGATGCGGTGATAGCTTGCGCATGCTTCTCAATAGCGGAACCTCCAACAACCGCCAGTAAACCGACGATGTCGAAGCTCCAGGAGTCACCCGCCTCCTTGTCGACTGCGAGTGGAAACCAACGCATCTTGCTGGTTTTTGTGAATGTCAACACAAGCTTTGCGGAATGGGATAAAAAGAAGAGAGGGCACAAGAGGGAAAAAAAAGAAATCTAAGAATTGTCGTCGAAGAACGAGCTAGGACCTCGATGGGTTCTGCAGGAGGGCCCACATCGCTGTGTAGTGGGGACGGTTGGATTAGGAGGGCTGGCGTCTGCGTCGTAGTCGACGAAGCCGAAAAATCAAGCCTTAAAGGCAACTTGAATGAATGGGCAACAGGCTAGCCAGCCACTACGAAATTATTTACCGTGAAAATATTGTATCAGCCAGTTGTCGAAACGGGTGGGGGGGGGCTTGGACGGCGGAGGTCCATCTGCATTTGGACTCCTAGGAAATGATTCGCCTAGTGGAGTAAAAGGGGGGAAAGCTTTGAGAAAACTTTTAGAGTGATCGACAACAGCGGCACGGACAGGCCGTATACAAAAGTACAACGGAGGGTTTCTTTCAGTATGGGCGGGTCGATGCATAGTTCGTGCGTTCAGCTGCGCGGTGGAGACCAATGAAAGGTTGCCAATAGCGCCCCAAGCTTGAGATGTCAAGCGGAGTAAACAAACCCGGGCAAATGGTTGACGGCCCACATCCTCAGCAGAGCCTGCATTTTTGTCGTCATTTGCGTGTGTGTGATGGAGTCACTGAATCGCGCTGCCAAAAAAATATCGCAACTAAATCTCGCTAGTTTGCTTTTAGTCGATATGGTGGGTTCGACTTGAGTGCAGTGGAGGAGGAGGGGAGTGGTTGCGTTCGGGCTAGATCCACAGCTGAGCCAGCCAGCCAGCCACCACATCTCGCGAGTCAGGCGGTTACGGAGTAATCCGTACAAAGGAGAAATCCCTCTCGCCGAAGCAGAAATCCCTGCAAGCCAAAAAGTTACAAGGAGGCATCCAGGTTAGAATTAGAGACAGCTGCAAAGATCAGATTTTTAGTTCATGAGCAGCTTCTCCACTCGTTCGGGTCCGTCGAACGTGCCGATCCTTGCAATATAGGTATAGAGATGCATCTTACGTTGTGGGGAATGCCTATTGAGAATCCACTGTGACGATGAAGTCCTTTTGTTTTATCTTGGTGCCGAAAAAAAAGAGGCTTTATCTGGCTCCGCTACTCCATAGGATGTATTCCGTGCAGACACGGGATAAGCGATGATCTTATTCAAGTTCTCCGCAGCATATTGCGAAGACGTATGTACATTCGTTGAACCAATCTAAACTGAGGGTGCCTCCACACTGAACTTTCGTACTTAAATCTTCTCATTCGACAATGACTGCCGACCAGCACCATCGCCTGCCGTCAATCCCTGAAGGTACTTTTTGGTGGTGTCATCAAGGCGGGTTCCAGCCAGAACAACTCCCATAATGTGTCCTGCCAGCTGGCCTTGTGAGATGATGCCGCAGCGAATCACATCGCCCATCAGGTCATAAGTACTGTGTGGCTTCAGTCCCCGCAGGATACGCTCTACACCGGATTTGTTAGTTCCGCTTGTCTCAAAATGAGGCGATGATTTCACTTACTGGTCAATCCTGAAGATGCAGGCTTTGTGATCTCCACTTTGTAGCTGCGGATCCATGACTTGGGATACGACGCGCGCAGTCCGACCGGATGACCCAAACTTTTGATCGAGATAGTGCTTGTTTTGCGGAACTCGGGCGCCACCATGCCTTCGGTCTGGTCGTTGGTGTCCTTGTCCTGCCCCGCTTGGCTATCTTGCCCCTCGGTTGCCTTTTCTTCCTTGTCCTGTTTCTCATTGGAGTCGGAGTTTGCCTGGTCACTGGCTTCTTCTAGGTCCTCCACGTCTATTGGATATCAGTATCATGTAGTTGAATTTTCTTTTTCACGCGTTGGAGACTCACTCTCTTCAGGCTCGTGGTGGTCCGCAGCATTGGCGTCTCCCTGGGCTACTCCTTGGCTTGGATGAGAGGTAATCCCCGTCAATTCTTCGAGGGCCAATTTGTCCTCTGAATACCTGGTTAGCCTGGTAATTGGAAAGGTTCTCCATAGAGAGCTCACTATAAACGATAATTCCATGCTCGAAACGGGCATTCGCAGAGTATGAGATGAGGAAAAAGACGTCCACGAATCCAATCAATCGGATCTTGCCAGCCCATTGTTCTCCATTAATAGCGAGCTCCCATGGGTGAATATCACTGAGTTGTTAGCGTCAAAAGTCTTGAGAAGCGTAGAAGGACTTACATACCAGTCGCATTCCAAAGTATTGTCATTGATTGATCTTCCAAAAGTCTCTAGTACCCGATGATAGGAAGCCATTTTGAGTAGACTGCAATGTAATATTCGTTGGATATAGCTTCTCTCTTAAGAGGTATAATCTGGGTATGTTGAGAGTCAAGTGTTTCAAGATGGCGATCTTGGAATTGTGCCAGCGTCTATTGAGAGGCCCAAACAAAGTGGATCGGCGTGTCAAAGGCTGAGCCTTACCGAGATCGACACTGAGCTGCAGATTGGGGCGATGCACAATCCAAATATCGGATGAAAGCTTTTGAGCATTTAATTTCGGAGAGAATGTTTCGGATTACGGAACCTGCACCTGCCTCTGTGCGCTGACGTGGTTGTTGCATTGGTTTCTTTCACCCCTCCTTCCCGCCTCATGGGTCTGGACAGGTGGAGCTCACACTGATAGGCCCCGCCATCGCCGAAAAAGGCTCAGCTGAATGTTGTAAAGTATTTTTGTGTATTTCCAACCGAACTTCCTTGTTTATTCTCATTTATTATCAAATCACTCGGCAGATCGTGTACATACCTTTCCCTCCAAGCCGATAGCAAACATCCCCCCCAAGACTTGTCTCCATCATTCAATTCACCAAGAGTCTTCAGCCTTGAGCGACAATGAATGCACTTGGCACCGTTAAAGCGGCCCTTGCGGACTCGCTGGTCACCAATTCTACACTCAAGGAAGCATTCGAACTCGCCAGCTTCGTGACTGATCGCTCTAAGCGCTTCAAGGACGTTGCACTTAATCCAGACCAAAAACACAAGCTTCGCCGTGTTTTGAACCACTTTCTCATCCCAGATGTGAAACCAAAGTTTGTGGACGATGAAGATACGGAAGCTATTGATGCAAATGAGATGCCAGATGATTGGCTGGCCAAGACCGATGAGGATTTAAAGATGCCACTCCGCATGATTGATATCGATACTATGAACATGGTTCCTACATATAGCTTGGGAATTAAAGACCAGTATTGTATTGTCTCTCATAGCTGGAAAGGCTCAGAAATTACCTATGGCGATTTCACTCAAGCCAAAACCTTCGAGCCCTCTAAAAAAGCGGCGAATGCCGAGTCCAACGAGCCATCAAATGATGTGAACAACACCGTTGCTAAATGTAAAGCGGATATTGAGGAGCTGGAGAAGAAAATCACTTCAGCACTCCCAAGTGTTAAAGCGACATCGGATGGGAAACGCCCCGAGGATATCGTCACGCTATTGGAATGGTATGCGGATGCCAACGGGGCTGAATATGGTCTTGGAAGCGCACAGAAGCAGCTCCACGAGGCCACTGCAACGACATCAAGTGCCTCTAGAGAAGCAAAGTACTACAAAAGCCTTTGGGAGACTATCACCGCTCTCGATGCTGATACCAACCCCGACAAAGAGGCCTCAGCCGCACATGGCAAAGAGATGAAAAAAGTACTTTCAGCAATTGAAGATCTTACGACAGATGCTGAGAAGAAGCGCCAGGAGGCGACAGAAAGGAACCACAAGGCTGTAGCCACTAGAGCAGCGGAAGACAGCAAGGTTGCCTTCTTCGAGCAAAATCGTGAGCTATCCTATGGCATTGAAGCACTGCTCGTGGCGCTACAACACATTCGTTCCTCTCGAAAGATTTTAGAATCCATCACCCAGGCCAGAAAGCTATTCGATAAACACTTTCCCAAAGGAGGAAAGCGGTACGTATGGCTTGATACATGCTGTATCAACAAAGGAGATACTTATGAATTGACCGAGTCTCTGGCCTTGATGGGAGACTGGTATAGTAATGCTGATCTCTGTCTGGTACACTTGGATACCCCGCGTGACGAGAGAGCCTGGATTGAAGAATGGAAGTACTGGAAGAACCCATCATATGTTCCGATCCCACTGAACATGACCGAATACGAGAAAATCGGCGCCGATGGCAGCGACGAAGAAAAGAAACAGTGCCAAGTTGAATGGGCAACCCGTGGATGGACCTTGCAGGAACTGGTTTTGAGCAAAGTAACATACTATGTCAATTCCCACTGGCAGAATTTGTACAGACCCGTTGAAGCTCTGGGGCCTTTATACTTCCTTCGTCCCTTCCTTCTGCGCTACATCCAGCACCCTTATGTCAAAGCTCACAAGAAGGTTTCTGAGGGACTGATTAACCAACTGAAGGAACTGCTTTCACCTGAATTCATCAAGCCCGACACGTCTAAGGAGGAGGAGCTTACTATTATGCTTCTCACTCTGGGCTTCCTTCCACCAAGAGGCTTGCAGGAGAAGCTGGCTGAATCCCAGATCGGAAAAGCAGCCCTGTCCGCCGCCAGGCAGCTGCCTAACACCATCAACAATCTTTTGTCGAAGAAGAGCATTTCGGGTGATACCTTACTAAAAGAACTCGCAAATAGCCCCGACCTCGATTCCAAGATATCCTTCTTCAACTACCTGCTGGCTGAATTGGTGGATCGCACAGACCAGCAGATCCTTGCAGATAGAAAGTTCATCGCCAAATTCAGTAAGGTAATGACCATGTCCAACTGGGTTGCTGGTGATGGCCTCGGAAACTCATCTGCCATCACTTCCCTGGTCACCGCATCTGACCGCCAAACCACCGTCGCCACCGACCAAGCGTACTCGCTGATGGGTATTCTCGGCGTGCGATTCCCCGCTTTCCCTGCGGAGGGTCTTCCCAAGGCCTTGGCCCGCCTACTCGACGAGGTTGTGGTCGCTTACAATGATGTCTCTGTTTTCAACTGGTCAGGTAAACACCGTGGCAGCCCGCTTCATGGTCGCTCTTTGTACCCTTCAAGCATCGATGCCTTCGTTGAACCCACCAACCACCCTTCAAACAAGTCTAAGGCGCAGACTAGCAAAAAGATTTTGGATCTGTTCCGGGCCCAGAGAGTTCGTCAAAGCAAAACTGCAAACAATATCAACATGCTTCTTTCTGAGATTCTCGCTCTCAGCAAAAAGCTGCCAGAGCAATGTTCGGCTTTTGAAAGTTTGAGTGAATTGGCGACGGCCATCAAGCTTAGCACTTTCGACAAGCTGGAAACCCTTATTGATGACTTGAAAGCTATCGCAGTCAAGCTTCAGGAGTTTGTACCTGATGAGAGCGACGAAGACAGCAAGAACCAAAGCCTTGCTGGTAAGCTGGGAAACACCATGGAACGAGTCGATTCATTCTCTAAGGGACTGAAGTTCGAGGCTCCTAAGTTCGAAGTGCCTAAATTTGAGAAACCTACGCTCGGATCCTTTGGATGGGGCAAGAAGAGCAGTGAAAAGCCGGCTGAGAAGGCTGAGCCAAGCGAGCCTGCCACTCCCCCTCCACCCGCCGAAGATGAAAAGTCAGAGGCCCAGAAGAAATACGGGGAGCTGAATGAGGCCATTAAGAGCCTCACGGCTGCCATTGTCAACCCTGAGGCATCCAAGAGTTCTGACACAGATTCTGACAAGGATGTGCCATTGGACCACAAGGTCGCTGAGAAGAACGAAACGGATCTTCAGGAAGCCAGCGTTCCATATGAACCACAAGAGGAAAAGAGAATGTCTTGTCCCAACCCTATCACCGTGAGCAGTGGTGGTATTCGAGGTATCTTTGACGTTCAGCGAATCATCGTCAACATGGTGGACCCCGACGTTCTACGCTCCAAGGTCCGAACAGCAGTCCGAGGTCAAAAGATCGACGGATGGTGCACTATCAGCACTGGTCTTTCGATGACCCTGGTCGCTTTCTCTGCCGAGCGAGATGTTCTGGCGCAGCAGCTTGATTTGGTTGATGTGATTAAGACTTATCTTGAACCTGAAGTCTCCGCACCTCAGGATGCATCGGCACTAGATGTCAACAAGGACACCACCCAGGTCAAGAAGGACGACAGCCTGATCGGCGACATCAAACAAGAGAAGACACCCGAGCAGGCCAAGGTTGCCCGTATGATTAACTTCGTGCAAAAGCAAGACCTCTATGGCATTGCTGGAGAATGGGTCCTGGCTCGTTTCTCGGGTACCCCTGGCGCCAAATGGTTCCTGTGTCTATTGGAGCTGGGTGCCGGAAACGACTTCTACGGACACCGAATCCCCACAGATGAGTTCAGCTTTGAGGATGCCGCTCCCGAGCGAGGAATCACTGAATACTGGCACCAGTTCACCAAGGAGAAGAAGGCGCGTACTTGCGATACCCTCGACATGTTCCTAAACCGCCAGAAAATGTTGAAGGACGCTGGCAATAACTTCGACTCACTGTCCAAGGTGGAGAACCCCTCACAGAGCTCTGGTGAAAGCGGCTGGGATACAGCATTTGAGATTTTACAAAATGTCTCGTTTGACAAAGTTGTCAGCCTGGGCAAAATGGCTGGTCAAGGTGTTGGAGGCTTGGGTGCTGATCTCTGGGCTAACCACCTTGAGGGCCGTATTGAGAAGGGTGCTCTGAAGCGTGTGCCAGTGTCCTTGCGAACACCAGTGCGTGACCTTGATCATAACCGGAAGCTTCTGCCTGTCATGTTCCACGCTGGACGCGAGATGCATATGTTCTAGATGCGAAACTTGCGAATCATCAAGATTGGGTGAAAATTGAATAACATACTCGCATCGATTGTACATTAAGTAGCTGTATCTACTTCGGCGCTCAGTGTCTATAGTGAAAATGTTTTAAGCAGAGCTAGTACGCAATCACAAGAATGAAGTCATGAATGAATTATTCGAGTTCAAATTTTAAGGGCTCAACCTTGAAAGCCTGTAAAAACTTCAACCACCCCACATTTCCACTGATTTTGAGGATAGAAATATTCAAAAAATTATGTTGTCAACGAACAGAATAGTTTCTGAAAAAAGGGTTTATAGTCTTGCATACCTTTGTGAGAAGGGACGTTCAAGTTGGTACGAAAGGGCCTAGAATCCCCGAAATTCCTCCTGAAAATTCATCCGAGATCATGGAAACGCATATCGATATTAGCAAGCGCAGAATTTGGTGATTTTAACATTCAGGCTCCAGCTTTAAGATTCGGGGAATTCATTGCTATAAATGTAAGTCTCTTTTAAAAAAACGTGGCAGCTGCGGCGCATCATCGTAGGATAGGCCCACTGCTATATTTTCACCCAAAGCTTAACTCTAAATTTGCTTATCTCGGGTTTTTCCGAAGCCGAATACGAAGCTTACTTAGAGACAGCTGGTCATTCGGGTTCGCATTCGCACGCTTTTGTGTCGTATTCGTACTAGGTTGTGACAAAAATGAGCCACGCAACGATTTACAGCTTTGCTTGCGACATAATATGAAAAGACCCTCGAAGCTAAAAATAAATACGTCCTTCTTTATAACCCCGAAAGCCCAGGTCTGTCGTCTCGGTTCTCTTCAGATTATCTTCAAATTATGAAAAAAACGAGACATCTCTCGGAGCCTGCATTATCGCCAAAACATCCTCACAATCTACGAATATGGATACTAAATATCAATATGAGGCTATCGAAGCTCCCACTTCACCTGATCGAGATGAAATCAGCGATTCGGACGTCATGTTTGACGATTCACCGCCACCCGCATACCACGCCGTTTTCACAAATGAGCAGTCTGAATTGCCCGAATACGCGAGCGAGAGGCCGGTGTCAATAATGCATGGAGGTATGGAAGTGGCATTGGCTTCGTTTCTATCGGACAAAATATCGCTAACCAAATAAATTAAAATCAGATACTGGCCGCTTTAGTATTGACCTCAACGCAGGAAACCGGACGTCCGCATTTATTCAGTCATTTTCACTTCCTGCGCAACGTCCCCGCGTTATCGAGATGCCGACCAATTCCTCTTCTTCGACGCCGAATGAAAAAGCCGAGGTGGAATCTGAGACGGGTTTGGATATGAAGGGTGTTGCGCTTGATATTGTGTTCATGCTCATTGGAAGTAGAGGTATTGACACCCCTAAGGACTTCAATTTGATACATTCCAATTAATGCGACCAAAGATGAGATCAAGTCGATGATATTTGTGGGCCAGGAGCTCCAAAAACAAGGCAATCGAGTGTTAATTGCAACACACGGGATTTTCAGATCCTTCACTACCAAGCTTGGAATGGAATTCTTTTCTATTAGCAATGATCCACAACATCCGATCGCGGTAGGCCACCTCCTCGAAGCACAATTCCCATGCCACGCAACTTACTTTTGATCAGACAAACGATTCTGGATTTATTCCCGGATTGAACAGTTCCGATAGGTCACAAGTACAGCAGAGTCGCAGAATGCTGCTCCATACCCTCAAGCAATGCTGGAATGCCTGTAGATATTCCGAGTTGCGCGAAGGTAACCCATTTTCTGTCGACGCGATAATCGCGACACCCCTAGCCCATGCACACATCCATTGTGCGGAGCGATTGTCAATACCACTACACATTATGTCTACCACACCATGGACCCCAACAAGGCAGTTTGCGCATCCTTTGGCTCAGTTGGAATCGGGAATTGAGATCGATTCCCAGATTCAGAATTATCTTTCATATATTCTTGTGGAAGATTCTATACAGCATGAGTGAGCATCACCTGGGTATCAAAATCAACGAAAACTTACTAACAAGACGATAGGATACATCGAGTGGTCGATCACTTTCGCCAAGCAGTTCTCGGTCTTCCGACCTCGCTGTGTGTTGAGGAGAAGGGACTTCTAGCCCAGTTCAGTATCCCCCACACATATCTCTGGGCCTCTGGACTGCTTGCTCGACCACAGGATTGGGAAGATCACATTGGTATGTGTCAGTCTTTCCGGTCGCATTGCAAGATATTCTAATAGAGATTGGTCTAGATATTGCAGGGTTCGTGCGAGCAAAAAGTTCACTACATTACACGCCATCGGAGAAGTTGCGGGAATTCTTGAGTCAGGCAGTTGAGCCAGTTCTGGTCCAATTAGACGCTGCTCAACTGAAAGACCCAGAGTATTTTGTTGTGAGCCTCAAGGAAGCCTCATTGAAATACGGGACCTATATCATACTTCCAAAGGGATTTGCGGACATGAACAACCTTCCAGATTTGCCACGCATCTTTTTACTTGACAGTGAACCTACCGGTAAGTGCCACGAGGCTGTCATAATAGAAAGAAACTGGCCTGGAAAGATATGTGGCTGATACAGAATCAATAGAATGGTTGACTTCAAGAGCTTCTGTGCTTTTGACAAGTGGTTCTGCCTCCTCGATAAACCATGGAATCGAACACTGCAAGCGGATTATATGCGTACCACTTCTTCAAGAGTAAGTTTCATGCGCATTCAGATATCGCATGATGTTGATTGCAAAGCTGACCATCATTCTAGCCAACTATTTTGGTCCAACGCCGTTCAAACAGCAGGGATCGGCCCAGCTCCTATTAAAGAAACAGCTTTCTCAAGCGAAATATTCGCTGATTCTTTCTGCCATTGTCTACGCCCCGACGTCCGAGAAGCAGCTGCAAGTTTAGGTGCTCGTACCAAAAACGAGAATGGTGCGGCGAATGCAGCGAAGTCTTTCTATCGTCATCTACAATGGGAGAAGGTTCAACGCGACCCTACAACATCCGATCCTGCCATATATAGTATGCGACTCAAAGGGATTGTTGTTCCTTCGATTGCCAAGACGGTGGTTGATATGGAAAATGGTCTGACAGCATCCAGTCCTGGAATCGAGAGTCCAACTGTTGTTACTAGAGGTGGACAAGCAGTTTGCGTCGATACAGACAAATCTACATTCTTCGTTGGGGCAATGGATGTTGGTCAGAATCTGATCAAAGCAATTATCAAGCCAACGATCTCACACATTTCTGACACGCGCACCAGAAAAAAAGTGAGATTCCTTGAAATTTGCTCACCCTGAATTTAATCCATACTAACTCTGCTAGAACCTGAATGACCTCCCCACTAAACCGATGGCACAAAAACCCGAAAAGTCCAAATCAGGATTTGCGTTGAAAGTCGCAAGAAACGTGGGCTTTGGGTCGGCAGTTGCGTGTGGAAAAATAGCCATCCTGCCTTTCAAGAGTGAGTTTGAAACTAGAAAGAGGCTTTACTATGGGCCTTACAGAGGAAAGTCTCTAACTTGAGCCATTAGCTGTATACTATATGGGTGAAACAGCCTCGTATGGAATACGTGCGCTGCAAAAACTTGATTCCCCCGGACACGAAGCGAGGGAGGAACAAAGGGAAGGAGACAGCTATTTCAATACAAGCGCGAGACAAGGATCATTGGAGGGTACGTTGAACATCTGATACCAAAAGGAACAGCCAAAAATTAACATATTTGTGTCTCTAGGATGCGACACGGATCTTCACCTCTCTTTGCAGCAGGACGATGCCTACTCGCGTGCCTTACGGGCTTCAAGCTCGAATACACAAATACAATCTAGAGATCCGAATTCAAAGTCTGATGCGAAGGAGTTTGAGGGTCACTTCTGATCTACTTAGTCTGCCCCCTTCGGATGTATTTGTCAACCGCGCCACTCCAGGATACCCAAGGCCAAGCATTCTTCCAGCGCCAACATTGAAGATTAAGACCCTGTTTTTCATGTGTACATACACTTTATCGTCCAGAATCAAGATTTAGGGTCCATATTAAAAAGTCTCGGAAAGAACAAATGAATATAAATTCTAAGTAGGCTTCAGCTTGAAACAAGTTGAAGGTGGAGTAGAACTTAAAACTTAACGTCAACTAGTACGGGCATGATTGTGAGTACTATGTAAACTTGAAGTTACTACTATCTGTAAACCGCCAGTTCAATCAATGCGACGCCTAGTACCTGTGAAGCTAGTATATTCCACCAATCCAATATACTACTACATAGCAATACATAAAACCTTGAGATAGTATCGAAATTGATTTTCAACAAGCAAGAATTTACACCTGCTGACATATGGCATAAGCAAACCTTTGGAAGCAACCTGAATTAGCCGAATGTTCCTTCGGACTTCAAGTTTCTTCAGATACATAGTATTTTGTGGTCGCGGCGTTTTCTTCAATTACTGCTTTGCTGATGAAACAACAACAGGGCTGGAGGTCATCCGAACGAATAGTAAACATTGATGCCTGAAACGCCTCCAACATCTATACAGCCTCATCTAGATTTGAAGGACACTTCGATAGGCTGAAACTTTTTATTTGTTCGAGATCTAGAATTTGCGAAGCTTGAGCCAATCGGATTGTTGATAGGAATCAGCTCGGGTTCCCTCGGATTCGCTCGCATCAACCCGAATACGAGCCCGAAGCGTTTCCGAGATGGATCGGATCTGGACGCTTAATTTTAGGTGTGAAAAATTGATGTTGCCTGAATCTTTCGGCGCTAGTGGTAAATCCTAGCAATCTTCGAAGATTTTCACTGTCAATTGTCGGATTTAGATCGCGATCTAGGGGCTTAGATCCTTGGAACCAGTTTTAGAATTTTATTGAACGAACCTAAATGTGTCTGAAATTTTTATTTTAGTTTTGTTTAGAACTGATTCTTGTGTATAAAAGGGGAGATGTATCTCTGTAGACAAAGATATTATTCTCACAAGCATTCAAACAACACACTTCACAAGCAATTATATAACCCATTTCCTATCTCTCATCACCATCTTGATCGACCTTGTACAAGCCTCACTATTCCAAACAATCTTGCAACGCCTAACTACATCATGGCCACTGAAACCTTTGTCCTCTACCAATACACCCCTAGCTTGATTTGCGCGGTATTGTTTGCTGTACTCTTCGGCTTGTCCACTATTTTCCATTTATACCAGCGTGTCCAAACACACGCCCAATACTTCAATCCTTTTATCGTTGGAGGAATCTGTAAGCCGAAGCCCCATGGGGAAGTGAAAGAAAGTGGAGTCAACTAACAAATACGCCTAGTTCAAATTATTGGCTATGGAGCTCGCGCAGTCTCTCATTTTCACCCGACAAGTACCACAGTTTACGCCATGCAAAGTCTCTTTATTCTGCTAGCGCCGATTCTTTACGCCGCATCTATCTATAGAGTGCTTGGACGAGTCATCACTTTCCTTCACGGTGAACATCTGAGCTATGTCTCCGTCAGATGGATGACCAGAATCTTCGTTGGAGGAGATATTCTATCTTTCATCATTCAAGGTGCAGGTAAGTCACAATAATTCAAGCATGAAATTTCAAAATTCGGTATTCTAATTCATTTTCTTTTATTTAGGTGGTGGTATCATGACACAGGGAACCTCCAACTTTGCCACTATTGGCTCCTGGGTTATCGTTGGTGGCCTTATTGTGCAGCTGTTGTCATTTGGAGCATTCCTCATCACATCGCTTATTTTCCACTGGAAGATCATTCAAAGCCCCACTATCGAGAGCCAGCGATCGAAGAGTGCTTGGACATTCTTCATGCCACGCGACTGGAGAGGACTTCTTTTTGCATGCTATGTTGTTAGCGTGTTGATTCTTGTACGATCTGTTTACCGCGTTGCTGAGTTTGTACAGGGCAATGATGGGTATCTGATTGGGCATGAGGTCTTCTTGTATGTCTTTGATGCTGCTCTCATGGTCTTGGTTATGCTCATGATGAATGTGATGCATCCATCTGTTGTTCTGCAGAAGAAGGAGGAGCCCATTGATGAGGCAAAGAATGTCAGATGGACCTCCGATTCTTTGGAGCAGGCGGTTTGAAGAGAGAGCATGTTGTTATAGTGGGGACTCGGAGTTACATTTTTGGGAGTTACCAAAATATTATCCTTTTAGTTTTTAGACACGAAATTCAATGATTTATGTTGGTATTACAATCTCATCCTGTTGAGCTGAAACATTGGAACTAATGACGTTCCATTATTTGAGATAGTTCAATTGTCGCATATTCATCATATAAGAGTGAAAGCTCCGATACATCAATCATTGTAAAAAGACTTGTACGACATCAGAGTTGGCGACAACCAGGAAACATGAGAGTAATCAAGACACGTGATACTAGTATAAATCCTTCAAGTTGGTCACTAACATATGGCCCGTTCGAACCATCGGCTCGCAGCTTAGCAGTTCAGCTTGCCGCATTTCTTGCAAGAATCTCTAACTCCATAGTCACAAGCCTTTCCAGTTCCGGCCTGGCATTCGTAGACGTGGCTATCAAGACAGGCAGAATTGACCAATTGATCACCGCAGAATTGGCCTTGAACACCGTTGCAAAGGCACTTGGTAGCGCCACAGGCTCGCTTCTCAAACTATGCATCATATTAGATAACACAAACTCCACTTGAGTTTTCAAGGATCTGAACTCACAATGTTGTCAATTGCACGAGCGTCCAATGGGCCAGGAGCAGGAGCAGGCCCAGCGAGGGTGGCAGGGACCAAGGCAAGGAGGGTAAAGATGGCAGTGTACTGCGGTGTGTTCATTAATATTCAGCCTCATATGATATGCATTGTATCCTACCTTCATCTTGAAGTTATTGAAGACTAGGAACTGGGTGAAAGTTGGAGCTTTTTGAACTGAGTAGGTTTAGAATCGTGTGTACTGAGAATTAATAGCCTGGGAATTGATCGAATTATATAGACATTTCTCATCTATAGGTGGCTTTGATATCTCTTGAAAAAAATACGAACTGGATGCAGATCATAGCTCAGCTCGTGTGCCTTTAGACCTCTCATAGTTATCCCTTGCCGTATGCCGAGACAAGTCAATGGTTAATGAGCTTCGTATTCTTCACATAGACCATATAATCTCGTATAACAGACATATTCAATGTAACCTAAGAGCTTTAGCGGGTCGTGTTTTTCTTCGGCAAACAGTGATCTACAAGGCTATGCGTACCCCATTGGTGGGGAAAGAGAAGCCAAGATCCGTGAGCTGTGGAGTACGACGGTGTGGGGAAACCCAAATACTAAAAGATCAGTATATAGTCCTATCTTGGGTTTAAAAAAAGATTGTCATCCTATGACAGTGCTTATTTTGATCCATTCCGCACCAAATTTTAGAAATACGAGAGCGGTATCTCTAAGTGCTAATGGTGACTAGGGTTAGTTCTCAAACAGATTCACCGGCGCTTGGTAACCCTCCGGATTCCCAGTGTCTATGAGTTCAGGAAAGATGGAGGGAAGGATAATAAATTTGTGTGATCATTGTTTTGAATCATGATGAAGAGAAGCTAGCCTAGCTACAGTGTATCAAGATAATAGGTGCCCAAGGCACCAACATCAACAATTAGGTGGGATTTTAATAACAACTGCATGCAATGCAAAGTGTGAACGTCACATCACACCAATTTTTACCCCTGCTAGCTGGATACCTGTTATTCAAAGGGTCCAAAGCCCGGCATCTTTTGTCTCTACTGTAAAATCCTACTATTAGTCTGATTGGAGTGTGGAAATTGTCAATAATATGGTGAACTTTCATGTCATCGCATGGGTCTGACTACACTGGAATTGAAAGCTTTGCTTTTCTCAATGATAGCCTCCTTTTATAGCGGGTCTTGAATTTAAATTGTAAGGTCCCTTTATGTAAAATGTTTAATAATAAGTTACCTCAAGGAGATTGGTCACAGAATTTAAGTTGCGCTGAAGGTTATTCTGGGCGGTTGCCAAGATTGCGGGAGGGCATAGCCCCCGCCTATTACCCAATGCACGTTAGTTAACCGCAATGGGTACTTTTTAGTAAGATTATCTGTTGATACCGAGGCTTAAGACTTTTTAATTGCATACACTGAACTTCAATCTACCCATTTCGAAGACGAATTGGCAACTTCAAGTTCATTACGATATGCCATAGCCCAGGGTAGTTTTGTTGCCGACTACAAGAACTATTACTATTTTATCCAACTACCACACATGAAAACTTGAGAAGTACTTATGCACTTGACAAATATGGCTCTGGATACTATTTGCCATTTGGTGCTATTCATGTTCAATGGCTATTGTTCTGGCCGATGTTATAAGCAATTGCGGTAAAGCCTCACCGGATCGACTTCCGTGGTTTAGATGTCATTAAAAGTACTGACAAGTTTGGGGACTTGTAATGATTGACAAGGCAGAAAAGCAATCAGATCTTGACTCGGCGGGTATAGAGGAATACTAGGAAGCGATTTAGGGTCCAAAAATGCCGGAGCGATAGCGGAACGAAACATTGTAAAGATCAGAGGCACATGTTTGGACTTAGAAATCATAATAGTTCAGAGGGATCGCTAGAGATCCTTTCCAATGCGATGGTAATTTATCCAAGAAATCCTGCTTGTTTGAATCCGCATCGCTTCGAATTTGCAAATGGAGTTGGCTTAAATGAAGGAAGTGGGTCTTCCATAGTCAGCTTGCTGGGGGTTACATCAAACCGCCCCAATCATACTATGCTAGGAACGAAGTGGGTCGGACATACCAATAACCATCGAGTATGCTTTTACTAAGGGTCTTGGTACTGAAGATTGTACGTATGAGGCTGAGACAGAACTGCACAAACCCAATCTCGGTTTTAGCTGACAAGGCTCCGATCTCTCCACTAGGCTTCATGTCATCTTGTAGTTCATCGAGTCTTTATCTGTATTGACGATGTGCTCGACTTATACTAGTATGTCTTGGCGTATTCTTTTGTTGACCAGTAAAAAAGAAAGAAACGAAGAAGAGAAGAAAGGGCGAAGGAACAAAACGGAACAAATCGAACAGGACAACTTGTTGGACTGTAATTTCGTGGGAAGGCTACTAAATTCCTACATAAGGCTACTCCGTCATAGCCGCTCTGTAAGCCTGGTTTATCCTTGGATATAGCTCTTAGCCAATTAATGCATACAGACGTCGATCCTTCCCTCTCTTATCACCCCTGCATACATAGTGCCTGGCCCCAGGTACGGAGTATTTGCCAATGAAACTTCTGCAATCAGGGTCATTAAGGGTCTTCTCCGCATCGGCCCCATTTTCATAGCTGAACTCAGCCATGTACTGCCCCAGTGCCATTTATCTCAGGCTCAATGTGATAACCAGGATTCTCTAGCCTCGTGGTGAGGGGTCAGTCGACCTCGGAGCGGTTACAATGGGATCCTTCAGAATATTTGAACCAACTTGCGATTGACAACGAGGCATCAGAAAACACATAAATAGCTGTGCTTTCCCCTCGATATTTCATAACCAGCAACAGCTTCTTCAAAGTCAAATCCTCTATCCTTCTACTCAAACCTCGACTCTATCTCCTCGGATTCTATCATTTCTATCAATCAAAATGAAGTTCTTCGCAATCCTCATTGCTGCTGCCCTTACCGGCCTCGCCAGCGCCGGTACATACCCTTGATCCATATAAAAAACCCAAGCCCGTCGAATCCGTGCTAATATAATAATATATTCGGACTAGATCCAATCTTTTGCTCCACAAACGCCGACTGCACTGCCGCTCTCCCCTACTGTGTCTCTTGGGAGGGCCAAGCTGCAATTTGTGGCCCTACTCCATGTGATAACTGTTAAAGTTGGATGATCCCTCAGGGTGTTGTGGCCCTGTCCGCACCTGCTTTTATGGTAGCGAGGTTAAACGAAGTATATAAGTTAGCTACAGAAATTTGAATAGTTTCTGTCGATTTTCTGGTACTTCAGAGCATTCTTTACCTTCTTGTAGTCGAAATACAAAAGTATGTTCGATTTAAATAAGGCCGAATGATGGGTTAAGAAACAAGATGTACAGACGCCAGCCCAGCTAGAGAAGAGGTTTGCTTACTCTTGTCTCCCCGGATACGACGGATATTATTTGTGTTGCCTGAAGCTGCTCCAAGTGGACGGGGCCGTTCAGCTACTTCACGTTCTCCAAGTCAACGACGACCAAATGGTGGCCTACATTATCCTACAACATATTGCGCCACTCAATATCACCGTGAATAATTCCGTGAGATTGTAGCACAGCCAAAGCTTCCTTGCGCTCTCTGTCAAAGAAACTGGAATTTTGGTTATTGACGATATGTTGGAGTCGTATTCCAGACCAGCCCAAGATCATCATGTGCGCTATTATTTCGCTATGGTACTAATGTGCGATCCGTGTTTGAAAGTATCTAAGCAGACGGGAACATTCCGGCCCTGCAGGAACGTGAAAATGCACTTGACCCTCCTTTAATATGGGCTGAGCCTTAGGCTCTGATTGAATTTCGTTGCTTTTAAGAGTATTGTCTTGCTTCTGGAAATTTGCCTCCCGGAATAGATCTGTAGTAAAGAGCTTTTTCGTATTTCTCTGGGAAATATAATACAGTATTTTGCAAGCAGAGACAGGATATATCAGTAAATGAATATATCAACGCCTATATTATAAGTATACATCCAAAGTATATATGATTTATTATGTACGCACTGGCCTTTTGAAATAGATAAACTTGATTAAATCGAAAATGCTTGATTAAATTTCTTCCGGGTGTAGAATGATTGCAGTTGCACTGAGTTGTAGTCCCGCTTGGTATTGAGGATTAGTATGTAAATAGGACAAATGCCTACCCTCGAACTTTGGCTCGCCTGTCTTTTTGCAGCCCGGTTCAAGCCGTTCCCAGACTTCCGGAAATTCAAATTGATTGCCATCGACTCCAAGACACTCGTATTGTTTGTTTTTCGATTTGTCACGCTATGTAATGTCCCAAGTCATTACGTTATTCTCGCATCATTATTATGTAAATTAAAATGATTGCCTAACCCGCTAAAACTATTATATTCGCACATACAAGCATGCGAAAGAGATTTCCATTTTTAAACTCTAGCCTAATGAATACTCTTTTCTATTTATCCAAGAGCATTTTTGACAATAATGTCTTTTCATGAGAGTTCGTGCGACATTCATCTAGTCGCTGGCACAAAGGGCACCTTTTTAGTTGCTACTTGCAACAATGATGAAGGCTCTGGCCTTACTACAGATATCCTTCTCGATGAATTTCTCGGCAATAAGAAGGGTAAGACTACACATTCTAAGTTGCAAAGGAAATCTGATCTCATCTTAAATGGTAGGCTGCCTCGACTGGGGTGGAGAGGGCTTTAGTAAGACTGCACGGAATATAAGTCTGTCTGCTGAAGATCACCGCAGTCCCATTCTCTATTCAGAACTTCTCGATTCATCGGGCAATTATTCACTCAATGAGATTGATCTTGCTACACACATTGCGAATATAGATGGTGAGCTAGTTTATATGAATGCATAGGCCTATTCCATCAGAAATATCTGCAAAATCATGGAATCATCACTGCACCGCCAAATTTCGTAACATAAAGTTGTATGTTTGCTATGATCGGAGAAATTTTTGGACATAACCCTCCTTGAGATACGATTCGCTTTTTAAATTTCGTCTGGTAGTCATTACTTTATTGGAGTTCAAGAATTTCCATTCTATTTAGAGCTTTGCGTGTTGTAACTTTGTAACTTTGTAACTTCGTGATAGTGACGTCATAGATATTCCCACTCGCCACAAAATTTGCAGAAGTCTTAAGACATCCAGCATCTTTTTCATATGAATATTTTACAAGTGCCACTCACTCAAATGCGCCAGCTTGAATATGGCTTGTCTCAAATTTTTCAATTCCCGACCCCTTGCAACTACGATTAGCTGCTATACAAAATTGCATTCTGGGCAATCTTTCCGGTACATCTCTGTGAATTCGCGATCAGGAAAGCCTCTCCCCCCATATCTCGAGAGGCAAGTTCTGAAGCCGGATAGAGCAGAAACATGCCAATCGGGCACGGATGACGAAGTTGCACGTCACAAATCCCCATATGACCCTACACAAACAACAGTGGAAAAGGAAGTATCCGCGTTGAGGGAAGAATACAAACTTGAGAGAGACTCGCATGACCCACTATTGGTCAGCCCAGCAAACCAAGAAGTCAGTCTCATTATGGAGATGCTAGGGAGAGGAGCGGTCCACAGTGTGCAGCCTCTGGGTAGTTTCAAGGGTCACACCAAGAAAAATCACGAAGTGCTACTTCGCAAGGAGCCATATATTTTTAGGTCATATGATAACGTTTTTGTCTCGGCAGTGAAAGGGCGCTTATTCTTAAAAAAACCCCCCAGAAGTTCAGAGTGATATAAAAAAGTGATATTGAAGAAAGCTTCAGCAATATATGTTTACATGACAATCAGCGGGGCTTACTCGTGGTTATTGGCTTGATTTTCACCCAGCGGGGTTGACTAAAGAAGTATTAGGGACCCTCTTGTCCTGACTTCCCTCATAGACAAATAAGATAGTGACTATGATAATCCCTGACAACTATTGCCCCTAACTATATTCCAGCACATAGGTACCTAATAACGACAAACATAGGTTTTCCACATCAGACGCAGCAGGATGGAAGCCAGACATCGTACCAGCGTGGAATCCAGCGACAGAATATGGGGTCTTGGCACCTCGGGGCCACTTTTATCGTAGCGAGATTGAACGAAGTATATAAGACAGCTACAGTAATTTAAATAGTTTCCGCCGATACGCTAGAAAGTCCCAAATATCTGTAAAGAGCAGCATTATCGTATATGATTCCGGCTTTATATATACAACTCCGCAGTAACCCGGCCCGCAACGGTTAGCGGAGCTTCCAAGGTTCCGGTGTGATTTCCCAGTTACTCCTAGTTCCGTGGCGTTTCCCCATAGGTGAACCAGGCGATTAGTTCCAGAGTTTCGACTCGATGATATCTCTACACTTTGCCTTTTTTTTTTAAAAAAAATGAAGTATACGTATGAAGGCTTCGATAGAAAAGCAATTGATGATGCTGAGGAGTCACTTCCGCGTTTTTTTCAATAGGTGGATGAGCACTTTGCTCCTATTTTAAGGATTGACGAGCAGAAATGCAACGATCTAATTATCTTACAGCCAGGTGATCACCTGGGCATGCTGCCGAATGCATCTTCTATGGTCCTTTTCTCTGGCTTTCCCTAAGACTGGGAAACCAGTGTACGTGGTAAACCTTAGAAGAGGATTGGCAACCGTGATAGACTCCGCAAATCATTCTAAATGCAACTTTATATGTAAACTTTCTAAGGTTGGAATGTAGCAAATCTAGATTGGAATGCAGTGTCAAATGAAATGTGCGTGGACGGACTATATGTATTCGAATTGATAGAGAACGCTGTTCACCAAGTTTCCTCGGCATAAAAGTCGGCAATTGACAGGTTCAGTTGCATGCGTTGTCAGGGTTATGCTAAGAGACGATCTAAGCTCTAATTACGGTAGGTCCCGATGTTATAATGGCAAAATCACTGCTAGATTCATTCGATTCCCGGATCGGTTCGATACTGAAACACTCGATTTATTCGAATCCTGAATTTATTCAATCGCTAAATCAATTCGATTCCTAGATTACTATATCATTTTAACCCTTGAATTTATTCGATTACTGAATTCATTAGACTCTTTGCTCCATTCGAGGGAAAATGAATATTCCGAACTATCCTAGTGCTAATAATAGAGAGGTCTCGATGGAGCAGACTCAATTTTTCTCTTCTCTATCCCGGGGGTCATCAAATACTCTGCGTTTCTACCATTGATAACTGTACTCGGCAGGGTCGTCATGGCCGCTGTCGTCGCGAGCTCGGAAAAATTATCCTACCGGGTAACACCAAGATCCGCATTATCACCAGCAGCAAGAGTACACTCGTCGTGATTATCGTTATCGGGGCTGTCAAACGAATAATTCCTCTCCATCTGCGCCCGCTTAGCGCGCGCCTGAGGGTTTAGAGCTGGCGAAGGGGGGGGTATAAAACGGAAGAGAGCAAGGGGCACGTTCAGTTGTTTGCAAGATGTCGGTATTATCGACATCGCCGGCAGTGACAGAAGCGGGTGTTTCCAGTGTAGCCTTCGTCTCCCAAGATTCGAACCACTTGAGTAGTTTAGAAGGAGTCCTATAGCCAAATCGCTCCACTGTTTTTAAAGTACGAGCGGAAGCGACAAGGTAGAATCCTTTGTGTTTTCGTTGTACACATTGATGGGTTCGGTTTCTCCCTGGTTGGATTTGTGCCAATTGGTGAACAGTGAGCACCATTCGCCCTGGATGAAGTCTTGACTGTGCACAGGGTACTTGAAGTTAGCGCCACCTAGGTCCATAATGGCGAGTGCTAACATTGCATGGGTTTTGCCAGTGCCAACGGGACCTTCGACAGTGTACAGCGGACCATGCATCGCGCTCACGTTTGCAAGGAGCAGGGTCATGTCATCGGAAACGAGCATTTTCTCTAGCACTCGCTGTATGTGCTTTTGGGGGATTCCTGTCAAGGCGTTTCTGATTGGCAGGAGGCTCGGGTTGGTGCCAAGCAGTGTGTCCATTATGAGCTTGTTGACCGGTTTGACCACCAAATTTCTGTTGACACTGAGGAAGCGGTCGTAAAGTTTCGTGCCCAGGTGAAGTTGGTAACTGATGACATCCCAGTCTTCTGACTCGACGTTCTTCTCCGTGAAGCTAGTCTGATCGTGAGGAAGGGTGATCACACGGGGCTGGGTGGCACCCGGAGTCTCCTCGGAAGGACGACGCAAGATCACCATCCAGCAGTTTACCGGGCAGAACGAGGCTGCTGAAACGACGGTTGCTGACCATCTATCCACGGAAGGGTCTGGAGAAAGACCTGGAGGAAGATCTGGAGGAAGATCTGGATAAGACTCTAGGTCCATAACAACACCAGACGGGAGAACAGGGGCATCAGGAGTGTACCATCTGACGTCGAATCTCGCTCCCATCTGCAAACGCTCGGGGGCATGGGTATCAATTTCATCGGAAGTCTGTAAATCGATGATAGCGAGATATTCGTCATCACGGGTAACCGAATACACTTGGATCCTCCCCTTGAACTCGAGGCCGTTGCCGTTGATCTGCGCCTCGACCTGTTGGTCGAGAATTGCGCCCCAACCGACGACCATGTTGTATTCCTGTACGTCCGGGTCGCAATGGGGTGGCCAGTCTGTACCTTCTCTGTGAGCCCAATACATTTCCCCCACACTCTAATTCACATTCGGATGAAGGGCCAAGGATGCCAGCAGACGCATGTGGGGTCTATTATTCAGACAGACCTGTTGACTCCAGAAGTGTTCGAAAGGTCGCAACATCCACAATGTCAATGGCAAAATGCGCTACAAATTTTGCCATCATCTTCTCCATGTTCTCCCTCATAATGTATAATTTAGCTTTCTCATAATCTAATCTTCCTTTTTCGAATTCATTAATACCCGCATTTAAGTTTTAAATTGTATTTGTGTTTGTAGTAGTATTCCATAGACTTGAACGGGGGACAATAGCAAGAGTAACATTTCCCACATGCATCTTTGCCTATTTCCGGCCGGTCAAAAATCACCATATCGCCCTGGAAAGTCGAGCTTCGATCCTCTTTATGTCTCAAGATATATCCTCTAGAGTCCGATGTAGTAATTCCTCTTTCTTTTGAAATGAACTTGGTAGCAGTAGTAGCGGTTTTATAGGGGATAAAGATACACTGGCATACGGACAAGGGGGGTTCTGCCTGATGATCGCTATTGTCCCCCGTAGACTTATAATGAACTGCCAGTGGCATATCCAAGGTTTTCCTCCAATTTCACTTGGAAACCACTAGGCACTTCAAGAGACCATGGAATAGCTTACATGAAGTCTATCACCTGGTCATATGGAATTATTGGATAGCAGCATCATGATGGCGCCCCACGCGAGGGAACTCTGAGCATTAAATTTACCGGTAACCAACAACTCCTGTCATCAATAACACACTAGTAAGGCGGAAGTTCAAATGTTCATTTTACGTAATATCCTTGGAAATAGGCCATACATAATGCACATAAGTAATGCTCGAAATATTTTGCTGTTGTCTCCCTTGATGTTTTTGATCGTCCGTGGAACGTGGGGATCTTCAGCTCTATGTACATCTAGAGCCACTCAAGTGGCTTCGGGGAAACACTCAAAGTTTTCTCATCCCTTTTGCTTCTTCGAGTAAGTCCCCATGCCCGCAGCCAAAGGCCGATAGCTCCAAACCTGTCTCTGTCCACATCCTCGGCTCTGGAGACAGCCCCAGATAACGATGCAGGCTTGCAGCCCCACCTCGGTGGGCGGAGCATCCAACCGTGTCGGCTTTGAAGAGGCTTGGTGGGCGCAGGAAGGGTGGATAATCGAACAAGTTTATCATCGGTCCAATTAACGGCCGTACTACCATGACTTGCATCAAGACTGGCAGGGTAATCAAACTTGGCCAATGCTCCAAAAAATCTGCTTTTGTATTGGTAATTGCTTTCTTCGAGTGGACTGGCGCTAACCAAAGGTACTATTGTGGGGGTTGATGGATCGATCCACGGATCGATGTGGGCCCTCGAGGTATCCATTGCGGCTACAGCGGTTGCATGAAAAAGAAAGAAATGACAGGCCTTGACTCAAACAATTAAATGGGATCTTAGAGCTTCAAATCTGGAATGTCAAACCTGTCTCCGCTTTGAGTCTACTGGACTACCTCGACTGCATTTCCGTGCTGGTTGGATGCTCCGTATAGAATAATATAGCCCACACAAAGGAAAACGCTTTGGCACCAGAAGCAGCCTGAACTAATATCCATCAAAGACTTCAAATTGGGCCCAAGACCGGTCGAATACTACTTCCCCACTGAGGGGTAAATAAGACTCCGGATATCATGACCTATCACCCATCGACATTGCCATGTCACATTGCCTTCTGTATTGTACGATCTTACAAACTCTACATTGAAAATTCGGCTCAATGTTTCCAATTGCATAATTTCATCAACTGGCGAGGAAAGGAAAGGGATTATAAGAGGAGGTGTTTTCTCTCTTAATCCAAGAGCATATATCAGACTCATTCATCTTTGGTCTTTTGGACCCGTCTCCATAGCAAACTTTCTACATGGAACCTCAATCTACCCCCATCATCCAGAGATATGCCTTCCTCTATACTTTCGCCGATTATGTCAAGGAACTTTCCGGTGACTACAACGAAGAACCATCCAGCACTCTCCATTCCTCAGCCAGCCAAAATCAGCAACCCGTGCCAAGAAACAAACCAGGATCAATCTTTGGTATCCACAATGGACTGCTAGAAATCATGGAGCGGATTTATACCTTACACGTTGACGCAAATGAAACCAAAACTTTGGAGTCCGATTCCGTGGTAGATGCTGTCGACATATGGAATGATCTTGATCAAATTAGGGACGGGTGTCAGCAAGACTCGTTGGAGGATTCCAATCTCCAGATTGCCTGTGTCTGGGCCCTATATGTGTGGCTATATCTCATCGTTCATCCAAAAGGTGCTGGTAATGAGAAAGCTCAAATGGCTGTACGAAATGGACTTGTTGCCAGTAAAGCTGTAGCAAACACAAATGATCTTCCTTTCTTGCTGCTACCTGCTTTCTGTCTTGGCTTAGCTACTTTGGAGCAAGAAGATCGATATTCTGTGATGGAGCTTTTTGGAAAGATCGATGGGTCGTTTGTGCTCATTGACACCAAAATTTATCGTGATATTGTGGAAGAGGGATGGCAAGAGTTGGATCGTGGCAGTGAAAGGAGTTGGGGGTAACGGGATGTCAAAAAGTTTAACAGAAAACTTCGAAAATGACTCGGAATTGATTCTTGCCAAACTGTTATTCCAATTACCGGGCAATGCAATTATAAACATTAATATGAAGCCATATGCAGTATTTCTGTGACTCTCTATTGTATCATTGTATATTCATAGTGTTTTTTGTCGTATATGAGCCCCCTGGATTGATATTCTGACTTCTTGGTCATGCTAGACGGCCCTTGTGCCTAGTCATAACAGTGAAAAGCAGTGACGACAGGGATTGAGATGGCGGCAGATAACAGCCAGAAAGGGAAGATGTAATTTGTAAGAGCGGAAAATAACATTACCAGTATTTACGATGTCTTTACAGCACCCGGGGGGCCGTGGGCCTGAGATCTCTCCAACTCCCGCCCAGTTCGGTATTTTTCGAAAGGATCCGCAATTTTCACCTGCTAATTGTGGAAATGAAGTAATTTTCGGTATATTTAGGGCATTCTCTCGGAATTTAAGAGACACTAAGCTGTGTTTTTGAATTGAAATGTATTTCGGACAGTTTCAGATTTATAATCGTTTCAAAACTTTATGAAATCGTTGGTGTGTAAATTATCTGTCTCAGTAAAATTATAACACGACTCTAATTGGACAGAACGGTAACCAATACCTTAACATTTAGATTACATTTCCCTTGCATGGCGGCTATTTCCATCCACAATGTGGAGCCCGTGTACATGTGCTAAGCATAGCCACTAACAAATAGGCGATCAGGATCAACTCAAAATTCGAGTGTCTCAGTCTGACTTGGAAGGTTTTTCTTTCTTGTTCTCGTCTGTACATTCAGTTTGACCATGAGTGTTATACAGCGCGGTTTGCAAGACGTCAAAAACAACGTATCCTTGATCTCTAGGCTCATCTTCGCTCTTTGATGACGAAAAGCAACTTTCAGCCCGCTGAAATCGCTCCTGGACTCGATCATTCAGTCCTACAAAGACCAGTTCAGCCTCTGCACCCGCCCAGACTTTGAGGATGGACTTGATATCCGCCAAAGCCTGCATTCCACTCGTGTCAATATGTGTGACGCGAGTCATGTCGATGATTACCATCACTAGGCATTCGATTTGATCAGAAAGGTCATGAAAGACCTTTCCAGAAGGCTGTCATTGTGGATATCCAGGATGGTTATCTCAACCCTGGGGATCACATTCTCATTAGACTGGGAGATCGTCGTTTCGGTGGAAAAGGTACTCGAGTACAGACCTTCATAGAAAAAGACTTCCGGTGGAGGCTTTATATTGATCCTGTTGGAACCTCGTGAGTATTGACGAGTTTGAAACACAACGGACGAAGAGATGCTAATAAGCAAACAGTCGCTTCGCTCCGATCCAGCCAGATATATCCTGGAGGATTGTTGCTGACTCGCCTCATCATGTACAAACTGTATCCCCCAGATTGGTCCAGCCTAATGTGCCATTCAAAATACACGCACACGCTGAGGACAGTTGGGGGAATGTGACTCGCGAGCTGAAAGATTTAGTCTTCAAGCTGAAAGTCTACCTCGCAAGTTCTCAAATACCATTCCAACAGGGAGTTTCCGTACCAGAAACCGGATGGACGAACGCGATCTTTCCTGATATTAAATTGGTCACTGAAGGGGATTACACAGTGGAGATCTCACTGGAAGGCAAAGAAGGGTTGGTTCTACCGCTTAGCATTTCCCATATTAGCGTGTCTTCTGAATTGTTCGTCCCCAAGGTTCTATTTGGTGATCTTCACGTCCACTCAGACGATACCGTGGGGACTGAAGATTCCGTATACAACTTTTCTTACGGTCGGGATATTGCCGGCTTAGACGTGCTTGGATATACAGCAAACGACTTCCAAATCACGAAAGAACGCTGGGACGCCACGGTCCAACTCATTAAATCTCTCAATGAAAGCGGCAACTTTGTGATTTACCCAGGTACTGAGTGGTGTGGAAACTCCGCAGCTGGAGGAGACCACAATGTGGTCTTTCTAGATGAATCTGACCAACCCCCGGAATTCCCTTATGATCGACATGGAAATGTCGCACGGTCGTTCGAATGGTCTGAGCACGGCCCGAAAGACATTGTTCCCGGCGCCTGGCCGCTGGACGAAGTATATGCTACATATGCGAGGGAGGCTGACAAGCATCTTCTCATTCCTCATGTCGGAGGCCGCCGTTGTAATCTTGCATGGCATCATCCTAAGCTCGAGCGTTTGGTTGAGATCGGTAGTGCCTGGGGTCAATTCGAGTGGCTTCTCCAGGATGCAGTTCAGCGCGGTTGGAAGTTAGGCGTATCTGCCAATTCTGATGAACATCGTGGTCGGTGTGGTGGAGGTGTGTCGGGAAGTGCGGTATTCGGTACACGGGGAGGCTTAACGGGAATAATATCATCTCAGCTTGATCGAGCCACTGTCGCTGGTTCTCTAAGATCGAGGCATACCTTTGCTACTACCGGCCAGCGTCTAGTTGGTCTTCTTTGGAGGCATACTGAGAAAGGTATTGCTCTCCAGGGCGATGAGATTGAGGCTTCCATTGATGAGCCCCTAGAACTGAACTACCACTTTCTGGGTGAAAGGGGATTCTCTTCGATCGAAGCATTCGATGCCTCGGGTATGATCTGGCACCGTGACCTTTGGTCTGAAGAGCGATCAGCACCAAATAAAATACTGAGGATCACATGGGGCGGAGCCAGATTATATGACCGATATCGTGAAGCTATTTGGAATGGTAAGATTTCACTATCAGAAGATGCTTTTGTGGAAAATACGCAATCTTTTGGAGGACTAGAAGATAACCCGGAGGATTTCGCTCGAGTCTCCGGACATCAAAGTATCGATTTCGCGAGCAAAACAAGTGGTGACATCGATGGTGTGAATATTCGTTTCCAAGCCGATAAATTGCCATCTACAGTGAGCATTTCCGGTTCGCTAGGTGGCTATGTCAAAGTGGGAGATACTTTGGCTGGGAATCCACACAAGGCTCAGCCAACTTTCAGCCTTGAGGCAAATTTGGAAGAAATCAACGCACTTAATGGGAAGTCAATTGAGATCCGTGGAGGTGCAGGACTCTTTCTGCGTGTTGAAGCTGTGCCGGATATTGAATTGCCTCGACGAGTCCAGGGAACAGTATCCCTGCCCAAAAGCACTGAGTCTACTCGTTCGATCTACTTTGTTGGTCGAGAATGGAGTAGTGCAAAGGTCATCACAAGTCCGCTGTTCATCAATTATAAATAGGAGTATTATCTATACAACATACAATTCTTTGCTTTCTGAAGACATGCACTCAATGAAGCATCTTCCACTGTCGTGGTAAAGCCCCTTCAATATTCATGTTGCGATTCACCATAGCTTGAAGGTTGATGCTACCACTTTATACATCTTCTTTTCAATATGTTCCAGAATCATTCAACATCTCTTGTTCTATGCTCGCTTGAACGAAAGCCGCCGTTCCATGGACACTATTGTATAACAGAGGCTGCGAGACGTAGTACTTTATATGTGTTAGCTCGGACTGAAAATGAATTATCGGATAAAAGAAAAAAGAAAACATACCTCGTAAGAAGCCGATGAGTCGAGGCTACACACAGAAACTGTTCCGTTATAGCCTAGGGTCCCATTGGCATTCTTGACGACAAATTTATCAACAAGGTGACTATAGCATTTGGTGGCAGTAGCCCTTGCATCAGACGCGTGTTCGCCAGTTAGATAACCAAGTCGGGCCGCCCTGAGTAACGCGGTCACAAACATTGCTGACCCGCTAGATTCAATATAGTTTCCTTTCCTTTCAGGGTAAGTCATGACTTGCCACCAGCATCCCGTATTTGGGTCTGCTGCTGCAATAACAGACTCGGATAGCTGAGTTAATCTGCGCCGTAGATAGGTTGATAATCGCGCTGGAAAGGAAGATGATATCTCAAGACTATCAACGAGTGTCATAAGGTACCAACCTAAAGAACGATCCCATACGATTGGACTCGCACCGGTGATTGAGTTTGCCCAAGCCGCAGTCTTCGAAGAATCATAGCCGTGGACAAGAAGATTCGAGCTATTCTGATAGCAGTGTGTCCAGAGGAGGTCGAGTTGATGAATGACATCGTCTGCGACACTGCTGTTGCAAGGGTCGAAGCGAGAAGTGTATGATAAAAGGAACGGGATAAGAGAGTACATTCCATCGAGATAGCTCCAGTTTGGATACTTATAGTACCAATAACCACGGAGTGAGTTCTTAGGTTGGATATCGATGGATTCTCGTAAGGAGTGGAGACCTTCCAAGGCCTTCGTATTCTTGAATGTGTCATATTGATGTAAAAGCCCTCTGCCAGTGGATAACCGGTCAAGAGGGTAGCTGGTGTCCTGTGTCGCGTTCAGGAGAAATGGCGCGATACTATTTGTACTCGCGTTCAAATAGTCTTCCCAGTTACTCTCTGCGCAGACTGACTCAGGAGTGCTGTAATAGCCTATTAAGCGGAGGACGGAAGATTGGAAGAATCCCACTTGGAGATAAGTCGACGGTGATGGGCTGGAGCCATCTGGGACAATTGCTTGGTCGCGAGAGATGACACTATCGGCCATCCAAGCGGAGTATGGGCGGTTGCAAGCATAAACATTTCCCACTGATATCAATGCCAAGATAATATTCAGGGTCGTTAAATACATTGTGACTACTCGTAGGCGTGGTCAGTCAAGTAAAAGCCATGGGAATTTATCTGACGAACGTGTTTTTCACGCGTTGTCAATCGCTGTTGTCGATCGCCTTTGCCGATCTTTGCTGTAGACGGTTAGCACGCTTATTGTTTGTTTGATCTGTCTGCACCCAGCCACCTGTAAAGACATACGACCTGGTCTACAGAGTGCTTCGTATAGGAAGGGGCGCCAGCTGGTGGCTCTTCGATCTTTCTGCTCCAAGATGCAAGTCGGATTGTCGGATGAAACACTTTCTGTGAGTATTTCGCAGGTGATGGTGAGATTCCACAATTGTTATGATCCGCCCCGCTCCGATCCCGGTGCCTTGCAAGGCTCCGTTCAGCATTGTTCGAAACAAAGTCACACTTTGTGGGACTTGTTTACGACTTTTTTACTAAACAAACCCAGATTATTACAAACGAACATACACGGAAAATATCCCCCCACTCATCGAATTGAGGGTTGCCTGATTCATTTGTGATCCAACGAATTGTCGAATATGGCCCGCGCTCAGAGTGATCACCGGCATTCCCATACCAGGGCAGTCTAACATGCTTGTGGAGCATGATCTCAATACCCACCAGTCACGATATCAGTCCAAGGAACGTGGATATAGCTTCGGCTCCAATTTGCCTTCTTTTTTCGCTTTGTCACTCATTATCCACCGACTATGCAGAGGGCGATTACTATGAGATATTAACTTCAGCCTACATTTTCTTTGTACATGTATAAATCTCCAGGATTGTTGCAAAATTTCATACAAGTTCTTTTGATGTGATTGACTCCTTAAACAAATATTTATTTTCTATGCCCTACTAGTAATAACTTGAGCAACTTCAAGTTAACCTTAGACGCTGTATTAAGCATCAACAGGGCGGAATTGTATATGGCACGAACTTGAAGTCACAATTTTTAGGTAACAAACCAACAACAAAAACCGTAGACTAAAAGACATCATCACCTAAAAGTTCAAAATTTCCATTCCAAAATTTTCCTTCAAGCACCTGTGCATTTTATTCAAGTTCAGTGGACTTAAATCTAGCAACCTCCTTGCGCACATTGATCTTCTTCTTCTTTGTAGGCGGGTACTTGAAGTCAACTCTGCGTTCGAACACCATAACACAGTCAGAACCACCAAACTGGAAGTAAGAAATATTCTGTCCTTTTTGAACATGTTGACCTTCTTTGACACAAAGAACCACAGATGATACCTGGGCCATTCCAATAGGCAGAATAGCAACCTTGCCATACTTCTCGGTTTGGATCACAACCAACCCGCGGGTCTGACACCATTGATAACCAGGGTCATCCGGGGCATCCAGGTCTTCTTTCAATGCCTGGTCGCCGCCCACCTCTGAGTCCCCGTCACCTCCTTGTCCATCAGACTCGTACTCGACTCGCACACCTCGCCGGCGCTGAACTTCCGCTGGAGCCCGAACCATAGCACGATCCGCATACAGCTTGCCTGTGGTAGTGTTTGTCGCTACCTGGAGGTAGACTTGATTTTGAATTACTCTTGCTTCAATTACCTCTCCACTCACTGGGGAATGTTGGCGATGATAGTCTGTGGGCCCCAAGAAGGAATGAGTGAAGTGGCCCTCATCCCAAGTAGTTGACTCTGTCCTCAGTAAGTCCTTGATAGGCCACTTGTAGCCTATTCCCTTGATCGTGAGCGTGAGATCAATTTTTCCGTTCTTGATTGGCCAGTTTCCATCGTGAACAGAGTCCGCTGGCATGACAATCACTTTGTCATCGTCAGGACTATCGAGAGGACGTGCGGCCTCAATATTCTTCCAGGAACGGGAGAACCAATCATTGAAGGATTTCCAACCACCTTTTGGTTGTTCCCATAGTGGTGCCTCGGGATTGTATTTGGTGTTCAAGTATAGAGTGTAAATCGCTCCACCTGATGCGGGGGTGTTTAAGAATTGGCCCTGTTGGCGTGCGAACGAAACTAGCCAGTATGAAAGCCATGAAAGATCGATGTTGGATGTCTCTGGCGAGATGGGAGTTTGCAAATCCAAGATGGTAGGCTGATCAAAGACCCAGTAGAATACTAGGATCTTACGCAATAGTGCGTCTCCAGTGGTTTTTACGGTTGGAATCCAGCGTAGAAGCTCGTCGCAGTATTTTAGATACCCATTGAGATCTTTTATTCCTTCTGCTTCCATGTCATCCTGTCCATTCTCAATGGCCGAAGCAACTGCTGCATTGAATTTTCCCAGTCGAGTCTTGTTACGGCATATGAAGTCCTTAAGGTCAAGGACAAGTGCCTCCTGCGGGGCATAAGTCGGTTCGGTTGAGTTGCTCATATTGCGCGCGTTTTCAGGATCAGATGAAATTAGATGTAATGAGTGTCGATGGTATAGTCTTCAGTGAGTCTTCTTTTTGAATACCGAGACATCCCAGGTATTTAAGTATCTATCCCCGGCAGTGCCAGAAATATCAGGTCTATGTGTATATCATGATGTTATTGGCATCCACTCAAGTGGCACAAATCACAAATGACCCAAGGGTATATCCAAATGTGACGTTAACTATGAACACGACCGGTACCAGCAGTTGATGGCCTCTTAATCTCCTGGTTCTAAACGTCACTTCGATATTATTTGAAACTATGGTTTGGTGTATGATGAGTTTAAAATCCTGTTTAATGTCGTTGTATGATGCTTCAAATCTTGTGATAATGAGTGTGGTTTGTGGACCACCCCACATCGCTTTTAAGGGATTAGATTTAGATATGAAAACAGTCTTAATAGATAGGAGTATCTAAATTATAATTATATCAATGACGTTGATGAAGATTCTTACTCTAGAAGTGATATTCATAAAGTTCATGTTGTAGCATTCAGATGTTAAGTCATTGTTTCGGGCTCTATCTCGTCTCATACGTTCACTGGTTTCCGATTGGTACTCCAATATTCATTTTATCCTTTGGCCTAACGTCGGTGATTCAAGAGTCGTAATCGAAATAATGAAACGACATAAGTTGGGCGGTAATAATAGTCGCAGCTTATGAACTATGCTAGTCCCGGGTAGTTCTGGTCATGGTATGCCGGTCCATCCAATATTTCATACTCGGTGCCCGCGCTTTTACGCGAATGATCAAGTTCTCCTCTTGGAATAACAGTTCATGTCGCCCACGTAGGTAAAAGTGGATACAGTCAACCTTGGAATCCTGAAGTTAAAGCATTGAGCATTCTTGCTCCTCCCCGGTATTTGCCTTCTTGCTTTGTCACCTGGGCACCTCGACATTAAACCTAAAGCCATTGCTCTTGATGATTAATTCATGATCATGGGTACTAACCATCCCTTAATTCGTGCTCCCGGTCGCTATGAATTGAGAACGAGACGCTGTGACAGGCGGCAGCTGTAATATGGAGCAAAGATGATAGGGGGCAGAGCAACGTCAATGAATAGGCATGGTTCCTTATACGAAATGTGTTGAAGTCATTCATTTTCAAGGATGACAGTTGCATGCAAAATTCTCATGGTATCGGGATTAGACATTGACGTTCACGGCTTACGCCACGGGGTTCGGCTCGAGCCGATTCCAAGATCCCGTACCCGAGGCCCCACATGAAGTATAATGGAAGCTTGGATTACTCGATAGTAGACTTCAGAGTGGAGTTAGAGTTTTTGGGAGGGGGGTCTCCGGTAGTCATTATCAGTGTATCCCAACTAATCTAAATCTCGAACCTTGGAAAATAGTACCCAGACAATTTCATCATTGACGTATTCATAATTTGCCATCTCTTGTGACTCAATCAGTGTGCTAACCATTGCCACATTATTCACTGACAGAGCCCGACATTGCTACCGGCTTTCGAGAAACGCCGCCTTTCATCTGCATTTCATAAGGGTCATAAGGCGCAGAAGGTTCCTGTTGAGCAGTCGCTGGCCCCAATGGAACAGCACTATACTTCTTGCGTCGGTAGAAGCAACTATATATCAAGATAACAGGTTAGTAACTGTCAAGAGTGATCTGGTAGATACAAGGGAGGTATACTGACGTGGCAACTATAATCAACGCAGCAAGTATTGGAACTCCCAATCCGACACATAGTCCAATGATAAGCTTTTTGTGGTCCGAGCCACCACTCGATGAAGCTGAATAGGGCGTTGGTGTGCCCGAACTGGCACCCAGCCGAGCGGCATTGCTACCAAACGTAATGGTGCTGGTGACCGACGAGTATGTGTTTGTTGGAGTGATTGTTGAACCTGACTGAACCGTGAGCACGGATGTCACCGTAGCTACAGTTGTACTGGTGGTTTGTAGACTGGCAGGGCAGTTGACCACGTCTGTGGAGCTGCATTGAATGATCGTATAGGTCTTTTCCATGGATGTAGTGACTGTACTGTCATCGTCATTTGAATCCCTTGCAGTAATCTGAGCACTGGTGGCTGCAGTAGATGTCGTTTTACTTTCTGCACAGGTACTAGATGTAGTGTGCCATACTGGAACTGTCGTGAAAACATCAGGACCCCATGAGTGGGAATCGGCAGCAACAGTCGCACCGGCTCCTGCGCCAACGGCAAATGTGTATTCAAGGCTAGCTTTCAAATCGCAGTTACTTGTTGCGTCGGTCTTAGTGTCATTGAGTGCCATTTTAACATCCGCAACGTAGGCAAAGATGTCAGCTTCAACGCCAACGCTAAAGCCGTCAAATACCTCGCTGACAACTTTAGGCACGTCAATATTGACTTCAAAGCCTACACTGGCTTTTAATCTCAAAACGGCTCTCAAGTAACCTCCCTTTGTCTCGATTGTTATGGGAAGAAATTCGTATTGGCCACCGGGGCTGTGAAAGGTATCTTTAGTCAAGAACATCATGATGGCAATCAATCGTTTCATTTTAACAGAACTTACATTGTGATACTTGAAAGATCGGTCTCAAACATATCAAGATCAAAAGTAACCCCATCCTCGAGTTTTATATGGATACCACTTTCAACATCAATCTCGGCGTCTGCAAGCAAAATGAGATCAATGCTAAAGATCACACCGACTTGAACGTCGTCGTTCAAAAGAGAGAACCCTGCAGGTGTCTCAGATGTGTAAAGATTGATTGTGTGAGAATATCCAGGTAGTTTGGTGTCAATATTCAGATATAATTCCAGATTGTCAAACTCCAAGTGAATGTGTGCATCTTTGAAGCTGGTGATGTTGTCAATATTAAAGTTAATATCCGGAGTCGGCCAGACTATATCATCGTCTCCAGATGTGATAGCGCTTTTGATCTCATCCTCAATGTTATCCACGTATTTTTCCAAGACATCAACGGCTTCACGAGCTGTTGTCTTAACCTCTCCCTCTATTCCATCAACTGCTTCGGTGAAGTTGAAACCATCGGCAAAGGTCAGCTCGCCGCGAACGGTGCCGGTAACATAACAGGTAGAACAAATGACCTCAGTTGCCACGTTGAGATCAGTGCTACAGAATCGGTGTTAGAATCAATTGTAGAAATGTGAGGTCATGATAATCACACCTAACGCCACCGCTATATAGAGTAGCATCGGACCACGTCTTTCCAAAAGATGTTGTATTCATTGTGTAAGAACTGCCCGTGTCGCGGGATTGTAGTCTTTCTTTATTCAGAGCCCTTCGCAATGCATTGAAGGTGTCTGCGTCGGTCGTTCCGGGCGCATTTCTTGTTCGAAACGCGACATTGTCTGATGGAATGGTCGTTCCGACGACAAAGGTAGGAATAAAAGATAGCAGACTCAAGAGAGTAGGGGATCTCATTTTGGAGGCTTTGCACTTTCAATCCACTCGTCTGCATACACAAAAGAGAACAAGAAGTTTTCCGGATCTGTGAAGGGTATAAATGCCCATAAGGCTCGCGCTCCCAGACCTTTTTTTTCTTATTTTCTGCGGCTCTAAGCCAGGTCTGAATTAGCCCTAGAATCTTTCCCTGATTTAGTCAGATGCATGTTGGGTGAGGCTGTGGAGTGACAGCGAGAAGGCTGGGGGCCAACTTGAACGCTAACAACAGCCCGCAGAGTAAACGAGGACGAACCATATTACCGGTGTGTGCAGAATTTATACGGGGTCCCACCTCTAGCTCCGTCTCACAGGCACATAGTCAAACATTTCAAATTCAATCGGGTTCCACTCTTGACCGATATGCTTCCAGAGCTCCGTGGGTCAAAACTCGCAAATGTTAAAGTGAGGCTCCCCAGGCCGAATCGTCCAGTTTAGCCCCAGGTGCACTGGGCTGAAGCTCGAGCATATATGCAAACACCTGGAGTTAATGCCCCGTTAAGCTGAGATTCACCAAGCTGATCCATAAATAGTCCGTCACGCGGGATTAATCTACCGGTAGGCTCGCAGGGCTAACTACTAGTAGTAAAATTACTACCCATGCCCGACGCTAATGCACTACCCGACGCTAATGCACCTCCCGAGGTCGAAGTTTGGCCGTCCAGTACGGACTAGTACATTTACGGAGCATGTACATTGAATTTACAGATATTCAAAGATCATCAATTGGAATATGATTGTCCCATAAGTGCTTACTATTTTAACCACAGCCGCATTTGCGTATCTGGGGCTAATGGTCCTGCTTAATTTAGGATACGAGGAAATTCAGCAGATTTGCATGGAGCAGCGCATGGAGGCATATAGTCGCCAGTGGAAAAAACACCCTTAGCTCTAGTACTAGTATACCGCCTACTATACTGATATCATCCGTACTTTAACTTGAAACCCTATATATATGGAAAGACACCTGGGCAATTAGAATGACAGTTAGAAAGACAAATAGGTAGGAAGATGAATAGAGAAGTATCTTTTATCTAGATATTTTAAATTATACTGTTAAATTTGTATACAAAGAAAGAAGGTTTTTTTTCAAAGATTTATGTTAAGACAACCCCTAGGTTTGAAGCTTAACTTGGCGATATGGTCTCCAGGCGATGGCGTGTTAGTATATTACCGGTATTATGGTTTTCTGCTGGAGGACTTTTTCCCTTTGGGCGCTATGGTCGTTAATGCGTATAGTATCTATAGTACTTTTTGGCCAGCGACTAGAGAAGAATTCCCACCAATCATTGTGCGATGATGTATTTTCCAGAATTCCCAGAATGCCGGGTCATTAGCTCTGGATAAGCAAGGAAAAGGGGTTTGATCAACTCGGTTGGGCTTTTTTTCTTCATCTTTGTAGCCAAAGGAGCACAAGTCTGAACATTCTTGAATCAAAATCCAAAATTCATAGTCTATAATAACCATGCATGTGTACGGAGTACCCTCCACTGTATGCATGGGTGCTGGAGAACATAACCACATGGCCATGCGCGAACTGGGTCTCCACCTTGCAGGATTGTCCGTGCCGATTGAACATGGGCTGATCAAGTCCAACCGTAATTTCTCGTTGATAGTCCAGACAAGCACATTCGAGGCATGGTAATCAGGTGGTACATCATTCGCTCAAACCACAGCCAACGGTTGGGACATCTCATCAAACCCTCGGGCGCATAACTAGTATGGACGAGGGAATAAGCCGACAAAGGAAGAGAGGCCGAGTACAAAACTAGCCCCCACGCACTAACAATAAAGGCGCAGGTGCCAGGCTATTAGCCAGTCAGATCAAATGGAGAATCTGCTCCAGTTATGCTCCATCCATGTTTCCTTTATACACGGATCTCGGCGGTCTACGGGAGCAAGGACCTTTGACTTATCGCGTAATTTAGTTGTTTTTTCTTGCTTTTAAAGAAGCATGGGCACACGTGGAGTTTAGTTCGGTGGAGAACAAAGAACAGCTGTCGAAGTCCCCACCTGTCTTCCCCGCCGCTCTTTGCACCATTAAACCCGGAGACCCCGCTCACGTCCTTGTCAGAGACTTTCCCCTTAACGGTGATCCAGCGACAGGGATCTTTTCTACTCTGTTTGGTTGTTTCAGCCACCTTGGGAAAATTAGCAGCAATCCGTCGCGAAATCTCCAGCCATGTCGCAGGAAAAAGAAAAAGAAAAACAAATTGCGGTTGTGAGTGCGCGACCGGTCCACAACCCGCCATAAGGGGAACAGTCGGCTTATCACGCGTATTTCTAGGATCCTGATCTCTACGCGCTCAATGCCGCATATGGAGTCGACGATAACCAGTCGTAAGAAATGCCCAGAGACTTATTCTCGCGGGGGAGCATGGCTAAGACTGATTTTGCAGAGAGACCACCTCCTTGGCCTCATCGATCTATCGCGGAGTGATGGAAAATGGGCGCCGGTATGGATCCATGCAGGTTCCGCTGATCTTCGATAAACTAATAAGTTTTGGCCCCATATAGATACCAGACTATCAGAGAAGGCGAATACTGGTATGTGAGGAGATCCACAGGCATACAGAAAAGCCATGGACAACGGGACAGTGATACTCACTAAATTAGGGGCCCATCTGATGAGCAACAATTCGAAACTTTGGAAGCAGGGTGATTTTAACGTCTTTTTCCATCCTGAAAGTCTCTATACTCACCTCATCCAGTCATTTAGTGTGTTTGGTTACGGACTCTGATGCTCCGAATCCCCTTTTCCGCGCACCAGTAAAAGATCCAAAGGTAAAATTATAATTCGGCAAATCAAATTCTCTAAACTAACAATCCCGATAGCGCGTCCTTGACATTGGAACCGGTCAAGGAAGCTGGGCTGTGTAAGTTCAACTCTTCGCATATTCATGGGCATCACTAATGCAACCTGCAGTGATACGGCAGACATGTTCCCAAATTGTATTCATCCCCCTTGAGAACTATAGATCAGATCAATTGCTAACCGAAAATAGCCACGGTCTACGGAGTTGATCTCTACCCTCCTCCAGTCACTTGGATGCCCCCTAACTGTATCCTAGAAGTGGATGATGTTCTCCAAGAATGGACTTGGCGTGAGCCATTTGATTTCATCCACATGCGCCTGATGCTGGGTGCTTTCTCTGCCCAGGAATGGGACGGGGTTTATAAACAGTGCTATGACAATCTGGAGCCCGGTGGCTGGTTCGAGCAACTAGAGGGTGGATGTACGGTTCACTGCGATGATGGCAGTCTGCCCAAGGACAGCATCCTTGGTCAATGGGGTAAAAATATTTGCGCCGCTGCCAACAACGCCGGAAAGCCACTGGAAACACTTGATACTATGGGCCAAGAGATTGCGAAGGCTGGATTCGTTGATCTTCATGAGAAGGTATACAAGTGGCCTATTGGGCCATGGCCACGAGATCCTGTTCTCAAGGAGTCGGGACGTCTAAGCTATCACATGTGGAGGACTGGTGTGGATGGATGGGCAATGTTTCTGCTTACGAAGTACGGCATGCCCGAACCGTGGAGTAGGGAGGAAGTTCAGGTCTATGTCGCGAAGGCCCGGAGTGACTTGCAAAACCCCAATTACCATGGTTATATTTTTGCGTAAGTTGAAGAAGGAAAACGTCAGGGTCTACCGAAGTAAATATGCTGACCTTCATCTAGGCGTCGTATCTGGGGTCGCAAGCCAACACTGGAGGAGGTGGCTGCCAAGAATGCCAAAGAAGATAAGGAGGCTCAAGAAGCTAAAGAAGCAAAGGAAGCTCAGGGATTCAAAGGAAGCAAAAGAGAGCCTCTCTCGCCTCTATCACCACCGACATCGACATCATCAACTCGCAGACAATAACCTTGTGGACGCTGAGGTTTGGGGTTCAACAGAAACAAATTGACTACATCATACAAGCGACGTGGAATGAATGTCAATTTTTCAACCACAATTCATGAAAGTGCTAAAGTCTAAGCAGCGACTGCTAAATTGAATGCACCAAGGTAAATGATTCGAAGTGTCTATCAAATATCCTGTACAAATCCTGTTGCCAGTTACGAATGCTTCCCTTTCCTCATATCTTCTAACTATACGATGGACTCGAATGAGGTTTAATATTTATCAAATCATATACCATTGCCAAAAGAAATTTTCTCATAGCACCGTTTGAGTGCTTGAAAACTTGAATGTGCTTGCTTCACTAGTAGGTGTCGTTGGAAGTATAATCCTCGTGAGGTGCGAACTTCAATTCGCCTGCACCGACATCGAAAACTGTTACGACATTCTTCTGGAAAGTATCGCCCAGAATATACACGTCCTCCGAAGCATCATCTCCACCATCATCGATCCCTGAAATACAAACATCGTTGCCTTCATCATCTGTGCCTGCATACAGAATCATGTCCAATGGGTTGATTTTGAATGTGGTGCCACTAATGGTAATGCCGTGGGTAGGAGCAGTTGCATTACAATCAACGATATAGGCACCTTCGTCATCGCTATAAGTAGCTGGTGGGTCAAATGCTGCATTCACAGCGTTCGCAATGCTGGTTGGGTAGTAATTCAGAGTCGTGCCCGAGTCAACCTAACGTTGTTAGTATATTCAAGTTTTCCTCATATCAAAGTTCATCGGTCCATGGCTAGCACGGTTAAAAATGACCTACAATATATTGAATATCTGAGCCTCCTGAGCTAGAAACAGCCTTGCCATTCAATGTCACGGCATCGATGTTGATCGTGTAAAAGTCGTATGAGTCTGCGTATCCATCGATTGAAGTGACGAGGATATCAGTGCTAGTAAAGGTCTCCTCGAAATCGATGGGAGGAAGGCCACCAAGAGTTAGGTAACCAGCAGCGCCCGAGATATCCCGAAGAATTGCGAGACTGAAATAAGAATCAATCAAGCCCTCCTTGTACATGGTAGTGAAGATCGGGTTGTATTCTTCCTGGTCATCGGTGCTGTCGGAATAAGCACTGGTTCTGTAAAATTGTCAGTGAGAGTGCGGTATTGAAAGGATTCATAATATTGTTTACAGAGCAGGGTATGCCAATCCAGTTAGTCCAGATGTGGTTCCATCTCCTTCCCAGGCGGCTTGATTGACAATGGCCACCTCTTGCTCGACCATGATACCGGCCAGCGTGACCGACTCCTTACCCATATATCCGTATAAGTACTCACCGTCTCCATACTCAATACTGAATTCTTCTCCGCTGATTTCCTTGAATGATTTATCCACGGTATAGGTGCTAGAGCCGAATGCACACTCTGACTCGGTTGTCTTGTTTCCGGTTGCAAGATCCAGACACTCAAATCCCGTTTCGACTACCCACGTATCGCTGGATCCCGTATCAACAATGACATCAAAAGTTTGAGTACCAAACGTAATTGAAGTGGCATATTCTTCGCCTTCAAACAGAGAGGTAAGACCGCTGGTGCCGGAACGTTTGTGTGATCCTTTGCCAGTCAAGCCCTTAAGGTAGGCTGCGCTACGAGGGTTTGCGCGAGTTGTGTTGAGCTTATTCAAGCTCAAAGATTGAGATGACTTGGCAGAAGAAGTCCGAGAATAAACGGATGTAGTGGGTTTCCATGTTCTGATGTTCATGCCAGCACTGCGGCCCTCCACAGTGTGTCTAGCCTGACGATGGGCAGGGGCAGCATCTGCCGTTGCGGCCAGAAGGTTGAGTACCACAGCACTCACAGCAAATAACATTTTATAGGAGACAATTGAACGAAGTTGAGAATAATGAAAGTCAATTTTGATTCAATTCTATCGGCGTGGGGAGACTTTTTAAATACTACAGCGCACTTGTTCTTCACGGAGAACTCGCGCGGGGTTTTTGCAATCCCTAAGGATATTGCATCAAATGTGGCGCTTTTTCCTTTCTGCAGAATCCAGTATCGTATATATGGCTTGGAATTGTAGATATGATTAGATCCTCGTTTGCCAATGAGATTTACTTCCGGGTACTGAAGTTGTTGGAGTCATTAAACTAGTACGCTTAGTGTAGGTCCTATGATTGCCCTCTGCATCAGTCCCGACGGAACTCCGCAATAGCGTCCTCGCTTAAGATTGGAGTATCTGCATAGTAAAATTGTTGTTTTCTCTGACCAAGACTTTCAAATAATTATAGTGACAAGAACAATCGCCTTTGTATATTTGGCTTTGTTAAGAGTTGCATACTTTTATGCAGTTAATGTAGTATACATGGGATAGTCAGGGGGGGGGGGGGGGGGGATCTTGTTACAAAACAACCTTGTCTGACAAGCTTTCAGGGTTACATTCAGGGTGGATTGCATAAGTTCCGGGGAAATTGCAGCTTTCAGTTTTATCTCGCTATTGGTAAACAGGGAATTCGTTGTTCGGCTAGTGTGATTTAGTGGATTACGCGCGTCTGTGAATGATAAGGGAGAGTCCCGAACGTTCCTCCAATCAACCTGGTATGGACGCATTTCAACATTGAAAGCTCTACCACTCATTCAATCTCTGATTGGTCTGATCAGAGAGCTGGCAAATTAGACAAACACACGCCCAGTACGAGCGCCTCAATGTAGCTACACTATACGGCGGTCGAGCGCAAAATAATACATTGTCATATTCGCTTAGCAGTGGCCGACCGGTCATTATTACCTCAAAGATCAGAAGATTTAATAAACTTGAACTTGACCCTCGATTAGTATCATTACATATACTAATCTCCTGGGGTCTAATCACCGCGAGCCCCAACCGAAAGGAATCACCGGCAAATCAGCAAAAGTATTCGAGTCGTCAGAGATAATTATGTTACTCTAGGCCGATCATATCCTCAATTAGGTCATTCAGCAGCAATATTTCTACGAAAAGAGGATTCCTTTCGCCATCTCTCAACTTCGAACCGATAAGGAGGTTCCCACCATCACCAAGCAGTTTGATGGTGGCCAATGCCGAATTTTCAAGGCAGATTTTGTGGACGGCGAGAGCTGGGCTGTACGAGTGCCACTTTTCGTCCGTCATGCTTCACAAGACGTTGACATTCATATTGTTGAGTCCGAGGCGCGCGTTCTTAAAGAACTTGAAATAAAAGGTTTCAGGTGGGCTGTGAAGCTCCGGGGCTGCAGTCTTACTTTCGATAATACCGTCGGACACCCCTTCATTGCATTAACATGAATTTCAGGTAGTCAGCTTTCGTGGTCTGATCACTTCCCGACACGATCTCTTCGGGAAAAAAAAGTCCTGAGCCAAGTTGCGGAAATACATGCGTCCCTAATCGAATGCACTGAGGAGATCAGTAGTGATATGGGGGCCGTGGGGGCGGTACGGGAGTGGGAAAACGGATCTCCGTTCCCGCTCGCTTTCCTTTTCCCACCTTCAACCTAACTTGAGGATTGGCATCAGTAATGACTTAGGCCCAATCGGATTACAGTCCGTCTTGATAATCCTACGCCTCTTTCGATTTCTATTGCCCCGGACTACGATCCTTCCCACTTGTAACTCAAACGCTGGTGGGGATCAGACTCTACCGTGCTCCGCTCGTCAATGGAGGACCTTAGTGGAGCCCGCATGCCCAAGGCATGTAGAACCTGTGCCAAGGCGAAGGTCCGATGCGAGCCACAGTCAGATGGTATTTGCAAAAGGTCAGTATTGCCTAATCGGGCTGCACTTTATATCAACTAATAGTCTGTAGGTGTCACCGATTGAATAAGGATTGCAGCGACCAGGCACCAGGATCCCATCGTCGCCAAAAGGGCAACAAAACTAACATGTAAGTCTTGCATGTTTCATGGTCGCATCAGTATCCATTGGGTCAATGTTGATTGTATATAAAGTGAAGTCAGTGCATTGGAAGCGAAACTGGACCGCATGGTCGCACTGCTTGCAGCATCGGAACGATCCAGCAAGGATCCCCAATCTAACCCCAGCCACTCGCCAGACCCATCATCTTCGATAAACCATGATGACAGCAATGTGCCGAGTCATCAAGAAGGCGAAGCTTTCATAGATGTATTCAGAAACAGGATGACTCCCTTATTTCCATTCATTGCGATACCCCCGAATCTCACTGCGGAACAACTACGTCGAGAGAAGCCATTCCTCTATTTGAATATCACCATGGTCGCCTGTCACGACTCGGCACGCCAACGTAACATTGTGAAAGTAATAAAGCAATATGTCGCAGAACATATAGTGTCCGAGGGTCAACATAATATGGATCTTTTGCAGGGTCTCCTTATTCATCTGGCTTGGTTCATTTCGGTTCCTCGCATGCCACCAAATAGCCCACGATCGGCAGATCCGCTCTGTTCGACAAACATCGACGGTGAGCATCAAGTTCAGGCTCAGCTAAGTGGGCAGCTTGATGTAATCCTACAGCTGGCCGTGGCGCAAGTCGTCAGTCTCAACCTAAACCAAGGATTATCAGCTTTGAAAAGTATGGATCGACCATTATCTTACTTTCGAGGCACCGACTTTCTACCAAATCAGATCCCCCCTCGTACTTTAGAAGAGCGTCGGGCTTATTTAGGATGCTACTACGTCACCGTAATGTACGTACATCTATACACCTCCCTTACTCTTTCAGGACAATTGTGATTCTATAGCTAACTGGCCGCGCTCTCAGGTTGGCCTCGTGTGTAAGAAATGTTGGCGCAATGCGCTTCACCAAATATACTCACGAATGCTGTGAAGAGCTTCTCAGAGCTTCAGAGTTTTCTACTGACCCCTATCTCGTCCAACTGGTCCGAGTGATGCAGCTAGCCGACAAGGTCTCCCGTGCTATGTCTCTCAACGAATTCGAATCTTTTACTAGTATCTCTGCGCCATTAGGACTAACAATACGGTCTTACGAAGCAGAGCTTCAGCAGCTCAAAAACTCCTTCTCAAGTGAGCTTCCATATTCAAGTAAGCTATCAACATATTCCTGTCCAGGAACTTTCAAATGATGAATGTCACTAATTTTAATACTGTAGTTTTCTTGTCTTTTCACTATAACACAATTGAGATTATTCTCTATCGGATAGCATTGAATGAAGAAGTCTCAGACCCTCAGTATGGAGACTATTCAACGACCAGATTAGATCTTCTCTTCCGCTGCTTGGAATCAGCGAAGTCCTTCTTTCGTGATCTCCATCCCCTGCCACCGGGCTATCTTCTTTTCTTTCCGTTCACGTTCTGGTGTCAATTTGGTCAAGCACTGATCACATTGTCCCGCATGGCCCTTTTTCAAGGTGAAAGTATCGGCTGGGATCAAGCCTATGCTCGAGGAAGCATCAACATCAATCAACTGGCTGAATTAACGACGCAAAAGTTGAACGACGCCTATGTTATCTTCTTGAAAGAATATCCAACTATCCGTTCTTCAGATGAGCGGCCTGAGATCCTTAAAAGGCTAGTGATTAGAATGTCATTTATTAAAGAGGTGCATCGAAAGAGGCAGGAGGCTCAGGCGAAGGCCAATTTGCAAATACCGCAAGACCCGCCAGATTTGAGCTTTTTAATGGACATGCCAATTGATGCATATTTTCCGTATGGAAATTACGGCGAAATGCCGACTGCATTTATTCCTATGGACTATTCTTGATGTGGTCGGGTCCCGACCAGTTCCTATTGCGCCCCGTCGGGCCCGACTCCGTTCCTCCGATTCATGGCTACGATGTACTACATACTGAAAACTCAGAGCTCCGCCCCAAAGACAGGCACATATAAAGCGAGATCAATTCTCTGGATCTCACAATGCATCAACTTTCTTCTTCAGAGTCTTCCCTCTCTTGATCCGTGTGGAGTTTTGTTATCTCGTTCTTCAAATCCCCTCACTATGTTGCCTTACTCGAACCCCGAGACCACGGCTCACCCGTCGCCCACTCAAGCTTCTTGTGAAAAGCTCCCTGATAGATTTCCTTTGTCCGGAATATCCGTTCTGATTGCCGGTGGGGGTGTCGCTGGCCTACTGGCAGCTCTAGAATGCTGGCGCAAAGGCCATAACGTGCGAATTGTCGAAAGAAGTCCATCCCGACTGTTATCAGGTATAATAAAAAATAATCCAAAGAAATATATTACAGTTTTTTCCTAACTCACCTGAATGCAGGTGATGGCTTTACTATTGGCCCAAGTGGACTCCTGGTCCTCGAGAAATGGCCAGAAATGTCAAAGGAGAACGAACGCATCTCTTACGAGTCTTGGCTCTCGTGGCATAAAATCACCGGAGAAATGATTAAAGAGGCTGTGCCTTTTCAATTGAACCCATCCAAGGCTCATAACAGCGAAAGCTCTAGCAACAAGGAAACCCCCACAGTATACAGACACAGCCGTCCAAAGATGCATCAGATGCTATCCGATCAACTCGCCCGTGTCGGAATTGCGGTGGAATATGGAAAGCGGGTTGTCGATTATCACGAGGATAGTTTCTCTGGCAAAGCTGGGGTTATTCTGGACAGCGGTGAGAAGCTTGAGGCCGATGTGGTTGTCGCCGCCGACGGTGTTGGTAGCAAATCGTCTCGTGTAGTACTAGGCCAGGAGGTCCGAGCACGTCCAACGGGGTTTTCCATTTACAGAGCCGCATATCCACTTGATGAGACTCGTACATATCCTATGCTCGACGAAAAGTTCCCCCTCATGGAGAACGGAATTGCATCTGCGCAGCTATGGATGGGGTAGGTTTCAAGCTTTTAATTCGATGGGGATCTAATCAATATTTTATCTGTTGAACTAACTCCTTGACAGGGATGGTGTACATTCGGTTTTTGCAAGAACTACTGATGAAATATCATGGTTTCTTACGTATCCGGTAAATTTGAATCAACCCGAACCGCTCTTGTGAAAGGATGTACATTGATATCGACCTCAAGAACCATGGACATAGCGCCGAGTCTTGGTCTAATTTAGTTGATCCAGATACCGTTCTCCAGACAACGGCTACTATCGAAGGGTGGCCCGATTATGCTAATCGCCTAATCAAAGAAACACCAAAAGATCGAATCCATGACTACAAACTCGTGTGGCGCGAGCCCCAGCCTTCCTGGGCATCGCCGGGCGGACGGGTAATCCAAATCGGGGATGCAGCACATACTTTTTTCCCTTCGTCTGGCAATGGTGCCACGCAAGGAATGGAGGATGCGGTCTCATTGGCAGCATGCTTGCAGTTAGGAGGCAAAGATAATGTTCAATGGGCGACTCGTGTTCACAGCAAGCTCAGGTTAGTCACCCATGCCTCGATGAACTACCAAATAGAGCGGACTTTCTAATTGCTATCTCTTGTGGGGAACAGGGTCGAACGTGTTCACTGCCTCCAACTTCTAGGTGTTCTGAATCATGAAGTGCGTCATCTCTCTGCCAACGCTCAATCTTCGCAAGCGAAGCCTGTGGGATTACTCGGCGCATGGATCTGGAATCATAACCCAGAACAGTATGCGATCGACAATTATGACAACGCGCTGGCATTTCTGACTGATGCGCGCGCATTTTCAAATACAAACATTCCTCCTGGCTATGAGTATCAGCCCTGGACCATTGATGGTATATTGGAAGCTCGAAAGATGGGCAAGGAGATTGTCCTAGAAGGGGACTGGGAGTAACAAGAAATATGAACGATGACAGTCCTTCCAGTCACCTTGGAGAGGTCGCCATAGATAGAAGGGATAATACCATTACATAGTTTGATCGATCCTATTCCATCGTAAACTTGAAATGCCTTGAATCTTTGTGTCAGCAGATACCTCACTTTTCTAAATACAACTGAGAGGCCTTCGGGAGCTGCACTTCGCGCGACTTCACCGAGAGCCAGTTTTATTATTGCTTATTCTAACAAGATACTGGTCCCAGGTATGGCCTAACTGTAAGACCGTGAAAAGTATCACTGGCAGTAGTATTAAGCCGATCAGTAGTCGCTAGGAATATAGGTAGCTAAAGGTGCCAGAAATAAAGCCCTATAGAAAGTACATGGGTATAGACAAGTTGAAGAATATAGAAGGAGGAGTGGATATATCTGGGCCATGGAAGATAGGAGTAGGATAGCCACGGAAACGCCCCCTAGTTTAGTTCTTCGTATATGTGATGCATTGTTGAAGAACTTCGGTTCAAGGGGGTAAATGTCTAACTTATCCATTTTGACATCCATATATATTTATTCAGGCCGCAACTGGAGCTAAGCACGCATCTCCTAAGTACAATAAGAAGATTACTAGTCAAATCACAACTTTGAATGTCACGCTCGTTGAGCCCGTGCAAAAAAGATACTCTTCGAGTGACTCTTCCCGTCCATTTTGAACACCAATGGCTCGCTGATTGCCTCATACTTGAAGCCAACATCGAATCCAGCTTGTTGGAACAGATTCCGCATAGTCTCTTCAGAGAATCCCTGCGTACTGATTGTGTGGGCTGCATCGCCAAACTCATGTTTGGATGCCCCGTGGCCGTGATCGTGGCCATGGCCATGATCGTGAGCATGGCCTGGTTGCGGAACCAAGTCAATGATGAAGAGTGTGCCACCACTTTTCACTCGCTGGCCAAGTCGCTGTAGAGCGACGTCGGGATGCTCAAAGTGATGTAGAGCCATGCTGACTGCCACAATATCCATGTCCACGTACGGCGACTTGGTAAACTCACCTGGGACATTGTCCCCAAGAAGGTCAGCTACATGTCCGATCATTTTATCAGACAACTCAAGCGTAGCGGCGTTGCGATTAAATGCTTCCACCATTTTGTCGGCAACATCTATGCCGATAATTTCGGACAGGAAGGGCGCGAGGGCCTGTTGAATTTGAGATCTTATCAGCTCTGTCATCCATCTAAGGTGGGGGGAACCCGAGATACCACGTACCATCGAAATGACACCAGGTCCACAGGCATACTCGAGCATCCGGACTTTCTCATCGGGGTTGGTGATCGTGTCTGTCCATCGATCACTTATCCACAGCCGATGCTGCGAAGTCTGCTCAGCCACAACTTTTACGCCCTGGGCAAACTTCTCTTCATAGGTAGTGGCCATCTTACTAGAAGAAAGGCAAGTTAGCTTTTCTGAGCATCAGTACTGTGTCTCGATATCTCTTACTCGAAGTACTGGCGATTAGCCTCAGTGAAGTCCGTCATGTTGACTGTTGGAAATACTTGGTTTTCAAGAGAAAACTCGGTTGTGTTCCAAATTAAAATGGCTGAGAGGATTGAAATGATTGAGAATATGTTGAAGTTGGAGGACATTTGGCTAGCATCATCTGGTGCTTTTATGTCCTTAAATATCTGGGCTCGGAGACATCTCGGATACTTCTTGCACTCTAAATGGAGTCATAGCGGATATCATTTTGGGGCCTAAAAATTGAGTGGCTGAGCATAGAAGTGTCCAAGGAAACATACGAGCTCTTTCGGAGAGATGTTTGAGATTAGTCAAATGGGCGCCTTGATATTCCCAGGGTCAAGATCAGCTGAAATCTATGATATGGTGTTTTGCCTTTGGCTTAGCATCATAAGTTAGCTGAAACGCTTATAAATTGAATCTAGAAAAGAAACGAGATATTGGAAGTACACACATTGGTCTATGAACTTACTGAGCTTATTAATTTCTTTGTTCCCGAATCCCCATGTTGTTTCCTTCTCTAAAAACATAAGATTGTGATGAAATTCTGTACCCGTGGAAGTATAAGGTAGAGGCCATTTGTATCCGTAGATGCATCTAGAGAAGCTCCCTCTCACCGCCCTCAAGCTGCCGCCAAAAAGACATCATCACAGCTTCCCTTCGCCGCCCCATCACCCTCCCATTCTCCATTCCCTCCCCACATCTAACCCTTTCTCCCGTCATTGTGTCATTATCATCTTGATCGTCATTTTCTCCTGACCTGTATCATCGGTAAAGAACCATACTTCTCCGCCATGGAGTCCAAGATTCCCGATTTCCTCGCCGAACAGCAAGCAAATGGCACCCCCGAGACGCAAACCTACTTCCTCACCTTCGAAGACCTCTGGGAGCGAAAGCTATGGCATCAGCTCACAGACTCTCTAGTGGAGTTTTTCCGCTTGCCAGAGAGTGCACCACAGCGGTTAGCAATCTTCAAGAACTTCGTGCTTAGCTTTGCCGACCGAATCAACCAGCTCAAGTTCGTTGCGCTGGGATTGATGGCATCAACAGAATGTGCTGGTGAGTGATTTGTCGATACACGCTCTCGGATATATTTTGAATTCTTGCTGATGGCTTTCGCTGGGAATGACAGATGACAAAGAACGACTGGCTTTCCTCACATCCCTCGCGGATAAGGTTGACAAGCCCGAATCAAAAGATGCCTACGTGTATGCGCTCGCCGACGTTGCCAATGTGAAGCTACGACTACCAGATCTGGAGGGAGCACAGAATGACTTGGCTTCCTGCCAAAAGACTTTGGATACGTTTGACTCAGTTGAGACGGTTGTGCATGCGTCCTTCTACAAAGTAAACGCAGATTATTATCACGTACGTCACTCGGATTTCTTGGGGAGCAAGACTGGATGGTGCAAAGAAACAGCAACCAGAAGAAAAGAAACACTTGATAGAACGAACTAACAATATTTCAACAGTCTAAAGAAGAATTCGCCTCCTTCTACAAGAACGCCCTCCTCTACCTTGCCTGCATTGATCTCGAGGAACTTCCCGAATCCGAGCGTGTTTCCCGTGCCTACAATCTGAGCGTCGCTGCTCTTGTCTCCGACTCAATTTACAACTTCGGCGAGCTTCTACTGCATCCTATCCTAGACTCTCTGACCAAGACCCCGCATAACTGGCTCCGTGAACTGCTTTTTGCTTTCAACCGTGGCGATTTGACTGCCTACGACGTCCTTGCGGGTAACATCAGCAAGAACAAGTTGTTGGAGTCGCATCGAGTATTCCTGTACCAGAAGATCTCTCTCGCCGCCCTTACGGAGATGGTCTTCCGACGCCCTCCCCACGACCGCTCCCTCGCTTTCTCAGCAATCGCCTCAGAGACTAAGGTTCAAGCTGATGAGATCGAGCACCTGATCATGAAGGCTTTGTCACTTGGCCTGCTGCGTGGCTCAATCGACCAGGTTGCACAGGTGGCGCAGATTCACTGGGTTCAACCCAAGGTCTTGGATATGAAACAGATCGATGGAATGCGAAACAGACTGAAGGACTGGGATGCTGGTGTTAATCAGCTGGGACACTGGATTGAGGGTGTAGGCAAGGATGTCTGGGCCGCATAGACGGGTTCCCTGTGTCTTGGCTACTTTTGATCTACTATAATAAATCCACGGATAAATGAGCCAACTGAATTCCTGAGTGATATATGTCCTTTCATGTCTTTTGTATTACAGTATGTTTCGGAAATGGTGCAATCGTCCACCCTTCGAGTGATTCCCTAGCCCCACCGCCAAGAGACACCGGAACATCCATGTAGCATCGATATCGTGATTTACTCTTATTAAGATCTGACGCCGTAAGAACAGGTGTTGTTCCTTCCCCTGGGCCAGCACTCTTCGGCTCCGCAGCCAAACACCAGAGACACACCGTCTCCTATGGTAGTGGAATTCGAACCAGAAGATGTATTAGGCAAGACCACTCTGACGGCATCTCTATACTTCCTACCTGCCCCGATCTGCGGCTTATTGATGAACATTGCCATTGGCGCATTCCTACCGCACCTGCGGCCATCTATTGCGATCCCTGTCGCTTGGCTGTTGAGTGGCATCGCCCCATTGTTACTAGCCACATTGTGCCGTCTTGATGGGCCGGACTATTGGCGGGGTCCCTTCCAGACAATGGCCCTCAAGCGCGGACCTTATGTATACGATCGCCATTCTGGTAATGACAGCTGCATTTCCATCGAGAACACAGGCCCTAGCGGGTGGAGTCTTCAATATGTTATCGCAGATTGGCAAGAGCGTGGGGATCGACACGTCGGCGTTGATCGCGCAACAGATCACCTCTCAGGCCGCGAAATCGGACGATATGGAGAACCTGTTGCTCGGGTATAAGGCTGGCTGGCGATATATTTGTTCCTTGGGGTTTCTATGGGTTATTGTGAGTTTTTGGGGTCTGAGGAGTGTTCAGAAGGTGGATATTAAGAAAGACTAATACATGAGAATATTGAGAGAAATTATTTTCATAGTAGGTGGACCTGTTTCGGGATGTACTCTATGATAATGTAGACTGTACTTCACAATCGAGTGTATTTGCTCATTTGGCTAAGGACTCCCGACATGCATGTAGAAAAAATGAGAAAATGAAAACATGCTGAATGTAAACGGCTAAAATATCGAGGAACCCAATAGAACGCAGCCGATCAACCAAGCTGGCCACCAGACACACCATACAACAACCTGTGTCCACATCCCCCAAACATCCCAGCCATATGCTGCCTGTGTGAGCACAGTCTCCACAGATACGCCGGTATAGTGACACGCGGCCAGAAGAACGGCTGGTGGAGAGAGCAGGTTGAGCAATCCCAACCCAAGACCAGATAAAGCAAACCTTTGTGGATTGGAGCTGCTATCTGATCGGGTGATAAAGCTGAGTGGGGCACAGAGGAGCCCAATCGTCAGCGAGAGGGAGAAGTTCAATGTAGCTAGGGTCGAGAGGGATAATCCCAAGAGCAGCAATGCAAAGGACTTGATCAAGAGGTACTGCTGCGGCACAAGAGGTGTAGACAGGCCTAGCCCGTTAGAGAGGAGAGCAGCCAGGATTAAAGGGAGGACAATGTCTACAGCAACAAAGATGTAGGTAGCAGTAGTGAAAAACTATAAGAAAGGATTAGTAAAGCGTTCAGGAAGGAAATGGTTTCCGCGATTATGGTGGAACTTGATACTGACCTGATGGGGAATAGTGTTGAAGATATAGAGCGGGACAAGGCCAAGTAAATGAAGGCCTGTGACGAGTGTCAGAGGTAGCGCCAATAGACGCTCTGCAACCGCAGGTCCATTAAGCCCTACTGGCTTCCCCGATTTGGGGGTCACAGAAGCGGAACCCTTCTCCTTAGACTGAGAAGAGCCAGTGGATTTATCGGATATGGCATCCTCGTGGTAGCCCGTTCGCATCCAAAGAGCAATCGCCATAATCGTGAAGTTCCCAGCAATAAGCATGGCGCTAGGGAGGTAAGTCCCAATACTGACAAATCGATTAGACTGCATGAGGAGATAGAAAAAGAAACTCTGGTGCAGGTGCTCCAGGAGATTGTTCAAGCTACGGCACAGACTTTCAATTGTCCGTCCCAGCGCCATTTCATCTTCCCAGCCTTCGCCCTTAGTCTGCAGGGTGATGGCATCGATATGATACGGCATAAAGCTGCTGTGAGCGCCAGTAGCATAGCCCAGTCCTTGCTTGGCCATACCACGCAGCATAGTCTGCAAACGTGCCTCGTAGCTATCATCATGTTCCCACATCTCTTGCAAGTTGGAACCAATCCCCATTTGTCCACCTGCAATAGCTACTGCTGTATTGAATAGATCAAGATTAGGCAGCTGGCCGTTGACTCCGTCGTATACGATGTGCAGATTCTTGAATCGGTGATCAAATGGATACTCAATTGCCACTGCGCCTTGTAAAGCACCACTCTTCAATGGTAAAGGTTGCACTGATTCGGGTTGGAGATCATGGTATGCGTCAACCCATGCCTGGGTGCCCGATTTACTGTCCGGAGTGATGAGGAAGATTATATCTTTAGACCATAATGACCATCCTATTAAAGACCTCGGTGTTAGTCAAATTGCACGAACACTCAATAGTTCACGAGCTTACGCTTGAAGTATCTGGCCAATGTCAAGGCCAGAGTAACACCATTCAGATTCAATTCATCATTGGCCGTCTTCCATGTTGCAATAAGCACTATCGCTTCTGTCGCGTCGCCTCGTGGAGCATGGATGATACCATAGGTGTTCTCGCCCTGGTGGGTTATTCCAGCAGATGTATACTTATACTCCTGTGTTGCAACCTTCAATCCAGAGGCCTCGAATACGGAACGGATTTTGTTGGAGATTCTGTATCCGACATCAGCCATTTTTCTATACCACAAAACGCCCAAGAGCTCACTCAACATACGTTGGTGTCAATTCTACCGGACCTTGCCCATCTTCGCCCTTCTGGCCCTGGTTCAATAACCCTTCGAGCTCTTGCTTATATCCTCTGAAGATGTTCTGCTCGCTTCCAGTGAAATAAGCATGCACTTGGCCAGGCAAGAGCGCATTCTCGGAGATGTAGGTATTGCGGGAGTATTCGTTCAAGGGAAGAAGCAGCAGCCAGACTGCCCCCACGATGATGCACAGGAAGGACAGTAGGTTCGGGAGGCGGACGAATAGAAAGTGAGGATTATTCCGCAGGTTGCGGATCGCAGCTATTGACAATTTATTAGTCTCACAGTTCACTCCTATCTATTGGGGTACCAGAGGGTAAGAAGCCGGGGAAGGTGTATTTGCGTAGAACGTACATTTTAGCGCCATTGAGCCCAGATCAGCGAGATAACGCCCTTGTGCTCCTTCCCATTCCCGCTTCAAACAGATTAGTTTTGCAAGAGATGAGGCGGAGATCCAAGGAAGTGGGAGGTCAACGATTAATGAGTTGAAGCTCCAGCTGTTGTTTACGGGGAATTTACGCCGGGCGGGACCGACCAGCCACGCACAAACTGAACTATATCAATGGATGTGTCCACTGGCCTTCATATGCACTACACTTTTCAAAAGTTGGTATTAATATTATACATTTAGTCAGATTCGCTATGCTTTATGATAATGTTGATATGATTCACAAATATCCTGCCCTTTCTCCTTGGGGCTCCTTTGTAAATCCCATAATTAAAAAGAAGATAGCGGAGGAAACAAGAAAAAGAAAGAAGATCCACAGAAGCTGTGACACGAAAGAAGATTTATACAAGGGAGAATCATCAATGGGGATCATCAATGGGTTCAATAGAGGCTTATTTGTAGCCTCTTATTCGGAGCCTAATCGCTGTGAAGATCCCAAGTAACTCATAGGTGTTGAGTTTCCATTGTTAGCGGCGTTGGTTGTTGGAAGTACACCATACCGGCCATAGGTCTTCTGGTCTACAGAGACATAATGAGGCAGGCGGCCCAGCAAGTTGAGCTTGCCCTCAATCCATCGAAGAACCTTTTCTGGTGGTACGAACACCTTAAGGTATCCCAGGCCGACTAGATATAATTAGTACGTGCTTATAAATGATGGTTTTCAGAAGCAGGCAGGGAGAGCGCAATAAAGAAGAAAGGGGGGAAGAAGTCCAAGAACTTACAAACGTAGCCCACAGCAATAGCACACATATGACCCAAGAAGCTGACATGCGACACAAGGATGGACAATACGACACACGCGAACAAGGGCGACGTCCAGGTGGGGATTTTGTATGGACCGAGGCTGATGGAAAGGCACACATCAGTAAGAAAAATCATAAATGGATGATAGTGTAATGCCACAAACCTGAAGTTGGGGTGGGACTTATATGTCCGAATGGCCTCAGACCCTAGAAGTAAGAACACCCAAATACTATATTACACATGGTTAGGGTGTCAAACGGCATTTCCTGACTTAGCACACAATCTCACCTTGCGCCCACCACAGAGGTGTTTCTATGCAAAATCACCTTCTCAAACAAAAGGTAGAGACCCGCCGGTAAAGTCGAAAGCGCTGTTCAGAACCAAAAACATCAGTCATCCTGAATGTTATCCAGTAGAATTGTTTGGGGTCTACCCACGTCCAACAAACAACGCAATCGATGTGAGAGTACCATGTTCCGCCTCGAATCGCTCCAGTAGCGGTGTCAAAGCAATGGTGTTCAGCAAAGTGTGGAAGAATCCCATGTGAATAAAGGGGTATGTGTTCAAACGATACACTAGTTATCAAAAGATTAGCCACTTGTCCAGGGAATGCCATCTGTCCTTGGCCATGAAGGATGACCAAAATGAACACGTACTCGTTCCCAAATTGATCTCATCGGGAATCAACGCGCCCCACTGCACCACGCTCCAGATCGTTTGCAGCTCCAGCAACCAGAAAGCCAAGATTGCCAGCAGGACGAGTCGAGTGAACAGCGGCAATCGTGCCAGGTAAGATCGCACACGCCCCGGGTTGAAGGGGAGCGGCGGTAATGCGGCCGGGGTCGCCATAGTAAATCCACGAACGACGCTACCAAATTAATTCTATATTGGCTTGAGTGGTATCCTCAGTGACTCCGCTATAGAATCACACCCGAGTCTTTGCGTTATAGCTTCGTGATTGGAGTTGTAATCGACCGCAGGGCAAGCGGAGAACGGAACGGAGAGGGGGCCGAGACAGTCTGGCTTTTTTTATCTTTTGCAAAGCGACGAGACCTGCCACCAAGATCGAGGAAAACGGGTCGGATCACAAAGGGTATATTGATCAAACCAAGGCGCGGTTTCTATCGAGTCACCCTAAGTACATTTAGTTAACACAGACTGGGCATCTTGACGTGTAAGGCTCATGCCAGGGATAACTCACGATGTGCACGCGATCCGTTTTACTGGGGTTGGGCACTTGCAAAGCACACGATTATATGAGCCGGGAAAGTCGCGCGATGATCAAAGATGTTATTCAATGATCCAATCGAGGGTAGTTCGAAGAAATTTCCCCGCGATGGTGAAGGGGATCAGGCGCAAAAGGTCTGAAAGTTGGGATAATCATCAACTCCGCGCTGTTCGTTCCCACCGGGAACTGCACAGCCGATCTGCCGCTAAACCCGGTTCGGATACGGAACGCCATACGAAGTAAAAGCCACACCAACTACAATTAAAAGACTATTCAGGTTTCATCTGATATGTGTTTCTCCTGGTAATTAATAGCTATCCGTATAAGAAAGCTCCCAACATTCTCGTATACTCTTAAAGAAAGAAACCCCCTATAAACACCATCGATTCGCGCTTCACCACAAGAACAAAGCCGCCCAGGTGCTGCCATTTCACTGCCTTTGCTCACGCAACCCCAGGTAGATCTGGTGAGCAGGTGATATTCCCTCGGTGGGTGATATCCTCTCAAAAGCGCCAGGATGAGATTGAACGTAATCGTTAATCTGCTTGATGTAAGAGCGCAGCCACTGTTGCGAACGTACGATCTTAAATCTTTCAAAATACTCCTGTTCGATTTGAGTCCAGTTTAAACGTTGGTTCTGGAGGTCTATAAGGAAATTGAAAGTATGCTTTGCTTCACTTCTGGTGAACTCAACAATGTCGCTTTTCGTTGCAAGCGGAATATCAGAAATTCTGCTGGCTTGAGAACTGGTGGCTTGAGAACTTCGGCGGCTCTTCACAGTTCTTGCTCTTTTGTGCGGAGGCTCATCGTTCAAAGTATTGCCATTGCGATATAATCTAGCGCGAGAGGATAGCCTTCTGACGCGCGAAGATGACCTTCTGGTTTGCTCGTGTGGTTCCACCATCCCGGTTTCGCCCTCGGTGTATCCATCGTCAGAACCTTCATACACTTCTCCTTCTCCCTCCCGCTCCCCCCCTTCTACTTCCTCCACTTCTCCTTCTTCTTCTCCGGTATCGGCCGTTCTATTCACTTTCTCCCCCTCGTCGGTATGTGACCGCGGCGATCTGTATGGGACGTCCCCTCCAGGATGAAAGACAGTCGAGTTGACTGAATCGTTCGGCATATGTTCCGGCCAAGGGAACATGCCCAAATCTTTGTCGTACGCTTCGCCGCGAATTGTCAAGACATCGGCAATTCTCGCGCAGTTTTTCGAGAGGTTATTGAAAGATATGGCCAGTTTTTTCGCCACCCGATTGTCCACCATTATACTTTGATGCTGAATCACGTTGAGTTTGTTTGAATAGTTTGCCTGTAGCCAACCGAGAGTCCTCATTTGTTTTTGAGTCACCTGTATCATTTGTCCGTCCAAATGGCAGCGATATCTAGGATCATCGGGGTTAACATGACCGTCCGTTTTGACCTCCTTCCAGTCCTCAGCTGGCACTCTCTGTACAAGTTGGCACCAACTAGGTAGATACACGGCATCTACTGGCTTGCCTTGAGAAATGACTTGTGGTAGTTCTTCGAAGAACAGGTCTTGGTATAATGCTTGTGCCTCTGATTGATATGATAACTCTTCCCCCATATATGGAGCAATGAAGTCATCCGTTTGAGAAAGGCGATCCAAGGCTTTAATATTCTTGTCCAAGTTGTCGAAATCAAAAAGGGTACTTGCGGTGTGCCTCTCCACTAGAAGGGGGAGCATGTTAAGACCCCATCGATATGATGGTTGTGTCATTTTGGATATATGATGGCTAGAACGACAACTTGATCTTCGGGTCGGTTTGAATAGGACTTGTGGCGAACGAAAATTGAAAGTATTCGACTCTGCTCCAATAAAAGAGCAGTCTGATAAAGTAACTTGAAATAGGCAAGTTGTAGATACTCCAAGGCAGCAAAGAACATAGAATCTCGAAGACAAGGCAGGAAAGAAGACGAAGGGGTAGATTAAAAAGTACAAAAGGGGAAGAGAAAAAGCACAGTGGATGAGTGGGATTTTATATTATTTTCACACAGTCCGAATGCCCTTGATACTTTTGTTTACTAGTTGCATCAATCGCAAACAGTATTTTGTACACGTCAAATCGAGTTTCCCATCGGATCTACGCAGCCGACTATCAACCCACCGACCCTCCCTTAACATCAAAGAATAAACTACAATTAAGACTCTGTCATTCAACGTCTTTTCACAAGTATACGTAGTTTACGATCCATCCATTGTTCTTACGGGTACAGCCATGGGGCAATGATCCCCTGACTGAATTTAACGCGTCTCTCCCGGCAGAGACGGGGCGCGACTCGTGTTTGGGAGAATCCTGGCGTATGATGTGATGAGACAGGGATTACATGCATGAATCACTGGTATAACCCGTGGATGGATACCAATAGTGCGAATTAGCGTTCAAAGAAATGGCAGGGATGCAGTCCCGCAAAGCTCTTTTCCAGACGATCATTCTCTACACATAATATTTCCAAATCTCGATTATCAAGAATTGATAGAGGCCAATAGGAGAATTGGAACCTTTATTTGAACGAAAAGTACAATGGGAATCTTGTTCTCCAGATTATCGTATTCAAACCGTATGGAGACAAGCGTATTTAGATCGCTGGACAACAAAGAATGCTTTGCCGGCCAATCAGGGTGACGTTGAGGGACGCCAGGCGCATCGCCCAAGTCAAAGGATTCAATTGAGACTCACTTGAGCTATTGGATTCGATCGTCGTATAGCAATTTCTATCCTATTTCTTGAATAGACAGGAAAATCAGTGGAAAGAGAGAGAAATAATAGAACATCTCTTATAGATACTTCTTCAGTTAATACTACTAGTAGTTAATAGCTCTAGTGATATCCGGGTCCTATAAGGGTGTTACTGTATTACAGGTATCGTAGTTCTCTGCCAGTCTAAACCAGGCCAAAATGGGGGTTTCTATGTCTGGCCATTATGGTCCCCCGTGATCGCTCTAGATACCCAATTTTGTGAGAAACCATGATACTGGGTATGAATATGTACTACATTGCGACCAGTATTCTATGTACAAAACCCTGGGACGGGTAGATAAAATCCAGAAGACAATTCGAGATGCATTGCATAAGGTATCGTAGTAGTTCCGAGGAATAACAAAAGCTATTGACGGAAGATGAAATGTCGATCGATCATGAACTATTCTAGTTGCAAATTGTGCTTATCACAATTGACTAGACGTAATACCAACCTAGTATCCTTAGATTACAGGTAGCGCTCAAACCAAGCAATAGCCTGGCAGAAAGCCTGCTCCTTGGCCCACTTCTGGTGGGGGTCCTTGGGGTCACCACGGACAGCAAAGCCATGGACAACACCACTGAGGAGGTTGATTTGCCAGGCCTGGCCAGTCTTAGCCAAAGTGGCCTCGGACTCGTGACGGAGCTGGGTAGTGAAGACGGGGTCGACCTCTAAAATGAGAGCATGTTGTTAACAGGACTGTTTGTTTGAATACGCATTTGGAATTAAATTTTTGGCTGAACATACCAGCGGCGCAGATAGAGAGGGGACCCTGGATGGCAGCCAGGTCCTCGTGGGTGGTACCGGAGGGGTGAGCGTGGTAACCGACGTCGATCTGACCGTCCTTCAAGAAACGGCTAACGTACTAATAGACGGAATTTTGTCAGTATTCACAGATCGTAGAACTCAGATATATATGCTTTAGTAAACATGGGAATTGAAATCATACCCGGGCACCGAAGCAGTAGCCAACGGCAGCAATCTTCTTCACGCCGAGGGTCTCGCGCATGTACTTGATAGTCTTGGCAACGATAGGGTCAACGTTATCAGGCTGGTAGTCCTTGATCCATTCCGGAATGTTGATTCTGCCATTATCCATATCATCGGTGCTAAGCTGACCCTCCCGGAACAGATCAGGGAGAACAGTCAGGTAGCCATTGTTAGCGTACTCGTCAACGAGGAGCTTGTTGTTGTTGAAGAGGCCGAAAATGTCGGAGAGGAAAAGAACAGCCTTGTCAGTTTTCTTGTTTGCCGAGGGAGTTCCAATGTAGGTGTTGACTGTAACAAAATACCAATGCAATTAGCTATTGGAGCTCCATGGGGCTAGAAAGAAGGAAAGACGGGAGTGGCTGAACTTACCACCGTCAATGGTCTCGAGCTTGCCGACGGGGGTACCCTCGTGCTTGAAGCCAGAGGCACAGCATGAAGATGGAGCGTTGGATGCCATTTTTGTGTTGTTTGAAGCGATTTTGGTATGAATAGAGGAGAGATAGTGGGAAAGAAAAAAAGATAATATAGTGGGGTAACGCGGAGTTAAGGGAGAGCGCGCCCCTCTTTAAACCTGTAGGAATATAAGGAATTTGCCTTCCAATTAAGGAGCAATGGAAATTTCATCGTGTTCCTTCGTTTTTGTCAATTGACCCCTCTATTTTTCAATCATGGTGCCCCACTTGGCCCCAGGTTGCCCCTCATAGTCGGCAGTGGTTTCATGAATCATGCATGGATACAACCCATATCTAACTCTAGTTATTGATTCTGTATGTCAATATTCAATTAATCATGGACCAATCAGCCTTACTTTTGCACTCAGAATCGAAGAGTATAAATGTTGCAATAACAAGGGCTACGTGGTACAATATAGTCCAGTTTCTAGTGTCCTGAAGAAGCTCTACATCATACTCGGTACTCGGCACGGCTTCGGCGTTAAAGCTTGGCTATCTCCGCCGGCTAAAAGCAAAATAAGCAAATTTTGAAGAAAAAAAACAGCGAACTATAATTGACTAGTACGCGAAAGTGGATCTGTCAAAAATGACAAAGTCATTAGAAATCATATATTAATTCATTGATTCATTGAATGCCTCAACTGTCAAAACAATCGTCTCTGAGCTACCATTATCATTACCACTTCATCAACCTGTAACTGATCAACATGAAGTCAAATCATATCAGGAGAAAAAAGGAAGAAAACAACATCATCAATTAATGCGAAAATCATGTTTGAACCTCAGAATGTTTGCCGATCCTTGACAAAAGCATTGGAGGGATCATGAGCAGTAAACATGAGAACCCGTGTACATATCGGTCCCAATATGAGACAAATCAAAAGTGTAAAAGTGTAACGGGGTATAAAACGAAATATCAAAAAATAGAGAAAGCAGAAACGATTCAAGAGAATTCGTAAGTAAGCTGCGAACGTTGCTCCCGCTTCACAGCCCACGCCTTCAACGAAATAAACAAAATCTCTAAGGCCATGACGAAAGCTGTAAATCCCATGCCCACAGTGAAAGTGAACATAGCATCCACCCCATAAAATTCCATTGCTTGAATGACATTGCGAGTCTGAAATGCAGGTTAGTGTTGAATTCAGAGGCCACCTCGTCGATTTAGTACTTACACTTAGCATGAATATCAGGCCGCCGCTCATTAAGCAGAATCCTGCAATGATCTCCGTGGGAGGTCGTGCCGGCAGATATGAATTCGGTGGGCGTAAGAACAGTAGCACATATGTCACTCCACGGGCCAGAGCGAAGCCCACAAGTAAATCACCCCACTGTTTGTGTACCATAGTTGAGGTCATGCTGTCTTGATGATGCGAGCCCATCATCATACCAAGTAAAAGAATAATGAGAGCAGGCATTGGGTTCAGGGATACGCCCTGGGACTGTGGGAGCTGCCAGCCGTCGTCACGAGTACCGGAGGCTGGAGATCGAAGGATAGTGTTGTTGAGCGCATCACGGATGCGCGAGGATTCGAAGAGCATTCCAACCTAAGAAAAAGAATACACGTATCAGCTTCAGGAACCCTTATCTGAGATGAAATTAAAGATGTCTTACCAGGCCTCCTCCGAGAAACAAGATAGAAATGGAAACGTGCTCCAAATCTGTGGTGGACCAAGCTTCACCCCAGTTTGAAAGATGTTCCAAAAACACATTGGTTATACCATAAAAGAAGATTGTGAAAGATTCAACAAACTCGCCAGATGGAACCCTAGCTTTCCACCCACTGACAATGGGTGTTCCGGGTTTTCTATTCCAAGCCCAGCCCAAATCGGCCCAGCAGCCCACATATCGCCCAAGAGTTAGAATGCCATACCAAAAGAAAATACCACCCTTGATAAAATGGGCCGCGCCATTGAAAACATCTATTTCTCTCATGATACCTCCATAGGTTACCCCGCCAGTGACAATAGCAGCAAAGCCGAATGGCAAGATGATCCGATCAATAATGTTGTACACTAGATTCAATCCCCGGAGCACGCGATTAGAGACCATGCCAGGCACACGATTTGACCAGAATCGGTCCGCAAAGCTACTATGGAACCAGCTTTGGGTGGTAGTCTGGGCACGCAAGGGCTCCTCGGGCTTTTCAAAGCCATCATCATAGTCTGCAGCAGATTCACAGGGTGACCCGGGGCTATGAATTGAGGAGTTCGACTCAGTTCCCTGACCACTATCCCTGGACCAGCGATATCGGTGCAGTGGACCGGATGGGAATGTATGTTGATGCTCGTCTGTTGCGACAGGCAAGAATTCCGCCTCCTCGTAGAAGTCCGAGCTCGAGCTCGAGTCTCCGCGGCCGGCGTAGGCGAAAATCAGACTCAGAATGACTTGACCGCTAACCACCCAGGTGATGACCCAGCCGATTTTATGATGCACGTTATTCTCATAGAGATCGGGGGTTTGGCTGTTATAAATAATGCCAAAAAGTAAACCGAAGGCATTGATCAACGTAAACAGGAATTGGGATGGAAGCGCCAGCTTGGAGCGTGCGATACTTAGCATGACGGCTATTGAAGAGAATGATTAGTCGCGAACTCATATTAAGCCTCGGCTCGGTTGTCTTGTGATGACTTGTAGCTTACCTGCTGGGAAAACAAAGCACCAGGCCACTATCATCAGAGCGACATGTACCACGAGAGAGCTCGAGTGTTTCCCATAGGCAAAATAACTCATTGGCCCAGCTGGCTGGCTTATTGTCGTATGCGCTGCGGGGGTACTTTCATGCGTGGTCATACTCATCCCATCATTCATATTCATGGGCTCGTCGCTGCCATGCGCGCTGGCTGTAACAAGAGACGCGAGAAGCACCGTCGCAAACGCGACCTGAGGCATAATGTTCCGCATCTGATTCAACAGAGACGAGGAAACGGAGACCAAGTAGGGTACACTCCTAGCAAGAATGCGATACTAGTTACAGACAAAAGGAAAGTGCAGAGCTCCAGTCGATCCGGAAATTGAAGCTCTGCAAATCGTGACGTAACGACAACTCCCGACCCAGAGAATGAAGACGCCCACCTCAAAAGAAAAACAAGAATAAGAAAAGGTAAAGAAAAATGCCTGCTCTGCACAGTTGGAGTGCCTGTAGTCCAGGCCTATTTTTTGCGGTTTAGATTTTAAGGTGAAAGAGTTGGGTGAGGTGGATGGGGTGGTGAACTCTTTTTCTCTCTGTAGGGCTGAAAGGGAAGTATAGGATCGGGTGGGAGGGAAAGGCTATATAGAACAGAGGAGCTTCCTCAGAAAATTTAGTCATGTAATCGAAATAGGAAAAACCGGGATTCATGACCACTACTAGAAAATGAGAAAATTAATAATAAAAATAAGCTAAAATTCAATAATCAGAAAGAAAAAAGACTCGCCGGCGCTGATTTCCAATGCTTCGGAGCAGGCGGGGATAAAGCACGAGCGCCGAGAGGACGTGCATGTACAGCGATGCGTGGCAACAATAATAGCTGGATCTCCCATCCCGTATATGCCGTGCCGATACTTCTAGGATTCCGAATTACTGTTCCTGGCAGCTGGATATGTCATCCATATGACTCATTCGAATTTATTCTGAATAAGAAATCTTGGCGACTTTCAAAGCTTTCATTTTCTTATTTCTATGTAGTGGGTGAGCAAGCCATGGCATTAATAGCTAAGGAATTTAGATTCCGGAGTTTAGCTTAGGATGACTCTTCTCCAGCCTCTTCTGCCCCCTCATTCCTTCTTTCAACCTAATGCAGCTTTTCACCAACGGACACGAATCTGCAGGTGCATTAAATTATGGACTTGGGGATACATACGGTGCAGAGAGCGGATCGACATGAACAAAGCGAACAGAATTTTTTTTGGCTTGGCACGAATGAACTATAAAAAACCAATCAGAAAGCCCTGATTCAGTATAAATCAACAATCAAAATCGGATGAGTCGGAAACCTCCACTCTCGAAAATTAGTCGAGTGACTTCATTGCCCTGGGCATCCCACTCCGTCCAAGTAACTATACAGCAGATCGCCAAGACCCTCAGCAGTGGGTCTGTTGGATTCGTGTTGTTCCCAGGACTGGCATGGAGTATGAGCGATTGGAATTGTTTCTTTCTTTTAATTTTCTTCTATCCGAGGTGAAAATAAGTTCTCATTGGGCACCCAGGCAGAGTATTACCCAAGCACCTCGATTACTCTGTATACATAGGCGCCTGGCCCCTCTAGTGACCTCGTCGATCGCTGCCCTGTTAGGCATCTCGTTTCTGGCTGCAGCTTCCGTACACCGCTAGGCGTTGGGTTGCAGGTGAAGAAAGCTACAGCTAATTGTTGCCTGTTCAAACATCAAGGTTGAGTCCATCCCTTCCAAGCTTGTCCGGGTTGTAGGCTTCACACATTCAGTAGGGAGGTCTCATCTGGCATATGGGCACGCCTTGCTTCAAGCCTGGGGAAGACCACGCGCCTGTATACAGTAACATGATGCTCAACCCCGTCTAGATTCACGTCAAATATCCTTGTATGAGTTACATGTAGGGCGTACTTTAGACCGCTTGACTAGATACGCGAAAATTCACCAGCCACCGGATCCCGGCTTCAATGGCTTCCATAGGAATATCCCTGTCTCGGCCTTTCGCTTGTCTATACTTCCGAGCCGCAGCCGTTGGGGATTGGCGTGGCCCTTATGGAGTAGATTGCTTTGTACCCAATGCATCCGTCGAGAAAGTGATATGGCATGACCGTGCATGTACCAGGCGGGAGGGCTCGAGCTTCTGGGCCAAGACACTGAACTTGGGGATCAATACAAGCCCCACCAGATTCCGCTTGCCAGCATACTAGCCCCAGAGGGAATTATGCATTATCCAATGCAACATTATGTTAAGCCCGAGCGCGGTGAGTTTTGAATACTCACTCGTTCAACGTCATTATTCATATTACACTACACATCTTTCCAAGGGTTTTTCCAAACATCGGTCTAATCATCTCTCGTGATACCTTTCTTCACTAAGGTAATTCTAGGGAGACTAGATTTGACTTCAAGATCGCTCAGTAATATCCATCTTCCGATCAGTGAAGGTTGTTTAGGCTTATCTGGACCCTTTTCACCACATCTAACGCTTGAGATAGCCTGACTAGTAGCACCAAGGAGCGGGCCAAGTAATTAGAGCGTATAATAAGCCCTACTATTATATAGGGGCCATATGAGTGCCACATGGCCATGAACCCTGACTTATGTCTCGTCAATTTGGAAGAACCAACAGCAAGACCGGATGTCAGACTTGTAAGTATGTATACCTCAGCTAGAGCTCACTTCTCTTTGGGCTATTACTGACATTCATAAATCAGAATTTGTCGGGTAAAATGCGATGAGGAGAAACCATCATGCCGACGTTGCTTGAGCACAGGCAGAAGATGCGACTATGCGGCTCTGTCACACTGCAGAACTCCACCCTGGGGAAGCATTGTAAGCATCCAATCATCACCATTCACCCCTAGCAGTGGTAATGCAGAACGCCAAAGCTTCGAGTACTACTTCTCTCGGGCGGCACCCTCCATCTCAGGGGTCTTGGATGTTGACTTCTGGAAAGGCGTCGTCGTATTGCAGATATGTCGAGCTGAGCCCGCTGTGTGGGATGCCGTGGTGGCAGCAAGTCTATTCTATGAAGCACCACCAAGCGACTTGCTAGAACATGGGCCATTCTGGAAAGATAGTCTCCAAGGAAGAAAACTCGTTACCTCCAAGCAAAGCTATCGGCAGGCTTTAGTGTTCTATTCAAGATCTTTGGAAGCTGTGCCGGCCCAGATCCAATCAGGGGCTATAGATGTTCATGTTGCATTGATAAGCTGCACTCTTTTTATCTGTATCGAGGCCTTACAAAGTATCAAGGCCGGGGTAATGGATTTTTACAAACATGGCATTCAAATGCTAGATAATGTGATCAAAAACCTCCCCAGGCAGAAAAAATGCCAAACGCAGGGTTTCTGAATCAAATCATGGCAATCTACGTTCGCCTGGGGTCAGTTGCATTCATTACAGCTGGTGTACCATACGAGCTCTCAGTTCCACCTCTCGAGCTCTCAAAATGTTACTATTGCTTGTCCTCGGCAAGAGACTTCCTCATCCGACTAGTTTCTGAGTGCCTTTCTTATGAAAGTGCAGTCTCCCAGCATATCAAGGATTTTGGATCAGATGAAGTTCAAAACCTGTTCGCGGCTCAAATGCATGCTCTTCAATCAAAGCTTCGCGAATGGAAACAGAACTTCAATCAGTTTAGTATCAAAGAATCAAATCCCTCGACCGACTTGGGTATGAAATCAACACTTTCAATGATTTACCATGCATTGTTTTTTCTTGTTTCTTCATCACTTCGAAATCAAGAGACGGAATATGATTTATTTCTCGACTCCTTTCAAAGTATTGTTTATCACGGCGAGAACGCAGTTCCAGCAACAACGGATCTCTGTGGCTCAAACCCTCATTTCACTTTCGAAATCGGAGTCGTATTCCATTGCTCGTCACGGCATTTTAATGCCGAGAATCATCTATTCGCTACAAGGCCCTCTCCTTACTACGAAGGTGCCCATCAACACAAGGATTCTATATGGTTATCCATGGGTCCGCCCTAGCAGCCAAGGCTATTGAGATTGAAGAGTCGCTGGCCTGTAACCCGGCCAATCCCGATCGTCAAGATGAGGAAACTAAACGGCTACAGTATATGACTGTATACCCGCAGGACCCGGACTTTCCTTTACTTGTTGCCAGGAAACAAACGCCGAGCGATACGTCAGGGCTGACTGGACTCAGGCTAGTTGAGACGATGGTATTTCTTTCGCAGGAATTAGCCTCATTGAGATAATTATTCTCTTCCGATGCTGGGAAAGCCTGCTTCAAGCCAGGCACATATATCCGAAAGGCCCCACCGATTCTTCTTGGCAATATGGACCCGAGTTCCTCCAGGGCTGAGATCAAAGAGACTAAATCGCTTCTGGGACCGAAAGACATGAGAAATCACAATAATTCCGTTCTTTTGTCTGTAAAGACTGATATAGTGCTTATCTCATCTCAAAGTTACCCATCAAAGAAAAAAGACAAGAAAGCCTTATCAAGTCAGTTTAGCATAGGGACCAGGAAATGCCTCCTGGAGATCTTTCCTTGTTCCGCTCAGACTTAGGACAGGGATGAGGTAAAATCACGTCTAGGCCGCTCATCTGACAACCTGACGATTCTCGGCAAACAAAAATGATTGGTGGTAAATGCATCGCATCCGCCGTCTTCCGGTTGATTCATCTGATGACGGCATCCACAATACCCACGCACTTTGGCGACACGCCCATCCCGCGATCGGGATCCGCTGAATAGGGAGGATTTTCTTCTCCCTCCTCGCGGGATACAAAGGGCTAGCTACCTAATCGAGATGTTTGATTGGTCAAGAGGAAGGATCCCACTCGCATTCCTGCATGAAGCCAGAAAGACTGCTCATGCGACCACCACATGATTATACGGTGTGTAACCTTGCCGTTGATTCAGATAAACAATAAATACATCTCAAATCCTGTCAAACCGCATAAACACATAATATGGGGAACAATACCTTTAATTCAAGAGCCATAGAATCTCATTCACAAAGTAATACAAATCGTATATTTTGTCCCACGCATGCATTATCCTTAACTACCATCTCTGTAAGTATGTACTCCGTATGCCAAGCACAGATAACCCCTCTCGGCGATCAACAGATCGCCCTCATACTTCGTCCGATGTTACTAGCTTTAACAATAAAGCCTTTCAGTCGGAAGCTCGGCACTAAGTCATCCGTAAACATTCTGGGCGCTAGGCGTATTCCCCAGGCACCACTGGCGTCCAATAGGCATTGTGGGCACTATATCCTTCCCGTGCGATCAGCATCGACTACCGGTATTGGGCACGGACTTCAACTTGTATATTTTAATGTGCATAAAATATACATCCATATATGAAGAATTTCAAGCTAAGCGATCAGTTGATCCCTGTCAGCCTTGTGTTACCCCAGCCTCGCTCGTTCCCGTTGTCACCGTAAAAGGACTCTGGAGAACTACAGTAGCTTCCCAGCCCCCGCAAAAGACATGCATAGCCGGTTGAAAGTCCATCCATTGTTGCACTAATCATATCTAGCACGGGTTCTTGGCCATTTCCTTCATATTATTAGTCGTGGTTTCTCTAACTTGCAACTTGAAGGCTTCAACTTGAATGTTGAATGGATTTTTATGGGCACTGGCACTGGCACTGGCAGCCCTGGAGGTGGGAACCTGAATGTATATTTGTGGGTCGCCTACTATTGCTTGAATGTTTATACACCTGGCAATCATGATGCAGATTTCCAAGGGTAAACGTTTATTCCAACTTGGAAATCAAGCGTACTAGAAGCTCCCAAAATCGGCGCTTACCTTTGCAGATAGTTAACCTCGGAAACATAATAAATAATTGTGAGTGGGGTATACTGACCATCAAGTTGTTGGAGATTACGACTAGCTCGGAAGTAGTATGTGTAAGTCGGTTCCAAGGTGTCAAACAAATTTCAAGTTATTTACGGGTTTCAAGTTAAACAGGTTGCTAATATACGTATGGCTTGCAGAATCTGAAGTTTCGTAATCCTCCGAGTCCTCCCCATGTCTCCTCTCCTCATTCAAGTTCATAGTCTCACATAAATCAAATGGAGACACTGACCGAAGCTGACACTAGGGCTCGACCGGTCAATGATACAGTATCTCCCATGCAATTCGCCCACTACATAATCGAGAAAACCAACACGTCTAATACATAGGTTTAAAATGTTTATGAAAGATAGTCTTCTACTTGTCTTTCTACTTAAGGGTCTAGTACAGTATATCTATTCAGAGTTTAGAGTACAGATAACAGAGTACTAGGCAATAAAGGTTAAAGCGAATGCGACCTTTTGATGATGATTAATCTTTGTGGCTCGATAATGTACTACTACTAGGACTTTCAAGTTTTGTTGATCGTATATGTGCGCTAACATGGACATCATCATGATTGAGCGGAGGACCTTGGAAGCGAGCCACCATAATATATTTTATTTGTGGGCTGAGTGTATACAGAGAGGGCTCAAATTCTGCAGAGGACCAATATAAGACCAGGGAAATTGTAACACTATCCGAGAACTCGTTTCACTAAATAATTTTATCATGGCCTGCTCGCATGATACGAACTTGTAAGGCGTTGTCGATCTGTTTCTAGTCCCTGCAAATGGATGGAAGATTTCAGGATAGAAGGAAAGGATTTGATAGCGATTGAGATTTCCAGAAAATACCTGATACAAGATCACAAATTTTTCAGCATCTATCATATCAATAGTTCAATTAATCAGAATGAAAATATTTAACAAGTACTCATTTTCAGCCTCAGATACTTGATAGCCAAATTAACAATCCTGCCTAAGGCACCAATCAACCAGATAAGCTTATTAATACACCAATCAGGTCCGCGAGTCACATGACACTTACCCCAAGAAGACTAGTGGGATAATCAAGCGAGCTGGTCCGTGCATTTCCCCATTGGGGCGGCACACAACGATTTTCGACCCTACACTTCGACCTTTCCTTCAACAGCGCCAACGACCCTCGTCAACAACCCCCCCGTCAACTCCCCCCTACGACATCTCAAGATGACTCACGAGTCCGTTTGGTTCAGCCGCCCCCGCAAGTAAGTCGACTTGAACCTCTCGCTCAAGCGAAAGGGCAGCAATTAACTGATTTTCACTAGGTACGGCAAGGGTGCCCGCGAATGGTGTGTTAAGCCTCAATATTCCTCCCCGATGAAAACCGATAGCACAAGAAGAGCAAAAGAACAAGCAAAAGCGACAAGAGAGAGAATTCGTCATGGAAACGGTTGAAGAGCGAAAAATGGAGGAACACTTGACTAATTTAATCGATCGATACAGCCGTGTCTGCGCCCACCGCGCTGGTCTGATCCGCAAGTACGGCGTATGTGAAATCTTCCGAGCACCTATATTTGCGCAAATCGAACACGCTTGCGTATGGAATTGGAATAAATTGGCTAATTCGGTTTTTAGATGAACATCTGCCGTCAGTGCTTCCGTGAGAAGTCTACCGACATCGGTTTCGTCAAGGTTCGTAAATCCTTACACCTCGATCAGCACATCCCACCAGCCCATCTATCACATCACCGAAGAAATATCAGGAACCCATCACATCCACAATGATTCCTTGATTCCGGAACTCAAGAATTATGACTATTTACTAACTAAACTCCCCGCCAAACAGTACCGCTAAGCGAACGAAAACCATGTCCGGCTTAAAACGCCCTTCCTCGATCCATTCGCGTCCATGATCCATTAACGTGCCCTGGCGCTACAACATCAATCGGTTCAGTGTTAGGAAGGGAATTGTTTCGAAGCGTCGGGAAATGTAATGCGCCCACGTTTCGTTCTTTCGCATGGCAGCTCCCCCAAAAAAGTGGTTGTTATTTTCTTTTTTGCTCGGTGTCTTGTGTTGATTGGCACCGGTGGACGAACGAGGAGGGAGCTGGGGTTGTTGTGTGAAGGGGTTTTTGGAATTGAGGATGCTTTGTTGAACCCTCATCCTCTTTTTTTTATTATCCAATATCAATGACGGGTTTTATTCACTGGTTTCCAAGGTTTTCAGTTTCGTTTCGACGGAATAGCGTATTTTGTCTGGTTTGAAGGGCATATGTCCGATTTTGAAAGTGACGGGCAGTTAGGATTTGTTCTTAACTGCGTGGTTCTTTATTGCGGTAACCCTGATTGAACCGTGCAATTGTAGATTTTGATGTAGTACTTCGATGCTGAATGAGGTTGAATGTTTGGGGCTGACTGGAACTACGCTCATTTTCATGAACTACAGGGTTTCTTCGTCTGGTAGGAAATCAATTTCTTATTATAAAGCACTTCTCTTAGTACTCTTGAATGTCATAATTTGCTATGTACATTATGCAAGTTCGCCCCTTCTCAAATAAACCTAGTATCAAAACGCCAGATATTACATCTCAGGTATCTCATGAGCTCTTTTGGGGACCAATAGAACGAATGCCATAGAACAAGAGGTAGGCATCCTGCCGCAGAACATCAGCAACGCTGGCCACGGTGACTTTGTTGTCATCCATCAACACCCACTGTAACGATTTGATTAGTTGAACTTTCCTAACGATAACCAAGTGGGACTAGAAGCATACCTTGTCGCCGTGCACACGGGTGTAAGCATAATAGTGGCCAGAGTCCATGGAACCTTGATGAACAATAACAGTCGACAAGTCGTAGATATACCTGGACGTATCCACGCGTTCCTTGTCTTTCTTGACGGTGAAGGGTAGCATGTTGAGGGTGATAGGGAAGTCAATGTGACCATGCAATTTATCAGAGGAAGCCGCGTTATGTTCGTAACGCTAGTAGTGGAACCATTAGAATAGAGTAAATACAACAGTGCCGGGGAGAATCAAACCTTGAGTTGCATGCAGAGGATAGCGGGCAATTTGCGAATCTGTAGCCGCTTTGAAGCCCGCTGGGGGGTATTACCACATTTCTCGCAATGGTAAGAAGCATCGGGAGAAAGGTCCTCGACGGCAGTGAAGCTTTCAAGACAACCAGTCAAAGTTGCTGTCGTGGAGCTCGTTCGTGGTCCTAATTTTCGCTTCTTGTTTTGAAGCTGTACATCAAGACTTAGATCGGCCATGGGATCATAAGTGTGTGTGGTCTTGCCACACTTGTGGCACATGACACTACTTCGAAGCTCGCCGTAAAATGTTTGATGGAAGAAGCAATTGCATCTCTTCTCGTAGCTTTCTGAGTGACCGGGCGTAGCAGCATGAAGGGCATTCACCAAAAATTGGAAATATTCATGAGCGTCTTGCTGGCGATATCCTGCCATGTCCTGTAGCGAAGAGGCTATATCAGCAAGGTGAAACTTTGTTTCCAGGTAGAAAGAAAAGATTTATTCAACATACTCTTGATGCATCCCAGCCGTGATAGAGAAGGGTTGCTGCCGAGACGGCTTCGGTCTTTTCGCCGCTGTTAAAATCCATAAATACTTCACTCGCAGCACAGGCCATACAAAAGTTCCGTTCACAAGTGTGGATATCGTGACCGCCAGAGAGAAAGTAAGCATTGAGGGTTGGGTCATGGAGCAATGCCTGTAGGATAACAGATTGATAGCACGTTTGGCCCATGTTCCAGACACCACGGGCACCGCGACGAGAACAAGGGTTTTTGAAGGCATTGTGCTTCACATACGCCTCAGAGGCTACATCATCAACCCAGGTACCTTTGCTATCTGTATATAAGGTTAGTGGCTTGCTCGTTCCCGTTCATCCAACACATAACCGTCTAGGACTTTTTGTGCTTACATTCAAACTTTGCTTGGGGTCCGCAAAATCTCTCTAATCCATGATCATAAACAAAATCCACGCAACTCTCACAAAAGAGGAAGCGATTTCGGGATTCAATGTCTGCGGCTGCATTAGGATCAGATCATCTAACCAAGACAGCAGGGCCCACCTACAGAAGACATGTCCGGTTTTCTTAGTGTGTGCTTTTCTCTCGGTACTCAGGCAGACCTCAGAACACGAAAGACAATGGTACTTCGGCTTCAGCGATGACACGGTGCGAAGGCCAGTGGCCTGGACAGTGACTGGCTCGGGCTTCGTGTATGGAGCCAACGACTCATACTGTTTTCGAAATCCAATTTTGAATGGGTCTGCTGCTGCACTGTTCTTCAGAATCGGAACCAAGTGTTCTAGTCATGCATGTCAGTTAAAGAAGCCCAACCGAAACCAGTCACTGGAAGTACTAGGGGATTTGCTACATACCACAGCCATATGCTGCCTCGGAAAGAAGTTGGTGTGAGTCCAAGTTTCCCGGTTTCAAGGTCGCCGCTGCCGTCGCCATTTTCAGATCGAAGGCACTCAGGGCCACAATATTAACAGTAGGGATAGGATGCCAAACAGAGGCAAAGAAAGACAGAAAGACACTGTAGGTACCGGCCTCTATGTCTTACCAAGAAGGGGAAGGAGAGAAGTAGAATAGTGAAGAATCGAAGACAAGTAGCGATTACAAAAGGTTGAAGTTGATAAATGAAAAGCAATGGCCTTTGTAGATGAGACCAAAATGCCCTGATGATATAGGGAAGGGATCCAATTCCGCCTCTTAAGGACTCCCCCTGATTTGAATTGGCATTGCACTGTCAAAGTCAGGTCAATGAATGCTCGGCGACAGGAGAGGTTCTTTGAACTTACAAAATAGAGAACTATGACTAGTGGACTGTATTGACGCGGTGAGTTGAGGTGAATTGAGTATCCCGACTCCAAATGGGTCCGATGCGCGTAGGTTGCCGCGGCAGCTCGCTTCGAGGCCCGGCAATGCCCCGCAGTGTAATGATCTCAAAGCCAGTCCAGATGACACCAAGCCAGAAAGATCTGGAGATTGGACGCAAATCAACCCCAAATTTGGAAAGAAACCAAAAACCTCAAAGAATGTCTCCGGGGGAGAATATCACAAGAAACAAGAGAGGGTTTTTGCCATCGGCGTCTGGCTTTTTTTTCTGCACCAAAACTGCATTTACCGCCCGAAGCATCTCCGCCTTGGACTCCGACGCACGCGATACATACTACTTTTACTACTTCTCTGATTAGAGTTCTACATCTATATAGATGATTTACTTTCGGATCTTAATGCATCAAATGGTCTTATTTACAGATTGTCGTTTAATGGCTCATCATAATTACAGGGATATCATAAAACAATCCTAAGCGCCTACACATCCATGCTTTATCTCCATCTCCGTCTCTCCACGCCCGAGTCCCCACGGTAAGCCCACTCACACACCCATAGACGTCATTTCGGGTTGCATATAGCTGAACCTTCGAAATCGATCCTTGTTTCGTCGCGAGGTACAGCTTGACAGAAATCTCGGAAATAAAGACAGCGGATGGGTCAACAAGAAAACATATTTATCGAGTTCCGCGACCTCGGGGAAGGGCACTTGGTCGACCACGAGTGGACCCTCGGGTTGCGTATCGGCTGGTCGCTGTGCCACTGCCACGTGTGGTACCTGTACCCCGTGTAGTTCCCCGAGTTGTACCTCTTGTCGAATATTTGGGGGTCGGTTTGGCTGAGACTGTACTGTGTGGGTGTTCGACGAAAGATGTATCCGTTGTCCTAAAGTAGTCAACATCAGCATCCGTGTATTTGACGCAAGCAAGGTACTCGCCACGAAGGAAAGAGCATATACTAACAAGAAGGTCATTTCACCATCATCGGTGGGTCGAACTGGTTCATTCTCTGCTTCTATATTCAATGTTAATGTCGAGTCGATCTGAGTGAAGTAGGTCCATTGCTCATACCTTTTTGTGCCTCCGCCTCTTTCGCTCTTCGAAATGAATCTGCGATTGGTGCCTACATTGATCAATTAGTAGTAGTTCATTTCTCTGCCTTCCATCTATCACGTAATTGCTCATACCTCGGGGAAATCCACGCAAAATGCGTTCATGTTTAGGCCGTACAAGAAACTAGCGAAATTCTCGCTAAAGCGGGTCAAGCTTTCGTGGAGTAATTGGAGATGCATAAAGTTGGCCTCGAGATCAGCCATGGAGTCTGCGAGCTCGGCGAATTGGGGCTCTAATGCATTAATAGCGGGCTGTGTGTATCCGGCATTGCTGATGCTGTTTCCATACCCATGGGCTTCGCGGAAAGACGAACGGGAGCTGGGACGTAGAGGGGTAGTTGGGCGTGAGGATGGCCGTGGGCGCGATGTCGATCGAGATGCTGAGGGTTCCATGGTGTCGTTTTTAATGTGTCCTTCTTGGGTAAGAGTTGCCAGTCGAAGCTTGAAGAAAATGGAGGGGGAGAAGACCGAGTGATGTTTTTGGTTTGTTTATCTCCAAGATCAACGAAGGCGGTGGGCACGATAAGCGCGATGTTCAACTGGAGGAACAATGTATAGAGAACCAGACAAGTTTCTGAAGATAATTAGTCCAATCATATCATAGGAAGAGGAAACACATAATTAAATTGATTTTAAGACTTTTGTTAGACAAGGGTATATTGTCCCATTGTGTATACTAGACCTGATCGATTGTTGTCATAGTGCACGTCTATGACTTATGGTAGCAATACTAAGTAGAATGACCGTCTTCAACTACATTATACACAATGTTGATCAAGCAAAGATTAATCATAGAGTATCTATCTACCCATAGCTCAATCCCTGCTGGTAATTAACTTACTTATCCACAATCCTTCTTTATAATCCACTACCTCTCGCTCTTCTCGCCCCGCAGAATAACGTCCGATCGTCATCAATCTGGATTTGCGGAATATCCACTTTTCGGCCTGCGCCACCTGGTCTCGTGTCTACACCTTGATTTTGTTATCTATGATGACTTAAATTCCCATCATTACCCATTCCCTATCTTCCTTTTCTCATTCCTCCCTCCTTCCGCCATATGCGAGCCTGTTCAATTCTCCGCCGTCGCATTCATTCCTCGGCCCAATTCGTACAACGCGCACAGATCTTCCCCGACGGCCCTCGACTCCGGTCCCATCCACTCGCGCGACAATACTCCACCTACCCACGCCCGGAACCACCAACAGAAACATCCTCTTTTTGGATTACATTTACCCTACTCGCAGTTGGAGGAGGTGCCTGGATTCATCACTGCTTTCAACCCTCCGATAAACCCTCCGATCTCCCATCGAGACCCCGGCTGTCTCCGCAAGGTCAAGACCCTTTTCTCGGTATAATTGATACTCTCCAAACTATGCCTGGCGAACCAGCCCCAGGGTTCATTGGGAACATCACCTCGGAACAAGAGGCGAAGCTGCAAGAACTATGGATTTTAACCCTCAAGGTCTTTGGCGTGCCACTCGATGCTCTAGAAACTAGCTCGGGCGCCACCAGTGAAGCTGCCCCGGCCGGTCCCTCACAGGATAAAAAGAAGCCTGCTAAGCGTGGATGGGGACTATTCGGTCGTAGTACTGAAGATGATGACAATGATTCGAAGAGTGTCTCATCGGCCAGTGGTGTCACCACCAGTCTCTCCACCATCGACATCGCCGACAGCGATGACAAATTCGGCCAATCGAAGGAATTCCAACAGGCGCTCGAAAGCATGAAGCCGGAGGATATTCGCACTGCGTTCTGGAATCTGGTCAAGCATGATAACCCCGATGCGCTGCTGCTGCGGTTCTTGCGCGCGCGTAAGTGGGATGTCAAGAAGGCTTTGGTCATGATGATCTCTACCATGCGGTGGCGCTTGCAGGAGATGCATGTGGACGACGATATCATGGCCAATGGTGAGGCGTTGGCTTTGAAGCAGTCTCAGGGCTCGGACCCGAAAGAGAAAAAGAAAGGAGATGATTTCTTGTTTCAGATGCGCAAGGGCAAGAGCTTTCTCCACGGCGTCGACCGAGCTGGTCGACCTATCTGTGTTGTTCGAGTACGACTTCACCGAGCTAATGAGCAAGATGCCGAAGGTTTGGAGCGGTTTACTGTCTATACCATTGAAACCGCTCGGTTGCTTTTGGCGCCTCCTGTCGAGACTGCGGTATGCAAATCCTTTCCTTCGTCAAAGCATTATTTCTCAAGCTGACAGTTGTAGACCATTGTTTTTGACATGACCGATTTCTCAATCGCCAACATGGTGAGTTTTTACATAGCTGGTCTTTCAGGTGCAATCATACTAAATCTCTTATCTTTACTCAGGACTACACACCTGTGAAATTTATGATCAAGTGCTTCGAAGCCAATTACCCCGAGTCCCTCGGAGCCGTCCTGATTCACAAGGCCCCTTGGCTCTTCTCCAGTTCGTCCCCTTAACAACGTAAGCCCGGAACAACCCACTAACCAAATTCACAGGCATCTGGGGCATTATCAAGGGCTGGTTGGACCCCGTCGTCGCGGCCAAGATCCATTTCACCAAGAACCGTCATGACCTGGAGAAATTCATTGCCCCAGGACAAATCATGAAAGAACTGGAAGGCGACGAAGACTTTGAGTATAAATACATCGAGCTCAAAGAGGGAGAAAACGCCAAGATGGAGGATACAGAAACCCGCGACCGATTAATCGCCGAACGCCAGGAACTCGCTAAGGAGATCCAAGATCTGACGGTTGAATGGCTTCGAGCTAGTAAGAAGAAAGAGTCTGATGCTTCTTCTGCTGCTAAGGAGAAGCGTAGTGGTTTGATCGAGAAGCTGCGTAAGCAGTACTGGGAGCTTGACCCGTATATTCGAACACGCTCTCTATATGATCGCCTCAACATTATCCAGGACCATGGAAAGATTCAGTTCTACCCAGATGCTGAGAAGGGGGATAACAAGTCAGCATCGGAGGAGACTGCTGAGTAAAATACTTGTCATTTGGATTTGGTCTGAGTGTTGTATTTTGCAAGACATACGTATTACTTTTGTGAGGGCTATGTATTAGACTGTCGGATTTATAGAGTGTGAGATTTGAAAGGGCATGCATGGTTTTGAAGTATATACAAGACCCAAGGCCGGCATGTCCCAAGAGATACGAGGAATTTCAAATACTTTAATTGAAAATGATACATCTAGCAAACGTCATCGTGTTACGAGGGACTAGAAGGTTTCCTTGGAGAATTGAGCTTCAACACTGCATATGAAGACTCGGATCACGTTGGGTCTTGCTTTAATAACCCTCTAGGGCTGTGTCATTCAAGTAGACAAAAGTGTGACCAACGTCGAGACAAGCTTCAAGTCCAGTCTACAGCTGAGCCTTGACCTCCTCAAAGTATGCCTTCAGCTGGTCCATATCAGCATTCTTTGCGGGCCAGCCGATGCTCATACCCTCCTCCTCGTTGGGCTTGGGAATCTGCCAGAATAAAAATTAGTATATTGTCACCACTAAGGATTGAAACTTCCCCAATTCATTGACAAAGGGGAACTGTACCATGTGGAAGTGGACCTAGTTCACAATATAGATTAGCAACTGCAATGCTCAAGATACATGTAGTAAGTGTGATCAACTTACATGATCAACAACCTGGTGGGCAATGCGACCGTTGTTCTGCAGAATATTGAAGTCCTTGGCACCGACGGCCTGGGCGATCTTCTTTGCCACGGGCTATGAGATTGGGTTAGCTATGATTCGAAGGACCTTGGGGGTTAACCCTGTAATCCGTTCTAGTTCTTCGACTGCGGCTGTATCTTGAAGTTTCTCTTCTGCAAGCTTCGGGCTTGTTTCCCGGTCTTTTTTTTCTCTTCTCATTCCACTTACCAGAATGTCTGTCAGATCCTCATCAGGGATATCGGTGAGCTTAGCACCGTGGAACTTGGGGATAACGAGCTATTACAACGTTAGTTTGTAATTGCTTTTCCGGGAATATTATATGTTGGTCAGTTCTTCGGATATTGTGTAGCACTTTGTGCTATGTGTATCGGTCGCGATGATGTCCTGGCGTCTGGTGCGGGGGAAGGATGAATACACAACACACAACACGACACATAATCCGAGAACAGACGATGGAGGTTGAACGTACCGCATGGCCACGGCTCAGCGGCTGAATATCCATGAAGGCGTATACTTTGGCATTCTCAAAGAGCTTGAAGGAAGGGATATCACCTACATGGTGCTGTTAGAACATGCGTAACACAACAGCTCGGATGAATAGGAACACCATCACAATGAGCGCATAAATATACAACTAACCCTTAATAATCTTGCAGAAGATGCAGGTAGCGGAGGAGGTCATTTTTATTAGTGTGGTTTGGTTTTGAATTGACAAATTGAGCCGTGAGAATTGATTACGGAGTATAATGAGGTTCTCCAACGCGAGAATCAAGCTGAAGTCATTGGGTGCGGGGTGCAAGGCAGCGGGTAAAAAAGAATTAAATTTAATGTTGAGCTTTCGGGGGTTCGAACGCGGGATGTGGGTACTCAAAGGATACTTATATTTTATAATAACTTCCCAAATGCGAGGAGTGGGACAGGCTAGTGCAGAACCCATTTCTTGCCTTTTACCAGAGATGGCCGTGGTTTGCCCACTATACTCCTCTAAACAATCTTTGGATTTCAACATAGCGACACAGCTGTCGTTTATTTTATTTTTGTTTTTGCTAGAGACTTCAATTGCATTATTTGTATCTATGTTCTTCTTTTTAGATCTTTTATTACCTTCTGATGCCTTATTTTCGGTGTTCTGGTATTTGCGAACGTGTGGATAAGGTCTTTTTGGCCGTGTGCATATCCTCACTATGTGGTAAGTACCACCGTCCAATCACAGGGACCGAATTGTCAGACCCGTTGGAGGGGGGAGAAACAAAATCGCCAAATTCAAACGCTTATTGATATCACTGATCGAGAGAATAAGATAATTTCAAAGTAAAGGAGCTGTTTAATTGTCTATCGAACAGAAATATGTTCAAAACCTCTCTGTGGTGTGTGGAAACCTTTCCCCAGCAATACTTCGAGTCTTCCAAAAGCGGACTAGCGCCATAGTCCCGTGCCGAACCTGCGAAGGTGCAAGTCCATCGACTCCAGGACCTCCAATCCCTCCCATCCCCCACTCCACTCTATTCACAACCCCGCTGGTCTCCTCGGATCTGCCTTGTCAGAGACCATGCAGAAATCACGGGCTATCAATTCTGCCCTGGGTGCGCGGGCATTCACCCCGGCCCCGCGAGTCTCCGTCCACATCCAGCGCCGCAATCTCCAGGATGTCGCTATCACCCGCACAGGAAAGCCCATTTTGAAAGTCCAAGGTGGCCGGTAAGCATCCAATTGCTTCCTAACTATCTATTCATCGCTAATTTTTGTTATTTGCAGCTCTTCTCTCGGAGGTATCGCTTTGCCGCTTTCAACACCTTGATCTCGATCCAATATGCTCACCTCTCCGCAACAGGTTACACCGCGACTGTCTTTGGCGCAACTGGTTTCTTGGGTCGTTATATCGTCAATCGTCTTGGTAGGCTTCTTCGTCAATTCTATATCTGTGAAGGGATCGTGGAAGACTGACCCTCCACAGCTAAGCAGGGATGCAACGTCGTCATTCCTTACCGAGAGGAAATGGCCAAGCGTCACTTGAAGGTTACTGGTGATTTGGGCCGTGTCAGCTTCATTGTATGCAGATCCCTTTCCTCGATATACGGTGTTGGCAATTGAAGGATATATCTAACCACCTCGCAGGAATACGATCTGCGTAACACCCAGTCCATCGAGGAGAGCGTTCGTCACTCCGATATCGTTTACAACCTTGTTGGTCGCCAATACCCTACCAAGTGAGTGATAGATCTGGTTTTGCAGGGTGAGGGACACCTCCATTGACCGATTATAGGAACTTCTCCTACACCGATGTTCACGTTGACGGTGTTGAGCGCATCGTCGAGGCCGCCGCCAAGTACGATGTCGACCGTTTCATCCACGTTTCTTCCTACAACGCTAGTCGGGACTCGCCATCCGAGTACTTCTCCAGCAAGGTTAGTTTCAATCGACGGATACTTCGCATACAAATAAACTGAGACCGGAATTATAGGGATGGGGTGAGGAAATTGTTCGATCCATTTACCCCGAGACCACCATCGTGCGCCCTGCTCCCATGTTCGGTTTCGAGGACAACCTTCTCCACAAGCTTGCCGGTGTAGCCAACCTGTTCACTGCCAACCACATGCAGGAGCGTTTCTGGCCCGTTCACGTAAGTCGTGAAATCCCATACTAAGTTGGAAAAATCGCAATCTAATCACCCCTCCCACAGGCTATTGATGTCGGCAAGGCCCTTGAAGTCATGCTGCACGACGACAGCACTACCGGTCAGACCTACGAGCTGTACGGTCCTAAGAACCACTCTACTGCTGAGATCGCCGAGCTGGTCGACCGCGAAATTGTCAAGAAGCGCCGCCACGTGAACCTCCCCAAGGCTGTTCTCAAGCCTTTGGCCCACAACCTTAACAAGTTCCTTTGGTGGCACACCATGTCCGCCGATGAGGTGGAGCGCGAGTTCATCGATCAAGTGATTGATCCCACAGCCAAGACCTTCCAGGATCTCGGCATCCAGCAATCCGAGCTGGCTGATCTGGCTGACCTGACCTTCCACTACTTGGTAAGTTTTTCTTCTTCTTCTTCTTCTTCTTCTTCTTTGCATATACGTGATTAATAGATTATATACTAACTTGTCATGTAGCAAATGTACCGTAGCGCCTCTTACTACGATCTTCCCCCTGCCACTGAGCGTGAGCAGCGTGAGGAGAAGAAGTACCTGCATGTCCTGGACGACCAGTAGTCTGTGTTTTTAATATGTACATAAGCCGTCTTTAGACTCAAATTCCAATTTCCTTGTTGTCTGGATTTCTTTTTTACACAAGTACTAGATTTTTGAAACTCGATATCATCTTTTAGTTCCTTCCAATACATAATCAGTACCTTCTTCGACTAAGCGGCAACTTGAAGGTGACGTTTAGCAGTGAGAATAAATAGTGGCGTTCACTCTGCATACTACATAAAGCGGGTGGGTCCGGGAAGTCGACGGATATAAAGTCCAGGAGAGATAGATCACTAAGTAGTTTTAAAGCAGTCTTGAAATCAAAGCATTAAATATAATCAAAGATCAATTGAAAACTCATAAAGGTACAACCGAAAAATAAACTCCGTTTTAATTGAGTACGTACACAATGAAAAACAAGCAAAATAACCTACCCACCTTCAATGTTCTCTACATACTAGAAAAGCTCCCCACGTTCACGTGGAGATAGCCTATCTTCATCCAACACATTCATCAACCACACACCCTACACACAATGCCTCCAACTGAAACGCCAATTCTCCTCCTGAAAACCCGCTCATCACCTCACGATGGCTATGACGACTTCTTTACTGGAAATGGGTACAGACCATCATTTATTCCCGTGCTAGAACACCGCTTCAATGCACATAATCTAGCAGATGTGCGGGATCTCTTTGCAAGTGGTGCATTCAATCACGACCAAGGTCAAGATCAGAACAATGGAAAAGCTTGCTCTAAAGTCCGGGATACAAAGAGGAAATACGGAGGCATGATATTTACCAGTCAGCGTGCAGTGGAAGGGTTCGCGAATATGATTGAGGAAAAAGGCTGTAAGATCGCACCATTATAATTCAATCCAAGACATAATATGATCTATTTACTTAACGACACAAGCTAACCTTCTGCTACCTACATAGTACCATACGCTTCCTCAACCCCATTAATCCTCTACACAGTCGGACCAGCTACAGCTCGAACCCTCACAACCCTCCGCGATAAACATCTTCCATCCGCAACGATCTACGGCGCAGATGCAGGAAATGGCGAGAATCTCGCACACATGATTCTTCAGCATTACAATTCGATATATTCCGGATTCGAAGAGGAATATTCGAAGCCTGCTCTCCTTTTCCTAGTCGGTGATCAGCGGCGCGATATTATACCAAGAACTCTTATGGGGTCTGCACTGCCTTCTAAAGATCGAATTATAGTTGAGGAGATGGTGGTTTATGAGACTGGGGAGATGGAGTCGTTTGAAGGGGACTTTAGGGATAGCATATCGGGATATGCAGATGCGAATGAGATTTGGGTTGTTGTTTTCTCGCCATCGGGGTGTGAGGGTATGTTGCGAGTTTTGAAACTTGGACCATTTGTTCAAGGTGAAGAGGCTGGGCAAAAGCGAAAGGCCTTCATAGCTACGATTGGACCTACGACGCGGGATCATCTAAGGAATAAGTTTAGTTTTGAGCCGGATGTTTGTGCTGAGAAGCCTAGTCCTGAGGGCGTCGCTGAGGGAATTCGAAGATTTCGAGAATCGCGAGCAAAGGCTTGAAGTGGTCGTTGTTGTGGTTGAGTCATTCTTTCCTGTACTGTACATATAGTTGCGAAATATGCATAGATATATGGATGGCTTACGAAGAACCTAGAGGATGGACCTGAAAGGTACACAATTGAGCAAATCTCTGGATTTTGCTATTTTCAAGTGCTTTGCCTAAATCACAAGAGAATTCCCGCAGTTCCGCGCGGACAGATGGAATGAAATTGCATGCTCGCCAAAAAAAAAAATTACACACTCTCGCCCCAGTACTGGGTGGACGAGATACCTTACCGCATAATCTCCTCGTAAATCAGCACTATAATTCAGGTTAGTAATCTGGAAAACGAAGGGATTCAAAGGTCAGGAATACGAACTCTTCAGTTGCTCTTTGCTCAATGCATCCTTGTTCTTGTCAAAATCAAAGAATCCCTCGGGAATGGGAGGTGCTGTTGGCTCATCATCCGGGTCGTGATAGGGCTCCAGGTATGGGTGACGAAGAGCTTCCTCAACAGTGATACGCTTAGCTGGGTTGAAAGCCAGCAGTTTCTCAAGCAGATCTAAGGCTAGGTCGTTGCTCTTGGGGAAGAGGGCACGGAATGGGATCTTCTTCTTAAATGGGAGGGACCGAATGTACTCGCGGGCTCGTCTGGACTTAATACCGTAGTAATCTTCCATGGTGGGTGTGCCGAGAACATCCAGAATGAGGGTTAACTGGTGGTGATCTGGGTTAAGCAATAAAATTAGATTAACAGGTCTTTCTCCAAAGCGTGCGAATTTCTCAACTTACAATCTTTTCCGGGGAAGAGAGGCTTTCCGCTCAACATCTCTGCCAGAATGCAGCCCACACTCCACACATCAATAGCCTTGGTGTATTCCTTGAATGTCAACATAATCTCCGGGGCACGGTACCAACGAGTCGCCACGTATTCCGTCATGAATCCAGAGTTGTCGTCGGTGGATGCAGCCGAACGTGCTAGACCGAAGTCACACACTTTCAAATCGCAATTGGCATTCAGAAGAAGGTTAGAGGGCTTCAAATCACGGTGAAGTACGTTGGCGGAGTGCATGGCCTTGAGCGCACGGAGTGTTTGGTAGATGAAGTATTGGCAATGATCATCAGATAATTCTTGAGTGCGAATGACACGGTGCATATCGGTTTCCATCAGCTCCTACAGAAAGAGAGATCCCAACCCAACATTAGATATCGAACATTTGTTATAAGAAACACTGCTGAACTACATACCTGAATCAAGTACACTTCGCTGAAGGCCTCATAGTTGCGGGGTCGTTGGATATCCAAGATAGAAATGATGTTCTCGTGGTTAAAGTAGCGAAGCAGCTTCATCTCACGCAGAGTTCGGAGACAGAACATGGAGTGATCGAATGGGGTAATCTTCTTAATAGCGACTTTCTGGCCTGATGGCTTGTGGATGGCAGAGCTGTATCATTATCGTCATCGTCGTCAGTCTGGGTGGTCACCTCTCGTTAATCACCTCGGATCCAAATTCCAACTCACCAGACCACACCGTAGGCACCTTCACCGATGACATCTTGGATTTCATATTGATCAGAGACGTTGAAGGAGATCTTTCGCGAGCCTCCTGATGGAGTGGTTTGTTGACCCATGGTCTCGGTGCTGCTGAAGTATCGATGGCGGTTAGCTTTGAATATTGCAGGTAGTCTTAGAAGAGCACGAATGAAGTGCGGCATGATACAGAATACGATCCATTTCAAAATGAAAGAGAAATTTTCGAGGGGAGTATTATCAAGAAGGGTGGGGTTGGGGACTCGTTAAGTTTTGAGAGTTGGGGTCTCTTTCAATTTACTGAGGGGAAGCTCAAACGAGCATGAAAGAGCAAACGCGCAAAGCAACAGACGAATCGAGATCGGAGTAAAAGGCAGTTGAAGCTTACAGAGACTGGTTCGTTTGCGCTAAGGAGAGTAAAAAAGATGCAACTCCCGAATCTTCGGCTGTTTAGAGATTCCCGATTCCTAGAGGCTCCCACGATCTCTCCTAGAGCAGTCGAAGAGGGGAGATTGTCGCTAGTTCACCGTTCCCCGATAAACAAAGAGTGAGTCGGAGAAGCAGCAATTTAAAGCGTCCCGGAAGTCCAGAGTGTCAGATAACAGCTCGCAGACCAACGTATTTGAATTGTTTCGGGAGAGTTCTGAGTCGGTGTTAGTAGGTGTCAACACAAGTTGCGACACAAAATAGCGGGGGTTTCTGAAGAGAGTTTTGTCCCTCCCATGGCCATTGCCCAACTCAAACGGTGGATAAAGTCATATTCAACAGTGATATGAAAAACAAAGACCAACATACATTTTTCTGAACTGGCAATCGGAATCAGTGAAAAAGAGAAGGTGTGGAAGGTGGGGGAGAAGGAGGAGAAGAGGAACAGGAATCAGCGGGACTCAGCCACGGGTCGGGTTTGGTGGGGCACAAAGCAACGGAGCTTATAGGGAAAAGAGGAAAGAGAGAGAAATGGAAAATGGGCAAATAATAAGAAAGAAAAAGAATATAGGATGGAGATTGGTTTGTGATAGAAATGCATATAGACCTCTGCTGTATTCCGGATGGAGGTAAGGCTTAATATTGTAGCTGCTATACATCACATCTATTCTATACGGGTACATCTGTCTCCATACAAAACTCTACGTGCCGTGATGTACCTGGGACTAGAACCGTTCCGAACCTTGGCTCCTTCCCAAACTCCAAACCTCCAGAGTCGCAGTTTCCCCACTTTGCACTTTCACCACTTTCTTAACTTGTAAACATGATACTAGATTCAGACACAGAGTACCTACTCTATCCATCTATCTTCTTCTTCTTCTTCTTCTACTATAACAATATCCATCTCTTGTACAAACATCTCACTCCTTCCTCCAGGGCTCCTCCCAACTGCATGGTAAGCATCCCAAGGCTGAAGATCTCCCCAACCAACTCCGCCACCAGCGCCAAATCCCCCCTCGTCACTTGCACACGCTACTGTCGGAACCTGATCACAATCACAAAAGTGACTCTCTCCACCCACCTATCCATGCTGATTGGAGCGCTGTGTCCTCGTCGGTTTCACCCCTGTTTCTGGCCCCTCATTGGTCTGTAGATCAGCTCCTGGGCGACTAATTTCAAATTCGAAACTCCTCATCAGTGCGTTAGGAGCCTCTCTACCAGCCGATCGGTGCATAGAGAGGAAGATACTGTAGAAGTATAGATCGTGGATTGCCAATCAACACTGGGTGGTTTCATGCACTTCAAACATTCCGTCATATTCTAGGTTCCAAACAAGCGCTGGGGTGATCGTGATCTTTCTTGTCGTTGCCCAATGCGGGTCCCCTGCCAAGTAATCTGCGTACTACATACATCATGTTTCATAGCTCTAGCCCTGGCCCTGGCTGCCAGGTACAGTACGAAGTACCTACTGTACATGTAGGTGGGATCCAGCGGTCTGGTACACCGGCTTTTGGGAGCTATCCATTCTGGATTTTTGACTAGCCTTTTATGGTGTAAAACGGATAGTTATGGGTTACTACGGAGTGCTCCGGTGGTGGGTGACCCTACACTTAAAATCGGTTGCGCTGCCCGAAAGTAGGTATACTCAGTAGTACAATCATCCTCGCATTGGAATTGGACAAAGTCAAGCAGTGTAAAGCCAGAAGCTGATTTTGCTGGACACAATATTCTTCCTTTCGCTTGTAGATTTCAAACACACAAAGAATGAAAGAAGAAAACAAATCAATGGGCTGTTAAACAACATGTACCCCTTATACCCTCAACTTTCTTCCTCCCAAATGATCTACCGGGATTTCCAAACATGAACAGGCCCGCCGTGAACAGAGAGAGATCCGAGCCCCTACGTATTGGTACAGGCGCGTGAAAGACCGATCATAACAAGTAACGTTAAAAGATAAGTGGAGGAATGGGGGGATTGGATTGGATTGGATGGGATGGAATGGGACGGAGGGGAAGAAAACGTCAACTCGTGAGAAACAAGAGTATGGAAATGAGAAACTAGAGCTTGCGATTACTGCACAACCTAAGAGATTATAGTCATTTAGTAAAGATTCAGCATCGAGGAAGTTATCCAAGCCAATGAAATCCTTGGGATTTTCATACCTTCTCTCGAAGTGTAGTCATCCATTGATCCAGGCTCATACTCTGGTCGGCCCGATCCTCCACCAACATCGTCTGGGCCCAAAGACGGAGACCAGGTTCCCCATCCTCGCGAACCACGTATAAGTGGGGTACGATCATACTGCCCACTCCCTTGGATTTATGGTCCCGGCTCTTCTCCACTACAGCACGCACGCGCTGGTTAAATTCGTTGTCGAGCTCGGGCAGAGATGACTTGCCCACGATCAACTGGTTGCGGTCGGGTGCACCGAACACGTCTTCAATGAGCTGTGGTACCGCGTCACGACCAACCCAGAGGAACTGTGCCTGACCATCATCAATCAGGTACAAGCCGTATGAGGCAAGACGCTGAGAGGACAAGTTGACCGTTGGGGGAAGAATGGTCTCCCCAGTCTGGGGATCAGGAATACCTGCGGAGTCGGGCATGTCATGGAGCGAGTACATCTTGGGGTAGATGTACTGGATGAGAAGGGGCAAGGGCAAAGTCGACAACAGACACAAGGCGGCGGATCGCATATCCGTCGGAATCTGGGCAGATTTGCGAAGACCAAGCTAGAAATAATTCAATAAGTACCAAAGTTATAAAAACAGGTTGACGAAAAAGCAAGGAGAAGGATGTATCACAACTTACATTCTTAATCATGGAAAGGAACAACACAGGCAGACCACGCAAGTTAGCTGGGAATTGGAGACCACCACCGCTCACGCTACCACCAGCCAGTTCTTTGCGGTAGGTAGTCAAAAGCTCGATAATCTTGGCCTGGAGAGCCTCACGAGCTGGCTCAAGACCACTGCTCAGAGTACGCTCAACCGCTTTGTGGCTGAAGAAGGTTGCCACGGCCTGCTGATCGGCTGAAGCATAGATGTCTGCGAGGTTCTGTGTGGTTGGCAGCGCCAAGGTAAGGACACGAATGCGACGCTCGCCATTGCAGGTAGTGTGCAGCACCGCGGCCTGCATACAGACAACGGGTTTTGTGACAGTCTCATCGATGGCCACCTCAACAACGTACGCCTGATCACGAGGAAAGGCGGGGAATGCGCAGAGGTCAGAGCTGCGGTTGAAGAAGTTTCCGTAGAATGTGCTCATGCGGAGACCAGTAGTAGCACGCACACGGAGAACGGCTTCTAAACCAATCTCGGAGGACAAGAATGAAGAGAATTCCTGAGCAAACTTCATGGCATCCTCTTTGCGGTTGGCGTTCCAACCGGGATAGAAGTAGGTCTGACCACCAGTGTAGCGAGGCAGGTTACTCAATGATGCCACGTCCTGGTACTGGGCGGAGAAGAGGAACATATCCACAGACACTTGAGCTTTTGAGCATTCAACGGCGAAGCTCTTGTAGAAAGAGTTACCGGTCTGGAGAAGACTGGACTCCTTACTTGTGCCCAGCACCTTCTTATCCTCACGCATAGTAAGTGCGCCATGGCCAATGTTTGGCAGAGAGGCACTCAAAACAGTCATTTTACCACCGACAGGGGAGATCAGCTGGTAGCCAGCTCTGAGAGCGGAGCCCATGGCGCAGCTGTTGTTCTGGGTGTTCTGGAACATTTCCTGTAACTTGTCGAGGAAGGAATCCACATTCTCTCGGCATTCACTCAGCGTGACCAAGAGGTCAGTGGGGATGGGCAGGAAGGGCTCATCAAGGTCGCTGACCACCAACATACGGGCATCCGAGCTCTCAGAGCCATCGCGGGGGATACTGAAGTAATGCAAGCTCGAATCCACTGCAATGAAGCCGAGGCGTGTTCGGCGGTCGGCATTAGGAATTCGATCGAGACTCTCCTTGATGCAGCGTGCGCTTGTAGCCAAGAGACCGCTTGCTACGGAAGAGTAGCTAACATCGATCAAGAACAGATACACGAGCGGCTGAGGAGGGCGAACCATGTATTCTTGAGGCGCAACAAACTCGACCATGCTGTGGTTCAGATCATCGCGCAGAGCACGGTCTGCTGGTTTCTGCAAGGTCGAATCCCAATCGAACGCCTGAGGAACATCATTGGTAAGGTTACACATGTTACAGCGCCAGCGGTGGCCATGGTCAAGGAAGGTGACGAAGGGATTGATGTATGATCGGCAGCGTCTGCATCGTGAGATGACCTGGTCTGGAATCACAGGAATGGGGTCCTCTGAATCGTGAAGAGCGCCGTATGGCTGAATAACAAGAGCGAATGGAAGCTTGGACTTCTTGAGGAGGGAGTTATTTGTCGGGACAGCATTCAGGGTCGAGCGCATATACTTTGTGGGGACATTGGCTGTGGGGGACGGGTAAACACTGGACTGTGGATTGTCAGTAGGAGTCACCAATTGAAGATCAGACCATAACAATGCTAAGACGTACTCCGGGAGGCAGAATAATGGGAGGAGGAGGATAGTCCAATTCTGCGACGTTGAAAGGTTGGGAGATAAGGTCCGTAGGGTAGAGCTGATTGAGCTGAACATTACGCTGAGGCTGGACCGCTGGCTGTTGAGGCGGGGGCATGTGGTGTGGCTCGGCCATTCCCATGCCACCGAATTGCTGTGTCATTTGCGAAACACCGGCGTCTGGTGCTCCATAGCCTGCAGCTGGTTGTTGCAGCTGGCTGGGGTCAGCACCGTATGTGGGTTGTTGGTATCCCACGGGCTGCTGAGCTTGCTGGGGGTAGGCATCGTAGGCACCTCCTGCGACAGGCTGTCCTCCAAGAGCAGCATTGGCACCGGCGCCAAACTCAAAAGCTTGACCAGCATATGTTCTCTTCTTTTTTCCGCCCGCAGCTGGTGCTGGCCCCCCCCTGTGGGGGAACTGGTGACTGCTCTGTAGGATCCGGGGATCCATAGCCCGGCTGAGCATACCCTTCCTGGGGAGGGTAACCCCCTTGTGGAGCTGCCATAGAGTTGTGCGAGGTTCGGTCTAGTCGGAACTATCTCGAGGGGGTAGGTGAGAGATGCGAGACAGAAGTTGTGAGGTCGGGAGGAATGGGTTGGTTGATATGGAGGGAGAGGGGCGCGGGTGACGGACTTCGCTGGAACCCCACAATCAAGATGTCAGCATAAATCAATAGAAAGTAATAAATTCGGACAGATGAGGAACAATTAATTGATATGGGCTCAAGACATACCAAGACGAAGACACAGTGGATCGAACACACAGAGAAGCGGTGATGGAGTGATGGTGTACGGTGGCCTTTAGGTTGCGGCAGTCCAGCCAATCACGAGACAGCGGAGCTTAAGGTGTTGCTGGAGGGTTTTGACTGTTATACGTGCAATGCATGGAAAATGTGCTAGACGGAGTTATGTATTTCTATTAGGTTAGTATATGAATGATAGAGCTATGAATTATACAATATATCTACTTATTCAAGAAGAATGGTGACATATAAAGTGCCAGGGGGAAGAAGTCTGGTGGTACTACTAGTACTCAATACATAACTAGTATATATGTGCGGCAAAACTAGTGTACCTAATGCATACAACTTTGAACATGTCCAGTCTTTCTACATGATAGTCGCCTTTCCGCTATTCGTAGTAGTTTTTCTGTCTATGTAGAGCCTACAGTACAGGCAGTGGTATACTAGGTAGACGGTCAAAGTTATCTATGGCCAAGGGGGTTATTCCCGGTTATTCGCTACATACTATGTATGGGCTCTCGTAAACACTGGCAGCTAAGTTCAAGTTGATGCATCATATTCTCGATTTCAAAATAGGTAAATTTTGTAACTATAATTAATACAGTACTCATCGATTAATTCAAACTCTCCAAAACGACCCTATGGTTCAAATGTTCATGTTCAAGAATGTGTGCGGTCGAATAACGGTATCGCAGTGTTGTTGCCCTGCCAACCCTCAACGACGCGAGTGTCTTTTCACTAAGGAACTCGTCCACCATCATGATCTTCCATCCTCTGAATCTTTTGTCACCAACGGTAGGTACTTAGTTAGTTTTTTTGCGTTTTTTTTTGTTGGTTCTTTTCAGTTTCTGTGGAGGATAGCATTTATATTATCTTTCTATTTCTCTTGTCTTCTATTCGGTCCTTTCCGCAATTCTGAAGTCGACCTGCGTCAACGCATCCCACCAATCGAACCCTCGAACCGAACGTGCATGCGTTGATCCACCACAATGAGCGTTCGAGTTGTCGCCCGCGTTCGACCGCTCCTCAAGGCTGAACGAGACCTCGATGTCATTCTTCGCACCGGAGCATCAGCTGCTCCAGCTGCAGCTGACGCCAAATCGCAAGAGTCTGGAGATAGAAAATTGGCGGCTTTGAGAGACAGGGATAATGTAGTTCGGATTCCAAACCCGAAGAACGAGGGCGAGGAATACTCCTTCCAGTTCAATGCTGTGTATGACGCCGAGGTGGCTCAGCAGGAACTGTTCGATGCCGAGGGTAGGTGCTTTTCCCAGGGGAAGGAGTGTCGAGAAAGTCATTCAACGCGATATACGATATTGATCGAGCGATATATTAGTTGCACCAACCATCAAACACCTCTTCGACGGATTCGATGTCACACTTTTCGCGTATGGTGTTACTGGGACTGGAAAAACACATACGATGCGCGGTGGTAAAAGCCTCGCGGACAGAGGTGTCATCCCTCGATTACTAAGTGGAATCTACCGCCGGAGTCGAAAAATGGAGAAGGACAGCAATGGGGAGACAACCGTTCAAGTAGCGCTCAGCTATTATGAAATCTACAACGACAAGGTTCATGACCTCTTCGAACCACCCGAGAAACGGACCCTAGCTGGACTTCCTCTTCGCGATAACGGGGGCAAAACTGTGGTTGTCGGACTCACCGAGAAAGCATGCACTAGTTTGAAGGAATTTGAAGGGCTTTATGACCAGGCAAACAACAACCGCTCAACTTCAGCAACCAAGGTACGTCTAGCAAACCTTGAAAAAGGAAATCCGCGTCATTGTCTCGGCACTGACAATATGAATGAAGTTAAACGCGCATTCATCTCGCTCCCACGCAGTCCTCGGAGTGAAGATCACCATTCGCTCGCCCGATCAGACTCGAGTCAGCACCGCCTCTGCGATCGATCTTGCTGGCTCGGAGGACAACCGCCGAACAGAGAATGATAAAGAGCGCATGGTAGAGTCGGCCAGTATCAACAAGAGCCTCTTCGTGCTCGCTCAATGTGTGGAAGCAATTACCAAGAAGCAGCACCGCATTCCGTACCGCGAGTCTAAAATGACGCGAATCCTGTCCTTGGGCCAAAACAACGGACTAACAGTGATGATTCTCAACGTTGCACCTGTTCGATCATATCACTTGGATACACTAAGCTCATTGAATGTAGCCAATCGTACGAGAAAGATTGAAGTGCGAGAGATTGAGAATGATCCAATTTTCAAGGGCCCTGCCAGACCTGCCCCACGTCCCTCAATGGCCGCTTCTCGACAACCCTTGCGGCCCCTTACTGCTTCTGTCAACGTAAATATGCCTGCGGCTACACCCAAGGACTCGGAAAACAAGGATGATGCCAAGCCAATGAAGGCTTTCAGCGTCTTTTCTGACCGGCCACAAGCTAAGCCTGTGACCCAGATCCGCAAACCTGACGCTCTCAAAAGGCCTTCCCTTGCCTCCGAGGCGCCCAGCACACGTTCTTTGAAACCCCGCCAAACACTTGGCCCAAGCAATATCCCATCAAGTCATGCAGATATCTCTGCTGCTAGGATCGAAGCCATGGTTGAGAAGAAAGTGGAAGAGATACTGGCCGTCCGGGCTGTAAGCGAACAGTCAAGAAATACTCAAGTTCGCGAACTAAATGACCAGCTTCAACGTCGTCTCGAGCTCCTTGAGCAACGCATCGAAGGATCCGAAGATGCTCGAGCAGAAGGCCTTTCGTATCTCCTTATGGCCAAGCAACACCAAGCTCGGGGTGAGAATAGCTCCGCGTTGCGAATGTATCAGCTTGCACTTCCTCATTTCCCTAACAATGAAAAACTTGCGAGAAAGATTTCCATTTTGAAAGAGCGTCTCCAAGAGAAGTCTTCTTACCCTCGGCAATCACTTGCAACTGCCTCTCCTAACAAGGGAAAGTTTGGAAGCATGCTGTCTCTCAAGAAAGAGCCAACACTCACTCTTCTTGGAAAGCGTCAAGCCGATGAAGTTAATGATTATCACATGAATAATGCTGGCGATGATGGATTCTCAAGTGACGATGATATCCTGCCTCGACAGAACAAAAAGCGTGCCACATCTAAGAGCCTTCATCAAAGCGCCGAAAATGTGGATTACCTAGACGAATATGAGAATGGTTCACTTTCTCCTCGATCCATCCATCTCTTGTCTATTGTCAACTCAAGGGATGTTAGCCAGATCAAACTGTTGAAGGGCGTTGGAGCCAAGAAAGCCGAAGCGATTGTCGACTGTCTCTGTGAGATGGACCAGACATCAAGCGAGGATGTTGTTTCGGATCAGCCTTTGTTTCAGGTGGGTAGTTTGGCCCAGCTGAGTACTCTGAAGGGCGTGGGCGTGCGGACTGTTGAAAACATGCGAAACGGAGTATTGGTCTAAATGTGCATTTTGAGGCATTGGGCATTATTTTTGGGGCATTTGTGAGTTTTTTCTTTTATATATGCATCTTCCTTTAGCGACGGTGCTGGGGCGTTATGATCGCTAGGTTCAATGCGGGTTTGGCATTGCGTCGATTTATCAGACAACTGCGTCTATTTACTTTTACAGTAGTATTCGAAATCAGATTTACCTCCACACTCTTCGACTTTAATTCCCGAACCCTAATTTGAGATACGCTAGCCCAGATATGGTATAAACGTCGATCCCCTTGTTCCTTGAATAGAAACTGTATCTTACATGACGCAGGTGGAACCTTGTCTTTTATAAATTACAGGAGACTGCTATACTACTCCACCCCTTTTCTCTTCCTGAGTAATAGGCTTCTCCTGTAAATAACTCTTGACCGATACCTTACACTAGGCTTGCAATATGGCCCTAAGACTTATCCCCTTAAAGCTGTATCTTATCCGTGATATGATAGAGAGTTAGTCACTAACCATAGCTTAAATAGTTAGCTGAAGAGGCCGAATGCAGTAAGGTTATGATTATAAATATCCGCAGAAATTTACAGTAGTTTAGTAGTATCTATATACCCCTAACTTACATAGGTTAGAAACTAACTGTGATACCTCTAATAATCGACGTGCTCTACAACTACTTGTCGGAATTGCTGGGCCTATATCTTAATAAGATAGCTATCTTTTTCTAGGATAAGTTTCGTATAATAATTATAACCTGTAGTATTAGAAGAGTCCTTATCGCTAAAGGATGGTCCAAAAAGATAGCCCGATAGTATATAAAGAAGTATAATACTAATTTATAAGAACTTTATCTTTATAATTTGTCGGATTTTTAGTCGTATTATTTAGTTTGTATAGATTAATTAGGATATAATAAGCGGGTCAGGTTTAGGTATATAGGCTGGTTACTGTTTAGCATAGTCCCTTTACAGGTATCGCAGTTCTATCGCAACTAACGATATTAGATACTACCTATGTACGCCTAGAATAGGATTTTCTCTTATATGTATTCCGCGATGTAACCAATAGCTCTGTATTCAAAGATTTTTTATCTCAGCTTCTTTAGTACTATGGACGATAACCGGAACCTAAATCTGTTATAGTCATGGATAATACGTCATTCCATTATTCAGAACGGATTTTGTAGATATGTGCGGCCGCGGGGTTGAAATTAGTATATCTGCCTCCTTACTCACCGGACCTGAATCCGATCAAGAAGTTTTTTGTAGAGCTGAAAAGCTTTATTAAACGAAACTAGTGTTACTATGAAGTGGATCCAGGTCAGGGATTTAATATATTCCTCGCATGGTGTATTAACAAGGTTGGTGTAAAGATAGAGAGTGCTATAAGTCATTTTCGGCACTCCGGCTTAAAGATAGAAGTTTGCGAAACTTGAACGCAATTTGTGGTGGTCACAGGAGAAACTGTTTATCCTCCACCACCGCCACAGCTACCACCATTGCCCCCACTGCTTCCTCCACTCGGCGCGGTACGAACGTTCAGGATAACAATCAAAAACCGTTTAGATTAGCTTAGCTTCATCTACGTAATTCTCGCGACTCACAATCTCAGTATCGCAGTAAAGGGTTTGACAGCTACAGGTGCGCTCGAAATCAGCTTCACCTTATACACGTAGATTCTTTTCTTATCTTGAAACACGATAGTCTATCTTTGGTTTAGCCCACCATAAGATCTCGATTCGTTGTAAGCAAAAGTCACATAATTGGTGGCTGGGTACTTTACTAGAAACACTAATATGGTTCAAATCGAGCCCTCCATGCGACCATAAGGCCACACATATAACAAGGGCTGGATTTGCGCATTCATCGCTATGCCAAGCAATTAGAAGTTTCTACTCTAGTTCAGGTTGATAGGGGTTAAAATGGTAACCTGTTCGAGTTGTGGAGGCCAGATATAAAGGTTCAGGTGGTACATTCGAACGCAACATTCATTCAAGGAATTCATTTTTTTTTTGCTTGATGTCTTGCAGCGAAAGCTGCTTTTCTATCTTCTTCACGATGTCGTCAATCTCGGTGGATCTGATACATAGGCTTGTATAAGAACTTTTCAATGATCAACCCCATCTCGCGAGATCTGAAAGCTCCAATATCGCGAGGTCTGAAGCCTCGATCCAATGCGTCCTTTATCGATTCGTACCAAATTTCAGCATAGGATGCTTTCCAATCTTCAATGAAAGCTTCGGCTTGAGCCATCGTCTTAAATTGTTTATGACATGAGCCCCCCTTCTCGGTGACTTCCCTCTCAGCACCTTTTTTGCCACTAAACCTTGTAAGCTTTCAGGAACGTCTCGATAGTGGGCACTTCGGCAAGACCTACTGGTAAAATGGATAAGTACCAGGATTTGCCCCATTCGCAACCGCATAGAATCCATTTCCATCTAAAGGAGTTGTTTCTTCAGCTTCGCTCTTTATGATCTCCTTGGGCTTGGCCGCCCCCATGATTTCCATGTAGTCGCGTGCTTCTTGAAGGGTGGGGTAGCTTTCTTTTAATGATGAACACCCTGTCATGCGAGGATGCGCATGTCCCCTACCATTTCGGTCAGGTCAAGCTCAAATCTGTTATCTAGAAGAGAAAACATACTACGATGAAAATATGGTGGGCTCCTTGATGCGCCCTGTAAAGAGCGCGTAGTATTTGTTGTTCTTTTGTTGCTGCAGCATGGCCTAGGCTAATTAGCATGAGGCACGTTTGCAAGATTGCTTAGATAGCGGTAGTGCTTTGAGCAGGAGAACAGGATATTGGTGGTAATATTTCATGACAGTCATGTCACATGAGTCTAACCCGATTCAAATCAGATGAATCATTAGGTTAGCCGATTCTGTGATGCGGTCGATTCTATCTAAACTAATACACAGGGTCTCTCACAGTGCCTTGAACTTAGTGCCACTAGAGATGAGAAACCTCTAAGGTAAACCCCATACTAAACCCCATACAGTCATTCTTGAAATCGGCTTAACCGATACACATATGATATTTATTTTCTGGATCCACTGCCAAGGCGTTAGTGTGGATGGATCATTGCGGGCCGCGTGAGATTGAGGGGCTGGGTAAAATGCGCTTTACATATTACAGTACCTAACTACGTAGAATTACACATTGCATACGAAAGGTCCGTGGAAGTCCATAGAAACCTATAGTGGATCTCTACAAATCATGCGGACAGGGCCCCCTGGCGATTACTTCCTAGACGATCTACTAGGCGGCTTCAACTTACTTCAACCTGTACGCCAGATATCCCTGTGCCGGTCATCACTCCTGATCGATGTTTCTTTGCATCATAACGAATGATACCACAGGAAAACTACTTGACTTAGCTGGTGTCTTGGCAGTGGGGCTTCAAAAAATGTATTTCTTAATGACACTAGTTTTACTTGTGTCTGTATTTACTCCATGACATGGCTTTTCTTTGTGTTCTCTAGTGGTGGCAGCCACTCTTTCCGCCTTTTACAGAAGAACTCCCTCTGCGGTGCCCACCCCTCCGCACTGGGGCCTAAATCCATCGTCCCCATAGGGATGATGACGGCGTCCTCGAACATAGGGTTAGTGACGAACATAGACGAGCCGCAATTCGAACAGAACGAGCGTGCGAGCGTGTTCCCCGTGTCTGTTGCGCTGTCCTCGTATATTTTTAGGAATTCCTGTCCCGCAAGAACCCGTAATTGCTATAAAACAAGGAATCAGCTTGAGTTTGAAGATCAAAAGTAATAATAACCCTCTTCGAAGTGTAGTGATCTATACAGGTTTGTGGTAGAAGCTATTCGCCATAAAGCTAGCTCCCGTCGATTTGCGACAGTTATTGCAGTGGCAGAGGACGGTAGTTTTAGGGACTCCGGTGACTTCGTAGCGGATCTTTTGACAAAGACAGCTGCCAGTGATGGTGACGGAGGACATGTTGTTTAGGAAGATAAAGGAGATAGTATTCTGCTATGTTTCAAAGATCCATAGATAGGAGAAATTTGAATGAAGAAATGTGGTGTCCTCTTGAAAAATCAAGGATGCCTCTTTAGATTTATGGCTGGAAGGCCCTCACTTTATCTGATTAGCAGAGATCCACCATATGTTTCTATGGTATTCCAGAGAATTCCGTACGCATTCTGTAATATTATGTAAGTGGGTATTTCGTACAAGATGTATTTCCCATATCCCTCAACTTCAAGCGCCCGCTCAATGATTTATCTGCGCTAAGGCCTTGGAGGTAGGGCCAGAAAAGAGTTACTCAGTGTGCATTGGTCAAGCCGATTTCGAGAATCACTGTACTAGGAAGTCTACCGTACAATCTTAACCGGATAAGCAGAATAGCACCACACTGCCCGGAGCAGGAGTGGGAGCTATGGCTTAGGCAATTTACAGCACTGGGATATAAGCAAAAAAACATGTAATGTTCAGACTAGCTAGATACATACAGCATAGCGTCATGCAAGATAAAGTTCAAGAAAGGACCGGAGAGAATTAAGTGGTGAAACTGATTTCGAGCGTGTCTGTAATGTGAACAGCTTTTGATTGTTACTCTGAACGTTTGCGCTGAGCCGAGTGGAGGCAGTGGCGATGGGGATCGGGGCGAAGTGGGTAGTTGATTGTTGACCTTGTACCCGCTTTTCGCCCAGACACATAAAGATGCTGGCTATATAATTTTGTTAAAATTTGCTGGGGTTGCTTGATTTGCGCAAGAGCTCTCAAAAATGAAATGGGCAGAATCGCAGAACTCAAAAAATCCTTTTTAGAAAAAACAAGAGATATAATGATATAAATTCAATATAAGCAGCTGAGAGCCGTATGTTCTAATATTATCAACCAAATACAAAAAGTAGTTATACCCCCCAAATGCCTACCTTGGTTATACTAAATGGTTTTATAAATAGGGGTTGCTTTCTTTATGCTCTCGACCTAGCGCTGAATGTCTTATACGAATCGTCGAGTAATACCTATTTTTATGTCCTTGCTAATGAAGAACTCCGGGTCTTGATCCTGATAGATCTGCTTAAGGTTAAGGCTATTCTTGAGTATTATATCATAGACTTATTGAAATGTAGTCTTAAGTAAATTATTAGTAATATTAGATACCTGCTACTTACTGTATTTCTTAATAGCTTTATTCCTAGGCTTAGGAATCTTAAGTGAGCTTAGATCTTTCGGGTTAGTGTCTGGTTGGGTAATAGAAATGTCTAATCTAGTGGCGGTAGATTGTGAGGGATGAATATTGATATTAATAGGAGGATATACTATCTTGTTTCCTATAATATATTCCCCCTTATAACTTTTCTTCTCTAGTCTTTATTGTTCTTCTATATATAATTCTTTATATACTATTTATAGTATATCTTTGTAGTTGTTTAATATCTTATCTTCTTTGATATAGATAATGAGGTGTTTTAAATGGTGGGTTTTTAGTTAGTAGTGCTTTTTCTTTGTTGGATCTATCTAGTAGTAGGGATTAGAGGAGTAAGCTATAGAGTTATATTGTATTAGATTATAGATATTATACTAGGTAGGTTTTTATCTAGAAGTATCCTACTCTATATTGAGTTATGTATCTCTCTTTTTAAGTATTCTTTTGTGAAAGAGGATTTCTCTCTTTTCTTTCTTTTCTGATTAGTAGTAGGGGGAGAGTAATATTTGTCTATATAGTTAAAACAAATCTTTAATATAAGTTCTTTGTCTTAAGAAAATAGCCCTAGCTATATTAGAAGCTGCTTCTTGATAGTGGTCTAAATAATATTGGTATTATTAAATTATTTAGTTAGATTATGCTAGGTACAATTATTGATTAAAATGGTAATAGTAGTGTTATTAGTTATAACTTAATAGTTGTACCTAATCTTTTTTTGTTCTTTTTTAACAATGTCTTTTCCCCAGACTTGAATTTGAAACTTTCCAATGTCTGGAATCTTTGATGTGTGTTTACATAGTTCATTATGAAACACTATCAAAGCCTGGGTACTGGATCATTTGACGCTGTCATGTCTATAATGCTGTATAATTAATATTATAGGGGGATTGCTGGTATCATGACCTTGGAACTCTGAACAAAATGGTATCACACTAGATCATATTATCTAATAGCTTGCGGTTCCACTGTCTATGAATTACTGTATATCAATGATGTTACATACATCCAATCATTGTGTATACGAAACAATTGAGAACTCATTACTACGAAGAAACCCCATCCGTCGATATTGTGTAGGTGTGCCGGCCATAGTATAGAGGTGTGGGAGTATGAAAGAAACGGGCCTAAAATAGGAAGGTCCTTTCCACGGCAAATTCCCCTTATTAATTTTCGGCTCATTATCTTAATAGCTGGCCTATTATATAGGATTCAAATTGAAGCAGATTGACTCGCTCATATTTGTTTCTGATTGAAAGTTGAAAGCTTTACAATTCTGCAAGCCGCGAAGCAAGTTTGAGGTACTATACTAAAAATCGACCTTATGATAACTTCCTGAAGAGTAATTACAGAATATTTGTCATGCTCGCTATCTGAATGGAAAATATCCCTTCATTCAGCCACACATTTCATTTGAACAAATCCGTTATCTTCGTTTATGTATGAGTCGAGCATAACTCGTCCTTTTTTGGTATTTTTTGCCTCCCAATCAATTGAGTCAAAATTGTGCAGAGGATATTTGCAGAATCGCTTATCTCTCGGCCAACGGCAGTCAAACCACAAGGCGAATATTTCATGCACGATATCCCATTTCTCCCTCTCATCATATTCATTCAAAAGAGAATATTTCCTCCATACGTGGAGAGGCCTGTGAACAAACCTCCTCCGACAATGCAGAAGTGCATCATTGTCATGACTAAACTTTTCCTGATGGGTAGCGCAGTGCTGAGGTTTATTAATGGTGGCCTTGGCTAAAATCCGAAGACAATACCATACCCCCAAATCATATACAATGTCCTTTCGGGTTGATTTGTTTGGGAATAGGCTGAATGCGGTCTGTGCCTCTTCAATCAGCTTCTCCACTGGGTCTTTAGGCTGAGGTGGATAGACTGGTCGGATCTCCTAAGTCGTTTTGCCTTCTGATTGATCGAATGTCTCGCTTGTTTCGCTTGCTCTTCGACGTTTGCCAGGATCGCTTGAAGCCATTGCAGATGACAAATTATTCAAGGAAGATCAATATCTATCGTACCAGAAGAAAGATGTTTGGTTTTGAATAGCGAGTATAATAGAAGTACAGTGTAACTCAAGAAAATCGTGCATTGTGCTTGATTATAGGGACGACAGGACGGCTATTTAGGTATAGTCGAGGGGGATGATATAAAAGAGCGATAAATATAGCTAAAACGGACCGTGTGACAGGAAAGGGATATTGTTGAAAAAGACTTCATAGAAGAACAAAGAGAATAGGTTATACAACAGAAAGTCTAATATCAATCGCTATCGGCTGCCATACTTGAAGAACAGAGTGCAAATGGGAGAACACTCTTCCCTTTCAAGTCATCAAGTACCAAACTTGAATTTGAAACTTTCCAAGGTTGGGAATCTTTGTGCATGTTTATCTACTATATATGTAGTCAACACTAGCAAATACTGGCTTACTAGATCACTTGACGCTATCATGCCTACGGTGCTGTTTAAGTAATTATAGGATAATTGCTTATATTATAACCCTCGACAAAAATAGTACACCGCACGATTAGATTGTCTATCAAGAGGTCAGATAGGAGATATTCAGATATATCCTATTTTCTCTATATCCCATTTCGTGCGTTTCTAATGGCACCCGGAGCAAGTGATACAGTGATGTACTTACTGGAGTGGAAATTGGGGAGATGACGGAGAAGATTTGATAAAAATACATGCAACGAAGCAAGAAGTGATGATACCCACGATCTGTTGTCTATATCAGATTTATATTCACTCATTATTATCTATATGGTTATTTGGACTTTTTGCACTAAATACAACTTATGGCCTGCGCACCTACACATGTTATACCTTGAGTGCAGTTCCTCCAACAACGATTCTAGCAACCACAAACAGCGACGCTCCAACGACCATGACGACACCAGCAAAGATTTGCAGCTTCGTATAAGAGTCCGTCAACACACTAGGAACCAAAGCACCACCAATCGGAGTACCAGTAAGAGCTGCGATGGAGATAATGGAGAAGCAAGTGCCGTTGCGGAACCCGATCTCCCTCAAGTCTGAGATCTGGGCGATGAGAGCTGGTGCAAGAGATACGAAGGCGCCCGAGCCGAAGCCATAGAGGGCACTGAACAAGATGGCGGGGACATTGCCTCGGGACGGAAGCCATAATGCCAGCACAAGGATTCCAGAGAAATAACTGAAGAAGATCATGATGTTGTATCGCCCAAGTCGGTCGGCCAGGTAACCTGGAAGGGTACGACCGAAAATACTAAAGAGAAACAAAGGTTAGAGAGCGTGATAAAGTTGTCGTAGTACGAGAAGGCTTACCTAGCTGCATTCAGGATCGGAATCAAATACTGCGATAGATCGGACGACATGCCATACTCCTCAGCCTGGGTAATGACAAAAGTAAAAGGCAAGAACATGCCCCAGAAGAAACAGAAGGCCGCAGCGACAGTGACCACGAATTTAATATCCGTGAGAGGCTTAAAAAAGTTCCAAATCTTAAATGGCTTTTTGACATGCGGCAATCGCGACTTGAGAGTCAAGTTGGCAATACCAAGCATGAAGAGGATCAAAAATGCGCATATCCTCATAGCCCACCCGAAACCAACCTGGGGAATCAATTGGGAGACCATAATAGGGAAAATGACTCCACCTAAACTGGAGCCGGAGGCTGTAACGCCAAGCGCGAAGGCACGACGTTTCGCGAACCAGGTGCTAACGGAGTTCACGGACGCGTTGAAAATCGCACTTGCGCCAAGTGGGCTGCAGATTCCCTGTGCGAGGATAAATTGGTAATATTCAGTGGAGAGAGATGTCATCATGAGACCGAACACATGCAACAAGGTGCCGCCTAGCAGGATCCATCGCGGGCCATAGCTATCGAACAAGTATCCGAAGATCGGACCCTTGTAGACCAAGAATCAGTATGAAGGTTCTCTTAGCTCGGTATTAATAGATGTAACTAACCGCAAAGAACATGACGAAGGTCTCTAGCGAGGTGATCCATGCCACCGTGCTAGGTGACATATGGTCGAGTTGATGGCTTTCATAGTACGTTTGGAAAACACCAATACCTAGAACAGATTAGCAAGTGCCCTCCCAATCATTTTTAGTGAATATGAGGGGTAATCTTACAGTTTATCCAGCCAAAACTGACGAAGAGACCGCAGAATCCTCCTAGGACCGTCATCCAAGCCGGGAATCCTCCATCTGGTGGTGGACCTAGCGCGGGAGGTCCCGCAGGAGGCGCATCCGATTTATCCGTCTTAACTGTAGCATTCGCGTTGTGCAGATCGGTGGTATAGGCATTTTCCTTAGCATCAGTGCCCTTTTCAGGATCACTCGGGGTAGGGTCGCTCATTGCCGGGGTGGAGTTCTCAGACAGCGCTCTGTCTGCAGTATTGTGATCTGACGCTACGTCAGGGGTGTGAGGTGTGGCCATTTCGGATAGATTTAGGTATCAGAGTATATTAGAGACAATTTGCGAATGCTGTCTCAGTCGCAAGATGGAGCGCCGTGATTGTATTGCCGGATTTAGTTGCGTCGAGTAGGAACTAGAAGTCTATACGGTAGAAAAGTATTAGAAGACATCTTTTTGCCAGTGAGGAATAGTGATTGCCAAAATAAAGAATAGAAACATCTTGATATAAACGCAAACACTGTGTTACAAGATGGGATATGCGACTTGCCTGCAACCAAGAAACCTTCCAATAGAGTTTGAATCCGGAGATTAAACTTTGCAAGTTAGGGATTATCCACGTGGTGGGAGCCAGGAGGACAAAGAGAATGAACTTCAATGGATATACATAAGCAGGGATCTCTTCAACGTATTTATGTTGCGATGAAGCAGGGAGATGTAAGCTGTAAAGACCGGGGTCGGTTTACGGGGTCGGATAATCAAAACCGAGTCGGTGTATGCGCGTCGGGCCCCGCGTCTATGTTAACTCCGAGAGATTAGATCCTTTGGGCTTAGACCCTGAAGAAGGGGGCGAGATAAAAGGCTGGATGACCAATAATGATCAATTGATCTCATAGAGTTCCCGATGTGGGGTATTTTGGCTCCAGATATATGGAACCCATGGCTTCGGAGATTATGGTGGTAGTCTGTACATTGATCCCAATTATTCGCTTTGTGTAGACAGCCTCGATTCTGAGGCGAGGCCAAAAACAATGGTCCCAAACCCTATGGGACCATTATTTTTGTATTTTCTTTCTTATCTAAAAGATAATTTAGCAGAGGAATACTCCAGGGGACACTTTCAATCTATTTTCATTGTTTTGAACACATCAAAATCTTCAAGCAAGTAATATTCGATTGAATCAATCCGGATAGCTAAAAATTGCTGTTGGTTTATGGTAAAGACAACGACTACAAGTCCACTTTACCGCTCTGGCGGTAGAAATCAGACATCGAGGCATCGATTGACACCTGCTGCGACCCTTCGAGTCCTCCAAATATCATCCCTTCAGGGTACATGTCGTCTTTGACACCATCTTCAACGTTTTTGAATCGCGTGTTAATCCATGGGATAGCCAAGGCTACCCCGGGCAATACAGCAGACATATGATCAAAACCAAGCAATGGTACGTCCCACACGGTGGCCTTACCTTCCTTTTTCCAACGCTTGATTAGATCTTGAGTAGCTCCAAGTGGCGCAGTGACTTCATCTTTAGTTCCATAAAAGATGTAAAGAGGGTAACCAGGATTACTTTCTTCAGTGAGTCCTTGTCCCATCCAGCCAATTTCCTTAATGAGATCCTTATACCTCTCCAAAAAGTGATCGCCACTTTTGAACCACGAGGAAATGTTGGTGAAATCTGTATCTTCCGCGAGTTTGCCCTCGTAGGAGCAACTGCTGAGTTCAAGCAGGAACTTCTTATCTTGGTATTCGTCGGTTCGAAGATCATCGCGCATCCATTGATTCATCTCGGGATATGCATTCATGATTCCGAGCACGGCCCAGACATCTAGCCCGGCGAGCTTCTCTCCATTGACATTGAGATATGTTTGAGAGATGTTCGTGGGTGGACCACCCATTACAGCACCAATGATGGGGAGATCGTTGGCATACGATGATTTGAACTCGGTGGCCCACTCTGTCGCCAACGCACCACCAGAATACCCAAACATAATAACTTTAGCCTCTTCCTCGATACCAGTATAGTCTGTGGATGCCATAGCAGCACGGATGGAATCCAGAGTCTGGTAGGCACTTTGTGGCCCCACGCCAAAGGCAGCATTGGAACCCTCATAATCCGGGATGTTGAGAATTGGACCTTCTTGCAGATATGGCATAATGAACAACAGGTTAACCTTATTCCATTGGGCACTCCAACCCTTTGCCCCGTATTGGAGACCATAGGAGGGATTGCAGTTGACATCGGGGGAATCGTATGCGTTCTGGAGAGAGATAACTCGGTTCATAATGGGTTTAGCAGGAACAATTATTGTAGTGACGGAAGCATCGGAATTGTTGTGCACGTCTCGAGTATGATATAGTAGTTGATACGCTGTCGCTTTACTCTTCCCGGGAAAGATGACAGTGGAAATGTTGACTTCACGTCTATTTAGAATCGTCCCTCGAGCTGACTCATTCCAGGGAACGCCATCAACCTCAGTGGGTGGTACGTAGAAGGGGTCATAGATTGGAAGCATGGGCTCCTCTTTGGCAGCGGACGCAGTGCGAGCCAAAGCATGTTGGAGCCCGACTGTCGAGATGAGAAGTAGGTGGCTTAAGAACTTCATTATGCTTGAAGGTGAAACTGGGAGTACCTGAGGTCCCAGTGAGTGATTTGGGACAATATATCAGTGCTAAAGAGCTCATATTTATAGTCATTATGGCCCCCTCTTTGCTTGACTTGAAAAGTGCGTTTGTTGTATGTCACTAGCATTCAAATACTAATGACATAACCGTGCATAGATCCATCGGCACAGGCGAGCTGAGAGGTGCAAGGGCTGAACCTTCGAGCATTCAGTAGCCAAAGCTCTGGGAAGCTGAAACCAATGAAAACAATTTCTAGGCTCCAAAAGAGGCAGTGATGAGTGAGGTCACTTAGGCGATATACCTATATGGGTATGTTTTCTTTTGACGGCATACCTCTTATTGAATAAATGTGACCTTGGAATATCCGCCTTCGGTTTGCCTGAGTTCGGTGCCAAAAGCCGACCAGGAGCGGACTCAATCGAACCAGTAGCAAAGGCTTTTCATGCCAAGTGGGGAGATGGCTGATGACACTATGGTTTTTTGTCTTCTAAGGTTGCACAAGGTGCTGCATCGCGCATCGAAGGGATCTCTTGTGGATGTTGATCTTTCTGATCGAACCCCCTTGCGGTTCGTGTTTAGGAAATGTCCAGGAACTGTATAGGATAATTGGCACAGCAATTGAAAGTCTCCTGGTGTTGTATTATATCAATGACAGAAAGTAAACATTAAGAGATACCTATGCCTGGGGATCGGGATCGGCCCGCAAGCTTATTGTGGTGGGGTGGCCATATCTTATTGTCGATCTTTCATTTCTGCGTCGACATTCACATTGCATGATCATGTAAGGGTATTTATTTCAATAGTGCTTCCACAAAGGTGGATCTTGAGTATCACCCCCGCACCTGGCCCTGTATCTATATTACGTTGCAAGCAATGCACGAACTTCGCATCGTATGTGTTCATTTCCTTAGATTTATACCGCAAGTGTCTTAGCTTATGGTCATGTCTTCGTAGGAATGAATAGCTCTTCCGCGACTCCCCAGTCCTGGAATCCTGAAATCCTGAAATATCCACCATCCCAAGCATGAGACCCCCCGCGAGGTTTTTGATTCTCAATGCCTGTCAATATTTGATCAAACTCTCTGTTGGGATTTAGCATTTTGTGGCGATAGCCGATGACCGCGAAGCTATCTGAATGTGTTTTGACTTGGAATTCTCATGAAAGAGGGATATGACCTAGGGCTGAACTCCAGAGTTACTACTACATTGGTTAGGCAATTTGAATGGCGTTTTAGAGCCTACGTGAACAGTTTGCCCAAATTAAAGTGATGGTTCCTTCCTTTTTAGTGACCATTGTTAGAATTAATAGGAATGGTGTGACATGGAGAGAGAGAAGAAAAAGAAGAAGCCTATATCATGTGTGACTATGATAACTGGTTCATCAACGAGCGCCACGGTAGACACGATGGTCATCGATGGATGATGGGCTTGTTTCTGGCTACAGATGAGATGGTCACCGCCGCTATTGTGTTACTGACTAGGAAATTTACAACCTTGAGTGAGAGATGAAGCCTGTCATTTCTACTGCCGAACTCGAGCAAACCATACTACCCGTGGGGCTGACTATGTGAGAGAAAGTGTTTTTTTTTGCAGTGGAGATACCACGAGATCCGAAAATCTAGTATGTTTGGTTCATATACCCATACTTAGACACATCTTATCGTTGTACAGTGTCCAGGTAGCGCATATAAGAAGAATTTTGGGATTTCAACATTCGTTGAAGCAAGGTATGCACCGTATGTCCTTCTTTATAGAACTTCGACACTACAAGATCATACAGATCGCACGTAGAGTAATACTAACCTTCCAAGATCGTAAATTCGGTTGGAATGGCAGGGAGCCAAGATTTGAGATGCCGACGATATTGTACAAGATGCCATTTCGAAAACCACAGAAACCAACACTCTAAAGATCATAAAAAAGAAAATGCTAAACATGGTCAAGTCTTATCGCCTTCAAGCATTTTGTATGCCATCTGGGCGAATCTTAGCAACATTTTGGCTAATACCCTTAATCTCCTGGGTGACGTCCGCGACGGAACGGGTAATACCGACCACGACCTCCTCATTGGCCTTGGCCTGCTTGTCGTTCTCGAATTCCTGACGAGAAAGAGTTACGCCGCTGGGTGTATTGGCGATCTCGTTCACCTCGCGACCGGAAAGAACGTCGTTCAAACGAGGACCACGGGATTGAACGAGGACAGTTGCAGGGCCGTCGAACTGTAAGAAAAGTCTATCACCCCAGATTGTCATGCGGGACCAGGTTCGTAGCGTGTGGAGGAAGCCCATGGTCTTTTTCCAGGCATTGGAGCTTGAAACGTTTCGAATGAAATTGTTGTTTTGTAGCAATCGCGGTAAGACCTTAAGGCCTGGGACTTGGAAGCTAAGTGTGGTGGATTTGAAGCGGTAGGGACGAGGAGGATTGGAGGACATGGTATAAGCGACCACATTACTATTCGATGTTAGTCCGATGTACATAAAGATTAGTAGAATCGACAGCAGTCACATACCTTGGGTGAGCGATATACTGTTCGCCATCCTTTAACTCTACCGAGTATACCTGGCCGTTGCCAACTAAGGCGACCAAACCTCTTCCAGTCACTTCTGAGCTACCCCAATGAGCCAAGCCCTGTACGAGTTAGCTGGTTGATCTTCTCCGTAGAGGTAAGTTCTCACGTACCAGATTTGTATTGATAGTGGGCTTGATGGACAGAGACCGGCCCGTCCAAGCAAGCAGAGCGCGACGTTGAGCAACCATCCAATCGACCGAGCCATTAAGATTCACCACGGTAAAAGAGGTAGTCGGGGAGCGAGTCGAGATAAGCGCAGTCACCGGACTGGCAGAAGAAACCTGGTATATACTGATTAGATGATTTGTAGGATAATCAATCTAATATAAGACATGCGCTGTACCTTTTGGTAGAGGAAAGGCACTCCGACAGCCGCCCTGCGGAAGGGTTCCAGAACGCTCAAAGTCGAAACCACCTATTGCGATTGAGAAAGGTCAACACTGTTATTCATTTGCGCTTATAAATCGGACTCGTCGCATACATTGTCTGCCTTGCCGCTTAATCCTACCAAGGTTCCTCGGCGCGTGTATAAGTTTTGTGAGGCCGAAAGCGATGCCGAAAGGAGTGAATATGGGGCGCCGACAACATCGAATCGCGCATCTAGAAGTGATTAAAAGGTCAATATTGGTTCATGAAAATGTCACCGACCGGAAACTTACCTCGCGATTCAGCGGAACTAGCTGTGTTGGCGAGGGGTAGGTGATCCCCATTCACCGTGGGATCCGCAGATGGTGTCGCGCGAATCTGAACATATCTTGTCTGTCGATGAACACGAGGAACAACTCGAGTCCAGGACAATGTCCTCACACCTCGCTGGAGGGCAGGACGCATTGTGTCAAAAAGAAGGACAGAGTGGGTTGCGTCAAGAAAGACTTTACGTCAGTTTCCGGAGCTTCAAGATGAGAAAACACGGGAAATCGTGGATCCGAACATTTGGAGGTGAATCAAGGCCCAGAGCCATACAGAGTCATACAGAGTAGACTTAACAACATTATCTTAACATTAACACTGAGATTTATAAATCAAAGTTGTTTTTTATTATTTTCTCATTCAAATTGGAATATTAAATATCACCATCTTGTTCTTCCCACCCATTCCTACTACCATTCTCGGACTTATCACCCGCACGACATTATTCTCCGAAGCCGGCGACTCCCAAGGTTATCGCGGAGTGCGGAGCTGCACAGCTGCGCACGCCATCTCCCTCCCACCTGAGCTGAGCTCGTTATGCTCCCCTGAACCCTCCACGGTGTCTCATAACCGCCTCTCGTGGCTAGGTTATATTCAATTCTGCAGCCATGCTGCTCAGAGCAGCTCGATCGCCATGTTGGCGCCCAGCGCTACACTCACACCTACGCGTTGCCGGTCGTCCCGCATGCACGAGACCAAACCCACGACCAATCCAAACACAACTACGCATATTCTCCTCTACTGGTCTCCTCCGAAATCAAACTCCAAAAAATCAGGATATCGATTCTAAGAAGGAGAATGCCGCGGCGACCGAGCCCGCACAATCGCCGTCGCCGCTGCCAAATGTTATCGCTGCTTCGAAGCCGGAGGAGGTGGAGACACCAACACCTAAGAAGGATATGTTGAGTGAGGCTGCTAAGGAGAAGAAGGAGCAGCGTAGAGCAGATTGGGCGATTATGAGGGAAATGGCTAAATATCTTTGGCCGAAGGTACGTCTTTGTCTTTGCACACATATTAAAGATGCGTGGGGACGTTGGAGGAGCTTGTGCTAACGAGGTACTGGTAGGATGATTGGGGAACAAAACTTCGTGTTGGAACAGCATTGTCACTGCTAGTTGGAGCAAAGGTTTGTCGTTTCATATCATTTGGTTGAATATTTTCTCTGGAGGAGACCTTGTCCTAACATCATTATTTAGATCCTCAATGTCGAAGTGCCATTCTACTTCAAGAGTATCGTCGATTCCATGAACGTGGACTTTGCCACTCTCGGCGGAACTGCGTATACTGTAGCTGGATCTATGATTATAGCATGTAAGAGGATATACCCACTAAACAATTTGCCTTACCAAGTTCTAACCTTTCATCAGATGGAGCAACTCGCATCGGAGCCACACTGTTCCAAGAACTTCGAAATGCCGTCTTTGCCAGTGTTGCACAAAAGGCCATCCGAAAAGTTGCAAGCAACGTCTTTGAGCATCTTCTCCGTCTGGATCTTAATTTCCATCTCTCGCGTCAAACTGGAGGTTTGACCCGGGCCATCGATCGTGGTACCAAGGGTATTAGTTTCCTGTTGACATCAATGGTCTTCCATGTTGTACCAACAGCACTAGAAATCTCTCTGGTGTGCGGTATTCTGGTATGTCTCATTTTCTAAACGTAGGTTAGAAACGTCCTCGGTGCTAATCTGGTTTCTAGACTTACCAATACGGTCTTCAATTCGCTGCGATCACAACAACCACAATGATTGCTTACACTGCATTCACTATTACTACCACCGCATGGAGGACCAAGTTCCGACGCCAGGCCAATGCAGCCGATAACCGCGGAGCTACAGTCGCCGTCGACTCGCTTATCAACTACGAAGCTGTCAAATATTTCAACAATGAGAAGTTCGAGGTAGCCCGCTATGACAAGGCCCTGAAGAAATACGAGGACGCCTCAATCAAGGTGACCACATCTCTGGCGCTACTAAACTCCGGCCAAAACATGATCTTTTCCACCGCGCTAGCAGCAATGATGTACCTTGCCGCCGACGGTGTCGCAACAGGGTCCTTAACAGTTGGTGACCTAGTCATGGTGAACCAACTGGTTTTTCAGCTCTCCGTGCCTCTCAACTTCCTAGGCTCTGTCTACCGCGAACTGCGCCAATCTCTGCTGGACATGGAGACGCTGTTCAACCTGCAAAAGGTCAACGTGACTATTAAGGAGCGACCGAATGCCAAAGCCCTTGAGCTGAAGCGTGGTGGTGAGATCCGCTTTGAGAATGTCACTTTCGGCTACCACCCCGACCGACCCATTTTGAAGAATGCCACATTTACGATCCCTCCTGGATCGAAATTCGCCATCGTGGGCCCTAGTGGATGCGGCAAGTCTACAATCCTTCGTTTGCTCTTTCGCTTCTACGACACTCAGTCGGGCCGGATCCTGATCGATGGACAAGATGTGCGGGATGTCACGCTTGAAAGCCTCCGGAAGGCTATTGGTGTCGTGCCACAGGATACCCCATTGTTCAACGACACGGTTGCTCACAATATTCGGTACGGCCGGATCGATGCTACTGACGAGGAGGTGAAACGGGCCGCTGAGCGAGCTCATATCCATCAGCTTGTTGCAGGATTACCGGATGGATATGACACCGCTGTTGGCGAACGTGGAATGATGATATCTGGTGGTGAGAAGCAGCGATTGGCTATTTCTCGATTAATCCTTAAGGACCCGGAGCTTCTTTTCTTTGACGAAGCTGTAAGTGGATATTCTCCTGCGTTGCATTGTGAATTTGCCTGAGTTCCCGGGAAACTAATGCTTGTTTTCTTTTTCTTTGTTTAGACTTCTGCGCTCGACACCTATACTGAGCAGGCTCTGTTGCAAAACATCAACAGTATTCTCAAGGAGAAGAAGCGTACAAGTGTATTTGTAGCTCATCGACTTCGCACCATCTGCGACAGTGACCAGATTCTGGTATTGAAGGAAGGTCATGTGGCTGAGTCAGGGTCGCATCGCGAACTCCTCGAGTTGGGAGGTGTTTATGCAGAGCTATGGAACGGTCAGTATTTCATTCTCCAATCCCAACCCCAAGCACCAAGCCTCAATATCGAGATTGATTTATTGACTAACTAACGTAATCCTTGGCTTGTATAGCGCAAGAACGGACCATGGAACACGAAGAAGACGAAGAAGCACCAAAGAACTAGACGGAGTACAATATCTATAGATAAACCACCAGCAAATAAACACTTTAAGCAATACCACCAGCCATGTACATTTATATCCACCTTACTTACTCTTATGAGTAAGATAGTGAGCACTAGGACCAAACCCGCTTTGACCTGCATCCTCAGCGCTAAAACCCGCGTTGCTCTCCACAATGTCTCCACACCGACCGCGTGGTTTTCTGTTGATTTGAATTTAATTAATTAATCTGAAATCCCAAGAGTCTTCCACGGGTTCTAGTCCGTGTCTTAGTTCGCTCCTAGTGTCCCTTAGCGCTCTTGACTTCTGCTTCCCTGCTTCCTTCTCCTTTCCCACTCTCCATCATTCAGCATCATATCATCGCTGACTGTCATTCCTTATCCTCCGGGTTATTCTCACCCAGCCACTCGTTTATCCGCAGACAAATATCCAATCGCTTCAATTGAGCCTTGAAATAACCAATTACTATCTTTGACTTCGACTCGACTTCTTCCGCCTCCGTGTTTTGTGGCACCCACTAGTCATTCCTGGCGCTTGTCGTTGCTCGTGCCGCTCTTTTTCTTCCCCTCCATCTCATCAATTGACGTTCCCCCCTTTTCTCTCTCTTTCCTTTTTTTCCGTGAGAGAGTTATTTCTTGCTTCATATCTAGGTAATAAGATCATATTCTAATTTTTATTATCTTTTTCAACTGACTCGTGGATATTCAGTTAAGCATTCCGCCTGGTGCCGAAGGAGCATTATTACGTATCACCTGCATACACGAGGGTGTCAGCTATCTATAGAACTGAACAATCCACTTCGACTGAAATTCAACTGGAATATCGGACATCTGACCCGCCCAAGGTCGACTTCGACTGAACTATCGATCGCATTACCACTTCTCATCTCGTCGCATCTTCACACAACACAACATGGGTATCAGTCTCATCGATAAGCTTCAAGCTAGTACGTCTTGCCGCTCAACTCCCTCCCTCACACATACACACAGACACCTATATCCCAAGATCCATACATGCCCGCCCTCGATCTAAGCTAACTTATCTCTTCTTAGAACTCGAGCTCTACCGTCTAGAGCAGCGATACGGCCGCCGCAAGCACCGCAGCACCTTCTCAACAGGCGCTCAGTACGTCGACGGAGAATATGTCTACAATACAGGCACAGGAAGCAACTCGCCAACAAGCACAATCTCCAAACAATCAACTGGAAGCTGGCGCCCATCGGGAATGGGATCTGGCGAATCACGCTGGCGATCTTGATCTGATTGATCTGATCTGATCTGACTAGAGTGACATGACGGCCTTTTGTCATTGACGGATTGATTCTGATTGACGCTTTGCCTTTTCCTAAACTGCTGCTCCTTTGCGCTTGTGATTTTGTGCTGTTTTTAGCCGTGTTTGTTTGTCTGTTTAGCTTTTCTTTTCGTTCTTCGCGTTATGTCCCGCGAAGATCTTGACGATGTTCCGTGCATAGTCGCCATGTCTGTTCTGTGTTCTGTGGAATGTTTCAACTTCTCTGTGATATTATTTACCTGGGGCTTTCTTTTCTTTTTCTCTTCGCTGTTCATATTCAGCCTGTGTGTTGTTGCATCACACATCTTTGATGTGAGTTTCTGATCTGATCTGATTATCGATCGTGGTCTTGAGGATTGTTTTATGATGTCCTTACTAGACCTACTATCTGAAAGAATACAACCACTACACTTGAAGCATTTACCTGGAAAAATAGATATAGCTGATAGTAGCTGAGTTGACATGTTCTAATAAATGACGATGGGTATCTTGAACCGTTCTCGCTTCTTTCTGCTCTCAAAATAGAAATCGACCTCATTTTTTTGACTTTCGTCCTCCGATATTTAACCCACGGAGATTAGAAAGACCCGATTTGTATTTATGTGATGTACCCAGGAAGGAGGTCGTCGATCCTCCCTTGGTAGTCTCTGTTATTCCACGAGTCTGTCCTGCAGCACCACTTGGTCCAGCAACACCTAGCCCAATACCTCCAGCACCGGGACTCATCATTCCAGCCCCTCCACGCGGTGCATCAGGGAAGCCAGACCGATCGCGTCCACCAGCGGCAGCAGAGAGAGCAGAACTTAACGATGGATGTAGCGAGTCTGTCTGATTTAGTGATTGTCGTTGCGAGGCTTGAGCACGACGGGCTCGTTCCTGAACAGCCTTGAACTTCTCGAGAAGCTCAAACCAGCGGATCGTGTTTTCTTCGCGGTTTTTGAGACGGGTACCAGTTGGGCGATCAAATGACGAAGCGGCTTGGGGAGCGCTGGATGGGGACTTTAGTATCGGTTTGCCATCTGGGGATAATGGGCTGGGGCTTTTAAATGCATACCTGCGGGGCCCACCCTGGAGGAAACCAATGTTGCTGACGCTGTTTAAGCGGTTTTTGAGCGCGGCGAAGGCGGAACTCTGGGGGAGGAGCATGAGGACGCCGTAGAGACATTTGTATAGATAAGGGTACTTTTCGGGCTCGAGGAGTTGAAGGCGGAGATCTAACTTTGGTTAGCATATTAAACAATGGGATTGAATGAATAAGCGCACATGTAAATACTGGAGACTCCAAGAGTTGCACAAGCTTGTCGATTTGGATCAGCATATTTACTGTCATCTCTAGCTCAGCACTGACGAGAATGGTTAGTCATGTACTCATGAAGATATGTAGAGGTATGTTAGTAGATCCCATCCTTACAAAATCTGAAGGAGGTGGTAAGCTTGCTCATAGGCTTGAGCAAGTAGGCATAGCGAGAACGTGGAAACTGCATTATGGCACCAAGACCTGAAAAGAGCAACGAAGAACATTTGTCCTTCCTATAAGGAGTTGTTAGCCTGCTTCCATCGAAGTAGAATGTAATACGTTAGAGAAATATACCCTCGAGTCCAGATTTCTTAGACGCTTCCTCATATCTGATAGCTCAGGGGCGGTGATTAGGTTATTGTTAAGGTTTTGTACCATGATGCTGGCAAATTCAAGGTCCTGCTTATACATTAGTAACATAATCTGCGGGCTTAGCGTTTCCCAAACTCACCTCTTCCTTTTCGAGGCAGTCTGCTAATGTCCGATAGATGCGTTCGGGACTCAGATTCAAGCACAACTGCCGGATGATGAGGTTGCCTCGAACTTCAAGCAGATGCCTATCTGTAGAGAAAAGCTGCAACAAGTTCACCATGAAAGAGGCAAAATAGCTGTCCTCGCTGTTTCTTGAGATCTGCGACAATAGTTGGAGATCCTTCGTCACGACTGCCTCTGCGGGATCGGAGAGAGTCTTCAATAGAGCCGGGAATGTGCCATCATTGAATGCAACCACTTTCCGGGGTGCCTTGCGGTGTAGCATTATGAGCCACGAGAGTGCGGCTACTCGAGTGGCTTCATTCTCGTTAAGGAACTGCAGTGTGAGAGAGGTGACAGCTGCTGCGTAATCAAGGTCGGTCGGTTGAAATGGCGTTGAAACAATACTACTACGCGGTGTGACTGCGAAGGACTCTTGAGTGGACTTTCTAGCCTCGTTGTTTGAGATTTCGGAAGATTTTCTTTCAACGCTCTCCCTGCTTGGCGCTGTAGATGGTACCTTGGATTGAGTTTGAGCGGCCTCCTCGGCCGTGTCGTCGGAAAGAGAGTAGATATATTCAAGGAGAGATTTGTTGACTCGATTTGCTGCTTGTCGAACTTGATCGGAACCGCTAGACATTGCTGGAAGCACCTGTGTGAGAAGCCGGGGCACAAACGGAAGGATATCTTCTGGACTGATCTCAAAGAAATTGTCGATCCAGCGGAGTGCAGTGAGTTGCATTTCCTCCTCTAATAAATAGTTAGCGTTGGGTATGGGAGAACTTGATTTCGAAAAGAACCGACCATATGAAGTGTTGACAAAGCCGACGAGTATATCCAAGATCTTTGGGTAGTCAATTTGCACATCTTGGCCCGGAATCCAATCGCCTTCTGTTTGGGTAAGATCATCATCAAGGAGAGACTCTGAAGCAGAGTCATCTACAGCAATGTCGTCTTTATCCTCTTCAACTGCCCCGGTGGGTTCTGCCATCTGCTCAGTTTTGGCGCTCAAGCTCGCAGTATCACTTGAGGCAGAACGCCGGCGACTTTGGCTTTTGCGACTTTCTTCGATACCCTTTTTGAGTCTGGTAATTCTTTTAATCTCTGAAAGAAAGCGTTCCAAAAGGCCTTGAGTTGCCACGTTGACATCCCTGTTAGGACCACCCAGAAACTTGATTAAGCCCTCCAGGAACTCAGGCAAATAACAAATCAGTTCCAAGTCAGGGATAGTATCGAGCAAAGTAAGCCAGGAGACGAGAAAGTTGCGAGTGAACGGGCCGATAACATAGATCCGATCTTTGAGCAAGGGAATGAATTTCGCGAGGGAAAAAGCCGTTGGGAGATCGACCTCATCGAGAGCATCTGCGTCTGAAGCATCCTTCTCTGATAGCTGAAGGACTGAGACATATGAAGCTGCAGACTCGGCAACAATGTCCTTGACTAATCGATCCAGGAGTTCCGCGCCATTTTTCACCGATAGTTCCGAGTCAGAGGCCAGCTATAATATAGTTAGAATTTGCCGATAACGGTCCCTTGGGTATATCCAGGTCTTACTTTAGCCAATGCATCGAAAATATCGTTGAAAAATAAAAGAACTTCTCCTTTGGCGACCTTGGCAATGTTGTACATGCTTTCGCAAGCATAGTACCTGACTCGGGCATCTTGGTCAGAGAAGCACGCCAAGACTGGTGGTACAATCTCTTTCAGATATGGTGCTACTCCTTCCTGTATCCAAAAATATCAGCTCATGTCCCCATCATCCCTTTATAATTGGTGACTCACAGATCCGAGAGCGATCGAAGCTGCCGCCAGACCAATCAGACCGCCATTCCGAGCGTGTGGTTGGTGTACAGCGTAGGCATAGTCGTGGCAAAGCTGCTCGACGATTTTCTGGATTTTATCATGTTCTGACTTGAAGACTGAGTCGCGAACAATTTTCTCGAGCCTGTAGACGCGTCCCATATTAGCGTCTTTTCATTCCACGTTGCGTGATTTCCATCGTGACATACTCTAAGGCACCTTGCTTTCGCTTATCGTATAGCTTGTCGTTAAGAAGCCTTTGGATAGAGTAATCCATGGCTCTGTCGCTGAGGTTGCTTTCCTGAGCTCTAAACTAAGCAATGTTCATGGCGGGGAAGCTCGTGTCGGTGGATTGAGGTGGTCAGGGAATCGGAGATCGCACGACGGTCGGAATGGGTACGGTGTGGGGGCTGGACAAGGAGACTGAATGAGAATTTCACTAGGAAGTCACATCAGTCCTTGGTATTGCAGTTATCTTGTGAAACGACTTTGTGAGGCGCTGGGAGTGAAAAGAAGGATGCGTTGTCAACGCGGAGGATGGATGAGTCCAAGCGCGGTGTGACGTATGTCAGCAGGTCGGGACTGGTCTCGGCCCGATGCTTCTATAGATCAAGATGAAGAGGGGGTGGACATTTAAAAACCTTGAACATACTCATTCTGTGACAATTATTCTCTTATTTCCCGCGATAAAGAAATCCACGAGATCTAGTTTTTTTGTTGTATCACTCTTTGTCTAAAGTTGTTAACAAAAGATGGGATTAGGGTTTCATAGAACAAAGAAGATGGGGATCTGCTGTGGGAAGTTGTAAGGTACATAAGACTTGGTTTTCATATTCAGGTGATTTCCTCTGACCAAGATCCACAGTGGGTGCAGTGTAGGGAGATACGCAAGGATGACTGACAATAAGTTTTCGATATTAGTCCAAAAAAAGACCGGAGACGTATAGTCTATTATCTGATGTCAGTTGCCAGATACTACACAACAAATATTGGTTGAACACTCTCATGTTTCGTCATCAGCGTGCTCCAGATAGGTAGTTCCAACATGGAAGTACATAGCCAGACGTTTAATGCTGATTGCAATAACACTTTATTCATTTAGGTTAGTCCGCTTGAGCTTTGCTGGATGGAGGAATGATAACAGGAGAGACATACGCGGCACCCATGACGAATATTCCCCCAACAAGTAGTCTCTGCTTCAAGGGCAAGAAGAGCCTAGAGATTGCGGGCAAGGATAGGACGAGAATGAGCAGGTCAATTGGCACATCTGAGATGCAGGATGTATACCACATGGGCACGCTGTCGATGCACTTGTGGAGCAGCGTCACAGAAAAAGAGCTGGTGCTAGAGAAGAAGAATAGAAATCTCTGTAGGAAGGATTGGGATGCCAGTGACCTAAGGAAATTTGTGGAATACATCTTCCCATTCCAGGAGATGAATGAGGCTCCCGTACAGCCACTGTGGGAGCAGATCCAGGTGGGTATGGGCGGCCCGCATGCCAAGCAAGCATTTTCATGGCCAGCGCTTCTAATCTTGACCTCGAAAAAGTGAGAGGTTATTCTCGAATGAAAGGGTGAACTTTGTATACAGGACTTGTATATTGCATAGCATGTGGGTAGTTCGAATTGCTTGCATGGCCCCCCGCGATGCATGACGTATGAGTTTGGGGGCCGCTGCACCTCATCTCCATTTTACGATACATCTGGAGCCTGATGAGCTGGCTCAGATGCTCCGGGATGATTTGAGATGATGCTGGAAGTAAATTTCACTCCAGCTTATTGCATGACTATCATGTCCGACAGGGATCATTATCGTCACCGACAATGTATGCCCCGACAAAACAAAGAAGTTGTGTTTGACCGCTCACTCATGAGTGCTACCAAGTTATCATCCTAGCAAGACTAGCATGCATGATTTCCTATAGTAGATCATTGACCCATCATATTGAAACACTGGGTTCTGCGCGTCGCTTATCTAACCCAGCCCTATATAATGGTCGACTCCAACAAGGCCCCGAGGTCTACTAGTAGTTCACTATTTCACATACCAATTACATCTATCATGACCGGTTCCATTCAGCTGAACGCCCTCGAGGTCTTTCTTCAAGGCCATCCTACAATCAAATACACATTACCGTCTTCTCCCGACTACCCCGCTGCTCGCCAGATCTTCAACGGCGCCCGTCGTGATAACCCCCTGGCTATCGTCCGGCCGCAATCCCCCTCTGATGTTGCTACTCTTATCAGATATGCCAAATCTAGCTCCCTGCCCTTCACTATCCGCGCGGGCGGCCATAATTTGGAAGGCCTTACTCTTGTTGAAGGTGCCTTGCTTATCGACCTGCGTGCCTTGACTGCCGTCACAGTCGCTTTGGATCGAAAATCTGCCACTGTCCAAGGTGGTACCCTGCAGCATGAGCTCGCCAACACGCTCTGGGCAGAGGGCCTAGTCACTCCGACAGGAGCAATCCCGTCCGTTGGCTACGTTGGCTGGGCCACATATGGTGGGTATGGTCCCTTCTCCTCGCACTGGGGCCTTGGAGTAGACCAAATTCTCGGCGCAACTATTGTCAACGCCGACGGCGAGATAGTCAAAGCCGACGAGTCGCTTCTACAGGGCATCCGCGGTGGCGGCGGTCTTTATGGTGTCATTCTTGATCTCACAATTAAGGTTTACCCACTCACTAGCGTAAGTATCACCGTAAAGTACCTCCAACGATTTCAGATTTAACCATTAAATTTCCTCTAGCTCCTCGCTGGTGCCATTATTTTCGACTCTTCTGACATCACTAAAACATGCGTCGATTTTAACGCAGCCCATGAAAAGCTACTTGAGACTGAAGGTCTGCCACCGCAACTGACGCTACAGCAAATCGCCTTCAACGCTCCCACGGGACGTGCCTTTGCCGCCATTTTTGTCTGGAGCGGTGCAAATATCGAAGAAGGCCAAGCCTGGAGCGAAAAGATCGCCAACCTTGGTCCTCTCGTAGCAAACACCGTTACGCCTACCAACATCCCGGAATGGTTTGATGGTAACGGTGCCCTTGTCCCACCTGTTGCCTCTGGTTCTGCCTACACACATAATATCAGCCGCGTGTCCCCGGCCATAGCTGAGACGATCGGAGACAGTCTCGCCAGTATGCCGGCCGACCCGGGCACCATGATGTCCATTCATCAGCTTCGTGGGCCCTCAACGGAACCACAAGCCCATTCTTCCCTTTTTGCGGCCCGGGAGCCCCACTATATGCTGGAGTTTCTGGGATTCGCAACGCAGAAGGATAAGGATGTACAAGAAAAGTCAGAGAAGTGGGCCGCTCAGATGGCAGAGGATACTAAGCAGGCTGACCTGGAATATTTGTTACCTTCGGCGTATGTGTCTTTGTATAATAGTACTGTTCAAGCAAAATCGTCTGCGCAGTTGATAGACAAGATATATGTGTCGAAGGTTAAGACATTGAAGGAACTGAAGGCCAAGTTTGACCCGGAAGACGTGTTTGGCTTGGCGGTTCCGGCATTGAAGTAAATCGGTGGATAAAACTTGGAATGATAATATAGATTTAGATGTTTGGCGAACCGTGGAAGAGAAAATATTGGATTCTGCTTCTTGTAACTTAAAATCCCGAGATAATTTTTCTCCTGTCCTTTGTTTCCTACTCATCGGAAGCCGTATCAGTGACACTAATACGGAAAAGACAACCAAAAATCAGCAGGAAAAATCCAGTATATAGGTGGTGAATATAGTGTCAGATCCAATACCATTACTTCAGACAGATTGTAAATGTCATGATACTACCTTGTCGGCTCTTTTTCCCATCACTTGGAGAAGTATGGTCAAGAAGAATGGCCTATATCGAAGCCAGATGGTTAGCTATGAGAACTTAAGCGCTTACATTCGCCTTGATGCGACTTGCCTTCTCTGGCCTGGAGAGGACCATATTTCCCGTGTGATGCTGAGAAGCGGAGAGGCCACCCCGGGTAGGTTTTTCGTTCTTGCTGTTATCCATATCAAGTGAAGACCTACTGACAAAGTGCTATTGAGCTTGTCGAACGGAACGGTTGCTGGAATGAGGGGTTCCCTTCTTATATGCCAGGGCCCTGAGTATAAATAAGATACTGGGAACAGTCCCAGGAGAATCAGGGCATATGAAACATCCACTAGCATAATTCATGAGCCACTCTTGCGGCGATTGCCAATCAGAGTCAATTCTACTCCCCAAATAACTCACAACTTCTCAACCGCTTTGATATCCGGCGGAGGAGCAACATCCCTCATCTATACTAGGTAGTGGAGAACGTTCCACTCCGTAATTCGAAGCTGAAATATAGCAGGGAATGCGGTATTAAAGTGAAATATATGAGTATTTACTTTAACTATGAACATGTATTCAAGTTCTCCGTTTCCCCGGGAGCAACGTTTGGGAGGTAGATAAAGTATGCGGATTTGACCATGCCTTTGCTTGACAGTTGTTGACGAACTACAAGAGTTTGGAATTCATCACAGTATCTCCAAGAATTGATCTCACGACTGAACGTCAAGTTGATATGTGTGGCTAAACATAATATCTATTGTATAGGTGGTAGATGAGCACACCAGGTATCCAGAGTGGGGAGCTGATTACAAGGAAAATTGCTATCGACAAGGTTTGCTCGTCACTGGCTGGTTGCAATACCCCTTTTTGAAGGATCTCGGTTCTCTGCCGATGGAAAATTTCGTGTTCTGTTCTCATTTGCTCCTTTACGAAATTTATTTGTGCAAAACGAAGCTCCCGAGACCTATTGAATCTCTGTTCCAGTTTTTGGAGCTTTTCAGTAAGATGGTTGGACTGTACAGCCAAATGTCGCTCTTGCTTTTGCCTTCTTCTGGTGACGGCAGCTTCATAATCGTCTTTCTGCTTTTGACGGCTTTCTTCAGTTGGCATACTTTTTGGACGACGATAAGTCAACCTTGTCTGGGTGATATCGTGATCTCGAAGAACTCTTTGACGAAGAGATAGCAAAGATTCTCCATTCAGCGGAACCATCACGACTAACGGCTCATTTCCTTCTGTATATGCTTTGCAGATATGATGACAAGGAGACCAAGTGATCTATCAATTACGAAATTAGTACAGGTTTGGAATCTAGTTTAACAGTAAAGCAAACCTGGCTTATTCCACGCTCCAATGCAGCCAACCTGATAGCATACTCAAGCAAATCACACAAGCTCCGCTTCGTGCTTTCAAGAGTTTTAAGTCCGTTCTTATCTTGAGTTGAATGATGCGCCATTTTGTTTCGAATCTGCTTCGCTTTCTTCATTAACTGATGGAGGTTTTTGAGTTCATCTTCTCTCATAACTCTGGCGAGGCTGCCATTGGGTTCTTTCAATTGCAGCCGAACGATATCAACTATAGCTGGTAGATCAGCTGCCTGATGGCACCGGTATCCTCTCGTTCTCAACCCATCGGCATCGATAAGCTCGCACAGGATGTACCCCAAAAATTCAAGCTCGTCGGTCCAGGCCGTCAATCGTGTTTGAGTTTCAAAGTAGGCTTCTGCTTGTACTGACATTTTGTAGCATGAGTTCAATGATGCGGGAAATCGCCCACAAGTTAATGCTCGGATGTCTAGCTTCTAAATAAGTGAAGTAGGTAATAAGTTTGTCGTGACGTCAACCATTTTGATAACATACTACTTCTGCAGGTCCCATTGGTAGACACAACTTCGTCGGTAGTGAAGTCACCCAGGCAGGTGTGACAGAATTGGCCAAAAGTATATTAATGAAACACTTAATTACAGAAGTAGCCCTGGCGTATCGGAAAATCGACTGCACTCATCTTACGTGGGCAGATGGTCTGTAGACTAACCAAATCAGGACGGAATTTTCACCAAGTCCTCGGGTTAGCGTAAGTGTTTGGGAAATATTTCCTGTGTAAAATATGGAAGCTAACTTCAAATGTTAGTGTAGCCACATCCGATGCTGATGATTCCTCGATTTTGGCTGCCATCATTTTTGTGTGGTCCGCTGTTGAAGCTAGCCAGGATTCCAAATTTGCCAAGACACGTCCATCTTATGCCCCAGAGTTGTCGCCTAATTAATCACATAATAATTTGTCGTCACCCGTGACCCCATCTCGTAAATAATCATGCATAAGTGGTGACTTAGTAAGTACTAATCCAGAAAGGGCAACCAAAAATCGGCAGAAGAAATCCAGTACGTAGAACCAGTGGATATAGAACAACTTTGGAACTGCCCCCGCGTCAAGAATTTAGAAGAGCATTAAATGCATATATGCATTGTGATATACAATAACATAGAGACAATAATTTAGGGGAACTCAAAGTTTTATTATTGAGTCAGGTATATCGTATAATGATAAAACAAAGAAGCATACGATCAAAGCACACGACTAAATCGGAAACTCTTTGTATGGAGCTATCATCGTAATCAACCACGAAGCCCAACGTCATATCCTCTAGCAATACTAGTATTGAAGATGCAGGTCGGCCCGAGGAAATCCGGGGTAAGCTTCTACATTTGAAAATTGCACGATGATCAATATGAAATGGGTCAATGGATCTATATCTCCGTCGGCACTCCCCGACATGCCGGTCACATGAGCGGGACTATTGAATACGAGTGCACAACCAGAGACGATAAACAACACATTCCAGTTTGAATACTAACCATTGAGTTAGTCAATTCAACGCGAGCACTTGAGGCTATTCTCCACACCATGCCCCTTTTGATTCGTGCCCGCATCGTCGGTTTCTCCTCACTGGGGACTGTCACCAAGTTACCGGGCTAACAACATGTATATGTGGGGGGATTTCTCTCTATCTTACCTTATCTTACCTCTTCTGGGAATGAAACGCGTATAGGAATTGAGGAATTACCAAACTAGCCCAGATCTTGACCATTATGACCCGCTATTTGAGGATAGGGGCTGGATCATAGCTCAATTGAAGACATTTATAAAACAGTTGCCCACGGCAATGGTTCCCCACTAGCCTGGCAAATCCTCACATAGCTTGTGATTGAGGCAAATCAGTTCGCAAAATAAATTGATCAATTTCGTTCCTATTTTTCAATCATTGGTCAACATGGACAATAAGCCAGATGATATTGGAAAGACACGGGATCATGATGAAGATGATCATGATAAACCCACAATTATTAGCAGTCCTGGGGATCTGGTATGCCTCGGCGGTGTTGATCAAGCCCTGACCGCAAAGATGAACCTTGTCAACGACGTAAGCTATCGTATGATCCTTTACGTCATACAATTCTCACTCTTTACCTCGACAGGCAATTGACACTATCGGATTCACTTCCTATCATACAAAATTATTTTTTCTGAATGGCTTCGGGTAAGTGAAACGGATGAAGACCTAATAGGAACACCTCTCGCTAACTGTGTATCTATTTCGTCAGATATGGCGTTGATTCTCTCCTACTTTTCCTCATGAGCATATCCGCCGATCAAGTAGGAGCACAATATCCACCGAAGTTCTCGAGAGGTGCACAATTGGGGTTCTATATTGCACTGCTGGCCGGTGCTTTATTCTGGGGCAGTACAGCGGACATAATCGGAAGAAAATGGGCATTCAATTTCTCATTGTTAATCAGTGCCATCTTTGCCATCACTGCTGGTGCGGCTCCGAATTATGCAGGATGGGCCACAATGGTCGCATTATCGGCATTTGGCTCAGGCGGAAATTTGGTGCTAGACACAACTGTCTTTCTAGAGTATCTTCCCTCTAACAAACAATGGCTGCTTACCCTTTTGGCTGGCTGGTGGGGAGTTGGTCAAACAGTTGCTGGCCTCATTGCGTGGGGATACATGGGTGAGATTATTTTGTATCTTCTGAAAGATTTCATTTTGCTGACGCTTCAATAGCAAATTACAGCTGTCCTACCGATGGATCTGTTACTTGTACAAACTCTAATAACATGGGATGGAGATATCTGTACTATACAAGTGGAACCCTTGTTTTTGTTCTAAGTATTGCACGAGTGGTAGTCATTCGCTTCCATGAGACCCCAAAGTTTTTACTTTGTCAAGGTCGTGATGAAGATGTTGTGAAAACACTTCAGAACCTTGCTCACAAGCATGAACGCCCATGCTACCTAACTTTGGACCAACTTCAAGTACATGGTGAAATCTCCAGCTCCCACGCTCAAAACAAAGCATCGTTATCAGAGCTAGAAGTTCATGTGCGAGGCCTGTTCGTGACCAAGACTCTGGCCCTCTCTACCTCCCTGGTCTGGCTCTCATGGGCTCTCATTGGACTAGGCTATGCACTGTACTATGTTTATCTACCAGAGTATCTAGCCTCGCGTGGATCTTCTACCGGAGCAAACTCAGCCTACCTCACATGGAGGAATTATGCAATCACCAATCTATGTGCGATACCCGGACCCATAATAGCAGGTTTTATGTGCGAGATGCCAATCTTTGGAAGAAAATTCACAATGGCGATAGGAGCCTTCATTACCAGTAAGTGAACCCTGGTTTTACCAATTGAAACACCATCGCAGACAATTCTAATTAAACACAGTGGCATTTTTCTTTGGATATACGGCTGTCAAAACAGATGCTCAAAACCTTGGATTTTCATGCGCTATTTCTGTTTCAATCAACATCTACTATGCAACATTATACGCGTACACAGTCGAGGTTTTACCCTCTGCACACCGCGGGACTGGAAATGGTATTGCCGTCGCAATGAATCGACTAATGGGCATGGTTTCCGCTCTTATCGGCGCTTTTACCTCAACCGCTAGCTCGGTCCCGATTTACGTGTGTGCCGCTCTACTTGGAATGGGAGGAATTCTTGCCATCCTGTTTCCTCTTGAGACACGGGGAAAGAAGAGTATATAAATGGCATTTCATTTTTATGTGAATTCACGTACTTCTATAGGCCAATCTAGAATGTATCAATTCAGTGCTCTTAGCTGCCCAAAGACCGAGGATCTTCTGTTCCATTCGCTCGATTAATTTTACAACCTTGGAAGTATGCGAAGTTGCCCACAAAAGGAACATACACTCTGCATAAAACCCTAACCTTCTCCGCCAAAGCACTAATACCAAATTTTCCACTATTGAATTACAATAATACGTACCGGAGCCGGACCGTACCGTTCAGGTGATGCCGGATGGCTCCGACGGGCTCCGTCCGCGTCGGCATGGACGCGGTGTCTTTATCTACAAGTAGACTATGCTCGTGTGATACAGATAAGCATTAAAATAGCTAATAAGCTTGTAAGAAGATCAATACTCCAATTGTCCGCTCATGCATGAGATGATATCACCATATGTACATAACTTTCTAGTACGAGAAAATGCAACCCTCTAGACAATCCCGCAAATGCACCCAAGAAACGACAATTATCATAGATTCCCCACCTCCCAAACTCCGCGATAGGGATTTTCATGATCCTGAAATTGGAAAAATGGGTCATGCGTAATGTCCATAAAAGACATATCGGCCGGAAAGCCTGGACCTGGCCATCCCAACGAATCCCGAGATAGTGGCTGTTGACTTGCACCAGTATAATCAGCTGAAGCAAAACTTTCTCGGGTCCAAGGCTCGTTATCTGAGTTTTCTGATGCGGCTTGGCCATTCAGTGTGCTTGAATATGGTGGCAAGGCTTGGCCTCCATCGGATGTGTCCACTGCTCTGGCCGAATGATGGAATATCTCCGTTTCAACTGTCACCTTATCTGGGTCAATCGGAGGTGGGGGTGGTACGAATGACTTGTCAAAGAGGCCTTCTCCTGGAGAAGCAATTGTGCTTTTGTTGGAGTTGTGGCAAAGGATTTCCCACATTAAGGCAGTGTCTATTGACAATGTTCTTCGGGCTCGGCGGTGTTGACTCGCATGCGGACTTACAGCAAATGCCGACTGAACGAGCTGTTGAATCTTTTGATGCTGTATCACTGGGTCAGTATATTTCAAAAACTTACATATAAAATAGAACAGCCGCGCTGGACTTACCAATGCCTGACATTTTGGCCATTTGGTGGCTAAATCACTCAAAAATCTTGTACATGTCTCCAATTTTCGCTGCGCTCCTTCCCTCATACTGGGATCTGCGGCACAGCAATAATAAAGATGAACCGTAGCCGCAATTGCTACTGCATGGCATATAAACGGATCTGATATTTCGTAGTCTTTTTCGACAACCATGTCAATAAGCCGAACGGTCCATGTAGTGTGGATAAGCGCCAACTCGGACGATGTTTTCCAAAAGGTGTTTGGCACTGCAAGCTGAGAAGATTGCTGTGGTCTCCATGAATATAGAAAAGGATGGTTGATAACACTGTGCACGGCATGATAGAGAAATTGAAGATAGAGCCAGGGACTCCAGTATTCTCTCTCTCGATATAGATCCTCGCGCGAATGATCGTGAAACCTTGCTGAGTCCCATCTGTTGCTGGTAGGAAATTTTGTTTCGATATCCATGAGGTGGGCCCCGATAATAGAGTAGCCGGAATCCACCGACCAAGGAGGTGTGGAAAACCCACTGGCACAATGTGAGACATATTGTTGAACTTCGCTCCAGAGAGTCGCAAGTTGCACTGTATACACCCAAATGCCGCCCCTAGATGTAAAAGTGCCATTTTCTTGAGGTGTCTGTGGTGGCTTTATTCCCATCTCCCGAGGAGAGTCATTATTCACAGCCATGTACTTTGGACTGTGTATATCTCGCAGCATATTGAGATGCATGCTGTGTGGTGCATAATGCTGTTTAAGATGATGAATGCTCCAAAAGACTCTTCGGCGTTCTTCCAGAACCGGGTTAAATTCGCCCTCGTGCATTTCAATGTTTATTCCGGCACACTGGGCTAGATTTGCAGCAAGGCCAATGTGTAGCCAAACAAGATGGGTCTCATTTGCTAATCAGAAAGGCAAGAAATAGATATTAGATGTTGCTTCAGTTTGGGGGGCGAATATAGAGACATACCTATATGTTCGGCCAATGCAATCAAACATAGACTTTTAATCGTGGAGAGATCCACGGTGGCCTGCGCAATCCGAAACATGACATAGCTGCGAGCAGCTTCGACATAATGTCTACACATCCGGTCAGTGCGTCCTTCCAAGAAAGGATTATTTGAGTAGCGCAGAGCAAGACTGAGCATTCCAAAAATAACTTCACGGCGGAAATTTTCCGGAATAGAAACATCATCACGATCAAAAAGCCAAAGAGGTTGTTTATGGCAGTATTTGAAATAAAGAGCAATACCCTCTGCGACGATCTCTTTTGGGGGCATTTGAAACGATAATGGGTTCTCAATTCGAGGAGTTAATTCATCCACAGGGGCTTCAGACTGTATTGTGCCGCGTCTTGAACCATCGGAAATTTCGGATGTATTCTCACGGATTTCCTGTCCATGTGATGCCGAGCTGGGCGTTCTCACTTGACGACTCGGGCTATCGCAATCAGCACTCATTCAACCTAACATTGAGTGTCACGGTCATTCACACATCGATCCTTCCAACATCATTTCCATCTTTTCTTCAAGGTGCCTTAATCTATCCTCCTGCTTCGAATGAGTCAGCGCATTCTTTTCTTTTGCGTGTCACTGAATAATCCGTACCAAGACCCGATCGCCCCCCTGAGATCCATCGAAGGAATCATAGTTCCGGCTATACTGGCATGATTGTTGCAAGCGCATACAAGTTGAGCAAGCCGGTCGCTCCCCAGGACATCGTGTCTTCTTGCGACTTCAAATAGTCAATCGCATGCATCTCCAATAACCAGGGCTGTTCAACTTACCGACAGTTTTCGCAAGCTTGATGTGATCTTTTCTGAACACGATTATTCATTAGGGGTAATATCTAGCCACCAAGTAAATATCAAGACTCAAGAGAAAAATACGAGTGGGCATGGTACAAGGTTGGGTTGTTTTAAAGGAGGACAAGGCGCGGGGTTATCGGAGTCAGACCCGCGAGCCGATTCCCTATCATGCGGGGGCGATCCACTCGTCTCCCTTGGTTATCTGCCTTGGGAAATACTGCCCAATTGAGACGAAGTGAACAGTAATGACATAACTAGATCGATCAAAGTTCTAGAAGGCTTGAAGGATCTCGGACTTTCCAATTACGTATGTGTCAGATTACTCCTATACATGAATCTAACGAGGCCGGGTTTATAGCAGGAATATACTATGCCATTCACATTCAAGTTGCATGCTCGAGATCATTATTCAGACTGGTATAATGGCATCATCAATGATTAAGAAAAGCATTACTTGAAAGCCGAGAAAGAAAGACGCTTGAAAATATACAGAGATGATAAACAGGAATCACAATACCTACCATGCCAATTCTCTATTGCCCTCACTAGAACAGGATAGCCCAGAACAAAATTCCATATCTTCTGCCGTGGCCTGGCCTGCTGATTGTTGTCTTGCAGGCCAAATATCCCGCTTCTCGCTCATCTCCTCATCTCTATGGGTCTTCAGAAGAGCTCGAACGGTGTTTTGGAAGAAGATGGGAGCACTCTCAAGGCGGGGATGTAGTTGGCCGTTAACAAAGACTCCAGCATTTAGGTTCTTCTGGGCTGCATTGCAGAGATGCTTGTCCTCGTCGAGTACTCTCTTGAAGAATGAATCGATGTACTCGAAATCTTCATCTGAAGCATCCTTATGCCGGTAGACTTCGTACTCCATGGAGCAAGTTCCGACAGACGTTGGAACACATCGCATCATGTAGAAAAAGTGAGGTCTGGGCAAGGATATTAGCTCCTGAGATTTATTGGGTAAAGAGTTGTATTTAATGGGAGAGAACTCACGATACTGTCATGCAGGCGTTGGGGAAGTAATAAGTACTGGCGTTCTGAATATCCTCCTCCACTTTATCTTCCCTTGGTCGGGAAAAGTGTTGGATATGCCCCGGTGTCGAAACAGTATAGTAATATGAAAGATCGGCAAGATTGGCCACATCAGGATGGGCGACAGTACAATGGTAACATTCATTGTAATTATCTGCCAAGGTTTTCCAGTTGTAATCCCCGGTCATGCCCCAAGTGTGATCAAATTCGTATTGGGTGAAGTCAAATTGCTTGAAGCGTTCCTGCTCATCCACACGATTGAAGTCTTCTTCCCAAGGAATTGGGTTGGGTGAGGCGTTCAGATTGACCCAGACAAAACCTAGTTTATCGACGTGCACATGGACTAGAAACAGGCTCTGGTTCTCTTTTTCAAACCCTGGAACGTCTTCGAACTTCGGTGCTTTGGCGAGTTTCCCATTGAGACCATATGACCATCCATGGTATTTGCAAGAGAGAATCTTCACATTTCCCTCATTCTCGGTAATAACAGGGAATGCTCGATGACGGCAGATGTTGTGGAATCCGTTCAGATTCCCAGATCGATCGAGACATAACACAAAAGAGAAACCGGCCTCTTCGAATTTCAGGAAGTCTCCAGCCTTGTTGAATCGTAGCTTGTGTGTGACCAAGATCCACTTCTTGGAGAAGATAGCTCGTCTTTCTAACTCGTAGACCTCTGGCGAACGGTACCAAGAAGCCGGAAGTGCCTTGGGTGGCTCAACGGGGACTTCTCTAATCTGTGGATTGGATTGTTTGAAGCCAAATAGTGATGCAACTGCGGTAGCCATTGTGGAACTATAATCTTCAAATGCTGAAGGTTATCAGATAATAGAAGTCACGTCAAGATATGAGAACCTGGCAAAGGTGGAGCAATGACACTGCCTTCACTTGGGTTCCATCTTCTGATTAAATCCCCAATCTCATATCCATATCTTTCATGGTCACTCAAAGCTGCCCGGTCACGCGACCATGTGCTCCAGGCATTGAGTCCGATATCCAAATGCTGGTAGCTCAGGAACTGTCCAGGTGCCTTAGCTCGGCGTGGGGCCGACGGTGAACAGCAGCGCGTATCGATGTGCCATTGCAACCACGGAGCAAGCCGCCGGTGGATGATCATGCAGTCAATACTTTTAAACTTTCTACTAAAATCTACTAAACAAGGTTCAAGTAACTCTGAGAAGCAAATGCAACACGGTCCGTCGGTGTTGACAGCCGATCACGTGCACGTATCTACCCCGGCCTTGTGCAGTAGATCGGTATAGTTTCGTCCATAATTTAATGTATGCGTAGATGATGTCAAAAAATTCTGATCGGACCGGTAATAGCTATTTCTGTATGGCGATAGTTCAATTTAGAAGAAAGGTCATCGGGCGTATACCACCACCTTACAAGAGATAGTATAACTAGCGGCATCTTAGTATCGGGATTTAGGACAAGTAACTCAAATATCATTCATCTAGAATATTGAAAATATCTTCTTTCAAAGGTTCATTGTACATAATAGCATATCATATGGTCAATATAGTCAGAAATGAGCCGAGTTGTGCGGATTGGGCAGTTTTTCCACTTGGTTAATAATCTCAGGGTTTGTGAAACTCAGCATACCCCAGCAGTTAGTTACCATCTCTAGCTAGTATTATAAAATTCAAAAACAACTCGTAGCTGATTAAAACGGAGTCATCCGGTCATGTGCGTCTTGTACAATTCCCCAGGACTGTATTACAGCACGTAGTGTGGGGCCCCGGTCCATCCCCCGCTTAGAAAGCAGTATACTCTCAAGTATAGCTGAAAATGTATTAAATTCTTCACCCTAGCTTTTCTTACAAAATCGAAGATACTATCTTACCATAAAGAAGCTTTTGCCTCCTATTTTCGATCATCTGTACAACAACAATGGGATCAATCACCACTCCAGACCATGGCACCAAGTTTGTCTTAACAGCGGAAGCTTTGAACAAGGCTCTGCCAAATATGCATCCTTCCACAAGAGCTGTCCACGCCGACGATTTCGTTACCCCTCATAGAGCTATTGCTCCGGGAATGCACACAGCAGTGAATTTCCGATATGCGCGAGACCCGGAAGACCTAGTTCCAGAGGAGAACAAAGACGTGAGATTCAGCTTCGTTCCTCTCTAATACTCAGACGTTGACTAATTTGACTTCATTTCTAGCCAAATGCTCCAGATGATTCTCACGTCTATTCCCGATACACTGCACCAAACTCCAAGCGTCTCGAGGTCTTGCTTCGAAGCCTTATGGGCGGAGAAGTGATTACTTATTCCACCGGACTTTCTGCCTTCCATGCGATGGTCATACTGATCAATCCCAAGAAAATATTTATTGGTGATGGATATCATGGATGCCATGGTGTTTTGGATATCATCCAGCGATTGACGGGTATTCAAAAGCTAGAGTTGACTGATGTTGACCAAGCCGTCCCTGGCGATATAATTCATGTCGAAACGCCTTTGAACCCAACTGGCGAAGCTCGGAATCTAGCATATTATCGGGCGAAAGCAACAGAAAAAGGCGCATATCTGACTGTCGACGCAACATTTGCCCCTCCGCCACTCCAGAACCCTCTGGACCTTGGCGCCGATGTTGTGATGCACAGTGGAACAAAGTATGTGGGCGGTCACTCTGATATGCTCTGCGGTCTTCTCGTACTTGCTGAGGAACGTGTAAAACAAGGATGGCTGAAGACACTGCACAAGGATCGCCAATATATTGGTAGTGTCATGGGCAGCTTTGAGGGGTGGCTGGGTATTCGGTCTGCTCGCACTATGCAGCTTCGTGTCATGCGACAGGCAGAAACGGCGCAGAAACTTGCAAGTTGGCTGCAAGAGCAACTTTCAGACCCGAAGTCATCAGTTGGAAAGGTTTTAAGCCACGTTCAACATGCCTCGCTGCAAAAGGATGATCTGGAGAATGGCTGGCTTCAAAAGCAGATGCCTGGAGGCTTCGGGCCAGTTTTCTCGATCTGGGCTCACAATCCAGAGCATGCTCGTCGATTGCCTAGTAGAATGTATGTTTTTCAGCATGCTACTAGTCTGGGAGGAGTTGAAAGTCTGATGGAATGGCGAGCTATGAGCGATGCTGGCTGCGACAAGCGACTTCTGCGAGTCAGCTGTGGTATTGAAGAATTCGAAGATTTGAAAGCGGACATTCTGCAAGGATTTGAGTCGCTTCTGCGCGATTTTTCTTAGAGGATATATTATCTATAGAAATCAAATATTGTTCAATTAAGTTATATTATATCATCAGAGCATGGAGAGGAGCATTCGACTGGTATAATAGCTTGTAACAACGAGAATCTCTCCCCAATAACCGGTTTTCTTACACTATCTTTCCGTGCTATGGCCGTACTATTCCAAAGCGAAATAGGACTTGGCTTATCACCCTTAGGCTTTTGTTCAACCGGTATTGAATTAGCTTTGCCTGCATTGAGCATTACTGTCCCTCGACTTTCGTAGGACGATAGCATCACAAGACCCATTAAAATCGAGCCACGTCAATTAATACGTGTCAGACTGCCACGTTTGGTGCATTCAACGTTGTGCCAGGCTGTCAAGACAAGATAGGGTCAATCCCTAACGTCCACTAAACCCGGAGAAATCCCGATCAAGTGACCGGAAATCCACCGATCCGTGACGAATTTCAGCCCCCACGTCTCCACAGCAGTCTAATGTGTCAGTGCATTCCCCCGACCCACACAACTCGGCGCCTACTGCGGCCTCATCGTTTGACAGATTTAATGTGCTCGGTCCAAAAACAAAGATACACTATAGCGTGTCACAGAAATCACGTGGACGGTCAAATTGGGGAGAGTCCGATAGAGAGGAGGGGCTTCATAGAGCTTGCTAGTCACCATAAAGTCAAAGTCAATTCGTATCAGAGACGTTGGTTCACGCATCAACCTGAATATCACAATACACTGACATTATGGAACAATACGACGCTGCAGTTGTTGGACTTGGTGTCTTAGGAAGCGGAGCAGCTTACTACGCCGCTCAAAAGGGCGCCAGGGTTATCGGATTTGAACAATTCGAGCTCGGCCATGTTCGAGGAGCTTCCCACGATACTTCTCGCATTGTCCGGACTTCAAATTTTGCACAGGAATATGTTGCGCTGGCCAAGTCTGCGTATAAGGATTGGGCCGAGCTCGAGAACGTCACAGGTTATAAGATGTTAACAACGACCGGCGGCGTAGTATTCTTCCCCCATGACTCTCCCACTCCATACAGTGATTTCACGAAAAGCCTCGACGCCCAAAACATCCCCTATGAAACACTCGATTCGCAAGAGGTGAAGAAGCGTTGGCCTCAATTTAATATTGCCGACAATGTGACTACGGTCTTCACGGCAGACTCGGCCATTGCTCATGCTGCGAAAACCGTCAGTACTCTTCAGTCTTTGGCACGATCTCACGGTGCAGTTCTGAAAGATAACTGCCCTGTCAATCGTATCACACCACAAAGCTCCGGTGGTGTTATTATCGAGACACCGAAGGGACGGTTCCAAGCCGGCAAGGTAATCCTTGCTACAGATGCATGGATCAACAAGCTTCTCGCGCCTTTGAATACGCATATTCCAGTATCTGTGATGCAGGAGCAAGTAACATACTACAAACCAAGCGATCCATCCGCCTTTGAAACCGATAAGCTTCCGAATTGGATCTGGATGGGTGGACAGTGTTACTACGGTTTCCCAAGCTATGGCGAGCCGACTCTCAAGGCTGGACGTGACCTTTCCAACAATTTCATGACGCCCGAAGAACGTACCTTTGTCCATTCGCCGCAATTGTTGAATCAACTGACATCATTCATGGATGGCTTCATCCCTGATAAAGAACGCCAGCCTCTTCGCACTATCACCTGTCAATACACTATTACACCTGATCGCCAATTTATCATCAGTCCTTTGGATAATAATCCCGATATTATCATTGGCTTGGGTGCTGCCCATGCTTTCAAATTTGCCCCCGCCTTCGGACGTGTGCTGGCAGAGCTAGCGGTCGATGGTCGAACCAATGAAGATATCTCGAAATTCGGCATTCCCAAGGCGGCCACTTTGACTAGCAAGCTATAACTGTGATGAATCATGTGCCAAATGAGATTTGTTTGTGATGTGGTGCTGACGACATGAATGAACTGTGTCTAGAGGAGTTATTGGATTGAGAACCAGAATAATACAGTTATCCGATTTAACGAGATAGAAATTCATCACGTCATATATGATCAATTGTGCTAGATCAGATAGGATCTCCAAAAAATCCACCAAATACCCCTGATGGTATTAAATACGACCAATCTGTATCTTCGTAGCCCATTATTCCTGATCCATACATGTCGCTTAATCCATCCAGCGACGGGAACACCATATTATCGTCAAAGGTTGTACGTGGAGTGGGAAACTGCCCTTCGCCATCTGAATTCCCAGCTTTGGAAGTCTGCGTATCTGTGTTGGCACCTAACTGGCCACTCCGAGGCAAATCGTTGGAACCTGACGGGTGCGGAGGACTCGGAGGGGCCTGCGCATGAGACACATTTCTTTTAGATTTATATGCTCTCCGTAATAGAGTAATTAAGTCCGGAGTCTCCAGAATCTTCCCATTTTGAAGCTCAGCCTGTTCACGAGCGTCCCAAGCTTTCAGCATAGCTTGTCCAAAGACAGTATGCATGGGACTTCTAAGATTTCGATCCAATCCTCTGTTCTGGTGATTGCTGCATATGGCTCTCCATGCGCGCTCACAAAGCAGACCAGTCGTGCGTTGGCGTAGTTCATTCATGAGGAAGACGAATGCAGGCATAGGGGCCTGGTAATGTGTGTACCAACGAAAGCCACGAAGGCTTTCCGTGTTATATATCACATCATCACACTCAATCGTTTGAATTGCAAATAGAAATAAATCATCACGATCCTTCTCTAACATTTCACTTGTCGATATGCCTCGGCACATGAAATCAACCACTCGGAGCTTGTAAAGGGAAGCTCGGCCCGTCATTAGTGTGAAAAGTTGAATGGGTATTTTCGGATCACAGTGTTTGAGATATGTTGATTCGATATAAGAGCAATAGTCATCTAGACCACGAAATGAGGGCTGAGAAGCTTTTTTATGAGTATAGCTGGACGGCGTAGCCACAGGGCCATCTTTACCATATCGATTCCTGGAAATTGATGGATCAGGCCTCATGCTGCTTGGAGCAGCTGCAATTAGAAGTTCAACGCGTGTAAGACAAAAGAGCATCTCTGTCGAGCCAGTGGATGGCACCGGTGGCTCTTTGGATTGTTTATGCAGATCGGTATCATTTACGTTGAGAGGAAGTCGGCAGTCGGTTTTGGATGATGAAAGAGCGGTTATGGCAGATCCTGTCATCTCTGCCATGCGCTTATCTAGAATAGCAAGTTGCCACCAAATTCTTTTTCGTTGTTCGGTTTCAAAGGGAGAGAGTCCAAATTGTGCACCATCTCGATGCAGGCCGAGGCGAGTGGCAACGCGTACGGCGATACCAATTAAACAGAAAAGAGAGCGAGGATCAACATAAATTGCTATACTGAGCTAAAATCGACACTAGTTAGCATCAAATGCATCACATAATGTAGTATTGACCTTACGAGGTATAACAGATGTGCCTGTAATGTCATGAGATCGCTTGATCTCATGAATCCAGCATTAACCAGAGATCTCTGCGTAGCACCGTGGTATTTAGATAGCAAGGTATCTTTTGATTCGTCAAATGTAGATTCAACATTTTCTTTCGTCATCGAGGTCACGGATATAAGATAAATAGAAAACATCAAAGCTTCAAGGGGCTTTGATATATTAGAGAGGTCAGCCCCGGCTCCAACAATCTGATTTTGCAGAGTGGGAACATGACTAATTTTTAATAAGGGATTGACGTTATTCAGATAGACCTGCCATAGTTGAAATATATGGATTGGCGATGGATGAAGGTGAGTGATCCGAGCAGGCGAGCCTCCCACCATAAACGGAAATCCATCATTGTTTTCAAACATAGTGTCAAATGCGTGGTGGATTGTCGGTCGCTCGTCTTCATCCTCATCGGAACCATGTAGTAGGTCATCTGTTGTTTGATACTGGATTATATGACGCGATGTCAGCCTGTCAAAGTCACAAAAAATAGTAAAAAGCTCACCTCATCATAGTATGCAAACCATTTCGATCTTCTGTATAATCATTAAATCTCGGTACCGCTGAGGAAGAGAGAGCCACATACTTTCTACCCTCACCCCGTCGGCGAGACAATCCACTCGGTGTATCGGCCCCAGGAGAGGGTTTCGGTACCTCTGTACTGACATTCCCCGATTCGTCTCTGGATTCCTTGTCATCGCGAATAGAGCAAAAGTCGACACCATTCCTTGTCATGAGCTCCTCATACCGTCTGAGACGTTCGACCAAATCATCCTCTTGTAATTTTCGCTTTTTTCTTCGCGCTGGCTGCGGAGGCACAATCTTGCACTCGACATGCGCCCGGATACAATTTGTGCAAGGTTTCTGCTGATCACATCGAACCTTGCGTTGTTGGCATAGAGCACAAGAGTGACCTCGAGTTAGACTCATAGCGACAGCCTAAGTATGAAGGAAAAGAGCGCTGGATGTTAGAAATTGGGATATGACGACCTAGGTACTGGATTTCCCCCGGCGGATTTTGGTTTCTCTTTCCGGATTAGTGCTCACTGGGTCGCCGCTTTTACTCACTGAGTGAATCTGAGCACGGCTTCCGGCTCACTGATCGGCTTACTGAGCCTGCGCCCACTCCTGTGCTTCACCCACCAATCGCACCAAAGAGAGCCAAGAGTATGAGTTAAGCACCCGAATAAAACGCACGGCGCTAGTGCAAATGAATGAACCTACTTTTTAATCAATCTCCCATCTAGAAAGAGATGGCCCGTCTCATCATGAGAATCGGCAGTGTAAAATCAGGACGCCTGGCCTATCAGACTCTGCGTAAATTTTTTCTCCCAGAAGCCACTCGCTACAACTCAACTATTTGCTGACTCAAAGAAATTAATTAGCCTGTCGTAGTTGCTCCTAGGACGCTAGTTGCTATAACTTAGAACGGCTGCTTTATCTTAATCTCCCAGGAGCTACGAAGGGCGGTGATCATATGTTTATTGAGCCTTGTTACCCGTTATTCCCAGGAGCCGGGTGAGTCACGACACCCCTCCTTTTTTCATGGTCAAATTCTAATCCTGTAATATCCAGGGGATGAAAGTGTACTTAAAGGGATCTTTTTCTCGAGTTTAAAATTGAAGCATTATTATTCTTTTATTTATGCCTTCATGATCCCTCTTGGTCTTGATATTTTATAGTTCTAGAACAGTACATTTTATCTTTAATTCCCCCGAAAAGGCGCAAAAACAACGCTGGTAATTTGGATTCTTTTATTTATACCCAAAGAGCTAGCATCTGCTGACTTAATTTCTAATAGATAATTCCCTTTTTAAACGACTGCAAATTCACCCTGATAGGTTCTCCTCTTTTGATCTAAAAGAACACTATCGCCACAGTAACGCCTCTGCTCTACCTATTTCTATATCCGCATCATCTACTACTTCTGTATTAACTAAATTAGTTAAGCTGATGTTAATCGATGAAAATGCCAAAAATAGAGCTCCTATAGATTATAGCATTAGCGATGCTCTAATAAAAGCAGGGAAACATTGGCACGTCAATAAATCTCCTTAAAACACTCTAGGTGTTTTTAAGCAGGTAAGGAAAAAGGAATATTACTATAAGGAATAAATGGAAGTTTCTGTGGACTTCATTAATAATATAATAAGACATCTACAGCAAGTTTCCGATTATCTTTTTACTAACGATTATGATTTTAGATCTCCTCCAGCAGCACTTTGACTTGTACTTAAGATTATGCAGTGCAGATGCGAAGAATTTTGTTAATAAGGATAAGATATATATCAAGAAGGCTAAGGATAAGGATGTTAAGGGTAATGAGGATATTAAGGGTAGGGATAATAAGAATGAGATCTGGAAGGCCTTTATTAACTCTAGACTCGAGCTGGAGGCTGATGATCGTAGTGATGATAATCTTGATATGGATTATCTGGAGTCTGTTTATGATGATGAGGAGGAGGATATTGAAGGCGAGGGCAGCGATGATGATAAGGTTATTTTTAATGATGAGTCCGACGTATCTTTGATAAGGAGATGGTTGATTTTAGCAGTTTTTCTGATAAAGAAGCTGAAGTTATTGCTCCTTCTCCTATTATAAAGAAGGCTGCTGAGAAGGCTGTTAAGGAGGAGAAGGTCGAGAAAGATAAGGAAGATGCCTTTGATATGGATGTCTCGGACGACGAGGCTTTCTTGGACAGCGACGACGATCTTCTATCTGATATGGAACTTGGTGGTGTCGAGGTACCTACCGAGGCTCCTTCGGACTTGAAGAAGCGCCGCAAGCTCAAGCACTGCCAACCTTTGCCTCTGCCGACGACTACGCGGCTCTTCTTGCAGACGAAGACGAGGGTATTTAAACTGGCTTGTCTTCGTCTTCTTTGCACATTTGTTTCTCTCTTTTTTTTTCAAAGTGACGCCGCACCGACATTTCACTTGTGCCTTCCATATCCGCTCTGAAGGTCATTCTGGGAAGGAGCTTTGTAGCATCACAAAATCCCCCATCTCATGCATGTAGCAATGTAGTTTTTGTACTGTACTGAGCAAGTCCGTCTCAAATCCTATTCTGCTTGAAACCAGTCCCAAGATCTTCTCCTATAAGTGATTGAGTGGGGGTGGCCATTGTGAGCCTCAGATTATGAGGCAGTATGCTAATCGTAACGTAGACAAAATGGCCACCACTCTAATCACGAAGATAGCCCGCGCGGGGGATACCACTGTCTGTTCCTGCCCGTCATGCCCCGATTTGGGTCTAGAGGAGATCGAGGACACTCTCCTGGATGCGCTCAAGGAATTCGGTTGGATTGGCGCCATTGAACTTGCGGGTCTCATCTTAGTTGCCCGCGCAGCCGACCAGCTTTTGCGGGGCCTTGTCAAGGATCTCCTTGAAAAAGGAATGCCGAAGTAAGTGTAGATCAAACTCCAGATGTCCATCCTGTATACCAGTAATCATGTACCATGACCCACAGCGTTCCTGTGGGTTGTCACTATATCACCTGGGTTTAGATCAAGATTTTTTGGATTTTTTGGATTTTTTTGCTAATTTGCATTGCTATATAGAGCTTACGAGTTTCTTTCTTGGGTTTTGGATGATATTGGTCTCTGTGTATGTGTGGTATGCGTGTGGATGTGCACACCCATAGTTTGGGTCGTCAACAAGTTGAAGCCCGCGGGTAACAGAACCGAGTAAATTGTGGAACAATCATCCCCTCGGCGTATGTGTCTTAAGGTACCTGTAAGCTCTGGAGGGAGACATTGTATTTTTTAGAACGCAAGAATTCGAAGTTGAATGACACTTATTCAAATTGCTACAAACCTAAAGTGCTTGCTCTCAGGCACCACTGTACATTTCGTAGGTTTCTGTACAAGTCTTCACGCCGCGCTCCGCGCGGCACTGCCCAGGTGTAGCAGCGAACTTGGGGAAGGTTCCTAGGCATGTCCAGGCGCATTCACACCCTCTCATACAGCCATGCTCACATCCATACTTGAGTACTCAGTCAGTAGTGTTTACAAGTGACTGGCGAAATACCCTTCTATGTATGCAAGTACCTACGGGGTTACCTACAAGGTTACCTGGAGGCTCACCTAGAGGGTTAACTGAAAGGGAAGGTTGGCTGATATATGGATAGTATAGGCTATCCCAGGCAGTGAAGGACACCGAAAAACCCCTGTAGCCCAAGTAGTAAGTGAGGTCTAAGGTCTATGTTCTCAACCAAAATCTCAACGGGGCAAGATCCGTAAAGGGCATATTGCAGAGTAGAGCTGTGCCAGTCACGTCAGCTGGTTGGATTTCAATGTCCCAAGTCAATGTTAAAGCAACTTGAACTTGAATTCATGTATGAGTATTTTTATCAATTGATACGGCCAAGGTGTATACTGGTAGAAATCCTGGCCTCAGCCCTGGAGGTACCTAAGTGGGGTGCCGTCATCATGATCCGCTGAAATGAAAGACTCGGACCTTTCAAGATGAAATCAAGATTTAGAATTGCTACATACTAGCCCTTAGCCTATTCTCCAACCGACAGCCTCCAAAGAACTTCACCGTGTTTCTATAACTTACCCGTCAATAATCTTGTGATATTCAAGTTCAGCCCTCTCATGATGTGTTGCATGATTTTGAAGCGGAGGGCTAGGACAAGACAACTCCGAGAAGAATTTCTTAAAAACAGCGGAGACATATGGGAGCTCCAAAGATTTCGGCACAGGAATTATCGAGGATTTTGGCTACGTGGTACCCTTATGTATCCATATACGGAAGAAGTTCTTGCGATCCTGAACCTCGAAGCGAGCTTGCGGATGAGCTCCCAAAGGGAGATACGGCTGAAAAAACAAGCACAGACCGAGTCTCAGAAAAAGGAACTGGAAGAAACAATAGCTAGTTCATGGGAACAGCAACGGCGATATTGGTGGTGGAAAGATCGTATGCTATCAAGTTCTACCTTTCTTCAACGGGGATTTGAAACGTGGCGATCAAATGAGCGATGGTATATGCATCGAGTACTAGTCGAAGATTGTGTATTCCGAGGTGGATGCTGTGCACGTGGATGTGGATGCTGCGAAAGTCCTGAACGTCTGACCAGCTCTGTTGGTAAACTTGCTATTGGGCATTGCTCTATTGAATGTGCATGTTGCGTTGAAACCCGCGGCGGAGCGATTCCTTCACAAGAGGTTTGCAAGGATGTTGATGACCTCTACGGGTTTTCGAACTTAACAAAAGATTTTGACCTTGAGAAAAACGTATACCGGTTTCAAATTTACCTCGCCGCTATATGGGGACTTGGAAAAGGCAATCCATCGAGACTTCCAAACGATATCAAGTTCAATTTTTGCGATCTGAGTGTCCCGACTTCGGAGCCAGCGTGCATGCAAGATGATAGCTCCGAGTCCCAAATTACAAGTACGAGTACGAGTACTTTTCTTGAGATCAGGTAAGGACTGAACATATCTATTAGGAGAACATTGCTAAATATCTCTTGTCAGTGATGACGAGGGAAGTCGAGTTTCTTTTGTCTGATTTCGAAAAGCCTGATAGCCATCCACAACATTCAAATTGAACTTTACCTTATAGCTAAGTTGACGGATAGCTTCAAGTTTGCTAGTGTTGCTGTCCACATATGTGACCAGCCGCCAAATTGACTAAAACGCCTTCGATGTCATACCTAATAGTAGTTCACAGGATGGTAAAAGGTAGCCCCCAATCCCTGCATCCTGCTAAAGCTTGAAACTAGCTTGTATGGCACTAAGAGCCTGTGTCATGCAACTAGGTCAGATTAAATATCTCACGTAATTCAGTCACTGGAATCCACCTGGCATTGGGTGTTCAATCAGACTCGGGATCCTTCTAGGGGCGAAAGAATTGAATTTGGGCCAAGTAGATATGTGGATTCAATGAGACCATCATGGGGAATGAGCACGCAAGAGTGGACCGCAGCTCGGAAGGAGTTGCGATACCTGGCCTTAAATAGTATTCTGTAAGGTTATGACTCTCGATAAATCTGTTGATAAATTAATTTTTAGTTTTGGTGCGAAATATTGTAGTAATTTATATGAAAATATACCTTATCTAAAACTTAAGGATCTGTGCGAATATATCCTTTGTTATTGGCCAATGCTTATCTATATTTCTAATTATATCTTCTCTTACGTAGGCGCTAAACATATAACCATTCTGTGCCTGTCGGTGTATCTTCTTGTCTTTAACAATATTATCTTTTGCAGCAGCAGAAAATTTCCTTTCCAGAGTTGGATGTGTGCTTAAATTACGCCCCGGTGATACTGAGTTTATCGCTAAAATATTAATGGCAAAGCTTGTAGCAAAGAAAAACACTTTAGAGGGGAACTTTTCGATAGAATAGATATAAAATGGAGGGGTGTTTAGCATTATTTATATTGGTAATTTAGATGATCAGTAAAAGAGACAATGATTATATGGTGGATATGCATCATAGTCTAAAGCCAATAATAAATTAAAGATATTAAGATGTGGGATATGACGACCATGTAGAAATAAAGGGCTATCATAAATATGACGGAATAATTAATCAGCCTGGTTGATGATAGATACTACTTTTGTTTTGGGTGGGAAGTAGCTTGCGTACCGTTTAGATGCCCCCTTTCAGTTAATGCGATGAGTCAGCGAACGAACAGGATCAGGATCACTGAGCACTCACGTGATCCAGGGGCTCGCTCAGTGAGCCTGAGCCTGAGCGCCCTCATTGAAAGCGGCGGTCACCAAATTAGGAAAGCCCCACCTGTCAGGGAAAATCCAGTACGTACAGGTACCTAGGTACAAGGGGAAGTGGAGGTCGGGACCGAAAGTCACTCCAATCCCCGGCGCTAAACCCAAAGGGGTGTTCTGTGTTTGCATCTATAGGCTCTTCGGAACGTCATTCAAAACACTCGTGACTTTTACAGGACTTTATGATATACCTTGATTTCAATATGAGCCACAGATTATTACTCGGATGACCGAGCCAAGGGCCATAAATACGCCATGAATGATCCCTGGCGGAAAGAGGAATGTTGGTTCCAGAAACCTGCCACCGAGAACCTTGCTCCCAGGGTCTTACTTAAATCAGAGTTCACCCATCAATTCCTATTCTGATCAGAGTCATGAATCAGATTCAATCTTCAGTGCTCGGTCACACCTCCGACACTCATGAAATTTTGACTAATTCCATCGACCCCGAAAAGCAAAATGAACCACCACCAGCCGCGGCACCGGCACAACGCCCAAACAATGCTCAACAAGAACAATCCCCGCTACCTGAACAATCACAAGAGCAAACTGATAGCCCATATCGACCCAAAACGTCGAAGTTCTGGCTTATATTACTGTGCAACTTCATGTGTCTACTCCTAGTAGCACTAGATCGAACAATTATCGCAACAGCCATCCCGCGGATCACAGACGAATTCCACAGTCTAAGCGACATTGGATGGTACGGATCATCGTACATGCTCGCTAGTGCATCGTCACAACTACTCTTTGGGCGCATCTACAAGTTCTATAATATCAAGAGGGTTTTTTTGACTTCTGTCGTGGGATTCGAGATTGGATCTACTATCTGTGGTGCTGCGCCTACGTCTGGAGCATTCATTGCTGGACGTGCTATTGCAGGATTTGCTTCTTCGGGGATATTCTCTGGTTGTATGCTTATTGTTATTTCTATGGTTCCTCTACATAAGAGACCGATGTTTCAGGGTATGTTTGGGGCTACTTTTGGGATTGCTTCGATTTTAGGTCCTTTGGTTGGTGGGGCATTTACTAGTAATGTGACCTGGAGGTAAGGAATAGCAACCTGAACTCTTTGAAGTTCCTTCTGTTTTGCTCGGCAGTATGTACTAACTTTGTATTGATTAGATGGTGCTTCTATATCAATCTTCCTATTGGTGTTGTCGGTTTGCTGGCTATGACCCTTGTATGGTGCCCAAAGAGAGGCCAGCATGATTCGGTTCCCATTTCCGCACATTTAAAACGTTTGGATCCATTGGGAATGTTTTTCTTTGTACCATCCATTATATGCCTTCTATTGGCATTGCAATGGGGTGGCTCGACGTATGCGTGGAGCAACGGCCGTATCATCGCGCTATTTGTCGTCTTTGCCGTCCTGATCACCATTTTTGGGACCATTCAGGTTTTGAAACCAGATACAGCCACTATACCCGCTAGAGTTATTACTCGCAGAAGTATTTTGAGTGGAGCACTATTCATTTTCTTTTCATCGAGTGCAATGATGATGATGATCTACTATGTTCCCATTTGGTGTGAGTGGCCCTTTTCTTTCCCTTGGTGTTGTAGCATATCGCCTTGAAGCATAAAATGATATTAATTGGCCACGCTTTAGTTCAAACCGTCAAGCTTGTCAATCCAGTACACTCCGGCATATACACTCTGCCGCTAGTCCTCAGTCTCGTGGTCGCAAGTATTATTGGCGGAATAATCACTCAAAAAATCGGCTACTACGTCCCAGCCATGTATACCAGTCCAAGTATCATGGCAATAGGACTAGGTTTGATGTCCACCTTCAATCTAAATACTAGTTCCTCGCACTGGGTCGGCTACCAGTTCCTAGCGGGATTTGGTCTAGGCCTCGGAATGCAGATTAATGGACTGGTCGTACAACGAGTTCTTCCGCCACCGGATATTCCAATTGGTATTGCGTTGATGTTCTTTCTTCAGCAGTTAGGTGGGAGTATATTTACTACTGTTGGTCAGACTATACTGAGTAATTTGCTTCGGGCACGGTTGAGTGGTATTCAGGGTATTGATGGGGGATTGATTGCGAGTCAGGGGGCCACGGAGTTGGTTAAGGTTGTTTCGGAAAAGGATATTGGGGTTGTTCAAGAGGCATATAATTATGCTTGTACGAGGATATTTCTTGTTGCTCTTGGAGCTACGTGCGCGGCGTTGGTTAGTAGTCTTGGGATGGAGTGGAAGAGTATTAAGAAGGGTAAGAATGGACAAGATGTTTCGGGACAAAGTAAAGATGGTGAGGTTAGGAGGCCTCTTGGGTCTGAGTCTCCACGTCAGTGACGCTGGAACATGCAGATAATAGGAGATAGAGAGACTTGAACTTGGGAATGAAGGACATGAGAAAGTCGGTCCAAATGAAGGGTTAATTGTATTGTCTTTAATAGCTTGCTGCATATCCAATAGACGTGTCTCTATCCAATAATAGTAAGAGTGTCGGCGCCAGTTTGATGTAACAAAATGATCCCAATAGAAACTCCTTTATATGTGCTATGATAGCGCTCGAGTCCAAATGAAATGTATCAATGACTAATGTATTGGAAAAGAGCTGAAACATCTCGCTCGCCAGCTTCCTGTCGCATTAATAAGTCCTGAATCTTACCCAATGGCCCCTGCTCTCCAGTATTAACAATATGATTCCATGAGCTTGTATCTCCATAAAGCATAGCCGGTGCTTTAATAAATTGCATTCCATCCGGCTTACATCGCTTGCACTTGAAAGTATCATGCGTATCACTGCGTGTTTCGGGCTTGAACTGGAAAAGTTCTCGTAGTGACTCCAATGAGAAATGGCGCTCGACATCCTCTGCCGAGTCCACAACACAAGATGAAAGGGATTGCTTGTGTGATTGACGTTGGAAAATCTTCTCCTCAATAGATCCAGTTGCAATGAAACGGTAAACAAAACAGTCTTTCTTTTGCCCGTCACGCCAGACACGAGCTAGAGCCTGCTGGTCAGCAGCGGGATTCCAATCAGGGTCAAATAGGACCAATCGGTTGGCACCAATCAAGTTCAGTCCACAACCACCGGCCTTACTACTGAGAAGAAAAACAAATTCAGGGCCATCGGGATCATTAAATTTGTCGACCAGCTTTGTTCGCTTTTTAATGTTCATTGAGCCATCCAGTCGTAGATTGCCATAACCGCGGGATCGGCAAAGTCGCTCAAAGAGATCCAATGTCTGGGTATAATTGCTGATTAGGACGATCTTGTCGTTTGTATCTTGGCGGATTCGAGCGAGCATGCGATCGAGGACCATCATTTTTCCAGAATACCAACTTTTCACCTCTCTGTCACGTCCTCGAGCGTCGGGAGGCGTATAATCCTCGGGGAATGCGTGCTCACATCCTGGTAGGTCATTTGCCAAATCCAGGAGGTCCGGGTGGTTACAAAGCTTCTTCAGGATACCGATCGCCTTCAAAGGTTGACTACCTTTTCCCCGGAGCAGACTTCGAATCTCAGGACTTTGAATGAAGTGATTGTAAAGGTCCAGTTGGAATGGAGACATATTGCAGAAGACGACATGCTCATATTTAAGAGGCAGGTATTTGGATAGAAGGTCATTGCTTCGACGAATAATGAACTTGTTGACAATACCGGATAGTTCTGTAAGGCGCTCATCGCCAAGTTTTCGAGCTTCTTCAGTTCCTGCGGCATCTCGTCCACGTAAAATTGGTATCTCAAACCTCTTGCGAAAATCGGCCTGAGATCCCAGTAGATTCGGGTTCGCAAAGTGTAGTAGAGCAAAGTATTCTGACAAGTCGTTTTGAATCGGTGTACCAGAAAGAATAACACGTCTGCTGACATTAAGACTGTTCAAGGCAATCCAAGTCAAACTGTCCTTATTCTTAAGTCGGTGGCCTTCGTCACATAGAAGAAGTCCAATTGTCGTATCCTTCAATACATCCACGTACAGTCGAAGCGTTTCATAAGATACGATTAGAACGGGTCGCACGACACCACGACCACTTGCCATTGCCCACTGCTTCATCTGAATAATAAGCTCGGCTTTGGAGGCTTTCCCGTCGATAGCAAATGGAGTCGTTGCGTCCTTTCCAAGCCATTTCCCTGTCAAGATTAAGGTCAGACGAGCTAAAAAGCATTTGCGCGGTCATAAAAGCCCACATACCTAATTCATTTGCCCAGTTTCCTACCAAACTTGACGGACAAGCAATCACACATTTTTGAATGGTTGTTTTGCCAGCTTCTTGATCTTGTTTGAGTAATGTCCACATCAAGGCAATACATTGGAGCTATAATCATCAGTTACCGAACGGTATTTTCGAGATTCAGCTCAATCATACCGTTTTCCCCAATCCCATACCGTCGGCCATGATACAGCCATTGGCATTCTTCTCAATCATTCCAGTTGTACATCGATACATAAACTATCGGTCGTTAGCATGTAATCACCAGCGCACCGACGTCCGATGGTGTCTTGATGATAAATACCTTCACTCCCTCCACTTGATGCGGTCGAAGAACCTTGGCTAATCTGGGATCTATGACCACGGGTACCTTCGGTCGCTCTTCCACTTGTTTCTTCAATCCAAGAATATCTGCCAAACTCTTATGTACCAGCGGTTCGTCCAGCTTTTCTTCGTCTTCTTTCGGCGTGTCCGGATTATTCGCCTCAGGCTCCTCCGCGATATCATCAATAGTCGGGTCATAGAGAACGATGGCTAGCTCTCCGCTCGGATCATGAAGTGGCTTGACAATAAACGTTGTGCCCTGTCTCATGCCCAAAATTGGTGCCGCCCGACCAGCATTGTATTCACCTGTATCTTTTTTGAGGAAAGGGATGCGAAACCTCTGTCGGAAAGCCGCGTCCTTGTCCTTGGGTTTAAAGACGGGGAACTTATTCACTTCTCGCGTTTCTATGGCAAGTCGGTCCTCATTTGTGTACGGCTTCTCGCCACCATCTTCCGTACTGCCATCCGCATCTGCATAATTGACCTTTCGTCGCTTCCTTGTTGGCTTCTCGGATACTCGTTTGTACGTCGCGGAACCGGGGCATTTGAACGGTTTTGACAGTTGGTCTATCGAATTTGTTGATTTGGGCTGTAACGGTGTCTTGGGTTGACCATCTGTTGTGACTGGCCGAGGACGATACCTGCAAGCTTGTTAGTGAGAGCCAAGACGAGCCAGATTTGGGACATACATTATTCCAATGAGTTCCGAAGACCAAGTGCTATACAGAAAGCCAGCTGTACAAAGCTCTCCTTCCTCCGTTGGTGGGTTGCGTGAGCGAGTTGCAAAAGTTGTTGACGACGCGTTGACTCACGCCAAGACCCGCGCCTGCCTGTGCCTACACAACACCAAAGTGCCACGGCCCCACGTGATCCACCCCGCCGCAACTTAAAGTTGGGGAAATCAAGAAAGCGGGACAGTGGAACTTTTGTACACATTCTACGATCGGTTTCTGAATGGCAGCGGATTTCTGGGCTGGGTACCTCAGTGGCGCTCTTGGAATCGTTATCGGAAATCCTTTAGATGTGGTCAAAGTTCGGCTGCAGGCAGGCAATGCAGGGTATACCCCTCCATCCCACCTAAACCGATTGGAGAAGGCGAGTTCACTGGTCCGAGGTAAGCTCTTTCTCATGAAACAGCAATTTAATCTGTACAATTACATATTGTGAGATTCTGACTGTGTATACAGGTGCCGCGGCTCCAATACTGGGATATGGTGCCCTCAATGCAATTCTCTTTGTGGCCTACAATCGGTCATTGAGAGTATTGGACCCTTCCGTTGTGGACCCTACTAACCCGGGAGGAACATCTTTTTATAAGATTTGGGTTGCTGGTGCCGCGGGCGGACTTGCTAGCTGGACTGTTTCTGCTCCAACCGAGTTTATTAAGTGTCGAGCGCAGCTAGATCCTCGTCCGCAGACCTCTTCATGGTCCGTTGCCAAGGATATATATCATAACCGAGGTTGGCGGGGACTATATTTTGGAGGAGGGATTACCAGCGCCAGAGACGCGATTGGCTATGGATTCTAGTATGTATTGAAACACCCGATCGCTAGGAGCCCTTGCATAACAGATAAACATATGGATGCAATCATGATGCATATGTATGGACAAAGAACTAACGATGCATAGTTTCTGGTCTTATGAGCTTTGCAAACGAATGATGACTACGGAAAACGAAACTTCTCATCAGGCTACTTTGAAAGTCCTTTTATGCGGTGGCATTGCAGGCATTGTCACCTGGGGTTCTGTCTTCCCATTGGACATGGTTAAGACTAGACTACAAGCGCAGACGATGCATGACACCCGCGGTGTGCATGGACTCTCGGGACCGAATGCAGAGGGCCAGCCACTTTTACGACCACGCCAACCATTGAACACTCTTCAAATTGCCCAAGAGACCTATCGAGCAGAAGGCTTGAAAGCATTTTATCGAGGATTAGGAGTTTGTAGTATTCGAGCATTTATTGTGAATGCCGTTCAGGTATGTGATACATATCTCCTCCCATTCAACTTTATCGAGCGTCGACAGCTCTGATTCGTCGATTGACTCTAATGTGGTCCAGTGGGCGGCGTATGAATGGTTGATGAAAAGATTTACTCAGCCATCGGCGATTGGGTCAACGGCCCCCATGGGAGAAAGGATATAGAAAGTGCGCAGTCCACGGTTGATTGAAATATAGCGTGGAGACCCATTGTAACTACACATATACCGAACGCTCATTCAGGTTAGACTCTTTTTATTTGGTATTGAGGGATTTCTATTGGAATTTTTACTCCGGGGTATTTTGCTAGGGGTAAATTTCATCCATGCTTTTTGGTTTTCCGAGAATCGGCGGTTTCACACGGTCCCGCAAACCGGTAGAACGGAAACCCGACGATTCTCGGCACATGAAAAAAAAAGATCGTCACGTGCAGAACTCCACCGAACATGCAGTAGTCAAGTTAAAGTCAGGTGGACATGGAAATTCGTAGCTTGGACGGACGTCCATGGTGTTTTGTGGTCAGGTATATTGGGCGTGTGGGGTTTTTGGTATCGATATGAGTTGAGGGTGTGGCAAGTTCGGGGCGTGGTGCTCAGTCCTCCATTTCGACGTTTTCCTGTTGAGGTCGCTTGCCGTTGTCTACGCCCAGGCCAACCACAGCTTCAGCGATTTTTTGGGAATGAGGTTCTTCTTTCAAGATGCGGACTCTATTGGAAGCGATGATTAGCGACTGGTTGCGCTGGGATCAACATATGTGGCGATGTTGAAACTCACCTGCGCTTGTGGTTCTTGCCCTTGGTGTGCGCCTTCAGGTTATAATCACTCTCGAACCATTTGGCGCACTCCAGACAGTAATGCTGTCCTAAACCTGGCAGATCCTCTGCATCCTTGCTCTCCTGGAAAATCTCCAGGTGACGAGGCGACTCAATATCGGCACAGACCTGGTCGTAGTCTCTGATAGCAATAAATTAGCACCCGCACAATCCGCTCAGAGTTTTCAACAAAGCTAGACATATAGAAAAACCAGAAAAGAAGAACATACCTTGTGCGACGCTTATTCTTGATTCTGCGTAAAGCACCCATTTTTCTTGCTACTGTATAGTTCGGCTTGCTGGCCGATCTCGAAAAAAAATTGAAGATAGAGTGTTGCAAGCAAAAAAAGTTATCACCGATTTCCGGAGGGATAATGGGGCGTAGTGGGGAACGGGACAAGCGCCAGGCAAGAACAAGGAGCGAAGTTGTAAAAGGAAATTTCCGCTGACCGAGTGGAGCTTAGCAACGATTGAAACGCATCGGTCGTGATTGGCGGTTTCACGGTTTCCACGGCTTGGCTGTGAGTGTTAGCTGGAGTCGCGGGAGTCCCGTTCGGCACGCCTCGGCTCAGCGGTTTGTCACCGGTTTTACGGGTGTATTGAATGGTTTCTGGTAATGTTTCGGTATTATTTGGTATAAAATCAAGAATTATGGTTTATCCCTATGACGTTTGCACTCGCGGCATGTTGCTCCGGCCCCCTGGTCTGAGACAACAACACTGAAGCGGGAGTCTGTGGTAGTGCAGGGAGAGTTATGAAGATTGTTTATGGGTTATTTCTTATTATTGACAATTTGGCAATTTGTCATTTCTATAGTGTCAATATATTACTACTCTGTGGCATAGATATCCTCAAGCTCAAGAGCTATCCACATGGGGTTGATCCTCAAAGCCCACATGCAATGGAGACATAACACCTTGGGGGAATGGAGAAAGTTCCGAGTTGACCAACCATGCCGAGTCTATACTCCCTTTAGCCCGAGTCCCATAGCAACAATTGACCAGATTTTATGATGTAGCCCAGCAGTCAAGCATTGATCTCAAACTCCGTACTCCGTATTCGTGGCCTGTAATCGCAAATTCCATGATTGGTGGGCCGCTTTGGGCCCGTCACATGCCGTGTATTGCCATTACATCCGCATCAGCACCGGTTGATGAGGTGGGAGTGTACATTGAGAGAGTCAAGCCATGGGATATTGCATATGAAAATATACCTGAACGCTTAAAAAGATACATTTATTGTGATCCCGATTTTTTCCAGAATTTTATGTCCCCTAGAAGGTCCGAAAACCACCAACTGTATTGATCTCTCCAGGTCGCCATCAGTGAGCGCATGCGGGCAACCTCAAGGCTCAATACGGTACGGTATCGCAGCGGTAACAGCGAGTTACGGCTCTTCGGCTCAGAACAATTCTCTCTTCCCACTCAAAACCTCCAAGCTTCCCTTTTTCTCTTCTCTTTTTTCTCCTCTTCTTTCTTCACTCTCCACTCTTTTTGATTACCACAGGTGAAGGTGGTAACTTGCCTTTGGATGTGTTGTGCTTCCTCGTAATAGAGAGTACCTGCCCATCATGATCTCCACCCGCCTTGCGCGCGCCGGTGCGCTGGTACGTTCATAGCCCTGCCTCGCTGGATGGCTGGGTGATGCGCTTTTTGCATATTCCCAGAGCCTCCAGGGAGGTTCGATATCTTCCCGCAAATTGACAATGATGCTAACAATCTCTTTCTGTTGCAGGCCCCTAAGTCCCGTTTTGTGAGTAGCACTCAATCAATGCAGCAGCCACATCTCGATATGTGGTCTTGCGTCACTCCCGAATACTGGGGTTTGATGGATGATATTGGCAGTCAACTAACCAATGGTCGTTTAGCTTTTCGGAACTCGGGCCTACGCTACTGTTGACCCCCTCGACAAGAAGGTCGAAATGACCATCCAAGAGAAGGTGAGTTTTTTGTCTAACTTTCCTTTCAATTTTTTATTGCGTCCGACCGAGGACTTCACTGGCGGATCCTGCAAAAAACAAAACAAAAAAACAAAAAAAAAACAAGAACAACAACATAGGAATAATGGCTAACTATTATCGTAAAGGGTAACTTCATCAACTACAAGAAGATGAACGAGAACCTGAAGATCGTCCGATCTCGTCTTCAGCACCCTCTGACTTACTCCGAGAAGATTATCTACTCTCACCTTGACGACCCTCATGGACAGGACATTGAGCGTGGAAAGTCCTACCTTAAGCTGCGCCCCGACCGTGTTGCTTGCCAGGACGCCACTGCCCAGATGGCCATTCTCCAGTTCATGTCCGCTGGCATGCCTTCCGTCCAGACTCCTACTACCGTCCACTGTGATCACTTGATTGAAGCTCAGATTGGTGGTGAGAAGGATTTGGCCCGTGCCAACGACATCAACAAGGAGGTCTACGACTTCCTTGCTTCCTCTACCGCCAAGTACAACATCGGTTTCTGGAAGCCCGGTTCCGGTATCATTCACCAGATCGTCCTAGAGAACTACGCTTTCCCCGGTGGTCTGATGATCGGTACTGACTCTCACACCCCCAACGCTGGTGGTCTCGCTATGGCTGCCATTGGTGTCGGTGGTGCTGACGCTGTCGACGTTATGGCTGGTCTCCCCTGGGAGTTGAAGGCTCCTAAGGTTATCGGTGTTCGTCTCAGCGGTAAGATGTCCGGCTGGACCACCCCCAAGGATATTATCCTGAAGGTTGCTGGTCTCCTGACTGTCAAGGGTGGTACTGGTGCCATCATTGAGTACCACGGTCCTGGTGTTGACTCTCTGTCCTGCACTGGTATGGCTACCATCTGTAACATGGGTGCTGAGATCGGTGCTACCACCTCTCTGTTCCCCTTCAACGACCGTATGTACGACTACCTGAAGGCCACCAAGCGTCAAAGCATTGGTGACTTCTCCCGTGAGTACGCCGCTGAGCTCCGCGAGGATGAGGGTGCCCAGTACGACCAGCTCATTGAGATTGACCTGAACGAGTTGGAGCCCCACATCAACGGTCCTTTCACTCCCGATCTGGCCACTCCCCTCTCCCAGTTCAAGGAGGCCGTCAAGACCAACAAGTGGCCCGAGGAGCTCAAGGTCGGTTTGATCGGTTCTTGCACCAACTCTTCTTACGAGGATATGTCCCGTGCCGCTTCCATCGCCCGCGATGCTCTCGACCACGGTATCAAGTCCAAGTCTCTGTTCACAATCACCCCTGGTTCCGAGCAGATTCGTGCTACCATTGAGCGTGACGGCCAGCTCGCCACCCTCGAGGAGTACGGTGGTGTTATCTTGGCCAACGCCTGTGGTCCTTGCATTGGTCAATGGGACCGTAAGGACGTGAAGAAGGGTGATGCCAACTCTATCATCTCCTCCTACAACCGTAACTTCACTGGCCGTAACGACGCCAACCCCGCCACCCACGCTTTCGTCGCTTCTCCCGATCTGGTTGTCGCCATGACTGTTGCTGGTTCCCTCAACTTCAACCCCCTCACCGACTCCCTGAAGGACAAGGATGGCAACGACTTCATGCTCAAGCCTCCTACCGGTGACGGTCTTCCTAACCAGGGCTACGACCCCGGTATGGACACCTACCAGGCTCCTCCTGCTGACCGCGAATCCATCAACGTCGCTGTCTCTCCTTCCTCCGACCGTCTGCAGCTCCTCGCTGGTTTCCCCGCCTGGAACAAGAAGGATGCCACTGACATCCCTATCCTCATCAAGTGCCAGGGTAAGACCACCACTGATCACATCTCCATGGCCGGTCCCTGGTTGAAGTACCGTGGTCACTTGGACAACATCTCCAACAACATGTTGATCGGTGCCATTAACGAGGAGAACGGTGAGGCCAACAAGGTCAAGAACGCCTTCACTGGCAAGTACGACGCCGTCCCCGCCACTGCCCGTGACTACAAGGCCCGCGACATCAAGTGGGTTGTCATTGGTGACTGGAACTACGGCGAGGGTTCTTCCCGTGAGCACGCTGCTCTTGAGCCCCGTCACCTCGGTGGTCTGGCCATCATTACCCGCTCCTTCGCTCGTATCCACGAGACCAACCTGAAGAAGCAGGGTATGCTGCCCCTCACCTTCTCCGACCCCGCCGACTACGAGAAGATCAAGCCCGAGGACAAGGTCGATCTTCTCTGCACTCAGCTCGAGGTTGGCAAGCCCATGACTCTCCGTGTCCACCCCGCTGCTGGTGGCTCTACCTTCGACATCTCCCTCAGCCACACCTTCAACGAGTCCCAGATCGAGTGGTTCGTTGACGGTTCCGCCCTGAACACCATGGCTCGCAAGTCTGGAACCAACTAAATGGGTTAGGCATAATGTCAAACCAAAAGCAACAAAAAACCCATTCCTAATATTCCCTTCCAGGCTCCTCGCAGTCTTCTTATGTTGGCTGATCGAGGTGTCCGTGTAAACTACGTTCTCTCGTGTGTTTTCAGAAAGAGAATGGAGTGACTTACGATCCCTTCCCTCATGTGGAATGAGATTGAGGGAAGGTTGTCACTCCAGTGTGTGTGTGTGTGTGTGCGCGCGTCCCCCTTTCTTTTTTTTCGAGCCGGGTATGAGGAGTTGTGCTCTTAGGAAAAATTTCATGATCTTTTGTTTTCGACCGAATAGGTCTTGCGTTGGATTCCCGTTTGGGTAGGCTCAATGGATATAGTTGTTTGATTTCCCTATATCACTGTTTTTGTATGTTGGATAGCATGCATACACCATTTCATTATGTTCAAGCTGTTCTAGCAACTGTAGTTTCTTGCACGTAAAACACTTTTCCATTTAGACCGTATCTACTTGGTATACTATAGTATCACCTTCCTCTCATCAAAGCCGGGCAGTGTCAATGAGGAAGCATAACTTCGGTAGAGATCAAAACCTCGGAAAAGAGCTGAGATAAGCGTAGCCGAGGCCCGTTAAACCTGCCCCGCGGAGAGCAAAAAAAGCAATAAAGAGATAAAAGAGATCCAGCCTTAGTGACTGGCGCTGGCACTGGCACTGATAGTCCCACATCGCCATCATCCTCGGAGATTCCGCAATTATCACCCACAGTATAAGTAACAGTAAGTGGACCCAATCCCCATAGCAAATGGGGAACTCTCCAAACCCCAGCATCCACTTGATCCTCCTCCGTTCAGCCTAATAACTGAACCAAGTTAGCCAATACTTCTTTCTAGCTAGCTAGCAAGCAAGCAATCCCACACCGAAAGCAAAAGCAAACTCAGAAGGAAAAGAGACAAACATCACAAGCCCTCAAGCCCCAAGTCCAAATAAATGGCGCAACTCGTCACCCTCCCCGAAGTCGAGCGCCTCAGCGCCTCGGTAATCAGAATTCTAGGCGGGAATCCAGGAAAGGTAGCACCCACCAACCCAACCCAACCCCTGCAGTAATTACACTACACTGTACCGTACGTACATCGGACTCGGATCGGGCACCAAAGCTGACATACAGCATCGCACTAGTTCACATTACAAGGTACGTGCCGTCGCCGTCTTTAGCCTGGGGTACTATCCCCTCAACTAGCCGGTCTAGAGCCTATTCCCCCACCAAGACCAGGCAGGACTTGACTAAGTCAGACTCTTGATAGGAACCAACACATACCTCATTGGGCGTGGAGAGCAACGCATCCTAATAGATACAGGCGAAGGAAAGCCCACGTGGGGAAAATGTCTTGAATCCGTGCTCTCCGAAGAGAAAGCCACAGTTTACCAGGCACTACTTACACATTGGCACGGTGACCATGTTAAGGGTGTGAGTGATTTACTGCGGATTTGTCCACAGGCACAGGTTTTTAAGAGTCAGATTCAGCCTGATGAACATGAGGGACAGGGACAGAGGGATATTCTAGATGGACAGGTTTTCAAGGTAGATGGGGTGACGCTTGTAGCTAGTCATACGCCTGGACATACGGTTGATCATATGGCTTTTGTGTTTGAGGAGGAGGATGCGATTTTTACGGGTGATAGTAAGTATATTCTGTTTCTGTTCATTCTACTTTTTTGTTAATGATCATGACTATGATAGATGTCCTAGGCCAGGGAACAGCAGTTTTCGAAGATCTCCCCATTTACCTATCCAGTCTTCACCGGATGCGCGATCGGGTGACAGGACGCGGATACCCGGGCCATGGGGCGGTGATTGAGAAAGCCAGTGCGCGCATCAGCGAGTACATCCAGCACCGACAGCAGCGGGAAGAAGAGGTACTCCGGGTGTTACGGGATGGAAGGTTAGATGGGGAAGCATCGCCCGAGCGTAAAGGATGGACTCCGCTGGAACTGGTGAAGAAGATTTATCGGGATGTACCTGAGTCGCTCCATTTACCCGCATCACATGGGGTGCTGCAAGTGTTGATGAAATTGGAGGGGGAGGGGCAGACGGTCCATGAGGAGGGGGGGAGTTGGAGATTAAGCGGGGAGAAGTCGGCGTTGTAGATGGATATTAATAGTAGATACAACATAGTACCTCTAAAGTTATATTATGTTCTATAGTATTCTAGGCTATGCTATATCACGGCTATTATGAGTGGTTTATAGGAAACGAAGGAATAAATCGGTTTTTATAGATCCGAGACGTACTATGTTGTATCATGGTTGGGCGGGTTAAGGTGCTCCGTGAACCTGCAGGAGTTCAATTTTGTCCAGTCTAAAGAATTTGATATACAGATAGGTACTGTATTAACTAGCTCAGCAAATGGAGCCGATCTAGCCATGATCTGCGGACTATAAGGATTAGAGATCGACGTCAGTGTATGGTCATGTCGGAGAGAAGAACTGGATTGTAGTATGTAGTTTAGCTCCCCGCAATGACACCTATATCAGTATAGATTAAACCCGTTTTCTTCCTTCATTCTCAGCAGATTTCACGATCGCTGACTGGCTGGGTTCACCTAGATCCAATCATCGTCGACACCAACACGCGCAACACTGAAATCGGCCCTTGTCCAACTTTATTAAGGAGAGAAAAAAAGAATTAAAACTCCCGGTATTCACTCCCTTTTCTCTCTCCTACATGAATTTCCCATATCAGAACGTCCTCTTATTTTATCCTCTTATACCCTGTCCTTTCCCCCTCTATCGATGTGAGTGCTAGTGAAGAGCTCCACTAGCTAAAGTTCCAAGTTTCGGGGAGCGCTGACCTCACACCTCACACCTCTTCCATTCTTCTTTCTGCCCACCCCACTTACTCTTTTTTCTTTTTAACAATTCCCACTCCCCAGAATCCATTTCCATTGGGGATATGCGCGTGTCTGAAATTAAAGAAAAGATCTGTTGAGCATTCTTCTGGACGAATCTTTTCCCCCTCGTTGCTTTGCTCTACCAGCTACTCCGGATCGGTTGATCGGTTGATCACGGTTAGTCCCTCTTCCCCGCGCAAGCAAAGCATTGTTGGGTCTGACCACATTCTCGTCAGAGCTGCAGAAATAAAAAGCCACTCTTAACTACCCCTCGCGTCGCACACGCAATCCGTCAATCTGTCGAACTCAACTCTCCCTACCCGGGGCGCTCAGCAGAACCAAAACCTACTAGTTGTGCCCGAGCAGTCCGACATTATGCCGTCCCTAGAAGAACCCAAGAACGAAGCACGATTGCTGCTTGTCTCGAATCGACTACCTATCACTATTAAACGATCGGAAGATGGCAAATATGATTTTTCCATGTCTTCAGGAGGTTTGGTGAGCGGGTTAAGTGGACTGTCTAAATCAACAACGTTTCAGTGGTATGGTTGGCCCGGATTAGAGGTCCCCGAGGCGGAGATTCCGGTCGTGAAAGACCGCCTGAAGGAGGAATATGGGGCCGTTCCTGTCTTCATTGATGATGACCTGGCCGACCGCCATTACAATGGGTTTTCCAGTCAGTACTTTCTTTACTCAGTTACTCAGTCTACTCGGTCCGGTCGGCAATTGCGAAGGCGCACAAGGCATAGACAGACCTTGTCAAAAACAAACGCTGACATCATGGATATTTCCTGAATAGACTCCATCCTCTGGCCGCTATTCCATTATCACCCCGGTGAGATCACATTCGACGAGTCAGCATGGGAAGCTTATAAAGAGGCAAACCGATTATTTGCCAAGGCTATTTCTAAAGAAGTCCAAGATGGAGATTTGATCTGGGTACACGACTATCATCTCATGCTGTTACCGGAAATGCTGCGCGAGGAAATTGGTGACAGCAAGAAGAACGTTAAGATTGGATTCTTTCTTCACACGCCCTTTCCCAGTTCCGAGATCTATCGAATCTTGCCCGTGCGCAATGAGCTGCTGTTGGGCGTTTTGCATTGCGATTTGATTGGCTTTCACACATATGACTACACACGGCATTTCCTGAGTAGTTGTTCGCGTTTACTGTATGTATCTTCGATACTGGTTGAATGTCACCAACTAACGAACACACAGGGGTCTCGCAACAACACCGAACGGTATTGAGTTCCAGGGCAAGATAATCACCTGCGGAGCTTTCCCCATTGGAATTGATCCCGAGAAATTCAAAGAAGGGCTAAAGAAGGAGAAGGTCCAGAAACGAATCGCCATGCTTGAGCAGAAGTTCCAAGGCGTGAAGCTCATGGTCGGCGTTGACCGTCTCGATTATATTAAGGGCGTACCGCAAAAGCTACATGCCCTGGAAGTTTTCCTAAGCGATCATCCCGAATGGGTTGGAAAGGTTGTTCTGGTTCAAGTTGCTGTTCCCAGTCGTCAAGATGTCGAAGAATACCAGAACCTGCGGGCCGTGGTAAACGAATTGGTAGGCCGCATCAACGGCAAATTCGGTAAGTCTACTTTTCTTTGGTTCCTGTGAGATAAAACGTTTCCCTTCCCATAATTAACCATTTTCATCGCTTCAAAGGAACTGTCGAGTTCATGCCCATTCACTTCCTTCATAAATCGGTTAACTTCGACGAGCTCATCGCCCTATACGCCGTTTCAGATGTCTGTATAGTGTCATCTACTCGCGATGGAATGAACCTCGTCGCATACGAGTATATCGCAACTCAACAGAAGCGCCACGGTTCTTTGGTCCTATCTGAATTCGCTGGTGCGGCTCAAAGTCTAAACGGGAGTATCATCGTGAACCCATGGAACACGGAAGAGTTAGCAGGTGCTTACCAAGAAGCTGTCACTATGAGTGACGAACAACGCGCGCTCAACTTTACCAAACTCGACAAATATGTCTCTAAATATACGAGGTAAGTTCTAAACTCTTTACCCATCCAGCCAATTCTAATTCCAGAACTCAATCGAGAACCATCACTAACATTAACAATCTAGTGCATTCTGGGGCCAATCATTCGTCACAGAGCTCACGCGGATATCAGCAAGTGCGGCCGATAAGTTCCAGTCAAAGAAACTGCCTATCGTCGACGCCAAAAGCAATATAAATGGCAATGGCAACGGCGATAATACATCCGCCAGCGAGACAACGGAAGAAGCTTAGTTGGCTGATCGGATGATGTTACCGATACTGATTTGTTCTGAATGGTTGTCGAGCACAGTGGGAATAAACACGTTAAACGAACCTTAGATGCTCTCATGACATGGATGTGGCGAAATATTATAGTGATTTGTTATTTTCTTTTATTTTCTTTTTTTTTGGACTGCATGGATCGACTTGTTCCTCTTAATTTCTTCAATATGGTTCTGTTCAAAGAACTCCCTACTCTGCTCTACTCTACTCTAGATGCAAAATATTGTGATATCTCCTTTTCTTTTCTCGAGATCGAACCTTCAAATGTGTTAATCTGGTAATCAAAAAGTGGAAATTGAATTTAAAGATCTACATGGTTGGACACCGCTATACTATGCAGTAAGGTATGCCAAGGTGTCGGTCCTGAAGCTCTTTCTTAATCTTGAAGAGCTCGATACCTACACCATTGATTCCATCAACATGTGTAATCACGAAGGGAAGACTATCTTACACTGGGCGGCAAAATACGGCCAGGAGGCAGTGGTGAAGTTTCTCCTTGACACTGGAAAAGTAGATGTCAACTGCAAGGATCCGTGTGGCATAACACCACTTCATCTCGCTACGATGTTTGGCAATGAGAGAATAGTAATAGTGGAGCTTCTCCTTGATACGGGAGAAGTGGAGGTAGACCAGATAATTGATTCGAAGAAATTATCTGATATTGATGTAGTTTCAAGCCTCCTCCAGGATTACTGCGCAAAGATTGGTTTGCTTGCTCCGACTCAAGCTCAGTCGGTCATGACTCTTCATGTTCCTGAAGCTATAGCCTCTTTTCAGTCATGAGCTTAGAGTTTTAAATATCATTGATACCCTCAAGTGTTGGCCTGCCTGTCGTGTTTTATTTTGCCGCATATAATTGCTTGGGCATAGAAGGCTATCCAACTTTTAGATCCATATGTCCGAGTCTGATGTTTGAAGCGCTTGATTATTTATGCCTAAGACTGTGCATTTGTAGCCCATGACACTTGATGGAAAAAACTTAAGAACGCTAGGATAGACAATCGCCCTTTCAAATCAAAGCTCGCTATGGAAATGGGCTCGCTATGAAAATGGGCTTTTCTGTGTGGCAAGGAGTAGCAATCAAAGCCCAGCAATCAAGAACCAGCAAACCACTCATCGCTCTGCAAAGCATCCTTGAAAATGCGGAAATTCCCCTCTCTTTTTGAATCAAGAACCGCAAAAGATATTTCCTCGAAATAACCATGCCACTCCGGCTCATTCAAAACTTCTTTGTAAATGCGTGCTACCTCCTTGGGAGGGTTATGGAACGCACCACAACCCATCGCTCCCAAAACACAATGTGTAATCCTGAATCGGCCCATAATCCGCAAAACTTGTCGAATCTTGTCCTTGACTACTAAGATATCTCCAGGATGATCTAACATAATCAGTTTCTTGTCCCATATCAATTCCTATCCATTGAGAACTTACTAAATTGATCCTTTTCTGAACTCAACTGTGGCCTTCGCAGAGCCGCTAGGCTAACCACGCCCACGATGAAGATGTCATCAGGTTGATAGATGCGACACCATGAGTCCACTTCATCCCTGAAGACAGCCACCTTAGGCGACCAGATTGCTGCAAATGTCGAAAGAGGATAATAGTGTCTATGCAAAGTCGCACTCAAAGTGCTGCGAAGACAGAGAGCCTCTTCTTGAGCCAAGGCACCCTTTAACCATCCTCCCCCAGCATGTCTCTCGCTCGCCATGTTGTGAACAGCGACCTTGGCAAGTGGATTTGCATCGAGGATGTTCTTGGCAGCGGTAAAGGAATCCAGGTTGTGTACCGTGATTTTTGGCTTTGACACCCCTGGGACGAGCCAAAGTGGTGATAGAAGGTTTGGGTATTTCACTGAATATCTCGACATCTCAATGGGCCCCATGATACTCGGAATAAGTGACTTGGTCTCTTTGGCGAGATCGTGGCGATGTGCCCTCCGTGGTGGCTCAGATGGGCTTGTCATGTTGAGAGCTCTGTAGATGATGCTTGTGATGAAATGAAAAATGTTGAATTGAAAAATTGTGCCGTTTGAATCTGACTTTGAGGATGTAGTATCGTGGTAGAGGATGGACGAGACGAAATAAGATGAAAGATTGAAAGATTGAAAGTTGAAGGTTAGAGATGTGAGTCAGTGAATACGAGTTAGTGACTCAAGTGTTGCCTGTCAGGACACAATACAGTGGCAGTGCTTATATTGGTGAATTGAAGTCTGTTTTGGGCCGGTGTTGCCACTGGCTTTCTCCGTGAGGGAACTCTGGGAAGCAGGGACTTTGGTTGTCTCATTCGTCTTATGGATATTTGAGCCTCAACTCAATTGCCTTTCCTCATACACTAATCGAGGAAATAATTGGCAGTTTGATCATCCAGGGTTAGTATTATCGCAATTGCCTACAAGAAATAAACTCATACATATTTTGAAACAATGATTGTTCCATGAAAATACCGAACAAGCCATCGTTGTATTTCTGGCCAAAGATGTTATTTCATCCAAAGTGTTGTGTTGTGTTGTGCTGGGTGAGGCTATAGATGGCCAATGCAAACAGTGCAAACAAGGCCGAGAATTTCTCTCGATGATTGAACTCCGCAAAACACCCAACACCGACCTCAACCCAGTCTTCGTTGGCCTTTCTCCCCAATTACCCCCCTAAGCTCTCTTTCTACGATCTCACCGTCACCGAACTAGGGATCGCCAGAGGCTACTCAGTCAAGATGGCCCCTAATCACATTCTGCGGGCCACAATGCCCATCCGATCACTGGCATCGCCAATGGCCATGACACGATCAACAATTCTCTCTTCCACCCGCCCAATGACTCAAATTCGATCAGTCTCAAACGCAAATTCTCCCACAGCTAAGACTACAAACCCATCCACAAAAACACCCTCCACACCCAATGAACTCCAGCGACCCGCCCTCCTCCGCAACTATGCCTACACCCTGAAGACCGGAACCGTCGACTCAGTCGGACGCATGGAGCGCACTGTTAGCGTTGTTCAGCGCCATTCAATCTGGGATAAGCATATTGGAAAGTACTATCCCAAGGAAACGCGGTACCTTGTTTCGGACCCGCGCAACTCGCTCCGCAAAGGCGATGTCGTCGAGTTCTCGTCTGGAGCTCCTAAGAGCCGCCGCGTGCACCACGTCATTGAGCGTATCATTACTCCTTTTGAGGTGCCTATTGAGGATCGACCAGCTGTTCTGTCGCGTGAGGAGCGCCAGCAAGAGCGTGAGGGTCGCTGGGCGGAGAAGTATCTCCGTCGGGAGTCGACGCGACTAGGCGAGGATGTCGATATTGTTGCTCGGGTTGCTGCTATTGTGGGAAAGGAGGAGGCTCAGAAGCTCTCTGTTGCTGAGTCCATTCATCGTATTCATCGGGGTCGGGAGCGTGTCGGGAATGTTAAGGCTTTGATTTCGAAGAGACCCCCGCCTAACTTGAAGAAGCTTGGGAAGAAATAAGTGAAGAGCTTGGGATGTACTTTATTTTTCTTATTATTTCAGCCTTGTGGACACTTTTGATATCCGTGCTGATGTTGCATGTTGGGTCATATCTGGCCCCGGGGGTCATCTTATATGTACTATACTTTTCAACTTTCCTTCTAGTTTTACCTACCTATTGATACACAAATTATCGTTGGTCATTTCAAGCTCAAGATCTTATATGCATATATCATGATGTATTCGGAAGTCTTGCCCAAGTGCGTAAATAACATCTAGATGCATATTCATATCTAGACTGACAATGATAAACGTTGCGGCATTAGAGAAGTATGTACGAGAAAAGAGCCCCATCCATCCACCTACCCAGGTGCCGCTGCAAAGGATCAAGAAAACTGTATACATCATGAAAGGAACAGCCAATTTTGCCGTCTGTGGATACCGCTATCCAGCTCTTTCCTAAATTCGTCGTAAATGGAAAAGAAAGTCACTGGTATCACTGAAGAGAAACCAACTCCTTTTGGGCCTGAAAGCAACAAAAAAGCAATCCATCTAACGTTCAGTCTCTGTAGTGCGCCGGTTGCTTGTCCCCGGTGTGCCATTACTTTGTCAAGAACTGTATGTGGCAAATCAAATAATCGTGGATGCAAAATCTTCATGTTGTCTGGTCTACAGATTCCATGCTGAGTCTGCCTTGGTAATAAAGTCAATCATGACGCAAAAACCTTGACCTTGAGGTCCACACTGCCAGTTGCAACAACGCATCGAATGGAAATCTTATTTGCGCTATTCGGGTCTTCTTTTACGCCATTCGAAGCGCCAGCCTCTGCAGTGCCGTTTACTCCCGCGTCCCCATTGGCACCAGTATCCTTGATCAAGGGAGGCGCCCACCTGATTGAACTGACAAAGTGATCATGGGCATCGATAGTACGCACACACTTGCATTCTTGTGTGAGATCCCAGCAGCGTAATGTTTTATCGTCTGCAACCGAAAGAAGATATTTTCCACCAGGATGGAAGACCAGCCCACGCACCCAGTTGTCGTGACCAACCAGTGTCTTGATCAAATTACCCCGTGCATCCCATAGACGAATGGTCTTATCACGACCTCCAGATGCAACAAATTCTGCCGACGAAGAAGCGGGTGGCGGCTTCTTCTGACCCGCTAGAGGTGCAAGATGTTGATAGCTAGTAGATGGAGCGAAAGCAACACACTCAATATAGTGTTCATGTCCCAGGAAAGTAGCCTTAGTTTCTCCCGAGGAAACATCCCAGAGTCGAGGCACTTGATCATCACCCGCCGAAAAGAGAAAACGGCCATCTGGTGAAGGTACTACATCACGTACCCAGGCCGCATGACCCTGTAATGTCTTTACACAATAACCCGTTGTGACATCCCAAATCCGTAGAGTCATGTCACGAGACGCGGATACCAACAAATTTCCTGACATTGGGGACCCCGCGGCCCCTGACGGAATAAACCGAACAGCGGACACACTATGGTCGTGACCAGGTAGAGTTCGAATATTTTTATATTCATCTGCGGGGTCCCACAGCTTGATTGTAAGGTCGGAAGAGCAAGAAGCAAGGAGAGTACCCCCTCGCGGGCCTCCGTAGTCCACATCCAGCACGGCTCTCGTGTGGCCCTTGATCGTTCGCTCCAGTTCGCCTAACTCCCAATCCCAAATTTTAATGGTCGTATCTTCTGAGCCTGACGCAAGAGATGAGAAAATCGGGTGGAAGGCAACACATGTAATCGGTTGTCGGTGTGACTCCAGGTCGTGACGAGCAGGCGCTCGGGGCAGCCACGAGGCGGGGTCTTGATTTCTTCGAGATAGTGAAGTAGGAGTCGCAGTATCTATCTCAGCCTGGAGTGAAGCACACCGTGATTCCAAGTCCATAATCTAAAAAAAGAAGTCCATGAATCAGTTCTCGTCATTCTCATGTCTCCTGAAATTCCCTGGAAGCAGTACTCCGCACCTTCTTCTGTAACCGAACCACACTAGTCCATTTCTTCTCTAAAAGACCCTCATATTTCTTCAATGTAGAGTCATCCACTGTAACTGAATCGCCCAGTTCTTCTCGAAGCGCCGCGGAGCTTTGGGGTAGGTTCGCCGAAGCCAGGTATGCAATGATTGACTTGTGTCTGTAGGAAGAGACCATCGTATTAGTCCCATGACTCCTGTCGCATTCGTATCCTGTTCAAGATACTTACAGCTCCTCCGCCTGTCGCGCCGTGAGCAGCTGGCTCATGGTGCCGGCGGCTTTGTGTGTTTCCCAGGCAGACCTTAATCCACCTCCGCATGCACCGGAGGTCGTTGTTCACACTGATTAGGAGAGAGATACGAGGCGGTCGGTCGCAATGAAAACCCCGTAGAGAGCAATTGAAAGCAATAAATAGAATTGACAGTATTGTCTTGGTCTCTCTTCGCAGCCAGCCAGCCTTTATATTTTATAATTTTTTCTTTCGCAAGGAAATTCAAGAGATCATAAAGGCGAAGATCCACCGCGGGGTTTCAAAGCAACAAAACAACAGACACCGCCAAGCCCGCTTGTTTACTTCCCGGATCCGCATGTGTTTATTTCCTTCTCCCCTCCAGATCTTGAATGATCCCCTATCCTTTGAGCAACTTAAAAGCTTCCTGGTTTCGCAAAGAGTCTACTGGAGTCGCATGCTCTCTGTTATTCCAGATTAACTGTGCTTACGACCCCTGAAAGCCGCCATCATCGTTGATCGCCTGAAGATCCAGCCCGAATTTCCTCCCCGTCCATTTCCTTGGGCACCAAACACTACTGGTAAGAAGATCTTGATCATATTGACTGTACCAGGTACATTGTTTTCCTTTTTCCTCTTCGGCCCTCACCTAGACAACCTATTATCAAAGATCCTGGATAGCCACTTGCAAACAACGCTGACCACTCAACCTTGCCAGATTCCGACCTAGTGACACAACAGATTGACATCACCTAGCCCGTTGCCATGGCTGATGGTGAACCGGATTTCTCTTCCTTGCCGCTACCCGACCGGTTCGCCCATAAGGTGCGCACGCTCTTCATATCCTGCGAGCGTTTCGCGACGACGGGATTTCCCCAAGCTGACTCTGACACCTGAATCGAATAGAACTGGAAGGTCCGTAAGGAAGGATACGAAGAAGCCAAAGCAGAATTTGAAAAGACACCTGATGAGTCACACCCTACATTTACGCCATTTCTTCAAGACCCCGGGTTGTGGAAAGGGGCAGTTGCAGATTCCAATGTCGCTGCGCAGGTGGAGGGTCTAACTGCATACTGTGCATTCTTAAAATTCGGTGGCGCCCAAGCATGCTCAAGGTATGAATAATACCGTCTTCAATTTTCTACTATTGCTGTGTTTCCTGTACTTATCTGTTGACTGTTCTTAGGACACGAAACACCACCATCGGTCCGATTGCGGAGAAAGGTCTCCCGTGTGCCAGACCCGTCGGTAAAGCCAGTGCACAAGAGGCTCTGTTATTATGTGTCGAACTCGATAAAGCCGACCCAGTCCTCGAAGAACTTTTGCCCGCCCTATCACACAAAGTACCCAAAGTCGTCGCCGGTACATTGACTGCTCTGGGTCTCATTTACCATAACTTTGGGTGCAAGATTGTGGACCCCAAGCCAACACTAAAGGCTTTAACCAAGGTCTTTGGCCATGCAGACAAAAATGTTCGTGCTGAGGCACAAAATTTGACCGTGGAACTATACCGTTGGCTTCGGGAAGCCATGAAGCCTCTGTTTTGGAACGATTTGAAGCCGGTTCAGCAACAGGATCTAGAGAAGCTCTTTGAGAATGTGAAACAAGAGGCGGCACCGAAACAAGAGCGATTTACAAGAGCCCAACAAGATGCGATGGCCGTTGCCAGCGAAGCGCCGGACGATGGCGGCGTTGAAGAAGAGGCAGGCGATGATATCGACGAAGATGGTGGAGAGGAGGAGGTACTCGACCTTGCAGAGCCTATTGATGTTATGCCCAAGGTTCCCAAAGATCTACATGATCAGCTCGCTTCATCGAAATGGAAAGATCGCAAAGAAGCGTTGGATGCGCTTTACAACGTGATCAATGTTCCCCGAATCAAGGATGGACCATATGATGAAATTGTGAGAGGCTTGGCTAAGTGTATGAAGGATGCAAACGTTGCGGTCGTAACGGTAGCTGCCAACTGTGTGGACCTTCTGGCTAGCGGTCTGCGTACGGCTTTTATGAAGCACCGAGCGACCATCATGGCCCCGATGTTGGAGCGTCTCAAGGAAAAGAAGCAAGCCGTGGCCGATGCTTTAGGCAATGCACTGTATGCTGTGTTCTCATCGACAACTCTTGCAGACTGCCTTGAAGATATTTTGGAATATCTCAAGCATAAAAACCCACAAGTGAAGCAGGAGACAGTTAAATTCCTGATTCGCTGCCTTCGCAACACTCGCGTCGTTCCAGCAAAGCCCGAAATCAAATCGATTGCTGATGCAGGTACCAAATTATTGACGGAATCAACAGAAGCTATGCGTTCTGGTGGTGCGGAGACCCTGGGCACTCTGATGAAGATTCTTGGCGAGCGAGCCATGAACCCTTATCTTGATGGCTTGGATGAGATCCGGAAGACTAAAGTTAAGGAATTTTTCGAGACTGCACAGGTGAAGGCTAAGGACCGCCCCAAGCCTATTGCACCCCCTCCAAAGGCTGCACCGGCCGCCCGAAAAGCTATGCCTGGCAAGAAGCCACCAATGGGGCTGAAAAAACCAGCACCTGCCGCACCCCCAGTGGAAGAGGCTCCGGCTAAGCCTGCTCCTAGGGGCATTCCCTCTAAGCTTGGCGGGATTCCAAAGACCGGTACAGGACTTGCTCCCCCAGGCTCGAAGCTTCGAAGCAAACTTGGTGGACCAGGAGGTGTAGCTTCACCACAAAGGCGTGCCGCTCCTCCTCCCGTAGAGGAGGAAGCACCCCCTCCCCCAGCGGCACCAAAATTTGGCATGGGCCGCGGTCTAGCTGGTCGTCCCATTGCAAAGCCCGCAGCAGCCGAGCCGGCACCTGCTCCAGCTCCAGCTGTGAGCGGTATCTCTGCGGCTGAACGTGCTGAGCTCGAGGAACTTCGTGCGGACAAGGAGAGATCTGCTCGCACAATCGAAGATTTGAAGGCCGAGCGCTCAAAGTTCAACAATGAGCTTACTGAGCTCCAAAATCAAAATGCACAGTTGATTGAGGACCACACCCGGGACGTCTTAAGCATTAAAGCAAAGGAAACACAATTGGTTCGTGCACGGAGTGACGCCGAAACTGCCGAGGCCAACGTCCAGAAACAACAAAGGGAGATTGAAAGATTGAAGCGCGAGCTCGCAAGAGCCCTTCGTGCAACAGCCCTAAGCCCACCCAATGCTTCGTCAGAAACAGGCAGCATTGGCATCCCCGATGCAGCATCCATGTACCAAGAATCAGGTAGCAACGGCCACGCCGCAGCAGCGCGATCAGGTCTTCATATGGGGTCTCGTTTTGAAGGTTCTCGACCCCGAAGCTATGCCTCCGCTAGCCCGAGTGAAGAGAAGGAAAACACTGGCCTCGAATCACCAGGCTTCGGCAGCCGAGAGAGTGGACTTGGTCGACGCAAGCTGAGCCCTAGTTACGGGTACTCCGCCGTTGGCAGTCCAACTCGCTCATCAACTCGGACATCTGCCAATGCCACAGAAGAAGATCAGCCTCGATCAGCAGAACCCGCAGAGAACTGGAAGCGGGCTGCTGAAGTAACTAGTCAACTCAAAGCACGAATCGAACAAATGAAGGTACGTCTTCATCGCCCTCCTGCCCCAGCCCCAGCCCCAGCGGATCCGCTGCTCACACAATAAACAGGCACGACAAGGACTTTCACGACCCCCAGCGCAACGTTAATGACCGAATGAAATGACCGGCATCATACTTATATTCTCTTTTTCTCTTTTGATGTGTGCTTAGACTGGGCTTCTTTCATGATACTATTACGGTTCGATCTTTGTGGTGGGTATTTCTGATCTTCTGGGTTGGGATGGGCTGGGACTATTGGGTTTTTTTGTTACTTGTTTTACTTCTTCTTTTCTTTTCAGGTTGCTCTTTTGCGCTGGGCTTTTTTATTTCCCTGTAATATCTCCATACCACTTTTGCACTTTTTTGTCCTTCTACTTTTCCTCGTCTATTATTACTTTATGGGCTTTTTTTCTTCGGGTTTTATCTGGTTTCTCAGAGAATGAACCCTGTATTTTGGTTGGTTCTTTCTTTTATGTGTGATTACTACTTTCTGTATGGGCTGTTGCTATGGGCTAGACAGTTATTAACTGTTTGTTCTAAACAGGAGAAAAAATTCGAAAATATGCCTCTCATTATATTCAAATGTTATTAATCATGTAAATGATATCTTGACATTCGAAACCCATTAAGTACTCTTTCCATAACTGAACTCTCAAATAACAACCCATCAAAGAAAAACCGCTCAATTGACTAAACGCTCAAGAAACTTAACCCCACGAGAAAACAAACGCTCGAGAAACTACACCCTACGAGATCTCTCACTCAACTAGGAATTAAGATAAGACCTAGGATCCCGATTCAACACATAGTGATAGGTTTGTTGTTAAAAATGGCGTCTTTCACGCGCTGGCGAACCTCCTGCACCTCCTCAAATCGCATGTAATTACAGGTCTCACTCTCCAAGTGATTGAATAGCGATGCCAGGGTAGCGAACTGCTTAGTGCAAAGAGCCCGATTAGGGCAGTGATATGCCTTCTGGGCATGAACTGGGGAGTTGACATGTTGAGACAGTGCTCCTGGGGTATTAAACTCTCGTCGACAAACATAGCACTCCCATGCGTATCCGTTGTAAGAAGCTGGAGTCACGATGCACTTAGAATTCGGCTCGCCAAACCCTTCAAATTGTTTGTTAACAATGATTCCATCCGTGTCGAGCTGTTCCATGATGCGAGCGAGGACCTAAGGGTTCATATTTCTGGCATTGGGACATGAGCCAGTCTCCAGGTGGTTCAAAACAGCGCCTGTAGCGAGGACACTTGATTTGCAGAAGGGGCATCTCATGTCAGTCTCGCGGTGACGCTTGGACCTCAAGTGCTAGTGATTTAATAATTAGCATTGCTCTGTGGTCCTGGACTGCTGTATTGACTTTGATAATATCAAATACCACGCGAAGACTATGACAACTTGAACTTGAACTTGAACTTGAAGATATTTGAGCTCCCGAGCAAGAAAAGGTTAATTGTCGTCTTGGTTATATTTCAAGTTATTAATCTAGTACTACAGTCAAACCACATATCAGTAGTATCCAATGCGTATATTGTAGTTGTAAACTACCGGCCCACATTCAACCATTACTAGTAGCCCTTTCAAGTTTTAAGTATACCATCTTACCTGCCTACTGCCTAGGGCTTTACATTTGGATTATGTGCCTTTCAGGCTGCACTTCCCAAAAGATCATACGTGGCCATTTAATATTCGCCGGATATAGCATGTACAGCGTGTGCATTGACTGCGTCGAACACCAATTGCATTGTTGTCTATTGTCTCGAGGATACTCATACTATCTATTACTGTAGTTATGCGGGATATAATGTGATATCACACTATAGTAATATAAACATACTAGTACTCAAACTATTGGCTTAAGTGCGCTTGGTAGTAATCTCATACTAGTATCCAGACTGTATGTTGAAGGGTATACTAGAAAACTACCTACTACTAGTACATACACCTGCGGAACTTGAACCTTGGAAGTTCGTCTATATATCATTCTATCTATTTCCGTGGTCTTCAATTTCCACATGTTCAAGTTGAAACTTGACATCTCCAATGGAGGATTGATGCTAGTAGCCATATGATATACTGAGAACCTTGGCTGTGTATCTACCTATTAGTACTACTATAGTACTTATGCAACTACTACTAGTAGGAGCCTTCCAGGGCTGAGTATTCCACTCGGCATTTTGACGACTGAGGTCATGGATCATGATATTGTCCAAGCCAATCTCAAAACCATTATGGTGATTTTGATTGATGCCTAGGGAAATGGACCTCGGCCTGTTCTCCCAAGCTTCCTTTGGGACATGGATAGAGAGGTGTTAGGCTAAGGTCTTACGTATATGGGTGGTTCCTCGTTCATCCTCAAATAGCCCTGAATAGCACTTCCAGATTTGAAGCGTAGCAACTGGGTTACCGAAGACGCTCATCATGTACCTTCAAGGTGACCTCAACTGACTACATGTACTTATATACTCCGACATCAAGAAAGCCAAAGAGATGACCGAGTCCAGAGTAATTAAACCTCCAATCTAATCTCACCTTCACTGCTATTATTGCACAACTTGAACTTGAACTCTGAGCGCCTCTCACTACATGCCTCATTTCATCTACCAACACACCCGTCTACCACTCCTATATAGAGGCTCCTCATACTGAACGCCACAATGGGCCCTAAGTTTCATCGGTCGAAGGGCCGAGGTTATATACAAACCAAATGAGCTGCTGAATCTATTGGTTCTACTCAGTCATGTCGTAACTGTGGTCAAGTTGGACACAGTCAGGTCACTGAGACCAGGCAGTGATATATTATGCTAAAAATTTCAACAGAAACTGGGAATCCGGCGTGTGAAATAGAGAAGCCGCGCGTACAACAAAAACATGAGATCGACCTATTGAATGCTCAGATTGAGCGCATTCAAGTTCGTGCTGCACTGAGGAGATTGAAGAACAATTTCGACAGGGAAATACAACGGCTTCGGTGCGCTAATACGGACGACTAATGCTTGAATGCTCAGGTCGACCTCGGGTGCGTACTCTAGCTCAAGCGAGGAAATTGGAGGACAGTTTGAACAGGAGATACAACGGATTCGGCATGGTACCACGGATGATTAATGTGGGTCTACTGCTCATTTTTTCATGCACTTCCCCCAAAACCATACAGTGAACTTGGGAATACAGGGATCAACTAGATGTTACAAGTTATACGAGTATACGAGCAGAGTGCATGAATGCTAGTCTCCAGACATTTCTATAGGAGCCATGGCGTTGTTTCCCAACGGACATATGGAACAGGTAGAGAAATGCATTCATGGGTATCTGCAGAAAGTGGTACATAAAAAGGCCATTGAGGAGTTCGTAAGAGAGAAAAATTATTTTTCTTTTTGTTAGAAATGGGGTTCAAAGGGCCAATAGCTCTTTCGTGCCCATCTAAAGCTAAAAAGAATTGGCCAATAAACAAGTGACCCAGAGCCTTGAACACCTCGTAGTTCCCATTAAAACTTTTTTCCTTCACGCTTTCGCGTTTGGAAGAAGACGATCCCGTCAAACAAAAATCCAAGTCACGGAAAGTGAACTTAGACCTTGATGGCGGCCTCGGCAGCCTTGCGCTTCTTCTCCTGGCGGGCGTTGGCCTTGGCACCCATGATACCACCACCCCAGTGGCGGCGGGTCTCCTCGTACTTGTCGGTGTAACCCTCCTTGATGGTGGAGAGGAGCTTGGAGAACTCAGACTTGTCCTCGGAGCGGACCTCGGTCAGGGCCAGAACGGCGGAGGTCTTCTTGTGGACGACCGTACCGAGACGGGCCTTACCCTTGACAATGGCGTAAGGGACACCCATCTTGCGGCAGAGAGCGGGAAGGAAGACAACCAGCTCAATGGGGTCAACGTCGTGAGCGATCAGGACGAGGGAAGCCTTCTTGTTCTCGACCAGGCCGACGACGTGGTTGAGACCGTACTTGACGTGGTAGGGCTTCTTGGAGACATCCTCCTTCTTCTTACCCTCGGTGACAGCGGTGGCCTCCTGGGTGAGACGCTCCTTCTTCTCGGCCTTGGTCTCAGGACGGTACTTGGCGAGGAGCTTGAAGGTCTGGGCAGCGGTGTTGCGGTCCAGGGTGCTCTGGAACTGAGCGATGGAAGGAGGAACCTTCAAACGCATGTTCAGAATCTTCTTCTGGCGCTGAAGACGGACATACTCGGGCCACTTGACGAAGCGGGACAGGTTGCGCTTGGGCTGGATGTCCTGGCCAATGCCGAAGTTGCGGGAACGCTTCTCGATGAGAGGGTTCTGTGAATGGTACGGATGGGGTTAGTTCTTTCTTGTCTTCATTTCCTCAACACCCCCGATGGAAAGAATGGAACGAACCTTGGCCTTCTTGGTACCAGCCTTACCCTGGGGGTAGGGCAGGGCGGCGGTCTTCTTTCCGGACTTGGGAGGCTATCATTGAGAAAAGAAGATCAGCGATCTTGTCCACGACGGGCTGCATCTTCTTTAAACTCTAGAGAACATGAGGATCCAATGCCATTTTACAGGTAGAGGACTCATGTCTCAAGCCAGATCATCGCCAATGCCTGACATCTCTTTCGAGGCTGTCAGGACAATCAACGGAATTCGCTTTGATCACAAGGATCGAAAGCTAGACATAATTGTCTTAAAGGAATCACTGCAGCAGGTGAAACCCAGGATTAGATGCTATCAAATGCTTACCACCATGTTGTCGACTTGGGATCGTTGGGATTAAGTTGGCGATTGTCGTGAGAAGGAAAGAGAAGAAATGGCTTGAGGATCTAAATGAATTTCTCGTGGGTCGCGCTAGTGCGGGCATGTGACTAGGGTTAGGGCTGGACCGCGGACCGCGAACTAAGGGTGATTAGGTGCATTATCACGTGATATATGGATCTCAATATCACGTGAGCCTGTCTGCATATAGATCTGGGAATCTCGTAGACCACGAAAGGGTCTCTGTTGCTTATTGAACTTTTCCTGAAAATGACTTGACAAGAATCTATAGCTATATTGTGAGAACAGGAAATTACATGCTCAAGGTCGCAGTCCTGTCCGGAAATATAGATATCGCAAACATGAGCCGGCCTCTATTCGATTGCTCTGTTCCAAGGTTGGCTGCGCAGTTATGACTTCAAGAAGCAAGAGACCCGTCCTCGTGCAAAGGAGCGAGTCCTACAGTACTTCCCAATCTACAAAGAAGACAGCCAGGCTGAGGATTATTTGCACGTGAAATTTATGCTTCATCATCCTATCGTGCAGCCGATCAGCTAAAGGTTCAAGTTGCAGATAGGCATACCTTTCCTGCCTTTGCAGCAGCACTCCGATTTTGCGGACAAAACCACGAGCAGAGCCCGATCATTATGGAGAGGAGTTTGAGGATACACCGGAGCAACTATTCGAGGAACCGGACCATACAGAGTCAGATGCGCCTCCGGCATCATGGGGGGATCTTGCTATGCGCCAGTCTCTTGCCCGCCTGGATCAGGTCTTATTCTTTATTCGTATATACAAGGACATTAAAAACGCCAAGCAACAGAACCTATCAAGTAATGCAAAAGATGCCGCTAATTTTAAGAGAGAGAAAATAACAATCAAGAAAGAATCCAGCATTACCGCCACGCCCCCAGACTTGGAAGAGCCCCACGTCCTAAGCTTGCACTGGCCGCTTGAACAGCCTTCCTCTTCCCTGTAGTACCTTCCTGGCTACGAACACCAGCCACAATCTTCTCGACATTAGTTTCGACGACGACGCCTCCGACAATCATCTCGCTCAGCACGGCATGCATGGTCTCATAGCCGAAGATAAGGTCGAGTTCACAGACATTATCGAACATGCGGTCCAATGCCTCCACGAAGACTTGTATTAAGTCGATCAGGGCAAGAGGGGACTCCATGGATGTAGAGATCATGATAAATGATAAGGTAGCGTAGGTGCGATAGGTGATTTGTGTTGGCGCATCGGAGGGTCCGTCTGATGCGCTGGCACCTTGGGATGAGAGGATAGGAGGCAGAGGGAGGAAGTTACAAGCACTCGCTGGACGCTGTGCGACAAGGCGGTAGATTTGCGCGATGAGAGATTGCTGTGTTTGGGTATCCTGAGAAGTGTGAGCTATGATGCCGAAGTCATTGGAGAGACTTGTGGGGTTAAACGGAAATACCCACCAGTTGTGTATAGAATTTGGTCAGCCGTGGCTGGCCATTGTTATTGAAAACAAGCACCGCATTAATCATGATGGAAGCGGCTTGAAATAACAAATGCGTAGGTCTGACGAAGATAGCTTGAAGGTGGAAGCGGGCAAGTTCAAGAGGGACCTCGCGCTCCGTATGTTCTTATCGATAAGCATACATGGTCCGTGCATCATGGTTTTCTGGAGATCTCAATGCGCGCCGAGGATTCAGCTCGCAAACTACATTTCAAGATGAATCGACATATATGTAGGCTCTTTGTTCCTACGAGACGCCTATATTCAACAGCACCCCCCTCGAAGCAACCTTCATCCCCCAATAAATTAGAGCTCCAGGACCTCACGCCCTCAGAGCTATGTTACCACTGGGACACAAAACAACCTACTCCGGAGCAGCTCGCTTTCGCCGAGAAATTATTCGTACCGTCTCGCCATTCGCCGCTTAAATTGTGGTCTGCAAGCAAGTTCCGCACAGCGCCACTATCCTCAATCGAGCCTGAAGTTGCATTCCTCGGCCGTTCCAATGTCGGTAAAAGTTCTCTATTGAATGCGATCATGGGGCAGGAGATATGCTGGACATCCTCCAAACCCGGCCGGACAAGGGAAATGAATGCATTTGGCATTGGAGGTACGAAGGGCGGTGAATCCAAGGTGGTTCTTTTGGATATGCCAGGATACGGCAAAGCCAGTCGAGCGGAGTGGGGAATGGAGATTTTGAAATATCTACAAGGGCGGAAACAGTGAGTATATCGATCTTACCTTTAGAAATTCCTATTTTCGCTGCTGTATCCCGACCTCTGACCCATTTGTTATCTCAGACTCCGTCGCACTTTCATCCTCGTCGATAGCGAACATGGGATCAAACAGCAGGACGCAGATATCCTCCAGCTCTGCCGGCATAATGGAATCCCACACCAAATAATCCTCTCCAAGGTTGATAAAGTGCTCAGCAAATCGAAGAAACAGCTCAAAACCGGGGTATCGACTGCAAGCATTCAACGACTTGCTAAAATGCTACAAGATATGAAACCACTTGTTCAACCGGACGCACGTATCTCGGAGGGACCAGGCTCTCTAGGCGAGCTCATCACCTGTAGTTCTGAAGTTCCCATTGGATCAGGTCAATTTCTGGGAATCAACACAGTACGCTGGGCAATTCTTTCCGCAGCAGGAATTGATGGCAGCTTGGAAAGCGTGCGACCTGCTCCTCGACAACCCTCCGTTGAAGCCTCTGCCGATACATCTTGATAGTGGCTAAGCGACAACCGCGGCGGACTACAACTTGAAATATCTACTATATAGTTCTAGTGTAAAATATACAATGATACCCAGATTTTGAAGTCATCTAAATTTCCTCCCATAATTACAACTTATGAGCTTGAATTCCGAGATATAAGACCTCGGACCTTGAACCTGAAAATTTCGAACCTGGGAAGCTTCAGTATGAGGACAGTCAAATTTAGACCATTGTCGAGACTGTGACTGAATCTTCATACCTGTGAACTGTGTGGAAAACGCGTTAGTCACCGGGCGAAGGTCATACTCATATAGTATCTTCAATATCTACTAGGACATAAATCCATAAAAACGTCCGAGGTTGAAGAGGGCAAGTTACCTCTGAATAAAGGTACCTGCTCGTTGTCATTAATGACGGCAAGTAAGATAGAATGGTGAACCCGATTTCATATCCCAAACCCAACCAATTGGGCATGCCAAGGGCTCATTGCAGGCTATATTAGAACCACTGGCCCCCGATTCCTTGACTACACTCTCGATCTTCGCATCACTCAAACTCATAGGGCCATACGATCAAATACCTTCATGGAAATAAACCGCATTGTTCGAATCGAATGGAGCCGGGGCAGAAGCAGCGAGTGTAGCCTAGAGAACAAGAGCCAGATTCATAATTGTTTTCAAGGCATACATGGTGTTTGAGATGTAGTAATTTCCAAACGGGATAATAAGATGACGACTTGAATACTGCTGAGAAGAATATTATTATTTTCAGTGGAGGCTGGCATTCTTATAGCATTCAGGGCTTCCAAGCGTTGTTCTGAATTGGACATCTCGTGTGAAACAAGACTTTGGTTCAGAATCTGACTCTCTGTGTATCGGCTTACCGTACATGTGGCCCACGGGTACGGGCATAGTACACATCTGGCTTGGATTAATATAGTGCAATAAAGTGTGTCATACTATCGGAATGGGGATTCTTTAGATGCGACTACTAAAAGGTTATCTGCATGTACTAGGCGAATAAACAATTCCTCGGTGGTGGTGATTTCTAAGGTATCTGATAGGTTTTCTAAGCCTTGAGGTTTTTGAAACTTACTTTATCCATTGCTCTAGGGCTAATTGGCTTGATTACAGTCAATCTCAGTTCGTTTATCTTGACTTATGGCCAGGTAAGCCGTTAAGAGGCTACCATGTCTAATTAAAGCTAGGGTCTCTCCATGAGGTGCTTAGGCTCAGTTATTCGATACAGTCTCGTTGATTACTAAAGTTTTGGCCCCAAAAAGATGTCATACTCCGACCCCGCGATACCCAATTGTCTTCTTTAAATTTCCGACTTGCTCATCACATGCAATCCCAATTATTAATACTCCGAGGTTAATGGAAAGTGATTGTTCAGTGGTGTCCGCATTTGGAAGCCTGATAGCATTGCAATATAAAGCTATCTACTTCTCTATCACTGCACTAACTGAGCAGAATTAGTGCATACCTTCAGATACTATATAGCACATACAAGACATTTTTTGGAACCTTATTCTGAACAACTTTCGACCAAGATGTCACAAATTGAACCCCCTTCAATGATCTTCTTCGATGTCCTAGGCACAATCGTCGAATGGAGATTCTGTATCGCGAAAGAACTCAATGCCACAGCTCAGAGAGCTCTCCAAGACCAAGCTCGAGATCTGAGCGCCGATCTGCGAGCTCGTGTCTCTGCCATCTCCACCTCGGAATGGCAAGAGATATCGGAAGAATGGCACAGCTCATACATGGATTTCGGAGACAACTACGACTCATCTAGGCCTTTCATCTCGGTAGATGAGCATAACCGCATTTCCCTAGAAAATATTCTTACCAAACGACTGATCCGAGATTTATTCAACGATGATGATCTCCAGCATCTAACTCTCGCATGGCATCGACTTGACTCATACCCCGACAGTGTACCAGGCATTGCGCTGCTAAACACTAAATTCCAGACATCAACTTTATCCAATGGCAATATAAAACTTCTCGAAGAGCTACAGGAACACAATTCTCTGCCTTTCAAGCATATTACTAGTGCAGAGCATTTTGGTGCTTATAAGCCGTCACCAGAGGCTTATAATGGTGCTGCTCGCAGATTCGGTCTTAAAAATTCAGAATGTTGTCTCGTTGCAGCGCATCTTGAGGACGCGCAAGCTGCGAAGAATTGTGGGTTCCAAACGATTTATCTTGAGAGACAGTTGGAAGAAGCGTGGGTTAGTGAAGAAGTTGCAAGGGCTAGAGAAGAGGGAGTCGTCGATCATTGGGTTGAAGTTGGAGGTTCAGGATTGATCGAGGTTGCCCGACATTTTGGAATAGAATAGAAAGTGGTTTCAATCGTCCATGACACATATCTAGCCTGAGCTATAAGGTTGAAGTATGACCTCATCTTTATTCATACATGTTAGTTCCAATGATATCCACTTGGGCAATCTTGGAGCCCCGAGGATATTCAAAATGGGAAAGAGCCCCCCAGTCTATGCTTATTTACCTTTCCTTTGAGACAATCCTCTGAGATATATGTAGGCCTTTCAATAATAAGAATTCTTGAGAGTAGTATTCAGACCTGCAAATTAATTCAACCTGGTGTCTTAGTCTGATGCTCAAAACTTGGTAATTCCTTAAACGGGTGAAAACGAAGTTATTCCGAAACGATTTATATGTGTCAATGCTTTCTTGGCGACGCCAATGCCTTTGGGGTCATGCCAATGCTTTGGGGGTCGTGCCAATACTTTTGGGGTCGTGTCAATGCTTTTTGGTCCCTGTCAATGCTTTCCCGACTATGACAATGCAATGTACAGCTATATGGGGGTTGCCCCAGGCACCCACATCCCGTCGATAAGTTAGCCTCCAGATGTCTTCATGCATCATCATTGCTACCGTTGATCGTTCCCAAAGCTGAACTGTTTAGAAGACTCCAAAGTATTTTTGACGAGTCCGCTCCATCGCCAGCTCTTCGGGCATTGGTTGGAGAAATTTGTCAACCTCATGTACCCAAAAAGGATTGTATGGATTAATTTGATAAGCAGTGGTATACTCCCAATATGATGGAAACCAACTAGCGGTTTCCCAATCAATAATGCCAACAATCTTTTCTCCACGTATGAGAATATTGAGACTGCTAAGGTCGCCATGAGTAAATACTAAAGGCCAACTCTTGCCATGTTGATCGGAAGCCGACCGTCAACAAGCGATTCACCATTGAAAGAAGCAATCCTGGTACCTTCCGGAGGTCGAATATCACGCAGCTTACGAATTTGTTCTCCTAATTGTGAAAGAAGTTTCGTCTTTGAATCTTCGCTTCGTCTTACCCGTCCATTGCCAATGATATCTCCCTTGATCCTTTCCATCACGATATATGTCCTTTTGGAATGATTAAATGAACATAAAAACTTTGGAACCGGTATGGATGTGTTTTATGATATGAACTGCATTGTTGATGCTTCAGATAAGTGAATATGGCGCCCGTATTTCGCACATATTTTGTCCGTCAACATAAGAACTTGACCTTCTCGAGGTCGAAACCGTTTGAGGACTTTGATTGCCGTAAGTGTCAAACATCGAGAAAAAACATTCCTATTCACAGGTTTGGAAGCGCTCAACGAAAGAAGGGATGGCGAGGGGGGAGGCCCATTCTGACTCGATGACATTATGATTATATTTGACGCAAAGAAAAGATTCAAGCAATTATGTCCGGTCGATTCCGATCATTATGTGCAAGAGAGACTTCGCGTTGGATAGTGAGATGTGAAGTGGATAGTATAGGAACAGAAAGGATCCGATGTGGAGTGATTTACCGTTCTTCAGGTCTTCAGGGGTGTCCATTTTAGGACTAGTGAGAAGGGACTAATGCGCCATCCCACATATGCACCCCCACCGCCTTCTTTATTTGTCATGGAACGCGGGCGAACTCCTAGTTCACGCATGCCTGTCACCCCATCTTTACTCACAGGGCCAGCATGGGCGGAATACCTGGCACATCATTAGCCTGCGCAACCTGTAAGAAACGCAAAATTAAAGTAGGTGATACCTTCGAGCTTTGATTAGACCACTTTATTCATTGTCAACAGTGTGACCTTGAACAACCCGAATGTCGACGATGCATCAAAAGAGGCCTTCCTTGCCCGGGATACCCGGGGCGAGATTTCATTCCGTATCATTTTGCGCAATCAGGCGAATTGTCAAAAAAGACGCTATTGGAACCTTCTCAGCCAGCTCCTGATGGCAACTCAACCTCCATGACCAAGAGATCACAGTTGCCCGTCCAACCCCCAGTCATATGCCCATCGATTGAATTCAAGCTTTTGGACGTTTTCCCACAACCGAAAAAGCCTATGAGATACGACTGGAACATTTACTTTAACCACTGTAAGTGGTCCATAACCTGTCATTCAAGTTGGCCATTCCCTTTGACCCACGCACCATCCAGACAGATTATATACTTCAAACTATGCGTTTCCTTTCAATGCACCGGGTAAAACCACATGGTTCTTTAATATGGCTCAGCAATCTCCCATCGTAATAGATGTCCTAGCAGCATGCGGCGCATTTACTTGTACATCCTTCCTACTGCTGAATGGAAAGTCACCCCAAGCTAGAAAATGTCTTCAAGATGCGCTCCAGCTCAAACACCAATCTGTGGCATCTCTAAAAAAGCTCCTGGACAACCCATCGCCATTATATTTGGAAGCAGCCCTCGCAGTTGTGGCAAACTTGATTTTGATCGGGCTGATGAACCACGATTGTCACTCATTATACCAGGCCAACTTCTCGGGATATCTACAGAATCAGGGATTTGAAGGAACTTCAGAAACACTCGAAATGCACATCACTGGCATTAAAACTATGGTCAAACTGCTCGGCGGGTTTGATAGTATAGATCATAAGCTGAAAATGCCGATATATAGGTAAAACTACTTCAAGTGTTATACAGATACGAAAGCCTTGTTAACAGTTCGAAAAGCTGCGGTAACGCAGCTGCATTTTCAGGCAATATGACTCAAAAATTCCCTATGTCACCAATATTCGAAGTCAAAACCGAGCGACACTTTTCCGAACTAGTGGCGATGAACCATGATATACACTCAACGCCCTTACACTTTGTATCCGGGTTAATCAACACCATGTGGTTCGCCTCTTTGGATCCTCGACTACAGAACTTAATTCACTCGTACAAATGGATTGTTCTCACCTATGAGGGAATTCTTCATATAAACAACCGGTTCAACAGCGTGAAGGACGACTATCTGACTCTTTGCGAATATCGACTGTTAGATTTTGATGAAGACCCATTAACACCATTCGAAGACACAATTAGACTTACTATCGTGCTTTACAGCGTGGTTCGTCTTTATACTCTACCTCCACAGCAATGTGAAAGATTTATCATCACGTATCTACAACCAAAGATCAAAGAAACTTCTGAGCAGATACAAAAAATATCGCCTGATTTGTGGTTTTGGGTTCTGTGGGTAGCAGTACTTGGCTCGGTTGGACTTGGGGAGTGTCATGAGTTCTTTGTGCAGCATCTCCTCGAAGTTGCTTTTTCGAGAGGGATCAAGACTTGGCCCGACGCTTCAAATATTCTCGAAAGGTTTCTTTTTGTTGATCGGGGGGCGAGTGAGCCTGGGAAGGCATTTTGGAATTCAGTTCAAGTTAGCATGCATGGAAAATTCTCATAACATTGATAAAGAGTTATCACCATATCATCGTATCGGACATGAACCGTCCGAACTTAAGATAGAATACTGGGTGACAGACTGGAGTTGATGCTCGGGTTTGTTATCAGTGTTTGATTAGAAGTTCAAGTAGATGTTAAACTAGTGGCATGGCCGATAGAGAAAGAATGGTGAAAGCTTATTCGAAATTCGAGTTGCAGAAGCCTCAGGAATCTTTGACCTTCTTCGACGATGCCAGCGTAGTCACATCCCACCAGGGCGGGCCGCATTCTACGGCTAGGAGTCGTTATGTCGCCCAGTATTACTGAGGTTTTCCACCAGGTCTCCAAGTTACAGTATCTGAGATGAGAAATTGATAGAATGTTTCTATTAGCTTAATAAGAACGAAATTACAGGGAATAAATATCGGTACGGTGCCGGCTTCGAAACACCATGGAGCCCGCATGAGCATCCAGTTAAGTGACATACAAGGGAATGATGAAATAGGCCTTGAAAAGCAGTACAGTGGAAGTAAAAAGAAGGAACACACAAGAAAAGAAAAGAGTAAAAAAAAAGAAGTAAAGTAACTAAATAGGATGCAGGGGGACAAGTCAAGATCAAAGAGTCAAGAAAATAAGACTAGAATAAGTCCTCCCGCAAATCAGGAAACGTACGCAACGCCTACCGCCATCGTAATGCTAGATGACCAAAGAATGCCGACCACGCTATGCAAATAGAGGTGTTTCAGGGAAAGAAAAGATGAGTACCAGAGTGCCAGAGTGCCATAATGATGGGGTATCGCGAATGGATGATGAAGAGGTTCGAATGATGAGACAAGGTAGTGGAATGATGATGAAGGGACAGGAAATGTGATGGAAAAGGAACCCATGGAAAAATGAAGAGCACAAAAAAGGATATATTTTTTGCTCGGCGAGCCCTCGTTCGGAAAGAGGCGGAGATTTACTGATCGGAGTCGGAATCCGATTCTATGGTTCCTGTCGTAGTTTCATGGCCACGGCGGTTGACTGCGACGCGTTTGCCGAGTTTATTTTCGGGAACGCCGTCTCGTGCTGCGCCGAAGTCGAGAACCTAAGGTACGGAGTTAGTGTTTGAATTCAGACAATTTCAACGTTACAGGTGAGCTTACCTCGATATAAGTCAGACTATCCCGCTGCACTGCAGCGACACAACGTCTGTCGTTAAATTTGACCTGCCAAACACCGCTGAGATCGGTGAGGAGGTCTCGAATACAATTGCCGTTGCTGACATCCCACATTTTCAAAGTACGGTCGGAACCAGAGATGACTTTTTGACCATCATGCTGAAAGCAGGTAATAGCACCGGTATGGGCGCTGAGAGTGTTTTTGCAGTGACCACGCTGTGGGTCCCAGATACGCAGGGTGTGGTCTGCAGCAGCCGAGACAAGGTGGTCGCCTGATAATGCAAGAAGACCGACAAGAGAGGAATGGCCGTCGAGATTGTAAAGTAAGGCACCGTCGTCAAGGGACCAGATTTTGACCATGTGGTCCATGGCACCACTGATACAGCGGTTTCGTTCATGGTCCAAGACGACACTATACACCTTCATAGTGTGTCCAGTCAAAGTATGCTGAACGTGGCCAGTAGAAGTTTTCCAAACACGCACGGTACAATCGTAGCTACCACTGACCAGGGTGTCGCCATGTGCCGCGATTGCCCGAACTGAATGAGTGTGGCCAGATAGAACGCGGATAAAATAAGGACAATCATAATCATCGGCAGTGGGCGCGTTGGGGAGGTACACTGGGTCGCCGGGTTTCGGAAGCTTCCACACCCGTAAGTTCGAGTCGCGAGAGCCGGTGATGATCAGTGGCACCTTCGGCATCATCAAAGTGCGGCCACTCGAATCTTTGCCTATTTCCGTTGGCAGAACGATCTGCAGACAACGGACAGTAGAAGTGTGTCCATGGAAAACTTGGGTGCATCGAGCTCGCTCAATGTCCCAAACGCGGACGGACCGATCGGTGGATCCAGATACTAAAGTGTTGCCGTGATACTCAAGAGCCCACACTCCACCATCATGGCCCTCAAGAGTAGCCTTCAGAGCGCCGGTTTTCGTGTCGTATACGTTGATGTTGGTATCGTCACTTCCAGTCAATATCTTATCCGTATCAAACTGTAGGCAAGTGACTACGTGGCGATCATGGGCGCGGAAAGCGATATGCTGCGGCTTGACTTCTGGCTTCATCCATCCCTGGCGAATGGCGTGAAGTCGACGATAGATAGCTTTGAATAGGTAAAGCCCACGGAGTGATGGCAAGCCAACTTCAGGCCATGGAACTGCAGCGGCCGCTGCATTGGCTGCAGCATACGGTGCCTCTGAAGCAGCGATGTCCTTCTTCCAATCCGGTTCGCAATGATCTGTTCCACTGGAGGAGATCTTCCGTTTCGCCAACTTCCGACTTGAAGCGCGTGTGTTTGCTTTACGCTTGGGTCGTCTGTTAAGTGAAAGAGCAGTAAATGGTACTCTATCCGTTGCAGCAGAAGATGAAGGAATCGGAGAAAGTTCGGAATCCTGTCTGGGCGCAGTAGTACTGAGGTCCCTTTCCCAGTTATCAGGGCTACTGCACTGCCATCCCCAACCTTCTTTGATAGCTCGCTCAAGTTCACCCTCGGAAAGGATATACCCATCTTGATCAAGTAGCTCTTTCCAAGTCTTCTCGTCTGAATTGATAATATGGCGCCATTTCTTCGAAACTTGTGCGGCGCGGCACATTGTTTGGACATCAAAGTACTTGACGATGTTCAGACCAAGCTCCAGAGGTAACAACGTGAGGAAATCGCATTTCAATGTAGGGTTCACCACATCAGCCACAAAATGCAACGTAGGTTTGGGGCAACGTCGCAGAAATTGATACATCATGTATGTCTTCAGTTCTTCGGGGACTGAATCAAAGAACTCTAAAACCTTAGGCATATCCATTAAAGATGCTGGTGACCGGGTTGTAGGAGCTAGCATAGAGAAATTCCTGTTTAGAGAAGTAGAATCGGGATCATTCAGACGCAGTGCCTTGGATGATCGTGGAAGATTGTGGTCAAGACTCGAATCAGTGTCAACGTCAGGTCCCTCAGATTCGAAGGAAGATTCGGCATGAAGAGCATTCATGGCAGCGACTGGAGACAAGCTAGGACTTGGCAGACACATATCTTGAGCCATTGCGTTATCAATAGCTGAAAGTTGAGTTGACAATTCCGGTCGAGGCTGTGTTGCAGTTTCCGAAGCAGAGAACGAAGCATTTTGGCTGGGAGACGTATTCATAAGTTCGGTTCCAGCTGTACCAACAGCTCCCGTTGCTGGGCCTTGTAGCTCATGATTTTCGGCCGAAGCATGATTTTGAGATACACTGGTTGGTCCAGTATCTGCCGACAGGGGTGAACGTAATAAAGTTTCGCGACGCGGAAAATTAGCACTATGGATTCTTTGTCTCGAAGCTACAGCATCCCCAATGCTGCCAATGTTGTGCTCGGTTTCTGGAGTAGCCAGACCCGCAGGGGAAAGGAAAGTTGCCGAGGTCCCATGACGGGTACGTCGTGCTACAGGCTCGGAAGGAACTCGATTTCCACGCGTCCACGAGAGGATGGATGGGCGAGGATCAGGGATCGAAACTGGAGAGACGGGTCGATGTTGGGCACTAGGGTGATTGCTCCGCGTCATTGATCGTGGAGGACCGAGTCGGCGAGAAGCCGTGCCATCTTCAGAAGAGAACGAGTTGACAGAGCGAATGAGACCATTTGATGCCTTTAACGCATCAGTTCTTTCCTTTAACTATATGATGTAAGTTAGTTGTCAGGCCCCCCGCTAACAACAAAAAAGTGCCCGAGACAGCGGGATGATACGAAACAGTAAAAAAAATAAAGAAATAAACCAAGCTCACCTCAATAGCCGCAGCATCAGTATCATCCGGCTCGTTGAATACGACTGATTTGTCGCCGATATTGAATTTGAGGTTCTTCAAGGAAACGGGTGTAGGTGACGCAGCCAGCGGATACTGTCGAACATCCAAGTCCTTTACTGCACGCGGGGGTTTGATCACAAGAGGTGGAAAAGCGGTTGTCGTTGTCGTAGTTGTTGTGACTACAGTAGTTCGAGTAGTTGGGGCGAATGAGAACTGCCCAAAGGCGTTACTGGAAGGACCTTGCTCGGTCTCTTCTTCGTGGTCGTCCATTTCGTGTTTTCGAGAGTGGACGAGACGAGATTCGGGATTACGGGCGGCATGAGATTGAGAGTGAGAAAAGGACGCGTGTGGATCAGAAGTCGAGTTGATGTGGGAAGTGTGGTGGCGGGCGGGAGAATGAGAAGACATAATAGTGTCGCAGCCACGGCAAAAGTGGGGGGCACGATCGTGTAAAGAACAATGAGGACCACCGTGAACAGGGTCAGGGTGGGTGTTAGCAAAACACCCCAACACAATAAGGTGAATAGACCATCTACAAAACGCAAAGGGTCTTAACAGGTGAAAAAGGTGCAAAAGGATCGGAGGGGACGCAAGGAAGATCAAAGGGGAGGAGAAGAAGCAGTGGCGGCTGACAAGGGAGTTTGGGGCGGAGAACAACAAGTTAATCCGAGTCCCGGATTGGACGATGTCATGGACCACAACGTGCGATTTCTTTCAACTTTTAGATCGTTTATTTCAATATGAACAACAGATGGGAATCTTCCACTGGCTCTTTCCCTTTTGATCCGGTATTGCAAAAAAACATTCCTGAATTCTGGGGCAGGGGATATCCCAGTTTTCTCTGATTTTTCCCTCGTTTCTTGCCTGCATGAAAAACCTTGATGTCCGTGGCTAAAGACCTTGATCTCAGTGGCGTTGCAATCTTGCCCACGAATCTATTTTTTCTTCTTCTATTTTCTTCTTCTATTTCCTAGTAGTTTGATAATAAGACAGCCATACATCCGATTGTTCGATAACGATATTTCTCTTATTATTCTCTCTATTAGTCTCTGTTATTAATCCATCACCACTGTAGTTACTTCTGTCGATCGGGTGACAAACCTGTTTGGGTTGTGGAGAAGGCGGTGAGTAGATAATCAGTCCAGCCCGGTTATCGCCACCAGTCACGTGGAGATACTCCATCTTTCCAGCAACACAGATTACTTGATCAACAACATTGTATGTAGTCAACTTGAACTAATTCATGGCCATCATAGTTCGCCTCCTTCCGCGCCACCAGGAGCTAGCCCAACACCCGTCAAAGCTCCCCCTTTCTTGAATCAGGTAAAATCTCCCTAGTGGAGCCCGAGAATCCGGCATCTGAGCAACGAACTCTGGCTTATCATAAGCGGGATAGCGGGATCCACATAGAAAACAGGGATACTGTAGCTTATTCGATAAAATGTGCTAGCATGCACGGGCAACAAAGAAATCCTGGAAAGGAAAACATCCAGGTCACAGGGATGGCCGATTATATCCCTTTCTGGGTGCGCCCACAATGTACATACATGAATGTACATATCAAATCAGTGCCTGTTGCGTCATCTGCAGGTACCCCTGGGGGCCCGCGTCCACGCCCACCTGGCACGCGTACTGGCCCCAGCCTTCAACCCCAGCCTCGAGCTGAAAAAGGGTCAGATTGATAAATCTCCGCATCGTGGGTTTCTATCAAGGTTGCGCATGCCCGATTGCCACACGTGTAGCTTTGGCTTTGGATTCATTCTTGTACTACAGTCACCCCGATAAATAAGCACTCCTTGCTAGAAGCGTTGGGTTTTGAATACGCATACGCATTTAATATCATATTACACCACACGTCTTTCCAATGGTTGTTCAAATATCGGTCTAATCGTTTCTACTGATAGCTTTACTAAGGTAACTCGAGAGGCTTATCGACAGAGATAAGTCCTTTTCAATATCCGCAGAACCGATATCAGCCAGAAACCCACGCAGAAATAAAGAACAGTGTTTTTGTCACCCTCCATACTCTCTGGCTTTCGTACCGGATGATTTCGAGACACGAACAATCATAGGGTTTCGCTTATTGTCAGAATAGGCTACTTGTACTAGGATATCCCCCTTAACCAAACTGAAAGCCTACCCAGGTGGCATAGGTCTCTGATCTACTGGGTTTATCCATTTTTTCACAAGTCTAAATAGATGCGCTGAGAGAAACGGAGAGGTCGAATGAGGCGCAAAACAGGATCGACCAAGCCAAAGCCATCGAGGAGTACGAGCGAGCTTATGGGTCGGACGGAACTGTGGAGCGCAGCGTTGAAGTCAGCGATACATTATTCGGAGACACGATGCTAAGCACCTTCTCAGGCCGAGCTACGACCCAGTCAATCGACCTCGGACCGCCATGCCTCAGTGAATTAGACGCGCTGAGAGACATTACTTCGCGAAAGGAAAAGAAGAAGGAACCCAAGGCTAGAGATACGGCTCGGCCGCCTGCCGCGGGTATCGAAACTCTTGACGAGATGGAAGGCACGAGTCAACCACGACTCAACAGAGCCCTGTGTTGCCGGCTGCAACACCTTACACCAATCCATTCCAAGCAACAACCTCCGACGATACTGCGAATGAGCCTTCAACCCGATCGGCTCATGAGGCTTTGACTTCACAGACCGAAGAACGCGTGAAATGGAAGAATATTGATGAATTGCCGGGATGGGCGAACATTAATAACAAGGAAGAGTTGGATATGAACTTGCAGCGGGGTTTGGAGTTATGCAAGTAAGTATTCGTCTAAGTTCCGTGTGAGAAATTTCGAGCCGGGTTCACGAAAGAGGACGGACGAATATCTCCATGTGTGCAAGATGTACTACTAGTATCTACGCTCCCCCCTATGTTTCGTCTTCCTACACCGAGATCTGAGTCACTTGTTCGCTTTACGATCAATATGCTTCTTGCCTACGCCCATCCTGAGTTTGTCTCTCAGAATCCAAGTTTTGCGGCATAACACCCCTATTTTCAATCTGATGTGAGTGATTATCTTTGAGACAAAGCGCCAGGGAGCTACTAGTATATCAACGGGTCGTTTCCAGTGCTTGGTTTTATATGGGTAATGATATAGTTAGATTGGCTCTACTTAAGCATTGCTATCATTTCCTGACCAAGTCATTTGGAAAAGTGACCTGATACCGCCGATATAACGACAGGAGTATACTTACCAAGAGAACCTAACTGGTTACCTTCATCCTTAGAAGGATACCCCGAAGCCCGGAAATGCATCCTGGAGATTGATAGAACGACTTCTCACTTGACAAGTTCAAGCACGAGCCTGTGAGGCTGTGAGGTTGCTTAAGGCCTTACTTTAGAAGAACTTGACTTGATTGACGACAAGAACTTTGACTAATTTCACGAGCAGCTTCTTACCAGTTCCCATACTATAGCATGACAACAAATGTTCACATTTCAGTAGGCTACGATGCTTATTGTCTAAAGCTGGCAACTGCTACCATATGGTCAGTAATCTGTCCGGTTATTCTCCGCTACACTTCGCCCAAGTTGGTTACTAGATAATCCGCCTAACTGCACCTTTCAATCATACAGTAACAAGATGCGGCAACTTGATAAAGGAAAGGAGGGGAAAGGGCAGAACAGTCTGTACGTCTTTGCATGCTGCAGAATCTCGTGGGCAGTTACCTTGGTGACATCGGTCCCTTCAGCGAACCACTCAGGCGTATTCAGCTCAAACTCTAGAGTCTGAGCACCTGAAATTTCCAATATTTCAAATCCCCAAGCACCAAAATTATGATCAGCCATATAATAAGAACTAAGGCTCTACCTTAATACCAAACATGAAATCCCATACAAATCTTGTTTCAAGTGACGAAAATCTTGGTTGACTCCAAAGTTAAGCTCATACGTAGAGGGACCTGGAACCAAGACAAAAGCAGCTTCCTTTTTAGGTAGCTTAAACGCGACGCCACACGGAGCACAAACAACGGTCATTATCCGAAATATTGACAGTCTCGGTTTGATGCCGAATGCTTACGGCGTCTTCAGTACTGATTATCATTTAAACCGAAATTATTGGGTCATTCGGTGTTTCAAAAGTAGAAGCATAGACAATACCTCAGGGTTGGTTTTCATTTTGATTCTGATTCCGATTTTGATTTCGGCATTGTCCAGTTCTGCGTTGTTGAGTGCATGTGTTGAGATTAGACCATTTTCAAGCAACATGGAATCCTAGTTGTTTCATGCATTTTGATTATGATCGTATACTTCGTATTAGGCGTCAAGCTTTCGAGCTCCTACGCAGACGATAATCGGCAGCTGCTTGTACTAATTATCCGACTCAGGGGCTCTGAATCTCGAGGTCTATATCGTACGTACTGCCCCCTAGCCCGAGTATGTATGATAGCGTTGTTCGGCAAACCATTATATTCGACTGGTTTGCAAGATCTAGGCTATCTACTAGCTTTGGATTCTATTTTTACGCCGGGCTCCAGGATTGTTTCCTCAGACTTTCTTTGCTTTTTCTATGTACGTACTTTAGGTACTCGCTCCCAGGGATATGGTAAGCTCGGAATCCTCCGAAAAGCCTCATTTTTGGGGTCTAAAGGGGATGATCTGCGACTATAGAATGGAATCAAATCCACAATCCTGAAACTAGGATCCACGGAGTAGTATAGCTATAGTACGTACTGGGTAGTGCGTACCTGTAGGGGTAATTTCAAATGTTCCTTCCTGTTTTCCATTTCCATTTCGTTTCGCTTCGTGTTTTCGTTTCAACGCATTCCACCGTTGAACCAAGTACTCGGATATCCATCCATATGGAATCCAACGGCCTCGGAAATCCGCTGGAACTCAACCAACCCATCCAACCGGTGCAATATCCCACAAAAGAAAAGCTTCGACCCCATAGTGTACCCAGAACGTGGGAGTACCAGTGCCTACGGAGTAGACGGAGTAAAATGTGATGCGCATGATCTACAACTCCACTAGAATCACTAATATTCTGGAGAAAGAAGCCAGAACCATGGAAGAAGACAGGGACTACAGCATAATTATTGCGTGCATTGTGGGCGGGTATAGATGAACATGGAACTATTGAGGGACCATTTACCGCTAGTTGGCCCGACCATTGGAATTGGAATTGGATTGGCGAGGGAGGCGCTTCCACACCTGTCAAACCATTCTTTTGGGTTCAATAGTGTTTAGCGGTCGGCAATATGTTATAATTTGGTTATTGCGTGGGGTAGTAAATTTAAATCTGAAGTTTCATGGTTGGTTCTCTTTTTTGATCACTTTCTACATCTGTACGAGTACTGGAAGTGGTAGTTGCAGTTTTACCAATTGGGAGATGAATATGAACGTGTTTGTTTTGGTAAACTCAATTCAAATTCAATCCTATGATTCCCCATTCCTGATTACCCCTATTCTGTTAAATCGAAATCGAATCGCCAGACTAAATCCACGCTTAACTGAAATGGTTGGGCATTACGCAGATACAATTAGTACTCAGATAGGTAGACTAGTGGGCGACCAATGAAATTACTCGCGACTAGGAAGAGGCGAGTAAAAATTAACCGTGGAATTTGGAAATAAAAATAAAAAATAAAATAAATCGCGTCCCCAGAGTGTCACAGCGGGCTAAGGCAGAGACTAAGGCAGAAGCTAAGGCGAGAGTGGATCTCGACACGGCACAGGGGAAAAGAAAGGAAAACGGAGCTGCCCGGCAAGATCATGATTGATCTTCATCGATCGGTGTGATTTGCTCGGAGCGGAGTCGAGTGGTTCAAACTAGAACACGAATGGTAAAGGGTCGAGTCGATGATCGCATACAGGGGTTTTGTTTGGTTGTGAGCTGCGAATCATGGATCATGACACTCCAGGGCTGTATCCGTGATGCTGGGAAGTACTGTAGGGGCAAGAACAGCAAGCACTGTGTTGATTGTCATTTATTCTTGGAACCTCTGGTTCTCTGCAGGGTTGTTAAGTTAGTTTCATCAGGGGTTGGGGCATGAAACAAACGCTGCGGAGACTGAGAGGAACCTGACAAACTGTCAACCCGTAGAACTAGGTTTACTATGTAAATTAAAAATAATTAAAAATTAAAAATATCAAGAGGCCATCCTCCGTACTCCGTAGAATCCAGAATCCAGAATCCAAGGTTCATGTTCAGGGACTCGGACGGACCTCGTGGAAAGCGGGCTGTGTGCCGCTCTCTAGATCGAATTTGAGTTTGAAAAAACAGCAGCCATGGGAACGCGACTGTACATTCATCACTATGTAGGCCGATCATTACCATTCTGCTTTTCTAAGCCCATCAACAAGAAGCTGGTTCTGGTACGCGACGCCAATTATTTGTCACGGTGGCACTGACTCCGCCAGCGGCTATGTGATGGGCTTGCGATCGAAATCTCGGCCCAATGGGCTGGGAACTGGGTCCATCAGAGATCGAAACGTATGTGAATCGATTACGGATACACTTCCAAGGCTATGGCCATAGCGGGCGATGTTCTCCATCGGTTCCAGAGTTGAGTTGATGGGCTCCACTTTGATTCCGGTTTGGAGTGTTCTACTGCTCCGCGCAGGCAAGGCAGGGGCATTAGCACAGTTGAATTGGATTGAATTGAATACTGCACGGGCGCAGGCTTGTGGAGTAGCAGGTTTCCCGTCAACCGGGATGGATCGAGCTGGCGTTGAGTAGTGGATGTTAGATGTGCCACATTGACGCCACGGAGGAAAACCAGAAGAAGGTTCTCTGAACTGGACTGGTTCATGGTTAATGTGGTGTAGGTAGTATTGTAGAGATCTCTTTCTGGTTGGATATTATTTTATGGTGATATGGTGATATGGTGACTCGGTATTCGGAGTGCAGGCAGCCGCACGTGTGAGACATGTAGTGCCCGTGGTTTTAAGGTTGTTCGTTGGCGCCCTGTATGTAAGGGGTCGGCACGAGGAAGGATTTGGGTGCAGATGTTGTTTAATTAGAGCACGGGTTGGTGAGAATGATAGGAGCAGACATGACTAGTAGGTGCATGTATGTAATCTCCGGCAGATGCAGAGTTGCAGCTCCGATGTAGCTCTAGTCAGTGCCTGCTGTAACTCAATGGAACCGAGGAGGAGAATTGGGTCTCGCTAGTGCCTGTCGATACTTGCTGGATTGGGGAGGATGGAGAAGCAGAATTGGTCGATCTTGGTTGGATTTGATTTGATTTATTTTGTCAATTGAATTTTAAATTTATTAATTCTTTGACTTTTCTACTGTGATTGTTTCCCCTTTTACTCCGAGTCCATACACGGAGAATATCCTCGCAACCAGGATGAACAGATGAACAGGGGAGACAAAGTACGTAGAAATTACAAAGGGATTAGATTTGAATCCAAATCATCCTCTAGGGCTGCTATGATTGAATTTGCTTAGATCTTTTTTCTTCTATTTTTTCTCCTATTCCCACGATCCTGACTGTATTGTGGCTTGGGGATCCCTGTTCCACCCCTTTTGTATGAGAGCCTGGAGAAAGCCCAATTGAAAAATAAAAAGATAAAAAAACAAAAATATAGTGGTCTAATAATATCATTATTTTATTATTATTCAAGTGGATTCCACCCCCTTTAGTCTTGGGTTGACCCGATGAGATCGAATTCAACTCGTCGGGATTACTATTGACTGTCATTCACGTATAAACTTCTCTTCTCCTACTTTCCCCCCGCATCTTCTCTTTTTCTTCCTTTTTCTGCTTGGCATCTCTCTCTCTCTCTTTATTCTTCTCCCTCGTCACTCCTTCCGCTGGGATTCCATTAACACTGTACGGGTAAATAAAACACGTACCAGACACAAAGAACACCGGTATGTGGAGATTCCCCACGCAAGTACCGCCGGTTCCTGCGGACAACCTCGTGCTGGAGCTGGCACTTGAAAGACCCAACTCATCTCCGACCAACACTAACCCAATGGCGACTTTAGCCGTTTCAATTCAAAAGCGAAATAAAAATAACTCATTTTCCAACCGTTTCTATTCCTTCATCATCGCCCTTTTTCTATCTCTCCTCCCCCAAGCGTGGTGTCTATTCATAGTCGCATTGGACCCCAATACCACCCGGTTCATGTCGAGGAATTAATTTCTTGCCGACTTTCCCATCATGGCCCCCCGAGACAAGTCTCCAGTACATGTCCCACTCCGGACTTCCAGTCGCAACCTACTACATTCCGAAGCCATGGGGAGTCAGGAGAAGGGGTCATTTATCGAGCGCAAAACCTCCAAAGCCCAGCGAATCCTCGGTACCGATTTACCCATCCACCATGAGAACCAGAACCAATGGGAGAAGCCACAGAAACAACCCAAGTCCCGCCGGTCAAGCCTTCGAACGCCCGATAGCAGCACGAGAAAACAGCAAAACAGTGGATTTGTTCCATTCCCCCATGCTGCAACGAGTGACAGGATGATCCCGCCCCAGAATCTTCGGGTACGGGCTTCATCGCCTTTGCTGGGCCAAGAATATCTTTCTCAGGACCCGGCCCCGCCCCTCCCCAAGCCTTCCAAAAGGATTCATCCATCCAGCTCTTCGTCTACATTGTTCTCCTACTTCAGCTCCAAGGAATCGTCTTCCAAATCGAACCCGACGACCCCTAAAGGCCTACAGCCCAGAATCAACAATATGTTCGGTCTCGACCCGCAAGTTACATATAAGCAACAACAGCCTCCTGCTCCTGCTCCTGCTCCTGCTCCTAAGGATTCTAAGCGGAAGCTGCGTCCACCTCGCATCGATTTATCTATCCTTTTCCCAAAACCTCGAAATCAAGCACCGCCCCTCTTCTCCCCTCAGCGTATGACTAGTTCGCCATCCCCGGTCTCCACAGTGGTGTCGGATTATCCTACCAACAATTATCCTACCCACAATCGACTAGATAGCGTGACCAGCAAGAGCAGCGCTGCCACCTCCAGGCGCTTTGGTGATCCCCTGCCCCAGCGCACTTCCGCAATTCATAACGAGGCCTCCAAACAACATGTGGATCGCTCGGATCTACTGTCGATCCCGGAATCAAAAGATAGCGATTGGTACGATCGTCCCTTTGAGCGGACGGTTGGTACAAGCGAGATCGATCTGGCATTGGATAGATATGCCGGGCGCCGATCACTCTTCAGTCGATCAAGTGTATACACGAACAGCCGCGAGCAGTTGCAGCCCGAACAGCAACAACGACGTCCCTCGGAGGCTAGTAACAATACACACCGCGGACAAAGTCCTGCACGAGCTGAGCAACCGCGCAAAGACAAGGATGTTTATTTGAGCCCAAGTTCCAAACCTCAAGCCCATCGTTCTCAACCTCAACCTCAACAGTCTCAAACCATCACCCCACCTGTCCAACCCTGGCGACAAAAGGAGCGCAGCGACTCTCAAGGTGCCAAGAGCGCTGTTACCAAGAAGAGCAGCAAGAGTACCTTGAAAAACAAAGACTTGCAAAACACCAGCGTTCTCTGCCTATCATCATCCGAGGATGAGACCGAAGATGATGAACAGGAGACACCCGTGGCGGATCCTCGAACCCCCAACAAACAGTTCCGGGATAGTGTGGCTACATATGGCGACTTTGATGCTGAAATCTACACTGCCTCTACTGCCCAGGCTGCCACCGGCAAAATGCTGAAGAAGGTGGATCGGGCTGCATCTACAAGTAGTAGTCCTGGGTCTCATAAGAACTCACAGAGGAGCCAGTCAGTCCGTCAACATTCCTCTCATCCTTCCAAGTCATCCACAGCCACTCGACGAACCACCCAATCCCGACGATCAAGCGGCATCCCCGCGATAACCGAGCCAGACCTCGTGGACAGGCTCCCTCAACCACCACAGCGTACCCCTCACGAATTGAAGGAGATGAACCGCAGAAGTCGAGTAATTGCCGTGACCCGCCAAGAACAAGACCTGCTAGAGGCGATGCGTACTCGAAAAGGCAAAGTCACACCCAGCATCTTCAACTACAACACCGGGCCCGGCGCCGAAGCCGATCGAAACTCAGTATTATCGGTCCCATCGCGGGATTCATTCTGCGGCTCAGATACATCTTTCTTGCGTCTGAGCGCGGCTTTCCCACCGTTTCCCCAACGGTCAGATCAAGGTGCCTCTCACATTGATAAGGACGGTTCTCCCTCGCAGAGTTCGAGTTCTGATAATGAACAGAAAACTGGTAATTCCATCGCCAGTACGACATATTCGGAGTCGCTCCCATCTCCCGCTACTAGCGTTGCTTCGCCCCTCACACCAACACTCCCTATTCATCGCTTCTCGCCTCTCCCTTCCCCCAAGCCACCACCACGTGGTCCTCCACCAGCCATCCCCGAAGATCAGAAGCAGCATGCCCGACGTCGCACCGACAGCAGCGAAGCTATCATGTTGAACGATGAGCCAAAGCGTAAACACGATCTTCCACTGTGGTCCTTCGATTTCGATTGGAACCATGACCGCAACAGCGTGACTGCCGTGCATTAAACCGTAGGGCTTGGAATATTTTCTTTTCACCCAAACTCAATGCCTTGCCTTTTCTTACACCGCTTGCATTTTCACTCTACTCTTCCTCCACCTTTCATCCTCCTGCATTGGCATTGGCATATTACCATCTGATCCTTAAACCATTCTTTTATCACCATTTCCTATCTGTTTTGCATATTGCGGCTCATTTTCATGCCTTGACCTCTTTTCAGGCATTGTGTTACGAACAATCATTCACCCCAGCATCCTTTTCCTTGATTTTGACTACCTGGCTTTTTCTAGGCACTATATACCCGTTTCTCCGTTTCTTCGAAATTGCATACTAGAGGCTATCTGTATTTAACTACGTTTCCAGGGCGCTCCTGCTCATTCAACCAAATCAACATTATGTGGATATTATTTCTTACTTTCTTCTCATCAATCTAGGTTATAGTAGATATAGATATACCTACCCATGTGCTTACCCCCAGAATTAGCTGCATATTCAGCCCCATATTGACAAAAGCCAAGACTGCCTCATTGTGGCATTCCATAAAAAAAACATGGAGAAGCGAGGGGCAGCGAAAGAAGGGGCTGACGTTTCCCGGTGAGCTTTGACGTCAGGTCATACGTAGGATGTAGATAAGTCCGCTATGAGCACTGTAGAGGTCCACGTACACAATAGATTAATTCGTCTGAGACGCAGGAGATAAGTATTACATGAATACCCAACATTGATTCTTGAAAACAACAGCACGCGATCAAAAACAAGGAACTAACCAACAAGTTTAGCACAAAGTTAGAGTTACAGTAGAGCGAGAGCGACTCGATGCCCAAGATGGGGGAGTCTGGGCCCGTGACGTTACTCGTGATCCACACCGCCGTTCGGGTTCGGTTCATCTTTAACTTCCACCTTTTACCCCAGATTCACAACTCAGAGAGAAAAGAACAACAAAACAGGGACCAACGAGCCTGTTCTCGAATTTAACAACATTCTCCTGGATTTCTCCCCGACCCAAATCCATTTACAAACTTTTCTTTTTTTGTTTCTTTCCGCCCCAGCCTCCTTCGCACGGAGCTCCGCCGCGATCGTCACCTAAGTCCTGCGGCGGGCACCAGTGAAGAAGATCGCCGGGTCTCCCCTGCCTTAGCCCCAGCTGTGGCGGACTTGGAAATCCCGCAAACCAGATTCTGGCTTTCTCCCCGTCGCTCTCTCATCGGTTTCCGTAAACATCTCCATTGTCTACTCTAAGTATTCTACCTTGAAAGTACACAGAACGGGCATTGTTTCACAGCTCCCCCCTCTTTGTTTTGCGGAGAAATAAGACACAGGGGTACTTTGAAAGTTCCCACAACGACGAAAATGGGAGATCGCACACAACGCCAGCCTTCATGGCTGCGGGCGACGTCGCAAAATTTGCCGTGGCTTCTGGTAAGAGATATTGATTCAATCGCATTGCTGTAAATCGTGAGATAAACTGACTTTCTGTGTTTGGTGCTTTCTAGTTGACCGCGCAATCCACTGCGTTTGTGTTGGTAAGTGCCTACAGGACGCGACCCTGTGAATTCATCGAAACGAGCGACCGCAACTGACTGACTTTTTTTCTTCTCGATGAATAGCTATCTCATTACTCTCGAGTCATGCCACCAGCAGGCGGCAAGCGATACCTAACCTCGACCGCAGTCTTTCTGAACGAAGTGATCAAGCTAGCTATCTCACTCACAATGGCCCTCTATGACGTCTCCAAAACCGCACCTCCATCCATGCCCGCTACATCCCTCTTCTTTTCCCTCACAAACACCGTTTTCTCCGGCGACAGCTGGAAACTAGCTATCCCCGCGGCTCTAGGCGTTCTTTCCAACTCCCTCCAATACATTGCGATATCCAATATGCGGGCTGCGACATTTCAGGCCACATTTCAATTACATTTTCTCACGACTGCGATTTTCGGTCTGGTCCTTTTGCGACGCAGTATCCCTACTCGAAAGTGGGCTCTGCTACTTCTATTAATCGTGGGCGTGGCTTTAATTCAAATTCCCGATGCCAATTCGACGGATATAACTGTGAACGATGAGACTGCGGCTAGTTTCCCTCGATCTATTGAAGAGTGGAAGGCTGCGAAGGGTGCTGGTGCTGCTGCTGCTGGTGCATTGCAAAAGCGTTCTGCTACATATGAAGGTATCGAAGAGGATACTCGGACTGCCGATCTGAATTTCAATGCGACGATTGGTCTCCTGGCTATCGTTGGTGCGGCTTTCGCATCAGGCTTTGGTGGTGTTTTCTTTGAGAAGATCCTTCGTGATAGTTCGAGTCATACTTCTTTGTGGGTGCGCAATGTGCAAATGGCGATTTATTCGGTTTTTCCGGCTCTTTTTATCGGAGTTGGGTTTCAGGATGGGGAGAAGGTTTCCAATGATGGTTTCTTCCAGGGTTATAACTGGGTTGTGTGGTCTACTATCATTGTTCAGGCCTTGGGTGGCATTATCTCGATATTCTCTGCGCGTCATGCGCATAAGCAGCCCAGCTGTGTGGATACGACTGCAACTCTTATCTTGAGTATCGTTGGGAGTGTCGTTCTTTTCCAGTTCGAACTCACTGCAAGCGTATGTGGCTCCACTGCTATCCTTGTCCTTGTTACCATGAAACGATTATTGACTGGTTTCTTTAGTTTCTGCTCGGCGCTGCTTTGGTTTTGGTAGCTACGCACTACTACGGTAACCCCAGATTCAATCCTGCTGCAGGCAAGATTAGCGTTGCTCGTCCACCACCTATCCACATAGACAACTACGAGAAGAATGGCGCACTGGACGACTCTCCAGTCGCTGGCTCACCTAACGACTTTTCTATCAAACTACCCACCACCCCGTTCTTGTCAGATGGTATGTCGTCATCACGACCTACCTCTCCGAATCCAGGCCATGCCCGTGTCAGCTCTAGTCGAAACGTAAGCGCAAGCAATTATTTCGAGAAAGAGTAACTTGGGGTAAATGGTATGAGTTTTACTGAACGGACGAAGGGTTTGTTCCATTTATGTTCCATTTATGTCCATGGATGATGATTAGGATATCTGAGAGATATGGTTCATATTCAGTCTGTGACGAGAATTGTGACAGCGTGCTTTATTGCTTATATCTTCACATCCCGTTTATGATCTAGGCGGTCTTGCGAGCGATTTCTTATTATGTATGAGTGCCTGATCAAATTTGCATATATACGACGAAATGAGACACTTGATATGCCCAATGGGGTACTACTAGATTCGCAGCTCTGGAAAACTATATCTGTCTAGTCAGATAACTCGCTTGAGCTATTGCTCTGCTATTGATAAGGACGAATGATTTACAATATGATATACTATAGCTGTTGCTGCTGTTAATGGTGAAGCATTATATTCCTGTCCACGTGAACCCTCTCCCACCCATACACGCACCCTTCCACCCAACCCTTCACCTCACCGTCTTTCCAACCGTCCACCCACCCATTCCATTCCATCTATCTCATCCCTATTTACCCTTAGTATATTCGAGATGAGACGCCAAATCTCCCCATCAACACCCTTTCAACCCCCTAAGCGTCGTCGAATTGAAAGTCGATTCTTCACCTCATCCCCAAGCAGTGTTACAGGAATCATCGATCAGAGACTCATTGATGGATCTCAGCAATCCCAACCTCGGTCTCTCTTTTCGAATCCGAATCAAGGATCTATCACACCCGCTCATGATGAGGATACAGCCTTGGATGCTTTTGGTATGTATCATCTTGGACCTGGGATGAACTAAGTGAGATATTGATATCTTTTTAGATCTTGAATTACTTGCGCAGGAAGGCTTTCAAGCTCGTCCAGCTCAGCTACCATCACAAAAACAAGAAACCTTTCATCCCCGTCCAGGCACGCAGCAAATCTCACACTTCGACAACATCCTCCCCTCAATCCGAGGAGTCCTCCTCATCCCAGTATCAGACCTCCCAGAACAATACAGGCAACTCTTCTCCTTCCCACTATTCAACGCAGTGCAATCCAAATGCTTCAACCCCACCTACAAAAGCAACGACAACCTCATCCTCTCCGCCCCAACAGGAAGCGGCAAAACAGTTATAATGGAACTAGCCATCTGCCGCCTCCTCAACATCCTCAAAGACGAAAGATTCAAAGTAATTTACCAAGCACCTACAAAATCTCTCTGCTCCGAACGTTTCCGAGACTGGAACTCCAAATTCGCACCTTTAAAGCTCCGCTGCGCAGAATTAACAGGAGATACCGATAACAGCCTTCTTCGAAATGTTCAAAGCAGCCAGATTATCATCACGACGCCTGAGAAATGGGATAGCATGACGAGAAAATGGAAAGATCATATGCGACTTATGCAGCTTGTTAAGCTCTTCTTGATTGATGAGGTTCATATACTTAAGGAGTCGAGGGGGGCTACGCTTGAAGCTGTTGTTTCGAGAATGAAGAGTATCGGGAGCAATGTGAGGTTTGTTGCGTTGAGTGCGACTGTGCCTAATTCGGAGGATATAGCTACTTGGCTTGGGAGGGATGCGGTGAATCAACATGTTCCTGCGCATAGGGAACATTTTGGGGAGGATTTTAGGCCGGTGAAGTTGCAGAAGTTTGTTTATGGGTATATGTCATCTTCGAATGATTTTGCTTTTGATAAGCTTTGCGGGTCGAAGTATGTGCTAATAATGACATGGAATATGGATTATAAATTTACTGGATTCTGATTCTAATCTGTGTTTTAGGTTACCTGAGATAATTGAGGGGCATTCGTGTCGAAAGCCCATTATGATCTTTTGTTGTACTCGGAACTCTTCTGTGGCGACAGCCAAGGAGCTGGCTCGTTTGTGGAACATGACGAATCCACCTGCTAGAATGTGGAGGGGACCCAGCAGACAGATTGAGGTTAACAATGAAGATCTTCGCAGTATGTACATTCACAAATTACCGGGTTCTTATCTAACCGTATCAAGCAACGATTTCTGCTGGAGTCGCATTCCACCACGCCGGTCTTGGTCCAAGTGACAGACGCGTCGTGGAAAGAGGATTCCTAGACGGACACATCAACGTGATATGCTGCACTTCAACACTCGCAGTAGGTGTAAACTTACCATGTCACCTCGTCGTAATCAAAAACACAGTCGGCTGGCAAGAGGGATGCTGCAAAGAATACTCCGATCTAGAGATGATGCAAATGCTCGGTCGTGCAGGAAGACCTCAATTCGACGACAGCGCAGTCGCAGTTATCCTCACGAGAAAAGAGCGAGTATCACACTATGAACGACTTGTTTCGGGGACTGAAAGCCTCGAAAGTTGCTTACATTTGAATCTCATTGATCATTTGAATGCGGAAATCGGACTTGGAAACGTGACAGATGTTACGACGGCTACTAAGTGGTTAGCGGGGACTTTTCTTTTCGTCAGACTCCGTCGGAACCCTACTTATTACAAGCTTAAGGAGGGAGCTAGCGAGGAGGATGAAGATGAGTTGCTTAGGCAGATATGTGAGAAGGATATTGCGCTTCTTCGGGAGTGCAGACTTGTTGAGAGCGGAAGACTACGGTCAACATCGTTTGGGGACGCGATGGCTCGGTATTATGTTCGGTTTGAAACGATGAAGATTCTTCTTAGTTTGGAACGATGTGCTACAATTCCACAACTTGTAAGCTTTTAACAAATGCGAATTGCGAAATGTGAATGTCTTCCTCGCTAACGAACACAGCTCGATGTCATCGTTCAAGCTGAAGAATTCCGAGAAATCAGATTCAAAGCCGGTGAAAAATCACTATACAAAGAAATAAACCGTGACCAGGGAATCCGATACCCAATCAAAATCGACATAGCTCTTCCATCTCACAAGATTTCTCTCCTCCTTCAGTCCGAACTGGGTGCAGTCGAATGTCCCGCCGGAGACCAATTCAACAAGCACAAGTTCCCCTTTCAGCAAGATAAGAGCATGGTCTTCGCCCATGTGAACAGAATTATACGATGTATAATTGACTGTCTCATTGCACGGGAGGACTCAAAATCTATTCTGAGTGCATTGGAGTTAGCACGGAGTTTCGGTGCAAAGGTTTGGGACCAATCTCCACTTCAGATGAAGCAGATTGAGCAGGTGGGCGTGGTAGCTGTTCGGAAGTTAGCCGCGGGTGGAATAACGAGTATTGAGGAACTTGAGAACTGTGAGGCTCATCGCATTGAGATGGTTCTTAGTAAGAATCCTCCATTTGGAACGAAGCTGTTGTCTCGATTGAAAGATTTTCCGAAATTGCGCATCTCTGTGAAAATGACAAACAGGGTTTGAGAATCCATCTCTTTCTTTTATTCTTTTTTCGACTTCTGTTTTTCTCGCTAACTAGAAACTAGGATGCGAAAAATGGGTTCGTCAAAATACATTTCAAGCTTGAAGTGGCTTTTATGAATGATAAGAGGCCAACTTACTTTCAACGACGACCGGTCTATGTATGCTGTTTGACTGAAACATCGGATGGTCGATTGATTGATTTTCGGCGTATCAGGTCATAACCAGAAGAATGTTCTTCATGGTATAATCGCATGCTGACAATTTTTAGTGCTAGCAAGCTTCAGAGTAGCTTAGAGATCACCCTTGTCGCTGACTTGAAAGCTCCGGATCATTATATTGTCTGTCATGCGATGTGCGATGATATTGGTTAGTTTTGAGTATCATGCATCACTTCTGGATTGTGATGCTGATCGTGATATAGCTGGAACTGCAAGAGAAGCTGAGATTAAGCCGAACATATCTTCATACTTTGCATCAAAGCCAAGCGGATTGCCCAAGGTGCAGAACTCCAAAAGCCTCACATTCCATCGTACTGGGTCTTCCCGATCTGAATCGCAGAAGATGTCTGTATTCGAACCAGATATATTTGACGGTGATGACCTGGGGCTGGACGACTTTCTCATCGCGGATCAGCGCCGGTCGAGCCCAAAGAAACCCCAAAAGGCAAAAGCAAATGATACCGAGAACTTTGAAGAACTTGACTGGCTGTCTATTAGTGACACTACTCCGAGTCCCCGCCACACTGAGAAAGATCAAAAGACTAAAGATGAAGAGTGGATCCTCGAGGCAGAGTCCCAGGACCAAGAGAAATATAAGCCAGTCCAGCTTGACAATGGGAATTGGGCTTGTAATCACAGATGCAAAGATAAGACATGGTATTTATGCTATTTCAAGTTATCCTGGGCTCTAGGCTAATGTGGATTTAGTTGCAAACACTTGTGTTGTCGAACTGGTCTCGAAAAACCACCGAAGGCTGCTAAAAAGCGAGCTCCTGCAACCCCGAAGCCTAGAGGGTTGAACCAGTTAACTCTGTCAGCGACAATAACCAAAAGCGATAGTGCGAAGCAAGCTCAGAAAGTTCCTACGAAGCCAAAGGCGGTAGAACGAAGTCTGTCCAATTCGTCGAGTGGACGAGGTGCAAAACAAGCTCAGAAAGGCTCCACGAAGTCAAAGAAAAAGCCAGTAGAACGAAGCCTTTCAAACTTGTCGAAAGGACGGAAGGAAGCCAGAAGATCCAAATCAGATACTAGCGGTCGCAAAGATGGTATTCGCTCTTCAGGGAAACCAAAGAAAATCCAAACTACCCTGAAAGCGAACACGAGTGGTTACAATGACGATGACGATGACTTCAGCGACTTCCCTTCACAGTCAGAGCTTCTGAAGGATCTCACATCTATCTTCCGACAACCACCTTCATTCAAAATCCCAGAGATTGAAAGTGGAAAGGTAACCTGGGTTGATTTGACTAAAGATGATTCGACACCTGATTCGACAGAAATGAATACATCAGGACTGGACACTGCAAATGCAAAGAGTTTTCTAGCATCAGCAGATGCAACACGACTATCGTCAACACCAAATCAAACAAGAAGCACTAATATTTTCCTTGCCTCTTCTCCCAGCAAGAATATTTTCACAAGTCCAGAGAACACGAACAGCACAGCGCTGACTACGCCTTTGACTATTCAATCGGTGAATACTTGCAGCCTAAAGCGGAATGGAAGTACCATTCATGAGACTAGTGACCTCAAGATCCAGAAAAGGGTCGAGGGATATCAGACACAAGAAGTCTTGTCGACGTTAGACACGACCGCTATGGAATCTGCAACACATTCTCAGTCTGAGTCTGAGGCGTCCCCTGGATGGGAGGATGTGGATCGACTATTACTTGAAGAGTTCAGGGATGTTATCAACTTTTACTAACTTATACGTGAATGTTTCTCGTTTTCAAGGATTATTTCTGGCTTGTTTGCTATACTATTTATACAGATGATAACTATACTGGGGGATATCATGGGCTTGGCTAGGATAATATTGTCTATGCTACTTCTTCAGATGTTGAATGCCGTTCGAGTATTATGGTAATTCTTGTCTAGATTATTTACTGAAATTATGTTGTGATTATATCAATTTTAAGGATGCCAGGAGCTGTTCCAGCATTTTGTCTTTTGTCTTTACTTGTAGTCTCATTTTGTATTGAATAATCTTGTCATCTGGCAGGATAGTTTGAATCTGCTTAAATCAAGGAAATAGCATCTCATGCCCATGGACCAGTAGTCCAAATATGCGTAAAAATGGAGCTCAGTTTTGCTTCTTCCTCGGGATAACGAGGGATTAGAGACATCACCATCTCATTGAAATCGGTGAAGGGGCGCTGGCATGCTAAAACCGCACTCTCAAAGGCAGGTGAATATGCCCCTGAGAACTTCCAGTTAACCTGCCATACTAGTCCATCTTCGTCTACGATTAGATTGTGAGGTCTGATGTCTGATGGGTGATGACGAACTTTTTGAAATCGAATGGCGATGCATCTTCTGGGACTTTCTGGCTTCCTTGCAAATATCAAGGCAGTGGTTAAGACGAGCTTGATTTTCCGAGTTGTCTGGAAAAATGCTAGTACCAGTGTAATCTGTATGCCCCTTGAAAATTTGAAATGGTCTTCCCCCAATAGGACCGGACTATCGAAGTTCGATGGATTGCATTTCTTTGATCATGTCGGCAATTTGTCCAGCAATATTATTCTTAGTATCCAGGGAAAGATCATCCCAGCAGCTATCCAATATTACTTGCGTACGCTGCTGCGTCGGGAGTAGGAGGGTTATCCCTCGGAGGGCTTTATACCCTCTGAGAACTAGAAACAAGAAGAAGATTGTTCTCTTACTAATGACGGTAAGGACTTATAACCTGAAGATACGGGGACGTGGTGGAGCAGGAAGAAAAAGACTTATATGTCTATCGAGAGAGGGATATAGGAGGGAGACAAGGCAAGTGAGGCCTTATATATAGTTATATAGAGATAACGCTATCTTATTAGAGATGAAGATGGAGAAACTCAATGCCAGAGATGTAGCTCTTTTATAGAGCCAGTCAAACGGTGGCCATTTCAAGTTGCTCATCATAACTCTGGAAAGACCTTAGGGGAGATCTCTGGATAAATATGATGAACTTACATTCTCATGTAAAAGTCCTGAAATGGCATAGTGTTTGTCTTTTTTGGCAGTATTCTGCTTTTGCTTATTTCCTGGTCTTGGTTGATTTGTTACTCTATACTATATCCATAGCTCCACCTATGTCTATTCAGAGTATCTACGACAGAACGTAGCGGCATCAGTAATATTGCCGAATTCGAACTGAATAAACATCCGTCTACAGGGCCAGCTATAATCTATTGTGCTATCAAAAAACATGTAATTCATTGAGCTAAACTGCAAAAAAAAAAAGTCTGAGTAGCATTCACAGGGCATTTACAACCCGTGGACTATAGGGAATATCCGCCATTAACATTGAGGCCAACTCCATGCATATAGCTCGCCATTGGCGATGCTAAGAAGACAAGAGCATCCGAAATCTCTTCAGGCTTTGCAGGTCTTCCGACTGGCGTTCTCTGGAATTCTGGATTCAGAGCCCCGTTTTCAATACCCTTACTTATCATCGGGGTATCAACCCAGCTATTTATTAATTAGTGATGCTGAATAAGAAACAAAGCTTCTGTTCGAATGGAAACTAACCCGGGACAAATGGCATTAATTCGAATTCCCATAGGAGCGTATACTCTGGCATCCTGCGAGATAGATCAAGTTAGTGTCTTACTTTAGGCGGGGAACAAAATGGAATGCGTACTGCTTTCGTAAGTCCCATGACGGCTGGGTTTCAGACAGTTAGCTTGAGAGACAAAAATCCCAGTATGATATATAAATGGAACTCACCATGTTTCGAAGCCACATATGGAGTAATGCCCAAAAAAGCAGGAGAAGAGAAAACCCCAAACATAGATGAAGCGTTAATTATCGTCCCACGTCCTTCTCGAACGCCCAAACTCCTAGAAAATATCAGCAAATGAGATAAAGGTAATCTCTAAATATCTTAAAAGATACGAAAGTTGATCAGAACCATACTCCTGCTGCAGCATCTGTGCTATAAGGTGCTTCTGACAAAGAAAAACACCAGTTTGGTTTATTTGAATCATTTCCTGCCACTTGTCCAAAGGCATCTCATGCGTGGGGATATGTGGCCCAGCTATTCCCGCACAATTAAGACCTATGTCAATTCTCTTGAATTCATCCACCGCCCGCTTGATGCTACCCTGAACAGAAACCTCATCTGCGACATCGACTTGGAGCAGGAGTGTCTCGATCTCAGGATAAGATGCTTTGAGTAGCTTCTGTGTCTCTTCTAGGCCTTCTTGTTTCAGATCTACAAGCGCTAATTTTGTGACACCATGTCGGGCGAACGCAAGTGCTGTAAATCTGCCGATTCCTAAAGATGAATATTAGATACTTGAATTTGAATTCGATAATTTGGAATACATACCGGATCCTGCGCCTGTGATATACGCTGTGCCACTTAATTTGAGCGCCATGTTGCTGTAGATAGTGTTTCAGTGCTGTAGAGAGTTGTAAGATACTGAGACCAGTTTGGAGCGGGGGATGAGGGGAAATTTAAGGACAGGATCAGGATTCATTGTGGTGGAGTAGTAGCAGGAATATAAAGCGGGGACTTAGTATCACGACGAACAGGCCGAGGAACAATTCTTTGACCTGTAGGTATGCCCGCGGATCTACTTTTTGCGGGGTAAACCTGTCTAGATTTACTATGACTAGATGTTACTCACTATTACCCACAAGGTCGGTGCGTATATTCATTGATTCCTTGTTGCGAGTTACAATAAAACCAATCACCGACGAGATGACTGCAGCGGCCGATGATAGCTTTATTGGGAAAAACCCCCTTGGTCCTACTATATCAATGTTTACTGTATAGTATACTGCTATCGTGATTTTATAGCGGTCAAAAAGAGCCAAAAATGGATTTTTCTTCTCAATGATCGCGGCGTATTCAACCTTGGATCTCTTATCAAGTAAGTTGTATAGATCCACGGTTATCGATAACGGGTCCCTGGCACGTGCTCGTTTCCCCCGCGGTTTGGATTTTGAACTTTCGAGCTTCAAACTTGACTCACGCTTGACTCGCTTCAGCTTGACTGAACTCTATTCTTCAATTCTTGCCATTCTTGTGAATATTATAATTCGAATCGTCGTACATATCCTCCCAAAAATGCTTCGAAACAAGCGTCAGAACACTCAACCCCTCGAGGAAACCGATGTCGCCCCTAAAACCTTCACCGATGGACTCCCACTACCTAAGCTGATCGCGTTCGACCTGGATTACACACTATGGCCTTTCTGGGTGGACACACACGTTAGTGCCCCAGTCAAGGCACGCGACAACAACTCTCGCGTAGTGGATCGGTACGATATACTCCTTCAAAGCTCGACAATCCTAATCAACTTCTAACCATAACCAAAAAACAGATGGGGTGAATCATTCGCTTTCTACCCGGCCGTTTCCTCCATCATCTATGCCTGCAATAGCCGCGCTATCCCCCTGGCACTAGCTTCACGCACCCATACCCCAGATCTAGCTCGCGATTTGCTCAAGACGCTACACATCATTCCTACCTTCTCAGACAACACTGCTGGACAAAGTCGCACAAGTCGTGCATTGGAGTACTTTGAATATATTCAGATCTTTCCCGCAAACAAAACCCAGCACTTCTCGCGAATCCATCAATCGAGCGGAGTTGAGTATGAAGAGATGCTGTTCTTCGATGATGAGGCACGGAACCGTAACGTCGAGACAGAGCTAGGAGTCACATTCTGCCTTGTTCGAGATGGAATGACTCGCGAGGAAGTAGATCGTGGTGTTTGGGCATGGAGAAAGAGAAATGGCATCAAGCAGAAGAGTGCAGATGGGGAGCAGTAACTGCATTGCTTTTAAAGGGGTCGGACATGATTATTTATGAATTAGAATAGAAAAGATACCCGGCGTAAAACTGAAAAATTATTTACTATGACTGATAATTTGCATAATTCCGAGTAGCTACTTTACCCTGAATAAAAATGTATAGAAGACGTCAAAATTTAAATGTGTTGATTGCGCAGCTCAATCTCCGCAATCCCCGAATCCTATCAACGCCGAACTCTCCACCTAACCTTCCTTCTACCTCAGCACTCCACAACACAACCCCAAACAAAAATGGCTACCTTAAAACCACCCCCAGCACAACATCGCTCCTCATCTTCCTCACACACATCAACTGGCCCACCAAAAGCCCCTTTAAAAGCCGACCCCTCCTCTACAATCGCCGACACAGCGGTCTTCCAGGGAACTTACCCCGTAACCATAGGCGCAAACACAATAATCCATCCCCGAGCGCGATTCTACGCGTACGAAGGTCCAATCTACATCGGAGATGGGTGCATAATCAGCGAAAAGGCCACAATAGGCGCAGCACCAACTAAATCCCGCTCACGCTCACGCTCGCCATCCCCATCCCCATCGTCATCAACATCACCATCACCTTCACAGAGCGGCGAGAGCACACCGACAGAAAGCCAAAACCAACCCACACAAGAACTCACAACAAGACTCTCCTATTTCGTTATAATAGGTCCACAAACTACAGTTCTACCTGGGGCGCATATACATTCCTCTACGCATGTTGAGGCTTTATGTATAATACACCGACGCGCGGATGTTGGGTCCCATGTTAAAATTTGTTCTGGGTGCGAGGTTCCGGAGTCTGGGAGCGTGCCGGAGTGGATGGTTGTTTGGGGTTCTGGGCTCGGTCAGAGACGGAGACGAGTGAAGGAGGCCAAGATGCCTGGTTTGGCTGTTTTGGTTGCGAGTCAGGTTGCGTTGAATCCTGTGCCTGGGGCTGCGCCGGAGGGGAAGGTCATTGAGGATGCGAGATTGATGGTTTTGCAGAAGGAGAGAGAGGCGCTTGCGAGGATGATTGTGCCTGCTGGTGTGGTGAGGAAGAAGTAAATTTGTCAACCTACTTGTCTATGACGTGTCCATGGGTGGAATGGATGTGAATATGGATGGTTTTAGGACCTTTTGGGCTCCTAGGTTGAGCATCTTATACGGTGGAAATCACACAGTGTGCCTATGGAGCCTTATGGTTTTTCTGATTACGATTGGTGTTGTTTTATACCCATTTTTATAGCTTTGGTCCTTCAGTATTGGAGACATGTTATTGGTACATAGAGTTATGTTTCTATATTAAAATTTGTTTACAGGCAGCTTAGCAGCAGGAAAGTAATAAGTTAAGGCGAATTAGCGTTCATTGAAAGGCCTCGCAAAACGCCATCATAATGACTAGATACAGTAAAAAGAATGAGACAAAAGAAATCAAAATGATGTTTAAAGACTTCAAGCAGCGGCTATGAAGTACATAAAATGAAAAACAAATGCATAGGGCAACGTCACAATACACAAGTACAGTAGAACAAGCACCATTCGTCTCCTAGGATGAACCTCCTCCTCGAGCTTGACCACCTCCACCGCGCATGCGTTTCCCGCCAGTAGCGTCATTGGCTGTCGCATCCGAACCCTCTTCCCGAGATCGCTTATTGCCTGTGGGAATGAATTGACGGGCCTGTATATTCAATGCACCGCGAGTGGCGGCACCACCCTGGCCTTGGTTTTGGGGCCCAGCATTCTGTCCACGGCCACGACCCCGGCCTCGTTGAGCGCCACCGCCACGTTGGGTTTGAGGTTGAGCTTGTCCTTGTGCTTGCTGCTGATCGTTCTGTTGCTGAGCATGGCCCGATTGGTTTTGGGCGCCGCCACGACCACCACGCGCGCCTCGTGCAATTGGCAATCCTGACTGAAGGGCTCGGAGCATTCCAGGTGGAGTATTAGCTGGGGGCTTTGTTGGCAAAGAAGCAGGCTGCTTTCCTTGTTGGTCGTTTTGTTGTGTCGGCTGTTGTGTGGGTTGAGCATCACTCTCTTGCGCCACTGCTTGCACCTGCTCTTCGGTTGCCGGAGCGGGAACCGGAGCCGGAGCTGGAGCTGGAGTTGGAGCTTGAACGGGAGCTTGAGCTAGAGGTGCGGCTGTTTGGTTATTGGGCTGCACGGGGGTCGGAGCAGGAGATGCCGTAGGTGGTGTTACCTGTGCAGTAGCAGGGGCAGGGGATGCTGGAGCAGGTGAGGCTGCTGCGAGCGGTTTTGGCGCAGCAGGTGCAGGTCGTGCACTCTTGGCAACCTCCCAAACTTCAACAACGGGTTTCTGGGGTGTGTCTTGAGCTGCTTTTTGAACAACCTCGACCTTGGCCTGAGCAGACTTGAATCGAGTTTCGCCCATACTTAGACGAGCAGCGTATTTTTTGTCGTTCAATTCAACGGCAGATTTGACTTTCTCGCCAAGCTCTGCGTCATGAGCCTTCTTGAGGGCCTCTCGTTCTTCGTTGAATTTGGTTTCCATGGCTGCCAATGCTTCCTGGTTGACATTAGGTGAGCCCTGAGCTTGAGCTTGGGCTTGTACATTCGCCTTCTCCTTGGCCACCTGGGCAAGGATGTTGTTTCGCACAATAGTCCGAATAGTTGGGTTTTTGGCCACTAATTCTCGCGCTTGTGTGTCAGTCAAGTCGGGCATCACCCATGTCTTGGATGGCGTAGCGGGTGCAGTCGTAGCAGCTCCAGGTGAAGCAGGTGCAGCAGATGCATCAGGTACAGCAGGTGCATCAGGTGCAGCAGTTTGATCTCCAGTAGAAGAAAGCTTACTAATTTCTTGCTGATGGGCAGCACGAATTTCTGCTAGTTTGGCATTGCCAATCTCCTTCACCTTGTCGACACGCTCCTTGATCTTGGCTTGCAAATCGGCATCCTGGGCACTAAGAAGGCCATCCTTTTTGACCAAGGCAGCCTCCAAACGTTGGATCTTCTCTTCAAGCTCTTTGATCTTCTTTTCATCGCCAGGAACAGCAACGGAGGTTGTAGCGGTGGGGAACTGGGAAGCGGGGGTTGGGTTCACCGGGGCAGTCTCAGATGTTGCCTCGGGTATAGTTGTTGGGGCACTTGGCTCTGGAAGACCGGCTGCAGTGTCTGCAGCGGCGCCGGCAGCGGCGGCAGCTGCAGTAGAGGAATTGGCAAGACTGGCCTTGCAGCTCTCTAGCTCGGACTTTGTCTTACTGAGCTGCTCCTCAAGAGCTTCCTTCTCCTGCACGGCAACAGCCAATTCAGTGGCCTTGGCATTGACACGTCCAGAAAGGTCCCTAGAACGAGCCTTGAATTGTTCGCTAAGCTTGTTTCTTTGCTCCGACAGACGACTTGCAATATCAGCCTCGTGGTTTTGAATCTGAACCTCGATAGCCGCTTTCTGCGTTTGAATCTCATCTCGTGCTGCCGTAGCTTCGTCGCGTTCCGTCTCCAAAGAAGCGAGCTTTTCCTTGAGGGCCTCCATCTCAGCTGGATCCACACGATCGTACTTCTGAAGAATATTTTGGATACGTTGCTGGTACTGTTCACGATCCTTTTGTAGCAACTGAATCTCTCCATCCTTGGCTTCTAGATTGCCCTCCAATTCATAAATCTTAGTCTCCAGAGGCTCGATCTTCTCACGAAGCTCACTGAGCAGAGCAGTCTTCTCGGCAAGGGCAGTTTCTGTCGACTTGACCTGATTGCGGAGGGTGACACTGCTCTCACGGAAAAGGTTGAGCTCCTCGAGTGTCTCCATAAGCTTGTTATGGTTGAGGGCATTGTGTTCGGTATCGGCTGCAGCTCGTCGTTGCTGCTCAAGTTTGAGTCGGGTTTCATCGAGCTGAGATTGAGTATATTCGAATTGTTGGCGTAACCGCTTTCCTTCTTGTGTGGAGAGATGGTATTGAACTTCCACGATTTCTTTCTCTCGGCGCAGGAACTTGATGACTTCTTGAAGACCTTCCAGGTTTGGAGCGGACTGATCTTCACTGTTATCGTCATCTTCGGCGGCGGTTGTACGGTCACGCTGAAGAGAAGAAATTTGTGTGCTGATATTCTCAAGTTGGGTATGCAATACAGAGTTCTGGTGGAGGACTTCCTCACGGCGTTTATGCAACTCACTCATCTCACTCTCGTAACGAGCTCTTTGCTCTGCCCAACTCTCCTCCTTTTGACTCAAATCCTTCTTATAGGTTTCAGATTGTGTTCGCAATTCAACCATCTCAAGTTTGAGTTGATTGGCGTCAGCACGAACTGTTTGAAGGTTTTTGGCAGCTTCAGCATGCTTGACCAACTCAGTCTCATAGTTTTGTTGGGCGTGCTGAGCGATTTCAGCCTGAGCTTTCAGGTCCTCTTGGTGGAATTGCGCAGCGGCAATCTGTCTCTCGTTGTCATCCTTGAGGCGAGTGATTTCCGATTCCAACGTGGCTTTTTGGTCTTCCAAGTGTCGTGTAGCTTCACCTTGCTCATCACGCAGCTTCGAGATCTCGGTGCTGGTAGTTGAAAGCTCTTGGGAGATCTCCTCGATCCGAGTCTCAAGATCCTGGATCTTCTTATCCTTCTCTTCAATGAGGCGGTCGGTTTCCTCTCGGTAGAGTGCGTTAGTTTCGGCTTCCGCCTCCATGCGCTCTTCGGTTGATTGGCTGATACTTCTATATTCCTCAGCTTGCTCTTTCGCGTGAGCCAGCTCATTCTTGGCAAGGTCGAGGTCACGCTTGAGTTCAGAGACCTCAATTGCGAGTTCTTGCTCACGAGTCAGACCACTGCCATCCGCTGATTCTTGGGTAGCATCGGGAGCCTCGGCTGGGGCAGCAGATACGCTAGGGCGCGATTGAATAACTGAAAGACGCTCTTCGGCACTCTTGAGCTCGACAGTAAGCTCGTCCACGCGTGACTGTAGATGATCACGAGTGGTCTTGATAGCAACTAATTCCTCTCTGACTGAGCTGAGACTAGTCACCAGATCATCAATTCGTTTTTGACTTTGTTCGTGGTCATATTCACGACGCATAGAGGCCTTCTTCGACTCTTCCATCTCATCATTCAACTTCCGTTTAGTCGCCTGCAATTCAGATTCCAAAGTTTCCACACTAGATTGGAGTCTGCGGCGCGTATCACTGTCTGCATGTTCACGCTCATTGAGGATTGTCTGAAGGTTGGCGTTCAAGGAATCCAGTCGGCTACGCTCATTGCGCAAATTCTCTGCATCCTCAATCAATCTCTTTTCGATATTCTTCCAAAGATCCTTTTCAGCCTTCAAGTTTGCGTTCTCCCTTTGCAGACTATCGACTAAGCCCTTAGCTTCAACTAAGTCTTCAGCAGCCTGCTGGGTGCGAAGATCTTGACGGTTGGCGTTTTCGAATAAGGTCGAGTAGCGCTTAGAAAGGTCGCTATTTTCGGTCTTAAGCATGTTAAAGTTGCTTTGAAGGAGCTCGGCTCTCTGAGAAGCAGCAGCAAGCTGGCTGTTAGATCGGCTGACCTCGCTCAAGAGCTCGCTATTCTTGCGCGAAATTTCGTTGACTTGCTGGCGCAAAGCCTTGTGGTCTGTAGCTGTTTCCTCGCGGAAGGTGTCAAAGTGTGCTTGAACCTTGCGCAATAAATCAGCATAATCAGTCGAGTCTTTCGCTTGACTCTCAGAGATGGCCGGAGGAACAGCGCCAAGAGGCATTGACTGAGATAGTACGGAATTATCACCGATATTTTGTCTTCGGTGCATCAGCATACTGCGGAATGTATCACGCTCCTTAACGTAGCTCTTAGATTGAGCTAAGAGGTTGGCAACTTCGTCACGGTAAGTCTGCACGCGGACACGGAGGTCCTTGAGCTCTTCTGCCTCTTTCTGTCGTGTGGCACTCTTAACCTGGGCCTCTTCACCCTCCATCTTGTCGCCTAGTTCTCGGAGCATACGACGAAGAGTGACGTTTTGCTCTTGGAGATCGTGGAGATCTTTGAAAGTGGTCAAGTGCTGGCTAATGAAACGGCCAGTTGAGTTCAAGTCGACCGATGACTCTTCAATCTCCTGGCGAGCGATCTTTTCAAGTTCCTCACGATCATAGTCTTCGCCTTGCTTGGAAACTGCTACTTCGAGAACGAGGACCTTGACTTGAGAGCTCAGATCCCGGAGCTGTTGACGCAGAATGTCACCTTCACGAGCCAATCCTTCCACCTGGCCCTGCCATCTTCTTGCTTCCTTCGTTGCCTCATCACGCTCCTTGCCCGATGATTCAAGAAGTTGAGACATCTCCATCACAGCATGCTCAAGACGGCTGTGATCCGCACGCAGTTCGTCGATCTCTGGCTTGCTCGATTCAAGCTCTTGGACCATCTCGTCAAGAGTCGAGCGCAATTCTTGGCTAGCGCGTTGCTCAGCTGCAAGCAAGGATCGCATCTTGTCGTATTCAGTGTACATCTGAGTGAGTGTAAGCCCTCCCTTAGTTCGGGAGGCTCGTGGAGTGAAGGTGCTTCCTGGGGTTCCAGGTCGCATAGGCGTAGAAGGCGCCATGCCATTGATGGACCTGGCAGGGCTCATAGAACGGTTTCGAGCACCCTCAGATTCAAGTTGAGAGATGTTCAACTCAAGCTCGGCAACACGACGCTCAGCGGCCTCCTTATCATTATGTTCAGACTCAATCTCAATGCGTAGGCGAGAAATTTCTTCAGCTGCATCAGCAGTGGCCTTCTCCAAAGACAGTTGACATTCTTGGGCACGCTGCTTGGCGTTCTGTGCAGCAGAGCCTTGGAGCTCAGCAAGTCGATTGGCGCTGTCGAGCTCATTGCGGAAAGATTCTGCCGCCTGGATAGCCTCCTCCTTCAATTGTTGAATGCTTGACAAAGATTCTTCGTATCGCTGCTCGGTTTCGTCCAGTCGACTCTTCAACGAATTTTCGCTGCGGCGTAGCGCATCAATGGTAGAGTTGGTCTCCTCATTTTCACGTTGAAGCTCAGAGATACGGGCGTTCTTCTCCTTTCGGAACTTGATGTGGTCGGCGTTCTTAGTCTTCAATTCAGTCTCAAACCATTCGTTGTTTTTCTTGGTAAGATCCAGCTCTTGTTGAAGGCTTTGTTCGCGGAACCGTGCACTAGCGGATGCAGAGTTGGCGTTTTGAAGATTCTGTTCGGCGGTCGAAAGTTCGCGGCGTAGTTCGATGGTCTTCTTGTGCTGTGAAGACAGCTCCTCGGCGAGTTTGTCATGTGCACTGGATTTGGACTCTAGTAAACGGAGTGTGTCGCGGTTTGATTCTTCGAGGGAGGAGATGCGCGATTTCAAGGAGCTCACTTCGCCCTCGTTGGAGGTGGAGGATGATTTGAGAGTCGAAATCTCAGCTTCTAGTGTAGAGCATGTCGTTTCTGTCGCCAATGTCAGTCATTGTGAGGTCAGAATCAAAAGTTCACTAAGAACAATTTACCAGCTTCGTGAAGTTTCTTTCGTAAATCTTCAACTTCAGTATGACCCTTCTCCACTGTCCCTTTCAGCACCTTGATCTTAGACTCGTTACTACGCACTGCATTCTCAAGCTCGACCTCCAAACGGAGCTTATCAGACTTGAGCTCGTCGTATTCGTGCGCCTTTGTTGTAATGGATTGAAGAAGCTGGTTGATGAGGCCAGCCGTGGGAGCCTCAACGAGTGATGAAAGGGCGGTCTCAGACAAAGAGAAATGTGATGATAGGTAAGGAAAGTCAATTGCAGTTTCGGCCATGATGGGCGAGAAAAGAAGCAGCTAGAGCTGCGAGTTTCTAGTGGCCTTGTATCGGTTTGGGTAGCTCACTCGTCGTTTCAAGGTTTCTGGAACGCGCTGCGAACAGCTCTGGGAGTATACACAGCGCCGCCAGTAAAGGCCTAGGCCATGGCGAGAACTAGAAAAGAGTGGAATGAGACAATAAGACGAGATGCGACGCAAGAAAAAGAAGTTGGAAATCAATTGCGTTGGGGAGAGCAAGGTCAAAAGCGAGATGCTGCCGTGCCGCGACGAGCATTGGGTTGCGTTCGTCAAAGGCGGCAGCCGGCTCTGACATCACATGACCGTCGTAGTTATGGGGGCCCATAGCGATCATCGGAAAGAAACTCATCTTTGCCTGTTTTTGCCTGGCAGAAAATCACGAAGCCTGCCATACAATGACTTCGGGTTCTATTTAGGCCCGTGGCATATCGCCAAGTTAAGCTTCAATCCTGCTATGTTAAGGTATATCTTCAAGATGTTATCTTTCTTTCTTTTCGAATGAACTTACTAGTAAAATTCAGGATACTTCGAAAACCCACATTTCTCCATTTGCGTTTCTATATATTCTTCCAATCATTTTTCCACTTGTCTTTCCAATCGTCTTTCAAATCATTTTCTGATTATCCTACTAATTCTCTTTCTGGTCGTCCTTCCATATTGTTTCTTATCGATGTAGAGCTTACAGTACAGTTAGCGGTGTAATAGGCGGTAAAGGCTAACTGTGCCCAAGGGTTTTTTTCCCGATGATCGCTATGGGCCCCCGTAGACCGTCCGTCCCATTTCTTTGGAGCCTCCGACCTCTTGAAGTTTCCCGTCTTAAACTCACCACACCCTTTGCCTGGCTTACTGCAACAGAGCAAGGCGACCAACTCGCAGGTCATATCTGCATTCGTCACATCTTTGCTCAGAGCCGATCCACGCTGTGCTTTATTGCACCGCTCGAAGACCTCTTATGATCGCCGATTAAATCTGAGCTCGATTCAGCTCCCAGCGACTCACCTTTCTCAATCCTCCCATCTCGACTACCTCGTCTGGGTTTATCCCATCATCTCCGCCATCATGTCCTACCTTCAAAACCAGCTCAAGAACTTCAACGCCAGCGTTATGGAATCCGCGAACCGCATGCCTCAGCAGAGGCGAATGGGCGGTAACCAGCCTGCGTCCGGCACCAGCTCACAAGTCCCATCCTCCGCGCCGACCCCACCTTCCTCGACCGATCTGAAGAAGAAGAGACATGATCCCGATATCGTCTACTCTCAGCCAGCGAACACTGGCACGGGTAAGGATATCATGACCCAGGTGCTTTTTGCGATCGAACACATGAAGAACAAGGGCGTGCCTCTCAGATTCAGCGATATCATATCATATCTGTCTCTTCAGCACCGTGCACACGACCAAGGCTATGTCCAGGCACTCCGGAGCATTCTGCGAATGCACGAAAAGGTCGAATATGACCCAAGCGGCGCAGACGGCGAAGGCACCTTTGCCTTTCGTCCCCCTCACAACATTCGTAACCCGGAACAACTGCTTCAAAAGCTACAGGCCCAAACAACTGCAGCTGGAATGAGCGTTCGGGAGCTTCGAGAGGGATGGCCGAATGTCGAGGAGTCTATCAATACTATGGAGAAAGAGGGGAAGTTGCTTGTCACTCGAAACAAAAAGGATGATCACGCCAAAATGATTTGGGCAAATGACCCGTCGTTGATCGAGAACTTTGATACCGAGTTCAAGGCTATTTGGGAGAAGATCAAAATTCCGGATGCGCAGGCTGTGAAGGAGGCTTTGGAAAAAGCAGGTATTACCCCAACCAACAAAAACAAGGTTGTCAAGGCTCGTCCTAAAGTTGAGAAGTCTAAGCCCAAGAAGCCTCGACGGAGTGGGAAGACGACCAATACCCACATGATGAGCATTCTCCGCGATTACTCACACCTGAAACGGTGATCATTTCGCCTTCAAGTTTTTTTTCTGCATTGCATCGGCGTTTTGCTTCTTTTCTTCCTAAATTTGATAGATACCCAAAACCAACAAATGAAATGCTTGAGTTACTGGAATTTTCCAAAGTATTTGCATACATGTAACAATCGAGTTTATATAAATCTGTAAATACTAGTCTCTGTGAATGCTGCTATAGAAGCTGCTATAGAAGCTGCTAGTTGCGCCAAGGCACACATGCTTACATGCTATGTATTCCTTCAAGTATGTAGATCACTAAGACCTCGAGTGATTCCAGGGTTAAACTTTGAACTACACATACCTGCCATCTCACAGTATACGGGCATATTTCAATAATTCTCATAGTCTAAGACTTTTAGTAATTCATCTAAAAAGGTATCCAGAAGAACAGCTAAGAAGTAGATAGGTACAAAAGAAAAAATATACAACGCATCAAATCAAACCAAACCCAACAACCCCCCAAAACTTCTTAATGCGTCCCATTCTTCTCACTCTTATCCAAATAACTAACCAAATCCTCAATCGTACAAACCTTAATCCCCCACTGCTTCCCAAACGCCAAACAAGCATCCCTCCGCATCATCCCATTATCACCCCCAATCTCCGCAACCCCCTCAACAACCTCACCACCCTCAACAAGCTCAGCAATCACACCCGCAGGCACCTTTCCAGCTAGCCGACAGAAATCAACTGCCGCCTCGGTATGGCCCTTACGCTCCCGAACCCCACCAGCACGTGCCTGGAGCGGGATGATATGGCCCGGACGACGGAATGAGTCAATCTGCGCGGAGGGGGAGGCAAGAGTGCGGCAAGTTAGGGCGCGGTCTTGCGCGGAGATTCCAGTTGTTACGCTGTCGTCGGCGGAGTCGATTGTTACGGTGTATGCTGTGCCCTTTGGATCGGCGTTTTCGGTTACCATTTGGGGGAGGGCGAGGCGGGTTGCTAGGTCTGGGGTTATGGGGGCGCATATTAAGCCGCTGGTTGTGAGGTGGTTAGTATTTTTTTATCATTGGAGTTTTGTTTTTGGTTTGAGAAACGATCAGGGTAGAGAGGAGCTTTGTATAGATGCTATTTGGGGAGGGAAGCCGAGATTTGCCGAGACAGATACAAGCTTGGATTTGCTTACCTTGTATGGCGCACCAAGAATGCCATTTGGGCTGCGGTGATGGAATCAGCGGCAATTATGAGATCGCCTTCATTTTCGCGGTCTGTGTCGTCGAGGACAACAATGAATTCCCCATTCTCTGTGGTGTGGTGAGTCACTGTTAGCTAAATCATTCAATTGAGCCATGTAAAAGACTGATGCGTAAATCCAAGAAGGTGACGAAGTGCACTGAGATCAACTCACTAAAGGCAATGATGGTATCCTCAATGGAATCAAATACTGGGTCTGTAGAGGCAGGCATCCTGACTGAATGCGGGTATGGTATGGATATGGAGTAATTTGCCCCTCACTGCAATTGTGAGATTGAATTGAAGAGTGTATTGGTGAATAAGAATTGCGATGCGATGCGAGGTAGATAAATAAAAATCTCTTGAAATCACGCAAAAGAAAAGTGAAAAGGAAAAGAAAAGTATTAGGAATATTTGCCTTCGGTAAAAGTCCGTAATCGCTGACAAGCCTATTAGAAATGCTCGTGATAATCATCGGACGCGGGGAGCCGGGCGGTGAAGGCGCAACGGGCGTTCGAATCGGAAGGCGGAAGACGCGGCCAAAGCGCAATGCTCGGAGCCTCGGATGTATACTTCTCACTTGGGTCCGGATTAGTCATAGAATGGCTGGAGTCTTTTAGCTTAATAAAGGGAAAAGAAAGGAAAGGAAGAAGCGGAAAATGGAGCTAATTGTTGTTTTGAAATGTGGGAAACTGTGTGCATTGAAGCCGGGTGTCCACTCTTTACTAAACTAGGTAGAATCCACGAGGTACCTGCTTCAGATATATGCATGTAATATTGAGCTTTGGGAAAAGCAAAGAAAATTGAAGATCAATGGAAACTGGCAGACGGCTAAATCGGTAGAAGTTTATATGCTTCTAGGAAATGTGTTGGATGCGAAGGCGGCAGATGAAATAACCATTTATCAAGACCAAAAATTCACGAGGACCACAAACCCAAAGGATAACGCCAAATATTAACTCAAAGGATGAAATAAATTAGCCCATGCTCTCTGTCCCCATCCATCTGACTTCATCAGCTTGTATCTCAAGCGCCCGACGCATAGTCTCTTCATATCTCCGTTCTTTCTCCCATTCATCTCGTTGTTTGAGACGCATAGCTTGACGAGTCTCTTCATCAACCTCAGCATGCATGAAAACATCATCGTCAACATCAACATCCTCTTCTTCAATGTCCAGGTCTGCCGGGATAGAAAACTTGATTCGTCCAATCCGCTCTCCTGTCCAAACCAGCAGTTCATCACCAGTAAGATTCCCACCCGTTGGAAGGATTTTCCGCGCAACTTCACTGCTTGTATTCCCTTGTTCAGAACTCGGCCATAGTCCACGAGGTTGTGGGGATTGGTTCCCAGTTCTAGCTCCAGATTGTCCGGATATGAATGAGTCGCTGCATCTAGAATGTGAAACTGCTGGTTCGGATGTATTTATGTTCCAGCGACGGACTTCTGTGCGGCCGTTTCGCTCTACCCATTTGATATTTCCTTCGGAATCTGAGTAGACGAGGCGGTTTCCATGGGATGCGACGGATAGAAGCTTGGAGCTGGCTGCACTTTGTCGATTCTTATGTCGTGGTGTTAGGGTAGATGACCTATCCGATGGGTTGGTTTCGGAGTTTCGGGAGGACGAGCTTAGGTCGTATAGCTCGAGGGATCCTCTACCATTGTAGTCACCACATGCTACAACAGTATGTGATGCAGGGTAATCCGAGTCTTTGAAGACAGGGAATCGAGGCTCTGGGGCAGATGTAAGGCCGCAGAGACGGCCGCCAGAGTGAACTGTACTTTGCAGGCGGGGGAAAAACCGACGATCATAACAGAGAATGCTAGGGAAGCGGCCAGCGAGAAGAATACTATTTACATTCGGGGCGGGTGGGTGAAGGATAGAAAGAGGACCGGGTTGAAATAGCGGGGCATAGTTAGTATCATCTGAGGGTCCGGGACTGCGAATTCGATGGGGAGGCAGTCCATTTGGTTGTAGCTTTAACAATGGCGAGTCTGGATGAGGAAATATGTTCAACTCAGCAAGGGATGAGACTGAATTCTTCTCACAGCGCAAACTGATCGCCTCCTCTTCTTCAGTGGCAGATAGTCTGGAGTCGTATATTTGTAGACTCAGTGTGGTGGCTAGGGTTAGTGGAACAGAATAATCGGTTTCCTGTGAGAGGGCAAAGATGGACCATGGATAACGCTGCTGCGAAATCACCTTCAAAGTCTCTAGATCAACTTCATTGAGGACATTCCCAATAGCAAGATACGCTCGATGCCGAAAAGAGTCTACACTCACACCCTCTCCAAGGTTGATAAAGTCCAGCGATGATTTGGAAGGAGACAGTTCTCTGCGTCGAGAAAGGTTCTTCATGAGCAGACCTGGTTCACTCACGCCAAGAATGTCTCCTTTGCTTGATTGCGAGTCGCCAGTATGAGAGTGATTGAGATCCCAAATACAAACACTTCCGTCTTCAAGCGGGGCGACAACTTTATTTCGTCTGGCTGAGCTCCAGTCTCTTAGCAACCCCATGCCTTTAATCTCATGGTGGGTATGCCTTCGACCTTCACCCTTGTGAGCCACAGGTTGCTGAACCCATGATAAAGACATGGGCCCATGACGGGCAATATATTCCGAGTACCAATCGACATGTTCCCCTTCAATGGACGAGTCCCACTCCGACGCCGCCCTTGATCTCTCACTCAACGACACACCCCTCGACTCGTCCAGCAAAACATCGTTCGGCTGTGGCGCAGGTGGTTGAATAAGATCACGCAAAGAGCTCTGACCCAATGTACTCAACGATGTACTAGTGGGATGATTGAGGAGGCTCTCGGTCGTCCGACCTACATTGCGATGAGGATGTAGGGCAGCCCATGAATATTCATGACAGTGTAATTTCCATAAATTATTGTCGCGGGCAAGATCGAATAATTTTTTCGAGACTGATTGAAGCTGCACCTTCTCGGTCGGAGTGAGAACTGGTTATCGTGGACTTTATCAGCGGGCGGGGTCACGGTTTTCTCTAGATGTTTGTGTTGCATAAAGGAATGCATGTAGGTGCGGGGAGATGTTCGGGGGAGGGTCGGCGGCGCTTACGGTCGATGATTTTGGTTAGGATCTCTACCGGCAGCTTGTCCATGAGGGAGACTTTGGATATTGTAGCATCGGGGGCATACAACAAGAGACAAGGGGATTCTGAGTGGAGTTGTTTTGTTTCGCATGAAGAAAGTTCCAGCCGCTTTCCCCGCGATCTGCAGTAGGTATCACGTGGCCCAGTACGGGCAGTGAGTGAGGAGTATGGTGGATTTATTTTCTAAAGCTTCGTCTTTATGAAAGGTTAGACGTTACTGAACCTAAATCGCCGCATATGCAGGGCTCAGATTCCGGAGCTTGCATATATGGTCCTGTTAGTACATAACGCTAGCAAAGGTAATATCAATTGGCTGTATAGCTGTGGATAGGTTGACAAAAGTCCCCGGATATGATTTCCAGATCTAAATAACAATGAAATAACGAAGTCTATGAGATAAAAAAAAACCCAAATATATACAGTAAACAGTACACAAAGATTGAGACACCCTTGATCTGTGGTTGTCTTGTTTTAACCAGGGAGTTTGTATACCCCACAGAAAACGCCCAGCCATAAAGTGTTCCCCCACCAAGTCGTAGTGGTCATCAGGGACATCAATCCAACAGATTATGCATTAAAAGCCAAGCGTAAAACAATTATAGTACAAGTTGAGATCATTCATCGGGTTTGAAAACCGCATCCTTGCAAAGAATAGTCACCTTTTTGAAGAAGCGGCGCCATTCCAACGGGTCACCTTTGACCTTGACAAATTCAACTTCAAATATACCCTCTGAGACACACTCAATGAGTACTTTGCCCTGAAGTTGACACAAGCGGCCATCTTTCGTAACCACACGGATCATTGCGGATGTATCTCCAGCACTGACAGCAGGCACAGATGGGACGGGAACCCCAAGCCGATGAAGAGCTTCGCAAATGAGAGGGACAAGAAGCTTGAGCTCCCAAGCCGAGTAAAATCGGGTCATGGAACGAGAAGGAATAATGTCCTGGAACTTCTGGGCATTTTGCGTTCGGCTTACCGGCACGGATGGCTGCTGGGAAAATTGGGACATGGATGGCTCGTCCTCCAAGTGGTTGGCCGCTGCAGCATCTTGAGTATTATATAGTTTCCCGGTTGGTTGGGTAGAGGAGAAGGCACCAGAAGGCACATTTGGCGCATCCCAGTCCATGACTACCCCACCACCCAGCATTTCAGGTTGTGTAGATGAGAACCCCGAGCCGTCGCCATCCATATCCACATCCATATCCATTGCGTCAAAGCTTCGACTAGCGCCTTTCCGTTTCTGGGAAAGTGGATCTTGACTAAAATCGATATGCAAAGATTCAAACATAGATGTCGCAAGATTGATAGGATCTCGTAGCTTCCCATCGGCCGACAGGAATTTATTTGATCGTGTATACCACGGGTGTCTGCGGACATCTTCCAGCGAGAACCGATTTTTGGGATCAACTGTCAACATGCCTCTCAGCAAAGAGAGAGTAGCAGCAGGAAGCTTCTGCCATAGCTCATCTGTTGTACGTGAATTCTTGGCCCGGTATTCGTGAAACTCATAGCTATCATCAGTTGGACTATCCCACGGCGTATTACCCGCTAACAAGACGAAAAGGACAATTCCGCAAGACCAGATATCAACCAAGTCTGGATGGTACCCGGATCCTTTCGTTTGGCCTCGAGTACTGCAAGTGATCACCTCAGGCGCGATATATGGTGGGCTACCACAGAATGTGGAAGATAATTTTCTAGACCCCTTGTATTCGAATAGCGCTGCCAGACCAAAATCCGCGATCTTCAAATTACCGTCTGAGGTCAGAAGCATATTCTCTGGTTTGATATCTCGATGCCCAACACCCTTGGAATGCATAAAGCTCACAGCGCTGACGAGTTGTGAGAAGTAAACGTGGGCAATGTCTTCTCCGACACCCTCATCAGCCTCGATTTTATCGAAGAGATCTCCTCCCTCGGCCAATTCCATGGCAATCCACCGCCAGATGGAATCTTCGCCTGTTTGGAAAAAGCTGATGATATTATTATGTCCGGTGACATGCTTGTGCACAGATACTTCTAGTGCTAGCTGTCTGGCGCTGATCTTGCCATGTTTTGCGGCATATTCCTTGTGAATGTATTTGACGGCGAAAACGGGGTTATCGGTGTCTAAGGGACAAGCTTTCTTGATACTATACGGAATGAGAAAAAAAAGTTAAATTAGGATTTTGATATGCGTTGATTGTAAAAGTCATGGTTGACTCACCAGGCATAGGCACCTTGACCAATTGTCTTTGAGACAATGCGGAAAGGTACGTCGTTGGGCAGAGGAGCCAACTGTGAGTGCTGCATTTTAGGCACCGAGTATCACAGGAGATGGATGGCTTTAGGACCTTGACAAGATCAGATGAAAGCACGCATTTCAATCGAATAGGATGGCTTGGAAGGGAGATGCAAGGGCAGTGAAGCGCGCCGAGCGGGACGCGAGCGCGGGGCGCCACTTAGACCTGTTCGGGAAATTTGTTGATTCTGCCTAGACATGGTATCTTATTATCTTATCTACGGGATACAATCATGATTATGGAGTTATACTGATTAAAGTTAAATGGTATTGGACTAGAATATAGAAAGAAAAAACTTTGTTTGGGACCAACCTGGTCTCTTAAGCCCCAGATTGATATCTGATCGATCTGTTGCATCTGACCCGCATGTTGGTTCCCCTCCAGATCGCACTAGTTGGTCCCATAGTATTAGATGGGATCAACCTATGATGTATAGACTCGAACTGTCTATCTTATGTATCCATAAATTTGATTCAAACTATAATTATACCAGCAAAACCCGCAATGACTCTCAATGACTCTCAATTAATTTTTATGATAAGTCTGTGGTTACTGCAAGGCTACCTACCGGTCTCATGCATACATAGTACATGTACATCATAGCCCAATATGAGATAGATATGAACACGAACTCCAGGATCTACACTATATTTATTTATTTTGAAATCCTCCAGAGAATACTTGAACATCAGATCAATGAATTTGAATTTACTGATCCCCCACCCCAAGGTCTATGATAAATAATCAGACTTATTTGTTTCGTTTGATTGCGCTAAGCGGGGAACGATGGTTGCCCGGCAAAGAGCCCAAAAGTAAACAGAGAGAAACACCGCAGTTTCTCTCTCCCCATTCGTCTGCTTTGTCTTCCTCTTTCTCCTCTTTCACCAACACAATCCTCCGCACCCTCCTCATTGGTTTCGTCTTGAAATATCCGAACTTCTTTTTGAACTATATTACCATCTTCATTTTTTCCCACTCAAATCCTCCCGCCTACCTCTTCCTACCGTGGTCACTGGTGGGTCTGCTGTTTTCGGATCCGTCGACATTCCAGATAGCAACCCTCGTGCTACAGTTACTCGCATTCCAACCACGGCCCGGAATCCGCGGAATTGTCAAGATCACTTCTGTTTTAAAGATCTCCTAGCTGGACCCTCTCTCATAATGGACTACACCATGGAAGATACCCAGAACTCAGCCCCAGACGCATTGGAAGCTACCAAGCTGAATTCCACCACCCAACGCAATGACACGCAGAGCGTCACTAAGCGGTTAGTACCTGATACCCCTGCATGATGCCTAGACCTACAGCTAGGTCTAGCTCCAGGACTTTTACCGCCAAGTTCCAATGATGAACTAACCCGCGTCTTTCTTCTTTCTTTAGCCTGCAAGCTGAGTTGATGCAGCTCATGCTCTCCCCATCACCTGGTATCTCCGCTTTCCCCGATGCCGATGGTAACCTCCTCTCCTGGACGGCGACTATCACCGGTCCGACCGAGACTCCCTACGATGGCTTGACTTTAAAACTCTCCTTCGCCTTTCCCAACAACTACCCCTACTCGCCTCCGACGGTCCTATTCAAAACCCCAATCTACCATCCTAATGTCGACTTCTCGGGCCGGATCTGTCTGGATATTCTGAAGGACAAATGGAGTGCCGTATACAATGTGCAGAGTGTGTTGTTGAGCTTGCAAAGTCTTCTCGGCGAGCCGAACAAGTAAGTAGCTTCATCAAGACACTTGACTCGAATTAGAGATGGAATACATACTAACTATACACACAGTGCGAGCCCACTGAACGCTCAAGCAGCTGAAATCTGGGACTCCGACCAAGAAGAATTCAAGCGTCACGTATTGGCAAGACACAAGGATCTGGACGATGACTAAATTCGCATATCACGTTTGAAAATGCGTTGGGCATCGGTCGGCGAGCGGGATCATCCCCTCCCAATCCACTGGATTGGTGAGATTGATGCGGGACGAATGCATACTGGCCGGTCCATTGGGAATGGAGTTTTTTTTAATGCTTGGGGGTTCGTTGCCATCGGTTTCTTTTCTGGCTTGTTATCTTTATTTCACGCATTCAAGTACAGGCGTGTGCGGCCCTGGGTCTGCAATTGTAACCTTTTGTCTGTTTCATTCTGAACGAGTCCATCCGTCTTTGTCATACGTTTGTTATAGGTTGAGTCTGATGAGATTAAGGACAGTGAAATTTTACATCACCCTATATGTTTCATATATGAAGGTCAATCTGGAACTGCACATGTAGAATAAGCCGCGAGTGCCATGATGATGTTCAAGATCGAGATGTTCGTCCCATAGGACGGTATTCACATCCTCTAGATACTTCGCTCGTATTCCCACACTATACTTTCTTATATCTATTGAAACGGGCTAGCAAACGACCAGAAATGACCAATTTTTGACTAGCACATAGTTAACTTGTGTTCAAATGACCCTATGCATATACCCGTACCTACAAAATGCCTGTGGCTGGAACCTACCCATAAAGCTTGTAACCCCCCAGACTCAGCATTGCTTGTTATCGACAACTCGGTATGAGTTCTTTCATAATAGTCAGCATCCATCCATATTCATCGAAATACTGACTCTTTCATCAAATGATTAGATCAACTCACAATCGTCTGAACATCCCCATTCTCATGGATAATGACATGAGCATCTGAAGCCCTTTCGGAAAGATGTGTATTCCACCCATCACAGTTGTTTCCATGATATCCACAAATCCAAAGTTTAGGATTGGTAAACATATCAGGGTACCCGTTCATGCAATCAGAACCAGCAACAGGTCGACAGGGCTTTGGACCATTTCCTTCAACTTCAAGTTTACCGGATGAAACGGAGTTGGAGAAATTGTGCTGTTATTTTCAAAAGCCGGAGTCAAAATATCATGATCTACGCTTAAGGAACTTGAAATTCAAGTTGAGAATTGAACCATCGAGACTTGAACCTACGTTATAAAGGGCTACTAGCTAGCCATCATGCTGAATGGATTCAGCTTCGTCTTGGAATTTTTGTGATGCGAGGAACTTCGGGCAGGATACATTAGCAATGCTTGAGTTGCTTGCGAAGTAAAGCCTTGCGGTCAAAATGAGAAAAGTCCCGGGAGAAGTGGCTTAAAAACGCATAATGTATACTACATGACTGGAGGATAATATCAAAGCGGTTAAACTCCGAGTCCAAGTCCAAGTCCAAGATTATAATGAATGTAAACTTCAATACTTGGACATTCGAGGTGTCTCTTCTTGAGGCGAAAGGCATATATTTTATGTTCATGTATCCAGATAATGATGAAGCATATCTAAATACAGTACTTGCTTTCTGGCTGATACGGTCAGGCGTACTATTGTACTCCGAGACAAGGCTGTAGTGTATCTGCACTTCCTAGGCAGCTATACTTTGCCAGTTCGACTGTTTGCGATGCGTTCAGTCTTCCGTGCTGCTCAAGATTTGAGCTTTGCGCGATTTTGTAATGATTCGGGGGTTATGGGGAGAGGGTGATAGATGATTGAGGCAAAGCAACAGTTTTCAATATAGTGCAAACGTTTGGATTTTTATATGTAAGGTGATGTCTATTAACACCATTATATAAGGCGAAGTATTGACAACAGCTCATGCAATGCAAAATAACAACCTCAGCCTATGAGGAAACTCAAGAGGAACTCGAACTAATATACATCTTCTCATCCGTGATAAGCATACCCGCAATAGCTGCACTGGTAAAAGTACTCAAGGCACCGGTGATCATAGCACTCAATGCAACGCGAGAGATATCAGCATTACGACCAGGGGAAACTTGCGCCAAGACACCAATCTGGTTGCCTAGGGAGCCGATGTTCGCGAATCCACATAGGGCATAAGTGACAATTAGACGGGAGCGGTCAGAAAGATTGGCATACGCAGCATCTGTTGTGAGATCTTTGTATGCGACAAACTCATTCTATGAAACGATTAGTGAATGCTATCTTCAAGGTAAAGTATGGATAAGCGAAGGGGAGAGAATACATACCGAGATAACTTTCAGACCAATCAACTGACCAACTTTGAGTAGGTCATCGTTGTCTCGGGAAACACCAAGCAAGAAAGCAATTGGGTAGCAAATATAGCCCAGAATAAGCTCAAGGGTCAATGGTGGCTCATTGATGTTCAAATAGCGGCCCCACCAAGTCAGAAGGCCGTTAGCAAGACCAATCAGAGAGATGATACAGAGAAGAGTAGATGCCATCATAGCCGCGATCTTAAGACCGAGCCAGGCCGCAGCAGAGAATGCATGCAGGGCATTCTCCGCCTTGTGTTCCTCGTTATCTGGGATGACGACCCGACCAGCTGTTAAGCTCTCTTCTTCTTCGGGCCAGCGGATCTTAGAGCAAGCCAACGAGGCGGGAATACTCATAACACACGAAGAGACCAAGGCCTGAGAGCTGACACCCATAGCAATGTAAGCGATAAGCACACTACCCGCGATGGTTGCAAAGCCAGAAGTCATGACCTGATGAATCTCGGCGAGAGTCATATGTTCGACGAACGGACGGACAAGCATAGCGGATTCACCCTGGCCGATGAAAGGGGATGCAGCAGCGACAACTGCCTCCGCTCCAGATACACGCATACTCCAGAAGAAGAACACAGCAAACTTGGTGATAAACCATTGCAGGACACCGAAGTAGTAGAAGAGCTGGACAACAGAGACGAAAAAGATAATGGCAGGTGTGGTGGTGATGAGGAACCAGCTGCTTGGGGTGATGGGGGTCTTCAAGTCATAGAAGTCTTGAGCAGTCAAGAAAACGACACCATCGGAGGAAAAGCCGAGCAGATCACGAGCTAGGGTAGCGACGAAGTTAAAAATATCGTAACCTGCACCACTCCGAAGCACAAACAGGGCAACAAGGAACTGAACGAGCATTCCCACGATAACAGTGTGCCAGAGGATCTTACTGCGGTTTCGCGATGTGAGATATAGCAGGAAGAGAAAAACCGCTAGACCAAATAGACTGACGGCGCGATCTCCGCGATTGTTCCCGGGGCCGGTGGGAGACGCGAATGCGCCGATCAAGATAGTCGCAATGCAGACCAGGGCGCCGGCGGGCAGTCGTAGCTTTTCCGGGATAAAACTGACGACAGGTCGGGCGGTACGTGACCAAGTAAAGTACATTGGTCGCGTGACGATTGAGATGGGCACATAGAAGAATACAATGCGTAGCGTGATAGCAAGGTAGAGGAGAAATGGAATGATCCAGTTCATATCATTACGGTGTAGAACCAAACTCGCGATCCACCAGCTAGCAAAAGCATAAGTCTCCAAAACAAATACTAGATTATAGAGGCATGTGGTCGACTCACCCGGTGAAAAGTAACCAGACCACAGCATGGGCAATGTGTCGCCTATACTTCTTTATGCGACGAACCCATGACCGCGCTGGTGACTGCGATTTCCCTGCCTCCGCATCATCGTCGCTATTGCTGTGGCTATGAATGCCATGATCCAAGGGTGTTGGTTCGGGTACAACGCCCTTCTCAAAAGAGGCATCGTTTGTATAAGCTACCTCCTCGTGTCCTTGTTGCGCGAAAGCTGTATGATGGTGATGTGTGTGGTGGTGTTGGTGTTCCGTTTGCAGCGCAGGGTCTATGTCGTGAACATTTTGAGATTTCGACTCCATCTGTACATTCTCCAATGATTGAGTAGCCATGGCGCGTAAAAATGCAAATAATCGATATCTCCGATAATCTGAGGGTTTCTTCGTAGGTCTGAGATATAGGAAACGGTTATGCGACCATTCTCTTATGGTAGTTGAACAAGCAGCAGCCAAGCGCCAGCACAAGGCAGGAACAGAACAGACGTTAAAGTCCTGAGTTAAAGATCTGCACACTCGCAACTTGGCCTGGAAGGGGGAAGCTCTTTTAAGAAGCAGAGAAATCCAAAGGAGCCAAAAAAAAAAAAGAAAAAAATCTCTAGCGGGCTTATCTCGGCAAATCAAGCTAAGAGGCAAGATCCATAACCTTCAAAACCCTCCCAAGATCCCGGAATACTTTCCAATTATATCCCCACTAGACAGTCAAACGTTATCAATGGCACGTTGCAGGATTTTTGTGCGGAGGAAAGTTAAAACTGAGCCGAGTAAGGGCTATTTAGTAATAGAATGTAGTAAATCTCCAGCCATGGATCATCGGAGCAAACCCTTTTTACAACCTGTTACCCAATTCTTTAGATTGGAGCGGGTACGCCATGCTCTATCGAGATGGTTCCATAAATCCATTGGAAGTGTCGGCAAATAATAAGAGAGATAGACGCGGTCTTTCGGCGTTTTGGTCCGTTTAGCATCCACTTTACCTGCCACTGAGCTGTGAATGGATGATTCTTGCCCTGAGAAGGGTTTTGGCTCCGCACCCGAGAAACGGTAAGTGGGGAGCGTAGCATAAGTTCTCTTCTTTTAGGTAGGAGGTCTTGTATATCGGGTGACATTCACTCCGCATTATAGAGTTAAAGGATTCTGTTCTCGCATTAGTATGCTGAGGTTCTTATGTATTAGGTTTGGGACTGAAATAAGCAGTATATTGGGATATATGGGTTCTGCATGGATGTGTATAGCTAAATGTCTAGTAGATGGTAAGGAAACAGCGCCTCAAAGTAAAATACTGCATTGTGGTTTTATGTATGGCGGCTAAAAAAAGAAAGAAAAAGACAAAAAAGATACCAGCGGGGGAAGTTGAACCCCCGTCTCTAACTCCAGACCTGGTAATCACGAGAAACCAATGAATAGCCCGATTACTAGTATTAACATGGGTGAGCACGTGACCCGTAACAGCTGTTTGCTTCTCTGCTGGGCCTGGACTTGAGGGCTTTACTACCTAGACTTCCTAAATGTTCTCAATGTGTGATACTGATGGTTTACCCAAATATGTCTCTGGCCTCCATGTTCTCAGGACTCGAGCATAAGCAGGGACTTTCCACCAGTGATCCGGCTACATATTGTATGTGCCCACGTGACCACATAGAGAATTAGTCAACTCCTTTTATCGCAGAAGTCAAACAAGGCCGAATACAGGTTACAGACAGTCACCAGTTCCAGAGCTGTGAGCCTGATGTTCCAAGGCTGTGCGGTCTTGTTTTTTGTGTCTTTTGATTTGTCTCACTTGTGTGGCACCCCACCGACACTAAAGACAACTGGACGAAAGAGCTTCATCCACATGGACCTGCTGCAACGCTGCCCAAGATAGATCGCTGGCCTGAGAAAAGTGGGTTCTAATCACTCTTTGCCTTGCGTGACAGGTAATATTCAAAGTTGATGAACATCCTAGTGCCAACGTATAGAGCCTTATGTAATCACAATGGTTAATACATGTATCATCATATCGTAGATCGTTTATTTGGCAAGAATATGAAAGTGAGATCAGAAGAAAAGGAGAGAAATGTCTAAACTTGCTGACATTGAAGTCTACGTCCACTAGATCATTGTGTGCTGAAAATTTGAACCTTAGGAGGATTTGTTTACGGTGTGGAGCCGCCTGACTGGGCCGATCACTTATCGCCTTTATCAGCTGCCCACCCTCACTCCGCACGTCATTGAGTCTTCTCCTCCACAACCCCCCTCTGGGGAAAATCGTCCACATTTCCGTGATATCTTTGACTTATGATGTTCTCCCTGTGGTGATTTTTATTTAAGCCTGTCTGAGCGATAGTTGCTCTTCAAGAATGGCGTACTTTTTACCATCATTCTTTCAAAAGCGGCTGCTTAAATATGCCTTGTCCCGCCTGGGGATCGTCGAGACGGACGCCTTGGACCCTGATAACCTAGGGATCGCCTGGGGCCAACGAAGTACTGTTGAGCTGCGTGATATAGGTCTGAAATTAGAGGTGAGTAGGAAGGACCCTGGAGATGCGGGGTGGCCAAACTCTCCCCTGTCATTACATCGGGACATTGAATTTCTAACCTGCTTCCATCATCTTCATAGAAACTAGCGACCCTACTTAACCTACCGACGACATGCGAACTAGTCAGCGCTCGGGTTCAGCTCCTGAGGATAACTATCCCAGCCGACATCTACAGTAGCGGGATTATCTGCGAAGTAAATGGCGTTCATGTCCACCTACGATGTTTGCCAGACGAAGCACCCACAGGGAAACAAGGGAAATCGAAGTCTTCCTCTGGATCTGGTACACATGGGACTACAGAGGGTCATATTCTACCGACGCCATCTGATCTCGCTGAGTCATTCCTCGACGCGGAGCCTAAGGAGGAGAAGGAGGAGCTGCAAGCGGCGATATCATCACAATCTCGTGTGTTACAGCGAAGCTCTTCATTTTCTGACGAGGAAGATGAGGAACTCGGACTTGGAAACGATACACTATCGCTACCCAGCTTTGTGGAGGGATTTTTGAAGGGAGTGGTGGATCGACTACAGCTGAGAATCAGAGATGTCTCAGTACGTGTGGACATGGAGTTGAAGCAAGATGCACCATCTAAAAGACAACCCGAAGACAAGCCGGATCTTGTATCGGGAATTCTGACGATCGGAGAGATTGATGTCCATGACGTTTCTGGCTTTACTGATACCACAAGCGACTCTTTACCTCTGCGAGAAGGCAAGCGGTTGGTGTTTCTTGCTGACATCAATCTCGCTCTTGGGTCCGATCCGGTAGTATTTGCGAACTATTCACGATTTATTGCACCTTCGTCCCCCACGACTACCATGCAGTCGAAAGCAAGCGAAACATCCAGCAGAGCACCTTCGCCCCCTCCTCTAGACTCCCCTGATTCAGAATCAGCACTTGCAATGACAAGATCAACCATATTCGAGCCACCATCCGCCTTTGGCAACGATAGTATGGTACAAAGTGCAGTGGAGGGGTCAGCGGTATTATCTCACGATGGCCGTTTCTCAGATGCAGACTCGGAGACGGACAGCCGGTATGACCGTTATCTTGAGGACTCTCAAATTTTTGGAAACGATCCATTCCAAGACAACCCCGGATATTTGGATTCGGTGATTGGTGCTCAATTTGATGATTATGATGTTGAGTCACCTCGCATGCTTCAGTCTGAGACAAGCACAAGAGAGGAAATAAATGGACCGACCTACTTCTCGCACCATCTTTTTAGTGCAAGCGAAGGAGAAGCAAGCCATGCACCACCCGAAATGTACCAGTCCTCTGTGCATTCAACTGAAGTTAAAGAAGAACCACTTTATGATTCTACGCCTGAGAATCATCCTAAATTGGAGACAACGCATTCGGCCCATTCAGGAGAATGGTCGGGACGCGAAGAGAATATTGTTGGAAGTCGAACTGGCTACGTGGATAGTGTCTCTCAAAGTTCTGCTTCTTCCTCCGAGGTTGGAAGCGCGGCATCAGGATCAGCTACCCCCGATGAAGGACTGCTCGAGTCCAAGTACTTTTCCCACGATGAGGCACAAAGTCTATACATGAGTGCGATGAGCCATGGTGGTGATAACAGTTTTCTACCAAATATGCCGGGTGCATGGGGCTCGTCACAATCCGGGCATCAGTCAAATCAAAGCTTTTCTCATCCTTCAGAGAGCAAAAGGACGGATAATCTCAAATCTAGTCAGAAAATTCAAGATGAGACAACGATGTCGACACCAAAATTGACTGCCCCATCAGATTCCTATTTTGGTGAACAAAGGCCCATTGGGAATCCTGTTGGATCGCAACCTGAAATTCCGGATAGGGACTCGGCAACATCGTCTCCTGCCTTACATAAGATGACTTACATGAGAAAGCCCATCTTCAACATTGACAGACTGTTGATTTGGTTGCCATCCACGACAGACAAAGAATCCACTGATCACACGTCACCTCAAGAATCTGTCGAAAAAATGGATACAGATTCAAATGATCTTGCGTACGGTGTTGAAGAGAGCATGTTTGCTTCAAAGGCTTATGCCTCGACCAGGTTCAAGAAAGACCCGACCGAGCATGCAATTCCCTCAGAAACGAGTATTCCTACGCAGGGAGAGAGTTTGGAGGTTGAAGTGTTTTCGATCACAACTCATTTTGACATAGCTACTGGTTGGCTATTGATCAAAGTGGGTCAATTGGCGGCACAAATGGCGAATGCCCCGGAAAATGAAAAGTCCCAAAAGCCATCTACTACAGCAGAATCTTCGAAAAAGACGCAATTGAACTTGGTAGTTCGTGAGATTTCGATCAAGTTCCTCGAGCATCTTCCTGGATTCCCTCGTTCCTCTGAACAGGCTCCATCCCCCACACCGCTACCGTACCCCACTGCGGAAGATGTCATTCTACAAGTTACCACCGCAGGCTTGGGGTTGAATCTCACAGCTGATGATGATAAGCGAACCAAATTACAACTCACTATATCAAAATTCAAATTCGGTTTCGCTTCTGAAGATCTAATATCGTTCGATGAATCCCTACGAATGCGTGAATCTATAAGAGACCTCACGGCATCTTCCCACCATGACATCAGCGTGTCCCTGACAAAGTCGATGGACTCGGTTAAAGCTGAAATATCCACCCTGCCGATCTACATTAATCTCAATGTGCAGCGAATAGAAGAGGTGATAGGATGGATGGGGGGTCTAAGTACCATTCTAGAGCTGGGAAGCTCGATTTCATCTGCATCCACAATGAAGGGAGGTAAAAAGGCCCCGAATAAACGACCACGAGGTGTTCACTTCGAGAAGCCCAACACGTCCGCTGAGAAGGAATCCAAATCTTCCGTTCCCGTGAAGGTCAACATGCGAGTTGGTGGAATTGTGCTGGATATCAAGGGAGAGACACATTACTTGAGTCTCAGTACAACAGCCGTGAAAGTTGTTAGCAGATTTGAAGGCATTGGCATCCAAATAGACAAGGCAGAGTTGGCTGGCCCACTGCCTCTTGATCATATGTCTGCGGCCCCGGCCAACGTGAAATTGGACAACATACGGGTTGAATTCCTCTTTGCGCCCAAAGAAGTGGACCTCGAACGCCTTTTGACACTCATCACCCCATCTCAGGATAAATACGATGATGGCGACGATATCATTGTGGATATGCTTTTGCGGCAAAGACGACAAGGCTCCGTTCTTAGAACCACAGTAGGCGTGATGGAAACTTCTGTATTCAGCATCGATGGCCTGGCTCCCATTGCAGCACTTGGAGCCGAACTGAGTCGATTATCTACTGTCACCAAATATCTACCAGAGGATGACCGCCCAGGGATACTTACCCTAACGCTTGTTCGAAAGTTTGATGTTCATATTCATGTAGGCCAGGGTGTTGGGGATATTGACGCTTATCTAACAAATTTCGAGGCTGCCTGGATTAGCATGCCGCCTCTCATTGCCACACACATCAACACCATCAAAATTATGAGGAATAAAAAGGAAGAGCTTATGGGCGAAGCTTTACTGCCAGGTAAAGCTGTGGATGGCAAAGCTATGCATGGCAAAGTTCTGGATGGCAAAGCTGTGGATAAGGCTCAAGCAGGACCTCCAGTTCTTATGGCGCGATTCATCCCTGATGATTTGGAACCGACATTCAAGATCAAACTACACCACCTGCGCGTAGAGTATACCATACCGTCAATAATGGCTTTCCTCGGCCTTGGTCGCGATACGACAGGGGGGGATTTGGCCGCAGAAATGGCGAGTTCCATAGCCAATCTTGCCGACTCTACACGAGGTGGAACCGAAGGCCTGGGTCTCTTCGCAACAAGTCCAGAAAGGTCTAAAGCCCCTACCAGACCGATGAGAATCGAAGTGTTATTCAGGGATTGTGTTCTCGGTCTTAATCCTAGGAATTCACCAGCGAAAGGGTTATTCGTTCTCTCAAATGCCAAGTTCAGCGGCACTATGCATGACCAAGAGTCTTCTGAGGCGCTTTTGGATATCAGAAAAGCATCCCTGATGATCATCGATGACGTGTCAAATGTTGGCGAAACCGACAATCTTCGTCAACGTAGATCTGCACTCACTCAGAGCAATCAGGTGTCCGCATATATTGACGAGGGGTATGTCCCCGTGACTACCATATCCTCTGCGACGGCTGTTGTGAAGATCATGCAACTGGCTGCAGATGGCACCAAGTCTCTGGATGTTGAGTTGAGGGATGACTTATTGGTGCTTGAGACCTGTGCTGATTCTACGCAAACTCTCATTGCTATTTTGAACGGGCTCCAGCCTCCCACTCCGCCAAGTGTTACAGCCAAGTATCGAACAGAGGTCATGCCGATTCAAGACATGCTAGCTTCGTTTACAGGTGACGCCTTCTCGGCTGACGAAGGCATCTCTGCTCAGCTGCATAGCGACGTCCCAACTAACCCCGATGAATCCATCTTGGAGGGCCATCTCAGTGATGAGCTCGAATACGTCAGCGATTTCTATTCAGGTAACCAGATGGGATACGGGAATGGAAATAGCGACGATCCTGAGCTTCTAGGCGCACTGGGTGGCGCCGATCCTCTCGACTTCCAATCTCAATACCATATATCGTCTAGCTTGACCGACATAAACTTCCAAGATGACCATTTTGCCAAGCAGTCCGCCGTTGGTGGTACAGCTCATCGGTGGGATTCCACCCACAACACATACGGTCTATCCAACGATCAGAAGCTCCAGGGGAGTCCTCTTCGTGTGAGAGCACGAGATATGCATGTCATTTGGAATCTTTTCGATGGTTATGACTGGCAAAGAACTCGAGACACCATTTCCAAGGCCGTAAAAGATGTTGAAATCAAGGCCACGGAGCGCCGAGCTCGCGCTACCCGAATGTCACTAGAGGATGAAGAAGAACCAGAATCGGTGATCGGAGATTTCTTGTTCAACTCCATCTATATCGGCATTCCAGCCAATAAGGACCCTCGTGAACTTCATCGCGAGATCAACAGAGATATAAACGACCTTGCAAGCGAGACGGGAAGCTATGCAACAACCACTACCGTCACTGGTGCCAGCAATCGCCAGGGTCGGCCCACATCCGAAAGAGAGAAGAAATTGCGTCTTAACCGAAGCAAGCAGCACAAAATGACTTTTGAGCTAAAGGGTGTGTCTGCCGATCTCGTTGTGTTCCCTCCTGGCTCCGATGAAACACAGAGCTCCTTGGATGTCAGAGTGCAGGATTTGGAAATCTTTGACCATGTTCCCACTTCGACATGGAAGAAATTCGCGACTTACATGCACGAGGCTGGAGAGAGAGAAAGTGGAAGTAGTATGGTTCATCTTGAAATTCTCACGGTTAGACCTGTCCTAGAACTGGCCGCGTCCGAAATAGTTCTCAAGGTGAGCTTGATACCCCCCCTCCTCAGCCCAATCTCCTGATGATGACTTATTAACATTCTTGTTTCCAGGCTACAGTACTACCAATCCGCTTGATTGTTGATCAAGATGCTTTAGAGTTCATGAGTCGATTCTTCGAGTTCCGAGATGAATCTGCCGAAGAACCTAGTGCCCCCGGCGACGTGCCATTCTTGCAGCGAGTAGAAGTCAATGCGGTACAAGTCAAGTTAGACTTCAAGCCAAAGAGAGTCGACTACGCTGGACTTCGATCCGGTCGCACGACCGAATTCATGAACTTCTTTGTGCTTGATGGAGCCGACATGGTCCTCCGACATGTTATCATTTACGGCGTGTCAGGCTTCGACCGACTCGGAGTAACGCTTAATGATATCTGGATGCCTGACGTCAAAAATAATCAGCTACCCGGCGTCCTTGCAGGTCTTGCACCAATTCGCTCCCTCGTCAATGTGGGCGGTGGAGTCAGGGATCTAGTCGTGGTCCCGATGCGCGAATATAGAAAGGATGGACGTATCGTTCGAAGTATCCAGAAGGGAGCACTCTCATTCGCCAAAACAACATCAAATGAGTTGGTTAAGCTAGGTGCCAAACTGGCCATTGGTACTCAAACTGTTCTACAAGGCGCAGAAGACCTCTTGACTTCTCATAATGCCCCCTCCGGCGCTGGAGATCAGGACCAAGAAGACGAAGAGGAAGCTAAAAAGATCTCTCTTTACGCGGATCAACCTATTGGTGTTGTTCAAGGTCTCCGTGGTGCTTACAGGGGCCTTGAAAGAGACCTTCTCTTAGCTCGTGATGCAATTGTTGCTGTACCTGGAGAAGTTGTTGAGAGTGGAAGTGCCAGGGCAGCTGCCAAGGCCGTTTGGAAGCGCGCACCGACTGTTATCCTTCGACCTGCAATTGGTGTTTCGAAGGCTGTGGGACAGACACTTCTTGGTGCGGGCAATACGTTGGACCCAAGTAATCGACGAAGAATGGAAGATGTGAGTTTCTTTCCCCTACAATATAACTACAATTACAATACTGACTGGAATAATAGAAATATAAACATCACTGAAATCTATTATCCTTGTGTTTTGGAGACCTGTTATAACTGGTCTCTTTCTTGTTGCTTTACGCTTTATGCTTTATTGTTTGTTTTCTTTTACTTTTTCTTACTTTCTTTTGTCTTCTGCTTTTATTTCTTCAAGCCTAAGATACATCTCCCTATACCTTTGCTGCGATGATACCACCTTGAGTTGATGGAAATATGAGATTGCTGCTTGACTGCCTGACTGCATGATTTGGGAGTCTTGGATAAATGTTAATGCAAGCTTGAGATCTTGAGATCTTGACACTTCAAATATTCAAATTGCACATAGAACACAACAGTTTTTTATATTTCTACTACCTTTACTGCTCCGTCTTTATCAATGTAGAACCAGCCTACATGGTCCGTGGCCAGGTCCCAAGACACGGAACATCGTAGCCTCAGGCTCCTTATCTAGATACAGATACTGCAACCATGACACTTGATCTTTCTCTTCTTCTATCATCTCAATTCATTTCGTTGATGAGTTTATCTCTCATTTAACTCAATAACTATTTTTAATTATAGTTCTTTTATAATTTAATTGTACCCATCCTTAGATCCCACTCTCGGGCACACAAAATCTCAAAGCCCATCTTTCGCGACATGGACTAATACCGCAGGCCACAGCGGTGGGGCGTCAGCGGTGGGGCGAGTGTCTCAAGCAATCTCCCATAGTTAGCTAGCCGGCCGTACAGGAATAAAGATCACCTTTACCACGGACAAGCTATCTTCCTAGTAGTTTTTTAATACGAGATTCCTGCAGGATTGAGAAATCTTCACCTATCATTTTAATTTACCAGCGACTTTCACAAGAATAAGGTATCAAATCTATTCAGTTTAAGCGCGGAATATCAGGTCCAGCTATTTAAAATAGATAAAGAAACTATCTCTTCTTTAACGAAGACTACTGGAGTTCCTCTTTAGGCGTACTGGATAATATATTACTTTCGGCTAATAATAGCCTGTCTATCTAGTTTTCATATCCTTAAATCTCCCGAGTCGTATTTCGGGTAACTGTGGAGCAACCCGGCTTTCTCCAACCGATCCCAACGCGTGAAATGGACCTGGACCGCATCTGCGGAAGAACAGAGCATACATATACGTGCCAGCACCCCTGAAAAATCTCATCATTTGATTCAATTTATTCGCCTGTAAACACAAAAGTGGAAAACAGGAATGCAGGCACTCCAAAGGAGCCATAGGCAGCTATGTGGCCGATTCTCCCCATGCGCCACGCGACACTTCTTAGCACGAAGCCGTGTCCAGAGTAGATTTGAGTCACAGAAACGCGCGAATTCTTCTAATTCTTCCGGCACCAGCTCATCTGAGAGTAAGGGTCTCTCGAAAACATTGGCGATTGTTGCGGCCACGGCGACCTTGACTATTCTTGGTGTTAAAACATGGGAGGCCCGATCGGCGATTGAGCCGCCCGTCGATACGTCCAAGCGCGCAAAGTACGCTGACAAGCGCACAATGCTTCTTGTATGTTTTATGTGCAATATTGATAAACACGATTCAATGAGACTTCTACTAAATCACTTGTTTCATCATTTAGGCAGTGGATGAAATCAAACAAATCCTAGGCGAAGACAAAGTCAGCCTCGACAAGGATGACATCGAAGAACACAGTTACTCCGAATGGTCAACTTCAAACTCAAAAGAACGACCAGTTGCAGTGATTACACCCCAAACTACAGAAGAAGTATCTGAAATCGCGAAAATCTGCACCCGCCACCGAGTCCCCATGATCCCATTCGGTGCCGGCTCAAGCGTAGAAGGAAACTTCTCCGCCCCATTCTCAGGCATATGCATCGATGTCTCACAAATGAACAAGGTCATTGCATTCTACGAAGAAGATATGAATATCACAGTGCAAGCTGGAGTCCGATGGACGGATATAAATGACGAAATCAAGTCAACGGGTCTCTGGCTCCCGATGGATCCTAGTCCTACGGCCTTTGTCGGTGGAATGATCGCCACGAATTGCAGTGGTACGAATGCTGTACGATATGGAACGATGAAAGATTGGGTCGTTAATCTGACTGTTGTTCTACCGGATGGAACGGTGGTCAAGACTAAACGGCGCCCGCGCAAATCATCCGCTGGCTATAATCTGAATGCTCTTTTTACTGGCTCAGAAGGAACGTTGGGGATTATCACTGAGGCTACGGTGAAACTTGCTGTTATCCCTGCTGAGACGAGTGTTGGAACTGCAACATTTCCAACTGTTAAAGATGCTACAGCGGCTGCTTCGAAGTTGATGCGTGAGGGTGTTCCGTTGGCTGCGCTTGAGTTTATGGATGAGGTTCAAATGCAGATTATCAATAAGAATGGTGGTGCGGGTGGTCGCCTTTGGACTGAGTTACCAACTCTGTTTTTCAAGTAACGTGCTCTCAATGGCTTGTATTTTGCGAAGAGGTTGATATTGACAGCTTCATGCAGGTTTACCGGGACAAATGTGGAGATACAGGAAAGTATTCAGCGAACTCAGAATATTCTCCCGGTATATAAAGGCGAGAAGCTAGAGTTTGCTTCGTCCCAGGCCGACCGAGATAATCTGTGGGCGGCAAGAAAAGAAGCTATTTGGGCCATCATTGCGACAGGGCCGGAGAACACACGTATCTGGTCGACTGATGTCGCTGTTCCACTTTCTAGATTAGCGGAGATCGTTGGTAAGTGAAATGTGGAGCACGCTGCGTCGTTGAGAAGGCACTGACTCGATTCTTGAATAGAACTGTCAAAGAATGAGTCTGGGGAGCTAGGACTGTTCTCTACAGTCCTTGGCCATGTAGGAGATGGCAATTTCCACCAATCCGTTATGTATGATCCTAGGGATCCCGAGCAATACAACGCTGTCAAAGCGTGTGTATCTCGAATGATGCACCGAGCTTTGGAGATGGAAGGCACTATTTCTGTTGGTACTCCCCTTTAAAGTGAAGTAATTTAACCTGTTTCTAACATGCTCTTAGGGAGAACACGGTATTGGACTGGGAAAGAAGGTCAGTACTCTGTCATGAATCATTAATGAATATATATACTCACTCTGCTACAGGAATACTTGAAAGAGGAGCTTGGAGAGTCAACTTTACACTTGATGCGAAGTTTGAAGCGCAGCGTGGACCCCTAGTACGTATTCATTTCCACCCGGAATCCTTTATCTTCTTCAAATGTTAGCTTACTGGTTTTCCCCTACAGCTGGATTATGAACCCTGGAAAGGTTTTCGACGAGGAGTGAAGATATTAAACCCAAGCCGCACCTACATGGTCTTGTAGTAAATTGGGCTAGTAACGGGTAAGAGCACACCATTTGGAATGAAATACAAGTATATTGTGTCAAAATAGCTCTCTGTGTTTGCTCGGAGTAAACAGTAGGACGAGGGGTGATAACTTGAGATATTCGGAAAGAAATAAAAAGTAAAAGTTTATCGACCCGGATTCGAACAGGTACATTCATCTTTTAAATTGTATGCCTTTTCGATCTCCTCTCTTTCTGCTGTGTTGTACCGCCTGCTGTATCAGTCTAAGCGGGGCACCGCCATAAAGTGGGGCTTAACACCTAGCCCAAGCAGTTGGTTCTGTTTCCTTCTCCAAGTCCCAGTAGTAAGTCTTGGGATTAGAAGGAACATAGTCAGGAAATCACGAAATTGCTTTCACCCCATGGTCATCGATATGTAACTTTTGCCGCCTAGTACTATACCACTACCTGCCATGTACTGTAAGCTCTAGATAGAAAGGCAAGTTGAGAAATGCCTTTTTGCCGAATACTTCATATCACACTAGTAAGTTCATTTAACAAGAACTTGGAAAGAAGGTTCACATCTCAAAGGTACATCTTGATATCGGAATAAGACTAAAGCTACCAAACTTGGCACAAATGGGGATTTATCCCAATGATACTACTAGTACGAGATGTGGATTGTCCGAATCGCACGACTCACTTCTCACTGACACTCACATTCACGGCAAAAAGTCTCAGCTAAATGCACCATTTCTGCCAGCGGCACGCACCTCCAACATAATAGCAACGCGGACAGTTTCTGACGCAGTTCGCACCAATACCGCAGAATTGGCGACATCGCGAAGCTCGCTCGGAAAGAGGATCAAATTCGACATTCAGAGAGCTCGAGCAGCCAGCCCTTCTTTCAAGTCCGTGTGCGTCCCCAGTCGTGCTAGCCCCCTCCTGACTAGCCTGAGGTTCATCAACATCAGGCTTTGCGGAGTCATATATTCCCATCTCGCGGGCGAAGTTCTCTTGTTGCTCGAAGTATGCATGGGAATCAGAGCTAGGCTCGAAAAGGCCCGATGCTACGATCGTATCGGCGGGGTATTCGAAAATATCGACGTGGATTTTGTCGTCTTTGAAGTACATATCCAAGTAATGGTGATCTTTGACTTGGGACATAAAGTTTTCATAACGCTCCATGTCTTCGTGGTGAATTGCGTTGTGTGGCTTGAGAAGCATTGCGATGGTTAAGGTAGCAGAGGTGATGAGAAAGGTTAAAATGGTTGAGAGCAACATTTCCAACGTTGGCTTGCAGGATTATTCAGTGGAAGGGTCACCTGATTATGACGGAAGACTATAGAGTCAGGTACTGAAACAAATGGCTCTGTGGTCAATTTTGGTCTTTCTTAATGAAAGTGGTGTTGTTTAATACCCTTTGAACTAAATATGTCCAACTTGAAGATATTGAGGCATCTCCTACGTCTGTATTTATAGCTTGTGCTTCATTGTTAAAATCCACAATCTCAAGAGCGTGTTATCAACAAACTTTAGACTTAACTAGCAGGTGCAATCTCGGACCCCGAGAACGTTAACTAGGCTAGCTCAAGGCAACAGCGACGGAAGAAATATCCACCCCGGAGGATACTAGTTGATGAGTCTAAGCTGAACTACCAAAATACCGTGGGACCTATCATCGCGCATACCAATGCATATTTCGGATACCACCTTAGCCCAGCTTTAGACAAGCACGTTTCAAAGTTAAACTAGAGTTTCGGTGGAGGCGCAACAAGGGTTCGAAAAGAACTTGATTGAGATTAACACCGAAAAGCTCATCCACCGCGAACTACTCTCAAGAGATTGAGCATCCGTGTACTGACGCTTCTGAGTCAGTCATATTCTTCGCGTCTGCTGCAAAGACCCTGAAAAGAGTAGTGTGATTGTCACATTGTTTTTAAATTAGCTTCGCATTAGCTCAGTGGGGGCTTGTTAGTAACAAGATTAATAATTCAGGTCTTGCTAAAGCGATAATTTCATTAGGGTATAAGCCATTTTGTAATAGGTCAGATAAAGAGACAATTTCCCTATATGTTAGCAAAAGAGCGACTGCGTATTGAAGACTAGTAATCCAAAATCGGGGGTTAACCCCAGACATTCAAATTGGCTCCGACCTCAGTTTTGGAACACAGAACTAGAAACGTAGATCAGTGGACCGCCAAGCTGATTTCTTGGAATATTCTAGGTGCAACAATATTTTACGCTCCGATTTACATCTATAGTTTAAGGATCGGTGGAATCAACGCCATAAGCATTCGCGTTTTTACCCGTAACTTTGGATGTAACTCCAAAAACCCAAATAGAATCATCATGATATTGACCGGCCCTAAATCGTGCGAAAGCTTGGCAACTGACGTGTGGATTTGCTCTGTCGCTCATATGTACGAGCTGATCTCGTGGCTTGTCACTCCTCACTGCTATTAACCTTAATTGAATTGCCTCTTCAAAACTTGGGCTTTTCCAGCTACAAATTGGTGTATTGATTGTTCGTCCGAGTCGTCGAGTATAACAGCCGAAGCGAATATTATTTCTGTATCTCATAGGTAGATCTAATATAGATTCAAAACAAGTAACTTCTCGCAGCAAGATAAAATGTCTTTTTCGTCATCGTTCAATAAAATTTCCCTAGGAACTAGAAAGTAGTGGGTAGAAATGACTATTTGGAAGAGCTAGGCCGGTGGGAAGATTATGTTAATTTCGGTGGTATAGGCTCTCTTATGGAGGCTTTTCCTTATACTCGGAACCCAGATCAACCAGTATCACTAATCTTATTCCACTTCCACCCATACAACTGAGAAAGCCGCTGGTACAAGTATGGGAGGCCTGGGAGTTCAGTTATACGACAGAACCGTCTTGTTAACATTCAGTCTTATATTGTCTATGTGATAAATTAAGACCTGAATACATGTTGTAACCTTTAAGTTGGAATTAGGAGTATTGGGCTCATCTGCTCTTAACTTATGTAGATAGCTTGAGATTCCCAGCGGTGTCTAACAGCTTAGTACTAATTGTATTATAAAGTTTAGAGATACTCCATCCCATTAAACTTTAAAGTGTGATAGGTGTAGTATAACTACATATAGAAGGTCGGCTTTCCAAGATGGCAATCCACGAGGACCAGACGCTCAGATCGCAAATCCAAATGTCACAAACTCTTTTGCCTCGGTGAGCTTAAGACTCTTCCGTGTCATCTCACCACTGGAAGGCTCTGCCTAGGAGAGCAATAAGACCAGCAACGAAGTCATCCCAGTGCGGATCCAGCCAGAAAATGCTAATATTCGCTCAACGTCATAATAGCACGTAGGTATTTCTCATCGGATGTCGCGGTGAATCCGCTCGGCACCATTGAACCGAGCCTGTAGCAACTGAAGCCGTATGGCTCGACCCCAGACTGAAGACACATGCGCTTCTCTCCTTGACTGTATTTCAGTTAAGGGGCTTCTAACTTACCGTAATATCGGAACTTGCACTCAGCGCCAACGCTTCCATCTGGCCCAATTCCACCATCGACGGGAGTTCAGTCAGCCATTTTGGTATGTCTCAATCATCCCCAAAAGGCCCACGTTTGTCTATAGATGTCAGCCGGTGATCGTGGTATCCGAGAATTTGTAACGTTGCGCCATGATGCCGAATGGCCTCCTGCAAATGGCAGTTGGCTGGGTAGTTCGACAGTCTCGGATGAAGGTGTTGCGCTCCACGAATGGAGCGCAGGAACTGTGCGACTATTTCAAAATCACACTGCTCGCTTGCCTCATATAGCATAAGATCGAAGCAGCATCAAACTTGCCCTTTGAAGTATCAACACGGTCTCAGGAGCTCTGAAGGTAGTGAGACGCCAGAATTTGGGGAAACAAAAAAGATTGCGGTAGTGATAATAATTTCATCACTTCCCCATACACCGTAGCCATGATATAAATGGCATCGAGGGGGCGTTGACCGGAGACCATCGAGGGGTGCCGGACATAGTAGCTTTCCATGACGTGAAGTCGATTACATAACCGTTGAGGGAAACCTTGATAGGAATATGCCTCCTCAGTAGGTATTAAAATATTATCTACCCCTGCTACGAATGGCTGATATGGTAAAAACTTGTCTTTCTGATCTATACCAAGATTAGAATCAACGAAATGCATTTAAGGGCGGCTTGTGCGAGTCTAGAGCGGAAGGCCACATTAGTGCACACTGTGGTCTGCGCTCGCTTCTGATTTATTGAAAGTCCCTCCAGAGCGTGTGTCCTCCCTTTGTCCGCGAGGGACGCTGATAATGTTATTTCTCCACGAAAATTAAGATACCGGACAATTCCAAGTTGCGAGACTCGGTCCCTCCGTAGCGTCGATTACGGTGGTTTCCAAGATAAAGCTCTAGTGTGGAATGGTCGGTCCCATCTACTCCTCTCGGCAATAGCTTGAGAATTCCCCAGGGAATATTGCTTCTATTCAGAGAGCGCCGAGTGTTATGGAGGTGTGTGTCTGGTCAACATGCCGATTCAAGGATACGATCGGCTATAAATGCCAATACTTGAGCATTAAATGAATGAAAATCGGTTAATTCTTTTTTTCGTTTTCATGGTATGTCACAAACCATTTCTTGCCCTAGAGCCAGCCCATTTATGTCACCATACTAATACATACTAATTATCTATGTTAGCCACCCTAACTTGGCCCCCACGAGTCCCAAAACACATTTAGGAAGACAGACAATACATATATGCAACTGAGACAGATATACGTCTCACAACCGTTGAATGAAAAATAATGTTAGTCATTTAAGAAATAACGATTTGATCCCATGCTTGGCCATCTGGAGCCCGAAATGCGATAGGAACGGTTCCAGATAGGGGGTTCTGATAGTACTAGCATGCCACAGCGAACCAAAGATAGGATTCGGGATTCTTGACAATGGATAATTTCTGGTTATCATTACCGAAAACGGAATATCTAATTCCGTCCCTGATGGTCACTAAATCAGTTGCGTTAGAAACTTATGCAGCTCACGGGTTTGGCAAGAATCCTTACTTGCAAAGTCAGGAGTTGCACCTTCAGAGTCTGTGAGATGGAACAATTCGTGGAACAATGTGCCGCTTCGTGGGATCCACTCGTCAAGCCCACCGCTAGAGGTATGAGTAGGATGAGGCGAGTTTGTCAATTTCGCGAGGGTATGAAGCTTACCTCAATACTGGGATGGATTGAAGCTTGTCGGACAAAGAACGACGTTTCTCCTAAAGGCTCTGCTAGCTGCCACGTTTGCAAGGAGGGTATTACTTGTTTTCTTGGAACCTGCGGTAGTGAGTGCAAGTACACTGGGGGTGCGCATATGCTCGTCTAAGGCTGCCTATTTGGGTTAACTATTTGACTCTTTGGACTATTGAAAAACAGATAGCTATCTAGGTTTGTTGCTCACAGAGGCCGTTGGATGCCTTGACTGCCTTCATATAACCCTGGGTACGCGTCTTGGATGGTCCAATATTCAGTCTGCCCCGCTGCATCTGTAGTGTCTTTGGGAATTGGCTCGCCGAGGTTATCAAATCCAGCTGAACTCTAGTCGAAAGGTTGCGTGAACTTCGGACTACAAAAGCGCCGTGGACGGTAGTTACCCCCATCTTGCATTGTCAGAGAGACACCAGGCAGGAAAGATTGCACGCCAGAGAATCGCTCTAGAAGAAAGATTATGAATACTAGTTTATGTATTCAGGGGCGTCGTATTGCTAGGGAGTACATACTCTTTATCTTATCTTCGAAATATCCTTAGAATCGTCGTCTATTGCTGCCTTCGGCCCGATTGCTTGGGGCCTACCTATAAAGTTGATACCAAGCCAAGAAATAAGCATCAATTGATAATTGGGGTCCTTTTGCCAGTTCATATAGCCTATGCTTGCCGCATCCATAAATAAACGAACCTCCTCAAGGTAAGTATTCAGGCAGTGGCACCTGACTGAAACATCCGCCTAAGGAAGAGGATGTATCAAACAGCGTCTGAAAATTGGGGGTCTGACCAGACACATTCACTGAGATGATCATGAGGAGCACCAGGGCTTTCAAAAGCCCAAATGAGAGGCCCATTTCAATGTTCAGTAAATGAGTGATATTGATTGGCCAAATGGGAGACTTGTTCAGCAAGGTGATTTGCAAGGCTCTAGCTCTGTATGCTAATATACTTATGCATTCAACTTGTGGTGAGACCGTGACGCCAATATATGTAAAATAATTCCAGAAGGGATTCCGTGCGAGATGAAACTGAAATCAAACCAGCCCGAGTAGAGTCTACTAACGGGGTAAAAGGAAAAACGGAAATTTGATCCCTCCGCTTCTCGGCTGATCAACCTGTTCGCTATTTTCAATTAGATTTAGTCACAACGAATTCTAAGAACACGATGTAATGTCACTAGTTTTCGATGAAAATGCCTCATAGAAAAAGCTAAGCGAGCAAGAATGTTGATGTGAATTTGTCCACGATAGTGTATATGCATCTCCTGAGATGATACAAGATAAGGAGGTCACGAAAAGAGAGACCGTGATTCAGAACGTCATTGAAGACTCCCTCTCCGCTCATCCCAGTATTCTACCGGATCTCTCCCTCGTTATGGATGCGTGTTGTGATACAAGGCTGGTGCAGATCAGGAACCAATCAGCAATTTCGAAAGCAAGCAAGGTCGCTCGCTCTCTTGCGCAAAAATGACGTTAGAATTGAGGTTGAGCGGATGTTTGCGATGGTGATGTCAGAGTGGCTGCTGTGACGTCGTCGGGAACAATAGGATAATATACCCATTTCAACCGGTTATGGCATGATCCATCAATGCGTTAATTGTCTGATATATGCGCCTCTTGTTTTCACATTCTCTAATTCCCTCTATCGACAAATCCCTTTGTCAACAGTTCGTTCTAGCTCTATACTTCGTAATTCCATGGTTCGCAGCACCCGTCCCGCGCCGATCATTTGCGACAAGCCCCCACCCCGCAACTATGCCTGGAGAAGTTATCGACCATCCAAATCCAGCGCCGTTCCCCTCCCATCTGCCGGAATCTTTGGAAAAATTGGGAGTTCAACTTCCCGCTGAGACTCTTGATCAACATACATGTGATGCCTTACTGAAATTTCGGAGAGCGGCTTCGTACATCGCTGCGGGTAAATGAAGTATAGTCAACATAATTCATTCAACACAACTAACTTGCCTTTAGCGATGGTATTTTTACGCGATAATACTCTTCTGAAGAGAGAACTCACATACGATGATATCAAGCCTCGTTTACTTGGTGGGTTCACCTGCTTTTTTCTTGGCCCGTCACTATTTACTTATAGTCTCCGCAGGACACTGGGGAACATGCCCTGGCTTGATTTTGGTATATTCTCATCTAAACTACCTTATCAGGACAAAAGGATTTGATATGCTCTATGTGGTTGGACCAGGGCATGGGGCACCGGCAATTTTGGCCTCTCTGTGGCTTGAGGGTTCATTGGAAAAGTTCTATCCGCAGTATTCTCGGAATTCTCAAGGCCTCCACAACCTTGTTTCCTCATTCAGTACGACAGCTGGGCTCCCAAGGTTAGCGTCTCTGAGGCATTGATATCGAAATTACTAACCACTCGTAGCCATATCAATGCCCAGACACCTGGTGCCATTCATGAAGGCGGAGAGCTAGGATATGCTCTAGCTGTATCCTTTGGTGCTGCCATGGACAATCCCCATCTGATTGTCCCTTGTATCATCGGAGATGGTGAAGCTGAATCTGGCCCCACCGCTACGTAAGTTAAATCTTCCATGTAATGACACCCGCATTTTCTGACTGAAGTAGCTCTTGGCATGCAATTAAGTACCTGGACCCCAAAGAGTCTGGGGCTGTTCTGCCTATTCTTCATGTTAATGGATTCAAAATCAGCGAGCGCACGATATTTGGCTGTATGGACAACAAAGAACTTACAGCTCTGTTTACTGGATACGGGTACCAGGTACGCATTGTGGAAGACATCAACGATATTGACACAGATCTTCAATGCTCTATGGCTTGGGCTGTGGACGAGATTCACAAGATCCAGCATGCTGCACGTTCTGGAAAGCCAATTCTTAAGCCCAGATGGCCCATGCTAGTTTTGCGCACTCCAAAGGTAAGCTTGTTTGTCCCATATTTGAAGAGCATGTCGGCTGATCCTATCTACTAGGGATGGTCAGGGCCGAAGCAACTTAATGGTCATTTTATCGAAGGCTCTTTCCATTCACATCAGGTACCTCTTCCCAAAGTCAAGACCGACAAAGAGCAACTAGTTATGCTACAGAATTGGCTCTCCGGCTATAAGCCGCAAGAACTTTTCACAGAAACTGGCGATATAGTCGACGACATCAAATCTATTATCCCTAGTAATCCGTCAAAGAAGCTGGGTCAGCGCATTGAAGCGTATAACGGATATACTCCACCAAAGCTTCCGGACTGGAAAGCTTTCTGCGCGAAGAAAGGGACAGAAGAAAGCGCCATGAAAGCAATTGGAAACCTCATCAATGAGACTCTCGTTCAGAATCCCCATGGCGTTCGACTGTTCTCTCCCGACGAGCTTGAGAGTAACAAGCTTGATGCTGTGTTTGACAGCACCAATCGCAACTTCCAGTGGGATGAATTCGCCAATGCGCGTGGGGGTCGGGTTATCGAGGTGCTCAGCGAGCATCTGTGCCAGGGTTTTATGCAGGGATACACCCTGACCGGCCGTGTGGGTATCTTCCCGTCATATGAGAGCTTCCTCGGTATCATCCACACGATGATGGTACAATACGCTAAGTTCATAAAGATGGTTCGTTCAGCTTCTTCTTTCCCATGCTATATTTTTACCTGTTGACCAAAGAATAATCAGGCCAAAGAGACCCAATGGCATAGCCCCGTTAGCAGTATCAACTATATCGAAACCAGCACCTGGACGCGTCAAGAGCACAACGGTTTCTCCCACCAGAACCCCTCATTCATCGGAGCTGTCCTTAACCTCAAACATGCCGCCGCACGCGTTTACTTGCCACCAGATGCGAACACTTTCCTCACAACGATTCATCACTGCTTGAAATCGAAGGACTATGTCAACCTCATGGTTGGTTCCAAGCAGCCAACCCCTGTCTATCTCACGCCAGAAGAAGCAGAGAATCACTGCCGTGCCGGAGCGTCCGTTTGGAAATATTATAGTACAGACGACGGACTAGATCCCGACGTAGTACTAGTGGGCATTGGCGTTGAGCTCACGTTTGAGGTCATTAAAGCCGCAGAAATTTTAAAGCAGCGTGTGCCGTCCCTGCGCGTTCGCGTCGTTAACGTGACCGATCTCATGGTCCTCGATAACCAAGACCAACACCCCCATGCAATGGAAACCGAGGCATTTGACAGTCTGTTCACCGAAGATAGGCCCATCCACATTAATTATCATGGTTACCCGACTGAACTGAAGGGCCTGCTATTCGGTCGACCAAGACTCGAGCGACTCTCGATTGCTGGTTACATGGAGGAAGGCAGTACGACCACTCCCTTTGATATGATGCTCGTGAACCGCACATCGCGCTACCACATAGCTCAAGCGGCTATTCGTGGTGCGTCGAAAAGCAATGAAAGTGTTCGTATCCATCAGCATGAACTAGTCGCCGAGTTCGAGCACGACATCGTTGCAACAAGGAAATACATTATTGATAACCAACAAGGTAGTCTCGCCGTTCTTGAGGCTTAAAATTTGCATAATACTGACAACGTTCTAGATCCGGATGCCATATACGATGCGCCTAATTTCACATAGAATAATTTGGATAGATACAGTACGCACCACCTGTATCGCTTTTTCACAGCAAATGAGTTATAAATCATAGATCGAAGGCGCCAGATGATCTTGGCTCGTGTCGTGTCCCACTTTAGCAGCCCACCCAAAGCCGACCCACGTCAGTAAACGGCTACTGTGCCGACGTTGGGTCTACACTCTTGCGAATATGACGATCTAAATAGAACATCAGCTCCGTTGAAAATCTTATGGACGATTTCGGGTGCTTTGATGGTCGGCCACTGAATCTGGTTTCTAGTATCAGAAATTCAAAAGAATGAAGTACCGTTGAAGATAAAATATGTAAAAATAATCCGGACGTCGAAGATAAATTTTCAGATTTCCAAGTCTAGAGCACGTACCTCAGATATACCATTGCTTATACTAGTATTCCTATAGAGCACCAGAGGGCGTTCTTCTACTACCTACTAGCTAGCACAACTTGAAAACATCATTTTCTGTCTGCTAGTATTCAAGTTTTGGTATGCACCAACCACTCTAGGCACTCTCAAGGAGGGCCGAAAGGCCTTCAAGGATGCCCATCCACCAACCGGATGATCTTGTAACCCTACAACCCCGCGTTTGAAAGCTACAGGCTTGGGTGATACGAATATACATGGTTTCGGATTAGTCATAAAGACAAGAAGCGCTTAAGGATCGGTTAGGCACACGTCGAATTATTTACTATATAGAAGAGAAAGGATCGAAATTACATCGCCTGGGTATTTTAGTTAAAACTATATATTCGAACTCTTAAAAAGGAAGTTCTATTTGATAAATATAGTTGTAGATATTAAAGAGTATATCTAATAATATATAGTATATTAAAGGATTAAAATACTAACTATCTATATAGCTATCTTAAAGCTATACTAATTCCCTAGTAACCCTTTATTAAACTAACTATAGACTTTATTATAGGTTTATTCCCTATAATCTTTAAGAAAACTTATATTAATATAATATTAGTTATTATAGACTATTTTATAAAAACTTTATTATTTGACGAAAGGTATATTGGAAATGGTAGATCTTAAAGGCTTCATGTGAAGTCTTGAGTTTACAAGCTACCTTTCCAAGATCGCGCTGGAAAACAACACTTGAAGCGTATCTGAAAGCACATGTCTTAAGAAGAGTAGGCCTCAAGCTGTTCCAGTTCTTACGAGATGATCATGTGTGTAACGAGTCATCAAATTAGTTCGTGTAATGTACCTTGGAGTGATTAGATTTTCTTTTCTGGAAAATTGAAATGATGAACATGCTCCCATCTGGATTGGTATTAAATACCAGTTGCTGATTTGGTGCTTGGCTTGAACTGCACGATGAGCCCGTCGTCTATTAATGTAATGATTAACAAGTGTAAATAAATGATGGACCATAAAATCAATACTATGGAATGAGCTTCCTTTCCAACTTCAGAACCCGGGTTCAAATCAAGGCAAAGGCCCTAGAATACCTTGGGAGAGATTGTAGGGTAGTTGGATTGTGTCATTGACTTCCGGTTTTGGACTGGCAAAAGCTCGAAATGAGGTTAGACATAAACCAATCAAATGACATAGTAAAAGGCGGAGTCACAATTGAAAGCCACTCAAAGCCATTTCTATAGGGGGAAACCGACGTCATCCTGATTATAGTGGGTCATAAAGTTGCGATCTTCCAAAATGCACGCATGCGACATGACAGTAAAAATATATCATCATATCATCATATTTGTCAAGTGTAAAATCTGTTCTGGGAATGCAACCGCATTTAGTTTATTAATGCATCATTGTTTGTCCATCATAACGTTCCAAGTTTCAACATGTCACGCTTTGTTGCCTTCTGTAGAACTGAAAGCGTCACCATAAAAAGCCATCTAGAGGTCTTTTCATATACAGCTAATAGACATTCTGGATCAAGATTCTATTCCAGCTTTGCCTCCAACCGATCTCATCTTCGCAACTTGACAACTTCAAGGAAATTCTCCCAGACCAACATGGCCGAGGAAAGCAACCGAAATTTTCAGCTGCAAAACCTCTTCAATGTCAATCAAAAAGGTATGATTTTTCTATTCCAATTTGGCAAACCTTCTTTTCTAACTTATGAAGTGGCCCTCATCACCGGTGGCGGCTCAGGGATTGGGCTAATGGCAACTCAAGCTTTGGCTGTAAACGGTGCCAAGGTGTACATCACCGGTCGCACGGAGGAAAAGCTTGAGAGGGTCGCAGAGCTGTATAACAAAAATATTTCTGGCGAAATTATCCCCATATCGGCAGATATCACGGATAAAGCCTCAATTGACAAGCTTGTCAAGGAAATCAGCTCAAACGAATCATATCTCGATATTCTAATCAACAACGCCGGAATCGCAGCCGGTTCATTGAATACCGAACATGAGGACCCTGAGAAGCTACGCGAGTCGCTTTTTGAAAGCTCGGGTGACGTTAGCGAGTGGGATGGTATTTTCCGCACGAATGTCGCACAGCTTTTCTTTATGACCACCGCTTTTCTGCCACTGCTTCAGAAAGGCACTGAGAGGGAGCATGGCTGGTCTAGCACTGTGATTAATATAACTTCAATTTCTGGGATCGTCAAAGTCTCTCAGCACCACTTCGCCTACAATGCTTCAAAGGCAGCAGCAATTCATTTAACCAACATGCTGGCACATGAAGTCATGACGTCGAATCAGCGTATTCGTGTCAATCACATTGCGCCCGGTGTGTTCCCTAGCGAGATGACAACCAACAAGAGTAATGAGATACAAAAGAGCCATATTTCCAAAGAAAAGTATGCGCAGAAGGTTCCGGCTGCGAGGCCGGGGAAGGATGAAGATATGGCCAGCGCTGTTCTTTTTGCATCCACAAATCAGTATCTGAATGGCCAGTCTGTTGTGGTTGATGGTGGCTATGTGCTTGCTGTGGGCTCCCTTTAGATGTGAATATGAAACTCGTGAGAGACTATCTGAGTCTGTTGCCACGTATGTATGCGGTTGGAGCTTAGTACTACATCGTAGCTAATCTTAATCTCATGCCCAGGAAACACCATTCAGATTAGGCTCGACAGGGACTTTTGTCATTTGATGCATAGTCAACAGAAAAGAGAATACTAAAACAGAGGATAAACGCCAAGATCTTGCACCAGGGAGTGTCTTATGACTAAGATCAAGCTCATACGAGAATCTGACCTAGTATTGTAGATGTGTTATAAACATTTGAAGGATGCGCAACATATCTCTCCATCATTCATACAAATCCGTCAACAATATTATCACCTTTTCATGATCATTCAAATTCCTTGAAGCGGCCAGCGACTCTTCGAACATCACAGAACAAGGGGGGGGGGATTAACGCGACGGAAATGGCACTATGTATTGTAATGACATCAATGTGATATGGGTCTCATAACTTCCAAGGTTGTACATTGTACAGTACTTTGCTTTGATATGGACTATTAATTGAGTGACAATCCTGTTCTTATGAGATTCACGGGTAGATTGGCTACTATAACGTCATGGCTTGTCATGATTCACGTCACATACTAATCCTCTTCTAGATTAGCCGTTGGACAGACTTTTCAGGTATTTCAAGTTCAGTAATGGTGTAGGGATTATTTAGATATCTAAGGACCTATTAAAGGAGTAGATACTCGGCTTTCTGCTGTAACCAGAATGGTCTGAGTTCATAATATTTTATCGCCTTCTCGTTTAACTATAGATTACAACTATCACTGAGCAGTTTGTTTTATTCATTCGTCAAGCTCGCCAAAGACACAATATCAGTTCTACAATGTCTACACTTTGTAAGGACCGCATTGTCGAACAATGGCCGCAAATTGGAATCGTCGGTGCTGGTAGCATGGGAACCCAAATGGCGATCGCATTCTCAGAGCTAGGCCTTCACGTTTCCATCTGGGATGTCAATAAAAACAACGTCGACTCAATCGTGGAATGGTCGCGAAACCATAAAGTCACAGGCAGGATTGCCGGGTATCACGATATCAACAACTTTGTCCAAAGCTTAGAGGGAAAGGGGAAGAACAAACTTTTTCTCTTCTCTATCACTCATGGCGATCCAGCAGAGTCTATTTTGAGCATGATCAAAGAAAATCTCAGCAAAGGCGACATAATTCTAGATGGTGGCAACGAACACTACCGACGTACTCAGAGAAGACAATATGAGTGCGCAAAGCTTGGCGTCCACTGGATCGGTATGGGTGTGTCGGGGGGCTATCAGGCCGCTCGCCGTGGTCCAAGTCTGTCACCTGGTGGTGACAAAAAAGCTTTGGAGATGGTAATGCCACTGCTCGAGCTGTATGCAGCTAAAGATCTTCATGGAAAGCCATGTGTGGCTCGGATCGGGCCAAATGCCTCCGGGCACTATGTAAAGATGGTGCATAATGGCATCGAGGGAGGAATGCTTTCGGCCCTCGCGGAAGCATGGGCTTTTCTGCATGATGGCCTGGGATATGACTATGAAGCGATCGCCGATACATTCGACCGGTGGAATACCCATGGCGAACTCCGGGGTAACTACCTGCTTGAGATAGCAGTTGACATGCTTCGCACGAAGAGGTCGGTCGGCGGTATCGATCAGTATGTGCTTGATGAGGTTCTCGATAAAGTTGTCCAGGATGACGATGATACTGAAGGTACTCCCCATTGGGCCATCGAGGAGTCAGCATCACGCCATATCGCAACACCGACACTTGCTGCAGCCCATTACCTCCGCGTCGCTAGTGGCAACCGAGCAGAAAGACTAGTAACAGCTGAAATGCTGCAACTGAAGGAACCCAGCGTAGTACAAGATATCAGCGAAAAGGGAAAGGAAGTGCTCGTTGACGACCTACACGATGCTCTTTATTGCACTTTTCTTACCTCATTCTGCCAAGGTCTGGAGATGATCAAGCGTGCCTCAGATGACGAAAAGTGGAATATTGACCTAGCTCAATGTCTGAGAATTTGGCGAGGCGGTTGTATTATTCGGTCTGACGGCATAGCCGACATCCTAGAGTCAGTCCTTTCAAGTGAAAAGACCTGGGAAAATCTGAAACATGCTGAAGCAGTTGCTCATGAGTTGAGCCGGACATACAGGCCATTGAAGGCGACAGTTGTCCAGGGGTGCTTACACGATCAATACATGCCTGCAATTTCTGCAAACTTGGAATATCTGAAGTATGTGGGTGGAAAGAAGCTACCCACTAAATTTATGGAAGGTCAAATGGACTTTTTTGGATCTCATGGCTACAATAAGCCTGGAGTGTCTGGCGAGGATCCAGGACCCGTTGCAAAAGGCCCTCATCACCACGAGTGGCGACCGGCAGGCGCATGAACTCCATGCAGCACATTGAAATATTTTGCTATAGCTATTTTCTTGTGGTTGGCTTTCAAAAGCTTTCAAAGCTTTTTTTGATACTAAAGCTACGGTGTAAAAGAAACTTTCTTATGATTAGCATAGAATCCTTCCATCGCAAGCTGTATCCGATCAAACCATGATATTTCTTGGTTTCCGTTCCGATCGTGTCCAAATCTCTGTCACTCCTTTATTATAGGTAATATATGGTTTTTATCGCAGATTTCAAAGAAATTAATGGTTATATGGCCCATCCATGAATAATAACCGCGGCTTCCTATTGGCAAGTTGGTGGGTTTGTCGATACTTGCTTACTTACAGATTATACTCTTGACCCTGCTCACCACCATATCTATCCATTTAGCGACAGCTGTTTCTTTCCATTTCTTGACTACCTCATTGTCTTGGCTAACGTGCAATGATGTTACCCGGCTCTGTAGGCGCACTGTGAAATCATCATTGTCATATTAGTCGGGCAGTGGGGGTCAAGAACCAGGTCGACTTAGGCCTTAGCAAAGAGGTCACAAGAAAATCATAGGCTGGCATTGACACCTTCAAACTACGCCAAGCTTCTGCGAATATGTTAATCGCAAGTCCACTGCATTCAGCTTTCTTCAGCCACCAAGTAATTTAGAATTGATATATACAGTCCACCAAATCTTTTTTTTTTCATTTCTTCGACCTGAGTATTATCATTTGATTAATCTTCTCAAACAAGTCATTCGTTCGATATGGCTTATGGATAATATCGTCCATACCAGCGTCCAGCATCTCTATTTGTTGAGTCGCCCTCACATTTGCAGTGACCCCAAGGATAGGGGTACTGTCTCTACCAAGATTGCGGATTGCCATAGTCGCAGACTTCCCATCCATAACGGGCATTTCTTGATCCATGAGAATACAGTCAAATTCACCACGTTGGACAGCATCCAAGGCCTCCTGGCCGTTCGTCGCCTCTGAAACATGATATCCCAAGGATTGCAGCTTCCGGGAAACAATCTGTCGATTAATGTTATTATCCTCTACGACGAGAACATGCCGATTTCCTTTCGTGTCAGATTTCATGCCAATCGGTTCGTACGCTCCTAGACTGGGCGTGGGTTTTTCTAGATCAGGGTGCAAAATTTGGCGGTCGCTCGCGGAAGGCTCATCAGGCTTAACCTGTTGGGCCAATTCCAAACTATGTCTGTATTTATCGTCACTTGCAGCCCCCGGGGAGATTTCCGGAATGTGAGTAATAATGGGATCCTCGGGGATTTCGGGAGACTTTGTCCGGTTCTTGACCCCGGTGGCCCTGTTGCTCATCGCTTGTATCCCACCACACAACTGATCAATTTCGGATTCGTCGTAATTAGGCGGATCGAGACTAGATGGCTCAACGTCCCGTCTGACCTTAAAGAAGAATCCAAATGTGCTCCCTTCCCCTTCCATTGAGCTTGCGCCGATTTCTCCACCGTGAAGGTGGCAGAGCTTTCTGCTCACATTGAGGCCAAGACCTGAACCACCGTAAACGCTCTCAGTTCTAGGTGTTGCTTGGTTGAAGCGCTCAAAGAGCCGCTTTTGAGCTTGGTCACTGATGCCAATCCCGGTATCCTTCACGGCAACCATCAAATACGCGACTGGGCTGTCTCCCCACTCAGGTGTGGTGGTGGCATCCAAGCGTAATGCACTTTCATCGGATTCAAAAAATACAACATTAGGAGGATAAGATGGCGGCCGCTTCGTGGAGGCGCCTATTGAGACTCTGATCTCTCGCTTACTATTCGCTATGGCAGTGAATTTGATAGAATTAGAAACCAGGTTGACAAGAACCTGGCCCATCCGATCGAGATCTGCTAACACCCATTCAATCCCGCAATCTGCGTAAGAAGTGTCAAGTTTGTATTCAATATGAATGTCTTTCTTGCGAAGCTGTGGCCGAAACATAGACAATGTCCGTGCCAAGTGTCGTTTTGGTTGATCTATTCGCGGTGATAAGGTCAACATTGATGCATCTAGCTTCGAGAACGTAAGGACATCATCGACAATCTTCTTTTGATGTGCAATGCAGAGACTGATTGTGTCTGCTGCTTGTGCAATGTCTGCCACAGGTACTCCACTACTTTCTTTGTCCTTCACGGCTTCAAGTATATCCTCAGTGCAATGAAGGATAGCAGAAAGAGGATTTCGGACTTCATGACTTATCATATCAATGAAACGTTCCTGTTGTTCTTTGCGCTCTTGCGCTTCTCGTGCAATTTCCACTTGGAACAGCTCTGCCGTCTTTTCTTGGGTAATGTCTGCGATAGTGCAAATAAAGCCACCACCGTTTAGATTAAGCCGATGCAAATCAATGTCATCTAACGGAGCCAACATCAGAACACGCCAGAGAGAGACTTGACCGCGAGTGCGGAACTCGATGCGCAAAGCACGCTTAGAGTGTGAGGTCTCAAAATAGGCCTTGGCTACGCGGTCGTAATCTTCTGGGTGGATGGACTTTGACCAGCAGTCGAATGATTTAGCACTGCAGCATGTCATGAGCTCCTGGAAACGCCGGTTCACCATGATTGACTCGTCATTTTGATTGAGAAATGCAACCCCGGTCGGTAACATATCAGCAAGCTCTTGTGCAGAAAGACTCAAATTGGGGACCGCAGTCATATTCATCTTGTGTGTGCCGTTGATGGTGGTCTCTGGCTTCCAAAAGAGAAGTAATACGCCTTGGCTGCCAGCTGAGAGACAATCGGTAGTGAATTGATAAGGGACAGAACAATTTACCTTGAAAGGTGTGGTTTCAAATATAAGTGTTTCGATGCTTGTTCTCGCTCATATTTGAAGTTGAACAACTATTTCTCTCGCGGCAGCATATATCTCCCGCTTGTATTGGCGTTGCGAAATGATGTCATCGATATTTTCTTTTAGCGCGGAATAACATTTTCCCTTAATTCCCCTAACAAATATTTTATTGCCCAGCCGTCGACAGTGACTTGCTTTGAAGGAACAAAGAAAAGCATGACACAACCATTTTGAACCCACCGCACGGATTGAGGCTAGGCTGAATAATGGTAGTCCCAGCCACGAATCAAAATACGGGGGAATCTTGGAGACCCTGAATTTGTGAGAGCTTGGCAGATCGCTACGTACCTCGAACAAGAAAACGCGAACATTATGAGTTATGCATGCACCCATTCTTTTAGTGTTCTCCACGGTTTCCCCCAGATACGTCGGGAAATACCGACCATGGCGCATAAAATCTACAGAGCTTGGTGTGCGGAGGAAAGTCGGTATTTCTCAAGGATTTCTGGGCATACAGACTCCACCACATTAGCAATATGCTTCATATTCTGGCAGATTTGCCTCCTCTAGTTATACACCCAATTTTGGATTGGCAGGCGGTAGTAATATCTCCAATTGTTGGCCACGTATAGTCTGGCATCCATAGCAGGGTTCTCTATGCGATGACAGCATTCTGATGTATCGGTTTAACTGAGTGAAGGTTAGTAATTACTAAGCCTGATCACCATCAAGAAATAATCTGCAACCTGAGCCTTTCTTCTTCCATTCAGCGAAGTCTATGCTAACTACACATGCCCGACAAAATGGATACGAATTTCATTGTAATTTAATTTCTCTTCGCCTCCTATGATCCCTACTAACAAAGACAGGTAACTTTTCAAGACTCGGCGACCACTGAGCAGATCAATACCTACATCGCACAGATTAACGGAGACGGTGGATCTGTAATCAACAGGTTTCCAGACATGATCGCTAGAGGATTCACGTATGTGTTCTGTCTACTAAGACGCTTGGTTGGATGTTATCCTAATTTGCGTTCCAGAGCCTGTATAACAGAATCAGTTCTCCAAAAGCTTCGGTCAGACCCGTTGATTGATCGTATCACACCTGATAGCTCCAACTAAGCTCGGCGTTGGCTCATCTCTTAGGAGAAACCTACATAGCCTAGCATTCTTTTGCTTCGCATAGCCTTATTCTACTACAATAACGACATCTTTCGTGGTTAGCTAATCACATTGACCTTTGTGTTGGCTCTCTATACATAATCAGAGGAAACTCATCTATAGGTCGGTCCCCTTACCACACAATTGATCCGAAATTTCATTGTACTTACGGACCGGGTCTGCTCCGAGTGACTCATAATTCCTCATTTGAAGAGTACAATGTAACAAATAATAAGCCGTAGCTTCCCTACTGGCAGCTCCGCGTGTCCCGCTTCTTTCATTCTGAATGGTCGAATGGATTAGGTGTTAGTTATACCGGAATTGGGCAAGACATGTATGTATCTTTACAAACTCACTGCATATAGGTATGGACAAATCTCAGGTAAACATATGCTTGGCTATGTCTGCAGATTGCATATTTCATTTTGCAATATCTGGTAAAACTGGCGTGAGAATCACCTAGATATCTAATTCTGCTGTGTTATCGAATATCCAGATAACTGGACAATCAGACTTTGTGGAGTTTGATCCACCCGGCGAAACCAATCAGAATGATATGGAGGGCAGCAATTATGGCGTTCTGATAGGCTATATGTTCAGATCAGCTTCCTGGGTAATGCCGGGATCTCCAGTCCTGCGGAGGCAAAAGGTTCACATGAACCCAGCCATAGGTCACTAATGAAATTGCAACATGGTAAGGACAGCAGTATGGCCCGCCGCAGGAAAGATGTTGCGGTATGCTCCACTATTTAATTCCATTCATCAAAGTGCTGAAAGTGATTCTACACTATGCGGGAGGAAGCGGTCTAAGGAAGGATTCAGATCGGCTAACCAGCACCCAAATTAATAAACCATGCACAAACCAGATGACGAGTTCATCAATCAGTTTAGGAGGGGTTTTAGGGACCTTCCCTTGACCTGCCATAATAGTTGTCTGTTCACTTTTCTGCTCCCGCGTTGATATTGATTCTTACTTTAAGAGTACCAAACAGCTCACCTCGGTAGGTTTCACGTGTTAGTAACCTACGGATCTAAGGTTGTGAATACCCAGTGAGCTACCATGCTTCTCATTATGAGGACAAGGACGTGGTAGCTCTCATTAAAAAGCTCGCGCAAGACTTGGTCCTGCAGTAACACCATTGCTCCATGATGGTGCGAGCTTAAATCTCATTGGATATTACTGATTACTGGCTAACGCCTTACAGATCCGACTGGGTCGCACTCATCGGAAAAGATATCCGCGATGACCAATAGCTCTTTTGGACGATGATGCCCTATCAGACCTGTACCGACAACTTATACTGCCCCCAGCCCTGCCCCGGATTTCGCCACCAAACCAACCGCAGTCCTATTTTGAGACTTTATCTTATTGGCTATTGGGAAGAAGGTGGGAAATGTGATGAGCTGCCGCTGGGAGTTCTACCTTTCCGCTAACATTGATTGGGCACCCATGGAGAAGCAGCTACGTAAACGGAGCAATTTGCTTCGTATTGGCAGGAACCTTACCATTGTGATTGCCTCCGCTTATAGAGAGGATGATGGTGGTCATTCGATGTCTTTCTCGATAAAAGACGAAAGAGAGGGCGTGTGTCCGCAATCAGCAGAAAGTTGGCTCAACACGAGGCACATATTTTGGCGGAGGAAGAAATTAGGGGACAAAATTCGACTTGGAGTCATGTATATGAGCTAATGCGACGTAATGTCCGCTCATGCCCGGGGTACTGGGAGGGCCCGAAAGACAAGAAACATTAGAAACTCAGTGTGGCTGGGGATTGGCCCAGGGTTTGTCTCAGCCCCGAGATGAGGTCAACGCCGCACATCGATGTAGAGTATACTAGAGATCCGTCTCCAATGGCCGAAGATAGCGGGTATCCATTTTATATCGACCGTTTTGTACTTTTGACATGGGCATACTGTATGCTGTCTCATTTAGTGGAGAACGGACCATGAAGGCCCGCATTGGTGGGGGCAGCGGCACCGGTGAAAATGGCCAGCTAATCACATATATCACACTGGGGACTATCATCCCGATGTGGTAAAAGCCACCCATGGGTCCCGGCCGCACTCGCCACCAAGTGTTAGCCTAGGGTGCTTTCACGATGAAAAAGCATGGTGTAAGTTCGATCGGCCCTCATGTACCAGCTAGATGCTCGAATGGCGGTCAATTCGTACATTGTTAGATTCTACTGTCGTCAGACCCAACAAATAGGAACGGGGATCTGCAGTTACGAGTCACTTGCGCCCGGGCGATCTAGTTGATTAACCTTTGTACATATACACCCTGTCCCGCAATGGCCCCGACGCGCGTACGGAAAAGACATCCACGATGCTTTTGCAATCCTATGTACTCGTTTGCTACTTAGCTTTGCGCTCCACCTTTCCAACCCCACCATATGTGATACAATTTCTATGATTTCATCGACTACTAGGGCATTGCAGTGTGTCTAGCCTTTCTAGCTGTTGCTCCAGGGCTACTTATGCACGCTTTTGACCCAGAACGAGTTTCTGTACCTCAGCGATTTCCTTCCTACATTGGCTGGGTTCCCCATACAGCTGTCTTTGTGAAAAAACTACCACGCTTTAAACTTTGCGATAAGTACATTTGCGAGCTTTCTTCCTGTCAAATGAAGACAATTTCATCCCCATTCGGCCTCGAGCAACCTTCCCCTGGCTGGCCGAACCTGCGCGACACAGGCTGCGCGACTTCTTCCCTATCTCTTTGAGTGAGCACTAGGCACACTTCTGTGCACTCTACCTCCAATTATGAGTTATTCAATGTTGTGTCACAGGTGAGTCCGATACCTTATGCACTTCTGCGCCCAGATCTAACCTCGCATACCTCTTTCATACAGGAACGCAAATAAACCAAATAACGAGCTCATCAGCCGCTTCCAGAAGCTCTGCGGTAGCTCCTTCTTTTACAGAGTCACCGATAATAAGCAGTTTGGTTCTTTCATTGAAGGAAAGAATGTCAACACGCCATCAGAAGGGTGAGTAAATAACTACTCCCAAGCAGCCTACGGAAATGCTCATACACAGCCAGGGCGCAAAAGAGAACGAAGGGAACGATCCAAGGCTCCGAAGACCTTCTCTCATTTGATCCGATGGCACGTCCAATTCATCAATGTCTCAACAATTGTGCCCACCACAAAGCTATGACTCCAATCTGTATCCATCGCAAGCGAAACTCTCTACAATATCCCACGACTTAGTAGAAGGTCGAGGATACCCAAAGAGTTTCTCCAGTCAGAAGGATCATCGACCTGTTTTGGAATTGCAACCTATAGATAAAATCCAAACCAGCTTCAACTCGATTGGAAGTGTCAATCCTTCGCAATTATGGAAGAGCATGGATCCTTTTGGGCCTGTGGGTGTTTATTCACCTCGCCAGATCACATACCAAGGTTCAGATTACGAAAACTTGGGACTTTCAGCTGAGCCACTTTATAAAAATGAAATGACGGGTGATCAATCGCCACCGGCTGCAAAAGAGCCTGTTTCACAGGATAGTTCGATCGCCGATGCAGAGAATCTGTTTTATTCGGAAAGTGAGCAGTAAGTCTCTCGATGGGGTTATGACCGGTTGTCACAATTCTAACCTGCCGTGGTCAGATTCCGCTACCACACCATTCTCCGAGCTTCCACCGCAATGGTCAGTGATCCCAGGGAGGTACCTGTATCCTATCTCAATAAGGGCCATGTCTACCATCTCATAGTGGTAGACTCAAAGCCCTCTGCGGCAACTTCAGAGATTACCAAGTACCGAACATTCGTCCGCATTTCGTTCAAACAGGAACAGCAAAGGTCTAATCCTGCTGCTTATTGGAAATTGTGCAAGGCATGCAGAGGAATGGAAGACTCGCAAAAGAATGATAACCAGTTCAGGGCTGTTGAATATGTTGGTCACGACATACCCCACATGTCTATTGAGAACGTTGGGTTAGATGGGTTCTCGATCACTTGGACCATCGACCCAAATAGGAAAGTACCCGGATGCAGTATTCCAGTTCGGTTCAACTTCCTTTCCACTGATTTTACCCTTTCAAAGGGCGTGAAAGGTGCCTCAGTCCGACTTTGCGCCAAGACGAAGCAGCTCAATGAAATTGCTGCTCAGGAATCAGAAGCTTGCTTTTGCAATGTGAAGCTCTTTCGCGACCATGGCGCCGAGCGAAAATTGTCGAATGATGTTGCGAGTATCCGCAAGAGAATTCAAAGATTGAAACAGCAAATGAGTGAACCAGCCCCACCCAAGCCGGCGAGCAAAAGGAAGCGAGGTAGCATCGCAAACTCCAAAGCGCATCTCAGCTGCTCGAAAAAAAGCCTCCAGGGAGGTGGGATGCCGGTGGGATTCGAGGACAGTTCACGGCAGACCAACTTCCGGAACCATTTGCAGAGCAGTATAGACGGTCTGCAAAGTTCTATTTACACAAGCCGTCGCGAAAGTGTATTAAGTTTTCGCGCCGAGGTACAAGATGACCCAGAAATGTATTTATCTTCTCCGATGGAGTCATACGACGTGCAGCCATCAATTTTCGCAGGGGCTCATCAAATAACGACAGCCTATCTGCAAGATCAGACTCCTCGGAGTTCAACAGATTGGACACCGAATACCATGAGTAGCTTCCAGAGTGGAGCATCAACAGGATCATTCAAGTCGGAACGAGCGACTGTGCCCGGTAAGATTGGCATTGCATTTAGCTGCAGAATCAAAACATCCCAACTAACGACAATGTGTGGAATTAGCTGCATGCTTCTACGTTCGATTCCTCAACAACGACCAATCGCCAAAGGAATATTATCGTGCGATCTACCCCAAGACGCGAACAGTCGACGAAATGGTGTCGAAGATCTCAGAGAAGAGCTTCGCAAGACCAGCAGATGTCGCTCGCATTCTGCATGTCAACAAATCTGGACTCAAAATTGTGGTGGACGATGGTTTCGTCCAGAAGATGCCAGAGGGTCAGAGAATGGTCGTCAGAATACTCGCCATCCCTCTACCCAGCGCAGACAGCACAGAAACCGACAATCAAGTTGAAATTCGCTTGGAATACTAAGTGGAGAGTTCAAGTCAGAATCGATTTTTGGGTCTACAAATTTACTGAAACAACTGGTTAAATATCTTATTATCATTCTTGTGAAAACTATACAATAATCTTGCGCTGCTAGGGGTTCAGGTTGTGCGTCATTTTGTCACGATTAAGAGGTTTAAAATCTTTGCTTGAGTAGGGAGGGTGGCTCGTGTTGGGACGATGACGGTGAGAGGCTTATTTTTTGGATTTGTAATGATACATAGAATTACACCTGGGCAGCTTTCTTCCGTTTGGAATTTTACTGTGCAACTGCGGAACCTAACTTATAATACATATTTCCATCGAGCCCCACCATGTTACACCAATCACCGGCTCAAAACACTGAGCCACATCATTGCTATTGCTAGCTACGCAAACGTGTGCTGATATTCCAACATGTTTCAGAGATGGGGTAAGCAGGAAAATTATGACCGAAAGTCTTTTCGGCAAGACATTCTCTCCTAACTATCCTCACCTCGTAGCAAATGCTCTGTATGCCAAGATAGGGGGTTAGGTAGAACCGACCCCGCGGATTGTTTCAGTTTACTGTGGGGCGCAGGGATCTTAACGGGACTGATAGACAGCCCCGCTAGTTTTCATTTTTAAAAAAGATTTTCAATGACCTGCCATCCAATCATGCTCCTTATAAACCGTCGGAAAACAGGAGACATTATAACTAGATACAGTACAGGGTACTGGATCTTTTCAATCGAAGACATCAAGAAAATCTGCTAAATCAAACTTTCGACAAGTAACTAAAATAGTACTTCAATTGATAATTATCGCTGAATTGAATTGGTTACATGTATATACTTATATGGTACATTATATTCCGCTCGGTATATTCAAGAAGGTATTAAACAATCCGTCTCCATACATTTCCCTTTTCGCCCCATTGTCGGTCCCCGAGGTCACACCAGGATCCACTTTAGATTGCTCCGAGTATGTACTCGTTGATAGTGGAGGTGAAGGATACCTGAATGGATCACGGTAGTCTCCTTGAATTTATTGGCCATTTCATCAGCTGGGCGTTGATATGTTGATCCTCGCATTGTGCATGCGCAAATAACTGGTTTTTGAGGTACCAGTTTTCTTCCTGTAAAACTTTTGACTTCGGTCTTCAGGGCCATGTGTTTGGCGGACGCAGAATCAGCCGTTACTTATAAGTAAGCGTGCTCTTGTTTCTTTTTTTCTCGATATTTGTTTGCTGTAATTAGACTTTTATAAAGCCTAATTTGGGCCTTAAGTCTCGGTCTAAAACCTAATCTATATTAGGCTTAGGCTGAACCTCTCCGGCCTAGGCCTAATCTAAAGCCTAATCTAGGCCTCTAAGAAAGCCTAAGAAAAGCCTAAATAAGCCTAAGTTTGTATAATTCTAACTATAAAGCTATTTGTTATCTAGATAATTTATCCTTTTTTACGCTTATTCTGGTTTATATAATATACTATAATACCTTCTTTGTATAAATCGTAAAAAATTTAGAGAAATAATCTTATAATCCTAAGGAGTATATTAAACTAATTATAGTTTAAGTTTTATTTAAAAGTTTATAAAAGGAGACTAGATGTTAGTAGCTTTTTCCGCTGCGTGTGCTCTGTGATGCCTATTCTGATACATTGCCCCCATCTAGAACCCGACGACTGCCGTCAATGGAACAACTTGTTCCCTTATCGAGAGCTTCGATTATTGCGTTCAAGTGGACTATATCTCAAACTCGGTGGGGGCTACGTCTACTTCGGCCTCGACGACATCAACACCCAGCACATCAAATACTGATACCACCTCCGCACCCTCTACTACCGCAGTCAGCACCACTTCTTCATCTTCAATCACAGAGACCAGCATTGAAACCCCATCTCCCGTGCAGACCGGAATAAGCAGCATTTGTAACAAGTTTTACAAGGTCAAGTCCGTCGGAAAACTGAGCACAAAACGCATTTGGATCGATTCTACCGGCTACTTCTTTATCGGTGACTTTTTCTTCGGGATATCTCTGGCACTCGACTCCCCTGGCCACAATCTTCCTGGGAGGAAGCGTTGCAAATATGGGAACCCTCAGATGACGTAGAAGATCACGTTGCCCCCGAAATATCACGCTCCCAGAGTAATCACTCTCAGATTCATGAATCCACTGACTGATGGTCTTTTGGAATCATTCTTTATGAATTGCTAGTCGCGAATGCTACTTTCAATCTCACCAATTATGACGCGGCGGATACGACCGTTGAACTACAATCTTCTTTGAATGGCGTATCTATTGGAGAAACAGCAAAAGACATCATCATGAAACTCCTCTCGCCGGATCCGCTTCGACGCCTTGGAGCAAATGGGACAGGAGAAGTTAAGTCACACCCTTTCTTCAATGGGATGGATTGGCCCAAGCTCATGAGGAAGGAATACATCCCGATATTTCGGCCGCCTCTGCATAAAAAGCAGGATCAGGCTTGGGCATCATCTTCACCAACCCCAGAACTAAGTCAGGAAGTCAAGGCTCAGTTCACTGGGTGGAGCTATAATCGACGACCTGGGCAGGAAAAGCAGGACCCCTAGCTCACTAAGATTAGTATCAGAATTTGAACCTCTCTTTGCATTTTGTGGATTTATGTGTATGCCAAAGATGGAGCGTTATGGTTTCGGCCTCTCCCTTGTCTAGTCGGTCTGATGTTGTTCTATTTGAATCGCTCTCCATTTCATGAAGGACCGACAATAATCCCGAAGCCGAGGAGATCGAGCATAAAAGCCAACCTGGTGCCAATTCCGCCTCTCGCCTCTCATCTCTCGCGGGGGCCTGGTAGTCAGCCGTAAAGTAGACAAACAACATCTGATTGTTTTGACAGGTTACCTTACGCTGCGGTGCTTTCAAAAGAGGAAGAGAGAGAGGGAAGCTCAACTATGTACATATAGGCACCCCCTACTCTCGGACCAATCCGTTGATTGTCCCCGTACACTCTCTTCATATAGCTATACTACACATACCTTCAAAGTTTTGCTTGTTCTCGTCTGTGGAGGCCCCTGGGCCCTCTCGTGCGAGTGGCTCAGACATTTCGGTTTGGATTTATCAACACACAGCTATGGTTGATTTCCGGTTGGGTTAAGGTCAATGATTCAGATTGCAAAATGAATGAAATAGAAATGGGGATTCAAATAACAAGATCAACATTTTGAAATTCTGGTTTACCAGAATTGATTTCTTACCTAGTTAAATATTACTCGGGAGAAGCTCAATGTTCTCAGCTCCACATTCTCCGAACAACCTGCTTCAGAAAGTTGCTAGCATCATCGCCAATGTAAACTAGAATCGCACAGTCACTTGACCTACCCTATCACCACTGACGTGGCAGGAAAGATGACATTGCCGAGGTGGCACGACATGAAAAAAAGTTCTGACGGATCCGAGATAAGGATCAATCAGCTTTGCGAGCCTTGGGAAACTCCGGATGTATGCGCGAATAATTCGAATGTCAATTCTCCAGGATTGCTGGATATTCACCAATAATGATGTGTGTGCAGACCAAGGAGTAGCTCGGACCTTATTTATGGATCTCATCGTATCGAACTCGGTGAGCCCTCGCGCCGATTCGAGATCTACCACAAACGCAAACCCGTCATAGTGGACGAAATGGAAAAGTCTTTCTAATTACTCCTCCTTCTCATTTCTCAAGACATTACATGTAAATGTTTTCAATAATAGAGAGGGATTCTTCAATTTTCAAGACAAAAAGGCCAAATGATAACTAAAACCCGACATCCGTACAAGCTGAACTGAGTAGTTTCTCAAAAGCTGTGGATTAGCCTTCCAACGTAGATGAACAAGCGGTCTGTGCGGCACGAGATTGAGCAAGCCAAATACAGTGCGGGGCAATCTCTGAATCACTCTGTAGATCTTTTTCCCCATACCTTCTAACCGAAGCCTGAGCTTGCTACGTATGGCCATAGGAGACCTACCTAGCTAGCCATACCTTAAGCCAATGATGTAGTTTCGCCTCAATAGTTATGTCTAAAACCTGCCTCCAGACTGCTTATTTAGTGCGCTATATCACCAATGGATATTCGGCATCCTGCCACGAGACTGGTGCGTATAACATAATTTCAGGAATTGTTTCGGGACTCACTACAGTTACCGCGATAAATAATCCCACTCCTTCAAGTTGCTAGAAGTGATGAGGTTTTGAGTACGCCCGGGCGTTTGACACTATATTACACTACACGTCTTTCTAATGATGTTTCCAAACATTGGTAGTACTGCAGTACTCGGATGCTACAAAATAATCGGCCTCTTAGAGAGAATCCGATACTATTTGACAAAGTACCGCATCAGGTTGACGGGCTTTCAATCAGTTCTAGCTAATACTAGTATGGTTACCATTCAATTAAGATCCACATTTCGCCTGAGTAGCAACTTGAAGATCACATCGAGACGTTATTCTACTGTGGCAAGATGTGTCTGCTAGAATAGATTTCCAATGTTTCTCAACAGTTGTTGATCAAATATTTTGTCTCGGTTTGGCCTCCTGGCCTCCTCGATACTATATGTAGATATTGATATAATATGAGTATCTACCATGCAATATGACATTTTCATATGTATGACTCTATGTAGAGCAGTGTCTCGGTAAGCATTAATTGACCAATGCCAGAACATTTATATGGAGCTCATACGAATAGACTGAACAGTCCTTCGTCACACACTGATAAATATTCACACATACATCAAGTAATTGGAAATCAAGTTTATCGCAATGTAAGTAGGATGGATGCTTTTGCAGCTACAAAGTGCCACCAGATCCATACAGTTGCGCTCAGAATAAACGATTTAAGATAGCCGGGTTACGCCAAGGTCAACTACTGCCTAGTACAATTTAGGATTGTGTCTCATATCTTAACGCAATAGAGACTGGTCCTGTTTGGCTTGCGAAGATACATACTACCCCAATCAGATTTTGCTCACTTCAAGGAGTTTCTATGGCCAAGACTCAAGTTTCCTAATTAAGGAATTTGACCAAGACAGCGAATTTTAGATGATAGGTGTTTTATTGGTTTTTCTTATGTTATGCGATTGATGAATGCTTTCAAGCTCGTGTGTAGTATGTAACTTTCATCTAAAACTTTGTCCAGTCTACCTCAAGTCTATAATATAAACTTCAAGTTTAAACGCCTCAGGCTCACCTTCAAGTTGGGGTTTCAAAATATACTAGTAGTAGTAGTACATGACGATCTAGTATATATTTTCATATTCTCACCTTTATTCCTTGGAATTCATACTAGATCATGCGATAGGCTATAAATTAGGTTAAACCTCCGGGCTGACCTATATTCATCTTTCCTCTCGTCACTGTACCAATTACATCCATGGACATCGATGAATGGAAATGGGGATAGTAGCTGATTGATAATATACACCAAATCAGAAATGATGAACTGAATTGTGGAGAATAGAGCCATGCTAACTATCACAGGGAGATTTATTACTTACAACAAACTGAACGAGTCTGTCCAGTTATGGTGTTGTTCAGCGTGCTGGACTAAAAATTAAAAGCTGGATGATGATGATGATTCTGCGCTGCAAAAGTGAGAAATATTAAGTTGACAAGGGGCCTGAGGCACCCATGCATTAATAGAGCACTAGAGCCGAAGCGAAACGCCCAAGTGGCTGCCCAGTCCGTGTTTCCTTGTATCACCACCAAGCTCTAAAATGACCTTGCACGTCTCAGAATCCAACGAGGGGAATCAAGCTGTCTTGCCTGTCGAGAGCTCACATCAAACATTCTATGTACCAAATGTCGGCGAGATACTGGGCCAAGGCTCAACTTCGTTGGTAGCAAAGATAAAACCAGGGACCGTGATCAAATCTCCTCGTTACTCGTGGTGGCACTCCGGAGCAACCGAGCTTCATCACTTTGTTACGGACGTAAAGCATAGTTTTGAAGTTGAAGAACAGCTTCTGAATATACTAGGGACACACCCAAGAATAGTCCGGTATATCATCAACCCCGGCCAACTGATCCGATATACAATACTAAATTTCATGATTGATTCCAATCTAGCTATCTTGGCCCCTCTTTATATCCTCGTGGTCTACTCTTCGAAGAAGCTAGCGACGGCAATCTACAAACTTACATCGATCAGCATAACGATTCTATCGACCTACATCTTAGAATAAAATGGTGTCGCCAGGCCGCAGAAGCAATCCAGTATATCCACCAAAAGGGCGTCATGCATTCCGATCTGCGACCGGAGAATTTCTTACTCCACTCCAACTCCGTTAGTAAACTTGACCTCCTTCTCTGTGATTTCGGGGGATCGATGTGCGGCGACATCGATGGTCTACATCTGCCTGACTCTGGATTCTTCGACCCATGCAAGCCATGTATGTCAACGGAGGCAGTGGACATTTTTAGTCTCGGGTCGATCTTTTACACTATAATGACTGGTCATTGGCCCTATAAGACTCCTGGACCATTTGAAACTTCAAATGAACAAATGGAGTATGGGCAGCTGGTGGACGGACTCTTTGCATCTCGGAGATATCCTGAAATTAATGGTCTTCCAGGTGGTGCTGTTATAGAGGGATGCTGGACAGAGCGATATAATGATTTGGAGGAATTGATTCAAGATCAAACTTTGTTATTTAGCGAAATAGAACATGGGGATATCCAAGGCACGTGGGATGAGAAGAGACAAGAACTTGATTGAGGGTGGAATGTACATAGTAGCTGTGTCTTTGGTAGTTGGGATATTCTCGGGGTTTCATCGCAATAAAATGAATGGATAGTGCAGATCAGTATCAGAAAATTTCTTCATGTACGCGCATTTATTCCAAGTGTTCCAAGTAATCGTGTCGGATCTATCATCTTTTTTTTTTCAGCGGTGGCGAATTGCACGTTCGAGTTTTGACTTTGGTACCCGCGGCCCCTTTCGCCCGATGAACAACGAACAATGAACCGCGACAGGAACCAAAAAGCAAAAATCTATATTGAGAACCACACACTTCTCATCGGTCGCTTGACAGTGATAGTCCTGACGTTAAAGGCTGCATGCGATATGAAGATCCCTCCACAAGTTTGACCTGCCACTGAATTTACAGGCATCCGTACTGGGGCGCATGCAAGTACATACTGTAGTGCCCGACAAGAATAGAGATAATAAATGCCGATCTGTCAATCAGCTCGCATTTGTTACCCCCCTTGAATGCATCATGAATCATGAATCATGCACCATGCGACCGTCTCAGGTACGAGCTCGTGAGTTCTCGCTGTTGGGCGTGACCCATGGATAACGCGACAGAGAGCGACAGAGCTCTGCCCCCAAACAGTAATCCGGATGCAGGGCCAACCCGACCAGTCCCTGAGAGGCCCTGAAAGCCAAGAGAAGTTGGAAGTGGGTCCATTTGCATAACCACTTGACGACGCGCATGGCTTGCCTCTGGGCACGAATCTCTGGGTGTGGTACGCCACATGTCCGACTGTCTGAGAGGTTCTCAGCCAACCAAAAGCAAATGAATGGTGTCAGCCCAAATCACCGCCTCTTTTCAGCCCTGACGACAATCTACGATAATCAGGCTGTTCTGGCCCTTGACTGGTGGACATGTACCGGGTGTGTGGGCCGGGGGATTGTTAAAATGGCAGTTACAGTAGATGATTGGCCGGGGGTGGGATGGCCCAGTGTGAAACTAAGATGCCGCTAAGATCAGCCGATTGGGGGGTTGGTCAATCTCTTTGCTCATGCAAGTCATTTGTTCCTCCATTTCGTCAAGTCTCAGTCATTTGGGGGCTCTGCATTGTTCCCCAGGGCTCCACACAAGAAAGGGGTGTGTTGTTTTGTGTAGTTTTTTACGTTTAGGTAGGGTACACCCGGGCAACAAAGTTTTTGAGCTTATGCATGGCCCGACACCGACTTTTTTTCGCTATATGTTTTGTGTTGCCCGGATCCAAACGGAGGGTGACGTCTTCCATTTGCAATCTCCTATACATAAAGGGCATTATGAATGCTGAACCTTTGGTTCGACCCAGCGTTCCTGACTCCAGATAGTTCCGGGCTGAGATCGAGACTCAAGTGGAGATTATGTGGAGCGTGGGAAAAGTGGATCGTCGCAAGAAAAAACGAGAACAAAGACCAGGCACAGGTTCATTCGGCCCCGAGTACCGATGGGAGAAGAAAAAAAAAGCAAAAGATTTTTTTTACTTATAACTTATTATCTTCTTCTGATGCTGTTTCTGCTTGTTTAATTTCGGTCTTCAAGTTGTTGTTGTACCTTGCATTGACGGTGAAGGTGTGAGTCTGGATAGATCATCTCCCTTACAGTTTTAGTTCCCCGCTCTAACAAATCGGATGTATAGAGTGCGGGCGTTCAGATCATCGCCCACAAAAGGATATGTCACAACGCTAGAGGCTACGAACCCCTCAAAACAAGAGCCGACAAAACTCAATTGTACTATTTTGCGCTGTGCGCAGACTTTCGGGAATGGGTAGAGTCCACGAGTTCCCATCCACCGACTCAATCGGTCTATGGGATAATGACGAGCTACCGGATAGCTCATCTTTATCTACAGACGTCGGCAGTGTCAATGCAACCTGCACTCCTCTTGAACCCCTTCATGCAGATGCAACATTACTCCCTGCTCGTTCCTTTGGTCTTACCGGTTCATTATCACTACATGATTATCGCAAGCATCTCGCACAGGCTGCAGAGTGCATTGACGATCCTGTAGATCGTTCAGAAAGGACTCTCAAGCGAAAAACGGCAACAAGCAATTTAAACCGTCCGCCAGCACTGTCAAATATTCCTTCTTACGCTGTATCAATATCTTCATCTGCGGCATCAAGTCCGCCACCATTGTCGCCATCCTACTCGCAAAGTATTATCTCCCAACGAAGCGAGCTAGACGACGTCCCAGAACAAACACTCGCTCAGACACAGCAGGTGCAGGTGCAGCAGGTGCAATCCGGTAAGTACCGCATGCAGCTTTGATTAAAAAAAGATAAACACTAATTTTAATTCACCTACAGATGCACTTCCTGCCCAGGGGCCACGAGTTAATCTTGTCTCAGCAAACCTGACCCGTCCGAGACCTAACAGGAAACGATTGGTGAGTCGACTGAAACAATAAATAAATAGTCTGTTTTTCCCGCCATCTTCTGACCTGGTCTTTTACTTTTTTTTTTCTAGAACACCTTTCGTGAGAAGCTAGAGGCCCGCGGACAGGCTCATCACTCGCCTCTGTCTCGCCCCCAGGAATCCGACATGTTAGCCACCACCCAAGCGGCAGCCGCCACCATCTCCCACGGCGGAGCCTCCTTTGAGATCTTGAATCCACGAAAGTCTCTTGATCTCGCACGCATTGTCTCCTTTATCGAGGATGTAGACACATGCTCATGGCTCCCAGCGGATCAAATCCGTGATTCGCACATTGCTAGCACATTCTCTATAGACCAGGGACTAGACCGTGCCTCTCTCTCCCAGTTCACAGATGCATCTCTCCCATCCCACTACTCTTCTCAATCCCTCTACACATCCCTCTCAGCGGCATACTCTACACCAAAGAGTCAATCAGCTGATATTCCCTCCTCGTCACCTGGAGTGCACGACCGAGTCCGCTCATTATCAGACTACTCGCGGGACGAATACGATCTCTGGAGATCCGGCTACCAAAATGAATACATCGATAAATCAATGCACCCCGATCTCGTAGGAGAGTCCCCAAAACCACGAATGTTCTCAATCTCCGAGCGCCTAGAAGACGAACTTGATGTTCCAGTCTCAGAGCCCGGCTCTGCTCGTCCGGCATCTTCTTCCCAACCAACCTTCTACTCTGAGAGTGAAATAGGCGAGCCAGGCTCTCCAGTCTACGCCAACGGAGAATGGTCGCAGGTCGACGAACGAGACCGCGGGATCTTTTACGAACTACCCTCTCCCTCAGCCTACGACACCGAACTCACCCATGAGAACGAAAATGACAATGAAAACGAACACTCACACACATTTCCATACGATACTTACCTCTCAAACACCATGTCCCGCACCTACCAATTCTACGACCATGACCAAGATCCATATGACCACATGTACTATGATCCCCATGTACAATCCGTCCTGGCCGCGGCCAACGCCGAGAACATGGGACTCCGCTCGCAGTCTAACCATGCGCTGGACGGCTTGCAGCGCAGATTCCAAAGCTCCCTCTCCCTATCTGGAGAGGCAGGAAAGAGCAAAGGAGAAAGTGGAAAACAGTCATTTTCTCAACGCAGGAAATTGCGCAGGTTCTTTAGCTGGAGGTCTGGGAACTAAGTCATTTTCTTTTGTTATACTTTTTCACTGTCGACATGATATCATGACGAAATGAGGCGGCGTCCCTTTTCGACGATTCTTCTTCTTCTTCTATTTTTTATTCATTATTTGTATTTCTACTACCCTTTTCTTTTATTCTTTTTATTACTCTTTGGACTGAGTCCATGCTTATATTGAAATATTACTGGTTCGGATATGGGATAATGAAATCCACTTCAATGAGTCTTTTGCCATAACATTTGCGTAGAAACATGATTTGCAAACCATAGATGAGTATGAGCGTATACGAGTTGTGTGGATCGATTTGAAATCCCTCTAGATCTCGGGCGTGGCTTTGACAGTGGTTCGCCAGATCAAAAATTGCGGAAACGTGCAGGTATTCGTTTGCAGTCATTGCATATGTACTCCGTAATTATCACACGGCCTTATTTGTAAAGAGCGTGTTATATTATCTCCAGGGCTTAATTCAAACATTCGAGCATGTGTATGGCTGAATGTTCACGTGGTATTCTTCCAAGGTTCCAATAGGTTTACTATATCATCGGGGGGCTTGGGGACCTCGCTCTTGTATCTAGATTATATGTGCACTATGCCCAGGTGGCAAGCAACTTTCGAGGCCCTTTGGGACATTTGTGGTGAAAGATGATCACTGTTCAAAATTGAAATTTGTCACCAGTGTCTCGACTGGTGGCCAATAATGGAATTTCATAAAGCCGAGCTGCATGGTTCCACTAGTATACGAGCGGCAAGAAAGGCAAAGGGAAAAGGCAGGACCTCCGAAGCGCCTACGTGCACATGTGGGTCCCATCGTATTCTCAGACATTCAAGTTGGAATACTATCTCAGTGCTGTGGGCATTCCAAGATTCAATCCAACCCGTGGGGTACTATATATTGCAACTTGTAAATGATAAGAGGCTTATTGATAGAAGATCAAAGCTACATATAATCAAGGCATATCTGGATATTCATAGTCCATATCATTGTAAAAGCTGGGTATCAATTTTCATATATACAACGAATAGAGAATCATAAGATCATGGCCGCTCCACCACCGATGCCAGCGCGGCAGTCACCATACTCTTTCTTCGTAGTCCCTGCTCATTCCGCTTCGAAGTCTCCCTCCCCGCAAAAGAAGGGTGATGGCTCTTCTCGATCCGATTCGACTGCAAAGCAATAGAACTGCTCTTCCGCCTTCCCCGCGCATCCGCATCCCCCGACGCATCCTGAGGTCCAAATCTACTCCGATGCGTCAACGCTCTCCGCCGAGGCGAAGCGCGCGCGGGCAAAGAGCTAGGATGACAATCATCTTCTCCCGTCTCAGGACGAAAATCATCCTCAAAAACAGTTTGACGAATAGAGTCAATATCACCCTGATTGCACTGCATCTGCGAGATATGCTGCCTTTGTCTCCGGATAGAGAGATGATCTGCTTGAGGGGGGACGGGAAAATCGTCTAGAGAGGGAAAGTCTGGAGGGATGGAAGTTGGGCTGGGATTTGAGCATAAAGAAGGCGAAGAGGTATAGTGGCCGTCGTCGTCATGGTCGGTATCAGGAGGTGTGAGGACGTATCCGGCGTATGGAGCGGAGCGACGGGGATGCGCTGCGGATTCGCCATTTGGGGTCTGGAGAGTATGTTCATGTAGTTTCTGGGTAAGGGTCGATATTGAGAGACGTTTTGATTCGTAGGGAAAAGGGACTGAAGTTGGGGGCGGTTGCTGAGATCGGAAATAAGACGATCTCGAGCGGGAGAGCGTTCGGAACCGATGCGTCGGCGATGGACAGCGAGATGACAGCGGGGAAATCAATGTGCTGTCTCCGTCGACCATTATCCGGTCTTCTGTATCCAGAGCGAGCCGGGCAGGCCGTGATGACGGCGAGGAGAAAGAAAAGTCCTCGAACATGGTGTGGCGGGTGTATGAGTCAAAAGGGGGTTTGGGGGGAGGGATTCGAGGTGGTAGTAGAGGGCTGGGTTGCGAGGGTTTGTCCTGCGCTCGAGTCCCAGCAAGACGATATAGTCTGGCTGTACAGACTACAGCAGGGTGGGCAGACAGACGATATATGCCAATCCGGAGGGGAAAAATCCGATTTTGCCTCCGAAAATTTTAACACTTTGGCTACGAAGATCCACGGATCCATATTAACCGCTGGGAGGCAAAACCACGTGATCCCCGGGCAATGCGTTACATTGGGATTTGAATCAAAGTATTGATTGTTGTATATGATTCTAATGAGAAGAGTCTATAGATTTGATTGATTTGATTTTTACTAATGAAAGAATATTGTAATGTCACCTCAATAGTTAATTACTGGAGTTGAAGTTTAGGCGTGGATCTCACTAGTGACCGCCACAGATCGTCTCTAAGATCCCCCATACGTGTTCCTCGCCGTGACGAACCTTTTCTAGAACATTTCTATTATAGGTAGTAGATCCTTGTCAGTGCGGCAGATACGCCCCGCCATTCTTGCCATCCGCCCCTTCGGGCGTCTCCTGTTTGCCCACAGCTTTATGCGGGTAACGTGGGTTACTCCAGGTATGAAGATGTCTCAAACTACTTTCATTCAATGATAAAATCTCCGAGTTGATCAGGATTTACGGTGAAATCATCATGGCTCGAGTTAGGGGCCAGATCCTCGCATGAAGGCCTTGACATGACATGAGTTGACGTAGATACAGTTTCTGGATGGAACCCCCTGCATGGACACCCTGTTTATGGCCATGGAATCTTCGGTGTTTGATGGAGTGAGGGGGTGGAGTCTTTAGATCTTGCTCGTCCAGGTTATCTTGTTCTATCACCCGCTGAAAGCACTGACAGCGCACGCGACAGACTATCGTATGAGCCTTATTGACGTGCGTCATGGACAATCGCGGAAATCTCTGGGGGAAAGTGTTTCGTTGCGAAGTGCATCCGAGAATAGACATTCCAAATAAGCTTATATCTTAGTATCTTTCAGTTCTCATTTGGAAATGCGTAGACGGTGGATGTCGTATCTCGTATTTGATATGATTTTGGCAAAGTGTTTACCATCTCGCCCCCATCGGCGTCATCGTGCGTATAATCACGAATAACAACTTTACGTTCTCCTGCATTCTTGCATCACCGCATATCCTTCATTTTCCTGTATAGACGCGCGTCATAGGTTTACACGCAGCTTATCTAGTCATTAGATCTCAGAAGCCTGCTCTACGCGCCTCGCAAGATGAATCCGAGCGAGTAAATTAGCGTTCGTACAAACGCAAGGAATCATCACCGCGATGAAATTATACCAAACCGTAAATTAGAATATCCATCAAAGCTGATTGAGGAGTACTTAATGTATCTGGATAAAGTCCCTCGGTTACTAGTTTACCATTCAGCCCCTCTTTCTCAGCTGCTAAATCTTTCCATTGGTGGCATTGTGTACAGTACGTCTCGAACTGGTGCAACCACCTACCACTCTTCGATTGATTCTCCAATCCCAATGCCAAGACTCATTAGTCTATATCAGGAATAGACCTAGAATATCAATGATCCTGCATCAAGTTGCTACTGTAATTTACGCTGATACATACAGTCTTGTAACTGTATTAGCAACCCAACGAACTAGAATCTTTATTTTCCACCCCAATGCAGATAAGTCAAACTTAAGGGCCTGAGAATCTAGGTGTGACTTTTCTTTGCTACTCCCATGTCCAAGTGACTCAGTGCGGTAAAGCTGTTTCCACGACTATGCTGAACCACTTTCACCCATGATGTGCTTATGAATTAATAGTTCAAATGATGTCACGATTATCTTAAAATGATCCATTGAATCAGAATATGCCTATCATGGGGGGAGAAACATTCCTTGGGTTCCCAGATCTTGGTAAAGGGGTCAATGGTAAATTGAACGTCACAATTGATATCTTTTCATCCTATGACGAGACATTGACCGATTATTGCTTTATGACTTTACGATGATATAAATTTGAGTCATATCTCTCATACAGCTAATAATATAAGTAGTGAGTGTTGCTGGGGTCAAATTCGCAGTATTTTTCAGTTAATACCTCGAGTGCTGAATGATACTCTAGGCATTTGTCCTGTTCTATCTTGATATTGATCTCAATATGTCAGTCGGACAAAGACAGCCCAAGCCGCTTCGTCGCATCATAACAACCCATGATCCTACAAGCAGCCGAGCTATCTTTAGTGACGCGCTTGGGGAGCAGGTATCTTTTACTGGGTTCCCGGTTCCCCCCGGCAAGCCTACAACGTCAGACTATGCTCTGGCCTTCAATACCAATACATTTCCTGTGCAAGGGCTTTCCCCTACAACTTCTGCGACCCCAGAGTCCAAGGCCAATCTTGACATTAAGCACTATCACTCCCAGCTCTCGGATCCATCGCCTTTGAATCCGCCAACCGGCACCTCTTGCACAATTATTGAGGTCCCTCCAGGTTCAGCGGTTCCGATGCACCGAACAGCGACCCTTGACTATGGCGTCGTAATTGATGGCGCTACAGAATTAGTCCTTGACTCCGGTGAGAAAAGATTACTGAAAAAGGGTGAGGTATTTGTTCAACGAGGTACAGCTCATGCTTGGCGGAATATGACTGAAAAGAAAGAAGATTCTGGTGTTTTGCGTATATTTTTCGTGTTTCAACCTATCGAACAGGTGAAACTGGAAGGCGGAAAGATCGTTGGTCAGGACTTGAATTTGTCTCTGCGTGAGGCTTAAATCATGCGCAGGGGTGTATTGCTCGAAACGCAGAGGCTGAAGTAAAGATCCATTGTTGGGTCTGTTACGCCTTGTCAATTATTCATTTTCAGATCTTAACAAGTTCCTAGAGTCATGTTTATATGTACGAGTGCATTCATATAATCGTATTACTTCGAATATGGCAAGCAACGCATTTCTTTTCTCTTGATACCTAGTGTAGCGGATTGATCGCATATTGACAGGCCTGGTCAAAACAGGCAAATCAAGAGGGAAATTAGAAGGTCCTAACAGACTAGTCCAACGAAGACAAGCGATCAAAACAAACGGAACAGTGTATTCGAACTCGGAGCTGAGATTTACAGATGATAAGTAGAAGTAGATATAAGGCTGGCGCTTTCATACATACGAATGTCTGGACTGTCAGGCTGAAAAACTACCCACGTATATAGGGGGCATTCGCCTGCACTATGAAAAGTATAAAAAGGGGGATCTTATTTAAGCTTTTCTACTCAGCACATAAGCTATAAGAAATATTCTGGGGAAATCCTCAGTACTGCGAACAATACTCTCTAGGATTTCCTGTCTAAGCTTTTGTTTTAAGAGGAACAGATTAGCTTCGCGAAGGTGTGTGGCACGCTCCTCGATTCTAAGTGAACATTTTAAAAACTACTCTCATTTTTCACTGCAATATGATTTCGATAGATATATTTTCGCAATTTCTTTTTGAGCGCCCAATTCATAATGGAAAAGATATGAAACCCACATGAAACATCCAAGCTTGTCAGTCTAACTTTTATCCAATTTAGTGAAGCTCAAAGTTCTGTTAGCGCAGGTGCCCCTAGTGCTGGAGGGAAGGAAAACTTTGTCTGGATAAAAACCTTCTGCATGCCCGGGTCACGCTTATTGAATAAATCGTAGACCGTCTCCATGTCCTCGAGCTTGAACCGGTGGGTGACCATATGCAGGGGATGGATCTTCTCCTGCTGAATATACTTCAACAGGTCTTTCCAGTATTTTTGCACAGGGGATTGTCCATTGCCAATGAGACGGATCCCGGTCTCCATTAAGGAACCGATATTGAAGTGATTACACTGCATTACCATTAGAACTTTTTTACCATGGGAATTTTTACCATAGGAAAGGTGCCACATACATAACCGGCATATACGCCCGTGACCCCACAGCGCCCGAACCCTCGGACAGAGGTAATCATCTCGTTGATAAGCTCAGGCGTGTCCGTTTCCATACCAAGCAGCCTCTCAAAGTAATTAACCCATCCTTTAGTATACTCACCAGCGGCGCACTCAATCGCCACATCAGGCCCACGGCCGTCGCACATTTTCTTCAGGGTTGAGGTAACAGACTCGCCCTTTGAGAGATTCGTATACTCGATTGTCTCGAGCTTGGGTAGAATCTTCTTAACAAAGTCTAGTCGCCATTTTCCATGGCCGCCATCAATAAGGATAACCCTACTAGCACCATTAGAGAAGCTAAACTCAGCGGCCATTTGCCCAACTGGGCCAGCTCCCCAGATTGCCACAGTGTCACCCTCCTCAACCCCAGTATCAACAACAGCGTTCCAAGATGTTGCTAAAACATCAGAAAGATAGAGACCTTTTTCATCGGGGACATCATCAGGCAGCAGAAGGAGATTCACGTCACCGTAAGGGACGCGAACATATTCCGCTTGCCCACCAGCAAAGCCCCCTGTGAAGTGGGAGTATCCAAACATGCCTAGGGCAGGTATTAGTATAATAGTCTCACTCACAACAGTATAGGCTTTTAAAGAGGAAATATACCAGCTGTTCGACGCCCATATAGTTTACTAGCTTCCTCGTTCGAATTCGTCCGCTCACACATTGAGGATAACTTCTTCTTGCAATAATAACACTCCCCACAGGCAATCTGAAAGGATGCCACAGCGCGATCGCCCACTTTAACCTTTTTGACTGCCGGCCCCACGCTGGCGATAACACCACAGAACTCGTGGCCGAGGATATCACCTTTCTGGAGATCTGGAATGGCCTCTATACATAGATAACAGATACCGCATGAGCAGATTCAGCGATACTTCACTAACTGCCAAAAAGACATACCGTGAAATAGGTGTAAGTCACTCCCACAAATGGTGCTACCCGTCACCTTCAGTATGACATCGCCTTCATCTATGATCGTTGGGCAAGCCGTTTCCACTATAAGAAAGTGTATGAGCAAGAAAAGCTAGTTATTTCGAGATATTGAAATGAAGGTCGTGATGAGCAGAATGACTTACCAACTTTGACCAAATTCTTCCCTTGCCAGGTCAAGGCTTTCATCCTATGGGGAAGGTCGCCATATCCCTGAGCCCCAAAGTTGCTGACGTCTGTGGTGATCGAGGTAGACATTATGTGTGTCCACCGATAATCTCAGCTCGAACAGATTTTGTGAATGTGATTACTTATTTTTGATTTGATTAGTTAATCTTCGGCTGAATGCCCTCGCAATAAAATCGCATGAAGGAGGGATATATATTTGTCTTACTGGACAGCCAGGGGTCTTGGTTTATGACATCATTCTTATGTCTCAGTGTTTATAGCACCATGGTTGTATCTCAGCAAACCTGTGAAGCGATGGGTGAGTTGAGATTGTGATTCATCTTGGCATCATACATGTCGTTGACAATGAGATGTAAGTGACACGCTTCGCCATTACGTGGTTCTAGGCTGGTTATGTCTCAATAAATTTCCATGTTTCAAACTCATCGTTGGAACTAGCCTCCGAAGGGCCAATGGGACTAAAAAGCTCATGGCCTTCTGGTGAATCAACTTATGATTTTCAAAGTGTCGAATGTATTAAATTTATAAGCAAATACATATAAATAATGAAACACTGGTAAATAATGGTCATGGTGATGGTGAAACTATGAAATGTATGATTTTGAAAATTACTTTTTGATACATACTCTGAATGTAATATGTAATATACTGTAATAAGCAATACACGTCCAACTTACAGGGTACTCAGGAAAAGCTCTCAATATACATAGTCTTGTGTGTCTTAGCGGTGGGGCTGGAGAATCAATCAAAGAGTGTAGGTGGTCGCACCAGTTTCGGGAAGTTCTGTAATATGAGAGACACACGTATAGACCTTACCTAGCACAACTTGAAGCCCCTGTTACCTTTCAACGATTAAGAATGGCACCTCCCCAGCTTGACCTACCGCTAGACTTTTATCCAGGTTACCAAGGAGACGAAAGTCCACTATGTACGACGGTACCCTCACGGTAGTCATCAATTTTGATAATTTGATCAGTAGTTTCTGATCCACTACCCTCGCCCGTATACCTATAGAGCTAAAAGTCACCAGAAGGCAGCGGAGACCTTTCATCTCCGCAATCGCCTTCCACGCATCTTCGGAGTAATAAAAGATATCGTAGGGCGCGCGATCCCGAACTTTCTCATCCACGTAAAACTTGAGACGTGTTTCCCGTCGCCTATACATAGTGGAGACAACTCCACCTACCCCAATGTGGGGTATGTATGTATATCGGCATGTCGGCAGATAAAGGATAAAGAAGTAGGCGGACAAAGTCCGCTACACTTCCCCGCTTCCTTATCAATTACCAATTTGAACTTGTAGATTGGAAGACTGTGAATTTATAAATATAGCTCTATCCTCATATTAACCAGTATGCGATTTCTCTATTCAGCATTACTTAGACCAAGACCTCGAGTACTGCTTTTCTCAGAGCAAAAGACAGAGTTTCCTTCACATATTTACAAGACCTTCTCAACAACAAGATATCGCAATATGTTGACAACGGAATTGTCCGAGGCCGACGTATCGGCCCTGAGAGCAGACAAAGACAGACTTGCGAAAGATCTACACGACTCATGTCAATGGGGATACGGGATTCGATGGGGCGAGTAAGTTCTCCGTTTAGATGCTGCAGACTATGTCGATTTCACTCCAGTCCGATGACTAAATTATATACTTTACCCTCGCAGGGGATCATCAGATACAGGAATGCAGCGCCTCGCCTTGTCAGAAGAGGATAAGAGTGTGCGTCATTGGTTCATTAAAACTATGAAAGATCTAAAATGCCAGATTACCATTGACGAAATGGGCAATATATTCGCTGTACGCCCAGGTCGAAGGGCTGGTGCTCCAGCTACCTTCATCGGAAGCCATCTGGACACACAACCTACTGGAGGCCGATATGATGGGATCTTGGGTGTCTTATCCGGCGTGGAGACTATTAAGCGAATGGATGAGATGGGGCTGGAAACCGAGGGAGGTGTTGGCGTTGTCAATTGGACTAAGTAATAATAACCGATCCAAAAAACGCAGGTTAGACATGCTAACTGTTAACAGTGAGGAGGGTGCCAGATTCCCCGTTAGCATGATTTCGTCAGGCGTATGGGCAGAATCTATTCCTCTACAAAGAGCCCATGAGCTCAAAGAGGTACCAACAGTAGCCTCACTACCCACAGCTAAATCGGCACCAGAAACAATGAAGAGTGCTCTAGAGAAGATCGGGTTTCTGGGCGACGTGCCCTGCTCATACAAAGCCACTCCAATGGCAGCCCACTTCGAATTACATATTGAACAAGGTCCACACCTTGTCTCTGCTGGGCAGCGAGTAGGGGTGGTCACAGCAGTACAGGCGTATCGTTGGTTCCGACTAAATGTTATTGGACGAGACACGCACACCGGGACAACAGCATTTGAACACCGCGCCGACGCTCTATATGCATTTGCACAGATGATGGTCAAGGCACGAGAAGTCGCAGCTTCTAAGGGCTGTCTAGCTAGTGTTGGTATCGTAGACGCGAAGCCTGGTAGCGTGAACACAGTGCCTGGCACGGTAAGCTTCAGCTTGGATATCCGAGGCCCTGAAACTGCGCTCGTTGCAGAAGTTGAGACGCAGCTACGTGCTGATTTTGATGCCATTGCGGCGGCAGAAGGTGCTGGTATCGGTAAACCTTGCCGTGTTGAATGGACACTTGACTTCGATTCACCTGCTGTTAAATTTCATGAGGATTGCATTAGCTGTGTGCAGGAGTCAGCTTACGCCGTTGTTGCGGATGCGCCTGTGGCAGATACGAAATCTTTGGTTAGGACTATCATGAGTGGTGCTGGTCATGATAGTGTCTTTACCTCTAAGCAGGTGCCAACTAGTATGATCTTTGTGCCATGTAAGGATGGGCTTAGCCATCACCCCGAGGAATTCTGTTCTGCAGATGATTGTGCAACTGGAGCATCTGTTATCTTGCAAGCAGTGGTGCGATATGATCGAAAGCGATTTGCTTAGGCTCAAAACCGCATGCTTGGTCTAGTACATACGGTGTCCTAGTTTTACTAAAGAAATAGTTCGCACCGAGTCATGAATGTGCCATTGAATAATCTAGATACACCATAAAGCCAGTGGCATTCGTTTAAACTTTTTTAATTTTCCCGTATCCCCAAGTCTCAGAAACAAGGGGTCGTAGATAGATGCGCCTAGCATCAGTTCGTTTCTGATTTCATTCCTGAATATCCTACTCCGCACCGAATACCGGCCACATCAATCCCTAAGATGACCGAGCAGTGGATGACAGGACAACCAAGGCCTATCCCTTACTGGGGAGCAGCGGGGGCACCACGGCCACGGCCGAAGCCACCACGGAAGGAAGGAGCGAACTCGCCGGGGGCACCACCCTCCTTACCACCCTCCTCGCGGCGGCGGTAGCCACCCTCACGGGGAGCACGGGGACGGCGCTCACGCTCCTCAGCACCCATCATACCGCGAGGGGGAGCGTGGGAACGCTGCTGCTTGATGTGAGTAGCAGGGACAACCTCAGCGGGGAGGTGGAGCCACTCGCGCAGGTAGTCAAGACCCTCGGGGGTGAGGGTGTAGTAGTAGTACTGCCACGAGAACTGGGTCTTGACGAAACCGCGGGAAGTCAGAGACTGCATAGCCTTGATGACCTGTAGATTGAAATAATGTTAGTCGAGGGATCGATGTTGGGTTCGTTGGCCGGGTACGCGGGATTATCGTACAAACAGGTTCTTGGTGTCAATGTCACCGTGCTTGGGAAGGTTGAAGTCCTTCTTGGCCACGAGTACACCCTCTGCAGAGAACGTGTCAGTAAATGTTTCGCATTTTGAGTATCGTCGCTTTGAAGGTCGCGGGGAGAGCGCGCAATGTCGGCGAGGGTGAACTATCACATACCGCGGAAGAGGTACTCGTGGATCTTCTTGCGGTCGTCCTTAGGGATAAGCCTGGTAAATTGTTAGTGGATATCATTAGATTGAGGGTATTCGGGTCAAAACGTACATTGTCGCGAGTTCCTGGCGCAATTCGTGGAATCGCTTTGACAAGACAGAGAAAGTTGGGTGATTTAAAGGTTGCAGAGTGGAGCTTCCGGCGCGAAGAAAAGTGCGATATTCCTCTTTCGGGGTCCTCGCTAGGGCTGCCGCCCTAGTCACATGATATGTGCTCATATCTTATTGCTGAGTCATTGATTTATAATCACATGACCCTTTATGCATTAATTCATCTAAATCCATTCTGTATATCCCCCAGTCAAGTATATCATTTCCACAACCTTGACTTTTAAGTTGACTGTTCATTGTATCCTCTCATATAAAGAGCTACCTAATGTTACATCTGCATCATCAAAATGCCATGTTCATAACATTTAAAAGTTCTGCTAAATTGGCGTCAAGTCCGTAGGCGATTGCGCGCAAATTCTACAATAAAATCGAAAATATGAAATATGCTTTCAAGCAAACAACAATTACTTTGAAAATTGTAAGCGATTGCCCGCTTGAAAAGGGTTTATAATAATGTGCAGTTGTTATTATTGTGTTCGTTTCTGTTGGAGGCAAGGCACTCCATGTCAGCACTTGAGGCGTTATCGATAAGCGCCTCCGTCATATTGGGAAAAAAACCTCCGCGCGATCTCCGCAAACTTATCTCAACATCCAAGATGTCGCCTTGCTCTCGAGGCGCAATATCGCGAGCCCTGCGACTTGGCTCAATAAGATATAATGTCCAACCAACTTGTCGCCCACTAATATCCACTATCCAGCTGTCGACAAGAACGACCCTACCGCAAACAAACTTCAAATCTGGCCTCGCGATACTCCCCCGTAACTCGCGCCGGGCTTTTTCGGCCGCACCTCTCCAATTCCGACAGATTCCTCCCGCAGAATTTGCCACAGCTCTTCCGATATGCTGCCCTGGGTGCGGAGCTTTCACACAGACAATTGAACCAGAGGAGCCGGGCTACTATGGTGGAGGGCAAAAGCAGACGCGAAGGTTACTGGCTCGTCGAAAAACCGAGGCTGAGAAGGCAGCTTCCGAGGTAGCAGTTAAGGAGGCATTGGATACGGATGAAATTCCTCTGGAGACTAAACCTGTAGAAGATGAGCTTTCTGTGGAGCCAATGGTGCCAAAGCCGTCCCAAGGTATGTTTTCTACCATTGCACCACTTGGAATCTACTAACTAAAGTATCAGATGGTGCGTTGCCGGACGATGTTATTACTCCTCCATCACCCCCTTCCGAGTCTGCAACACGAACTTCACACGTTTGCGATCGCTGTCATGATTTGATACACCACAACAAGGCATTCTCTTCACCTAAACCATCAATCGTTTCCATTCGAGAATACCTCGACGAATCACCTCATAAAGACAATCGAGTATACCACGTTATTGATGCCGTTGATTTTCCCATGTCTCTCGTTCCCCGTATCCACGAGGCGCTTGCCGCCCAAGAACAGCGTTCTCGAAACCGACGTTCTCATACCGAGAAATACTCTCATGGGAAGAAGCTGCCAACTATCAGCTTTATCATCACGAGGTCGGATCTATTGGCGGCTACTAAGGACCAAGTGGACTCAAAAATGGAGTATATCCGTTCAGTCCTCCGTGAAGCGTTGGGAAAAACGGGTAAAGATGTTCGACTTGGGAACGTGCACATGATCAGTGCTCACCGGGGCTGGTGGACAAAGCAAGTGAAGGAAGAGATTCGGGAACATGGTGGGGGAATTTGGGTTGTTGGAAAGGCGAACGTCGGGAAGAGCAGTTTCATCGAATCTTGCTTCCCCAAGGACTCCCGCGGCCTCGACAATATGGCTGAGTGGATTGAGAAACAGGCCGAGCATGAAATTGTAAACAAGCATCAACCAGCTGTACATGACCCTGATAGTCTTCTCCCGCCGGCGCCTGAAGAGGACACCTACCCTGTTCTTCCAATTATTTCTTCCATGCCAGGAACTACAGTGTCACCTATCCGCATTCCTTTCGGACGCGGAAGAGGAGAGATGATCGATCTTCCAGGAATGGAGCGAACCGAGCTCGAGAACTATGTGCGGGATGAGCACAAAAGAGATATCATCATGACAAAGCGCGTGAAGCCAGATCGGAATACCATCAAGCCTGGGCAATCTCTTATTTTGGGCGGTGGCTTGGTGAGAATTTCTGCGGTCAACCCGGAAGATACCATCATGGCTGTCAGCTTTCTACCTATTGAATCTCATGTTACGAATACCGAAAAGGCTATTGAGCTCCAGGCCGAACAGCGAACTTATGTCGGTAAAGCCCTCATGATCGAAGGGACGGGCAGCTCCATATCATCCGCCGGGAAGATCGATTTGAAATGGGATATCACCGGCTCAAACCTACCTACCTCTATCGCCAAAACTGTGAAAGACAAGGGTGCTCCAATCCCACATCTGCCATATCGGGTGATGGCCGCCGATATTCTTATTGAGGGCTGTGGGTGGCTTGAAGTAAGCATCCAGCGCCGTAATAAGCGCAACTCCGAAGAGGACACCGTCGAACACCCTCAAGTTGAGGTTTTCACACCTAATGGTGATTTTATTGGATCTCGCCGACCGATTGAGTGTTGGACTTTTACAGCAGAGAAACTCAAGGCGGACAAGCGCAAGAGACCTCGCTTAAGATTCAAGTATAAATGAGATGGATCACCTAAATGTACACTAGAGCATTGCGCATAGCGACCGGCGTTTCTTTTTTAAAAAAACAGTGTAAACATACTCATGTATCTAGTTAGTCTTCAATTTTTACATAAACTCTCCTCGATTTTCAAATGTTACCCTTCGATCATCCGGCTTACTATGCGGTCTGGCGTCCCCCACTTGAGCATATTGGTGGGGAACTCAGCATGACGGTGCCTTGCTGCTTGCACCACCCATAACCTGACAATCTGAGAGTGAAGTTTCTTTTGTATCAACCTCCTCTACACTAGTTACTTCTGTGCTTATTAGATATCACTTGGATAATCGAAAACCCAGTGAACGAAAACTCTAAACTTTCCAGAATGCTATCTTCTCGCGCCCTCAAAAATATCGATGAATCGGGGCGCCCATGGCGATTTACCCCCACGCCAACATATGACCCAGATACGAATCCCACCGGCCTGATATCCTTCGGGCTGGCAGAGAACGTACGTGCAACCCCACTCGCGACGTAAAAGAAGAAAACAAACAGTTAACGTTAAATAGACACCGATGAGAGCGGAAATTGTCAATTATATCAACGAGAAGGTATTATACACTATAATCAATACCTGAATCATGATCCGTTAACTTATCTTGACTGACAACAGATCACCTTCAATCTAGACTCAATAAGCTATCGCTCCAGCGCAGCTACCACCACCCAGCTACCAGCCATTGCAGCAGAGCATCTGGACAAAGTGCTGAAGACACACAAGCCAATTCAGCCCGACCATGTCTTTGTTGCGGACTCCGCTAGCTCCCTAGGAAATTTGCTAGGGTACAATTTGGCCGAACGAGGCGAAGCTATCCTTGTCAATCGACCTGTATACGGTCGCTTCGAGCTAGATTATGGAGTCGAAGCTGGCGTTGAGATTGTCTACGCTAATACAACCACTGAAGAAGCATTTACCCCGGATGCTGTACAGAAATTTGAAGAAGCTCTAAAGAGGTCGGAGGAACGGGGCGTGAAGATTCGCGCAGTGCTTCTGGTTAACCCGCACAATCCTGTTGGTGAGGCTTCCCACCTTGACCATATTGATCAAATTTCTTTCAAAAGCACCGAGGCTAATATGGCTGGATGTATAGGACGCTGCTACCCTGTTGACACTCTTTGCCAAATTGCCCGCTTCTGTAACGAGCATAAGCTCCATTTCATTTGTGATGAAATGTATGCGTCGTGTGTATTTGATTCAGGTGACCCAGAAGCTATACCTTTTACTTCAATATTATCTCTGGACTTCGAAAAGTTGATTGATCCTGCCCTGGTTCATGTCTTATATGGATTCAGCAAGGTAGGCCATTTTTGCATTTTCCAAGCCCATGCTCCTGCGGAATGAAAAAGAGCAAGAAAACTGACCAGACTCCAGGACTTTGCTTCGGGTGGCCTTCGACTGGGTTTCTTAGTATCGCAGAACAAGCAGCTTCACCAAGCTTGTAAAATGGTCTCGTATGTTCAGTCCGTTCACAACTGCTCTATTCAAAATCAAGATCGATCTGACCACAGTGGCCTTATGGTTCAATATAGGCGTTTCCACAGCCCTTCCCAATCAGCCGTGACAATTGGAACGGCCATTCTGAAAGACAGGGATTTCGTGTCAAGCTTCACTGCTAAGTCACAGAAGGCCTTAGCCGCAAACTACAAATTGATAACCTCACTGCTGGACCAAGCTGTAATCAACTATATCAAGAAAGGGTCAGACTCCCAATGCCCCGGAACACTCTGAATTTCATTACTGATGTTTCACAGAAATGCCGGTTTCTTCATATACATCGATCTTTCACCATTCCTCGCAAACGATGAGCGGTCGGTACAAGAGCGAGAATTTGAGCTGGCCTCGCGATTGATTGATGCCGGGGTATTCCTTCATCCGGGAGAGGAGCATGGGAAAGATGCTGGATGGTTTCGATTTGTGTTTTCGCATGATGAACGTACTTTGAAAGAAGGTTTTAGGAGGTAAGTTAGCCTGGACTGGTGTTGTATGCCGCTTTTCTTCATGGCTGGAGAGCTTATTTTTACGGTTGTTATTTAGGTTATTATTTGCGCTGAAAGGCACAACGAACAATTGATGTGTGTCATGGACCACAGGTACTTGGAACAGTCCCTGTTTGATCCGCGTACTCCAGGACTCTGGCATCCTAGGCCTAGGCTGTGTTTATTTGGACGGTTACTGTGATATACAGTCTCCGAGTGATACAAACGTAGGCTATTTTAGAACAAGAAAATGGGATTTATTATTCTGCGCAGGGAATTAAAAAACAAGCTCAATTGGGTGAAAGTAGGTCATTGAAATTCCAATCATCTGAAAGGTCTGCCGTTGATCTACATATAGAGAAAGGTCACGGATGACTTGTATCTGCCTGTAAGCACGTGGCTTCCACTGAGGCCTTCGTGCGAAGGTTGTTGAGTATACCACTAGTAAACCAAGACCTCGGGCCATTCCTATATTTTCGATGATACCAGGATCCAATCTTTCAACTGGGGTCAGGATGACGCTTGAAAAGGGAAAGGATAGCAAGGTATTTGTTTCAGCTCGACGGGTATTCTAATGGTATCCCTGTTGGCTAAGACTGGAGAGTCTATGGACGGGCGTGTATATCTCCAGGGTTAGACACAAACATACATGTAGATTTCAAGTTCTCCAGCAGTATCCGGTAGAATTCAAGCGATTGGGAATAATCCTGATATTTTACATTCATAGGCATGACAACACGGCTGGTGAGGCATCAACATAGTCTATAAACCTAAAACTTCGACGACCGGTTACTAGTAAATAGTACTATTATCTTCAAATGATGTTATGCAATACTACATATTGTAGTGGGAAAAGATCCCCTATTCTTCTACCTTCAGACTACCCCAGGCCTCTACCTCAGTATTCCTACTATCCCCCAGATGGGCTCCTGGTTCGCAGACAGGATACCCATACTGATGTTTGAAGTGATTGATCTTGATTCGATTTCCGCAAATACTAGGTAGTAGGTAGCGATAACATTTGAAGTACTTTTCAGGAAACCTATCTAGGAGGGAAAAATTTATTTTCTGAACATAAACACATCAAACATGACTCTTTAGATCGACAATAACACCAGAATCTTTATCTCACCCTTCATACAAACGGAGTACCTACTCAATATTGGAGAAAGAGAAGGTAGGCTGACCAGGAACAGAGTTCTCAGCAGTAAGACCCTCCTTCTTCTCACCGGTACCAACAACCTCACCAGTCTTACCACCCTCATCAACAGCAATAACCTCAACCTCCTTGAAACCAGCCGAGCGCTTCAATCCATCAGTAATCTGGGAAAGAACAGCGAACTCATCGAAAGGAAGCTTGCGCTCGAAGACGGTAGATGGAGCCTCACCGCCCTGTACGAGGCGGCGCTTAAGGCCCTGAACGAAGGGCATGGCCTTCTTCATCTCACCGAGCTTGCCGATCTTGGCGTTGAGACCCTTGTCGTCGAAGGAGATGTTGAGGGAGTCAAAGGCGTCCCGGACAAGGTCGATGTACTTCTCTTGCCAGACGGGGTACTTCTTCGCAGCGTAGATGGTGACCTTCTTTGGTTTGCGGGGGTCGAAAGAAAGGTTCTTACCCTTGGACAGACGCTTGGCGACTGTGGACTCGGCGGAGAGAATGGCGGAGGAAGTGTTGCGGACGTAGGCCTGAGCGGCGGAGAGCTCGGGGGAAGGCTCGGGCACGGTGGGCCACTTGGCGAAAGTAACAGTCTCGGACTGTTCCCAGGTTAGACGAGATAGATATTAATATAGAACATACAAACTGACCTTCTTCAGAACCTCGAGCCAAACATACTCAGCCCAGTGAGGTGCGATAGGGGTGATCATGAGGGCTTGGAGCTCAATGTAGCGCAATAGGACATCGCGGTTCATACCAACGCCTGACGCAGCGCATGCCTCACGGTAGGCGTCACGAGCACTGGTCAAGTCGAACAGACCGGACTTCAGGGCAAGCTTGAAGTTGGTGCTGGATGAAAATTAGCAGTGAATTCAATGATTTTAATAATTCTTTGTTTAAACTTACTCTTGGTAATGCTTTTGTGTCTCGCGGACGAGAGTGTTGATCTCATTTTCGAACAACTTGTCGACAAAAGTATCAGCGGGGCCAGTACGGAGAGTCTCGTCCTTGACAATTTCATCGATCCACCCTTTCAAGGTGTGAAGACGCAAGATGTTACTGTTGGCAACAGTCTCGTCGAAGTTGGCGTCCTCGATGGTATCACCAGCATCGGCGAAAGCAATACGAGTAGCATCGGCACCAAACTTGTCCACGGCATCCTTAAGAGTCAGGAAATTACCGGTACTCTTACTCATCTTCTCACCGTTCAGCATCAGGTGACCGTTGGCACGAACTCCACGAGGCCAGTACTCAGGTGGGAAAAGGGCAACGTGAATGTACAGGAAGAAGGTCAAGTGATTCTGAATAAGGTCTTTTCCAGAAACTCTTGTATCAAGAGGGTAGAAGAAAGTGAAAGAACGACGCATGAGCTGTAGAGACTCCTTGCTGATGCCACTCTTGGAGATCAGATCGTCGCTGATCTCGCGGCGGGTGAAGATGTAGTCCCAGACCTCGTCAATCATTTGGTCAGCGGTAATGTTCAAGGTACCAGGAGTCTTTCCGTAACGATCACCGTGCAGGAAATGGGCGATAGTGTAGTAGGCCATGTAGATGGTACTGTCACTCAGAGACTCAACCAGGAATTTCTGGTCCCAAGGAAGCTTAGATCCAAGACCGTAGGTCCTGGCACAAGCCCATCGGTTGAGCCAAGACAGGTTCTTCTCGAAACCGTTCTTGGTCTCGGAGCAGTAGGTGTTAAGGTTGTTGACAACGTGGTTGAGGGTATCCTGCTGCCATTTGGCATCATTCTCACCGTAGTTCAAGAACCACTGACCCAGGTAGGCAACAACACAGTCATCACCACTACGGCTAACAACCTTGCCCATGGGGTCAGCGAAGGGAAAAGCGTCTCCACTTGCGTAGAGGGACTGGCGAATCTTGTCCTTGGCGGCCTATATTTATATGTTAAAGTGGAGAATAAATGGACTGGAGATAGGTTTTATAGATACCTGGACAGACTCTCCCTTAAACTCGCCAACAATCATAGTTCCCTTATAGAATCCCTCCATGTAAGCCAGCTCCTTAGCCTTAGCCAGAGGGTTGACATCTTTGGGGGAGTTGATCTTAAGCTGCTTGACAAGAGCGGGCGCAGTCAAGTTACCATAGGTAGGAGTTTCAATGAGAGGGTAAATTTCCTTCTCGGCCCACTCCTTCTTAATTCCGTAGTAATCGGCCTTCTTAATCAGGTCCATGAGGGTGGCATAGTCATCAGGGCTGTCCGAGGGAACAGAGGTGACGACGCCGGTACCCTTGGAGGCGGAAACTCCGTCCATAGGAAGAATGTAAACACCCTCGGTATGGAGGCTCATAGGAGCATTGACCTTTGTGCCAACAAAAACTGAACCAGGGGCCTCAACGACAAGAGGGAGCTGATCCTGGGTCTTGGGGAAGTTATCACCGGAGAAGAAATGACCCTGGAAAGCCATGTTCCAAGCAGCACGCTTAGTAACCACAACGTATTCCTTATCTTTCAGCTTGAAGAGGCCGTAGTTAATCTTGGGACCAACGAAACAGTTGGTCTGTCCGTACATGGTCTCTGGACGCAGAGTCGCGGGAAGGAAGTAGACCTTGGCATCGTCCTCAATTTTGCCCTTGACAAGCTCGGCAACTGCGGGAGACCACTCCTTGACCTGGAGCTTGATAGCAGAGTATTCCTGGGGACCAACCCCCTCACCCTCAGTACGGTCGTGGTCCATGCAGGGTTGGCCATCCTTCGGGCTGTACACTGTGTAACGGCTACCATACTTTTGAAAGTGTTAGAAGGACAATTCAGAATAGTGTAAGTAGGTAAGAGAGTAATAATACCTGGATTTTACCCAGCTCATAAAGACGGTTCATCTGCCAGCGGATAAAAGCATCGTAAAATGGATTCGCATCCGTCGTAATGAATTCCCTTCTCCAGTCGATAGCAGCACCCATGCTATCAAGGTCATGCATAGCCAGAGGGGGGAAATGGTGAAGCCAATGGTTGGCATCCGCGAACCGATGAATGTCCTCCCTAGGCGTTCCGATGGCCAACATTATCTGGAACTGGTACTTCATCTTGACGGTCTTTGCAGCGGCCTTGGACTTCTTTCCAGAGAACTTCTCAGCCTGCTCCTTGACCTCCGGCTTAGACTCCTGGGTAGGAGCTGCCGGAACATCAGCCTCTTCCTCTTCCTTGTAGCCCTCGAAGTTCTGGCCGAACATTTTCACCTCGTCGCGCAGCTTGTCGGCGCAAGCTTTGATGGGCATGCCCGTCGCATGCCAGCCCATTGGAAATAAACTTTGAGAGTCAGTTGACCGACATTTAGTTAATCACTTGATTGATAGTACAAACCTTCGTTTTCCCTCCATCCTGGCAAAACGGGCCATGAACTCGACCTTACTAGCAGTGAAACTGTGACCAGCATGAAGGGTACCGTTCATGTAGGGGTAGGCCATGGTACCGAAGAACTTGGGGTGCTTTTCACGCATCTCCGCGGCGGTCATGGAGCCCTGGGGGACTTCGTCAAAGGATGGGGCATCGACCTCGAAGACCTTGTTTTCCTTCCATTGCGCTTGGTATTTCTTCTCAATTGCGATGAGGGTGTCACGCTTCTCGGTCTGGATAAAGGGAAATATGTTATTAATGTTGAATGAAGGGTAAAATGAAAAAGATAAAAAAAATGCGGGACGATCCAATCAATCAATGATGGGGGAGGGGAATATGAACATTTTCGAGCTTAAGAGTATTCTTCGAGCTGTTGCTCGGGTCGAGCGCAGCAGATGCCGCGGCGGCTGCCATTTTTATATCGCTCAGCAGGTGATTGCCCTGTATAAGACACTCCGAGGGGCAGAGGATGAAGATCGCGGGGGAATAGAAAATCGATAATCGATAATGAGTGGGTGAGTCAGGTTGGTAATACGAGTGTATTATGTGCTGTCTTAACTGGTGTATTATTACACATTTACAATACATCGTATGACTAAGGAACTATAAGCCATCTCTTGTCATTGAGCAAAGGAATAGCGAGAATAATAGATATGAATTAATCCTATATCATATTTTCGAACAATGAAGCAAGCTAATAGTCATATAGCACGATATCACCTATTTAGAGTGTTAGACGCGGAATCTTGCCCATGAAATAAAATGCGTATCATAGTATAGTTGGTCACGTGCCCAATATCACGGAGCAACTTTGAGACCGCAACAGTTTCCGCAACAAATTTCCCCGGATACAAGACAACCACCACGAAGCACCAATACAGCCATTGAGCTGGTCTCCAACCCCTGAGACAATTGTCCAACATATATCGCCTTCAGATAAAATCTCAGTGTATTATCTCCAGCCGCTACGCGGCACAAACCACCCATAATGGTGAACCTCTTCAAGCGGCTTCATAAGCTGAAATCAGTACGTCAACAGAAGAGCAATTAATCTGCTATCTCAACCCCAATCCCAGCTTCTAAAAGTGACAAATTACTAAATTTTAAACAGAGAGTAACTACCCCCTATCTCAACCTCAGTCCAAACCACCAACAACCCAACCCAACCCGAAAAACCCAGAACAAAACTAACAAATTCCCAGATCCTCGAAGTCCGCACCGGCACCGGCGCAGCAATCTTCCCAACCCTCCAGACAGCCACAAAAGAATTTCCCCCAATAACCAGATTGCACCTAACCTACGCCCAAAAAATCTACGGCGGCCACCAAGGCGCGCGCCACTTCTGGCGCCGCGTCCTCCCCCGTCTGAAATACCACAATCCCCACGTCCCCATCACAGTATCGCCTACAACCGAACAAGAAGGCCCCGCCGCATTGACAGTGTACTTCCACGAACGCCTTTCCAGTACCGCACCGGGGATCTCGGGACCAAAGCCTGTGACTGATAAGTATGCGCCACAGCCTGTTGGGGAGGAGAAGAGTGCTGTGATTGATTTGAAGAATTTGAATTATGAGGAGATCTGGAGACGCGTGCAGGCTTCTACGGGGGCGGAAAGTTATGTTCCTAATGTTCAGGATGAGGAGGATTTGAAGAAGGTGGCTGATGTTAAGGCGCGTGGGCCGGGGGATCGGGCTAGAAATCTCGCTATGAGGCAGGCGAAGAGGGATCAGGAGAGAATGCTTGCTGAGGCGAGGGGGGAGGTTGAGAGTTCGAAGTCGGGTTGATTTGATTTATCTGAGGACTGAGGGTTGTATCCTGTCTTGTCTTGTCTTGTATTATCTATCCGATCTGATCGGTTCCTTTGGGACTGGCTGCTTGTAGCATAGCATTTTTTTTGTTCTCGTGTTGAATTGTATTGATATAGATGGAGAGTTGACATTTACATTTGTTCTTTTTCACCTCTGATAGTAGTCTATCATTATGTCTTCACGTTTCAGTAGCTGTTCCATATTCGGGCAATTACGCAAACCCACTGGCAGCTTTTAGTTCAAACGAGAGTTCAGCTTTAAGCATTTCTGGCATGCAGAAGATTGAATAGGTACTGCAATTCTAAATAATACAAGACTCCAAGGGAAAATATTTCAACTTGTCTATTTAAAGACATATTTACAGCTCCTCTCATGCACCTACATCAAGCGATCCAGCCGAACTCGGTCATACCGACATATTGGTATTTATGCCGTCCAATTGAAGACGAAGGGGTAGCCATAGGAAAGAAAGGGCGAGCCATCAGTCACACAGAGGCCAGGTGAGACGAGGTTATCGAAATCAAAGATATAAAAGGGTGCAATTTACATCATAAGAAAAACAAAACAGCAGCATAGTTAATTGCAAGTGCACTCGCCAAAGATAATATGTCCAACCAGTGCCCGGAACCGGGGAAATATCCACAAACTCCTGTTCCAATTTTTATGCGTTATCGGGATTGTAATTGGTTCCACCAAGCATGGTCTGTCCAGATGCAGACTGGGCGGGCGTTGTTGAACGCGACTGACTCGAGCTTGGTTCGGCCAATGTAGCCGAACTAGCCTGTACACGACCCACAGAAGCAGCTTGTAATCGCTGATCAAGAGCCTTGAGTGCCAGTGCACGACGACGCTCAGCCTCTTCGCGTTTACCTCGGGCTCCGGATCCGGATCCACGCTGACTGCCTAGGAGAATAGGTAGACCTGCTTCACCTCTCGCGAGCACTTGTTGGTTTCCAGATGCGATATCGTGTTCGGAGAATGGGCGGAGAATCTTGATAGCTACCAGTAATGCGTAGACTTGGTCTGCTACGAATGCAATCGGGGGCTGCATTACGTCTGGGAAGAGGCAGGCGAAAGCGAAGGTTTCGCTGGCGTCACCATTTATGCCGAGGCCATTTGTTGAGGTTCCGGTTAGGTCGGGCTGCTGTTTATAGAAGCGGAGGTAGGTCCAGCTGGTTAGGAGACCGAGCCAGGCTAGGATGGCGGCGGTGTCGGTTCCGATGATGATGCCGCTGAGGGTGTTTAGGAGGAGGAATAAGGCTGGGAAATGCTTTACGCGCATTTTTATTAGACCTTTAAAGATTGCGACGGTGTGTTCTGGGACGAGCTGCTTGAATGCAACGAGGAAGGAGCCTTGGATGGCTACACCACCGCAGATCTGGGTGAGACTAAGAGAAGAAAAGAAGTGAGTTAGTGAGATGGACCCCAAGCGTAATGTAATGACCAGTCAACTGGGACTAGAAGAAAAGAAACATACCCTCTGTTATTCTGACCAGGCGCCGCACCCCAAATCAGATAAATTGGAATAATCACGGCATTAGGGATGAGCGTAACTGCCGCAACGAACTTGCTGAATTCCCTAGATCCCCACGCGCGCTCGAGATACTTCCCCCCATAAAAAATGGTAGCAGCGTTCAAAAGCACGGTAAAGATATTTTGCTCAACGAATGTCGATGTAGCGAGTGTCCAGGGGTAGAAGAAGAAGCGAGACGGAACGAGAGTCAAGTAGGGAATGAGGGGAGTTGTTTGGACAGCGCCGCTGGTGTAGTCGAGACCACGCCATCTGGCGATGTTGTAGAGGACGGAGAGGGCGAGGAGGCCGACGAGAAAGGTGCGGGTTGCAGGGGGGATGCTGACTCTGAGTGGCATTTTGGTGTTGCCTGGGTAGTCTCTCGCGGGGTGCGAGGGGGTAGACTAGACCGCAGGCGTTGTGGTTGAACCGCGGAGCTGAGTTGAGGTGGATTGGAGATGGAGGAAGCCACACGCGGTTAGGTTGGTTAGCGGGAGGATAGTAGGTTGCGGGCCTAGTATGGCCCGCAAGGCTAGGCACGGGAGAGCATGGTCCTTTTCGAGATGAAGGCAGTGACACTAGTAAATGCGGCTTTGGAGAAGACGAAACTAATGAATTCCTTATTCATGTCCAGGTAGTCAGCAAATAATCATGCTATCGTACAAACTCACGTGTTAGTTCCACAAGCCCATTATCTAGTTCAAGTTGCAATATGTTAGCTACAGCATAAATGGGTATTGCAACGAGTATGACGTGACTAAATAGAGATTGACCAGGCATGGATGACTATCATCGAGAGACATAAGCCAGTGGGCTTTTCATTTTTCTTGCTTCATGGACACAGAGTTGTGCTTAGTTAGTTATGAAGAGCTGTCCAGTGCGGCCTGATATATGAGGCAGAAAGGGTGATCTGGGATATTACCTAATCCAACGATGCTCTGTGACAATCATATGGATACAGATATCCATAATTGATTATATGAGGGCTGTAAGAAAACATCAGGTTTTAGCAGATTGAAAGCTGTAAATAATACTATGACAAATAGTTCAGCTGTATTGAAATTTTCGTGTTGAGACAGACATGTCGGACTATTATAGCATTCCAATGATCTGTTCTAGGTGAAGATCGCCCGTGATGGGCTTGATCTTGACGGGATAGTCTGTAGATGGGGAGTTATACATGCTATAGTATATATAGACGGAGAGGTGTATGAATATCTTCAATTTCCATATCATCAGTATAGACCGAATATCGTATATCGTCCATCTGTCCATCTGATATCGTACCGGGATCTGGATCCACGCTACGATCCACCGTGGGCTTTTGCCGCCCTGCAGTCTTTGCCGGGTTCGGGTGCGTGCAGCTGGTCACGCTAGAAGCCAAGATCCAATCGTGCGTAGGTCCAAGAAACGAGTTCAATAACAATTGAGCAGTTGACCTGTAATAATTGTCATATCTCTACTCCGCATAAGTGTAGATCGATGCAGACATAGTGGAGTCCAGACTTCGTCATGAGTCGTGAGTCGCACGAGAACAGGGCCGCGACCGAGTGGAGGAACGCCACATCGGATTGGCTGGATTGGTTGTGCCAATTTCAAGATGGAGCACCAGTGGCTAGTGCGCTTAAGCTCATCCGTCACTTTTGGAGATTCATTTGATCCAGTCCCTTTTCTTCCTTTTCTATCCTAGCTGGTGTTCCTCCGTGTCAAAGGGAAGATCAAGTTCGTGGTTCCTTAAACCCTCTGACTACTCTTCTCTCCCTCCCGTGGCTTCTCTCTTCCTCTTCCCTTGTCTTTCCCCCCCCCCTAACACTCGAAACTCTCTTTTCCCTTTTCTTCCCATTTGCCCCCCCCAACCTTTTTTCGCTCTCCACATCGAAAACAGTGAAAAAGACAAGAAGTAAATCCTGGATCACTGGCCAACCACTGTGAACCTCCCCCGGACCGTGAGCCCTGATTCAATCCCGGTGGTTCCTTCCCCTTCCCTCTCGGATATTGGTCTCTGGCGCGCTACCTGGTTCTCCACGCGCCAACGGGCCACCAACGGACCACATCCCAAAACCTCCACTTTTTTTTGATTTTCCCAATCTTCCCTGTTACCGGAAGAAGCGTCCATTCCTCCCTCCCAACCCCATCTGGCATGTTTCGCTCTTGAGTGGTCGCACATGTAATCATGGCACAACCCGACCTTACATCGCATCACATCAACTACCTAATATGGAGGTACGAGATTCCTTTTAGCCTCAACCCCCAGGATCTGCCTAGCCCTGCAGAACACTAACCCGAGTTCCTCCCCACCCCACAGGTATCTCCAGGAGTCAGGTTCGTAACGTCCGTCATATGTTGAGCGCATTCTTTGCTTTTTCTTTTCTTCGGGGTCTTTCCGGATCATCGCAAAACTCCAATGCGCTAATTCCCCCCATTCCCATTCCCGCGCGCGCGCCAACGCCACTTGTTTGGCTTCCATTCTAACTTCGTCTCCCCGTAATAGGTCATGGTGAAGCTGCGGTATCACTACAGCGTGCGTGGTATCCAGAGCCGCAAAGTTTACCCTTTGCGCGTCACATTAAAACCCATGCATTGGTGTCGCTGGTCCAGAAAGGCTTGCAATATCATGAGCTGGAATCCTCAATCGACAAGGTAGGCTTGCGCCAACAATTTCAATGACCCGGGGAGCTTCGCTTCTATGACCTAGCCGAATCTAAATTCCTAACAACCCATTTACAGGAGGGAAATCCTACTTCTTTAACCCCAGACGACCAGTTTTTCGGCCCGGAACCCTTTGAAGCAATCGCCTTGAGAAGCCGGTTGGAGGCTGGCACAGACCACCCCGCCCCAGAACCCGCGCAACACGACCGCGCCACTAATGGCCATGCGCCAGAAATCCCCACTCAAAAAAAGAAATCTGAAACTCATGGCGAATCTATGGAAGTGGACGTTCAGACCGAGAGCAAACCAGCCTCGCCTATCCCGGAGCCCGTGGACGGGGACGGAGACGTGAGCATGGGGGCCGATGAGATGCCTCAGGAACCCACTCTCAGTGTGGGCACAAGCGTCGGCGTCCAGATTTCCCCCGCCAAGGCCGCCGATTTGACACCCGACACCGCCTGCCTAGATCTTGATGATCACGTGGTTAGTACGGCTTGGCGACCTGGTGACCCAACAGTATTAGTAGCCAGAGGAGAGACTTCTTGCAGCTTATGGAAATTATCATCGTCATCTGCGCCTGTTCAAAAGAAATTCCATACACCGAAGAGCCCCGGAGACTATGTATCAGCGGTCGCCTGGGATGCGGTTGGAAATCAGTTGGCTGTGGCCTCAATCCGAGATATGAAAGGCACAATAACTATGTATAATGCCGAGGGCAATGCGATGGATCTCCTTCCAGATCTTCCGCGCATCATTAATGGCTTGCATTGGTCGGAACACAGCCCCCAGCTGGTGATTGTTGCATCCGACGAACGGACCTCCGAATTAGCACTCTGGGACGGTGCTCGACGACCAGATGTGTATCCAGCTCCACAGGTAGTGGAAGGCCACATTTACGACTTGTCATGGTCTGGACCAGATGAGCTGTTTGCATGTGGTGATGAAAAGGTCTACCATTGCGGAGTAGATCAAAATATCCGCATGATCAAGGAGTACAAGCTCCAGGATAAGGAGATAGCGTGGAACTTCATTCGCTGTACTCAAGTCGCTAGTGGTTCCGTAACAGTTGTTGCAAGCTCAGAAAGTGCGACAATTTGGATCCCAACACACGACATTCTCATTGAACAGGCGCATCAGGATGCGATCACTGGCATTGATATTCGCTCTCAATCACCCGCTCAACGACGAACTTCATCGATTACAGGGAAATCTCCAATCACCATTGTGTCATATTCGATCGACTGTACTGTTAATGTGTGGAATGTCGACCTCGAACAGAAAGATTTCAAGCGAATTCACAGGTTCCGCCTGGGTCCTGACACCCCCGCGCTTGATGGTGGATTCTCGCCTGATGGATTCGCTCTTGGCGCAGTCAGCAAAGATCGACTGTTTATTTGGAATGCTGAACGTGGTGGTGATCCCATGGCAGTATGGTCTCCCCCAGCTTCAGAAGAAGTAAAAGAAGAAGGCGATTCTGCAACAAACGGACAGAATGGTCATGGCAATTCAATCGATGGTGCTCTCTCGTGGGATCCGGATGGTAAAAAGCTGGCATATGGATTTGGAAAGAAGGTATGTCAAGCTTCGTCTGTACGCCTTGAATTGTCTCTTTACTAACCTTTTTCTAGATGGCTATCGTGAATCTGCAGCGGTGACCGAATTCAAATAACAAAATGAAAAATCAATTGAAAAATAACAAAGCTCCCATTCTTGTGTGCTGGATTCACCACCTTCTCTTGCCCTTGATTTCACGGTGTGCTTGTCACCAGCTACAAATCTATCCACGTGGCTAGAACCGGATCTAATTGATACCTGATACCTAATCGATACTATGAAGAGGTAGACCTCAGCACTACCTCCTTCCAATTTTGGGCCATTTGTCATGAAAACATGTACTTGACTTATGTTATGTTATGGACATTCGCCCATCCCCGGACTCGTCCGAAATAATTGATTGAGCACTTGATCAAAACACGCCAGGTCAAAATGGCGCATATCATGTCACATCCATCTCACCTCCGCTCCTCTCTTGTTCTACATATTCTTCTTGGACATAAAACTTTTTCTTTCTTCGATTAGATGATGCATTATGGCATGCATTGCTTGGGTGGGAAGTGGGTCACGGTACGGCGAAAGAAACGGATCTTGGTGAGGGTTTACTGGTCTTTTTACAAGGGAATGTATGTTCTTTGCCCTGGTTGACTTTATGGGTGGTTTTGGCGATTTGATTGCACTTCACGTATTTGGTATTTTAAGCAAAATAAATTAATTTCAATATTGACATGTCATAATTGCAAGTAATTGCCAAAGTAATCCCCGAAAGTCAATTCCCATATATCTCATATACTGCATAAATCGTGAATCTTAATCCGTAATGTATAGTGGGTAGCAAACATAAGCCGATATCCAACTTTTCTTTTATCCCAAAACTTGAACAGGAGCCACTCGCCCTGGCCCTGGCAGAGAGACAGGCACGTCGGTGGAATTCCGCTTCAGCAGTAAATCCCGTCTCTGTTCTCTTTTCATTTTTCGTCCCTGCGCCCGGGCCTGGAATCCATCTTCAACATCTCTCCACCCCCGCATCCAGGCGCTTAGACCCTCCAATACAATCTCACCATCATGGTCACGGTCCCCGCTTATCTCATTTAAGTCACGATCATTTCTGGCCTCGGGCGTACGACCCCATCTCGTGCGCTTAGATCTGACCTGAACAAGATGATGGTTCCTCTCTTTTTCCTTCTGGCTATCTCGCATCATGATTGTTATTCCTTCAATCCAATTTTGAAGGCCTTGAATTGTTCCTTGGATTCCTTCTAACTCAACAGCGTCTTCTACTAAGTCCCCACGTCTATAATTATTAGCACAACACATCACAGAAACAAAAAAGCACAGGCAAACAAAAGCACAACACCAGAATCAGAACCAAAACCACAAATACAACCAAATTGAACAAAACAAAACTACAGTTTTACCCATTCGGGCATTTGGGGGCGGAGGAAATACTCACAATTCATCAACCTCATCCCCAAGCTCACCAATAACCCTCCTATACCCCCTCTCCCTCTCCTCCCAAATTTCTTGAATCCTAACACTCTCCTCCCTTCTCCTCGATATCTGCCCATTCAAAAAACTCACCTCCCCCAATAATCCATCTAAAGATGTCACTATCTTCGTTTCTTTGAGTAATTGGGTTTTAACAAGCCAGTCGGGCTCTTCGAGCTCCGAAGCTGACCGATCGCCTAGGAGGGATTTTGTGCGATAACTTGTTCTTCTTCTTCGAGTGGGATCGTCATCGGGATTATAGGCGTTCAAGGTCGATTTGGATGTGGGTTTGGGTATTGAAAGTGAATGGTGTTCTGCTGGATCTGGTGTTGGAGTTGGAGTTGGGTTTGGATCACGTAGGATTGATTCTATCGCGTCCAGATGATGGTGGATTCTTGGGCTGGAGTTGTGGTCTTTGCTATCTGGGCCTAGGGAGGTGGAGGCTAGATTTGCTAGAGCTGTGAGGCGATCTTGCCATGGTATTTGTGTTCGCGATCGCGATTGCGATTGCGATTGTGATTGCGTGGCTGAGGCTGGGGTTGTTGTGTGTGTGGGACTGTCCTCGTGCTCGTGTGCATGCGCAATTGGGATATATTCTTCGTTTTGGACTTGGATTTGATCCATTGTATTGGCGTTTGTGTTTGTGCTTTTCATTATCGAGTTGAGACTTGTGGAGGGTACATTCTCAAATGCGCAAGGTGTGGCTGGGGATCTGCATGAGATCCGAGAGTATCGGGGAATTGTGTTATCGATAACCGATAACCGATAAGATGTCCCTGCGCTTAACCCTTTTCGGAGTGACTATGATCATGGAAGAAATAATCCACGGCTAAACTGTTAAACGTCAACATGGAACGGGACATCCAAAAACACATGCCACAGCCATAAGCAGATGTCCACCGGATTCATCAACAGCCATGGCTAGAACAGACCCCGAACTAAATGAATTCTTAAGTCCATTTAAAATAGAAATCGACAAACTCTACAACTTATCTTCCCGTCTATCCACTACATACCGCGAACTAGCGGCCAGTTCGTCAGAGCAGTTCTTCCCCATTGCCACCACTCGCTTACCCACTGGTCGCGAGAAGGGACGCTATCTAGCTGTTTATCTGGGACTGTTTTATCTCCGCGTGGCATTTATCGAACTACTTGGCGAGGAACAAGTAGGGAAACACTCCCATGTTCGCCGGACGTTGGAGAAAGCGTGGCCTATTGAGAACCGCCTGCGCAGGGACCAGGCGGATTCTCTTTTCTCATGGATAGGAGATTGTATTGCTGAAGTTATTCATGATGACTTGGCAAACTCGAAAGATGCCCCTACGGAGATTACAGCGGGAATTTCTTTTTGTTTCCCTATTAAGTAATATGCCTCGTTACCTTACTCGGATAAAGGGAATATTATTTACTAACGCTGAAATCAGACAAGAGCACCTCAACGAGGCTATCCTAATGCCAACGGGGAAAGGATTTACCATAAAATCCTCCCTCAATCTCCGCGAGGCACTACTTAATGGATACGAGTGCCATACCCGGCGTTCGGAAGACGACCACCTAGCCGAAGCACCCGCCAAGCGACAGAAGAGATACTGTCTCCCCAAATTAAAGCTCACAGTCATGACTAACGATACAGTTTCCACATTCGCATCTATAGCATACTCTATTCGCGCTCTGCCCAATACCCGCGTCGTGATGGGCCTCATCGTAGGCGCAGGATGTAACTCCGCAGTTCCCATGAAATTGAACGATCTGCAAGAATCAAAAGTCAAACATATCCGAGAGAAAGACCCAGATGCACAGGAAACTATCGTGTCGACGGAATGGACGCTCCGAGGCGCAAGTGGTCCTTTAACGGAGCTGGAAATTGCTACGAAATGGGATGCGGAGCTGGAAGCACACTCTAATAGACCTGGCTTTCAGCCGTTGGAATATATGATTGGGGGGAGGTATATTGGGGAGTTGGTTCGGATTGTATCCTATCATTGGTTTTGTGATGTTAAGGGTGTTGAGAGCTCGAAGATGCCGGTTAAGCTTGTTGATGAATATACTTTGACTACTGAGTTTTTGTCGTTGGTTGTGGCGGCGAGTTCTTCGGATGATAGACTTGCGAAGGAAATGGGTGAACAACTTCCTGCTCGGGAGGATAGTGATTGGGAATGGACGGCTGAATTTGCGGGGGATTTGCGCTGTATTGCGGCTGCGGTACAGAATCGAGGCGCAGCTTTAATTGCGGCGGCAACGGTTGGTCTTCTTGCCTGTACACGCGAGATTCAGCTCCAAAATAAAGATTCACCGGACACAGCTGAAGATAAATTGAAGAAACCGGCACCACAGCAAGATGGCAATGTGACGGAATTGGGATCATCAAAACCCGGCTGGCAGAATGGGCCTGAGGAACTTGTTGTTGCGGTTTCTGGTGGTGTGATACATCATTATCCGCACTATAAGGAGAATATACAGCGGTATATTGATCGATTGATTATTAATGCTGGTCCTCAGAGTGAAGGGAAAAGTATATTTCTTCGAGAGGCTAATGATGGGGGTATAATTGGTGTGGGTGTTCTTGCTGGTACGATTGCTGATGAGATAGAGGGGATTATTGGGTCGACGATGCAGGATCAACAAAGAACTTCGGAGAATGAGCAGGAGAACTGTACAGACATCAAGGATGCTCAAAGCATGTATTAAGAAATAAATAAATATTGACAATCAATTGATACGAACTGCACAACGTCCATTAGAAAAATTCTAAGATTCCGAAGAAAAGTACTAACAACAAGCTTGGATGTGTTCTATATGCGATTCTTAACGTCATTGCCATTAGTTATCAATGGGGTATTATGCAATCAAAAGATCTTGAGTATATACATTCGCTAATTCAAAATATTGAGACTAAACAACCTCCATTCTTGGTCGCACCTCACTTTGCCCCTGAGTATTCCGCTGCTGCTTCTCATCGGCAGTCAATTCACTCTGCGCATTCTTGATCCTCACAAATAACATCGCAATGATCAGTCCAACAATAGCAAGCCCCGACTGGAACCAGAAAACAGCCTTATAGCTTTCACGTTCTCCATACTGCTTAGTCTGAGTCTCAACTATATCCGCAAAGCCGAGCATAATCGCAATACCCATATGCATGGTACAATAAGGGAGTGCACCGGCAATGCCCTGTTTAGACTTCGGAATCATAGTCGTGATGAAAATATTGGCGATGTTGAACGAGATATCGATCGCGATGGTGCCGCATATCATGGCAGGGAATACATAGGCCCAGTAGTTACCTCCAATTGGGATGACTGCAAATAGGAGACCTGATCCGACATATCCGAGACATGAAATTATTATGAGAATTGTGCCGGATACCTTGTGGAGGATGAATCCGCCTGTCATGGAGAGAATTAGGCCACCAACAGCCATGGGAACTGTCCAGGCGACTATTTGGAGGGGACTTGCGCCCATGAATTCGGACATACTAGTAATGCATTGTTAGTGTCTGGTACAGACCTACCTTGGGGATTGGAATAGTCAGACTTACTATAGAACTCCGTAGAGAAGGAATATGCCCAAGCTTCCGTAAAGAAAAACCAATGCAATCAGAAGCGGTTTCATATACTTAGTATGAAAGACATCGCCTGGTAGCAACGGATTATGAACAACCCAGCCCTCAACATATGCAAAGGCAGCCAAAGATATGACTCCTAGACACAGGAACACTGGAATATATGGTGTTCCCCATCCATTAGGAGCATATGAGGCATCCGCAATAGCAAAAACCAAAAATGTAGCCCCAACAATGGACAAGACAAGCCCAGCCCAATCCATCCGAATCCCAAGTTGTCTTTTTTCTGCATAATCTTTCGGCACCGAGAATATAGCCGACACACCCATAATAGCTGAAAGAATGGCTCCAATAAAGAAATACCATCTCCAAGTAAGGTATTGTCCAGCGATACCAGAGACGAAGAATCCCAAAAAAAACCCCAAAGCAGCGCAAGCGCCATATAAAGCGAAGACGAGGTTCTTTCGTGGTCCTGGTCTGTATGTGCTGCCTAGGATCATCATCCCGGATGGAAGTAAGGCACCAAATGCTAGACCTTGACATGCACGGAAGAAAATCAACATTAGCCATGTTTGAGAGAATCCGGCGATGATTGAGGAGATACAGAGCCAGATGGCGCCGGCGTTGTAGACTAGGTATCCGCCGTACATGTCGGTGAGACGTCCGAATATTAGCAGTGTGGCGCAAATGACGAGCGAGAGCGCTGTTGTCGGCCATATTGTTGATGCAGTTGGGATGTGTAACTCTTCCACGAGAATGGGTGTTAATACGTTCGATCCGGTGATGTAGAACTCCTATAGATAGATAGTGGGATTAGCTTCAATGGATTCAGTCTAGGTAGATTGAACTTGAATTATATGTATCAAATCACTTACAGCCAATATTTGACTCATAACAATTGAGAAACAGAAACATATCTCTGAGAAAAGACTTGAAAAAATCTTGGGCCTTTCTCTTCCCAATTTCTCCATGTCGAACTCCATGTTAGATGCCAGTGGCTGCTCTATATCAGCCTTAGGCTGCACTTGGGGCAAGCCAAGTGTGGCGGATGCCGAGAGGGTGTCAGGCGACATGATCCATAAGAAACTCAAATAATGAGGATGAGGAGTACTTAATTAGCAACATTAAAGCACAGTCAGTAGAAGGCAAACGTTTATATAGCAATGTTGACCCAGAGTACAAAGAAGAGATTGAAGATTGATAAGCGACTACTAGCTTCTACGATGGACTTCCTAAACAGGTGAATAAAATACATTGTGATCCTATCTAACCCGGAAGCGATATGGGTCGTAAAGGTCGTCAGAGGTACATCAGAATTTTGAGAATTCCCCATAGTCTCTGCCAACAGAAAAAGAGAACCAGTTAAATTGGTGGCTAAAGGCGCCAGCCAAGGCGATTCGGATGGCGCTAGACCGGATTTGGTAGTTGATGGTAGTGGGGCGGAGGCATCTAGGTTGGCCAATTGCGGGATCTCTTGCTTTCATCGCGTTATCAATGATCCGAGTGCTTTATCGGAATCGGGGTTATTCTTCTTCCGAGGGTCATCTGGATGTCAATCACATGACTCGTTATGTATAGATCTGCTTGCGGACATTCAGAACTTTTACTCATTTAATTAAGGATGAGAAGTGACAAAGGTTGAATGGAAGTTGGGATCTAGGATACATGAAACTACTCTGTATTGCCTAGTATAGGTACTACGGAGACCATAGCGGCCACCTGGGCAGTGGGAAATAACTTCCATCCTACTATATTAATATGTACCGCCTAGTACGCCTCTATCTGTACTGTAACTTGAAGCTCTGTATATTAGAAAAAAAACAAGTAGAAAGATAACTGGAAAGACGACTGGAAACATTGGAAAGACAAATAGAGAAATTTATTTACTGGCTACCTTAGATTATGCTGGTCAGTTAATGTACTAGTACTAATTAAAAAAAAGAAGAATTACTAGTATGTCTTACTAAGATAGCTAGTAGGTATAAATTTGAAGCTTCAAATTCCGAGGTTGTAACTCCCTGCCAGTGGATCATAACGACGACAGAGCCTTACGCCTACTACCACAAAATTCACTGTCTCAAGAAGCTTTCCAACTACTACTAGTAGTGGACGATAACCAAAACCATCAGGGCTTCGACGCTGCACGGGAGAACCTACGGGGCTTGTCGTTCTACAAGGGCCGGAAACTTCTCAAAGATTAGTATATTCGTTTCTACCCAAAATTCCTAAACAATCGAACACTTCGCCATCTGCCTTACGACGTGATGCAGCCAGTGATCGCGCCCCCAATTCCCTTCCACACCATAACTATAGACTTTGCCGTCGCGTCCCCGAGAGTCGATGGATTCAACTGCGTTCTCGTCATGACGCGTAAATTCAAGAAGCTAATAAAAAAATATTATTCCTGGCGCTGATTGATGGACCGGCCAAGACTGGGCTCACTCTGTAATTGGATACTGGTGGTCCGCAAACTGGGGTTTACCGACTATGATTTGAACTTGGTGATATCCAGAGCCCTGGGGGCTATACTAGTAAATAGGTGTTACTGTATTTCAAGTATTATACTAGTTTCTTGCCTAACAAAAGAAATCCGAATTTAAACAGATAACTGAAGCTTTGAATTCGAGAAAAGAAGATTCGAGTGCAATGATATCATATACTTAGTAATGTACACTCTGCGGAACTTGACTTTGTTGGATTAAAATCAACTTGAAGTCAACTTCAACCTTCCATAAGCATTGGTTGCCGCCTTATATTTTCTGAATCGGCCAACCCTTTTGTAGTCGTTTTCTCTATCTTTCCATTTATTACCCCCTATTGGGCTTTGTCGAACACAAATCCTGCCCCTGGAAATATATGAATTGTGGAATAGCTACGGGGAGCATTGTAAGCTATGAATACTACTACTATACTAGCATCTAGTGCACGATAGAAGTAAATTGAAGGTGAATGTGAAAAGGGTATTTCCGTGATAGAAATAAAAGGCTTCAAGTTGAAAACAAAACATTATCATATAAACGGTGTTATAGTGTGCTCACTCGCCGGGGTCTTCACCAATGCACCAACTCGGATGTTGAGATAAATTGATACTGAACACTGAAAATCATTATGCGGACTTACGAGTGATAAAAACTCCAAAGATCTTGGGTCAACCCGTCTGTCATCTGATTATTCATTTTTGTATCGTAATGCCAAGAAGGCGGAGCTCTAATTTTCCGAATCACAGTGAAACTGTGACAACGCTTGGCAGTCCATTTTCGCCGCGGAGACAAAATTCGTATGCGAGCATAAAACCCCCGCCCCGCCTGATTAGTGGGATCTCGTCTCCTTTTCGCTTGGTGGACAGAATGAACTCAATTCCAGACTGATATTTGACAGCAACTATCGGCTATGCACCTCAAGTGACCTGAAATGGGAATTTTAATTTCCACCCTTATGAGAACCGTTTCAACGTATGCCAAGCGGTATCAGCATGCTTGGCGCGGATGTCTTCTACATTGAAGAAAGGTATTGTTGCTCCATGGCTGTGTACCTGGACTTCGACGCTAAGTTTCAAATCCTCTCCACATGGACATCTTGTGGTGATGCATCTTTCGATGACTGTGGTTGGAGGAAGGTAGATGAATTGACCACGCCTTAACGGGCAATTTATCTCCGTGGACGGCGAAAACGGAATATGATTCAAAATGATCGACAAGTGATGCGTAAGAAATTTCGAAGGGTTGAGTCTGGAGATGAGATGTATAAAAGGGTCGAAAACTGTCCCCATATTTTTCAACTTCGAGCTTCACTTCCTACAACGGTTTTTATTGCCAGTGTCACTTAGTCTTCCTGTTCTAGGCGAATATCGCGCCATAATTCACAGTTTATGAGCCACTTCATACACATAGCTTCATACAGAACTAGGAAGTAACTTTTACCTTTTCGTGTTTTTCACCCAAGATGATTTTCAGCAAGCTTTCGACCGCCGTCGCCGTGAGCTGCTTGACCAGTCTCGCCTTGTCTGTCCCCACTCCAACTGCAGAGGAATTCAAAGTCCTCGACAAGCGCGCTTCTGCAAGCGATGCAGCTTTTGGATACGCCAGTCAGAACGGAGGCACAACCGGCGGTACTGGTGGGACCACCACTACCGTCTCCTCTTACGCCGCGTTCACCTCGGCGGTCTCAGGAGACAGCAAGAAGGTTGTATATGTCTCTGGTCCAATCTCCCAGACTGCGGACCAGGTGAAGATTGGGAGCAACACTAGCATTATTGGCAAAAGTTCTACTGCCATCCTGACTGGATTCGGCCTGTGAGTATCTTTCAATTTTTCAGATGGGATGCAGATACTGATTTTGATTACAGCCTTGTGAAGGAAGAGTCCAACGTGATTATTCGCAATCTGGGAGTCAAGAAAGTCCTCGCAGATAATGGAGATGCCATCGGTGTTCGTGAGTTGAAACCACAGTACCATTTCTACCGCAATGTATCTTCTCTCCATTAATACAAGTCGTCAGAATACTCCACCAACGTTTGGATTGACCACTGTGATGTTTCCTCCGACCTGGACCACGACAAAGATTATTACGATGGGCTAATTGATGTGAGTATCCTACCATTTTCAAAAGAGCTCGGCAACAAAGAAATTAAATTGACATTTGAAACTTTATGTACTCGCTAGCTCACCCACGCGGCTGACTATATAACCGTCTCCAATACTTTCCTCCACGATCACTGGAAGGCATCCCTCGTCGGTCACTCCGACAACAACGGCGACGAAGATACCGGCCATCTCCGAGTTACCTACGCCAACAACTATTGGTATAACATCAACTCTCGAACACCGTCTATCCGCTTTGGAACTGGTCATATCTACAACAGCTACTACCTTGATGTGAATGATGGCATCAACACTCGCGATGGTGCCCAGGTGCTAGTTGAGTCCAACGTCTTTGATGGCTCTGACAAGCCTCTCTATTCAACTGATGATGGCTATGCCGTTGCAAGGGATAATGACTTTGGCGATGGCGAGAATGAAGCTGAGGCTGGAACTCTCACTAGTGTCCCATACTCCTACACCTTGCTTGGATCTGCCAATGTCAAGGCTGCGGTCTACGGAACTGCTGGACAGACACTTACCTTTTGAGTGATGGATGATGAAACTGAAGGAGTAGGATCTTCCATGGCCAATATAGTGCGATTTCTACCTGACAATCGCTATCGTGAACTAGTTTCCTCTCTTTATCCATTTGTTGCCAAATCATATACAAAGTTGTGACAATTTCATTTTGCTGCTGATTATTGAAATGGAACCTGACTTGTATTCAAAAGTTTCCACTGTAAATGGTGAATCATGGGTAGGGAAGAATAATTTATTCAACGAGTACAAGTTTATAGGCGGTTGAGTCATCACCCTCCAGTTTTCGACTGACCACCTCGGGTAAAGGGGGGCGAATAAGAAGCGGGTAGGAGATAAGATGACTGGTTATGAGGATCTGAGACCACATTTAGTGCCAATTGCCCAAGTGCGGAAATCTTTGAGATATGCAGCGCTTGCGAACAGGGAGGCAAGTAAAAAGCTTCGTTTATTACCGTTCATATCGTGCCACAAACAAAAGAAAGCAAAAGACAGGTAAATATATTTCTCCTCAGTTCGCTTCATAATCTGACAAACACCTGAATTTACTTTGGTTTGAAATCATTTCCACGACAATGGAAGCTACTATAAACTTCCGGGGACCGGAGAAATCCAAAGAAATGCCCATAGCAATGAGAAACTACGACAAGAGTCTACAGGGAAGTGGAAAGCACGACATCGAGGAGGGTTTGACCTCCGAGCTGATATCCGCTGGCTCAGAGAACCTTCAACGAAAAGGAAGGAAATTCAGCTTCTCGCAGTTGGCGGTGCCATCGGAACGTGTAAGCGTCCCCCATTTAGGAAGAAACTGCATTCCCGGCTTATTTTCTCTATAGCTCTGTTCGTACAGATGGGCGCGAGCCTTCTAAGGGGTGGTCCAGCTGGTCTCTTCCTTGCGTTTGTCGTCTATGGAAGTGTGATATGGTGTGTCAATCAATGTTTGGTAAGTCTCTTATCTCGCCTAATACTTGCGATCTAAATAGTGAAAATATTTGCGTTGAGGCAGCTGAAATGGTCACTTATCTCCCGATCGCTTCCCCGTTTATTCGCCTGAGCGGATTCTGGGTCAATGATGCTTGGGGCTTTGCAATGGGATGGATCTATTTCTTCCTCATGGTTAGGTCCTATTTCATGGTGCCTCTCATCTGATGTTTCTTTCGCTAATTACTACAATTAACAGCTTTCGCTATTCCGTACGAAATCACAGCAATCAACGTCCTTCTAACCTACTGGACGGACAAGGTGCCAGTGGTCGCAGTAGTCATGATTTGCTTGGTGATTTATGCGTGAGTTATCTTTTCTCTCGTCAGGAAATCTTGATAAGCTAACTTTTGGCGCCCCAGAGTACTTAATAGACTCGCGGTCAGGTATTTTGGGGCCGCTGAGCTTTACTTGGCCATATTCAAGCTATTTCTCATGGTGGGTCTCATTTGACTTTCGTCACCATGGTCCATGGTTGGGAGGAACCCCAAAGTTCAAGTCAAATTAGGCAAGTATCGATACTAGTGAACCCGGCTAACTTATAACAAGAGCGCGGAATAAAAGCGCAGGGGGGGAAGCAAGCTCGGTTATCGTTAAGTTTAGACAACTCCAATATCCAGCAATTCTTCGTCTGATGCAAGGTACTGAATCATGAAATCTCTAGAATGAAAAGATAAATAGGCATAGACTTCAAACAGAATCATTTAAGAAAAGCCGATGTACTTCCTAGTAGTAAATACTAGTAGATGTTAGTACCCTAAAAAAATAGGACAAATAACAAACTGATATTTCTATAGACTTCGAGACAAGAGCAGATCCACCTCCAAGAATTCAGGGCCCAGAAGATCCTACGGGAGGTAATCTCGGAAAGTAGATGTTGCCCAACCGCTGAATAGAGCCGAGTGTTGGTACTAATTCTTAGCATTAAGCTAGTCCTCAGCTGAAATTGAGGCACAGAACTCATTTTATACCCCTCGGAAAACCACGGAGACAAACTACTTTAGCTTACCATCAAATAATTTTCTCCCCTGGGTACGCTATTTTCACTCAGACGGTATTCGCAAAAGTAACAATTTTAATTTTGTATCCACTATTTGTAGCATAATCGATAGCCCGGGGGCCGCTTTATCAACAGTGCTTAATATTCCTCTCGAGGCACTAGGTCTGGGTCACTTAAGGCCGCTCCCACTTTACTTATCTACTGTGCTCCCGTCTAAGGGGGACCGATATTTCTATAATTCTTCGAGGAAGACCATCTCTATCTGACAAGCGATTATGAGGTTCTTCTGTATACTTGCAGTTGTACTATGTCTAGTACAAAACTCCATGGCCAGTGCCCGTGCAGGTCCGTATCTGGTGAGTCTACAAGAGACAAAATATCTATTTTTGTGAGTCCTCGGTTTGACATTTAATCCTTAAAGGTGTCTATCTTTGGTGCGCATATTGTATGGATGTTATGTCCTTCGGTGTGGCGAACACCGAAATCGTAGCAGGCTGTAAAGGGAGTGCAAAAGATAAAAGTTGTCTCTTTGATGAATTTATCAACAAAATCAGAGCGATTCCAAAAGGGGGAGCGCCCAAGTTCAAAACCGATATAGGCCCTAATCTCCTTCCCGATCCTAAAGAGGCCGCTGCACAGCTGAGTAAAGCCAGGTTTACCGGTAGCACAGACGCACAGCGTCTTCTACCATATTCCTACAAAGAGACGGATAGAAACACTACTCCTACATTCAGTGAAGTCTTTGATAAGATTCTGGCAGCCATTAAAGCTTGTCGTAACGAGCTTAGGGACGAACTACTTGCAACTCAACTTTTGGGAGCTCGTGATTCTATGGCGTACAATCAGGAGGCCCGTGTGGCTGACCAACGTGAGTCAGCTATCAAAAGAATTGAACAAATATCTACAAGGAAAAGATTATAACTGGGTATGTACCACTGTAATGGAGCTTTTCATTTAGTCGTCATGAGAGTATTTACTAACTGTGTTACATGAAAGAATGTTGAAACATCCGCTGAGACTCTCCTGATGGCAGCACATATGAGAAAATAAACACTCAAGCAACTCTTGATGCCCATCCCGAAGTCAAAGCAGATGATCTGAGTCATACGATTTCCGCCTTCACCGCGGAATATAGTGAGATGAAGACCTACAAGAACCATTTCGCTGCCACTCAAGCGAGTCAAGGATATCAAAGTGTTCTTAATAGCGAGGCTCGTGAGTAATGTACTTTTTAGTATAATATTCCATTTCTCCCGGACAAAGAGGCTTGGATTGGTTCAGCACGTGAAGTGTCAGATGTATACATTGTCAAATAATAGCATTTCTTGTGGATTTTCTATAGGATATAACGCTGGGCCCTTTCGTTGCCCAATCTGTTTGCATTCATCTTGTATCGTGCAGTCCTTCCATAAGGATTGAGACCAGGCAGTATAGAGTCAAATAAACTACCTGGAGATATACAGGACTTTCCTTTTGGACCAGCACTGACAATCTCGTTTAGAAACTTGGCAGATTCAAAATGCAAAAATCTGCGAAATTCCAGGTCAGCGCCAGTAAGAAGTATAAATTCTTGACCGCAGTTGCAATACACTCACTTAAGGCCAGCATCTGCTTTGGGTACACTAGTCATGCACGAGTGAATAATGCGGCGTTGGTTCTACTATAATGTCAGTAATCCGGCCTAGCGTCAGTAATCCGGCATAGCAGTAAGACGAAATCCTTATGATGCTACTACCTTCCATCTAGCTTCACCGGAACTGAGGAGAAGGACGTTTAATTTATTGCAGATTTGCTCACTGCTGACAATCCACCGAGGTCGTTCGGCAGTAGCGGCGGATGCGCGATCGAATTATTTCCTTGGATGGTCAGCTTGGAACCCAATATGAGCATGAATTGTAGACTTCATGGGGCCTTTCATCCTTGGCGTACCTTGACTGCACGATCCGAGTTAACATAGTACTCAGTCAGAGGCCCAATCTTGACTCTAACGATTTCCCCGTGCTCTGCAGCCCATTTTTGAAGCAGAATATGCTGTGACGCTTGTTTGGCGTCTTTCACAAACTCGATCAAATTTCGCAAAATAGGGATGCCAGGGAGACTGGGCGGCAATGGAAGTTTTCCCCTTTCCAGGTATTTTTGCCATATACTGTATGTCAAAAACGCCACAATGCCTAGCACGAAAATGTGCGGCATGTGGGGAAGGATTACATCTGTGATCAGCATCTTTGGGACTAATTCTTGAGGTTGAAAGGTGAGATCGCATGTCTTGGTAGAAACAGACTGGGAAAATGAGCTCTTAAAAGGTCCGAAGCTTTGCACGACCACTCTCCACTCGGCTTACAGACATCGTCATGAGAATGATTTTGCGGGGATAAAGATAAAATTTAAGGAGATAGGGGTTTAGTGGAGTGAGGCCGATGTACAGCAGAACCGGCACAGCGGAGCACTCGGGACCTACAAAGTGGATGCGAAAGTTCCAACAACAAGGAAAATCCGGTGGGGAATACAAACGCCCAAAGCTGAGTTTAATAGCTTGGAAATCAAGGTGGAGATATTGAATATTCACAGTACAAATGGACACTATTCAAATTACGGTGACGTCATAGCCAGTGTTATATCCTTCCACCATGCGTGACACAGCCAGAATCTTCAGATTAGCGAGCAAATCACAATGATTTGATTTGGTTGATTGATCGATTGGTAGCCGCAACCCTGGAATTATGGCCAATGCAATATTTCCTGTACTTATTTTTTGGACTAGTGCCATTGCTTCGAATTTCTTGATTTGTGTCGGAACAGAAATGTACGCCCAATCAGGTCCGTGGAAGTTGTCTAAATTGCTATGCCCGTACACATAAGTATCGCTACGAGCATAAACCTCACTGATTTAACTTGTTCTAGCAGATCAGGTGACAGTTGTGCTGCTGATAAAACCAGATTCTATGCATGAAACCTGAATGGTATGGTTATAATGACCGTACTCGCTATCTTGCTTGATAGTATGTGTGAAATATGATAAGTTGAGATTATATTCATTATTAGATGACCTCAAAGACTTTGTGTATATCTTTTTTGATCAACTGTACGTACCTCAGATACAGAGTATCGCCAAAGAGTAGGCGATGAAGCTCGAGCCGAGAGATAGTCACACATGAGAGCGACTGGACATACAACACAGGGCTCATGGGCTGCGAGGGAGAACTTGTTGACGCAACACCCCCCTGAGGAAGTTGGTCCCGTAAAGTTCCGAGGTACAAGCCTATATAAATTGGACTTGATCATCTCGATATTAAGTATAAAGCTTACACTATAGAACCTGGTTGTACGTCCTAGATTAAGAATCCTCATTGCTTCTAACAACCGGAGGGTTCCCATGGGATTGGCATCACTAGTCAGCAAGAACGTCTCAAACGAGACACCAACTGGGCAGCAAGATGGTAAATCTCGTCAATGATTGGGATATCACCCAAGATCTCAAGAAGGGTACCAGGTCAGACATATCTCCAAAATGCAAAGCTACTCTATCGCGAAGAGGACGATTAAGAGCTTCCCGTCTTTGCGAGGATGGTCGGACAAGGCCATGGACTTGATATCCTTGTTGACAACAGTCATCTCGATTGTGTTTCATTGAATAATATATGGTTGTCGTGTGGAGAATAATTCAATAATAAATTGAATGGCCAACTGATAATTTGTAAGCTTGCATAGAAATTCTCAATACATACTATGTTGTAGCCTGGGAGAATTTGACTAGTATTCATCCCCAAATATATATTCTATTATGGTGCAAGATGGTCTATCATGACATCATGGGCTCAATCGTCCTGACAGCCTCTAAAAGCGGCTTTTAAAATACTCCGACATGCAGACACATTCAATTGCTTGAGCTGGTAACTTTGAATTATTGACGGCACATGTGTAGCTGCATTCATCCGTAGCCCACTCAGCCCCCTTATCAGAACTGGGGCCGTTGCTGGCACTGATCCAGGTTGTCTACCCCAATTAAACCCGGGAAATCTACTCAAGCACAACCTTGGGAACAGAGCACGCGAGTAATGACTTAAAGTAACTCATCTCTATCTTAAAGCCGGGTATACGCAATATTTCCGGATCGTCTGCATAGTGATATGAAGTACGATCGTTATAAGATCCATTTCTTTTCAGCAAAAACTACTTTCTTGCGCAATATGGCGCAGTTTTGTCGTATTAAGATTCTATTCCTCAACGAGCGACCTAGCCCCAGTGTCGGCCCGGCCAGATGATACTATAGAACATGCGGGAATCATCGGCTTCTCTTTCTCTTCACCCCTTGGTAGGATGGTTACATTCGGCTCTTCTTCCCGTCCGACTTTGAAAGCCTAGAAGCAATTACGTGTTCTAAATGAGTGTTCAGCTAATGCATAAATCATGTCAACTACGCTATCAATTTGAAATACGCTCTCGACACATGGCAGGTGAGCAACAAGCACATTGCCAAAGTGAGTGATAGAGCTGCCAAGCTGGAACGGCATATTACTGGAGGGCATTACTTGGTGCACCAGCAGAGCTGACTTTCCCAGCTCTCCGTAAGAAATCAACGTACTGCCTGATCTACGACATTTTCTTCGTCAGCAGCTTCTATACTGCGGATTTGAGACACAAAGAGTGGAGGTTAAAAATAATATTTGTCTATTGAACGAAACTTAAAAAAACGTTATTCTCTAAATTAAAACATAGCTTGCATCAAGAACTTTCTTCGAAGAGTTCAATGTTGATATTCCTGGATACTCTCATTTGGGTACTCCAAGCTCACCCAGCGAGCCCGTTAATCCCAAGCGTATCCAATTATCGATTTCGCGCTGAGTAGCAACAACTATATAGCCCAGCATACCAATTGCATTGGCTCCGGCCTCTTTGTTGATCCCAGCTCGGCGCCTTGGTAGCACTATCATCCAACGCTTTGTGAGAATGAAATTGTGCGGACAAGCAGCATCGGGCAAAGCAATAGAGGCATGCTCAGCCCGGTGTCTCCCTACCTTTGTTGCTTCGTCCAAAAGGCTATTGTAGACCTTCAGTAAAGTAACTGGCGTAGTATTTTGAGGGTCCAAGCGGCGATAAAACCACTGAAAGGGTACATTGGGTTCTTCAGCGTCCTCAAGATCGAGGAATGATGCAAAGATGTTCTTTGGTGTTGGTATTAGTTGCAAGTGTTTGTGCAACCTGCTGCACCCTCCATCCTGGCCGCAGTTATAGAAGGCAACATAGTCGTTATCCATGGTAGACAGAATATGCCACACCGATTTGATATCACTCAGACTTAGCGCTTCATATTGCCTTTGGTATCCGTCAGAAGTTACCAGCATGAGATGAGGTCTAGCCCAGCAGAATTTATTGGCTACTAGAAAGTGAGTGCTGCTAGCCTCGCCAATCTCGAAGCCAGTGATGCTAATATCGCTTCCTTCTATCTTTTGAGGTTGTGGTTCGTTCTTCTTATCACTCTCCGGGGACGACATCTGGATGGTTGGCTTTTTGGCGAGAGCAGATGTGAGACAGAATTGAAACTAGGAAATAGTTAGGCTCGTGATACTCTTTGCTCGCGATCGTATGTTCTTTACGCTTACCTTGAGCTCTCCATCGGTGTACTCAATTATTTCTTGCTCATCGTTGTATATCACGACGCCGGAGTTGACAAGCTTGTCGAACTCGGAGAGTATAGCTGATGCATTCATTATCCAAATAAAATGGTTGAACTTCGCAGAACAGTTTCACGAATTCTGGAGTTATAAATTTTTAAAAAGGAAGCCGAAAGGATCCTAGAGTCTAGCAATATGGCCGTATTGATTCGGGTGTAAATCAGAGGAGTCGGGATGAGAGTAAGTCTCGCGCATAGACACCTGGGGTATCAAGCATCAAATTTCTATAGTTAACTATCCAGCGCTATCCGAAAAAGGCATAGTTTGTGGTGCGCGGAATAGGTCCCGTGGGAGGTACTAACACTGCATATCGCTTCGGTAGAGCTGATGTTAGTGTTGTTAGTGTTCGACGGTCAAAAATTGCTTCAACCTAGGGTGCTAAGCCACTTATACATGATTCATCCTATGAAAGAGCTGATGCCTACACGGTGTCGGATCCAGCCGCCCGTGGACATAGATTGCGCCGGCTACCAATTGACCAATGTCCTTCCATGAGTGTCGAGTCCTTTTTGATGTTCCGTGTCCATTGGCAAGATATATTAGTTTCAAATGCCGTCACTGACATGGATGGTGGTGCCATCTGCATTCTAACCGACTCTCAGCAAAGCTTGAACAAATTAACTCCGACCCTAGAGCGCAACAGTATCTAGCAAGGTGTGAAAATTCTACAGAGAGTTGGATCCTGCACGATCCCTGCTAGTCTTGATATCAATATAGCTCATTTTACGTGATTGATGCCGCTTATTCTAAAGCGCCGCCCATCGCAAACGATTACTGCTGGATTGAATTCGACTCCACAGGTGGCGAAGATATACGTGGGCACGGCTGGCTGAATTCCGCTGATCCTTGCCCATTAAGGAGTCGTACATGGGGTACATTCCTTCCATCCAACAGTCAACGCCAGCCAAATTCACTCTTCCAACGATTGCACCATTTTCTGTCATCGGTGATTCCTTTTTGCTTTCAGAAAATTAGGGACCCCATTAACACGAGCTTATTGACTCGCACCTTTTGCCAGATGGGACTAAGTTCTGCTTAGAGGGCTATCAGGAAAAGCTATTTACTTGGTGAAATCTTGACGGTAAGTTTAGTCCGAAAACGCTAATGTACTTCGTATGAGACGCCCCGCAAGCTCTGCCCGAGAATTATCAAGTTCAGAATGATAAAAGTATCTGAGGCAACAGTACCAACCGACCTTCAATCCCAACGAGAATGTATTGGTAGGCGAGATGCCACTGAAGCTGAAATCAACGAGTTACCACATGTCGTTGACTCTATCCCACTTGTTGTATGGATTGCTCTTGTAGTCAGTGGGGCAGAGACAGTGGCTTTGCGTGTCGCTTTATATACCCTCCATCAATAGGCCCACCAACATCCTCCAGCTTTTACTATTCCGATTTTTGTTGTGACTGAATGAAGATTGGGTATTTTAGAGATAACTAAGCTAACTGGATATATACAATATGGCAATTCAAAGAAAGCTGAATTGTTTTCTTAGAGGGAATATATAAAGCTATATACACCATGTCAAGATCAGGATGATTGGAAATCAACTTGAAGCTACATCTAGATACCTCGGGAATAAATTCCGGTGGTGTCGCTTAGTTCTTGATTTGCACCAGTCTTATATTACAACAATCTATTTTCCTCTATAAACGGTACAATATTAACTTAACGGGCCACTTAGAAGCTAAAAAGATCAGCCTAGTCTTATCGCTGGATATTCGAACCTTATCTACTATCTTTCAATATTTACCTACTTACTGACTGTTGCTGTAAATTAAATTATAAGGGACTAGTATAACTAGTAAATAGTCGGTTCTATTGGGACGGGTAAGTTTGTGTTACGTAGCATACTTCTCTCTTCTTCCCTTTTCCTCAACGTTGTTGTTCGTTGTTCTTCGCACCTTCTCCATTCTGGTAGATCGTAGGCACCTCATCACAATGTCTTGTTATTTAAGAGAGCCTTTGGAGAGCCGACATCTTATAGAAATTTCTCTTCTTTTTAATTGTCTCAAATATGATTATATCACAATGTCTAACCATAAAGGTCAGGAAGACTAGTATCTTATCCGGGTCCCACGATAGAGCTCTAGTCTCTATTTGTTCCAGCTTGCGAGCCACACGTAGCTCCATATCATCCTTCTCGCTCTCATTTAGCAAATCCAGGCGCGTTTTCCACCCTTCCTCGGGACTTTCAGTTGTTTCAATATATCTTATCAAAGGCAAAACTATGCAATACCGCGTATACTATCCAAAAGTTTCCAGTCTCTCAACTCGCCTGCATGGGACCAGAGAGCCTTTGGCCTTCTTTTAACCTTTCTTGCTGAATTTCTGCATTTTCCAGGCTCTTCATTGCCCTGATGAATGTTTTGAGACAAAGCTCAAATAGCCCCTCCCAGTCCTCGATGCTATTTGGCCAGCACTCAGGTTTTTCGATGAGAAGCCACCAGGGTGGCGCATAAGAGAATTCAACAGGCGCAGCGTAGGTAAATTCCCAGTCTACCACACCAGTTATCTGCAAATTCTTGCCCAGTAGCATATTTGCCGGCCTCAAATCATCGCACCATAGCATGTAAGGACCCTACTCGAGCAAAGGATTTGTAAGCCGGGGCAAGTACACAGATCGGTCAAAATGAAACAAATGAACAACCGACATATAACTTGAAAATCTACTTCACTTTTCATAGACCTTGATATACCAATACAGCCACGGCCAATGGCACCAACCCCCACACCAAAACCTTCCATGCCATTCGCTTCATCCCACGCCGCAGACCCAGTTGTACCTTCTCATCCAGCCATTTCTTCTCATTCACATGAGGAAACGGCACATCCGGCACAGGCTTGCCCAGAAATTTACACAAAGGCCCCCATCCATCAGTCAACTTAAACTCCAACAATCTCTCCGCAGGCGTAAGTCTCCTCACAAGCGCATAATGTTCCCGATACTTTTCCCTGCTCACCCGTCTCGCATCCTCCGCTGAGTCGATGCCCAACCACCCCTTGAACGAAGACTTATGCACCCGCCCGAGTGGCCGCGTAAACCACCGATCAACGGTATAGACAAATGTTACAAAAGGAGATTCATAAGTATTCTTGATAACAGCATTCATCCAGCTCTTGTACCATGATTCGATCTCCCGCTCGACAAGCACAACTTTCGCCTCGGGGTAAGCTTCAATGAGATCGTCTGCGAATGAAATGGCGGGGGTATCTGAGGAGACGGCTCCGAAGTCGTGAAGAAGTTGATCGAACTCTTCGCGGCCGTATTTTGGGCCTGGGGCGTCAAAGAACTTTCTGTCTAAACCTTCTTGCCACATTTCGATGTCGCCGAACCGATCGGAGAAGAAGTAGATTGAGTGCCAGCAGGGGATACCGAGGATCTCGAGCGCGCTGCACATTGCTGAATTGAAAATTTCTTAGTACTCTATGATTTTCTTTGTTGGTTGGGATGACTTACATGCTGTGCCTGTGCGGTTGAAGCCCAAACATAGACATTCTAGTGGAACTGTTCTTTTCTTTCCGCGGGGAGATCCATTGTTTACAGGGCGAAATAGCTCTGGGTGTCGCTCCTGTACTGTGGCCATGGTATTTATATGCACTAGTGACGCTGATTCTGTTGTATCGAAAAGAATTGAAGACTGTGCTTGCCTTTCTATTTTCCATACAAAATTCCCAGGATATCTCGCAGACTTATATGGTCTTGGGGAGGGAACACAACCCCTTGATCAACCCAGCTCTTGACAAGCTCAAACTTTATCCGACCTCGACATTAACCAAAAGGTAATTCTTTATTGATTGGCCTATTCTACTAAGTATGTGGGGCTCTGGGTGAAATTGACAGAAAAGACTGACAAGATTTACCTCCGTACTCCGAATGGCCCCCAAACGCTTTGGCCAGGAGGATCCTCGCACTGAGCTTCGAATTAGTACTAGCGCGGTGGGTCGCCATCACATCTACGGAGTACAGAATATCAACAATATTAAGATCCATAAGGCTTAGCCTTCAGAGCAAGGGTCTAGAAACTGGAATAAAAAAAAATTACGAGTGCGCAAGCTCAATCTACTACTGTACAAGCTCCACACGCCACCTACCTCTCTTCTGAACACGCTTGGCCACATGTCTAAAGCTGCAGTTATTGCTGAACCAAAGGCGGCAGCCGATACACTCAGCTCCCTCTTGCCGCCAATCTATTCTCCTTCCCAGCTCCTTGGCAAGCATCTGACTCCTTACCAGTAGTTTCCAGTAATGATCAAGGTATTTAGTGGGTTCGTCATGATTGGCTGGATGGAAGGGGTCATGGGGCACCTTGATGTTCCCCGTGGAAGAATAGTCGGCGAATTCCAATATCATATGAATCAGTTCAGGTGGCAGTTTCATGGAATAGAAGATTGATCTAACTTCCTCAACGTCAGCATTATTGGGGTTGCATCCGGTGTTTTCACTGCTAAGATTCTCATACAGCAGAAAGTCATTGTATGAAATGCACCCATAGAGTCTCCGGCCTAAATAATAGTTCTCCCCGAATCGTGCTGTCCGTTTCTCGGTGGGCTTAGGGGACACGAGACGCGTAGTTCCAAGGATATGTGGATTTGCATATGGTACCGCTTCTCTGCCCCAAACAGTCGTTAACAAACCCCGAACCATGACTTGATAGAGCCTGGTATTGCGATAGTCTTTGTTTCGTTTTCTCCCAGAACTAGAGTTCCATGTTTGGGGAAAGGCGTGTATTGTATTGAACCCAATGTACCCCGTTAGCGCCTGTCTGTAAATTGGGCTCAGCTGTGAAACATGTGCGCCCTGCAGATAAAGATTAGCCAACGTGAGAAAAACGTACAGGAAATTTTGAAGACAAGAAACCTAATTTGAATGAGGCTAAGAGACACTTACATCACTGTTCTTTTCATCAAGTGTCCAAGACTGCGAGGGATCCGACTTTCGATAAGCGCAGACGCGAAACAATGGCTTCATTTCCCCGTGTAATATCAGAATTCTCGATAGATGCATATTGAACATCGAACAATCTCTCGCGCCGTCTTCACGATCTAATCATTGAAAACAAGATACTTTCCGCTCATGGTGGGGTAGAAGAGGACAAGCCGGAATATCTCAGATTGATTCGCAGGGTAAGCCATGACAGAGATGGAAAGGTGGATTGCCAATTTTTTGAAACTCTTCTAGCAAGTGAAGGATGCTCGGGCACATCTTTTTGATTTGTTTATCGCCAATAGCTTCCTCATCGAAGCCAGGTGTATCGTAATTCTTGCTGTATTCCTTTCTTTCGCGTTTTGTCTGTGCTTTGATAGCCTCTGCGAAAGTATCGGCAAATAGTATGAAATCCTTAGCCTGATTTGACTTCAATTGTGGGGGAGGAAGTCCTCAAACAAACTTCTGCGAGAATCTCTAGGTCCATGGTCATCAAGGTCACAAGGCTGAGTCGACCATCAGAAGGGAGAGGTGAGCCGCTTCCATGGAATGATCTCGGCTTGATGAGCCATCTTGAGTCGTGAAAGGGTACTCGGAGAAAGGCAGCGAGCTTGAATTGGGTCCTGGAAGAGGAGTAAACAGTTAAGTCTTGAAGAAAGCGAGTTGTGCGAATTGGGAAGTTGAAGCTTTCACGTTTGGTGGGTGGTGAGAAAGGAAGAGGTGGGGACCGAGAGCGGATCCTATCTTTGATCTCTGGAGTGGACTTCACTTCAATGCCCAGGTGTTGAAGATTGAAGACCGGACGAAGTTCATGGCAGCCTCAGGCTATACCTCTAACTTAACCTAACGTTACTGTTAGCTAACTAGTTACCTAGTTATGAACGACATGGTTAGACTGTTCGCCTGATCCTTCAGGCAGCTAATCGCCTTTCCCCGCCAAAACACAGAATCCAGCAACTTCCCATAGAGATTGGCATTTCTCTTCATCACATCTCTCACTCGAGATCACCGTGCCTCCATCTTCCAATATCTGCACACTCCAAGCATGGCACATCAAGCCCACAATATCCCATGGACATGCCTGACCTCAAACTTACGGTGGTCAGCTAGATCCCGCCCAGAAGGACGCTTCTCAGACTTTCATCCTCAATTTAAGCCCAATCAACACAAAGATCTCACACACTTTGCCAATATGTTCGCAAAGAATATCGAGGAGCATTCAAATTGCGAGCGCAGGAAATACCCCCCTACCTACGATCCTCCAGACTCTAATGAAGATATTATTGGTGATCCCATCGCTGCCAAAATCTTTCCGACCGTTCGTAAATGGCGGACAGAAAGCCCGGGGGAATTCGATTGCAGTGGGGGGTTCTGTCAGTCCGGCGAAGGAGAGGGACCTTGTTGCCCCATTCTACCACTACATGAGCGGAAAATGTCTGCCTTTTGTAGGCAATATGTATATGGTGAATGCTACCACTTCTATACGGGGCAATCGCCTGGATACTTCAATATGGAGCTAATGAAGACTTTGGTTTTATATGGAGAGATGGAACCGCTTCTTCGTGCTTGTGCACACCCGGATGTGGCGATTAAGGGCTGGCATAACATTGATGAATGCGGCTGTAATGTAAGTGCCGATATATTCGTTGTACTATCTCTCTTGGCAGCTGTCCATTTCTCTTCTGGCCTTTGTCCAGAGAGTGATCATTTTGTCCAGTTGAGCCTGTGACTGACCGTGCTATCCAGGGATATGAGCTCGGATGGAATCAAATATACCTGAAAGCACTGAGGACATACATCGGTTTAAATGCTATATACTCATTTCCTGAAACATGGGACGTTGCTTCCGGACGATCTGAAGAGCGAGACTATCGAAACACCAAATTATACCAGATCTTAGTCCGGAACTCCATAATTCATCGTGTCTCACCAGTGGTGGTATATCCACACCGCCAGATGCTTGCAACCGAGCCTCCGCATGACTACAAGTCCCCGCGGTTCCTCGACGACGAATCATTATATGGTCGAATTCCATATCATGATTTTCTTCTCCATCATCACCTTAATCGCGAAGAATTCCAATATGATCCAGACAACGATGATATTTTTGAAGTCCACTCTATCCTACGTTCAATGGGGCTTCCAGCTGAGCTGTCAATAGAGATATTAGATTTTGCTGACTACTCACCAAAGGGAAGAGTGAAAATTCCTCATGATCCATTCCATCCTGAGAACCGCGAGAGATTGGCGAAATATCTCAGATACTGCTGGCAATTACTAGTTCGCTGTGATATGTTGATCAGAGAGCTTGGAATGAATATTGATTGGGCGCAAGAGGTGACTCGGTGCATGGGTGAGGACCTTTGGACCCCAAAAGATGCACCCCGTGGGCAATTGATTCGATACACTTATATTGATGATTATAATGACTATCGATATGTGTTTAAATAGTATCTGGCTCAGCCTTTTAACCCCACAAAAATACTTGTTTATTGAAGCTTCCATTTCTTAGCGCTATCTGGAGCTTGATACCATGAGTTATTCATGTATGTATCTTACACATGGAAAAGTCTAAGAAAGGGAACAAAGCAACGATGATGATGACTCCGAGGAGTGTTCGTTTTTATAAGAGCAAAAGGTGACTAGAGTGGAGATAAGTTCAAAATAAGCCCATAACTTTCGTCCTTTTCATTCAAAACAGTGTCGAGAGTCAAAGGATATTGAAGGATAACGCCAAATTGGTCGTCACTCTCATGCATCAGCATCAGTTGCTTCGTCCTCGAACGAGGCCTGGTCGGGATCTCCAGGCCTTCTCGATTGTTCAAGTTTGACATAAATAGAGCGAAGTAGAACTTAAATAACGTGTAATGTCTTAATATTATACCTACTAGTACAAGTTGCTGTACCTAAAATACTGCATGTGTGGGTCAAATCTCATCGATTCACGGGCCCTTAAATTACTGGAGACAAACAAGTCGATGTAAGAGACGATAAATTCCTAGATATTTCTGCTCAAATATCCGAGAGCTCTCATGGCTCTATAAACAACCGAATGATCACCCCCTTGCCTCGTAGAATGAGCTTCCAGTCGAGACCATGGTTAAAACCCAAATCTCCTAACATCAGCCAAAGCCTCCCGATAACCCGTATGAACAACATAGTGCTCAACAATTACTATGAGCCTATTCTCACCTCGTCTATCTCGATATGAATAGGGGGCACATGGTGCCGACTTTAGAGGATGCGCCTCGTGCGTAACAAAAATCCCCTTGTTGGGTAGCTTCCACTTTCATTGTCGAATGTGGACCATTGTATGAACAAAGTGTTCTTTCTTCAAGGTTTGTAAGGTTGGTGCAATATTTGTTCTCGTACGAGATAGTAGATAAATAACAAAGGGAACTTCAAGGGGGTGTGGTCGGTCATTATGGCCGGGGTTTATAGCAGGACGGAGGGATTGAAACCTTGGAACCGGGGTAGTGCAAACAGTCCAACAAGAGGGAAATAGTAATATCGAGCCGTGAAAAGAAACCTTGGAAGGAACTTCAAGTTGAGCGAGCCACGGAGCGCAAACTTAGGAGGCAAGTTTGTTTCAATTACTATGCACTTGAAACAGGTAGGACTCTGAACTAGTCACACTTCATAGTGTATAGTGGTGATGTTGCTATGCATATCGAGTTTAGTGACTACTAGTAATAACAATGTCATGTATGAAGGGGTCGAAAATATATGAGATCCAGGAAATTATCCAATGGGAATGGACTGCTGTGTGCATCCTGATTTTGATCACAGCTAGCTGATCTACATTACATCTTGCAGAACATCAAGAAATGTTCGAAGCTTTAGCTTTGTAGACTACGATAAGATGTCTCTGCGCTTCTTTGGCGAATCAGAAGACGATGTTGATGTTGCCTAGTGTAAGCTTGGGTTCTACTCACGGCCTTCTTTCAGCGGATGGTGCTGTGGGATATCTTAAACTCATTTTGAGTGGCCTTGATAGGCAGTTGTATAAAACACTTTTACAGAGTAGGTATAGCGAAAGAAGAAGAAGAAGAAGAAGAAGAAAATATGATGAACTTTGTGAAGTGAGGATATCCTAACGACAAAGAAGCAGCGGACAAATGAGAAACACAGTGTGGGGTAAAGGAAAGAGGAAATGACGGAGAATGGGTAGTTGTCAGGTCCGTAAACAAAGAGAAGGCGATCGCATAACTATTGTGTTGAGTCTGTATTTAGATCAGGCACAAACACAAACAAAATGCAATGACTCTTGTCATACTGAACTTATGCACGAGTGAGGCGCAGAGAGACGGACACATTGAAACGGAGATCGAGGACGGAGACGGAGACGGATAAAGAGCAAGGGAATCAGAAATCAGGAGACCGTGGTGTTATAGAAAAAGGAAAGGGGTAAAGTAAAGAGAAGGGATTGGTATCAACAAGTCCAGTTCGTAAGCGCTGCTGGGGAAAGACAGACACAGACATCGATTACAGGTCGATGAGACTGTTACCGTGCTGTGGCTGTTGCTGAGCTCCCCATGGATTACTGTTGGGGTGTTGCTGTTGTTGTTGCATGAAGCCTGTTTGCTGGGGCACACCGGTATATTGCTGGCCGAAGAAGGGGTTGCTACCCGTTTGGTTAGCGTGGAGTCGGTCCAACCCTTGACCAGCAGAGTTAACGAAAGTGCCAGGTGCAGTGTGTTGAGCTGGGATACGAAGGTCTCCAACGTTGCCGAAAGTGTCCTGGCCCTCGCCGGAAGCGAGGAGGGCGTTTAGGCGAGCAGTGTGGGGGTCTTGGGATATTTGGGGAGGAGTGCTCTTTGGTGGCTGAGGAGCTTGGAAGTTGGAGATTGGGTTCTGATGCGTCTGAGGAGAGGCTTGATTGAATGGCTGCTGATTTGTCTGAGAGAACTGGGTAATGGGGTTGTTGAACTTCGTTGTTGCCTGGTTCTCTGAAAGTGTGTTGAGGGATGGAGGTCCTGTAGACTGGGGTTGGCTGTTGAATTGATTCTGAGTACGCTGAGCAAATGGGTTGTTCGAGCCTGTGGGCATAGGCCTCAATGCATCGGCAGGCTGATTCGAACCCCAAGGATTGTTGGTACCGGCGGACAGGTAGTTCTCCTGAGGCTGCTGGTGTTGCTGCTGCTGCTGCTGCTGCTGCTGCTGCTGCTGCTGGGAGAAGGCATCGTTGGCACCGTATGGGTTGTTGTTGTGGAATGCAGTGTTCTGCTGCTGAAGAGCGGCAGCCTGAGGTTGCAGGAAGTTGTTCTGTTGCTGTTGTCCGTAGGGATTCTGGTCAAACGCGGATTGCTGCTGGTAACCATTCGCGTAAGGGTTGGCACCAGTGGGTTGCTGCTGGAATCCAGTAGGTTGCGCGTATTGGTTGTTCAAGTATCCGGTGGTCATGGGTTGCTGAACGTTGATGGGGTTGCCGAACCAGTCGACCGCACCCTGCTGCTGATAACCCTGGTTGAACCCGGTAGGTTGAACCTGAGCCGGAGTGTCGTCAAAGAGCGCATGGGCGTTGCTTTCCTCCAATTCTCGTTTGCGCAAGTCCTCCTCTTCCCTGCTGAGTTTTATAGCTTTGGCCAAGTCCTCATCTTCGTGGCCGTTGTTTGTCTCCTTGGCCCGTCGTCGGCGCTCCTCCTCGGCTTCGGCCTTGCTGGCTTCGATAGCTAGTCGGTACTCGGTATCATCCTCGTCGGCACCCTGGCGTCTAGCTCGTCGCTCCCGGCGAGGGGGTTCATTGCCAAATCCTTGTCCCTCGTCAAGTCCACTGACACGAGTCTTCCAGAGCTTGCGGTCAGATCGTTCGCTTCGCAGGCGGTCCTCATCCAGAACCAGCGCGGTGAGTTCTTTTGCGGCCACACGGACTGCGCAAATGTCAGTATATACATCCTCTGGCGGATGAAGAGACAGAAAGATTGTCACATACCGTTCTGACCCACGTCGCGACCCTCCTCATCAACGTACTGGAACTCACGCAGAGTCTTGATGATATAGACATTCTTTCGAGCCCAGGTCACTACTAACTCTGAACCCTCGTGCAGACAGTAATCTAGAACCTTCAGCGACTTCAGCACGTGGCGCCAGTTCTTTCCCTTATCATTGAGTCGCTTATCGATCATATCCATGATCTCGTAGAACTCGTTCGGGCTACACGTAGATAATGTCAGCGGCCAGGGGATTCTGCAACAGATAGAGCACCTCAGAATTAAGGCGACCAGCCAACCTACCTTCCAAAAGTCATAGCCGCGATTTCAGCCATATCGGTACCCGTCGGGCCCCAGGGATCGTTACTTGTAGCTATACGATAAGGACAGTCAGCGTGACGGTCCATTTCCAACAATCCCAGGGGCAGCGGAGTGATCGTAAAGCGCCGTATGAATGATCAGAACACAAGCGCGAAACACAGTCACAGTAGCACAGCACACAAGCCAGAATACCCGACACTTGCGGTGATGTTCCTATCGACGCAACCGAGGAAGCCAGACGTACCATTTCGAACCTTGACCTGGACAGAAGAGTACCCCTTTGTGACATTCTTGACACTGCGCACAACCTTCGACATGGTGTCGGTTTATCTGCGACGGTCGCAGATGAGCTCAAGGAGGGGAAGAAAGGTGGTAGGTTGGGTGGGTAGTGGAAACTGAATCGAAGGGTCGGGGAATTAGTGTCTGGAGCGGCGGTGTCCTGCCAAGTCTCACAGCCCACTCGGTTTCAAGGCTCCGGTATAGCAGCCCAAGGCGGGTGTCACGCGGGAGGTTTCAGCCGGTTAAAGTATGGGGATAATGAAAGGTGTAAGGGATTAGTCACGGTGACAGTTCATAGAGATCGGAAAAGAAGCCAGTTAAAGATCAGATTGGAAGAGAGAAAGAGATGCAGGAGAGGGGACTGTGGCTGGAACGGGGGAAGACAAGTCTTGGCAATGACGAAGCGCGGTAACAGTCACTGCAGCACTTGAGATAGACTGTGGGTCAAGGGACCAACACACTGACATCAACTATATATAGAAAGGGTCTGCAATGCACTCTGTACATCGGATTGCTCTTCGATTTTGCCATTGGCAGTACATACTGTTCTCTCTATTTACATTGAATCCCAATATCTATTATCAACCCTGTCCACCACACATTCCAGCCTCAAATACCGTTTTCGATACACTAAACGCCACCGGGAAGACACAAATCAAACATTCTCAATCAGAGTACGAAACAGAAAAATATCTGGTCCAATCCCCGATCTGCAGGCTTCGCCTTCTCGAACCTGTTTCAACGTGCACGTTTGTTTTACTTTGGATTACATAGTTCACCGCCACACTGTGGCAAGGAGGCCGCGTCAGTCTGTCCGACCTTGTCTGTACTTGTAGGCAGCCATTTAGCATTGACGATCAATTGCTTGCTACAATAAGACAATTACAATAACATAATTATCTTAATATAATTCCTGCTCCGAACCTTGGAAGGATCAAATTTACCTGGGTCTTCTGTCAAGATCTAAACGAGGGAAGGTGGTGGTAGGGCCCTCGGAGGTTACATCTACTACTGGCAGCGGCTTGTTACTAGCTCCATTCTAGCTCCATTCCAGATATACAACCAAAAATTGCCATCTTGTATCTTCAAGTTGAATTGTTATTTATTCTGGTGATCTTTGTATATACGCAAGGGTATGAAAAGTGTTCTTTCATGGCACTAAAGAGTCTAAACAGGAGATGTTCAACTGAGGACCTTCTCAGCAGCAGAGACTAAACCGGAAGTTCAAGTTAGTGACGAGTTCCACGCATAGTCAGGGACAAGATCGGAAGAAATCAGTACAGCACAGCACAGCACTTACCATTAAGTCCGGCATTGTCGGGTTCCACGAAAGCTTCCTTAACTTTACCATCCTCCACCAGCAGAGCGTAACGCTTGCTACGGTGGTTACCGAAGATAGCAGTGCTGTCGAAGGTAAGGTCAAGAGCCTCAGTGAACTGAGCGGTAGGGTCACCCAGGAAGCGGATCTAGAATATATCAGCCATTATTCCATACCATTCACATCGATATTTTTATTTGACATAACATACACCGCTCTTGCCGTTGGGGTCAAGGGAATCGGCCCAAGCCTTAGTCCTGTATCGGTCGCGTTAGCTACCATTGCGCTGCGGGATGCTGCAATAATCCTGATCTGCTTACACGAAGGAGTCATTGACGGCGACGACGAAGACTTGACCAGCCTCCTTAAGCTTGGGGTGGTTGATAAAGCCGGGGACGTGGGTGCTAGAGCAAGCAGGGCCTGAAATAATTAGCCTGCAAGGTCTAGCTACTTGTTGTTTTCTCGACTTTCTCGTGAAGGATTGAACATACTGAATGCAGCAGGAACACCGACGATAACACCCTTGCCCTTGAGCTCCTTGGCCAGGTTAACCTTGTTGCCGGGGGAGTTCTCGACCAGAACGTTCAGGTCGGGGATGGCATCGCCCTTCTGTACGAATGCGGGCGCGGTCTTGTGGAAGAATGCGGTCTGGGTGCGAACGCGGGGAACGCTGTTGGCGAGACGACGAGCGGCAAACATGGTGGATTGGATGGAATTGAGTGGTTATGGGCGGACTGGGGAGGATTGTGAGGAGGGTCACTGAGAGGGATGAGGTTGAGAAAAGGGCGTTGATAATTGCGATGGGAGCTTCGGGGATTTCGTCATGGCCCGCAGCACGCCGATCTTCATTCGCGCGTAGACCAGTTGACGGCTAACACTAGCCTGCATCAGAACCATCTCTATTTGAATTCAACTTACTTTTTAACCCGACAATTACTCAAAAACGCACTATGGGAATCTTTGAATATATTTATTAACTGCTAGATAGTGTAGGTATGAGCGTTGCCAAGCATAGCCTTCAAGACCACTAGTATAACTGTACCTATACTTAAGTGTACTCACAAGACGGTCATTGTGACTCTCAAAATCAGATAATCGGTAAGAAGGCAACTATGTAGAACAATCAAAAAATGCAATATGATATAGTTTATCAGATATGACGTCGAAAGGCAATTCTCGCGTGGTACTATTGCGAAAGCAACGGACCAAGAGGCGTTGCGGCCGAGCTGCATGAACGTTGAAGCCCAGTACGCCCTATCCACTTTTGATGCCTGGTACTTTTTTTTATTTTTTTTATTAAGGCCTGATATGGTATCCCGACAACTCTAAATAAATTTCCATCTTGAAAGTCTCAACCAGAGTACTAGAATACAGTAGATTAATCGATTAATATAGTGAATGGATCCCTCCCGAGACTCCGGAGTAGAACGAACCGGTTCGTCTTGACCGACTTCGTATATGACTCTGTTGACGTATACATGTACGAATCATTACTCTGCTATACAGAATCCAGAGAATGAGTTTGTCTAGAATTCTTATTATTCTTTCTTTGCTCTCTATTCATGAAGCCCCATCAGACAACGCACCCTGGTGGAAACAATGGTGTGTTGTACGCGTGTGGGAACCACTAAGAACTTGAACGAGTGGCCCACTGTTCTTTGTCGGTCACTAGGACCCAAAGTTGTCGGTGGAGCCAGAGTCTGCTCCCCTCAAAGTGTCTCAGCCCTTTTTGGTCAGTCCTGGAAGTTTTTTTCTTGTTTTTTCTTTCATGGACCCAAACTAAACCTTCTAAAATAAATAACACTATGTGGTCTGTTAGGTGTGCGTATACATGGGTATACATGCGCATGCGCAGCATTAGACCAGACTACGCCCCTCCCCTCCATCTCGTGCGCACTGACATCCGACATGCTTCAATTCATGTCATTGCTGGAGTGCATCAGTGCATCAGTGCATCATGTAGGTCAAGCCCTTCAAACCTTAGAAACGGACTTTTCGGAGGAAAGCAGAAGACCGGAATGTTCTGTGCCTCGATCAGGGCGATGATGGATGAAATATAATTAATAGAATAAATAATAAAATAGCAGATTGTATTATATCTGCAGGTGATTATAATCAATCATAATCATAATTATAATCATTAATACGATCAATACAGGCGATGTAATATGACTGTATCTGCGCAGTAACTTTGGTACACGGCTCTACCGCCAAACCTGGTAACTGGGCAGTACCCAGTCAGTCCCAGCAGTTGTCTCTCTGTCTCTCTGATTTCTCCAAATTCCCGATTTCTTTTTTTTTTTCCTTTCAAGATCCTAGACTCCCTTTCTTGATCCGGGTTTCAGTTCGCCTGGGGGATCATAATTGACTTCCATCCTCCCATCTCTCTTTTCCACCTACTTATAACACGGAATATCTTTCAACACCCAGGCCCAGCCCGCTGTTTCTTCGACCGGTCGCGACCCGGTTAGCCCCCCATGGATGGCCCAGGCCAGACCTCGAATGCCGCCCCCGCGGGCAACTCCAGCGATTTCGTGAGTTTTTCGCGATAGATAGTCTATAATATAGAGTCAAAATGCTGATCTTTTTCGTTCTAGGTGCGCAAGCTGTACAAGTGAGTTTCCCTTTTTTTATTCGTGCCTCCTCTCTTTCCTTCTCCCCTCCGATCCCGGTTTTTTTCGCCTCCCCCCTCTCCTTCGCTCCAGTGAAAACGAGGTATACCATCGTTGATCGCCGAAAAAGCAAGTTTCTAACCAACAATGCGCGCAGAATGCTGGAGGATCCTTCCTACGCGTCCATTGTGCGCTGGGGTGATGAAGGGGATAGCTTTGTGGTCCTAGAGGTAAATGCGCCCGTGGTGTTGGGTGCGGTCGCACTGTGTAAGCTAACAGGGTATGCCAGTGTGAGAAATTCACCAAGACCATCTTGCCCAAACACTTCAAACACAGCAACTTTGCCAGTTTCGTGCGCCAACTGAATAAGTACGACTTCCACAAGGTTCGCCAGAATAACGAGGAGAGTGGTCAGTCTCCGTATGGACAAAATGTGGGTTCTCGCGACTTGATCTCCCCAGCAAAATCGGATAACGGGATACTGATGGCTCATTATTTTGATTTTGCCACAGGCTTGGGAATTCAAGCATCCAGAGTTTCGGGCAAACAGCAAGGATTCCCTGGATAATATTCGCCGCAAAGCCCCTGCCCCCCGCAAGCAGGCTCAACCTTCAGACGACTCTGTCCCTACCCAACAGATCGACCTCCTCAATCAGCAGATCCTCGCCCAGCAGCAGCAGATTCAACACCTCTCCGACCGTTATGCTCAACTCACCGTTGACCATCAGCTGATGCTGCAAGAAACGATGCGGGTACAAAAAACAGTGTTGAACCATGAGAATGTTATTCATCAGGTGATGACCCATTTGCTTTCGGTCGATGCGCGCCAGCGGAGGGATAGTAAGGCAGCTGTTGGGTTCCAAGGGCAGGGTGGCTCAACTATGAGTCCTATGCAGGCTGGAAATGTCGACGACGACCCTTCCTCACCATTACAACAGGCCTCGAAGTTGTTGAACGACATGAACGCTGAGTTCCAGTTCAATCTTGGTAATGATCAAAAGGGCGCCGTCGCAGGACCCGTTGCTACACCGACAATGGATCCCGCTCGAAATGGAATGGTTCGGCCTGCTACCACCGCGCCGCCTAACCCAGCGCTTGCGTATTCAAAGATGGGCGGGGACTTGGAACAGGTGGTCTACCCTGTGGGCGCTACTAATGGAATCGATCCCATGTATAGCGAACATATCAACAACGTGCCATATCCGATGCCTACTAAGGCTGAGGTGCCCTCTGAGCCTCGCCAGCAACAACCGGATACTCGAAAGAAGACTAATCACGTCGATCCTGGTTGGATACGCATGCCAAGGATCCTGTTGGTTGAGGACGACCAGACATGCCGACAGATTGGTGGCAAATTCCTTTATTCCTTCAACTGTGAAATTGATGATGCCGTATGTTGACATATCCTAGTTCTTTTTTTCGACATTTTATGATATGAGCTAATGATTCATATAGTTTGATGGATTGCAAGCTGTCCAAAAAATGCAGAACGCAGGGCCGGGTGGAGGAAAATACGATCTGATTTTGATGGATATCATCATGCCAAATCTTGACGGTGTATCGGCTTGTCATCTCATTCGCCAATTCGACCAGACTCCTATCATTGCCATGACTTCCAATATTCGCAGTGATGATATACAGTTATACTACCAACACGGTAAGTTGAGCGAGAGACTCATTTTCATTGGATTTTCATGGCTGACTCTTAACAGGCATGAATGATGTTCTACCCAAACCGTTTACTCGCAAAAGCCTCCTCGACATGCTGGAGACACATCTCACACATCTTAAGACCATGCCCCAAGGTATCGAGGGTGCTCCCCCGGTGCCCGTCACTATGGCTACTCAAGCATCAGCAACACATTCGATCAAAGAAGATAGTTCACCCGGCCAATCACCAGCTGGCTCTATGAACAACTGGCAATCACCCGGACAGTTCCAAGGTATGCAAGCGGTGCAACCGAACATGCCCACAATGCAAGGACAGTATGTTGCCGCAGGTGCGCCACCTCCAGCAGCATATGCCGTCGATCAGAACGGCGTTCAATATCCTGCTCCACCAGTCGCTGTTCCCTCGAGTGGACCCCCTGTTCCGTCCCAACATCGCCGACAAATGTCCGAAATGGCCGGTGCCCCCGATGGTCAGAATATGGCTAAAAGACAACGTTTGTACACACAACCACAACCACAACCGATGATGACAGTCCAAGCCGGGCGCCCTGGCTAAACCCCTGACCAACCTAACCTTTCCTTTCCTCCCACTCGCATATACACAAGCTATCGAGCTCTCTTCTTTCTTATCTCTTCCTTCCCCTCGCTTGATACTTCACCTCTCCGCAGCCTCCCTCACTGTCTATTTCTCTTACGATTCCCACTGTCTATAATGAGGTCTCCAAATCGTACATTGCTAGTGCTTGTTCGGATGTTTGCGTTGGTCACGGTTTTCTATATTTTACAGGTCATGGCGTTTCTGCAGGCTCTATCTTGGGTGGCGAAATTTGTTTTTCACGTGTCGTCACTTTCTGATGCCATCTCAACTATTTTCTCATGCATCTACCACATTGGTATTTGTCACTGCCCAGGGGCAAGGAAGTAAAACATTTGGGTTTCCTTCCATACCTGCCCTTGTTTCGACAAGTATATATTTACACAACATATTTTATTTATTTATTCCTGATATTTAGTATCTATTTCACTTTCTTAGATCTATCATTGGAGCTATGTCTCATCTCCCTGTATTTCCTTGCACTAACAAAATTACCTTGTTTAACAGGATCCAGAGTGAGCAGGTAAGGAAGGACGTGCTGGTCGGATCCACCATTGTGTCAAGGTATCGTGAGTGCACAGTGGAGAGATGATCTATTCTAAGATGATATGTAGTGATCATCCATTCTCAACAAACCGATTGTCATCACATTCAGGTCCCACTTTGTCCGGACAGTCTATCCTATTCGAGAAGGTAGTCATTATGTGCATCTCCACTATCCAGCATAGCCTTTAACTCTACGGACTACGCCGCACATATGTAGCCTGAATTAGACCATCTCCAACAAAAAGCGCCTGTGCTCAATTAAAGATCGCCTGAAGATCACCATCATATCTCCGACAGTCACAATCCCCGATTCCCAAGAATCCCAACCCTCCCCAAAAGATCACGAGATGTCCACAACCGCCCACTGCAAAAATCCTGCACAGACAAGACAAGACATACCATGTACCTTGGAAACAAGAACCAGGTATCCACACGACGCGCCTCCCGCGTTCAAGACGGACGAACCCGTGCTCGCAAGGGCTGAGAGTCTAGACCGGCATTTATATAACAGACACGTTTATGCATTGGGTCTATAGGGGCCCAGACCCGCGGGGATTTTCAAGGACTGCTCTGGCTCACGGGTGGGTCCCGTACCCCTTAGGTACATCATTAGTTCGGACTGTAGGCAGATTGCAACATCAGCCTTGTTATGCAGAGGTATGACTTGTTTACTTTGGTTGATTGGATATCAATATTGAGATGTGACTTATATTAGTGCTTGGCTATAGTGAGATGCTGTTTCTTTTTTTAGACTTGATTGTTAGTTGATACACTTGTATAAAATGTGTTTCCTTGTTATTCATGATAATACACAAGTAAGGATACTCACCCTCTAGGGCTATATTCATAGACATGGCTATCATTAATCCTGAAAACCCCTTTGCCAATCAAGTGGTTCTGTAAAGTCAAATCCCAACTTGAAATTTCAGCCGCTTCAAGCTGTGGCTGAACAATGTGGCTGGAGCTTATCTACCCGCGCCACAAACCCAATCACGTTACTTTGTGCAAACAGTACAAACATAGTGGGAGTCACCGAGGCTTGGCGGGGTTTTTTGTGACTTTGAAGGGCCGAACAACGAATCTGCAGGACGAATAGCTACCAAGAAAGAGACCTGGCATTTTTGATCTGGTCTACTTCTCTGTAGCTGAACCGCATCTTAGGTACGAGTGCTTATCTTGCTTGCTTTCCCTTGGCTGGGAATATGCGATTTGCGATCTGCGCGTTTCGCATCGGTACAGGCTGTTGACTGATAACTTTGTTTCTAGGATCTCGATCTCCTGCGATGGGCCCTAAGCAGAAGGGCGGAGGCTCAAAGCCTAAGGCTAATACTGCGGATGAGGTAGAGGATACGCTTCAGGCTGTGGTATGTGAATATGCTCTCGCTGAATGTGCGGAGCTGGTCTTTTTTCTTCTTCTTTTGCGATGTGATGTGATGTGTTTGGGATAGCGGCTAATTCTTCTCGTTAGGTCCTGGCGGATACCTTTGAGCCACGATTCGAACCGTTTACCCTCGATAAGCCTCGTGTATGTGTATTCGAATTATATATGGGATATTTGCTATGGAAATATATTGGGACCGCAGGGCTGACGTGAGGGTTATAGTGTTTGTTGCCATTGGCCAATACGCCAATTATCGAATATACACTCCAGTTTCTGGCAAATGCAGGTGTAGAGGAGGTCTTCCTTTACGCGGGTGCGCACTCAGATCTATTGGAAAAATACATCAAGTACGTTACGTTTGTCCCGCGCATGCCAGGCATTGAGTCATTCTCCAGACAAAGCTGACGAGTTCTTTCTTTCTGCAGCGCTTCAAAATGGAGAGCTGCCTCTTCCCCCTTCAAGCAGTTCACTTTCCTTAAATCTACATCCGCCTCCGTCGGCGATGTTATGCGTGACCTTGACGGAAAGCATCTTATCACAGGCGACTTCATCGTTGTATCCGGTGATGTTATCAGTAACATGCCCATTGAAGGTGCACTCACTAAGCACCGCGCACGCCGTGAAAAGGACAAGAACGCTATCATGACTATGGTCCTGAGGGAAGCGGGACGGAACCACCGCACAAAATCCTCTTCTGTTTCACCTGTTTTCGTTATCGATCCTACGAAAGATAGATGTCTTCACTATGAAGAGATTGATCATCACTCTAATGAAAGACCTGCGCGTGTGAACGTTGATACTGAGATCCTTCTTACGCACCCTGAGCTGGATATCAGACAAGATCTTATCGATTCTAGCGTGGATATTTGCACGCCTGATGTTTTAAGCTTATGGTCGGATAGTTTCGACTACCAGTCTCCGAGAAAGCATTTCCTTTTCGGTGTTTTGAAGGACTACGAGCTGAACGGGAAGACTATCCATACACACATCATTAAGGATGATTATGCTGCGCGCGTACGGAACCTTAAAGCCTATGATGCTGTTAGCAAGGATATTATTTCTCGCTGGACATATCCTTTGTGTCCTGATACCAACCTTTTGCCGGGTCACACTTATGCTCTTCGAAAGAGTAATCTCTACCAGGAACAGGGCGTTACATTGGCGCGATCATGTGTCATTGGTCGTCGTACTGTTATCGGTAAGGGAACTAGTATTGGTGATAAGACTACTGTTCGCGATACCGTGCTTGGGAGAAACTGTAAGATCGGTCGTGGAGTTAAGCTGCAGGGCGCTTATATCTGGGAAGGTGTTAGTATTGGTGATAATACCGTTGTGAACGGGGCGATTATTGCTGATGGTGTTGTTATTGGGAAGAATTGTACCGTTGCTGCTGGCGCGTTGGTTTCACACGGTGTTAAGATTGCGGATGGGGTGGCGGTTGAGGCTGGGAAGAGAATTACTAAGTCCCGCCGAGATGGCGGTGTTGTTACTACTGATCCTAAAGTTGTGGGTGCAGATGGTGAAGGTCGCGAGTTCATTCAGGGTGAAGATGAGGATGATGATGAGGATGATGATGATGACGATGTCAGCGTTGCTTCATCTGGTCTTGTTTATCGGAATCCAGAAGCATCGTCATCCTCCGCATCTATCTCAACACTGTCTTCTGATATCTCCGATTCATCCTGGCCACACTCAGCACGAAGCTCCTTCTCTAACGCTGAGGAACAAGATACTTTCCACAACGACGCATCAGTCAGTATCTTCGATTCTCTCCGTGACGGTGTCACCGCAGACGTCGTTCAACTGGAACTCGTCTCTCTCCGCATGACAGCAAACGCTTCAGACAACCAAGTCCGTCGCGCGATCGTCTCCTCATTTATGAAATATATCTCTCAGTTGATGGAGTCCGGAAAGAATGCTGGTGTCGCTGTGCATGATGTTTTCTCTACTTATCGAGAGGTTGTGGATCGGACGCTCTTCGATCGGAATAAGGAGTTGAAGAAAGATCAGGTTGACTTTCTACTTCAGTTGCAGGCCGATCTTGTGCATCGGAGTAAGGGGGGGAATATACTGCTGTTTGCGGCGAAGGAACTCTATGAGCTTGAGCTTGTTGATGAGGAGGCGTATGAGCAGTGGTGGGATGATGAACGGTCGAGTGAGAGTGAGGAGATGAGGAGTGTGCGCGCTCAGGCGCAGCAGTTTGTGGAGTGGTTGGCTAATGCTGAGGAGGAGGAGAGTAGTGAGGAGGAAGAGGAGGAGGAGGAAGATGAAAGCGATGATGAGTAGATCAGATGTCGTATACCACCGAGATAAAATTTTGAATTATGGATTGATGAATTGTTTAGAATTTGTTCCAGATTTTTCATACCTAGGTATGCGTAAATACGATTCTAAGCCATGATTCAGCTTGAAGTTCGTATAGTGGTTTAATATAGTGGTGGCTTACTATGTCCATGGATCCCTCAGGCTGCACACTCATGTCCGCCGCCGGATCCGGGATTGAACTGTCTTCAAGTTCGATGTGAAGGCTATCGGTCGGAAAATTTAATTTTGCCAGAAGTATCTCTAATATTGTTCAAGTTATACATAGTCACTCTCGTTTCCTGAATCATCTTCATGACCCAGACGATGAAATTTCTCAACAACCGCCCCATCTTGCAAACATTTCCCCCTCCACTGACGAACTAGGTCTTGTCCCTCCTCATGCATCGACATTATTATACTCTTTCGAGTGCCTGCACTGAAGGTAGCCTGAATGCTGCGCTTAATACCTTACCCAGGGTATGCGACAAGACCAACACCGGCTACAAGAACAAAACACGAGTTAGCGATAACCGAATGACTACTAGAAGCGCAAGGCAAGACATAAGAAATATAAAGCTCTTGAGATCTTACCATGACCTATCTTAGCAAGCATGCCAAATGTTCCCCTGAAAATTCCACCAGCAAAACCCATAGTACCCCCATCTCTAGCGCCCTTATAGGGCTGATATAACGGGTCAATAACGCTTTCGGCCATGCTAATACCAAAAGTCTTAACACCGGCTAGTAATCCAGACTTCCAGTTTTTTACCATCTCACGTTCGTGAACAGTTCCCCCATATAAACCAGGAAGCACACAAAATCCCTCCGCAGCAGCCAACGGTACATCGACCATAGTACCAGATGCCAACTTTCCTAAGAGCTTTCCAGAGGTACGAGCTGAGGCCGAAGCCATTGCACGAGCTTTACCCTTCTCTTTGGACTCTGGCCTATAATCTGTTGATCTGATGTCGTTCATAGATCGAGCCTTCCGAAGCGATGAACACTATCTCCGTTATCAGAGGGTGTTGGTGGGGTTAAAGGTTGTTGTGGTGAGCTTTGCTCTGACTTTCTTGAAGATAGTGAGCTATTGTCGTCTGTGCTTCTCTTATAAACTTGGTATGGTCTGTAGGGAATGTCGCCTCCTGCTTTCACAATACCGAAGGTCACCCCCACACCAGTAGAATAAACTCCCGTTTTTATATCCTAACCATTCCAATAATTCGGTCCTCTAATCAGATGGTGACTGTCCATTACGATATTTCCAGAGCCGACTGAAATCTTTCAAACGCAGCACCTGGACATTGCTCTCTTCCTCACAGCCCTCTAACTCCGAGATCGGAATCAACGTTTCCTCGCATTCATGCTTTGGCAGCTTTTCGGAACTCGTCTCAACTTCCATATCCATAAACTGGTTCGATTCGAGAACTTTTCTGCCAGGACCAAGTGTAAACATAGCATCCAAATAATGTTGGTTCAATAGATGACCGGAGCCCGCACGGATAAATAGACGACCCAAGTATCTATTGGGGATATTGACATAGTGGAGAACGCCGAGCCTTGAGACGATATCAGCAGTATTAGCATAGTGCTCGATATATCCGACTGATCGAACTGATCGTGGAGAGTCGTTGGAATAATCATGCCCATTTGGTTTGGTCTCTTGCATTTCGTGAGGATTGTTGAAGTGATTAGCTGCACTTGCAAATGTGTATACTTCTAGATTATGAAGGCGGTTCTGTGGAAGGGCATCTAGAAGCCAATCGATTACTAGTCCACCTTCGATGCCACCTTGGCTGTGAAGTATAAGGACTACTTTGTCGCAATTAGGATCTAGAAGTGCATCTCGGACGAGAGGGTAGGCTTCTCGTATGTCTGCGGTAGCGTACGAAAAGCACCGTTGAATGATGCATTCAATTAGGTCAAAGATAACCCCGGCTCTAATGGACATTAGTAGATTAACGTATATCTCTTGCTGTGGACCGTTCAAGACTCACGTGCGATTATGAATGCCCGTGATCTTTCGACCAAATGTATATGACAGCTGGTCAACATTTTGCTGCACCCAAAAGCGGCTGCAATGCATGGTGAGTCTTCAATTCAAATAATCGGACTTCCTTCAGGGCCCAATACTAACCTTCCCGCAATACCATTGATAAAGAACCATTTTTCTCGAGTATGATCTGGTTGCTGAGGGACAGGTACCTGTGACACAACCAGCCTCTGGAACCCGTTCAGCACAACCATGCACACCACGTGGCTCAGAAGCAGTGCGACGGTGGCATATACAAGTATCCAAATAGCAGGTACCATAAATATAATTGTGAGGGGAAGAGAAAGCAGAAAGGAAACTTGATACACGATCGACAACAGCTGCGTTAGTACCAAGACCCCGCTCCGGAAGGACGGGTATAATTCGTCCAGGGGGCCGGTTTTACCAATCCGAAGTGGTAGAAAGGCGAGAGGCAGGGACCAGGCATATCGTAAGGCGAGAAATATGTCGCTTTCTAGAAGCTTAAGCGGGGATGCGGTATAGGGTAATGGGGTGGCATTTGAAGGCCGGTGAGTTACCCGGACCTGTGGGGGCATTGTTGCTTCGAGACATGCGACTGCAGCGATATTGTATGATAAATCGGAAAAATAGAAGTCATCAACGAAGATCAAGATAAGATGGCAGGATCAAGATCTCTAAATAAAGAATGAAGAGATCAAACAATGTGCCATGCTGGAAGAAACAAAGAAACAACTTGGGCGCGCTGTCATGTGATAGTTAGGTTGGAAACTATCGAGTCCCGAGATCAACAACGTCATCCACCTCATGTGGCCAGGTGGACTGTGGACATGTGCATCAGGAAAGTCTAGGCTATTTTGAATGTGAAATTCCCTAGTTCTTCATTCCTAAAAACCATGGATGGTTTAGCGAGTTCCATAAGCTTAATGTCCCAAGTGCTTATCTTTACACTATCGGGATATTCAGATGGTTATGGACGGGATTGCAACAGAGACCATGGGTGATGATAGAAAGAAAATTGTTGTCTAAGACAGAATTGTAGAGTAAAAGAGTAGACATTATTGACAGTGAGTCAGGGTAAGTCGTAAATAAATAAGACCATGTACAAAGAATCAAGTAAAGCATTCTCAAGTTATTAATACAGTGGAACCAAAACCACGGAAGGCCTCAACCTATTGAACACATGACGCAAGAAGAGAATTGAAAAAGGAAAAATAGAGTCCATGGCCGCAAGAAGATGGCCAGCAACTTCCTAGAGACCCATAAGACTATGCACAGTTGACACATTCTTCGGAAGTTCATTATTGGGGCTTAATTGTGGATCACGCTGTTGGAGACAGCATGACTTGGCCCTTTTAGACTGTCGACAGTCTTTCGGCGCAAACGCGTTCGAGTTGCCGGCCCCTGAGATGAGACTACAGCCGGCTCGTGACTGGGCTCCTCTGGAGCAGCTGCTGCTGCCTCGGCGGCCTTGGTAGTGTCTAGCTCGACTTGCTTCTGTGCGGTCTCACGCGCACGCTCATAGCGAAGTTTAACTTCGCCCTTCCACTGGGTGTTCAAGAGTCGGTCCCAGAAAGTGAAGAATGGCTGGGAGAAGTTGGTCTTGATGCCCCAGCTTTGGTGGTGGATATCATGATAGGCGGCATTGTTGGAGGTGAAGTGCTGGAGAGGGTCCCAAGGGAAGGCGTAACCACAGTGGTCGTCGACGGTTTTGATAGTCGACATAGTGAAGAACCACATCGCTTGTCTGGTTGTCATACCGGAGATCAAGAAACCTAGACCAGTTCCGGCGGTATCCAAAAGAAAGCCTTCAACGGGGTGATTATATAGGGCACCAAAGGCGTAGGGAACATAAAGACGGTGGTGACGCGAGTGGAAGGTTACTTGGGGCATGTTAAAACAGGCTGTAAAGTTTCAAAGGGGATCGATTTCGATCACTTACCATATAGCCAACGGTTCAAGTGCATTGCCCGGTGCAAGAAGTATTGCCAGGTATCGAGGATGGAGACTGCAAGCGTGAACTGAAGGGCCGGGACAAAGTACCAGTAGAGAAAGCTAGCCAAAGACATTTCCCAGCCGGTAAAGGCGGGCGCAGCGACCTCGACCCCGCTGTCGAGAATCAGTGATTGCATCACATTTGGGTAGGATCCTCCAGCCAGAGCTCCAGCAAGTAGGGTGTGGCCGTTCTGGGATACAGATTTGGCTAGACCGGCCGCGTCAACGCCGATCAAACCCAACACTGGGGGGATGGCCCGCTGGGCAATTCTCAGTCTCTGCGCCCAAACAGCAATATCGTATTCTTCCCGGCCAACTGTCTCAACTGGATCAAAGTAGACCATGCCCATGCCTGCTACTGTTTGAATAATTTGTTGCAAAACGACATCGCGCACGACCTCCCATCGGGTGACGCGGTTCCGCTTCAATACCTCGGCGGGGGTGTGAAGTCGGTATTCTTCGAAATAGTTGTTAACGTCCAAGTAGTGATAGATCATGGACATTCCCCAGTATGCGACAATTGGCAGTAGCAAAGCGAGGATGTTGTCGGGGATCGGCGCGAGTAAAGGCTGCTGGACGGAGATCGTGTAACTGGGGAGCGGAGGAAGGTCGAGGGCGACCGACGCGTTTGTGGCCATGATGGCAAGATGTTGTTCAATTCTCGATGCAAAAGTGGTTTGGGTAGTAATGCGATAGGAGAGGATCGACAGAATCAAGAACGGGGGAGAAACGAAGCGATAACAAAGGAGAGAAAACTGTGGATGGGGTCGAGGCGATAAGGGAAATGAAATCAGGAACGACCAAACAGTGGAACTTGAGACCTAGCAACGCGGACGGAGCCAAGTCCGGAAGGAAGGAGTGAAATGCGTGAAGTTGGACACCAAGTCACCACGGTTAGACCATCGGGGAAGCAAGTTGGATAAGAATGAATGAAGCAAGAAGATGAAGAGAAAGATCAGGGGAGGAAATAAGAAATCAACGAAGAACAAGAAATCGCAAGTGGCGCCAGTCGGATGCGGACATCACGGGTGACAACGGGTAGAGGAAATGGAGGGAGTTGATTGGTGGAAAGTGGTATTTTACGGTAACGTGCAGTATTGGCTGTATTCTCCAGGGCTGGAAGCGGCGACTTTCAACGGTCGAGATCTATACACCTGCACATGTGTGGACAAAGGTCATGTAAGGTGGGTAAGCTATTGTAATTATTAGAGTATGTGAGCAGACTTTAACAGCTATGAGCCTCTATCCTGGAGACTCGACTTGGCGATCTTTCTAAGAATAACGCTTTGTATGTGGTAGCCTTATGGCCCAATACAAATGCTGGGAGAAGTACAACCTTGGCTGGCGTTGGGCTCTCCAAACAATATCATGATCCATAGTAGCCCCATATCTTATAAGAGAGAACCAAAGTCATGCCATTGTACACGCCACCCATAACGTAGATGGAAATCCAACTGAATACTCTTTTTATTTTATTTTCAATCATATGCATCTCATACTCATCGCTACTTCAACACTAACAACGCATGTAAGTTAACTCCATCTATACTAGCCAATCCCGTGACACTCACAAACAAACAAACAAGACAAACTCCCCCACCAACCAGAGCGCGCCACTAGAAAAAAACTTCTTTCCCCTCCTTTTTTTTTGGTTTCCCCTTTCATTCCTTCACCAGCCAATTCCTTCGTTGTCAAACATTCACAACCTCTCCCACCGTCACTATGATTATCTACACCGTATGTTACCCAAATTCCAGCCCTCAACATGCCGCCCAGGGAGCTATAAATCTCAACCATCGGCCATCTCTTATCTGTGTTTCATCTGGAAGAATACTGACGGTCTATAGGATATTCTCTCCAAGGATGAGCTTCTCTCCGATACCTTCGACATCAAGCCCGCTGCCGACTGCCCCATCCTCTGGGAGGTTGACTGCCGCAAGTACATGAAGAAGGTCGGCGAGAACGTCCAGCTCGAGGGTGCCAACCCCTCTGCCGAGGATGCTGAGGAGGACGGTGGTGAGGGTGAGACCGTCATGGTCCACGATATCGAGGATCAGTTCCGCATGGTCTGGCTCAAGGTCGAGGAGGGTCTTAAGCCTTCCAAGGATGCCTACAAGTCCCACCTTAAGGGTATGTGCTCTGTGTTTCTACGTTCCCATCCTCGATACATATCAGGCTAACAGTTTCTCTTTCAAGCTTACATCAAGAAGGTCCTGAAGGCCCTCGAGGCCAAGAAAGCCAGTGAAGAGACCATTGCCGAGTTCAAGGGCGGCGCTGCCGCTGCCATGAAGAAGATCAGCGCCAACTACGACAACTACGATGTCCTCATGGGCCAGTCCATGGACGGTGATGCTATGTATGTGCCTCGAGTCGTTCTTTCGCAAATAATGACCTACCAATATATATGGTTCGATTTACTGACTTTCTTCTTTTAGGCACGTTCTGATTGACTTCCGCGAGGACGGTGTTACCCCCTTCGCTACCCTCTGGAAGCACGGTCTCAATGAGATGAAGGTTTAAGCGCCTTAATCTTATCTTGCTGGCGATAATCCCAATGCACTTGACATGAAGAAGTAAAAAGAAAAGTTACGAAAGCGAGCCATTCGCATCCCTGCCTTACATCGGACGTGGAGATACATGGCTTTGTTACTCTCTCCCGCTGGGGTTTTGGTCTCTAGCCCTGACACGTCGCATTTTCGTATCATAATTGACTGATCCATCGATCGTCAAGAGTTACGCCTCACGAATCAATACACTATTATTCTCCTTGTTCTACTATTATTTTTATATCATGTCTGCGCATCCTACGTAGTCGTTATTCCCCCGTAAACCCAGTTGATAATTGAAATTCGATTATTGCCAGTGGTCAAATGTAAGAGAAAAAAATGGAAGATCAAGATGTTTATCTATTTATAACTTTTATCGATACAAACTAGTATTTGAAGATAGTAACCGGCCCCACAATTTTTCTTTCACAAAAATAATGAACCCTCGCTTACGAGGGTCCGCCACCCATATGGAACAGATCACCCATATGGAACATTTTTTCTAAATCTTACCACAACCACTATTATCATCTACCACACCACCAACAATGCCTAAAACCAATAAAGATATAGAGAACCAGATTCAGCTGGCAATAGAGTCTCTTTCTGAGCAATCTAAGCCTAATATTAGGAAGACTGCGCGAGAATTCGCGGTTCCTGAAGGCCGTCTTCGTCGGCGCTGGCAAGGTGGAAAATCGCTTTTCCAACGACAACCTAATGGCCGGAAGCTTAGTATTGCACAGGAGAAGGCTTTATGTGAATATATTGATTATTTTGATGCGGTCGGAGCATCAATAAATCGCCGTCAAATTGCTATTGCTGCCGATTCAATTCTGGAAGAAGATCATACCGACACCACCACAGATCCCCCACAAATTGGCGACCATTGGCTAAAGCGTTTTCTTAAACGGTATCCTGAGTACTATATACGACGTCGGCGAGCTCTTGATGTTGAAAGAGCTACTGCACTGGATAAATCCGTTATAGAGAGATGGTTTCAAGACTATCAACGTATAGTGGCTAAATATGGCATCTGTCAACAAGATATCTACAATTTTGACGAAACTGGCTTCCAAATTGGCGTCGGTCGCGATCAATTTATTATCACAAGACATCCAAAAAAGAAGCTATTTAATGGCTCAGTTACCAATCGCGAGTCTGTCACTGTTTTAGAGGCTGTTTCGGCTGATGGCTTTACATGCCCACCGCTGATTATTCTAAGCGCTAAACAAGCATTACTACGTTGGTTTGATAAAATTGAAGACGACGAGCATCTTGCTATAACTGATACTGGCTATATCAATGATACATTAGCATATCAATGGATTCAGCTGTTTCATAAATGGACAATTTCTCGTACCATTGGGAAAAAGAGGCTAGTTTTATGCGATCGTTTTGGATCACATTTAACGCGTCAATTTGTTGAATTTTGTGAGAAGAATGATATCATTCTATTCTTCTTACTCTCACATACTAGCCATATACTACAACCTCTCGATGTTGGAGTGTTTAGTGTATATAAACACTGGCATAGTGAGGCAGTTGAGGCGGCTACAATGACTGGATGCCGTAAATTTTCAAAGGATGAATTCCTACATTCAATCAGTGAAATCAGACGCAAAACCTTCCGGCCACATACAATCAAGCTTGGGTTTAGATTAACTGGCCTTTGGCCAATTAATTCTAAGCTTATTACCGATGAATTGGATTCGTACGATCCATATTATGATAATATATCCCGGGAAGATACACCATCAGTTAACTCACAAAATACTGAGTTTAGCACCCCAAAAACCGCTGAGAGAGTTCGAAGAATTAGCGATCGTATTAATCAATATGATCCTACTACTCAACGTTTTAAAGAAGGGCTAGCAAAGCTTGTAAAGGGTGCTGAGACTCAGGCAATGTTGGCTGTCCAACTGCAACGGGAATTCGATTCTACACAAGCTATTATGGGAGCACGTCACGCTAGATATGATGCTTCTCGCCGTTATACGCAAATCACTGGTATTATCAATTCAAGCCAGATCAAAGAAATGAAGCTAAAAGAATATAAATTGACTGAAAAAGCCGATCAAGAAAAGACGAAGCGGAAGTGGAAGAAGATATTGGTTGAAATTAGGAAGCATGGAAGAGCCAAAAAACGCCGGGGAAATTAACTTGATTTTGTATTCTAATATTAAAATGGCTGATTGATTTGTTTATTATTTTTAGTTAATTAATTAACTATATGGTGGTGTGGTAAATAGTAGTTGTAGTACGATTTAGCAAAAATGTTCCATATGGGTGATCTGTTCCATATGGGTGGCGGACCCTCGTAAGCGAGGGTTCATTATTTTTGTGAAAGAAAAATTGTGGGGCCGGTTAGGTAGTATGAACTAAAGACAAAAGACAAATATATTTGAAACTCTGGTTACTCCCCTGGTATAATACGTTAAGCCACACCTAGAAAATAAAAACGCCACATTAAGTACAAAATATGCTATGTCCTTTTCATTAATGCTCAACGATGTCCATTCCACTCATTAGTTGAATTCTCATTCGTGGATGGGTTCTCCGCCCAGCCCGACAGAAAGTCCCCAGTAGACATCCCAGTGGCGTCGAGGTCATTACCAAGATTGAAAGTTGGGACTCCAAAATTTGTAAATTCCAATCCAGATCCAGAATCCAATTCCATAAGCTCGTCGGAAACTGGTAAATGTTGTCCAAATACAGCATCCCATTGATCCCAGTCGAAATTGAGATTCGGATCGACCATTGAAGGTGGGGTGGGAAATCCCATTGGTGCTAAATCTGGTGCTATAGAATCCATAAATGGCATCTGTGGAGAATTGGTTGTGCTGGGTATTGGCTGGCGAGGGTGTTGTGCTCGTGATCGAGATGCGGAGGCGGAGGTGGAGGAATTGACGGAAGGTGGTGTGTCTCGAGAAGAGACTACTTCTGGAGATGATGAATTGATAGATGGAGATGCGAAATTAGATTTACCATCTGTAGGGTCAGTTGGGCGAGGTCTTGGTGCCGGGGATTGCTGTGCGTGTCGTAGTGGACTAGGCTTGATTGCTCCTGTGTGCGTGGTAGAGGTAGGTATAATCTGAGAGCGTGTCATGGTGTAGAACATCCGGTTGAAGTCGTTTACCTGGCGATCGGGGATAGAAGGCTGGCTTGATGTTGAGACGGAGGGAGATCCTGCTAATGAGGCCTTCGAACCATTTAGATCTGCTGCTGGTGAAGCAATACCTGCTTGAATTTGATCTTGCTCGGTCCAAAGCATTCGTGGGTTTAGACCGGCTTTTTGCCAGGCTTTCTGGCGTAAGCGACGGATCATATCCCAAGCTTCGCGGCCACCATCTTTGAGTGGTCGCTGGAGCGAGATGCCATCCTCGCCGCCTACAACACCTCCGTCTGGACCGGAAAGAGCAAGAACCCGGTCTATAAAAGCCCGTGATCTCGATGCCTCGGGGCTATATGGTCGCTCGTATAAATCGATAAGCATAATCCTGTGCATGGTTAATGTTTGTGCGCCTAGATTGGGTGCTGAGGTACATACATTGTCGCGTGCATAGGTTGGTGATTTCCTGGCCAGCTCCAGTGAAATGGCTGGAAATCTGGATCTGTGGCTAGTTGGATAAACTTTTCCATAAATCCGTGACAATGACGAAGGGCACTTTGATTATTAGACCGGCGTATAGATCCGATTAGGTTTAAGATGCATACCTTTGTCTGGCATTGGGCCAAATTTTACTACGAGCATTTTTCAGGAAAGGTTGATAGGCAACGCAGAACGCCTGGGATCATTAGCAATTGATAATCGAGACATGATCAATTTATTGATGTACTCACTTTGTCGATATACAGCGACAGAATAATCTTCGCCCATTTGTGGAAAGAAACAAGAACTGGGGAATGGTATTGTTCAGCGCATCCACCTTGTCCTTCATCTGGAAGCTCTCCTTCTTTGAGTGGTACCTCCATTGGCGATTTGGACATGGACGATGCGCGATTAATTGCACCAGATGTTTGCTCTGGGTTGCCATCAGGAATTCGCTTGATGATGGAGTTTAGCTTTACTTGAAGGTCAAGAAGAATCGTTCGTAGCTCTTCCATGTCTCTTCTAGTGACTGGTTTTATGCCCAATTGAATGCGCAAGATTCGACGAACGGCACCTGGCGACAGAATTTAGCTCTTTGAGTTCTTTTGTTTCTAGACACCTTGCAGGGAGTACGTACGCGCCATGATATACTTGCCCCGTGCTGTCAAATAGAAGACGTTGACCATTGACGGTCCACCGCACACAGAAGGACCGTCAGGATTATCTGGAAGTCGCTGTTTCGATGTGACCATTTGCTCATAACGCTCCGCTGCTGGAGATCCAAGCAATGTGTCTTTCACTTCACTCGTTTCACGCACGTCCCAGTAATTCTCATCACTGACTAACGGAGGAAGACCGCTAGACATAGCGACAACACCATCCATATGCATAATATGCCACCAGAGTCGGCGTCGATATTCCGCCTCGGATGGTTCAACCCCAAATTTTGCGGGATCTCTGTGAAGTCCCATAGTCTGTGCTACTCGCATTGCGAGGCTGACGAATAGACTGCTGGTTAAGGGTTCCTCTTCCTTCGACAGGATTGTTTGAACGATAAGATAGGCCGAAAGCCCTTGTAAAGATGGGTTTCGAGGGAAGGATATCTTCGTCAACCATCGAGTCACCTCTTCACTGTAAAGTGTGGAGAGCGTAAACCGAGATGATGCGTCGAATTCAGCCTTGATTGTGCGAATCGAAATGGTTACAGAACCGCCGTACCATATTGCATAGAGTAGAGGTACGAATGATGGACATGGGCACGATTCTCCAGAGTAACTACTGTAGTCATACCAATGCCAAAACTCTTTATAGTGAGTTAAGATGGTAGGAGGGTGGATGATTGGACTGATAGCATGAATACCGGACATAAATCCCTTGTAAAGGATTTGACTTTGTCGTTTTGTTGGGACATGCTCAAGCATTTCTGGCTCTACAAGCCTGTCCGTTCCAGATGGGGAATCGCCAGTCGGGAAAATGACTGAGTGTTGGAATGACCCGCCCCGGGGCTTCGATGGGGTTGATGGGATTGGACTGTCGATTGATCTGGGACCGGTAGACATACGGTCATTGGAATCGTCGTTCGTTGTATCGGACGGGGATTGATTAGGGGCTCTATTTTGGTCTTTCAGTAATTGATTAAGATCATTTATCTAAAATTATTCTTAGTCAGTGGTTGTGGCTTAAGAAGAGAACGGGGGCTTAAGAAGAGAACAGGGTATAACATACCTCATGAGAAATGTAGGCCCAGTATGTTGTTCCGACATATCTAGATTTCATTAGTGTCTTATAACAAAAGCTCCGCGACTTATGTCTTCCACATACCTCGATCTTCCATTATCTTGTAAGCTCAAGTGGCCTAAATTAAGGCTCCCAATGGGATCGATAAGATCGCCTTCTTGGCCCGAGGGAATTGGAAACTCATCGCCACTTGACTCTGTCGCATTGCGACGTGGACTCGAGGGCCGTGAAAGTGGTCCTCTCCCGTTACGAGAATTAGGCCGGCGTAAATCTTCCAATAGAGCTGATTCGACTGCGGCATTTGGTGTCGCAGAGCTCTTATTGATTGCTTCAACGGAACTTTTTGCACCACCCAACCGTTCCACCATTGACATCAACTTCTCCAATCGATGTTCAATCGTTCGTGGGTCGGGTTTTTGACCAGCCTCGGCTTCGTCATGCGCCAAATGTCCATATATCGATTGTAACTCATTAACATCTTCCTCCCACGTTTGCTGCGTCTCTCTCCTTCGTTTCACTCCCTGGCCACTTCGTCCGGTCGCACTTCGATCATCTTCCCGCTTTTGCGACGAGTTATCATATAGACATTCGGCTCCGGTCTTGGCGCAATTACTGCAAATCGGATGCACCTAAAACAAAGTGAAAATCGTTAGTTTCAGTGTGTTGGGTGATCGAGATGATCGCAGGATGATCTTGCCTTGTCGCATTTAACCTTCCGGCGGCGACATGTGTGACAGCTGTAGCTCGCCCGATTTCGGGTGATCTGCTTTCCTCCTGCGAGGGGGCCCCGCGCGGACGATGAGGGGTTCTCGGAGGTGGACAGGCCCGACAGCGACTGGTTGTTGGGCGGACTGGAGCCCATAATCCCTATAACGCTGCTGTCGGAAGTTGAAAAAAGTTGAGGGGATATCTGACTGCGGATGGCTAATTGCGGGGAAGAATTGCATCGCCATAATCCAATACCGAATGATCCAGATGTCGGCCAATGACCGGCTGGCTATTAGGATTTCGGCCTGGTTGATGCCTTAATCATGCCTATGTTGTCAGGCACCAACTCCCATGAACAAATGATAAGCCACGTGACTACCAGATTGGAGGGGCTCTACTATTGAATTCATCAAATTGAGCAATAAACAGAGAAATGATATTAATAGTTTAAAATCAACGGAACTTGGAGCGTCGCATATGTGAGTCTAATTGGCCGATATTGGCCGATTTACATCCCCGTATCTATTTGCTCCTCGCGACATGTCAGAGGTGACAGATCTCGTGCCTAGAACAAATATGATACCCACCTGTTCACAGCAAAAGGGGATAGAGCTTGGAATGATCAATAAAAAGTGACAAGAGTCAATTAGTGTACATCATAATCACTTTACGCTCCGTGTTACACACAACAGGAGAAACCGACCACGATAGATCTACAACTACAATCCACTTTCAGATCTTTCATACAATTCTAATTTGCATCTATGGAAAACCTTCGAACTCCCACTGGAAAAATACCCCTTTCCCCTTAAAACTCTTTTCCCCTTTCGCCCAGATCTCCATTTCTGTGTGTTTGACTCGGCAGCCTTGGCGCTACGCGTCCTGCCAAACTAGCTACGCGCCCACTTTGTCTATTCCCTTCGCCAAGCACAGCCAAGAAGAATCTATTCACAGCCAATCTCCCAGCATAGCCGCTTAACTTGGCGCTCAGAATTGGTCCAGGGAATGAGAATCATGTCTCAGGCCTAGGCAGCAGACTGTTGAAACTATTACCCAATCGGCAGTCCAATCGAAATGACCCCCTTTGCCCCGGGTGGCCATATGGTTGTCGATCTCAGAGTACAAAACAACGACCTCCTCGGCGCCAAGATGACCTCTCGGTCCTGTTCAAGCCGTTTTGATTCGGACACTTCGGAATTCTATAATAGGGATGAGTTCCCCTAGTCCCAGCTAGTGCCAGTTCTATAATGGCTTGACCCTCTATTGAACAAAGCGACATCTGGTTTTCGCATCTTGTTGCGAAATCAATATTCTAAATAGGACTTAAGTGACTTTTACTGGACATTTTGGAACCCCAAGCTTCTACACCTGAATTCTTCGACAATATCCATGGTTTCTGCGAGAGTCGTTTGGGAACCATGGCTTCTGCTGTTCATAGGGCTGCCATACTTGCAGACTGCTGGTGCTGCAGGTATATCACTGAACATAGACGAGCCCGGTAGATATTTCACCTGTCGTTCAGTCAGCAACAAAACTAACATCACTGTGAAGCCTCAATTAAATCAGCCGCGAGCACAATTGCCTATGACCTCGTTACTTTCTACACCGGCAACAACACAGGCGACACGCCTGGAAATCTTCCAGATCCCTACTATTGGTGGGAGGCCGGCGCATTTTTTGGAGCGCTTGTGAATTATTGGTCCCTCACCGGCGATACAACATACAATGAAATCACCGTTCAAGCAATGACACACCAGGCTGGCACTAAAGGTGATTTTATGCCCAGCAATCAGACCTATACTGAAGGAAACGACGATCAGTGCTTTTGGGCACTCAGCGCCATGATTGCCGCCGAACGAAATTTCACAAATCCATCTTCTTCTTCACCTGGTTGGCTTTCTATGGTGCAGGCTGTTTTTAATAAACAGGCTAATCGGTGGGACAAGGCTAGTTGTGCTGGGGGTTTGCGCTGGCAGATATACACCTGGAATGCTGGGTATGATTATAAGAATACAATCGCAAACGGGTGCTTCTTCGATATTGCTGCTCGTCTTGCTCGGTATACGGGTAACGAAACTTATGCTGAGTGGGCTAATAAGGCTTGGGATTGGTCGAGCGGTGTTGGTCTTATCACCTCAGATTACCAGGTTTTTGATGGAACTACCGAAGGTAGTAATTGTACATCATACGACAGGACGCGCTGGTCATATACTGCTGGGATTTATTTACATGGCGCGGCTGTTATGTATAATTATGTGAGATTCGATACACACGCATTGTCATTCAGATGAACATCTAACTGATATTCTTACCAGACTTCTTCGAAATCGGCAAATTCCTCTTCGGCATCAACATGGAAAACGAGAGTCGATGCACTCCTCTCAAAGACTACCCATTTTTTCTCAACGAACGAATCAAGTAAAAATGTGATGTATGAGCCGCCTTGCGAACTGGTAGGCGGTTGCAATACAGATCAACTCTCATTCAAGGCATACCTTTCTCGATTCCTGGCTGATGTCACACAATTTGCACCTTATACATACGATACTATCATGACGAAACTTCGCGTCACTGCAACGGCTGCAGTTAATCAATGTCAAGGTGGAGATTCAGGCACATATTGTGGTTTCCGTTGGTCGAGTGGGAGTTACGATGGGACTACTGGTGTTGGTCAACAAATGGGCGTCCTTGAGGTTCTCCAGGGTCTTCTTGTTGATAAAATAAGTGGTCCGGTTACATCGACGACTGGCGGAACGAGTGAGGGTGACAGTTCAGCTGGAACTGATGATGATGAGGATACCGATAGTCCTATACATTACTCTGCTATTACTCGTGGCGATACGGCTGGTGCCTCGTTATTGACGGCTTTGATTATTGGATTGGCTTTTTCTGCGGTTTATATGATGGTCACATAAAACCAGTCCTTTTTTGTGTGTGATTTGATACTGTGAAAATCTTTTGTTATACGTTATAAAAAGTACAAACCATGTTGTATTGTGTTATTATTTAAAATAATCTAGCTTACTTTGCCATTGCAGCATCTGAACAAAAATATCCTCTCATTGTAGGCAATCAAGAGCATTAGGTATATCAACAATCAGAAGTCCAACAGTGTCGAGAGTGCCTTTTTTGCCGTCATCTTTTCTAAGCAGGAGGAATCTGCTGCTTGTCCAATGGCCATTTGGCAATGGTTGTTTCATCTCCCGTTAAAGTGAAGGACAGCACTGCCGATCTCTCATTATTCAAAGCAAGCTCGTATTTTCCAGGATACACGATGCGGTTTCCAAGAGAATCAGTGCGAGCCACATTGTCAAGGGAGATAGGAATAACCATTGCCTGGGAAGATTGAGGCTTGAGGGATCCAAGACGATCAAAGCCAACAAGCCATTTGTTGGGATGCGGCTGTGGCCCAGCTGTCGTGTTGGCAAACAGCATAGCTGTATAATCGGACTCAACGCTTCCAGTATTCGTGACCTTGACAGTAAAGTTGAGGAAAGGTAATTGTTCCACCACATTATAGCCTGAATGCGATCGTGACAAGAGGTCAACAATGTCGTAAGATGATCCATTGTTGGATGCTCTAGAGCGTGCAAGCGAGGTCTTGAAAGTGGTGTAAAACATTCCGTGTCCAAATTCATAAACAGGGTTTCCAGTATACCACATGTATGTCTGACCGGGGTTGTCGCCTTGGGGACGCAGGCTCATGTCAACGGCTGGGAACTCCAAAGCATATTTAGCTGGGTATTGGGTAGTTGTCAATCGACCAGCTGGAGCTCGCTTGCCGGTGATGATATCCAGGAGAGCCTGTCCGCCAGATTGGCCGGGGTATCCACCCCAAATAAGTGAATTCACGTTCTTGTTCGATTTGAGTGAAGAGGAATCAACTTGGCCACCACCCATTTGTAAAACAACGAGCGGCTTGCCCACATTGCTTAATTGCTTGACCAGCTCTAGCTGGTTACCGGGCCAAGTGATGTTTTCTCGATCCATGCCTTCCGCTTCAATTGTGTTGTCAATACCACCAGCGTAGATGACGATATCGGATTTCTTGGCGGCGGCGAGAGCGTCCGAGAAACCCTCGGTGGACTCAGTTGAGATGTTTGTTCCGAATGCATAGTTAACCGTAAGCTTTGATTCCTGAAGAGCTGCAAGAGGACTCGTGAGGTAAGGAGCATTGCCGTAGTAGTTGCCTTGCATCTGAGTTGTGGCATCTGCCCAAGGTCCAATTAAAGCAACGCTACTGATGTTCTGGGACAGTGGCAGGGTGCCGTCGTTCTTGAGAAGAACAATACCCTCGACTGCTGCTTCGTATGAGATGTTCCAAGAATCTGTGGTGGTCACATCTGACCAATCGAGACCACGGTATTCACTAGTGTTGCCATCGAAGTAGCCCAGACTAACAAGGTTTGAGTACAGTCTGATGACTCCACGCTCAATCTCGCTTCGGGAGATTTCCCCTTGGTAAAAGGACTCGTTCAAATGATATTGATAAGATGTACCACAGTCAATATCTGTACCGGCTCTCATTGATTCCGCCGAAGCACTTGAGATATTGGCGGCATACTCGTGTGGGTTGAAGACATTGTAAACAGCATCGCAATCAGAAGAAACATAGCCGTCATCCACGAATCCCCAAGTATCACGAAGAAGGGTCTGAAGGAAGAACGAATTGACTGAGCTTGGTACTCCGTTCACTGAATTGTATGAAGACATGACACTGTGGACTCTGGCATCCCGGACTGCGGCAAGGAATTGAGGCATGAAATATTCCGCAAGATCTTGTTGGGTAATGTTCATATCGTTGCCCAGGCGAGAGTGATTATTCCAGTTCTCAATGTCATATCCGGCAAAGTGCTTTGCGGTAGCTACCAGCTTCAGATGCTCTGGATCAACGCCACCTTGCATACCGGTAATATACTCATACGCATATGTCGAGCAGAGACAGTAGGCATCCTCGCCCCGGGGTCTCCTGTCCACGGCCCCAAACTGGATGGCGGAAAGAATTGATGTTTGGTGCGTAGGCATCGAGGCCATAGCGGCCGTCGTTGTTAAATGCGCGACCCTGGGTAGAAATGATATCCCCGATCTGGTTGATCAATGTTCGGTTCAATGCGGCCATGGTAAGAATGGGCGATGGGAAAGAAGTCGCCCAATTATATTCTCCGGAGTCGGAGAAATTGGCTCGATCCAAGCCATGGAGACCCTCGCTCCATACCTGGTATGGAGGAAGTCCGAGGCGAGGAATGGCAGGGATATCATTCCCGGTGCTGTTCACCAGTTCTTCGAATGTAAACAATGAGATCAAGGCTGCTGCACGGTCGTGTGGAGTTGCTGATGTGTCGCAAACCAAAGTGCTCTTAAGTGGACCAGTTTTGCAATCGGGAAATCCCAGATTGATTGTCGCGAGAGTCTGAGTATCGAGATTTGGTTGTGGCTCGGTGTTGTAGTCGACATACGAGGTTTGCGCTTGAGAAAGCGCCGTAGGCGTCAAAGCCGCCAGCACGGCTAACAATGCTGCTGAAGGCATTGTGGAGGATTCAAACAAGTATTATCCCTGGATGTATTTTTTTTTTCATTTGCTTCCCAGTCATACTTATACATAGCTTTCCATCGGCTCCGGCTGCAGCTCGGTTAATTGGGTCCCACGGGGTATTTCTGAAGGCTCCATATTTGTTTGCCCAACGCGGCAACTCCCGCAGTCGATCTATGCTCGAGCGAAGTGATTTACGCGGAGAAGCCCCGATGTGGTAGGCTGATTACCAAGTATGCATTATTTAGCCTGAACTTCGCATTAGTTTTGAGTAAATTGTCGAGGTCCTTTGAAGCTGCCTGAAGCTGCCGATTTAATCGGCTAAAGCTAGGAACTCGTAGTTCTCTATACCTAGCGACAGAATGAAGTCACCCCACGACCTAAAATCCACATATGACACTTGATATACTAATTAATTTAGAGAAAAAAGCAGTCTTCATATGAATTTATCTGTCTAAATCCATTTTTCTCCCTCAATTGCATGGTTTGAAAATATACAAAGGCGGGGTCATAGCTTCGTCATAGCTCCGAGCTAAGATCCTCAATGAAGCTTGGAAATTCATTAATTCAGGCTAAAACATATATTTAAACTCCACATTTTGAGTCTGCAATATTTCACGGCAGCAGTGGCCATCGAATGCCGGAATCGCTAGCAATGTTTGTTACGGCCGGTGCTACTTCGGTGCAACTTCCCCGCACGCTTACGCCGATTTTGCCGTGCTGGGTTCCCCAGCCATCTCAGGCCTGTCATTATTTTCAGGACTTAAATTTCGTGAGCTGATTAATCTTACGAACGAAGACTAACTACGGTTGCGTTATAAATTAATTGGAAATCGTGAGAGCTCACGTGGGTATAGTACGAACATCTTTGCTGCGTATATGATCTAGTCTTATTCAAGGATTGCATCTGTATATACTCTAGGTACATTATTTTCGACTGTTCACAAGGTCACATCATGCAAATATGACCGCTTTGTGGGCGATAATGATGCAGTGGGAAGAAAGGTGGGGCTTAGATCAAGGTGTAGACCTTAAGAAAACACCTGCCCACTCAAAATGTCTGCCCGAGATCCAAGGTGGAAAACAGGGATGTGTTCAACCGGTGCCGGAACCGTCACTGTTTGCCCTCCTGCATAGGTTTGGTTGGTCCACCAGTAAGTCCAAGGTTTGCTCTCGTTACTGGCAGTCTGTGGAAGGTAAACAGGCCATTTCGTCACATTTGGAAGAGTCACCGGAGTGACTAGCAACCGTGGCCCAAACATGTATTGTTGTGTTGTTTCATTCGTGTTGCTACGGGTCAACTCGGCAATATGAGCATCCGAGCTTTGGAAATCCATGAAAAGTGGGCGCATTATCATACGACCAGTGCGATGGAACTCAGAAAAGATGGCTCGCAGGTATGGGGCTAGTTGATAACGGAGCTTGATGTAGGAGACGATTGTGGGAGTATTTTCTTCGCCATATGACCATGGCTCATTGGCACATGTGTAGGCATCTTGGGTGTAGCAAGCCCGAGAACCATGTGTTCGCATGAAAGGCAAGAATGTTGACCACTGTAACCAGCGAGCATATAGTTGGCGATACTCGGTTGTATCGATATTCGCACTCCACCAAACTGTGGGGTCGGCTTGAAAGCCGCCCGCATCAACAGTGTACCATCCCCAGCCGGATGCAGCTGCAGATAGGACTGTGGCCACTTGTGCGCTGAGTGTTTCCCATACTGCAGTGGTGTCGCCAGACCAGATCATGCTACAGAAGCGTTGAGATCCAATGTATCCTGAGCGACTGAGGGAGACATGGTCACAGGCCGTGCCCATTTCACTGGATGTGGCATTACGGAAGCCCTCTTCGATTGCTTGCTGATGAGCCCAAGGGTACAACTTTCCCACGCTACTTTGAGTTCCTGCAGCATACAGGACATCAGGTACAGCAAAGGGAATAGACTGAATGTATGTGCTTTGGCCGTTGTTTTCGTAAGCCTCGCCAAGTGCGCCTCCGTCAGCCTGGTCAATCCAGAAGTTCTTAATACCCTTGTCATAGTAGTTGCGCTTCAATGTATCCCACAGGAATTGCCGGGCGCCAGGATTTGTCGAATCGTAGTTGCGAATGTAGGACCCATTCCATGAGTCTGTTGTTCCAGGGCCAGATCGAGTAGCTGAGAGATATCCTTGGGCCATCATCTCCTCATAATTTAAGCTGTTATCAGCGACACTGGGCCACAAAGATGCCATCATCTCTGCACCGGTGAGATTCTTCACCTTTGCTGACATCTCTGCGACGCGTGGCCAGAGGCGAGGGTCTAGACCCCAATCTCCTTGGTGAGCCCACGACTGATAATCTATGACAATCATTGATACGGGAATATCACGCTTTTGGAAGTCCTCAGCGAGAAGTTCTATCTCTGTTTGGTTTTCGTATCGCAGCTTCGATTGAATGTACCCAAGTGACCAGTCAGGAGGCAGGGGCGCGCGACCAGTCAGTGCCGAAAGACGCTGCTGGAGAATATCATAGTCACCCGGAGTAGCGGACACAATGAAATAGTCGACCACCGTCGCGGAATCAGACGTGAAGCGATTTCTCAAGGGAGAGAACTCCATACGACCGGTTGAAGGCATATTCCAAACAAAACCGTAGCCCTTGTTACTCATGAACAAGGGTGTGGGGATGTGGGTATTGAAGTTGATGAGATCAATGGTAGCCCCCTTTTTGTTCACCATGTGATCCTGCTGGGTACCCGTTCCATATATTTGCTCGTCTGGCGTAGTCGAGAATGAAAACTCGGCTGCAAATTCACTTCCAGGTCCAGTCCAGGAGTAGTATCGCGGGTTTATAGACTTGAGGGGTGCATACTCGTTGGTGAGCAGAGTTTCTGTACCATTGCCTTCAACCCGATAGAAAGCCAGACGATAACCACCGGGGTTACCACCCCATCCTGATGTACGGACGACAATGTTGCCGTTGCGCATCTCTACCGATTGATTTCCCTTGAATGCAGTATCGAAAGACATTCCGCGTTCTTGGTCGCCTTCTGGGCCTTCGAGTGGAGGGTCATAGACAAACCCGATTTCTCCACCGGTCGGTGGACGATATGGCCAAGCGCGTACACGAAAGCCATCGTATCCAAATGGCTGGACTAGAACAGTCTCGAATCCATGTTGCATACGGAAGCCTTTTGAGGTTGGCTGGTGATATCCCGAGGAATTTGAGGACAAGGCTGCCGAGCCAACCGCCCAAATGGCACTCAGTTTGAGAGGGAAGAAAAGCATCTTGGCTTCAATTAATTGCGGGAATCCACAATAATCACTCTGCTCCTGTCACTTCTCTCCTGGGCATCTGGGGGTTCTTGTAGGGGAGCAAACGCCCATGTTTAGGCTAAAGAGCACTTGAGATCATTGATTTTGACCCACAAGGTATTTCAATCAGTCGATGATCTGCATATTCAAGACACGCATGGAGTGATGCATTGTAACGCACGGATCGGGACGGATTTGCCCGACTCTGGGCACATTGTCGCAGTGAGTGGAGTCGGCGTGGGGGTGATGCTTTGGACCCTTGATTGGGTACATTGTCCAACTGAGAAGAGACACATGATGTTGAATTTCCCCCAGGTCGTCGATCATAAGAGCATTGCGTGAGAGTCTTGAAGATGGCAGATGAATGAAGCAGGGGACGTGGATAACAGCATGAAGCCTGGATTATAAGGCATCAGGTTAAGGCATCAAGGCACTAATTATAAAAATCCAAGACGGTTTTTTCATGAATGTTATTGATTGGATTTCATATCATCGGTTTTGTAGACCTTTGTAGACGTCCTCTCAAGGAATCTTCGAAAAGAGTGATGCTAACCGTGCATTTTGGTCAATTTTGCGCATGAGATAGAGCTTTTAGAAATAAACCACTCACCACAAAAGAAAAAGAAAACAGAAAGGAAAAATCTCAAAAATATTTGTGGGAATAGCTAGATTAAGATTTAATTATTGAATAAGGTAATAAGTCTGCTTGGGGAAGGTCGCGAGAGAATTGACTATAAACACGAGTTCTATAGTATGAGAAATTTGCCCGCCAGTCACTGTCGCGTGAAAGCCGTCGCCGAGATGCCGCCCCGTACGACTTGGAACTAGAACAAAAAAGAAAAGAAAACCGATGGTAGGTACCTTAGTGATAGCACACCTGGTCTTTCAACTGCTGAGGCTGTGTATAATTCTGTGTGTGATCGTGCAGTTTATTGGCCAGCCACAACTGATGACAGTGCCAGTTATAGTGGGTCTCGTATAGGCTATGATTCGATGATAAAAAAAGCCTCATCTGAATAGAAAATGTTATGCCTTTCTTGGACCGTCAAAAACGTGGTCAAGTCCCGGCATTTGACAGCTAGCGCGACAATCTCCGCCATGATGGGATTCGAAGCGATTGGAGCTCCCAAATACCTCAGGCGCCTTGGCCCCATCAACTCAGAGCAAATATCCCTCAGGCGATGCGCTTTGAGGTAATTGTGAGTGGAGCTGCTGTATTGCTTTTTGGCAATGGATGGAGAGCTGGATCATATAAAACCCCTGCGACAAAGCCCCATCTATGGAAATATATTATCGTCGTTCTTTTGAATCCTACATTCACGGAACTGTGCCGAACTTGTGCTTTCAAGATGCCTCCACTGGGCCTATCTTTGCGCTGGAAAACAGGGGATGAGGAGAAAGGTAATCGATCAGTGGTGCCTTCTTCACAGAGCTCAGATACCAAAGATCAGAAGGACCATGCTCTTCGAAGACATGGGAGTCGAAGAAGCATCGATCCTACGGCTGCTATTCCCATCGAGTACCGAAGCATGTATGTCCAGTTCCAGTATCATCTCCCATCCTGCTTGATGTCGGGTCTCTAATGCTATTCTTTATCTGGGCGATAGATCATTCGAAATCGAGGATGAGTCCGAAAGACAGAAGATCTCCAAAAGGGCAGCTGGAAGGGACAAGTTGGCGGAAGGTCAGTTTTGTACAACAGTATAGCCACAATACTCTATCTAACGAACTTCTTTAGAGTGGCAAACTACGGATTGGCATACGATCTCCACGGTGGAAGCTCAAAAGCGATTGAATGTCGATGTCGGAGTTGGCCTGCCAGCTAGTACTGCCAGTGATCTTCTACGCAATAATGGGCCAAACAAAATCTCACCACTCCCCAATCCATGGTTCTGGAGAGTCTTCGGCTATTTTTTCAAGGGGTTTGGCTCTATTCTCCTTGTCGGTGGCATATTGGTTTTTATCTCTTGGAAGCCCTTGGGAGACCCACCCGCCGTTGCCAATCTTGCTTTGGGAATCGTTCTAATTGCGGTGTTTCTTATCCAAGCTGCTTTCAATGGATGGCAAGATTGGTCCTCTTCAAGAGTCATGGCTTCAATCACGGCGATGCTCCCAGAGTCGTGTCAGTTACTTCGTGATGGATCTCGGGTGGAGGTGATGGCTACGGAGATTGTCAAAGGAGATACAGTTTTCCTCAAGTCGGGAACAAAGATCCCTGCAGATGTGCGCTTTGTTGAAGTATCGCATGACTTTAGTGTCGACCGATCCATTGTCACTGGTAAATTACTTCTGAAGCCCTCTATTGATATTAACTGGGCATTGGCTAATAGATGCTTCAGGTGAATCAAACCCTGTCAAGGGCAGCGTTGATTCCACTTCGGACAATTATCTCGAGACTCGATGTATTGGTCTCCAGGGAACTCATTGTGTCTCAGGGAAAGCAATCGGCGTCGTCGTCGCGACGGGTGATTCAACGGTTTTCGGGCGGATCGCTAAACTCGCTGGTGAGCCGAGTACTGGCCTTACAACAATCGAAAAAGAGATATTGCGTTTTGTGGGTCTTATCTTCATAATCATGATCACCTGGATCATCGTTCTGGCTGCTGTTTGGTGAGTATTATTCCTGCATTTCTGGCTTACCTCATTGAGAACTCGGCTAATATTATGATTCCGACAGGGGTGGGTGGCTTCACAAAAAACATCCTGATTATATCAACGTTGCCACCCTTATCGTGGACTGTGTCAGTGTTGCTATTGCATATATTCCCGAAGGCTTGCCAATTGCTGTAACGGCGTCGTTGACTATAACGGCCAACATAATGCGTAAGAACAAGGTTCTTTGCAAGTCACTCAAAACTGTTGAGACACTGGGCTCTGTTTCTGTTATTTGCACAGACAAGACTGGCACTTTGACAAAGGTAAGTAAACTGTCAGTACATTATTAAATCCCATACTGATTCTTATTAGAACCGTATGGATGTTACTGATCTTTCAGTCTCGACGGTGAAGGCATCTTTCAATGATCGCATGGATCCATCAACCCCCATCGGCCCCTCCGGGCTTCAACAACTGAGGGCAATGGGCGCGCTATGCAATGCTGCAGAGTTTGATCAGGGCAAAACTACCACTCCACTCGCTGATCGACGTATTTTCGGAGATGCAACAGATCAGGCAGTCTTACGATTTTCTGAAAGTTTAGGATCGGTCGATGCAGTCCGCAAATCATGGAAGGTTTTCTTTGATCTGGCATTTGACAGCAAGAACAAATTCATGATCAAGGCATTTACTCCGGCTGATTCTCAAAGTCCACGCTCTTGGCTCACTGAGACGGAAGCTGGAGGTTTTGGAACAGGCGATATGTATGTTTGGACTGGGGTTCTCTCCGGGTTTATTACTGCTAATAAAGTGACAGACTTTTTACGATCAAAGGCGCTCCGGATATTCTGATTGAGCGATGCACTCAGACTCTCACCCCTGAGGGTGGAGTGAAGCCATTGGATGGAATTACTTTAACAGCCGTGAAGCAATTGAAAGATCAATGGTCTTCGGAGGGCAAGCGTGTGATTCTTCTCGCTCGCAAAGTCTTAGCGAAGGAATCTATTTGGCCGGATCCTACATCCTCAGAGTGTGAAGCACAGATGCTTTCAGAATCGAAAGGTGGACTTACACTGGTTGGTCTTGTTGGCATGATTGACCCGCCCCGGGCGGAAATTCCTGAGGTCATGCGAGTTCTACGCCAAGCTCACATTCGAGTCTTTATGGTAAGTTCAGCCTTCAAAACAAGAGTGACTTGCATCTCATATGAAATAGGTTACTGGTGACTTTGGACTCACGGCTTTGGCTATTTCTCGCCAGTGTGGTCTCGTCACTGCCGATACTGTAGAAGACGCATCTGCACTAGCACGCTTTCCCCCCACAACCGAAAAGGAGATCGCCACCCCTAAGTCTGCACTACTTATCAGCGGACCTGATTTAATGGGACTGAACGAGTACCAATGGGAACAACTGTGTAAGTACCGTGAGATTGTGTTCTCACGTACAACACCCCATCAAAAGCTTCGCATCGTTCGCGAACTTCAATCAAGGGATGAGATCGTTGGCATGACTGGTGATGGTGTGAATGATGCCCCTGCTCTCAAAGCCGCCGATATTGGAATTAGTTTAGCAAGTGGGTCTGATATTGCCATTGAGGCTGCTGATATGGTTCTCCTTGAATCATTTGCTGCTATTGTGGAGGCCGTGCGATATGGCCGAGTTGTCTTTGATAACTTGAAGAAGACAGTCGCATATCTACTGCCAGCTGGCTCGTGGTCGGAATTCTGGCCAGTTTTTACTAATCTGATTTTTGGAATCCCCCAAATTCTTTCATCGTTTTTGATGATTATTATCTGGTAAGACTTTTCGTGGGACGAAAAATCATACCAGCTCAAATACTCATTATATTACTAGTTGTTTTACCGACTGTGCAGCAGCTGTGGCTTTGGCTTATGAGAAGCCGGAAGCCGACGTTCTTTTCCGACCACCTCGTCATCCTACGAAGACTCGCCTTGTCAACTGGAAGCTGATGTTTCACTCGTATGCTATCATTGGAATGATAGAGACAATCTGTTCATTCTCAATGGCATTTTGGTATCTCCAGAGGAAAGGCATTCCTTTCTCGGATCTCTGGTTCAAATTCGGAGAGATTCCGGCTGGGATGAGCGAAGACTACTACAGCGCTCGAGTAAATGAAGCGAGTTCAATCTACTTCATTAATCTGGTCATTATGTATGTGTCATTCCGGACATTCGGTCTCTTACCAAATGGATTTATTTGCTAACGTAAGGTGGGCAGGCAATGGTTCAATCTCATGGCAGTCCGGACTCGTCACCTGTCGATTTTCCAGCACCCTCCAGCATTCAATAAATTAACACAGAATCTCTACCTGTTCCCAGCGATGATCTGTGCACTTGGAATTGCGGTGATTTGGTTGTATATCCCATCTTTACAGCGAACTCTAGATACCGCAGGGCCCCCAGCTGAGCACTACTTCCTCCCTGCGGCCCTAGGACTGGGTCTGCTGTGTTTGGATGAGGGAAGAAAAGCTGCAGTTCGCCGCTGGCCCAATGGTATTTTAGCTAAGATGGCTTGGTGAAGCAAATCGATCTTTCAAAGTGAGCCAGACAAATGTCTTGTCCTGTTTTGTTTATGATTTCTTGGCTGTGGTATTATTTTCTCACACTATAGGATAGGTGGACATAGATTTTGGGTGGTAGTCAATTGTTTTATTTTCTTCTTTTCGTCTCTCAAATCTCAATAAATCCTTCTTGTCATAGAGTTATCTATGTATCCAAATGTACACAATCACAACTCATCCTTCTTTCTCTTCAATGCAAGCCGCAGTTCACCAAATCAACGAGGGGGGGGGACTTCCTGATCTTTTTCGCTTTCATAAAAACTCAAAGTTAGTGGGTCTCGACGGATGGTACGTTCTAAGGTTTTAACACCCTTCGTCAACGTAAAGAACCACCGTGAAAAGCTTCTAGGGCTGGGTGGGGCAAATCCACATTTTCTGTACGGAGTCCGGGCGGACATGCATCTGTCAAGTAGGAACGTTCAGTGGCATGTATGTTCAGGAGTCTACGAAACTCACGCTGAGGCGATCCACAACCAGCTCGTACTCAACTCGTTATCACGCCTTCATTTCCTCTTACGAGAATTAAGGCATAGAGGCTCCACTGGATGGATCCGGTACTTGACAATTGCAGGGATTCACTTGGATGCCAAGCAAAATATCATTAGACCCGCTGCTGCCGAGCTCTTGCCGAGCCCTGGGTGTTGAGTTTGCAAAGCTTGATATCCTGATGTTCGACCTGTTTTGCAGCACTGGAGTCCTAGGAAAGAGCCCGGAGTATCTTGAAGCATGTCTGATTTGTACATGATTTGCACATTCTGTCAAGTTTGAAACCAATACCCAGATCATTCTTCTTCTCATTAGGCAACCGTGAATAAGAGATCCCATGTGCTGCAGGTGGACCCTTTTAGCGCATTCTGAATGACCCACACTCCAGCCCTGTAAGGCTGAGAACAGGAAATTCTACGACAAAAAAAGAAAAAAATACACTGATCAGAAACAGAAATAGGAAAAAGAACAGATCCGAAGACCGGCATCATAGACCAAAAAAACAAGGGTTGTACCGTGGTACCTGGATGGTACCGATGACCGGATCTTATCTGATGTCGCACATTTATCTGATCCGAACCCCCATTTCCATCTCTTCCATCTATTTTCCCTCCAACACAACCTCGCAACCATGGCCGACGAAAAGAGCCCAGAATACGATGAGAAAGTTATTCAGCACTCGTCAAAGAGTGACGAGAGTGACCGTGGTAAGCTTGAGGTTTTCATTCACTCCAATTAGAGTTTAGGCACTCAGTGTTGACAATTCTGCAGCGGAAACCGAGTCCCAGATCGAAGTCCTCAGGGCAGCTGGCATTGGCCTAGGAGAAAATGACCCTACTGAGCCGGTTCTCACCTTGCGAATGTGGATGATCGGAATTGTCTTCTGTCTCGTCGTGAGTGGGTTGAATACCCTCTACACTCTCCGCACGCCCTCAATCACAATATCCGCCTCGGTGGTGCTTCTGCTGGCCTACCCCCTGGGTAAACTTTGGGAGAAGGTCATTCCAGACTGGTCTGTTCCGCTGGGATCTTGGTCGTTCAGTCTGAATCCAGGGCCATTCAATACCAAGGTAAGTCTTGCATTCGAAATATCTGCCTGTCTTTCCCAACTTTAAGCTGACCAGCCTTTTTCCGATTAGGAACACGTTTTGATTTATATCATGTCGAATCTCAGTGTATACGTTCGTCTAGGTGCTGATGTGCTGACTGAGCAACAAATGTTTTATGGTTATCGAGCTGGCTGGGGATTTCAGATTTTGATCACTCTGGCTACATTCCTTATCGGGTTCTGTCTAGCTGGTCTTTTCCGGAGCATCGTTGTTGTGCCGAAGGATCTTATTTGGCCCGGAGTCTTGAGCGTCACAGCTCTGACCACTACCTTGCACAACGTCGGTCAAGATCAGGTTCAGTCCAGGTATGGTCACTTTTCATCTTCTATCCGTTGCAGGGAGTCTTTGCTGATTCAGAGACAGCTTCAACACGTGGAAGATTTCTCGTTTCGCTTTCTTTGCCATTGCAGGAACCGCATCATTCTGCTGGTATTGGTTTCCAGACTTCATTTTCCCCGCCCTTAGCACCTTCAGCTTTCCATGCTGGATCGCTCCAAAGAATAAAGTGGTGAACCAGTTGTTTGGAATGACTTCGGGCATGGGTCTCCTGCCAATTACTTTTGACTGTATGTTGTTCTCTCTACGCATGTACTCTCATGTTCTCACTTGCTCACATTCATTCACATTCAGGGAGTCAGGTGTCTTATGTCGGCTCGCCGTTGCTCATTCCATCATGGGCCATTTTGAACGTTTTTATCTCGCTGGTGTTTTGGATATGGATAGTGGCCACAATCTGCTATTACACAAATTTGTGGAATACTGGCTATCTTCCATTCCAAAGCTCGAAAGGTATTGTTCCATCCGAATCCGTTCAGTCTTTTATTCAACTGGTATTAACTTGCCATGAACAGTGTTTGACAATGCCGGAAAGACTTATTCGGCAAAGAAAATTGTCAACTCTGCCACTGGATACAAGTTGGATGTCCAAAAATACCTTAACTATTCTCCGGTGAGTTCTCCAGACGGGACAAGCTGAGTCCTATGAAGCTTATTTTGATAAAATAGGTATACATGCCCATTGTCTACGGATTGAACATGATGGGTCTTTCTTTCGCCACTCTCAGTGCGCTTCTTGTCTGGTCATTCCTTGAACATCGTCATTTTATGGCAGATGCCGCTAGACGAATCGTCCAGTTACTGAAGGGATCTTTGCCTGGCCGAACTAGCACTGTTCAAAACGATGAGACCGGTGCAAAAGAAGTTCCTGTCTGGTGGTACCTGATTGTATGTGCAGTGGCACTCTTTTTGGCCATCTTCTCAGTTGAATACTGGGATGTCGAATTGAGGTGGTATGGGGTCTTGCTTGCTATCGTCGTCGCTTTGGTTTTCTATCCTCCGGTTGGTACCCGATATCCTCAGTTCTGTTCTTCCGTTCAGTTTTACTGATACAGGTTTTTCAGCTGGCCATTGTCTATGCCACCTCCAATCTGAAAATTAACATTGATATTTTCTGTCGGATTGTTGCAGGCTTCGTGTTCCCTGGAAAGGTTCTTGCAAACATCTGGTTCTTTGACAGTAAGTCTCCCAGTCACCCTTGTCGGCTTCAAAACAAGTTTGAATGATACTAACAATAAATCCAGTCGGGTACATTACTACGATCAAGGGATTGTACTTTGCTCAGGACATGAAGCTCGCCTATTATTGCCATGTAAGAACTGTCTCTTCAGACCCCGTCTGATCAGAATCGCTAACTGCCAGGAAGATCCCTCAAAGACAACTATTCTTAGTTCAATGTGTCGGCATGGTTATGGGAACACTCTCCTCGGTCGGAGTTCTCAATTGGTCTCTCGATAACATCTCCGGAGTTTGCACTAGCGCCGCTTCCAACGGCTTCAGTTGCCCATACTCCACGACACACTTCAACACTTCGCTGATCTGGGGTGCAATCGGCCCTCGCAGATTCTTTTCGAACCACATCGGATATTCTGCCCTGCTGTATTTCTTCATCATCGGCGCAATACTGCCCATTCCAGTGTATTACCTCAGCCGTCGTTACCCGAATTCTATGTGGAAGAAGGTCCACATTCCCTTGTTCTTGGGAGGCTTGAACTACCTACCTCCTGCAACTGGCATGAATTACGGCAGCTGGGCGGTGATCGGACTCACTTTTGGATGGATCGTCCGCAAGAGAGCATTTGCCTGGTGGAGTAAGTATAACTTTGTGTTGAGCTCTGCTCTCGATTCCTCGGTCGGCGTCGCAGGTGTTTTAATCTTCCTTACGGTTTTTTTCACCGGTGCGAGTAAGCATTTCTCGTGGTGGGGAACTAAAGTCTACAAGGTATGTCATATCAGTTGGGAGCATGTAGCGGTTTAAAACATGGTGCTAACGCAATAATGTAGGATACCTGCGACTATAAGAGCTGCGCATATCTCGCAATCCCTGAAGGGGGCAAGTTTGGCGTGTGATTGGAAGCAAAGCCAACCAAGGCTTACGTATTCTTTCTTCCAAGGAGATCAACAACTTGAATACTATTTATATACGCTCGCAGCTTTATTAGGTGGATTATAGTGTTAGTGCCATGCTTGTGTTTTTGTTTCGATTTTATATTAGACAGTGGGAGATCCCCGAGTGTCGCTAGCTAATTAACAATTATTATATACAAACATCTACGTCTTGGCGGATTCTACTATTCCGAGTCTATCATAGCGAATGATCCCGCTTCTTAGAACAGCCAGATCCATTTACCCTTTTTGGCGACTTCCGCTGATCCGATCACGTGCAGACTTATCAATCTGATAAGATGGGCACGTGTTCAGGGTCCGATTCAACGGTGACGAGGACATCTAGAGCTTATACTGATTCCATAATAATTTGAGGGTTTATGAGATATCTAATTTGTTAGGAAAGTAAAACAAACGGCGTTAATATCAGGGAATTAAGATTATCCACTTCGGGCTCTTCCAGAATGTTGATTCCGATGGTTCTGTTCGGACATTTAATTTTTCTTTGGATGATTAAGTGGGTCAAGGCTGGGCAAGCGATCATCGGCCTTCGTCATTTCTCCTCATCCACGTTGCTCTCCAGACTGGCATCTGGCTTCCACTCGCAACTATGTTGCGCCTCGAATGGCTAGTGGTCACACTGAGTGCCTTGGGTACATGGGGCGCCTCGTTGCCGGGCGATGTGCGCTGTGTGACTGCCCTCTACTCGGCGTATAATTATATCACCTTCGCGGGTCTCCCAGCCAAGGGAATGTTCGACACACGATGCCAAAATCCCCTGAAAGTCACATCGATTTATGCAGCTTCTGAGATATATTGCCGAGATACAGAACGTGTTGCTGGCTTGGCCCAGATGGCGGCGGAATGTGAAGAGTTTGGCCATCACCAGCTACTTCCTAGAGAAGCTGTTGCGGGGAATTTGACGGAAGATGCGATACGGGGGATGCGCATCGTGAAATATGCAGAATTAACAAGGTCCGATGTGATGAATGCACCGGTCATGATTTCCGCGTCTTACTTCAACCGGGTATATAATACCATCGAGGCGCTTCAATTCGAGACTTGGTCACATCATGCATTTGGGTAGGCTTCACACAATTCTACCTCCTATGAGTGTTTTTTACTGATATATTGTCACTAGATTTGTCGGCTATGCTTATTGGGGGTTTTTTATTGTCCTCGCAATCGGGTACCGTCTGTGTGGCTGGGCCACCTATCAACGGAGAGATCACAACACCGGAGCGGGAGAAATTGAATCGCAAATATATAATCCAACCGGATCGTGGCACACCGGCCTTCCTCTGATAAGGGACACCTTGGGTTGGCTACAGACTCATCTACTTGTTGCCCCTCCGTTCACCTCACGAGGTCGTGAAGTGTTGCTGTGCATCTTCTCAAACCGAGCGGAGGCCCTTGCGGTCAGCGGGTTCTGGATCATCAGCATCACGTTGAGTTTTGTCGGATATCGAACATTTGAAGGAAATATCTAGTATGGCAAAGCGAAACACATTTTATTATGCAGTTGGCGGTCACTTACTCATACATGCTCTACAGCTGGCCAGACATTCCTAGTCAAATCCTCCGATACTCGGCCGACCGAACTGGCATCATGTCATTTGCAAATATTCCCCTATTATGGCTTTTCGGCGGTCGCAACAACATTCTGATATGGGCAACAGGTTGGAGCTTTGCAACCTTCAACGTTTTCCATCGCCATGTAGCTCGTGTGGCAACACTTCAAGCGGTAGCACATACCATCTTATATCTCATTATCTACTACAGAAGTAAGTTGGAAATCCTCTCATCCAAAGGGTTATGGGGCTTCGAGTCAGTAATTTTGTCAAATGCTAATTTCCTCATCTTGATTAAATTTAGCTGGCAAACTGTGGAGAGCTTTCAACAAAACTTACATCGTTTGGGGGCTACTCGTAAGGCTACACATCCCATGGGACAATCTTTAATCACGCAACTTGACGCTCACATGATGAATACCAGGGTGTCCTTGTTATGGTATTTCTACTTTTAACGTCCCTCGATCGGATCCGCTCTGGCACCTATGAAATATTTTTGATTGTACACGTCCTACTCTCAATACTCACCCTTGTCGGATGTTTCTAGTGAGTCTGTCCGTACTAGTCATTCTGTCCTCCGCAACTGACGCAGAAAAAGTCACACAATTATTTTCGAGGGACATGAATATTGGCAGTATCTGTGGCCCTCGGTGGGGATCTGGGTATTTGACCGGTTTTTGCGAGTCGTTCGGTTATGCTATTGCAATCTTCATGTCAGCATCTTTAGGCTTAACAAAATCCGCGCCACCTCCGCCCGGATGACTTACGACGAGGCAACAGATGTGGTCCGATTAGAAGTCTTACCAGCTACTCCGTTTCTCAGTCCCTCTCCAGGAGATTATTTCTTCCTGTACCAACCCTTTCGCTGGACTGGTTGGGAGAGTCATCCTTTTACCGTTGGTGCTTGGTCATCTCAAGTGGAATCCGCAACAGGATCATCGAGGACTGGCAAAGCGACCGACGCGTTGGATCTCTCTCAACAACCGCTCTTATCCAATGCGATTAATCAACCGGACGAACCTCTCCCCGCGGAAGAGTGTGAAAAAGAATGCGAAGTCTCCAATCTGAAGGCAATCTTCTGGATCCGCCCGTATAATGGTTGGACCCAACATTTGCGTCAACAGTGTCTGCGATCAAAAGTCCAGCCGGTGGAGACGACAATTCTTCTCGAGGGGCCATATGGGCATCACTTTCCGATTTGGAATTATGAGTCAGTGTTGATGATCATGGGAGGAACTGGGATTGCGTCAGCCGTTCCGTATCTCCAAGAACATATTCGGCGATCCAAAAATGAATGGGGAGAATCGTCGAAGGAAAAGACCTATACCCGTGATATTGAATTAGTTTGGACTGCAAGACAAATCGGTTTTCTTAATGAGGTGGCCAATCGAGAGCTGCAACCTCTATTGGCTCGTCAAGACTTCCAGGCCACTTTCTATGCGACAAGGGCTTTCACCTGCTCACCGGATGATTTGAATGAATCAGCATGTGATATCAAACTAGGTCGACCTCATCTGCAATCGCTCATCATGAGTCGTGCCAGCGATGCCTCTTCTGCTGGGGTTTCATTGGTGATTCTGGTTTGTGGACCTGCCGGTATGGCGGATGAAGCACGAGCAGCCACTCATTTAGCCATGCGACAAGGTCACAGCTCTATCAAATACGTGGAAGAATCGTTTGCTTGGTAAAAGTCAATGTGTAGCTCGAACCTCCTAATCTTGAGGGCGGAACGAGCTTGGTCTTTCAGCCCAACATATTTGACAAATACTCGTGTGAATATTCTGCATCGGATATGCTTGCGATCCTGAATTTCCCTCATCATTGAATTCACCGAACTATCCATGACAAACAGAAATCAAAAAAATCTCGCTTGAAGAGGTAAAGAGCATCGTTGCAACTTCTTCACATCACTCAAAAACCTGATTTAGGTCTATGCGACTTACTAGCAACTTGTCGATCGACTAATCAAAAGGACCTCGACTTTCATTGCTTATTCTCTTTTTCGACCTATGATAGACGGTAATAGATACGATATTTTCGAATTATGCATGATGCAGTAGGCTGCTCCTGCATCACCCTGCATGGAGTTATTGATTCCAAATCGCTTATACGAAGTTCAAAGAATGAGTAAACCGGGCTCAATTTACGACAAATCTTGTTCTCTACCATATGAACCCTTTACTAGAATTATTTTATGATCCCAATGAACTAAAATAACTTCAATTTACATACTCTCAACAAATTTTCCAAATTCAATGAGTCTTTCGTTCGTCAACGGGTGATCCTCCCGCCCCGGATTTGATGTGTCCACTTCCCACTATACGAAACCAGTAATAGCGTCGCCAATCTTAAGACGCCACTCGTGTTTCCCCTGTTCGCTCCAACTTGGAACTCACCAATCACAAAGAAAAATAAGTAGCGCCGGAAAAAGCACAAATCTACCAAAAGTACGAAGAGCCCCTGCAGCCGACAGCCGATCATCATCAAAAGCATCAAGCCATTGCCAATAGCCTCTCGGGCCGTGTAACCCGCATTCCACTCCCGGGCTTGCGGGGACCAATACGCACCAGTCTCCCACAACCTTGTCCCTGTTATAGTCAATGATCGACAGGAACAAGTGTGATTGTATGGTGCAGATGCAGGGTCGGTGTTCGTGTTGACCATGTCCTACACCAGGTTGCCTGGTCGCTTTGCCAAGGACAACCCTGATGCTCGTATATCCACTCGAAAACAATATTCTCCCAGCGCCACCGGCGGGGCTATTGAGTCTATTGATCTCAGGGTCTATGATGTGTGATACTTGGGGAATTTACGGCTGAACGATCATCGTTTTTGCTGCAGGAGAAGGGTACGAAAATGAAAGCAGACCTTGGCAAACACCTGAGTGTTAGGGGACAAAGCTCGACTTCGATGAGAAAGAAAGGTATAAAGCATATGTGATTCCCTGTGGATAATTCTTTTCATCATCCTCAAGCTCATTCTCTATTACAGAAAGCAAAAGCACCTCTCTCTTCTCTCATTCACTCATTGTCTTTGATTCAATTCTTCGCTTTACGCATCCAAACACAGTCAAAATGAAGTTCTTCGCTGCCGCTCTTCTCTTCGCTGCCACCGTCGTGGCCCTTCCCCAGCCTGGTGATGTAAACACTGGTGGTAACAAGGTCAAGTACCCTGTCAGCAACAAGACCACCCTGAAGCAGGCCCAGAACACGTGCGGCAACGACGCTAAGGTCTCCTGCTGTAACGAGGCTACCTACACCAAGGATGTCACCAACAACGCTAACGGGCCCTTGGCTGGTGTCCTTCAGTCCGCTCTGGGTGCTGGCTCTGGTGGTCTTGGTCTCTTCGGCCAGTGCAACGACCTCAGCCTCAACGGTATGATAGTCTTCAAGTCCCTTGGAATGAGAATCACAACTCACTGATACTTTTCTAGTTCCTGTCTTGAACGTTGTTGGCGGTGGTCTCGATCAGCTCGTTGAGCAGAAGTGCAAGCAGAACATTGCTTGTTGCCAGGACACCAAGTCCGATGCTGTATGTTTCTCTTTCTTTCCTTTTGCCCTTGAATCAATCAACTAATCGATCTACCTTATAGAACGGCAACCTCATCGGTGTCGCTATTCCCTGCGTTGCCCTTGGCTCCCTCATCTAAGCATTTGACGAGCTTATCACCGAGATTATCTCACATGATCTCGGGCAGGAACATACAATTTTAAGAGGTACATATATGTATACTGCACCTGTGGCTTCCGTCAGAGAGGGGCTTTTCTTCCAGTGTTTCCAACTTAGGATCTCCTAGTTGGGTGCTTCAACTGTGTCATTCATTCTTTACCATTTCGTTCATAAACCCGAGTTGGTTACATACAATTATGTATTTAGCTTAATTAATTTATATTGCATGTTCTACGTTATCATAATTCTTTTCTCATTCAACATCATGATCATAACATGATGCGCTCGTATCCGATTATCTTCTTTGAAATCTCCTCTCGGATTATATTGGGATGGTTGTTCGATTCATTCAGATGATTCACATGGTCTATTTCTCAGGAATAGCAGGGTGGTCGAGGAAGCTGCATGTATGTAGATGCCCCACAAACCAATAAGGACGCCTTAAATGAGGACAAGAAAGTAATATCGCATATTCATCTTGATAGATCGTGAAGGAAAAATTAATGAAAGAAAAGAAGAAAAGAGGGATATACAACAAGAAGGCAAATTTGGTGTAAAGAAAATAATCAGAAACAAAAGAAAGGGTATCTATCGCAAGATGAATGGTATTCTTCCAGCCCTGAGATATGTGATCTAGAAGTTATTTGGGGGAAGTTGCTCGTCTTCCCACCGAATCCACACGAACTCCCAATTTTTCCAACTCGGCAACGTCCAAAAGACCCCGTCCATCAAACACCCACTTGGGCTCCACCATGTTGTATGCAATTCGAGGCCACTCGATCGGTTCGCTAGTGGTGGGTCGGGTAGATAGAGATCGGCAGTCCGTGCAATCAGAGGGACACGTCTGTGAAGCTGTCGCCTCCGAAGTATTGTGGGTCCAACGCGGTTTCTTTCCAGGTGTGTTGCGGAACTGATCACAGTCTGTGACTACCAGCACGGCATGAGCTTGTGAGCAGGCCAAATGCGGATCAGTGTGTAGTTTTATCGTGCCTCTTTCGGAAATACCAGGACATGCTATCTCTAGCTCACGCATGATGTCGTCGGGCCGACAGTAGGGATCGAAGATGGCTATCTCGCCAGGTCGTTCTTCCAATAATGATCGGATTACTTCCACGGCTAGCGACTCGCGTGTGTCGCCGGTGTTCTTTTTGAATGCAAATCCGAGAATTGCTAATTTGTGTCCCACTAGATTTCCTTCGAATCGGTCGATGACCTTTCGAGCGAAGCGGTCGCGTTGTCGCTCGTTCATCGTGTTCACTTGTCGCCAGTAGCTGGCTACATCGTCTAGGCCGAGTGACTCGGCGAGATATGCTAGGCTGGCTATGTCTTTTCGAAAACATGAACCTCCAAATCCTAGTCCTGCTTTGAGGAACTGTGGTCCTATGCGTGCATCCATTCCAATGGCTTTGGCAACCTGGTCCACGTCGGCTCCGGTTCGTTCACAGATCGCGCTGATGGAGTTGATACTGCTGATTCGCTGGGCGAGCATTGCGTTGGCTACCAGTTTTGCCAGCTCGGAGGACCAGCTGTTGGTTTCTAGGATACGATCTGTAGGTACCCAGGCTGCATATAGGCCTGCAAGTATATGGGCTGCTTGTCGTCCTGTAGGCGTTGCCGCAGATCCGATCAAAACACGGTCGGGCACCGTGAGATTTTGAACTGCAGAGCCTTCAGCGAGAAACTCTGGGTTGGAGAGTACTTCGAAGGGTACACCCGGACGATGAGCGGCCAGCTAAACACGCATGGTCAGATTCTGTCGTTGATACGAGAAAAAGAAAGAGGTGAAAAGATTCAAGGGATAAAACTGTACCATTTTGCGCACTCGATCTGCTGTACCACCAGGGACTGTACTCTTTTCCACGATGATAGCTCCCGGCTTAGCATGGGCAGCTACATCTCGCATGGCGCCGTCGAATGCAGCCATATTTGTAGCACAGCCTGCACCCACTCCAAACATCTTGGTAGGTGTGTTAACCGCCATGAAGATTATATCGGCTTTTGCAAGGGCTCTGGCTGAATCGCACGAGAAGCTCAAATTCGGTTGGCGTGTAGTCAAGTACTTGCTACCATTCTCTGTGTCATCTCGAACGCTCTGAACTAGTTCGTCTAGTCCTGGTTCGTGTACGGGTAGATGCGGTGATTTCCATTGTTGAATCCGACGAGGGTCTCGATCCAGTACTTCCACTCTCACGTTGGGGTTGTGGAGAGCTAATACTGCGGCCGTGGGACCTCCTGTTGAAACGTCAAATTTGTGTTATCCTTCAAGTGAACAATGGGACTTACCAACGTATCCTGCGCCCATGACGCATACATTCTCCACTATATGAGTGTAAGGGTATCCTTCGAGAGTTTCTCTGGATTGCGGTGACTGTGACAGCTTCAGATCATCGATTTCGGAGGGTCGAAATAGAGGACTTGAGCTTGGGCTGGTGGGAGCTGTCGAGGACAGGCTACCCTCTGAGAACAAGACATCCATGGGTATATCATCGCACATGATTCATGGGTGTGCTGAGAGGGAAGAAGTTGAGAGGAGGGAATGTGATTTTAGATAATTCAGGATCTCTCTAGAATTGAGATAGGGGAGGGGAGGGGAAGAGGGGGGAAGATGCAGGAGATCGGCGAAATAAGGATACTCAGACTATTTCACGATGGAGTGAAGGGTAAAGAGTCTATGCGTAGTGGAGGTGGATTAATTATAGTATAGTATAGCATGTACCTGGGTATAGGTAGTAATTTAGTACCATAATCACCAGATTATAGTAATCAATGATCATCTGTGAATCACCAGATTATAGTCAGTCATCCGCTATCTAGCGTGAAATAATGTCGCATTCATGAGTTTCTTCATCCTGTTGATTCCTCTTACTCGTCGTTGTTGGGCCACGCGGGACACAGAAGAACGCGACTGGCTCAACCACGTTAAGTTGATTAAGCAATCCTCACCCGCTAATTAATGCACGTGTGGAACAAGGTTTACAAGCTTGAACAAGGTTGGACCCCGTGACTCTTTACTTTGCATCGTGATTAACGAAAATGTCTTATATATGCAACCAACGTAGCATGTTTTGGTTTTCCGTCAAGAATAGGGGGAATAGTAGAATGCCAGTGGTTATTCTGGTTATTCGATTTCCATCATGATTGAATCTGAACCCTTGCTTGCCTCAACCTTTCAGGGTACAAGTGAGGATTTTCCTAGTATTCTACATGGAAAGAAAATCCTTTTAGCCACTGAATCGTGGGGTCCTGTTAATGGTGTCAGTCGCACTACTCGCAATTTGGTTGAGTACTTGCGCGAGAATGGAGTAGACCTTATGTTGGTCGCACCACAATTCAAGGGAGATACAAGCAAGGTGAACCAGTCTTGGGAACGACGATTACCAGGATGCGCTTTGCCTTATAATCCTGACTTGACTGTGGTTTATCCATTTCATATTGGTGACGTCTATCGACAAACATTCAAACCCGACATCATCTATCTAGCAAGTCCTGCTTCCTTGGGGTTTCAGATGTTGCTGCAGATTCGCCAGTTGCGATCACCACCACCGGTACTGCTTAACTTTCAAACGGATCTCTCAGCATATTCGGAGATCATGCTACCTGCGCCGCTGGATCGGTTTGGTGTCTGGTTGCTGGCTGTAGTCCAGGGCTTTCTTTTTCGCTCACGGGCTGTCCATACTATTTTCTACCCTTGTTCTGCTATTCAAAATTACCTTGAACATGCAGGAGCGCCGATGGATCGACTGCTCCAGTTGGGTCGTGGTGTAGACACCAAAGCCTTTTCGTCAGATCAACGAGATGATGCCTATCGTCGAGAAATAGCACCAAATGGAGAAATCATCCTTATTTGTGTTTGTCGCATCGCTCCGGAGAAAGGCTTCGGGTTTCTCTCTCAGGTTGCTATTCGTCTAGCTGCTGAGAAGGTTCCCTTCAAGTTGCTCATTGTGGGTGGCAATCGTAACCCCGTTGTCGAAAATAAAGTCAAGCGTCTTTTCGACAGTATACTTCGCCATGTGATATTTACCGGCTTTCTCACGGGTTCGGCACTCGCTCGCGCTTATGCCTCGGCTGATCTCTTTCTGCATTGTTCTATCACTGAGACGTTTGGGCTGGTGGTTCTTGAGGCTATGGCTAGTGGGATCCCGGTCATTGCTCGTGATCAGGGTGGTCCTTCGGATATCATTCGCAATTGTCACACTGGATTTCTTGTCCCACCTCATGATCTTGATCAGTTTGTTCATTTAACACGCAAGGTGGCTGGGGATAATACTTATCGTCGGGAGCTTGCTGTGGCGGCTCGTCGGTATGCAGATGATACTACCTGGGAGAAGATTAATTGTCGGGCTGCGTGGCAGATTGCTGAGTCTTTGACATGTACTGATCAGGAGTCGCATATGTCGCCGAGGGTTCAGGTGAGGCCTGGGATTATTGCATCGGCTATGGAGCAGGTGAGGCTGGTGTTGGCTGTTGGGATTGTGTATGGGATGTGGTTGATTGCTGTGGTTCCGTTGATTGTTCATGGGAATCGGTTTCTTCCACGTGCGTGGCAGACATTTAAAAATCAGTTTCAGTATGTTAGTCCCGTGCGGAATTGATGATGAGATCGATGATACATGTGTTTGAGATATGGAGGATCTGGTTTACGATTAACGCGATTTCTCGCACCATCATGATTCAAATGTGGATATCAGACTCGGTAGAAATGAGATACGATCCAATTTAAGATCCATGATATATTGGTCTGTAAGGTAATTATAGTAAGTAAAATATTTGAACTTCATAACTTGAAGTAATCAATTTGATTAATTTCCTGACGTTTAGATTACAACCGCACGGGAGCTGTATCCTTGCGAACCAAGATATGGCCCTCGGTAACTAGAGAGTTTGGACAAGAAACACCATCCATGAAAGCCGATAAATTCGACAAAGTAACACCAGCAATTTCCGTCAGTGCCTCGCGCGTGAAGAAGCCCTGGTGTCCACATATCAGAACATTGGGGAAGGTCATCAGACGCATCAAAACATCATCATCAATAATCTCTCCAGAGTGATCATTGTAGAATAACTCTCCCTCGGCTTCATAGACATCCATCGCGATCCCACCCAAGTGCCGTGTCTTCAGTGCATGAATCACGGAAGACGTATCAATTAATCCTCCGCGAGACGTGTTGACTAACATCGCCCCGGGTCGCATTTTTCGTAGAGTGGTTTCATTGATGAGATGACGGGTGCCCTCTGTCAAAGGACAATGCAAACTCACTATGTGGCTCTCCTGTAACAAGGTATCCAGGTCTACTAGCGTGCCGTATTGTCGGAACTCGTCTCCAGCAAAAGGATCATAGGCTAAAAGACGACAGCCAAATCCATGGAAGATCCGAGCTGTTGCAAGCCCGATTCGTCCAACGCCCACGATCCCAACTGTCTGACCATGTAATGTCGTTCCGAGGAGACCTTCGATATTGAAGTTTCCTTCCCGGACGCGGTTATAGGCGCGATGCGTCTTGCGATTCAAGGTTTGGACTAACGCGATCGCAAACTCGGCTACCGCTTCGGGTGAATAGGCAGGTACATTCGCGACGAAGAGGCCTAGTTCTTCGGCAGTCGCTAGATCGACGTGATTGTAACCTGCGCAACGGAGGAGAATGGCTCGAACGCCGTTTGAATGGAGGGCACGGAGAACACGTCCGTCCAGCGTGTCGTTGACAAAGACGCAGACGGCATCGCAGTCGTGTGCTAGAGGGACGGTTTCTTCGGATAGCGCAAATGCGTGATACTCTATGTTACACCGCTCTGCGAATTGAGCGGCCCGTACCTCTTCTAGGTATATGCGATCGTAGGATTTCGCGCTGAACACGGCTAGCTTCATGGTTGTGATCGTCGACTTTTGCTACACCGGCTTTTTGGTAATGAGCTGCAGATCGACCTGTTCGGGGCATGGCTTGTCCTCTAGGTGCAGTATCATTTTACGCTTGGGCCCTTGTTAACCTTATAGTCATGACGACATGTGGATTTTGGCCGATTCTGGATGCGTAACGTGGGGAGTTGTCGGATTTATTCTCCGTTCCCCGGGATACATGTAATTTGTATGGCTGCAAGCGGCGAGGAGTAACTCCGTGTTGGTGTTCAGATACATGATGTAGTGGTGCTTGTTACCAACAGTTGAAGACGGGGATAATGGAGATGTTTCCCCGGATATCCGATCGAGAGGTTCAAGGGAAAGGGGGGCAAAGTATGGAGTGCATCATTCAAGTTCTTGAACCGTGCGTTGGCCACGGTACTTTTGTTCCATGCACATACTAGTAGTGAATGTAAACAATCATCATCTGGGATGGACGTGTAAGGCTGGAAATCAGATCCGAAGTCCTGGCGGTAAAAAGTACATTTGGTGGAATATTATCATTGATATTAAGAGCCTTGGATATTTTTTCCCCGATTCCTACTTGGTACTATTGAGGTGTAGTTATCATACTACATAGTATAGATCGTACCATAGTTCCCCGAGTCGGTGGAAGGTGTTCCCTCCGTCCGCGGTCTCCCTTTGTCGCCAAGCCATACCGGAAGATCGTTATGAACGCCACTTTTTTGGAGTAGGTAAGGGATTGGAAGGATTTAGGATTAAGGATTTGGAGAAGGAGACTTTGGAATTTGGACTGGACTTGGGGGCGGACCATCTGAGACTCATTTGCCTTCGGGGCACATTATTCTCAAAAGCCACCGAGACTAGGCTATTCAATAGAGTGAGAGGCTGGGAAGCTCGGACGGGAACCGAAGCACATCGGATCTTTCTGGAGGATTGCCGCATTTAGGATGACCACTGGAAATAGTAAACCATTGCTGTTTGATTGGTGGAAAAGACCCCTGCTATTTCTGGTGGGCTGGATTCTGTTCATCGGATCAATTTTGGGGTTCCTTCCTCACTAGGAATCATTGGAATACCGAGAGTTTTGAAGACTTAAGGCTTTTAATGTGAATTAGATGTACGGAGTAGTTACGTTCTTATATTATACTCTCGTATCCTATACTCTAATTAAGAATCAAAGAATATTAATAAGAATTTGAACATTTGAAGGCATTTGGCTCCGAGTAGGCGGCTATCCAATCAGAATGGTCCGATAAGCCAGAAACGCCACCTGCTTTGTGATTGGCTGGTCTACGGCGCTAGTAAACTTTGAGCTCGAAAGTCGGGACAAAGATGAAAAAGAAGGCCGAAAAGGGAAATGAGGAATAATTAGGGAAAGAGACAGACTCGGTCTGTTTGGATGCAAGGGTTTACAGGTAGATAAGAATGATACTAGACATATATATAAATATTTATATACAAAGTACATATGGCACTCGAGTCGACGAACAAAGTACAGTACTGCAGTGGAGTGTTCCGTGGAGTAGGCGTTGCGCGGAGTTGCGGAGCCTACAAGTGGGGAGAGTCAGGAAGAAGCCTCGAATGCGGAAACCCATCATGCGCGTCGTCGGTTATCCTCCGTATCACTAAAAGAAGAGCGAACCTGCATGAAATGATTAGAATCAAATGCGCCTGGTTCTCATTTGGACTGGGAGATCAATCCAATCTGATCTATGGGAATCAGCGGTCAAGAGGCGTTCGAAGGGAGAAAAGAGAATATCGGTGAGCGGAGGTAGAGGTACGGCATGAGATAGTGTTCGAGAGGGATATAGGAAGTACCGGATGTACAGCTGTATCGGATGCCACATAGCTCGAAATAGAGCATGTACAATGTAGTAGTGTGCATAGACTAGTAGAACTCCGTGACTCTCTGGATAAATCCAAAGATGCTACTCTCCAGATTAATTATTTAATTTGAATATACCCCCGTGTGGACTCCGAACAGATCTAAACTATAATCGCAGGTCTCATCCACGACTCTCCGACTCCTATATAGTCCGGACGCTCTCACTGACCTTCTCTTCTTAAGTCTGGCTGAAAGTAATCCCCCTCTGATCTTCTCCATCTTCATCGCTTTTACCCATTTCCAAAATCTCCATTTTTTTCCTTTCCAAAATCTCCACTTACCTGCCCCGTTGGGTCAGGACTAGTCTTAACGCTCTCCCGCGGCCCACCGTGACCGCCATCTCGGCCACTCACCGCGCATTTATTCTTTGCCTCTCAGAAAGCACACGAGTGCCCCTCGACATCATCACTTTCTATGCGAGTTCGCCTCCTTTTACCGCGCCCTTAAGCATTCTCCTCCCCCTTTCGGACCTATTCTTATTTACTTCAATCACTTTCCCACCTTTCACCTTCCCACCGCCTCGTCTTCCCTCCCCTTCTTCGACGAACAACATTCTCTCACCAATATTCCCACATCTTATCCTCACATCTTCGAAATGGCTACTGTTATGACGGCGCCGACCACCAACCAGATCTCGGCGTATGGTCACCCCTCACCCACCAACTCAAATACGACTACTCCGTCCAATAATTCTCCTACTTCTCCTCGTCTCACAACCGCTTCGCTGCACCAGCTACCCCTTCAGTCTCGCCAGTTGCGCCCGCCCAAGGGTCCGCTTTATGTTCCTGCAGCCCTGCGTCCCACTGAACGGCCCCAGAAATCATCCCCAATCACCCCGCCTCGCAGCGTACATGGTTCCCTAGATAGCTTGAGCGAAGAAGCTGCTGAGCCTATCAGCCGTCGTTCAACTATGGAAAGCAGGTCCAGTGGAATTAGCAAGGTCGCTAAAAATGAGTGGATGAAGACCGAACACCTGGGAGAGGTTACTGGGTTGCCTACTCGCGATCACTGGAAAGTAAGTTGCATCTTGTACTCAGGGGGATCCCTCTTCTTTTATAAATGGTGCGAATGGTTCTGGATGGCGTTTGTGCCTGTCAAAATGTCGAGAGCGAGCACGCCATCGCCTCGGTATGACGAGCGCACAATACATCATCCATCCTGCGCGACCGAATACTTCTCACATCACATCATAATACACTGGTGCTAACCTCTTCTGCTCTACAGGCTGATTCTGCTTCTCCCAACTGCGACTCGCCTACCTGTCGTTCTTCCTTTGGTCTTTTCCTGCGCCGTCACCACTGCCGTCACTGTGGTCATGTTTTCTGCTCCTCGCACACTCCTCACATTGTTCCTCTTGACCAAGAGGCACGCTTCCACCCCGACGGTGGTCCTTCCCGTGCATGCGACTTGTGCTGGAGCGCCTTCCAACGCTGGGGAGAGAATCGCACCGACCGCCTGAACAAGATCCAGAATAACATCGACACCGGCAGCATCAATGAGGAAACCCGCTCTGAGGACATGGATGCCAGTCAAGAGTCTGGCCGTAACGCTCTCCAGGCTAACCTGGGCCAGACTCCTGATGTTGCTGCCAGTGTTCCTCGTGACTGGAACTGGAGCACTTTCTAATCTGTTCTGTTCTGATCTACGTGATATGTGATACCTACGCTATGCATTGGGTTCACTGCGTTCAGCGGGTCTGGTCGGAGTCTTGCCTAAGCTTTCACTTCTTACAACCTCTTTTTTTTCTCTTCCCCTTTTTATCATCGCCTTAGATGATTGCTTATGATTTGCGACCATAGATATGGAGTTTTATCGGCGCCCGAGGATTCAAGGGCATTATGCGTTTCGGGATATGAGCTTTATTTGCTTATGCGGTCTCATGACAACTAGACGTCCCTTTTTCTTGTTTTTGCAGCGACTCCATTGTGTGGTGGCCGCTTCTTGCGTTTTCTGTTTTCTGTTTTCTGCTTTCCGTTCTTGATACCCAGCTATTTCTATCGAGTGGCGATCTCTTTTCGTTTTCCTTTTGATTTGAGTGCCGGATCTGCAGCTCGTGGGCATGAAATGGCCTGGGGGATACATCGATTGATGTTCCCGGAATGAATTATCTATCAATCCGTTTAAACTTCCATTTCCTCTCTTAGTCCTATAAAAAGATTTATAGATAGTCTTTCTTGTAAACATATCACTTAAAACAGCCGGTCTCCGACTCGGGTATCACAGCTTAGACTTAGAGTTCGAGGATGCCATCGGCTCTCGAGCGATCGCAACCTCAGACCACCATGGATAATTAGGTGAACTCATCACCGCAGGATCCGATTCAAAACAAGGCCTCCGCTTCTCCAGAAACGAATTCACCCCCTCTTTGTAGTCTCTATGTGACGTCAGTAATTTGCCATTTGCCATTCGCCATGTTTGACTCTCTCGGCACTCAAATCTTATTGATTGATTGCTTAAAAGCTAACAAACACGCTAACTACTACATGTAGATCATACATACCGTTGTCCAATCATATGGTGAAATACTCTTGACTCCAATAGATGTGCCGCCTCGGGAGACTCGGGACACTGCCACATTAGAGCCCTGCTCATGGAAGATGCTAGCAGACTGACGTTTTCTGCCATGTTTTCGGCTAGAGAGAGGCTATACGGGAGGATTTGGGTTACATCGGGCAGTATTTCTGTGAAGAGGGAGCCGAAATGGGTTGAGGTGGGAGGGTAGATTTCGCCAGTTGTGATTAAAGTCATTGCTCGTGAGAATCCGATTAGGCGTGGGAGGAAGTATGAGGCGCAGGATTCGATGGTTAGCCCTCTTCGCGTGAATACGAAGCCGTATTTGCTTTTTTCGTGACATATACTGGGTAGAATGTGTTAGTTGGGAGATGCGATGTAGGGAGGTTGAGTATGTGGATCTACCGTATAGCTGCTGGTAGGGTCATTGTCATTCCTACACCAACGGCAGACCCATTCATCGCTGCAATGGTGGGTTTGTGGTATCTATGCATTGCGAGTGCGACTCGTCCTCCGCTTTAAGTTGGGAAGTTAGTAGGGACCTGTCAGTGGGGATGTAGGTAGATCCGATTGCTTCAAGTGCAAGGTTCTTCATCTGGGTAGATATCTTACATATCTCGAAAGTCACCTGCTTTCCCTTTTCCATCCCCAAATCCAACATCCAGATCTGATCCAGCGCAGAACATCTTTCCTGCTCCGGTGAGGACGACTACTTTCACGCGTGGATCGATATGGATCATTTTGTATGCTGTTGTAAGACTATCTGCCATCTGGGGTGTGAAGGCATTGTGTTTCTCTGGTCTGTTCAAGGTGATTATTACTACCGGTGTTACTGCCTGTGTACCGGTGGGGTGGTGGCTTATTTTGATGTGTGTTAGATTCAGACTCTCGTATGAGGCTGGGAGGTCGATTGATGCGGAGGTCATTGTGGACGATATCATTATGTTGATTTGTTGAGAGGCGGGTTGTATGGGAGTGTATACTAGGCATGTATTTCAAGTTGGAGGCTAGTTCGTGCTGACTATATGATCTAGCCACTGAATCGGGGGCTTGAGCACATTGCGTCCCCCGCATATGCACTATTGATGTGTGCAGTCACGGTATGCCAGTGCCTCGGTTGCACGGCGATCATCTCGGGTGGACGTTGCAACATATGAAAGATGAGTTATGTCGTGTATATGAATCATCTCTTGAAAATAGGGTTCTTAATTGAATACATGCAAATACTTGTGTACGAATTTCAAGTTGGTTTTTTTTTATTTGAGACTTTCAAGTTGGGAATGGAGTAGTAGTCTCATGTGCATCTACATTATATATCTGGGCCCTTCAAATCTCAATTCTCAAAAGCAGTGCAGGACTTCCCAATTTGGAATTTCCAAATCTAGGAGTCATAGCAGTACACATAGATAAACCAAGCAAATCAGCGTGAAATTTAGGCAAGTTCATCTTATCTGAGTTGTAAAGATGAATTTGTTTCTTATTCAAGCCATGAGCTGTATACATTCAAGTGCTGCGGCCCTGTAATGGAGGCACTTTTATTGGCTCCTGTCTTCTACTATGTGGGTCCTCCCCACCAACATCTCGAAACTGCGAACTGATACCTCCAATGTTGTTTAGGGGGTATGGGATTTTGAAGTCATAGTATATACGTAAAGGCGTTTGCAATTATTAATCAAGAGAATTTGCTTCCCTTTGAATCTGTATACAAAGGATTGTTATGATCGTGATGTTTTCTGCTTCCACTATTGAGTGCACGTGATATAATGCAATCAAGGTCATGTGACCTTCCACTTCCTCTCGATCCGCCTCAACGACGAGAGTACCGCTTCTGTGCCCTCGCTTCAAGTTCCCCCGCAATCATGGCTGGCCCTAGCAAGTGTGAGTTGAAACTGACCCCTGAACCACACAGAGCTCGATACTGACCAATTGACTCCAGCCCTGATCCTTGACCCGGCCCTCCAGAGATACTACGGTACATGAACCTCATTCCCTATCCTCCCACCCCATTTGAAGCAAATACAGCGAGCTACCGCGATAAATATCTGGAAGACATGCGGAAGTGGTCACATTGATCTCGCTATCAACCTGTCTTGCTATACATCGAATCCCGGACCGGAAACATGCAATCATCAACTGACAGACAACCATAGAACTCAATGCCAACCGATACAAGTTCTTCCGCTGGACCCCTCGCCATGCTTGGATGTCCTTCATCTACATGGGTCTGATCCCCGGTGTCCTTACCTACGTCGCCTACAACACTGAGGTATGAATAATCTGCGAACCTTTCCTAATTAACATATTCATCTACTCCGAGGGACGCAAACTTAACATTTTACAGGGCAAGTACGAACTTCGTGGAAAGCGTAAGGGAGATACTATCTCTGAGTGGTAAAGAAATATTGAGATGATGTGTTTTTGAATCGACGGTGGTTACAATGATCACAACGGGCTACTGACAAGTATTCGTCTATTACCCGGAGAGACCGTCGAATGATGGAAGTGGTGCTTTGAAGCAAAATGCTTTTTTTTTCTCGTCAACTCCCAGTGCCTGATTGGCCGGGCTATGTACCTTACTGCAAGCATATACCGCATGTATTTTCTTCTGTTCTTTGTTCACATTTTTATACTTGAGGGTTGAGTCCATGCGTCTGGAAGTGATGCGTAACGAGTTCCTAGAGCCAATTATGTAGTTCATGTACTTCCGGCTATATGGAATTCAGTAAAGGTTTGCTACAAAGGAGCTACATTACCTGGATCCTAATGTATGTTACTTTGTTTCAGAAAAGACATTCATGAATGCTATTTTGCTCATTCCATAAATTAATCATCCACAGGCTAATATTACAAAGCCTCCAATGAAGATATCTCGAAAGCCCCAGTCACATTTGATATGATGCAGGCCTTGCTATATCGCATGCTTGATCATTTTTTGTCTTTCAGTATCCATCTAATACGGAGCCCATCCTCGACGGCGGCCCCCTCTCCCTCCCCCTTCAGGAAGCCTCTCGCCTCTTTTCCATTCTCCCATGGGAACGTGAGGAGGCTCTCCGCGATCTCCACCACGATTACCACCACGACCTGGCCGCGAGAACCCACTATCTCGGAATGCGCGCATACCACCACCCATTGCTGGAGGTGGCCCTGAGCCAGAACCAGAACGAGCCGGCGGCGGTGCAACTGAACCATCCTCCAACGGCGCTAGAATTGCACACTCAACGTAGTCTCCAATGATAAACCGCTCATCTTGTAAGGCTTTGTCTGCATCCGAGCCTTGGAACCGAAGTGGGCCAGCACGTGGTCGTTCTTCGCTCAGGTTGTCTGCATCTTTATCCGTCCTGTATGGACTATCTCTCGGTCCCACAATGACGCTTCCTAAATCTCTGCTCAAGTAGCGGCCACGCGCATCGGGTCCCCCCATCACTACGCCGCGCGCATCGCCGTAGACTAGCCGGAAACAAAGCCGAGTTCCGACGGGCGGATCGGGTAGTAATGACGGCAGTGCGGATGTTAGAAGCTGTGAGAGCTCTCGAAGTGTGCATGATTGCCAGGTGTATATTTCTAGATGCGGTGGGAGAGCTGTTGCTGTCGCTGGAGGAGAGGTTGCGCGAACGGCATTTGGCCCGCTGGCTGGTCCACCGCCGCGATTGCGTGGGGGAGGGGTAATGTGATAATCGGATAGAGGGTGGAAATTGTTGGCTCGGTAGAAGAGCTTCAGGTGGAAGGGTGTGGTGGTTTGGCGATTGATGGGGGCAGCTTTGGGGCCTTCTCGTGAGGTAGTAGCCATTATGGCAGGGAGAAGATGTCGATGTCGCGTGTGGACTCAGTAACAATTGATATTTGAGGTCGGGAAATTCAAAGCTGGAAATGAGACGGTGGTTTTGGAGCTTGATGTGATTCTTTTTCGTGGTGATTTGGGAAGGATTGAGAGTAGTTGAGTGGTAAAGGAAGTTCTGTTGAAAAGAATGCGCGCCAATGGAAGTCTTAATGCGGCGTTGGAGAAAGCTTGGTCTCTCTTCCCGAAAATCAAACTTCTCTCCCAACCCAACACAACACAACACCCACTCGACACCCTGATCGATTCACCCTGATCGATTCACCCTGATTCTATTTTTTACACATAATCTGCGCTATTTGACAATACTCTACGATAACTTACGGTTGAACCAAACAAGCGAGTCTGCCTCGAGCAGATACCCATCGCAAACATGGATTTCGCCGCCTTGATGTCCAAGGAGATCTCGAAAGCCAAAGGCAGTGACTCTACCTCGCCCTCGGGAGCCCACAAAGACACATCTTCCCCGAAAGAGCCTACGAAGAAATATTTGCGCCGAGGAGAAGTTGAGGCAGCGCGCATAGCAGCTTACGAGGAGGAGCAAGAACGTCTACGCAAAGAACGAGATGAGAAGCAGACCAAGAAGCGCAAACTTGAGGAGGAAGAGGCAGATCGACGACGCGAGCGGGAAGAAAAGAAGCAAAAAATGGCGGAGGAGTCTCAAAAACGAAGAGAGCAAGAGGAGGAAACCAAAGAGCGTGAACGACGACGAAGACTTGGACTACCGGATCTACCTACAAAAGGCGAAGGCGAGGGGACCCCCGATGAAGATGCTGAGAAGGATATGGAAGAAGATGAACTTATTGAGAAGCTTCGGGAGCTTGATGAGCCTATTCGGTTGTTCGGAGAAAACCATCGGGCGAGACTACGACGTTATTATCGAATTGTCAAGCGAGCTGCTACGAGGCAGAAAATTACCGATGGGCCGATTCCTACGACTTTAGAACCTGTCCCAGGTGGTGAGATGATTATTGCTGCTACAATTCCGAAGGAGGAAGCTGGTCGGCTCTTCCTCTTCCGTCAGTTGGCATCTTATTTTAATATGGTGCTTTCTGAGTGGGAGGTTGCTCTGGCAAAGCGAGATGTGTCTGTGCGACAAAGCTTCCAGGGAAAGCAAGCGTATAATGCCATGGCTCAGTCTCGAGAGAACATGACGCCACTGTTTCGACGCTTTGAGAAAGCAGATCTGGAAGACGGCCTGTTGGATCCTATTGTGGAGATTGTGCATAAGGCGCAGAAACGTCGATACGTTGATGCCAATGATGCTTATCTTCGTGTTAGTATTGGTAAAGCGTGTGTTCACTCTTCCTGGAATATCTGCGGTGGGGTTATTTTGCTAACAATTGACTAGTGCTTGGCCCATTGGTGTGACCATGGTTGGTATTCACGAGCGTTCTGCGCGTGAAAAGCTGCACCAGAGTGATCAGCAAGCTCATATTTTGAGTGATGAAATTACTCGAAAGTACCTTCAGAGTATCAAGCGCTGCCTGAGTTTCGCCCAAGTGCGTTGGCCTCCAGAGGATCTGCTGCAGATCATGGGCTAATGTGGATCGTTACTCAAAACTTTTTATACCCTTGAATGCATCTTAAAATAAGAATTGTGCATGATTGACAAAATATCGACAAATTATTTCCAATTCCCCTGTTGTATATTGGTATCATTTACACAAACTCATACAAACGTCACACTCCCGTCTCGCCCTATCTATATATAAGGTGCCATTAGATTCATTACCATTTGTTATCACGAGTGCCTTCATCATCCCGAGCTAATCTAACAGACTTGATGCATATTTCGTTAGATCCAGTGTGGCCGACGCGGAGACAGCCTTGATGGCTGCTTCAAAATATGGGATGGTTTGGCCGTTGTAGTCACAACTATAGCCTTGAACATCAATTGTGACTTCACCAAATTCGCCGCTGCCTAGTAAGGCCTCTTGAACAAGCATTGTCTCATTGATTTTCCCTAGAACCACAGTGCTGGTGCCCTCTTGCTTAAGCATCAGATTGGGTAGGTCGACGTATCCTAGGTCGGAGCCTCCCATGCTCAGATTGAACATGACATGTCCCTGTTAATTCTTATTTAGCCTGGTGAAATCTTTACTCTGAGGATCGATAGGTTCTTACTATTTCGACTGAGAAGACAGTAGGATTGCGAAGGGAGAGTGTTGCATTGAAGTTATAGCCGTCTGCGTTATCTTGTAGGAGATCCAAGCTCGTGATGTTGAATGCACCTGGACTATTCACAAACTCTGTTTGTATTGTTAGATCTGTACTCTGTTGGTAAAAGGAGATATGGGATATTCAACTTACCGGTGACATTATAGCCTGTATGGGAGACAATAAAAGATGATGAGTGTTATGTCTTGAAACCATTATGGATTGAAGCTTACCTTTCATACTCAAAGTCTTATCCATATTCAAATGAGCAGTAGGCAAGCCACCGAACTTCAGATTCGGCTTTCCCTTGGCCACCACAGAGAAATCCTTGTCGGTGGCTGCTGAAACCGCCAAGTCAGACAAACAGTCCACACAAGACAAATCCAGATCCTGGTCAATGTCGAGGTCGGCACCATTGTCAAATTTAATTTCTGGAACTGAGAAGATCGCAAATTCTCTGTTATCGGATGTGCGAATTGAGGCATTGAACGCTGAAAGGTGTCCGCTTCCACTGAAGCCACCGCCCATGTTTATTTTCTTCGACTGGCTAACGTGGAACGCTGTTGGGCGAGGATTGGTGATTGATAAGCCGGATTCGTCATATTGATATTTATTAATGTAGGAATTTGCGAAATGAGGAATTCCAACGTATATGCTAGAAGTTGGGAGTTAGCGCGACGCTCGAGGTGTAGAAGTTGAAGATTATTGAGTTGCGACGAGCAGCAACGTACATTGGGAGAAACACCACCAAGAAAATGCAAATGAATGCAATTAAATACACCCACCACCACTTTTTCATGTGTGCTTTGAATCGTTGCCATATTGTAGGCTTGGCTACCTTGTCTGCTTGGGAGGTAGCCGAGCTCTCTTCGGCATCGGATTTTGACATGGGGACGGCGAATTTGAACTGGAATAGCACAAATGTTCAAGGCAATCAACTTCATTTAATAAAACTTGGCTTCAGGTTGGCATTATTCGTTTTTAATTTTACCCCACGGGGCCTTGTATTTTGTGTCGATCTTGATCCACTTCACATGAGAGCGTGATAAAATTCATGTATACATATAAAGGGGTCAACTCGACCGAGCTGTTGGACGTAATAAGCGATTGATTTCTCCATTCTTTGATTCGATCTCAAGGTTGTCGTATTCGATCGCCGAATACGCGACCGAGGGATCAGCGGAAAAGTACTGGAGGAAGAGTGGCTTGCTGATCTTTGACTTAATAGGAACAAGCACCGGTCGCAGGGGCCGTTCAGGGTCGCTTGTAGCTGCGGTTTTGGTGGGTGGACGCTGACGGGTGGATTGATGGTTCAAATGTTGTGATTGAATGTCAGATTTTGGGTTTGACTTGTAATTGGACAGAGCAGAGCACAGAGCAATTGAAGGTTGAAGTTGGACAGTTGGTCGTTGCTTAGATTGTATAGAGTATCTAGTAATTAAGGGATGACAAGCCCAGAATAGTCGAATCATTGAATATGGCTTAGCTGAAAAAGCAGTAACTCAATAATCGAGCTCATCATGCATACTCTGTAGCACATAGTAATGCGTATACCATACGAAGCAAGTAGTGAGTCTGCAGCTGTTATGCGGGTCTATATCCGCTAGCGCCCAGTGGTGCATCACTCCAAGCTTCAAGCTTCCACCAGATCAAAGTTGTCCTACCATGTATGCTGATTAGCATCATGTTCCTCGGCCTTCTGTCAACTTGTTGTTTGCTCGGTCCCCTCTACGTCATTTACAAACCTCCAATCTTCCTCATTAAATTCTTTCAACGACGCTGGCCAACCGTCTTATTCCACCACCCAATCGGCAAGAAAGTTGTCGCGTTGACCATTGATGACGCGCCATCCGTTTATACAGCCAATGTCGACAACAAAACAACTGGAGGTGTCGAGGGGAACACGCCGAAAATCCTCGATTTACTACGAGAAAACGATGCTACAGCTACCTTCTTTGTGATCGGATCTCAAGTACCGGGGTATGAAGATAGTCTTACGGACTTGGTGAAAGCGGGCAATGAACTGGGCAATCATGCTATGTATGATGAGCCATCGCGTGCATTAAGTGATGTCCAGTTAAAGGAACAGATATTGACCGTGCAGGGTCTGATTCAAGCAGCGTACCGTGTAGCTGGGAAGGCCGCAGGACCAGAGGGATGGTTCTTTCGACCTGGTTCTGGATTCTTTAGTTCTAGGATGCGCCGTGTGGTTGCGGAGCTTGGATATCGACTTGTGCTGGGAGATGTGTATCCGCATGATCCGCAAGTTCCGTATGCGGGGATAAATGCGAAGCATATATTGAGTATGGTTCGACCGGGGAGTATCATTGTTTGCCATGATCGCAGAGAGTGGACTATGCCTATGTTGCAGGTTGTGTTGCCAGAGCTGAGAAGAAGAGGTTATCGTGTTGTGAATGTGTCTGAGCTACTAAGGGAAAGTATCTCTGGATGACTATGAAACTGCCGGCCAGTACTTGGTACCTACTCTATATGGTCATTACAGTGTCAATATTGAGGAGACGTCCAAGGAGAAACTGGGAAGATGGAAATAATTGGAAAAAGAAAGGCTCAAATGCGTCTAGATGCAATGTAAACACGAGTATACAAATGTACAATATTAATCGACATTTTATCGTAAAATGTCCTTACACATACGTGCGAAAGTGTGCCACCATCCCCGAGAAGGTGATACAGTTGAGACTTTGCTCAAGGTATCCTCACGCGTCACCTCGGGAATATCACTGGGACAGATGTCATGACCATCTATTCCATTCATCACGGGCAAAGAAAGTGAATGGGCTTGAATGGATGGTGCACTGCTACATGCACTCCTTGTCACCATTTGCTTCTCTCGGCCTTCAATAAGATGCCTTGCCGCATAAACGCAGCCACCGTACGCAAATCGTACGAGCGAATCACCCGTTAAACTGCCAATAATGTGCACACCAGGCGCGACCTCCAGATCATCTATCGCCTGTGCTCGAAGAGTCTGCATGGTCACAGCATCACTGTCTGAGGTATTGTGTTTCAAAACTTCGGTGCGAAGCTCAGTATCCAAATACCCCAAAGAACCGCGTCGTCCGGCAGCATAGACAAGACCTTTTACAGCTCGAGAAAACGTTGTTCCATCGGTTTGGCGGAATGTAACTTGAGCTAATCCGTCTTCTGTCTCGACGGCAGTGATCTCTACATTAGAGAGGCCTTCATACACTTCATCCCACTTGCGACTTTCTAGGAAAGCGGACGACAAGCCCCGACGACGCTTTGATAGTTGGCTCGAGACGCCTTTTACGGCAAGTGCGGCTTTCTTCATTATTCGGTAGACACCGGCATATTCGGGGTATGCTTGCTGGTGGCAAGCGCGAAGTGGCGAAGGCCGATCGTCCGGAGCCCATTTGAAGATATGGATGATCTTTTGGTCCGGCGCAGCGGAAATGATCGCATCAGCTGCGCTAAAGCCCGAGCCAATGACAAGAATTGGAACTGTAGGAGTTGGCTGTGTTTGGAGTATAGGTTGGAGTATTGGGAGGGGTGGGAGGATTTCGGAGAATATGCCACTTGCAAGAACTAGTCGCTTGCAATGGAGGTCGTGTGACTTTATGTAAAACCCATTGGCAGTGCGGGTGATGCCATTCAGCTCTTCTCCACAGCGGAATGCTTGATTGATATGAACGGCTGTAGGATAAACCCGAAAGTATTCTGCAATTTCGCGCCTTGTAGGTCGAGTGAAAGGCGCTAGATCCTGTCCTGTGGTTTTTTTATGATGGTCTGCGAACGAGTACCCCGGTAAAGAGAGCATGGCGGCGTAGCTCAAAGTTTGAATGTCCCAGCTTGCCCCGCTTGGCTCTTCTGTCCATTGACCTCCGGGATTGGACGAACTGCCGAAGACGATATGAGAAATGGCCTTCTCGGGCATGTGTCGCCATTCCACATTGGATATGTTACCGGATTCTTCGGTGTCGAGACTGGGTCGTACCAGGGTATCCAGAAGTACATTTATTGGCAAGGCTTGAGTCGAGTATGATAGGCGGGAGGCGGCAAAATGGGCTGTCAGTTCGTCGACGTCGATGTCTAGGAGGTTTGATGCGGATTTCAACTTGGTATCGAGGAGTGGGTCGGGATGCGGGGGGTCTGAGGAATAGAATGGGATCCAGCCGTGAAGAATGTATGAGAGAATCATGGCCGACGGCCCGTTGCCTGTAGATGAAGCTGTTAGCAATTGTAGTTCCCATCGGCCCGTCTTCTGTTCTCTGTTCCAAAGAAATTAAAAAACTCCACATAGTATGGGGGATACGTACCGACGACGACCGTATCCGTTTCCATTGACGAAGACTGAATATGGTGAGACCCGGTGGGGGCATTCTGAAGACTGGGGAGAATCACGGTAGCCTCATCTAGCTCAGTAGATGCGGGCATGAAGTCTTATCAAGCAGTTGAATGGCCAAGAAAGAGCCATACAGAGATGCGACTCATTGCCCAGGTAGAAGAGGGAAAGAGGAAAAGAAGGAAAGAGAGTTGGATTTTCCTTTTTTCTCTTGTTTCTTGCTTGAATCCACGGATCCCCTCAAAGCGGAGATCAATAATCAAGCTGACAAACTCAGTCAAGAGCAAGGTGGGGAGTGGGGAAGAAGAGAAGAGAAAAAAGTAACCAGATGTGGATGCATAAGGAAGTATAACCCGAACACTTCATCCCCACGTCAACTCTACCATATGCCAGTGGATGCAGGTCTGGATTTGTACATGCATGATATCCACTTCTCTCTCTCTTTCTGTGTATTCCACCTCTCTCTTCAAGTTCCTCCTTTACTTAACTACCTCCCCCCACCTCTCTCCTCACCACGATCTCATCGGATTTGGACCCCCATGAAGCCCTAAGCCCTACATACCGCATACGGACGGGGGCTGGAGAGAGAGATGCGAAAGTGAGCAACAAGAAGTACAAAGCAGTTACAGTCGTCATTCTATGGTTTTCGGGTGTGGAATTCTGTTGAGTTGATCGCACTGGGGAACATTCTCACATACGATCATGTATCACTTGGCCAAGTCATTATATCTTTATGCGACCAGTAAAGAAGGTATGGGTTGTCTCCGCGCCTAACCTCCCTTCTCCTTCCCCCGGCAATACACGTCGAGTCGCGTGTCCCCCTGTTCCTCCCAGATTGACTGATCGACTCTCTTTGCGCATATAGAATACTCCGTCCTATTGTTAGGTCTCGATAATGCCGGCAAAACCACCCTCTTGACCCAGATCAAGGCCTTGTATCAACCGCGAGCAGATGGCGCGCCCGCCCCCGGACCCAACCCCAGCAAGACCGTGCCTACAGTAGGCCAGAATGTCTCAACCATCGCCTTACCGGATATGAACCTCAAAATTTGGGATGTAGGCGGTCAGATAAGCATGCGCGGCCTCTGGCAGAGCTATTATACCAGCTGTCACGCTATTATCTTTGTTGTCGATAGTGCCGATGTAGGCCAGGACCCTGATATCACTCGACTCCCCACCGCAGCCGGACGACGCCCTAGCTCAGTCTCAGTATCGGGTACATCACGTGCGAATTCAGATGGCAGGGAGCTATTCTCGGAACAGAATGTTGGGATTAATGCTTCAGCCGCGGATTTCGGCCGTCTCGATGAGTGTCGCCAGGTGCTTGAGGAAGTTTTACAAAATGCCGATGTGGCGGGTGTACCTATTCTGGTTCTGGCCAATAAACAGGATCGTGAGGATTGTGTCGAGGTCGTGAGGATTAAGGAGGGCTTCGTAAGGAAGGTATTTGAAGGTGATACGGGGTCTGGGGTGAGAGATAGTCGTGTGCTGCCGGTCAGCGCGCTATTGGGGTCTGGAGTGCAGGCGGCTGTGGAATGGGTGCAGAGTCGTGTTAAGTGGAATAAGGAAGGTCGACCACCGGTAATGCGGTAATTCCAAGCTGGACTGGAGGAGTCGAACATACATTGATATGCATTCTGGCGTTTTTTTATGAATGGTAATATCTGTCAATACCTAAATATCCCAATGAGAATCCCAAAGGAATCGGTCTATATCTAGCTCCAAAGCCCTGGGGTCATTTCAATAAAAGCTGGGTCTTATTAATATTATATAGTGTATGTAGAGCTCGTATGTACAATTCGTTATAATATGGGTAAAGTCCGGGTGAACCTAGCAGAGCGAATGAACAGGCGCTGCTGCATGCGCTGCATGCTCTTAACGTTGGCTTCGGGAACTGACTGATGGGCGAGGTTTCCCCTCTACTTGCTTCTTTGGCCAGCTTCTAGCAATGTCGATATTCGCCCGGGGAAACCACATCTCGAGAAAGACATATATCAGGAAGTCAATCACGACACACAGACAGAACAGTTTGCCAGCCCAGACACCACAACCATAGTATCGTTTCAGTCGGTCAATGAGCGCAAAACTGCGTACTCTGTCCCCACTAGCCTCCCAGCCCTGGCCTGGGTAGTAGCCATAGAACTCTTCCGGAGGGATATCGCCCGTGATTCCTTCATAGACCCGTTCAGTACGCTCCGCCACGTCCCGCCATGAGTACATCATTTTAACCTGGTCATGGAATCGATCCGTCCGTACTTTGTTTGAGCGGAGAGCTGCAATTGCCTTACTAGTAGCAACCACCAAATCGTCTTCTTCTGGTTTCGCGAAGGTGGTCATATGCTGTGGAAGTACCTCGGGAATACCTCCAACTCGAGTGCAAACCACGTATAACCCACAGCTGGCAGCTTCGACAATGACTGTGCCGAATGCTTCTGTTAAGCTAGGGTGTAGGTATATGTGGCCTCGGACCATCACATCCCGAACTTCTTCGTGGCGGACCGAACCAAGCATCTCAACTTTGTCTTGTAGGACATTTCGTTCCAGCATCTGTTCAAGGTCGATCGCCTTCGGCCCGGAGCCAGCAATGATGAAACGGATATTAGGATTGAGGGCAATGATTCGCGGAATTGCGGCGATCAATAAATCGGTACCTTTGTTGTAAAAGAGACGGGAGATGACCACAATGGTGATCGTATCATTAGGTCCAATTGGCGTAGGCGATGGTCGTGGATCGGCTGGGGAAGCTGGGATGTGATCCGGGGCTCGAGGAGCATATGAGAGAGGGCAGAAATTCTCCGCAACGACAGCATTGGGGATCACTGATACCATCAAAGGATCTAACGAGGCTCGGAGAACTGTATTTTCCTTGCTGCTCTAAGTTAATTTTCTCTTCAGCTCAGGCGGGCGTTGGCTAATGACGTACCAGGTATGGCTGACACAGATAGCATGATCAACGTCACTCAATGTGAATTTGAGAAGTTTGTTGGTAAGTATTGAGGCAGCATCTGCGAATCCAAAAAGAGAGTGATCGGTGAAGACGGTTCGCAGACCCATTGTACGCGCATGGAGGATAGCTTCACCACAAAAGCTGCTGAGACTTGCATGACCATGGACGATCTCGATTTGTTCTCGAATCACTATATTTCGGAAGATGGGGAAGAAGGAGAAAACGGTTGGGAAGGTGGTCTCGCGATAGATCACGAAGAAAGGAACATGGAAGATCTTGAGTCCATTGGTAAGATACCGGACTCCCGTCCGACCTTTATATGCATGGGTGATGATGATGACTTTGTGTCCGCGATCAATCAGTTTCTAAGAATAAGAGCAGATTAGAAATTAGAACCAGGAAATATAAAAAGCCCGAGGTTATATAGCTGAGTAGCTTGGCAACCACTCACAGAGGACAATTGATAGATGTGACTCTCGATTCCCCCTATGCTCCATTAGTATGATGCAAACACCCAACGAATGATGGAAGAAGGGAAGGAGTGTACCTGACTGGGGGAAAAAGAAGTCACTGACCATACTACATATCCAGCAAGATCGTGTTAGTTAGGATTGACTCTCAGGTAGTATAGAGGGGGAGGAATTCATAGTTGGCAACTCACGCGATGTTATACGGCATGGTGGATGTAGTTCTCGGTCAACGAAAACCAAAATAATGAGATTATTGGTATAAATGTCGCACCCATGGCGATCAGATCAAGGAGCATTCATGCACATCAATCCAATCCATTCCCCGAATAATTCCACTTCCATTCGGTTGCGATTGTTGAACCTACACGCGCTCCGCATCGAAATGTGGGCGGTGGGATCGGAAGCGGTAAGCCACCGAGTGTCTTCTGCCGGCACAAAAAACATTAAGTGGAATTTGCTTTTCCCCACGAAAAGCTTCGCTGAGGAATGCATGCGCCCTGAAAGAATGGCCGGATCCAAGGTGCCCGAGGCAGCCACCAAAATGACTACAACCCCCAATTCGGAAAAGCCTTACAAACGAAAGCGTGACCTGGATGGCTCTCAGGCAACAACGCCAACAAAGAAGAAAAAGAAGCGAGACAGCCTCGCAGCTGCGTCACCCGAAGACGATGCCAGTACGAACAAGAAACGCAAACGGGCCAAGAATGCGCTCCAGGGTGAAGATTATCAGGAATCGGCCGGTAAAGAGAGTACTATCGCGACAGAGCGCAGCGAAAAGACTCCTGCAGACAAGGACGACATCGGCCATAAAGATGGAAAGAAATCGAAAGATGGCAAACGAAAGAGTTCTAAGAAGCTTGACACAAAATCTGATGAGAATCCAACTGTGACACCAGAAGCCGATGCTATGGATATCGAAGAAGAGGAAGAGGCCGAGGACAAAGACGAGGGAAAAACCTCGAAGAACAAACATGCAGGAATTTTATCCAAGTTTGAGCGGACAAAGGAAGCAGCCAGCAAAAAGAGCAAGAGGAAAAGCAAGAAGGAAGAGGATGGAGATGATTCCATGGAAGATGCCGTTGAGCCTGTGATCGCGCAGGGCTTGGAGCCTTTGCCACAGCCTGAAAACCCACCTGAGCTAGAAGAAGCACCAACTTATTCTTCTTTACCTGCCTGGCTCGCAAATCCTACTCGAAAATCGGCCGACGAGCGAAGAAAATTTTCCGAACTGGGTATTAAGCCCGATTTATTGCGCATACTTCAGCAACACCAGTACAGTGAAGCTTTTGCCGTCCAGTCCACCGTCATTCCCCTTCTTTTAGATGGGAACAAGAACCACCCAGGCGACTTGTGTATTTCGGCGGCTACTGGCTCTGGAAAAACTCTGTCTTATGTGCTCCCACTTGTGACATCTTTATCTTCCAGACCTGCTTCAAAACTGAGAGGCTTGATCGTGGTGCCCACAAGAGAACTTGTGAAGCAGGCACGCGAAGCTTGCGAACTTGTTGCTGCTGGATCGCGTCTTCATATCGGAAGTGCAGTGGGAAATGTGGCTATCAAGGATGAACAAAAACTTCTTATGAGGGTTGATCAAGTGTACAACCCTGCGACTGTTGCGCAGCGCCAGAAAGCTGGTATACAAGGGAATGACTGGATGGATTTCAGCCTCGAGGACTGCGTAACTGAGGCTGTCGACTCTACTGGCTTTCTCCCAGGCTACATTCAACGACCTGAGCCCAATGTCGATATTCTTATTTGCACACCTGGTCGCTTAGTGGATCACATTCGTTACACTAAAGGCTTTACTCTTAAGAACCTGGAGTGGCTGGTCATTGACGAAGCTGATCGCCTGCTTAACGAAAGTTTCCAGGAATGGGTGGACGTGGTCATGAGTTCGTTGGATTCACGCCAGTCTCCAGACAATTTTGGACCTGGAGGCAAGCTTTTGTCTGATCTTGGCCTCCCTATTGAAACAAAGCCGCCTCGAAAGGTTGTGCTAAGTGCTACCATGACTCGTGATATCTCGAAGCTCAATTCGTTGCGCTTGGCTAATCCGAAGATGGTGATTATCGGCGCCGAGAATGCCATGGACTTAGGCGATCCATCCGCCACCCACCCCGATGCTCATTTCACTTTGCCACCAACCTTGCATGAGCACATGCTGCCTGTTGGAGATGGATCTCAAAAGCCATTGTATCTTCTGCGACTACTTCTTTCCCACATCAAGATCGGTGTGGATGATAAAAAGCGCATCGACCGCCCTAGCCGTGAATCTAGCTCCGATACAAGCAGTGATGATACAAGCTCTGACGAGTCCTCTGATGATGACACATCATCGTCTGGCTCAGATTCGGATTCAGATACTTCAAGCGACACATCCTCTGATGCATCGAGTGACTCTGAAGACTCTGAAAGCGACTCAGTCGATCCTGTCGTTGAAGCTCAGACATCACGCACCACAGTTCTGATTTTCACAAAGTCTTCTGAATCGGCGTCGCGTCTTGCCCGTCTCATTTCTCTCCTCCATCCCTCGCTTGCCAACCGCATGGGAACGATCATCAAGTCGAACAAGTCTTCATCTTCTCGTAAGACATTGGCAGCCTTCCGACAAGGTCGTGTTTCAGTCATCGTGGCTACCGATCGTGCCTCGCGTGGTTTAGATCTGCCCTCTTTGACGCATGTCGTGAATTACGATATGCCCACTAGTGTGACAACTTATGTACACCGAGTGGGACGAACAGCGCGTGCTGGCAGAGAGGGATCGGCATGGACCCTGGTTGCTCACCGTGAAGGTCGATGGTTCTCCAATGAGATATCCGCAAGTGTGGATGGCCGCATCACCAGAATAATGGGCGTTGATCGCACCCATGTTAAACCGGCTGATGTTAAGGAGTTCCAGTCTAAGTATGCTGCGGCGCTGGATGTGCTGGAGAGGGAGGTTAAGGTAGGCAAGGGGCCCAAATCACGACCGCTTAAAGTTGTCAAAGCTTAGGCTTGCTAGGTCATGGAATGTTTAGATCATCATCCTGTATGCATAGCGTTTTTGTTATATTTGTAATATACAAGATACTAGTGAATAATTGTTCTTCTTCGTATCTTAAGTTTAAGTTTGCAGGATTGCAGACCTTTGTTTCACGTGGATAAAATTGAACTTCCTGGATTCTGATATATCAACTCTAAAAATGAATGTTCTCGTCGCATAGTATAACGCCCGGTTCAAGTTGTTCAAGTGCATACTAAGATCATGTGAATTTCCGGAGCCCGAAGTAAATCGAGCAACCGAAAAGACCATACAGTATTTGTAGACTGACAAGATAGAACATAACTTTAATTGCCTGCCCTTTCGCGAGACGTCACGCAAGAAGATTACCAATCTTATAAGGGAGATATTAATAGATAAGCTTAATGTTATTAGAGAAGTAGAAGCCCTTATAATAGTAGGTAGTTAGTATAACTATATTATTCTTAATAAAGAGATTATAGTAAGAGTTAGTAATATTAGAATATTAGTTAGATAGAACCTCTAGGGTATAGACTAGCTATTTAATAGTAAGATAGAGTAATATAGAGTAAGATAGATAAGAATTACTAGGCCAGCTAGCTAACTAATCGTAGGGTGGCTGAGTGTAGTGAACTTCACTACACCGAATCTCTTAGGATAAGGCAATTCTTAATAATCTTAATATCGAAGTTACCTTGTTCGTATCCTGTAAAGAAATATTCTAGTCTTACACAGGGATACTGTTCACGAATTTTACTATGATATAACGAATCCAAAGAAAGCTGAACAATTTTATTCTAAATCAATAATCGGGGCTTTGATACAGTGCGTTCCGAAACTGGCGCAACCTTCTACACTCCTTTAGTAATTTTGTAGGCCGGCCGCTGAGAGACACTAGTCTGCATTTGGAATAATCCCGGAATATCAATGTTCCTGTATCAGTTTCAGTGCCGTGACTTACTCTCATCAATATACAGTGCATTGTCTCGTAACTGTACAGTACGTCCCGAGACTGGTGTAACCGCCCACATAGATTCACTCCCCTCACTGCGAGGGCAAACTAACTATATATTGACACTTAATATTGAGTTAAAGGCCGCAGAAAGAATTGATAAATTCTTATGTTTTGGAGATAACTATCTTCTGAAAAACATATCTTGTCTTTGTTAGGCCGTTCTGTTTTTGTTATGAATTGTAATTTTCAATAGTGTCATACCAGCTTGTGTGAAATAATCTTGGATTAGCGACATGAGGCGAAAAGCCTTTCGGCATCGAGTTTTGGGATGTTGGGTAGGCTGCTCCTTCACCGATTTTTGATCTCTAGAAGTTCAATTTAGAAAGATATTAAGCTATGTGAGTGGGAGTTCTTACATCTTATCATTGACCGGATAATTTAGATCTTGGGAAAGAAAATAACTGCGGCTTAGATGATTCGAGTTCGGCGCTGGTGAATAACATGATCGGATAGCATACGTGTCTTCTGTGCGTAAGCTTCTCGTAAACGGCACTAAAGCATCTTCCGTGATAACCTCGTACGCATAGTCGATAGCTAGATCTAATCGTTCCGGATTTGGGGGTGAGAGTATCGCATCGCCGGGTTCAAGTAGCTGTTCGCGAATATTATCTGGGAGGTGGATCTGACAGGGGGATTCAGGGAAAACGTATGTAGATATCAAACGTTTCCACTGTTGCGCTATCAGTGTAGTATCTCGAATCAAATCGCAACTGTCGACGGATATTGAGTAGAGGCTATAGGTATTGCGATACGATTTTGCATCGGAGATAAAACCAAGGGTTTCTATACAGTGGCCCTGAGTAAGAAACTCCAGTAACTCATTGTATGAATATGGCCCCGACGATTGATCAGACAGGATGTCGTCTAAGGTAGTGCGCGATGAAGGTGGCATATCTGCCGAATTGAAGAGTTGCAGCCACTGATGCTGATAATGGATTTGCGGTCAGATGTATTCCTTAGGACCTGGTGACACAGGAAATTTGAGGCGCAATAAGTATTCCAAGGAGGTATAACACAGGACTAAGCTTGTATCTAGCGAGATTAAAGTTTGAGGAGTTTCTTGGTCTCCACAAACCATAACGCTCTGCTCACCAATGAGTGGGCCTGTGAGTGAAGCCGATAAGTGGGTCGCCACCGCCACAAGAACTGATCTAGGCAGCATTTAGATCCCTCGTTCAAGCTTCAGGCTGATTTGCTTATCTATCCGTATTATCAAAAGGTATTATCGCCACGGAGCATAATCTACTAAGCCGATTTTAGTAATTTTCAGTTCACTTATTCAAGCGATGAGGTGATTCGGTTATCTATCTATCTAATGTTAGTTATAACGTCACAGAGCACAAGTAACTACGTAAGGGGCTTGATCAACCATATAATTGTTCCTAAACTTTTAGTGATAGTACAATTAGAAGCAAAGGAAAATATTTATGAAAATGGTAATTCAACGTACACTTACCCTATACAACAAACCAATGCTAAGTTAATACTAATATTGAAGTTATAGGATCATATAATAGGGTTATATAACCCACGACCTGTCTAATTCTCCTGTATAATAATACGTAGGAGCCTTCCTTCCTTCTTCCCTTTTTCTTATCTTTAATACTTTAGTTAAATCGTACGAAAGTTCTTCTATTTTCTAGTTCTTAATTATTCCTAACTCGATAAGTCTAATTTAGGGAATAGTATCTTATAACGACAATATTAAAAATAAAAAGAAAGAAAGAAATATCTATATATCTGGGACCATATGGTCGCCAGTGAGAGATATGAGCTATTCTGGCCTGGGGCTGAATATACCTTGTGGGCCTGGGGCACCTTACGTGAGCACTGGGATCAGGAAATTGGGGCTAGCTCGGGGTTACCTCCTTGTTATTAAAGGGGGAGTCTCCTGTTCTTTCCCCCGCATTGAGGTGGAAGAGCCGCAGTCGGAATCCGAGCCCAAGGATTCTTAGGTGGATAAATCGGAACGAATGTGAGCGATCCTTCTAATGTCGTGGTTTTCCCTGTTCCTCGTTACTGATAAACACTTTACAGCCCTGGAACCCCTTATAAAAGTGCGTTCTTGGAAGGCCCGTCGAAAGTTTCTAAAGCGCACGAGATTTTTTTTACGGTAGAAATCACCTACGGAGGCCTGACTAGCGACAATCATGAGGCTGTTTGCACTGATGCAAAGCCTATAATCATACATAATTACGGATTTGTTCACGATAAATTTCGACTACAGCACCACTGTCCCAACTTTGATCCCGTAAAAGATTCGGACGCGGATAATATACAGCGGAAGACTTATTATGACGAAGAACGAGTCCCGGGTTACATTATTGTAGATGAACCCGATGTAGAGATCAACTTTACGAATTCCACACTTTTCTACTGCCTCAAACCAGGAGACACACTTGTCAAACACAATCTCATCCACTATTCGACTTGCATCCCGATACAATGGTTGGGGACACATATCGTTACCAGTATTGGGGTGGCTATGTTGACTGGTGGGTCTGGGGTGATTGCGAAGAGTATGCAAGCACAGTGGTGAATTTGCCTTGTTGGTTGAATGACGATGTCATTGACCCTACTGATAATGTCAGGAGGTCGGGTATAATGGTCCCGTCATCAAATTTTGTTGAGTTTAGTGTTTTTGGTTGAAATGGAATGACCTTCGGCGTGAATTCAATGGCCGCCGCAAGCTCTTAGTTCTAGGGCTCTGGTCTTTTACCTAAGTGATTATTTCAATTTTTGGCCCTTCTAACAAGCCATAAAATTCAGGGGTATCTAAGCAGCCACACGGTGTTATCCGTCCTTAGGGGTGAATAGCCGCCGTGACACTAGTCTTGAGATTTCTTTTACAATGAAGCGGCGCATCTTAAAGAAAGATACGTGAAACTTGATGTTGCGGTACTTGAAACTGCGATTGGGCAGCATGTCGGCCACGGGAACGTTAAGAATCTCGTCAAGCTCAGCGAATGTGGCTTCAATCGCGTCCTTCTAGCTACCATGGAAGATAATTTTAAGGCAATCGTCAAAATTCCCTACGAAATATCAAGCCCGACGACGTACGCAACCGCTAGTGAGGTCGCAACTATTTCATTTCTTCGCTCAAAAGGATTCCAGTCACTATTTTAAATAAGTTGAATCTGTCAGGACATCTGCTTTGTGGGGAGGGGATAAAATGGGAATACACAGCCCCCTGTTCATCTTAACCGTAATGGATTAGATATTATCACCATTATTCAATCTTCAACCCTGAGATCATTCAGCCCAAGCATATAGGCCCCGACTCGGATCTGAAAATGTACTCAATGACGTCGTTGCGTTGCCCCCAGCAGATATACAGTATCGGATTTAACCCGTGTTATTTTAATGGGAATAGCGCTGCTTCGTTCGGTGCCCATAGACTATGTAAGCAAGAGCGGAGTAAAATTTCCTAGTTAGATCCTACCCAATCCTTTAATAATAGCTTGATTTTTCATACTCGGGGCGCTTTCTTCCGTGCTGTGCGGGGTGGCAGAAGTGGAGACGAAGCCTTTCTCCGGGGGAATCAAATCCGGGGCGTTGAAGAGGTCGGATCAACTCCGAAGGAGAAGGTTGTGGTGAAGGAAGATCGGTTTATTAATTTCCCCCATACTATTCAAGGTTATTATTTATTGTTAAGATTCCCCTGATCTCTTGGCTACGCTTGGCATGTATTAAGAAATTGGTTCGTGTTATTCTTATTTGCGCCATGAAAGAAGTTATCGACCATGAGGAGCGGGATATTATCCCCGACCGATCAATATTCCGTCGTACGTACAAAATGATATTCAGGGCTGTAGAGGGCATGGGAATTTACTGACGATATTAGCGGAGCCTCCATTCGCAAAGTACATCCCTGGGGGATATTCTCCAGAAAGATGTATGAGTCTGCAGGGCAAAGCGATGACCTATGCGATTTTTCTTTTCTCAGGCTGCGCCATCTTGTTTTTCGGGTATGACACAGCTGTGATGAGCCAGGTTAATGATAATGATGACTACCTAAATACAATGGGGGTTGCAGGCGGCAGCGACCGCGACGCAGCAGCAATTGGTGGCCTAGTTTCTTTGTGGTTTGGTGGATTTGCGATTGGTAAGTCGTTTTCACTGGAACCTCACCACCTGCTTCTGGCTAAACTGTTTCCAAAGGTGCCTTGATCGTGGGGTATATCGCAGATTCAATTGGAAGATTAAAGACCATTCAATTGGGATGTATATGGGGGATTTTTGGCGCTGCATTGCTTGCTTCTGCGCAGAATATCACCTGGTTCTCCTTTGCTAGAGTGATTAGCGGAGTTGGATGTGGACATCTGAACACCATGGTCCCTGTCTGGACATCAGAGCTGGCAGATCCTCACCTCCGGGGTGCTTTTGTCGCGGTTCAGTTTACCCTAGCTATGGTAGGCTCAACCGTGGCTTATTGGATGGAGTTTGGCTGTACCAAGACGCAGTCATTGTCTTTCTCCTGGCGCTTACCCTTGGGGTTTCAAATCGTCTTTCTCATTTTTATTCTGATCGCCGCACCTTTTTATCCAGAATCACCACGGCACTTAGCAAAGATCGGTGATCTAGAAGGCGCACGTTCTGTGCTAGAAAAATGCCGAGTAGAAACAGATGAGCAAGCAATTGAGACAGAGATGGAAGAGATAGTGGCTGCCATTCGAGCTGAAGCAACATCTACTTCGCATAGCTTCTATAGTATGTTGTTCACGAAGGACAAACTGCATACCCGACGGCGAGTGATTATTGGGTCCGGCGTTCAGGTCATGCAAAAGCTGACAGGAATTGATTTCATTGCTGTCTATGCCCCCGATATGTTTGCGCTATCTGGATTTAAAGGAGACAAACCCGCCTTACTTGCGGGAGGGAATTGGTTTGGCTATATCGCGAGCTTAGCTCTTTCAATCTACCTGTGCGACCGGGTTGGTCGACGCAAATTGATGCTCACAGGATGCCTTTTGATGGGAATCGTATTGATCGTCGGCGGAATACTATCCCATGAAACTATATCCCACACTGCTAGTGGCAATCCAGCATTGGCCAACAAATTTGGTTCTGGAGTTGCCGCCATTCTATACATCTATACATTTATTTATGGGAGCACGTGGCTAACAACTTGGTAAGTTGATGAGCTGGGAAGTTATGCAATTCTAAGTTTCAGTGACTAATATCCTCATTTGAAGCTGGGTCTATCCGACCGAAGTCTTTCCTTTAGCCAGCCGAAGCAAGGGCGCTGCGCTAGCTACATTTTCATTCTCCATTGCTGGTGGTACAATCAACATGATTATCCCTTATCTAATTGATGCAATTGGATTTTGGGTATTCATCCTATTTGCATTGATCAATTTGGCCCTTTTAGTTCCCATTTATCTTTTCTATGTTGGTAAGCAAGCGTTGATATTGGAAGACTCGGTCTACGTGGCAGCTCGACTAATCAACATTCTAGAAACTGCCAATCGTCACCTTGAGCAACTCGATACTTTGTTTTCGAGTGATAGTTGCTTGTCATGGAGAGCTGAGATGTATTTCAACCAAAAGATGAACGAGCAAGGTGGCATACTGGGACAAGACCATGAAAAGGGTACTGTTGAGCAAGTGGAGTGAGATGACGGATGAACAACAGAATTTTAGTAGACAGCACTTTAAATTGACGATCTATCTCAGTCCTTCTTATGATTATTCCGAGAACTGGTTCCAGATTACTGTTTATATAGAGTTCCTATAGAGTGTAAGCATTGCTGCTTGGTGGCGGAATCGTTTCCGCGCTGGAATGTTCGGCAAGAGAGAACGGCAAAATATTGGAGAAGAAGCCGTGTTCGGTTGACATCTCGCAGCGCCCCGGACTTCATGTTCAAACCGATACTACAGTTCAGGTCAACCAGGAGGATGATGAAAAGAAAATCGGTTGAATCCGAGGGGGAGACAAAGCGCCGAAAAAAAATTACCGTGGCTTGTGATGGATGCCGCCTGAAGAAGAGCCGCTGCGATGGTGTTCAGCCAGGTATGTCGTCTAGTGCTCGGAATCTGACCCGTAATAATGTTGCAACTACAGTCTGTGGACCATGCAGCAAGCGGTCAGATCAAAGCTGTGTGTATACTGGTGAGCTAGAGAAGAAGCGCGCTACCCAATCGTGAGTTGGATAATTTCGCTTGATCCCACGTGTGACTGGCCACTGAATTTACTTCTCGGCTTTTAGATACATATCACGTCTTGAGGATCGAATAAAGCAACTAGAGAGTCCAAAGGAGTCAGAAAACGAATGCTTCCTAGAAAAACAGGTTGTTTTTGATATTGACTTATGCGATGTGGCAATTCGCTAACAGTTTAAAAGAGCCCAAAAAGGTTCCCATCAACACCTGGGCATACCCACACAGAAAGATCGGTTGAATCAATACAAGGGGACCAGTATCAACGGTCTTTTGCTTCTTTGAGTAACCGAGAAGATGGCGTTAATGCTATGATGGGGGCTGTTGAAGAAGGGTGTGCTAGCCAAGGCTTTTTTGGAAGCTCCAGTGCAGCTGGATTTATGCGTCAAATCAAAACGGCAATAGACAAAAGGATTTCGTCACCGGACCCGCACTCCCTAACTCCGAGCTTAGCTCTTCGTTCTAGCCTGCTATCTGGACGCCGCGAAGGTCTATCATCAGGTACATCGTACACGCAGAACTATGTTCTACCACCTAGAAGAACAGCCGATCGGCTCATGAGTGTGTACTGGGAGTATGTGTTCCCATTGTACCCTTTCGTTGACAGCAATGCGATGAAAGTTGAATATACAAATGTGTGGAAGGGGGAAACTTTGCAGCGTGATGAACATATGGTGATGTGCACGTTCAACGTGATATTCGCATTGGCCAGTCAGTTGGCCGATTTTATCCCCCCCGAAGAACGGGAGAGCTCAGCAGATATCTTCTTTTCAAGGTCGAAGGATCTTTTCCAATTCAATCTGTGGGATACTGGATCTGCTGGTTTGATCCAGTGTCTGCTCTTGATGGCCCAATATTTGCAGAGTACTGATTCAGCACACCAATGTTGGATAGTGACAGGGCTAGCTATTCGCAATGCTCAAAGCCTGGGTCTTCATATGCCACAGACAGTTGCAAGTTTTAGGAGCTTTCATGAACAGCAACTGGCGCGAAAACTATGGCATGGTTGCGTTTTAATGGATAGGTACGTACGTCTACGGGACATATCTAACATAATCTTCTAATACCGAACTTTCTCAGAGTAATATCCATGACCTTTGGAAGACCTGCAATGATATCTAGATTCTCTAGCGAAACAGTCCCGCTACCGAAAGCTGTTGATGACGAATTGATCATAGCAAGCAACATTTCAGAGCCGATGCAGCCTGAAAGCAAGCCATCTATCATGGCTTTCTATGCAAAGACTTTGGAGCTATACGAGATTATGAACAACGTTTTGCTGAGTCTTTACAAGCCGGTACTTGATGACTCTCAGGAGGATATGCACGATTTCTACTTCAATAGCAATGTCAATGAAGGAGATCGGTCAATCTTTGAGTTAGATCGCTCACTCACTCAATGGACTCGCAGCCTACCTTCTCATCTTCAAGGCGACTCATCTGTCAACTCAGAAAATTTAATATTCATGAGGCAGAGTATTGTATTACGTGAAAGGTGAGTTCCTAGCACCCTGCCAGTCGATAAATTCCAAGTTGCTCATTAATACAGGTTTCTTCATGTACGCATGCTTCTCTTTCGACCTACCCTATCAAAATATTGTGGTCTACGAGATATGAGCCCAGAGCAATCAATGATTCCTATTCAAGACTCGTTTCCGCACCGTGTCGCCTCTCAATGCTCGATCATCTGTGTCCAAGCTGCACAAGAATCCATTCAATTGATTTATTCAAATATCCCCAGTAATGGTAGTGGTGGTCCTCTTCCAGCATGGTGGTATAACATTTTGTGTGAGTGTCTTCAAGCCGGTATAAACTTCCAGTATTCTGACAATGCTAGACGTGTATACATCTGCTACAGTTCTACTCGCCGGAAAGCTGTGTCCCGCTATAAAAGCAGAGATCCCCATCACTACAATCTCTCACTCCTGGAATTGTGCACTCGAAATTCTCCGGAATTATCAGATTTATAGCAAGTCAGCAAGACGCTGTGTAGCAGCGCTTGAAATACTACACGAGAAAGTGGTTCATGAAGGGCAGCTGCCAGCTGACGATGTTTTCGGCTCCAGCGACTCTGCGAATATATTAAATGATCTTTCATTCGGAGAGGGAATGAATGCTGCTGTGATGGAAGGGTTTGATTTGCCGGACTTTCAGGACATGTCTTGGTTAAATAGTGTTCCGAGTAACCTATTATAATTTAGCATAGGTGGTTACTGGGTACATATAGTAGATACGTGATTATCATTCAAGGCATGCGATGGTAGTATGTTTCATTCATTACAAATCTGTATACTTCCCGCGAGAACCTGAAGGTTACGCCAAATGGAATTGGCTGAATGTAACTTGAAGTAGCTTTGGACAAGGTTGCTAAGTTGCATAAGAAGAACACACTAAACACTTGAAAGCACAACGACACCTGGAGTTTCGTTTCGCTTCCATTCATGTATATAATTTCTGGCATCTAAACCACTACCCGTCATTCTTTTTATCGGCTCTTATCATAGCTAGTTGAAGGGCTATGACAGGTAGCAAAGAGGCTCCTGCTATTATGGCAACCATTACGCCAGCCGCCCCCCACAGGCCCAGAGCAGCAAACATATCCGGGAAATAAAACGGCCCCAACTAAGGAGAATCACAAGTTAATGAAAAAGACGAATAAAATGAAGTGATGGAGAGATTTACAAAACCATAAAGTTGTCTAAAGAGATTCACAAAAACCCCGACTTCGGAGGCTCTGTCATTCTCGCATTCCACGGCAAAGGTAGTCCTATTAATCAATTCATTAGTATACTGCAGTGCAGCTGTGCACATGGCGATTTGAAAGGTGCTCACAAGAGTGCTGTCAATGATTGGCAACCGAACGATGCGATCGCTGCGCCGATACATGGAGTTATGTTCCAATTCGTTGCATGTTGAAGTTGATATCCCCAAGTAAGCAGACCGGAAATGACAGTGGAAAAGGCAATATATGTAAACCATAGGCGATCTGCGGGATGATAATATCCTTTTATCTGTCGGACTCGTCGTAGAAACCAGTCAGATCCTGGGCCACTGACCTGCTCACCAAGAACGCACCCGATGACAATAGCAATAAACTGCAGTCCGATTTGCTGAGCATTAAAATTGAATCTTTTACCAAATGCTATGGGCATTTCCACTATGAGCGCGATGTTTCCATAACAGAAAGTGATGGCAAGAGCGAAGGCAGCCACTAGCACTCGTGGGCACTTGACCAATGAAAAAGGAGCCACTATATCAGCATATGATATCGTCTTAGTACCTCTTTTCCGAAACTTCATTTTGGCCCAGAACGAAGAGTCTTCAGTTTCGTTTTCTTCATGGTATATTGTTTCGTCCCCTAGTGCGAGATAGAATATGAATTGGACAAAATTAACAATGGCGAAAATCCAAAATATCCATTCTACCTGTATTATGATGATTTCTATTAGTAGGGACGCACTCTCCGCCAATACAAATTCCATTGAATAGACATACCCCAATATGTTGTGTTACAAATCCCATTGTTAATGGGCCAACTGGTGTGCCTATTGTTGTCAAAAGCACCCACCAACCCAGCTTCGTTCCTCGTTCTTCTAGCTCGCAGAGTTCGGTAATGACACCACTTCCAATGCCAATAGGAGGCGAGATAAGAAAAGCTGTCAAAATACGCGTTGTCATCTGACCACCGTAGGACGTGCACCGAGCACCCCCGATATTGCAAACCAAACTTCCTAGAACAGAAAGAAGGCTAACGTTGTATCGTCCATATGTCGCCGTGATCGGATTCCAAATGAGAGGGGACAGGCCAAGCATCAAAATCTAGTCGCAAGTTAAACTTGATTAGAGAATTTCATTTCTATGAGATAGTCTGTGAAAATAGAATGAACGTTTAACATACCTGGATTGAGGTCAAGTAGCTTGCTTGAGGAACAGTGATGCCGTACAGCTCAGCAAGAGCGTCATATGCCGGAATGATTCCCGCTGCCATGAACGTGCCCATCATAGAGTGGAAAGCAACCATCAGGATTTGTGCATTTTTCTTCCACAACGGCCAGTTTCGTGGGTTACTGGGAGACTCAGACGAAGGGTGGTGTCTTGGGAGACCCAGCGATGCCTGCGTAGGAGTAGCATTTTCCAAATGAAGTGAGGCTTCGGAGCTGCCATGTTTCGTTTCATCCATAGTAATGGCGCTTTTCTCAAATGTAGATGTGATAAAGACTCGGACGAGAAGAGGGAAAAGGAGAAGAGGAATAATTTCGGTGAGGAAAGATGTGCGGTACTAGTATAGGTGAATCCGGAAAATAATGCAACAGGGGGGGGGGGTTTATATTAAAGCTTCCCCGTGGGGTGGAAAAGAGGAGTAACAGGGCTACCTTCCGCTATTGAGCATCATGATACAGCCAACTATGGCTAAATTGAGAGAAAATCTACATTCTAAACCGAGGCCAGAGGTTCTGGGCAGCATTGGAGGTTTCGGGTTGTGACCCGGAGCTCGCCATCCCCGGAATTGATCCCGACTGAGTATAACTGCCAGTTGTCGTTCTCAACAATAATCATCGAAGCAAAATCGCCTCCGAAGAATGAACGCATGCTATTTTTAAAAAGAAAACTTTCCATGTCGAAATTTGCTGCAAAAAGGGGCCAAGGGGTCAATCGTTTAAGATGCCCCGACTACCATATCCCAGAGACTAAACAGAGAGGCCATAGATTCCCCTAACTTCATTGACAAAAAACCGAAAGAAGAATCAGAAAATATTAAAGAATCTCAAGATAAAATCCAAAATATTTTATAATTTTATTTATTAGAGCTTTTTGCTCATTATCCTTTTCGCAGTCTTCGCACGCTTAACAGAAAGGCTATACATTTTTGCTACGCACGAAAAGGGTCAGTCCATCGTGAGTGGATATTCGTCCCCCTCCAGGATCCTAATAGTTTCGTTCTCACTGAGAATTTCGAGTAATAATTAAGGCGAGGACATCAGAGTTGATATCCATATACATAAACAGGTATAAAATCATCCAGTGTCCTCATATGTCATACATTGATTTGGGCAAAGAACTTCCAAGTCAACACCTTGAAATGAGGATCGCCGGTGGGGGATGAAAGCCGACTGATGATCTCGGCAGATAATGTAGATCATTCCGAGTCATAGCAAATCCGTCTAGGATAACGCGATCGGATAAAATGAAGAAGAGTAAGGTCTCTTGTCTTTGCCACCGTTTGTATCAGGTTTTCTACCCTTGCAGCTCATGGTTTCTTACTGCGTAGCTAGTCAAGCGGATGAAAATTATCTTATCGGATTTATAATTAAAAAAGAAGAATGGTAGAAGTCAGGGTATTGAGGAAACCTGGGAGTTTCCAATTTTTAAGGTAGAGCCTGGATTGCACTGTCATGATCTCTTGGTATTGCTTGAATTTACATAATGAACTCATGTACTCTATATAGTGAATATAAGATCAATTTTGAACTTATATTTATCTATTTAGAACAATACTGAGTCTTCTTGTGGGTCTTTCTTTCGAAAACGGCAAGAGAAGACAGCTAATACTAGCATTTGAAGGCGTAATTTGATGAAGGTGTCCCCAGTTTGCTTAAAGGAAAAATGTTAGTCGGCAGTGAGAGGCAAAAGCGGGCTTTTTCTAGTTAGATGATCATCTTCGGATTAGTCGTAGAGCTTGTTTTTGTTTAAACTTTTTCTCCCACAGTCGTCATTATTGTTTTGATCCTAGGCTATTTTTTGAAAATTCCGAAGTAGTCGCTCAAGCCGCACGTCTCGGTGACACATATCGTTTTCGTAGTTGGAATGGTTCAAGTAACTACAACATGCACGTAAGATCAACTCGTATCGCGCGATCGTTGCTTGTTTTTGGGAGGTAGTAAAGTGGGGACTGAAGCGTGATGGTTTTAGATTCGTCGCTACGACCCACGAAGCTCGGATTAAGTTTGAGAGCCAGGGATCGGGAAGTCCGGGCCCATCATCATGTCATAATATTCTTGTTTCAGACTACCGTTTTGACTTGTGCCACCCGACATCAGATAAGCCCGATCAGTGGAGTAGGGTATTATCAGATGTCCCGCTCCATGCCGCGATTGGCATGAAAATTCCATTACTGCAGGACAGTGGAGTCATTGCCCAACAAAGTTCGGCCAGGTTGGACACCAAAAGACTAGTCGCTTCTTGTTTTGCCGCTTGGGGGAAGGAAAGTGGGAATGATCAACATGATGGACAGAAATACCCGCTTTTACAGCAGAAAACACTCTACTAGAAAGATTCCCCTTGATCTATCCCGCCCGTGTCCAAGGGAGCGAGACCGGAGTAATGACTCGAATCAAAAAAATTTGTTGTCCACTGGCAGGTTCAAATGAAAAGCCACAGTGGTTGAGGGGTTGGTAGCAGGTATAAATATGTGGGGGGTTTCCCTTCTCAATTTAGAAGCCACTCACTACAATTTACCCTTTTCTTCTTCCAAGTTCCTCTGGCTGTGATTGTCGCATATATCATCATGTCCACTGCTTCAATTTTGTCTTTAGCAGATCAGATCAAGGCGGAGGCCGCGGAAGGCTCATCAAACCAAGGTCATGATCATGTGCGCCTTCTCCAGCTAATTGATGAGTTGAAACTTGCGGTTGAGACACCAACAGAGACCATTCTTCGTTTGATTTATCAAGTAAGTTTGAAAGAAATTCGCCAAGTTGGGTGTTGTGTATAAGAATGAGGCTGATAATTTGCTCAAGCCACCAGAAAACGCAGCTTTACGAACCGTGGTCGACCTTGGTATCTTTCCCCTTCTTGTGAATTCTCCCCAAAAGGAGGGCCTGTCAGCGTCGGATCTAGCGCTTCACACAGGTGCCGAGCGGGGGCTCGTGAGTGAGTAGTCTGATGTTAGAGGTCATTCCTCGAAGGAAATATTGCTAACGAGTTGAAGTTCGTCTTATGCGAGTGATGTGCTCTCTGGGCTTGTGCGAGTCCTCGGAGACCGAAGTATATCGAACAACCGACAAGACTATTTCAATGACGAAACCAATTGGTCGTGATGGAGTCCCATGTTTGTTAGTAACACATGTTTCAAGGACTGGATCCTGAATCTCGGACTGACAAAAAAAAAGATACGATCTTACTCTTCCTGCTCTTTCAAAGCTCCCCGAATACCTTCGTCAACACAAGTATACAAACCCCGAGGATTATTCAACATCTCCCATGCAATGGGCGGTGGGAAAGAGTCAATTCGAATGGCTTGCAGAGAATAAAAAGCATCAGTCTCTTTTCAACTCTTACATGTCAAGTCGTCGAGAGGGAAGGCCCAATTGGTTCGATGTTTATCCCATGGACAGATTGTCAGAGGGGGCTGATCTTCACCCTGATGCTATATTCCTAGTTGATATCGGTGGGAATCAGGGTCACGACTTGCAAGCATTATCTAACAGAAAATCAGATATCTGTGGACAACTTGTGCTTCAAGATCTACCGAGAATTGTTTCCAACGTCGATAGACCTGGAATAAAAACCATGGGCTACAGTTTCTTGGATCCGCAGCCCATCAAAAGTAAGTCATGCCGAAGCTGAATGGATGCATGGATGCTGACCCAAGAACGAAGATGCACGAGCGTATTATTTTCGAGCAATCTTTCACGATTGGCCAGACCGGATCTGTAAGAAGATTTTACTAAACACGGTCTCGGCGATGGGAAGCTATTCCAGAGTCATAATTGTCGACTTTGTTCTTCCGGATACGAATGTCCCTCGCATGCAGGCTGCGATGGACATTCAAATGATGTCTATCGGAGCGGGCGTTGAGAGGTCAAAAAAGCAGTGGGAGGATCTCCTTGCTAGTGTTGGATTGAGAGTGAATGGAATTTGGAATGCTCACCCTGGTATGGAGTCAATAATTGAGTGTGTCCTCAACGAGGAGAGGGAGATGTTTTGAGATCTTCCATTTCTCATGGGCTAGAATACACATGTTGATCAATTAATCTTGCAGCTGGCCCCTAAGTTGGTTGGCTTCAATATTGTTTACCTGAAAATCGATTGCGTTAAGCGGACGTGCAATGTCTGGCCCATACCGTATTATTACTGATAGCTCTGGTGGTCTATTCCACCGCCTATATTCGTCAATTTCTCATTTATACTAGTCCTCGCGCGGAGAACGGTCAGATATATGAGATAGGCTAAACTGCCAGGCCATCCCTTTCTATCATATTGCACGCATAAATAAATCGCCCCTGGCTTCTATTCACGTCAGGAGCGAGATACAACAATGAATGGTTTCCATGGGCGCTTTATCCGGGTTTAGGAATACGAGGATCCTGCTCTTATTGCTCGATGGATACAACAAATTACGGCTGCTCTTGAATATGCGGAGGTAATAGTATTCTGTCACAATGACCTGTATGCAAGCAACTGCCTTCTAGACGCGAACTTCAATGTGAAGCTGACTGACTTTGGTCGTGCTACAAGTATTGGAAAACTGCTTGAACTTACATTGCCTCCACGGGCAAAACCGATAATTGCGGGGCCATTGAAAGGAAGATACGGTCTGTGCTCAGCTAGAACGGGGCAATTTACGGTCGGGGCACTTCTATACTTTATGGTATATGACTATGAACCTAATGACGATATTGTGGTGGTTCGCAGAGACTTGCTAGGTCCAGAATTAGCTCTTCGCTTTCAGCCAGCCTGGCGACGATATTTGCATACTATTATGAAGAAAGGTATCCACATCTGTTAATCATTTCTACAGGGAAGATTATGGATCTGGACTTCACGGTCTGTTGGGGCTTGATTCATTTGACTCATGGCACACTCCAACTATTGGTGCACTTAGTGACTGAAAATGCCATCTGTTGTATCTTATGGGTAGCTAGTTCTTGAAACTAGTTGATGGAAGTATCCAACTAAGCTGTGTAGGATCCTTTCTGCTGTAAACTCTTGATGCGACCCAGCAGAAATTCGAGTTGGCGATAGGCAGCACCTGGAACATATTGAGGAATTTCATGCCCAGAGCCATAAACCGTCGAGAATGTGAGACCACGCTCTGTGTGTGCCGTTCCCAGGATACCACCGCCTGCATCGGCAGTGTATGGCGACTCTCCGTTACCATTGGCAATTGAATCCAATGCATCTGTGTAAGGAACAAAAAGAGGCTCGGTCGGGGCCTTTTGGAATCCTTGCTTCCCGTTCCATGTCTAATTCAGTCAGTCGAGGAAGCCACAAGAGAGGTTATTAAGAAATTATGTATATCTCACCATGTTTTGAATAGTCGCCAAACTACCATTCATGAACAGTAGATAGTCAAACCACCCATGACCCAAAATCACGTTGTTTGTCCGCTCAATCACGCTAGGAAGTGGACCTAGAGCACTGGGAAGGGACCCGTCCCCATTTGGAAAGATTCCATTATCACAAACAGCGTAGTTAGTAGGAGGGACATGTAGTGCCTTCTGCACCGCTGTCTCGTTGAAATAGTTGTTTGGACCACCGGCTAGCGAGGGGAACCCCATCTCATCCCATAGGAAAGGACAAAAGTCCGTCAAATGGTACATGTTGAAACACGGGTTCACGTAGGTTGCTGCCTTCACAATCTGATCCCACACATCGCAACCATCCTCGTAGGGGCTTGGAGCAACCGGGAAATCTTTTGGTGGTGGGAAAGTCAAAGCGGCGTCAAGGAACTTGCTGTATCCGCATTTGTCGGCTTTCTCGTTGATTTCGGTCATGAAGGTATCATTCAGACCAAAGACACGATCGAAGTAATTCAATGCGGCAACTGCAGGGGCTATCGAAATCCACGAGTATTAGTATATACGATCTATCATGAGGTCAAGTAAGTAAATATAGAACTTACCGTAGATCATGACTTCATCTTCGTTAATGGATGGATCGTTGATTTGAATTCCCTTGAGATTGAAGTTTTGAGTGTCGTTTTGATCCAACATGCCAGCTGCGAGGTATGGGATATATTGACCCGCATAGCTCTCTCCGGTTATATAGATGCGATAACCTTGCATGCTAAAGGTTTTAATGAACCTCTTCCAGAAATCGTTGAATTGATTGGAGACGTCGATCTCATCCTGCACGGTAGCGGGCCCCGGTGAAAACCCAGTACCAGCGGGCTGATCGATATAAACCAAGTTGGTCAAGTTCGTCCAGGAGTAAGGATTCCGGACCGGGGCGTATGTTCCAGATTGCCATAAAAAGGGCCCGTTCTCTTGTAACAAACCGTCTAGCGACTTTATGAATGCAAAGGAAAGTTAGACTGAAGCACAGCAGAAAACAATCGTGGGATCCCTTCCTCACGAAAAAAGAAAATTATCAGACATTAACTTACCGAGCACCCGGGGCCTCCATTTAGCCAAATGGTGATCTAGAATGGCGAATTAGGCTCTTGCACGAAATTATTAGGCACCATGGGCTTATGGTTACTTACCTCACGATCAGCTGCGGGGTTGTCAGATGGAAAGAACCAGAAGAATAAGCTTGAGTTGCCATGCGGGGTGTTGGAAAGGAGTCCTGAATAACTCTCTCCAATGTCTGTACAAATGACAGTTGATGTTAGTACTGTATGCAACCAAACACAGGCTATTAACATCGACTGGCTAATGCTTTACAACTTACCGAATGGGACTTGGGGAAAGTGGGTGCCATTGACCAAGAATTTCTCAGTCTGGTGATTTAGATACTTGAATTCTGAAGAACTGGATTCAATGTGTCTCTTGTGCTGAGTGTGCGCAGGTGTTTTTACGGGAGCTCGACGGTGAGGGTTTTGCAGCCCAACTGCCGTGGTCGTAAGCAAGCTTGCCGCGATGAATGGAAGGAACAACATGATGGGAGTTAACCTTCAAATTGATGTTCGCCAGTGAAAGGAATAAAAGGTGGCGGTTCCCCATTTTATATGGGTCCTGCTCATGGAGACTAAGGCTGCTTGAAAAAAAGATCATCATCACCATGGTTGTCGATCTGCTCCGCAGTTCAATCCGCCCGAGGGAACGATTGGGCGTTGCCAAGCGGGGTTGAGGGAGATTGTAACCTCGCCAAGGGCAACTAGGAAGGTGACAATGTCGATTGTGGCGGTCGGAAAGGCACGAAATTGATGCTTGGACCCTGATACATCTCCACAGAGTCCACACCGACGGAGTCCTGGGTAAAGGCTTAATTCTGGTGGCCCTCACGCCTTCTCTCGGCCTATGCAGTTAGTGCCCGAGGCTCTTGAAGAGGGATTTCCAAGGTTCAGATCATCCAAGTTTCAGTGAGCGATGCAAGACCCACCATGACCGTAGGCAACAATAAAATGTTCTGGAAAGGAGCGAGGCTCGAGTTATTCGAGGCATGGTTTGCTGACTCCGAAAACGTTGTCAGGGGCCGTTTCAGTGCATCTTCCCGCCCGTTTCGTCATCGTAAATTAAGCTCGCGATCGACCGGAGTAATCAAAGTATCTCCGTCTAACATATTGCAGCCTGGTACATCATATCATGTCCAGGTGGTGGAACTGCAGCTCCAGCGATGAATACGCTAAGAATGATGACGGTCGGATAAAATTCGGGGTAAAATCGTGTTCAGCCGCTTCAAAGAGATCTTGTGCTCATTATATCTCCCTCTTTCCCACCCAAAATGAAACTTAGATCTTTCTTTTGCTGATATTTTAACCCGTTGGATAATACCTGACATTCGAGAGAAAATGGACACTCTCTACAGGAATCTGTTACGATGAAATAAAAGCCCACACGAAGGGAGACAAGAGGCACCTGAAGTCAAATGGTATAATCCACACTAGTTACTTAGCAGAACGGCCTTCAAGATATCCAGGTGGTCAGGTGGATTGATGAAGAAGAGAAGAAAACCAAAATCGCACCAGGAGATGCCCGTGGCAGGACCCGGCATGTTTTGATTCTGAAGCTAATCCAGACAGAGAAGATAAACCCCCTTATCTCGCCATATTCACAGGATTAGGTCCACATGTACGTATGCCTGCACATGTGTCGGATTCACGCCCGAGTAGCACGCAAAAAAAAAAAAAAAAAAAAAAAAAAAGAACCATTCAAAATGTTGCACTTGGTCATTATATCCGAAGTTAACCTTCGGCCAACATGCAGATTTCTCGGGCGTGACGGGAAACCCACTCATGTTGACACCATGACGTCGGATGAGAGAGAGAAAAAGGACTAGAATGGTAAGTATAGTATGCTCCAATTTAGTGTCACGCACTAATGTTTATTTTCTGCAAAGCACTGCAGCTTGACAGGACAGAGATATCGCCATCGGCCACTTAAATTGGTTGAGGTTTGGGGGTCAGCGACCGATCGCCCTGTGGCATCTGTACAACTCCTGAGCCAATCATTAGCAACCAATCACGCAATTATGGCTCTGATAACAACAAAATACTCCAAAAAATTGTTAATATTACGCTTATCCATATATCAAAGTTGTGGGAGGATTCCTTTTTCGCCCTCTGAACTTGAAATCCTTTTTTTTTTTCATCTTTCTAAGAATATCTCATATATAAGCAACCCCTGTCATCCCCTTCTACCCCTTCGGCCTGATGTTTTGTTTTTATTTCGATTCTTTGATTCTTTGATTTGATTTTTTTTTTACCACGCCCTGCACATCATCACATACAAGATGTCAAATGTCGAACCGACAGAAACGGGGGAGAAGACTGCGTCCGTGATCGACCAGGAGCACGCGAAGTCAGGAAGCGATGTGGCAGATCACGATGGCGAGTCAACAGCTAAAGCGGGGGAGCTGAACTTCGAGGAATATACCCGGGGAGGAATGGGACGGCATTTGGGAACCTTTTCAACCACCTTTTTAATGTAACGCCCGCCACCCCGTTTGATGTATCGTTTTGACATGCGGAATTTGACAATGATGATAGTGTGGGGCGCATGATCGGAACTGGTATTTTTTCGACGCCATCTTCGGTCACTAGCAGCGCTGGAAGTGTGGGTGCATCTTTACTTCTGTGGACATTGGGCTTTTTTCTCGCCGGTGCTGGTCTCTGTGTCTGGCTGGAGATGGGCTGTATGATACCTCGAAGTGGTGGAGAAAAGGTGTACTTGGAAGCTGTATATCGTCAGCCAAAACTTTTGATCACGGTTGTGTTCGCGATTCAAGCTGTGGCTTTGGGATTTACTGCTTCGGGATGCGTGGTCTTTGCTTCTTATATCTGGGTCGCAGCTGGCAAAGAGGCATCGGAATGGGAAGAGCGTGGCGTCGCAATTTCAGTGATTGTGTTCATTACGCTATTGCACACTTTTCTCCCTAATTGGGGTGTTCGTGGTATGAACGTGCTTGGAGTTTACAAGATCATTCTTCTACTTTTCATCGTTGTCACTGGATGGGTGGTACTTAGTGGACGGGTGTCTAGTATTCCTGACCCATATGCAAGTTTCCACAATTCCTTTGAGGGGTCGGCAACATCGAGCAATCCTTACGCGATCGCGCTGTTTAAAGTATTAAACTCATTTGCCGGGTAAGTTGATCTCATTCTCAAGCGAGCATTTGTGAATGCGCTGGCTAATATCAAATCTATCACTGCAGCTGGTCCAACGCCGCATATGTTATGAATGAAATTCGCGACCCGGTTCGAACCATCAAAGTGGCTGCACCAATTGGATTCTCTATCGTCGGAGTTTGCTATATTCTCGCCAACGTGGCTTATTACGCTGCGGCTACACCTGAAGAAGTTGCCAATAGTGGAGTCACTGTCGCATCATTATTTATGAATAAGGTCTTTGGTGAGACAGCCGAGCGCGCTTTGAGGTGAGAGATTCCAGACCCCGTGTGTTGTAGGTACGAATGCTAACCCTAATCAAACGTAGTGCAATGGTGGCTATCTCGGCGTTCGGAAACGTGTTGACCATTACCTTTGCTCAAGCTCGAGTGAACCAGGAACTGGCGAAAGAAGGTGTGATTCCGCTTCCCAAATTCTGGGCAACCAATTGGCCATTTGGGTCTCCCTCAGCAGGACTTCTGTTGCATTTCATACCCTCATTCATCGTTATCATTGCAATCCCCTTTGGAGATGCGTATGATTTTATTGTGGATTTGGAGGGCTATCCCTCAAGTGTGATCAATTTCTTGGTCGTTGTAGGTCTGTTTTACCTTCGATGGACCTCGCCAAATGTCAACCGGCCGTTCAAGGTCTGGTGGCCAGTCGCCTTCTTCTTTTTGGTTGGGCAGGCTTTCCAGCTTGTTGCTCCGTTTGTTCGACCTCCAGGAGGAAAGGGTGATACCTCGCTTCCTTACTGGCTCGCGTCTGTTATCGGAATTGTCGTTTTAGTTCTGGGGGTCGTATACTGGGCTGTTTGGCGAAAGGTTCTGCCGTGGATCGGAGGATACGATCTAGTTCCAGTACATGAACAACTTGCGGATGGAACGACTGTTGTGGTTTACAAGGCAGTGAAAGAGCACCAAAATTGATGGTCTACTTAAAGTAGTACTAGTACAATGTGGAGGGTTCATCTGTTCGACTTCTGCTAGAATAATTTCTGTATATTGTGCTGGATACCCCTTGGCCCTTTGATACCCACTCGGGGGTCCACATTTAGAGTGCACACAACTTGATTGGACAGACCACTTAGATCTTGTTCATTTGAATACTTTTTATTTATGAAATTTGCAATCAATTCCATTGTTCAGTTGTGGTAAGGTGACCGACCTAGAAGAACCTGTATGTTCAACTTCTCACCGGTCGCTTGGGTACAGGATGATCAGTTTCATATCTCGACTCTGTCTATTCTGGATCCACTAACACTAAGCTCAGCCACCTCTGTCGATCTTTAGCCCCCAACGAGTGTCTCGTTCTTTCCCTTTAAGTTTACGCTTGGGCCTGCGGGATGAGATTAGGATATTGCATCACGGAGAATGATAAACCCCGCCTTTTCCTGAATTAGCTGTCAGCTTATCTTCCTTCATATTGGCTCTCTTCCTTGGAAATTGTCAACGCGACAGAAAACGAAGAGATGTCGAATTACACAGGCCCACCGAATCACCAAGGCAATGCGTACGGCCAGCAAGGCTCGGGTTATTACCCCAACCAGCCGAACCAGCACAATCAGCCGCCGACCGGCTACTACGAATCTGGGGTGATTAAGATTATTCACGAAGAGTGCGTGATAAAGAGACCATGGCTAACTCGAGATCCTTCGACTTATAGGCACCACCACCAAACAATTATCCCCAATACGGATCTGGCCCTTCGCCAAACAATCAACAGTCCTACCCACCACCGTACAATCAGCAAGGAGGTCAGCCGCCCGGCCCTGCAGGTTATGGATACCCACCCCAAGGTGCCAGCCAGCAACAATCTCAACCTCCGGGTGAGAGCTCTTCGTACTATGGAACTGGTGCACCGCATTCCGCGCAAGCTGGCTATGGACCTGGACCTGGACCTGTAGACCCGCAGGGCGACAGAGGCTTAGGATCAACACTTGCGGGAGGCGCTGCGGGAGGATTCGCTGGTCACAAAATGGGCGGTGGATTTCTCGGAACTGCAGGTGGTGCCGTCTTAGGCGCAGTTGGAATGAACATGGCCACACATGAAATGTCAGTCCATTGATCCCATTGTCGGCCCATGAATGCCCGTTCAAAGCTGACTTTTCTTGCCACAACAATAGCAAGGATCATAAGAAGAACAAGAAAGACAAGAAGGAAAAGCGCCACAAACACCACAAGCGTCGTGATTCAAGCAGCTCGAGCTCCAGTTCAAGTTCGAGCTCCAGCTCTAGCTCGGGGTCGTCAAAACACCGCCGTAAGCACCACCACCACCTTTAACCTTTTGTTAGAGAGATCGCCAAGCGGGACGGGTAGATTGGGAACGGAATACAAACGCTGCAGGGTTCGAGTAAGGCCTCGTTTCGGAGGGCTCTATTCCTTTTGGCTTCCTTTATTCTTCGTATGGTTTACTGCCTCTTTTCTCAAATTACAGACAGGTTATCGTTACCGCAAATGTATTCATAGTTAAGACTCGTTACATCTGCTTCCCCGACAAAAGGAAAATAGATTGAAGTTTGCTCACGTTCATTGTGTATATCTTTTGGCAAAGTGCGCATGAATGGGTAACCCTTATACGGGCTGTGATCAACTGACTACTAGTAGGCAGCTCTTCGTTAAGAAATCCCAAAATACTAGTAGTATCATAGTATGTATCATAGACATACTAGGACAAATTGAATACTGTGAATTTCATATTCTCATATTTAAAGGCTTCACTGTTCAAATATTTGAGGGCAAGATTTGTGTGAGCTTCGATCAGGGTAGCCCCCACCATGCGCGTTGAAATATATGAATAGTGCAATTTGAGAAGAAAGTGACGTTGGCTATCAAGAGCTTGATCAAAGTGATAGACACCCTGTAAAATGATATGCAGTATCCATTCCGGGTTGATCCTCCGCGTCGGGTCACATTCCTGTTCCTGCTGATAAAGCTGGATGCGTGGACGTGCATGATCGTGCATCCGTGCTGACCTATCGACTCTTCACATGAGCGCTAGTCATGCTTAGCACTCCTTAGCTTCAGGATACGATACCCCACGATGTTATACCACCCAATCCCATTGGATTCTAGATCCGATCAGATGCAACCATTCTTGGGAGCAAAGGGCCATAATCATGATTCTCGCTCGATGGAATCCTCTTTCCCCGCTTTGTGCCATCAGGTTTCAACACTCATGTCTCCCTGACGGCAAACCGTGTGTGCTCTGATTCAAGCTAATGATTATGGCTGGGCGCTTGGCTCGGAAATGAATCCTCATTGGGGGGTTTCTCTGGCATGTTGCAAGATCATGCAGTCGTTTCACAGGATTTTCAGGAACGGAGGCAAGATATAAGTATGGACTGTCATCGTCCGTCCTGATTTCTTAGCGCAAAAAAGGTCTGAATTACCGTGACCTACACAACCTACAGTTTCTGACTTTGAATTCGTGTGCATTAGCCAAAGCCAACGCTATGTACCTTATTCGGTCAAGTTTCGCCTTCTTGGCGTTCGCTAGTCTCGCGGCCTCCACGCCACTGAAGAAGGAAGGCTCAAGACTGCACAAGCGTGACGGACTTCCTGCATACGCCATAACATATGCGCCTTTAACATACCTATACAGCGGAGAAAAATGGTTCCCATCAGATATCGCTATTCACCTGGAGAATGTCGAGCCCGAGGTGAACTTTACGGCCAGTGGGGGCAACGGTTCCGTCACTCTTGAGACACTTGACAGCCTATCATCTGATGTTTATCTAACTGCCACTGATGGACCCATACTGGACCCCTTGGACGGAACACCAGCTTGGCTCTCGTCGGATTACGGTACCCCAGATAGCAGTGGCCTCAGTGCAGCCCCAGGAACCATTATCGCTGTGGAAAAGAACAGTACAACTACTGATGTGTTTTACTTCCACTTTTATTCATACAATTATGGTGGCAAGTAAGTGTCAGCAGGGCTTAGGCAGACTAACTCTAATAAGATATTCTATTTGCTGATTTGGGTTTTGATAGGGTACTGGATATTAATTTTGACGACCACGTCGGTGATTGGGAACACGTTATGGTAAGGACTTGATCGTCTGAATTTTTATATCCATGAAGCTGAACCCTAACGTGACAACCGACCTCCTAGATCCGCTTTGTCAATGAAGAACCGTATGCAATCTACTGCTCAGAGCACAGTGCTGGATCAGCCTATTACTGGGACGTAGTTGACTTCAACGGCGACCGCCCGATCACTTACGTCGCATATGGTGGACATGCCAACTACGTCACAGCAGGGACCCAGGACTACACTATTGCGCTCGGTATCATTTCTGACACTACCGATGCCGGTTATCTTTGGGACATGACACTCAATTATCGAGGCTATTTGTATGATACGGAGACGAGCGAATTCTCCGTCGTATCTGGAGCGGGTACCGGTGGTAGCGAAGAGGCAGATGAAACAGCTAGCTGGTTGAATTGGCTAGGTGCATGGGGGGATGAGCAGTATCCTGATGGGTTCCTTGATGATATTGAGACTGGCCAGTACTGTCTCTCTACTGAATGTCGCTACACAAGTGGGCCGACTGGGCCGGTGGATAAGAACTTGGGTCGAACAACTATGTGCCAGAGTGATGACGATTGTACTATCTTTGACGATATAAGTGATCTGACTACTCAATCTTGAGAGAAGATAGGGTGAAGTGAATAGACTCTGATGAATATGGTAAATATTTTTATCCTTCCTTCATGTTGTTGCTATTAGTTCCCTTGGCCGAAGTTCCACTTGCGATCAAAACTGAGATTAGGGTTGTTCGAACGTTGTAATCCTGATAATTTTCATTTCTCCAACCAAAATTAGGAGAGGAGAAGTTTCAATTGTTCGCCAATCATATAATATGGCTTCTCAAGTAAATTAGTACAGTTTGGCTGATGATTTCCAAACTCGTCATACGCGGTTCAGATACTTGGGCCACCTTATCTCCGTTATCACCGTGGACCCCACCTTCATCTGTCCAAGGCTTGCTCCCTTCCACACACACACACGTGATGGATCATTTTCTGCTCTGACAAGCACAAAATTTCTATTATTCGGAAACCCAATAACGCCAAATGCCACCATGGGAGACTCCTTTCACTTCATCGATGGCTACCAACCCAGCAGGGAATCCAAAAGACTGATGCGCCGCCATGTGATGAAGGGTAAGAATATCGGCAAGACAATACAACGAGGATCACGGTCCGGGAAACAGGCAGATTCTGTTCAGATTTCATACTCATTAACTGCTGCGACGCGGTCTGATAGAGGAGAACCTTCCCTGGATAAGAACCCCAAACCTTGGTGCCTACGTGGCAGTGCGTTTGAACACCCATGCCTCACCATATTGTTCCCAGGGATGGAGATTACTCCATGGTCCGTGAAAATTATTGATAAGTGTATGATATAACGCTCCCGAGTGATATGTATATATTCTAACTCAAAATTCTCCAGATTTCAATTTTACAATGAGACGTTTATTACCTCTTCAGCTCGGGCTTTCACTAGATGATATCCAGTCCATATATCTTCGAATGCTATTTGTGGACAATGCCAGTGAGTGTGAAAACCTTAAATCCCGCTTGTATACTTCACATGGAAAGTTTGGAAGGTTTAAGCATTCCAAGGTCGACTAACACCATGAGTACTAGGCTATCATTGCAATTTGGGGGTAATGCAAGCTTGTAACGCCATATTTTCATGTGACAGGAACACTTCGGAAAAAGCATTATATCACATGTCTCAAGCACTCAGTCAAGTTAAGATGAGACTGCAAAGCCCGAATGCTATTGCTGATTCTTCGATAGGAATGGTTCTAGCACTTATTAGCCAGGAACAACTCGGAAACCAGCTTGAAAATGCAGAAATTCATGCTCAGGGGCTTCAAAGGATGGTGGAACTCCGAGGAGGAGTCTGCTCCCTTGGAGGAAATGTGTCTCTCGCCCTGCAAGTTTGCAAGTAAATGGACCCCAATCCATTCCCTGGGGTTTACTGATTAACCCCATATATTCTAGAACAGATATAATGCTCTCTCTGCAGCTTGGGAAGCCTACTATGTTCTTTCGGTAATGTATGCCTAAAACCCTACTCCAGAAACGGTCGCCATTACGTCATTTTATAGTCCCAAGCTCGAACCAGGAGTATCATGATGATCAAATTGACACAAATTTGCAAACTATATTCTCCGATGTGATGGGATTCTGCGAGATGCTGAATAGTGGGGCTCAGACGGGTCCTACGCTTGACTTTTTGGAATTCGAAGAAGTCTTGATTTCAATATGTTACCGACTATTGAAGTTTCGCCCACTTATGGAGTCTAGAAAGAGCCATGGTGTGTCCTCCACGTATCATTTGGGACTTATCGCATTCATGATGTCGACGTTTTTGCAATTCAACCATCACAAAATCATCAACCACAGATTGCTATCGCTTTGTCTACAAGAGTCTTCAGAGTTTCTGGCTTATGAAAACCATGGACCTTTATATTTCTGGTTTATCATGATTGCTGGGATCTGGGTTGCCAATGACAAAGATGGGGACTGGGCCGTTCAGAGAATACGGGAAACGATCAGCCAGCAATTTATAAATACCTGGGATCAAGCCCAAAGTATCTTATGCATGTTTCCTTGGGTTCATGATCTGCACGACCAACATGGGTATGAGCTTTGGAGGATGGCTCGGAACGCCGAATAAGTAATGGATTATACTTGAACTCTATTTCGAAACATGTCTCCAAAGCTCTGGTACACTGACTGCATTTACCAAATAAAGACCTGACCAACTAGCTCTTCGGATAGCTTCCAAAGTCTCTCAGCTCCATCGCTGGACACTGCGAGTGGCGAGGCTTTGTCGCTAATCTGACAGTCCATCAGATAAGACCCCCAATTCATACAGCCGCCCCTACTAGACCCCACGCCCTTTGCCAATGCTGGGTCTAGTGCAGCAACCACGCTGGTTGAGGCCCCCGCGCCCAACGTTTTGTAATTGAAGAACCCCTGCCTTTTCAGGACTTGGATGGCCTCCAGCGTACTGGAGGGAAAGTTGCGACCCAGCTCAGTTTCAATGAGCCCTGGGTGTACCGCTATGGAGAGGACACCGTGCTTCTCGAAGAGGCGTTGATTCATACAAATTGCCGATAGAAGATTCGCCACCTTACTACGGTTGTAGCCATCGAGAGGGTTGTAAGATTGATTCTCCAAATCATTATATCCCCAAGCCTTGAACCACTCATATTGCGGCTGCTCATCCTCGGGGAGAGTCCTGTTCGTGGCATCAAAATTCAAGTCACTCCAGCGCATCCCTGATACCGTAGGAGAGGCAGATGTCACGTTCACGACTCGTGCTATTCCTTCCGATCGGCTCTCAGCGGATTTGATCAGCTTCGGCATGATAAGACATGTAAAAAGCCAGTGGCCGATATGGTTCGTGGCGAAATGCATTTCGATACCATCCTGAGACAAGGTTCGTTCTTGGATACCCATGACACCAGCATTGTTGACAACAATGTCGACAGCAGGGATATCTTCCCAAGTCATGACGCGTTCCGCTGCACTGCGTACGGATTGCTGAGTTGATAGATCGATTTCTAAACCACGGCATTCCACACCGGGAAACTCTGCTCGAAGGGCTTTCAGACACTCCTCAACCTTTGATGGGTTCCGACCAGCGATGATAAGGTGGGCTGGCAATTGAGAGGCCTGCATATTATTAGATTTAATTCGTTTTTAGCATGAAGCTAGTCTAACTTACAAACGCCTGTGCTGTTGAAAAACCGACTCCACCAAGGTTGACACCAGTGACAAGAATTGTTTTTCCAGATATTCTGTCGGAAAAAGATTTGGCGACGTCAATGCCTTCGGTCGTTTCGTTGAAATCGGCATATGTCGTGGAGGCCATATTGTCAATTGAGGATGAATATGAGATCATGTATACTACTGACAAGATTGATTGCACTTCAAAGGATGATTTTTAGTTGTCGAGAATGGGAAGAAAGGGCTAGTATTTATATTTCCTTTGTGTTCAGTTCTGCATTGATGGTGAGGATGCATGCATTTCGGTCCGTACAATATGAAAATATGACCCCGTGAAATTTGATCTTCGAGCACTATAGTTTGCTGTCGACCAATGAGAGATTAGGTACCTCATTTGGTTAGCACAAGATTCACTATGTCCCTTACCGCCGAGGGCTATAAATAGTATCACTCAGAAGTAGCCAATGAGAGATTTGCTTCCCAACTAGGTCTAATGGGGGTTCGCAATGACGTTGCAGCTTGGTGCCGTGGCTCCACTTTTTATTAGAGTCGGCCTCCAAGGTGTTGCAACTTCTAGCCTGAACTGTCCTCTTCTAAATCGTTCATTTTGTGTTCATGATGTAAAAGAGCTACAAGGTCATTCGACATTTTTTGGTTACATGTCTAGTCTTATTCTTGCATGTGATATTTTTTTCAACCGTATGGCTATACGATAGAGATATAACCACTCAACAACTTGCAGGCAATGGCAGTCGCAGGCAAGGAATCTAAATTGGTAGGCAGTGAGTCGAATGCACAGTGAATCGTATTTTTTTGAAAGGAAATTCTGGGAAATTTGGCTATTCATATAAGTATAGTCCGAGGCGAATAAAATGTGATAATTGAGTTAAATTCCTTGCATAATAATGGATATTGAACACCGTATAAAGATTTACACCCGAAGCATATATCTATTTTGAACGCAGCGCACGAAAAAAAAACAAGAAACGACCAAACAAAAGAAACCGTAAATATATAAACCCTAATGCGAGATAACCTGATCTGCTGTCTATATGCAAAAGTCGATGAAAGATCAAACCCGGGCCCAAGGTCGACGGGGATCGAAGTTGTTCTCAGCAGCCTCTTTGCGGGTATTTCCATAGCCTTGATCAAGAGGGAATTCATTCTGGAAGCTGTCTGACCACAGCTTCTCCTCCGGATTGAGGCAACCGTACTTTCCAGCCAGGCGAGCCTTGGTATCGGCATAGTACCAAAAGAAGGTGATGATCATGAAAATGGTCATAAACCCAACGTCCAATCCATATGTCGGCCATTCATGCTCTTGCAAGTAGCCTCCTGTACCACTCTTGTACTCAACAAGTCGATAGATGTTACGTCCAGTGATGAGGAAAGCAGTGATATAGATGGATACAAGCAATGTGTTAAGACGGAGTGATGGGTCGATAGATTCGCGGATCCCGGGCTTGGAGACTCGGACGTGGAAGACGACTGCGCACAGTGAAAATATCAGGAAGAAGATGACTTGCAGCGCAAGACCAGCAAGGATGACATCCTTGGCCCGGTTTGTTTTCGTTCCGACATCGCTATCGTTAGAGTTGGCGAGATTGGCGAGGCTGACACCACCGAAGGCTTGGACCAAGAAGCAGAGAATGTCGCCAACCACAAAGATCTTTGTGATCCAGTTGATGCGGATGAGGGAGAGCTGGGCTTGTCCGGAAACACGGATCACACGACCAAGGAACATGTAGACCGAAGCAGTGAAAAGAATTGGTGCCAAAAGAACCAGAACATATTGGATGATATAAGGCACCAGTTGGCCAGTATTGCTGTGTGTATAGGCTCGTGTTACGAGGGCTATAATTTCAACTGTTTGTTCAATGAAAATTGTCAGTGGAGTGATCTTGTATTATGTATCTTCACCCTGGGATTTGAGGTGGGCGCATAATGAGAAAACATACATAATCCTCCAACAAAGATCGCGATACCGAACCATTGACGGGTGGAAATTATTTTCCATGTGTGAAGTGCCGTGAGAACGACAAATAATGCGGCAAAGACAATGGCCGCCGGTAGGCTAGGCACATAGTAGTTGTATAGGTTACTTCCGTGGAGTCCCATGATTTTCTATGGGTATCCTCAGCAAGGGGGTCTTTTTGTTGAGGAATATAAAGGTAGTTGGATTACTTCTCATGATCCAGGTCCGTATGGAGTCTTATATCAACATCCGTTTCATGTCAGGGCTCGAAACTGTGTCCATCACTCGCCCCATCTCTTTCAGGGAACTTAACGCGTCTGCCACCCCCTTGGTTGTCCCTGCAGGACGCATGCTTGGCAAGCGCTGGCGTATGAGAACAGAGCCCCGAGGCTTCGGATACCCCATGTTCCAGATTAGATGCTTAAACCGATTTCCTGTTTGGGTAAGCAACTATAATTCAGGTTCTTGGCGTTGTTTCATCGGATCCATTACCTACGCAGCTAGGCAGGGTGCGTAAATCGTTTAACTCTGGCGGGGCTGACGGGAAGCGTCATTCGCCACGCTCCAGGTGTCGGTAGAGAGCCAACACATGTTGATCATCGCGACTGCCACACAAGAAATGTATTCCTTCGTGACAAAAACTTTCTCTGCAACAATTGGTAGCAGAAATTTGTCGAGAACTGGATTTCCTCGATAACCCCTGCATGTCTCCATATTTCTGCTGCCACACTTGAGACAAGTGATTTTCCTCTTATTTTCCACACTTCGCATTGCGCATTCGTACCTTGGGGCCAAAAACCTTTCAGGGTCCAGATAAAAATAGTTTTTCACCTTCAATTCCTGAATGAATTCGCCAATCTCAGGCTGTTCGCCTCTCGCCATCTTAGCTTTATCATTATGATAAAAGCCAAGGAATATCACCACTCAAAGCCGTAATACAATATTATCCTCTCGTTTTCGATATTGCAAAAGACTAACTAATACTTAGCCCAGCAGAGTCCAAGAGAAAGCTCTTTTGGCCCCCGGTGATCCAACTGCCGCGATCAACTTGCAACCGTGTGTAGTACGTAGAATAAAAAACACGAGGGGCAAATTAAAGATAAACTGAGTCTTGCTGTACCTGGAGCTCGCGTGGCTACCGAACTGTTTACCAAAGTGGCGAACGAGATACGCTTAATACGACCTACGGCCCAAGGTTTTTCTTTTCAAGATCAACGAGTGCAAATCAATTATCGGATTTGCAAGTGTTCCATTTCACCTGCTAACTCACTCTTTGCGCCATTCTCCTCCTTCATGGAGATTTTTGGATTGGCTGGTGAGGGCGATGCAGAGGCAGATTTGTGAAGACGGGGAGACGGGCGTGCAAATTTCCTGTTCTTCAGTTGATCTGAGGTTGCACTTTGGACGGGATCAGAAAATTCCCTATGTCGAGAGGGTAGGTCTCCACGGTTGTGAGTTGTTAAATGATAGCGTTTAGCAAAGTCGATCTTTCCCTCCAGATTTACACTTTCCCTCATTTCGCACAAAGCACTGCAAAGATCTCTCAGAAAGCAACGTGGCGGTGTCTCTTGAGGCCAAAAAGGCGAGCTTTGGTTGCATTCTGAGTCCAATTATCGACCAAAACAATCGCAATGGGGATCCAGGCAAGGTATGGGTGTAGACGTAATCAATCTTGTAAGCACCGAAAATTGGACCAGGCTTTTTATCAACCTCAATCCTGCAAAGATCCACTGCTTGGTCTTGTAGCTTTGGAATCTCAAACTTTCCAGCAAGCATCTATAGGTTTAGCAGAAAGAAGACATCAGAATGGGAGGGCGTTTCGACAGAAATGTCACCGTGGTGCATCCAAGTTAAGATCTCGACGAAGACATCAGGATCCTCTTCTGGAAAGCAAATAGGATCGATCACATGAAATGGGATGCTCAGTGGGATTGCTGTATAGTGAGTCAAAGTAGGGAGAGGAATTGCACAATAAACCCACGTGAGTATCAAATGGAGTCTCATCAGCCCCTACATTGATGTGTACCATTCCAGCACTGATGACACTGAGATCCTTTATCAGTACAAAAGAAGCAAAACATTTCAAGGGGTAGCATCCAACCCCCCAAGGTCCTTGGCCATTTCAAAGGCACCTTCTTGAGGACTGTCTGAGATTTTGGAAGCGCCTGAAGCGATACAGGGAAATACCACCCTAGTTCAACCGTTACGGAGAGACATACCCAATGATGCTTTTGGGCTAGTCATGTAATATATCTGCGGACCCCGGCTTAAGAGGGCTTCGAATCTGAAGATGCAGGTCCGCGGTTGAGAGACTGGTGGGAAGACTTTAGCATTAAGCCCCGTGACCCAAAACAGTTGATTCGATGCTACGGTCTGGAAGCTGCGGGCGTAGATCCACTACTATGGACCTAGATCCACAGCCTTAGGTCTACCAAGGCCTTTAATTGTTAAATGCGTCCTGTACAGCTGAATTGTCCTTTTAAAGGTTATTTTTGATTCTGTCTGTCGACTGGAACGCGTGTCTAGTTTATCAAAGGAAAAAGGAAATTGTTCGGCATAGTAAATTTTTTTCAAATTTTATTTTAACTTAAACCACTTTAAAATTAAAAACGCCTGTTCATTGTGGCCTCCTACGATTAGTGGTCTACCTCGAGTCTTACGATGCATGCAGCGGGGGCAGAGAAATATCCGGCAGCCTGGGGGTCCGGCAAATAGACAAAGCCAATCAGATCAAACACTGCAATATTATTAAAAATAAAATAAAAAATACTTTATATGACAAGAGCTTTTACCATAATAGCCTGGAAAATGTCGGAAAATACCCCATGGCAATCATGTTCTAGGAGGCGAGATATGAGGCAGCGTATTTCGGATTCCATTTTACAACCAGGAAGATGTTTCACAACAAGCTGCCTTGGAAAATTTTAGAAGTGATTGTAGCTGGATATTAGATATTGAACATGGACGTAGGAAGAAATCCTAATCAGTGAATATAACCGTTATCCGATACTTTCAATCCGGACACGATGCCACGCATTTGCTAAAACCCCACGAAAATTCCAAATTGGTCCATGGGAATCGGGCTGAGAATTGTATGCCTCGTCAACGGCCTTGACGACGACGTAGCTTCCAGCGGGAGGTCGGAGGCACTGGTATGTCCATAAAGACCAGCTCCATGACTTGTGGCCCTTGGGGATATCTGGCATGAGCTTAGCTTGACTCCAGGTTTGGCCATTATCAAGGCTGATGTCAACGCGGACGACTTTGCGCCCTCCCCCCGAAAATGCATAACCCTCTAATACTATCGAATCGGAGCCGTCAGTGCACTTATCTGGTCGGATGCCTGTGATTGCCGATTGCACGGGTGTGTCTTGGATACAAGGAGCATTGTCCCAATCAACGGTTTCACGCATCTCATTAGGTCCAAATCCTTTATAGTCTCGCTGCTGCCATTGTGACTGACTCTCGTCCTCCAATATGGAGATACGGCTGACCCATTTCACGCTACGTGCTGCAGTGCTCCCGGGTACCAGCACTCTAACTGGATACCCATGATCTGGGGATATAACTTCTCGATTCATCTCGCATGCAAGTAACACGTCTTGCCGTGGATCAAGAACTTTGTCCAGTGGTACAGATGTACTGTATGTGTCCTCACCATAGAATTCAACATGTTGTAAATCCTCTGATAGCTTTGCAATATCCAGTCCTGCGTCCATAAGTACGTCACGAAGAAGAGGACCACGCCACTCTGCATTGCTAATAGCGCCCGCTCCCCATTTAAGGCCACTCGTATCACGTCCAGAGCCTTTGTTCATATGCGCACGTCTATTACCTGAGCATTGCAGGGTAGCAGTGATGGTATGCTGTGGGAACTTGCTCCGTAGATCATCAAGCGTGTAGATCTTTTCATCAGACCCGTCTCCGATATCGATGGTCATTCTATATGAATCTTTTCCAACTAATGGAACCCAAAAGTGGTGTCGAACATAAAATACGGCCGTCTTGGTGATGAAAGATGTTAATTCGGACAGTGGTGACTCGGCATTGCATGGTCGATCTGTCAAAGTGACCAGGGAAGGGTCTCGAGCAGGTTCATTTGCAAATGGATCTTCGATCGAGCTCTTGGGTACCTCTCCATCAACAAGATCGGACGGGTCCACATGCCCAATAAGATACTGCTCCAAAACCTGATATACATCTTCCTTTTTGTGGATGGTAAATATGTCCCAATAGGGCTCAACTGCCGATCCAGCTGCCCGTAAGACCACTTTTCCACCTGGGTGACATTCAATCCAGTCTGTGATATCGTACACCTTGCTTCCTTTCATGATCCATGGCCGATCGGAATCTGGGCCATGTTTGCGAATTTCATCTAGCTTGAAAACTGTCTTCTTCGCGATGACTTCCTCCTCATGAACTTCAGGTTCAAGAGGGGCCTCGGCCAGCAGATGTGGCTCCTCCCCAGCTAAAGTAATCGCCACAGCTGAGACTGCGAAAGCAGTAAAAAGACCAGGAAGCAAAGACTTTACTACTCGGGAACCCTTGCCTGCTCGAACTTTTGAAGGAGAAGATCGTTGAGTGGTGTTTGCTTTCCAAAAAGGCATACATCTCCTTGGCAAGGAGCTTCCCTCCCTTCGGCATAGGCAGTGTGGCTCCATGCCCAAACTGAGCCCTCCACATAATGAACGGAGTTGAGAAGGCCTGTGGAGGATATGAAACATACCCGCGGCCGCGTAAATCCGGGTCCCTAGGACATAAACGGCTCGCATATTGCCACGGCTTGGTCGGACGTGAATCCCTCGGGACCTATCGATATAGTGGAAAATTGGATCTGGCGATGAGTGCGAGGAACCCAAAACTCCCTCACACTACCCACTGTTGCACTTCAGATCGCTCTTTTGTTCACGCTAAAACAAATGAAGATGCAGGGATATTAATAAAAAGGACCGCAGGAATCCTCTTGGGCGTCATTTCAGACCATGTTGTATTCCCTGGATAAACGGCGATTGCTTTAGTCCCCGAGGCCGACAAGTATGGCCATTAACTTGCACCAACATTCGACTCTTGAGATTGACCAGTATATAACGTCCCCTTCGACATTTTTTGTCATCATGGATATTTGTCGGCCTTGGATTTGCCATATAGGTAGGTTACTTCACTTCAAATCGGGTCGTTCCCTCCCATACAAATTGTAGTTTGTCGTGCGGCTTGTTTGGTGACACGGGCGAAAATAGAGCAACTCAGGCCTCTCATTGGCTGCAGTGTACGTAAAGATTAATTGAATCGCCGATAGCCACCGGGGAATGCGTGAGCTGCTTCTCATCCAATTAAAGAGCCGCTAAAAATACCCGGTCCCCCTGTGCGTAGCACTTCCTGCAGGTAGCAAGGAGCGCGGGGTCAGGAAAACACAAGCCATTTTGGAAGGAACATAATGGCTACACCGGCCGATAAAGATCATCGGGAAAAAAACCAATCAGTGCCTGTTTTTTGCCCGATGAACGCTATCGGCCGCCGTATATAGCCTTGGAAATAAAATCATCGGACTTGGGAAGAATCGAACCAAGACCCTCCTAGTTTGGCCGAGGGGATAAACATCCAAATCACCTGACCACACTAGGATCAATCAGGCATCACTCCCCGATAAGATAAAAACGGCGATAAGATAAGAGTAGCTTTCTTCGCGTCCTCATTTTCGCCTAATGAATGCTACGTTCCGCTCTAGAGCGGCTTGTTAACAAAATCCTAGAATTATTCAATTCGAAGTTTGTGAAAAATGTTCTTTCCCCTTCGTATCTAGACACCTTCCAAAAACCTGCACTAAAAGTTTGCCGAAGCGGCGGGCGATGTTGCTGTCGATTTACGATATCCATACGCAGAGCTCCACTAGCCCATGAATCGGGATCTTTTCATCTTCTTGAAAGTGGTGCGATGTCCCTCCGCGTGTTTCAGCCAATCCCAGGGTACCACTAGACTGAGAAATACCGATCCTGTCCAATCCGTGGATAACAATTCGCAAGCCACAAATCCGCAGTATCCGAAAGCACTGCAATGCACCCCAGAGGCGCATTGCGAGAACCCCGGGGAAACAATTGTATTGAAAAACTGGCTCTAAGGGAATATGCGGGTTTCAATCTCGGCCGAGAAACATTATATAAAAGGTATGGCTCACCTGGAACAAAATAGTTCCAAATACTTCAAGATCAAAACCCACCTATCCAAAACCCAAAACGAAGGAATAATCTCTTACATCATGGTAAAAAATCGTCCAGTTAACACGCCTGGAATATCGGAGATTGAAAAAGGTCACTCATTCGGTATGACTTTTGACAACCCTGATGAAAGTCTTAGTGACGAGGAAAGGAAATATATTGTAATTCTAAGTTCCAGATGATATTCATTTTCTTTGTCCAGCCCAAAGAGGACTCTGACCTTTTCACATAGGATACCCACCTTCTCCTCAAACTAGACTTGCGACCCCTTCCGCAGCTTTCGCTATTATTCTTGGCTGGCTTTTTAGATCGAACCAACGTGGGCACCGCAAAGATTGAAGGTCTACAGGAGACACTCTATATGACTGATGGTCAATTTAATGCGTGCTTGTCAATATTCTTCATGTCTTATGCCTTTACCAACGTTGTATTGAAACGGCTTGGTCCCGGAGTCTTCACTCCTAGTATCATCATGATTTGGGTGGGTGACACTCCTGAATATTCAAGCATACGAAGTACTCTCATTGGTCCAAATATAGAGAGTTATAATGATTCTTATGGGATTCGTGCAGAACTTTTCCGCTCTCATGGCAGTGCGCTGGTTTCTTGGGATGGCAGAGGCTGGTCTCCCCCCGGGTATCAGCTATTATCTATCATGCTGGTACCGGCGCTCTGAGCTAGGCATCCGAATGGCTATATATTTTTCATCTGCTGCATTGGCTGGGACTTTTGGTGGGTTACTTGCAGCGGCGGTTTCAATGATGGATGCGGTGGGAGATAGGCCTGGCTGGTCTTGGATCTTCATATCAGTAGAAGGTCTTGGGACCCTGATTCTAGGGATCCTCTCATTTCGAATGGTGGTTGACTTCCCAGACAAAGCGAATGTCCTATCGGAAGACGATAAACGCCGGGTACTCCGGCGATTGGCGTTGGACTAACAGTCCAGCGCAATGCACCAAGATTGGGAATTGAATACCTTCAAGTTCATCTGGGCTAGTCTAAAAGACTGGAAGACATATTATATACAAGTTTGTTCATTTTTATGGGCGCGCGGGGGGGGGGGGGGGAAGCTTGTATGCCTTTGCATTATTCTAACCTATCATTGTTGAAGAAATGGTAAGAGTATCATGGTAATTGGATCAACCTAATATAGATGATAACATTTACCAGGGGCTTACTGCGACCAAAGCGCAGCTATTGACTGTTGCTCCAAATGCTGTCGCATTTTTCACCACTGTATTAGTCGGGTACATTGGTGACCGTACAAACGAAAGAGGTGTTTTGATTATGAGCTGCTCTGTTATAGGAATGACCGGCTTTTGCATGTTGGTTGCAGTCAATAATGCGGCTAGCCGATATGCAGGCACAATTTTAAAGAGCAATGGCCATCTTCCCATTTGTGGCCAATACGATAAGCTGGGCTAGTAACAATGTTGAAGGTAAGTAAAAGCCCGAAGGAACTCCTTCATTTCTGTTTTCTGATTGAATCATATAGGTGTCTACAAGCGCGGTGCTACCCTTGGTATCATGATCGATTGGGGTAATGTAAGGGTATGCTCCGGGCGCGGCATACTAAGGCCTTAGCTAGCAGAAAGCCACTAAGCTAAGCTAAGCTTCTTAACGGAAGCTTAGCCGCCTGGAACCAATATATCTAGTATCGCACTGTTGCCACTGCCGGAACGGAGCTACTCCGTGACAGGTAACTTGAATGGCATTGTTTCAGCAAATGTCTATAGAGGCAAAGACGCCCCTTACTTTTGACTGTCTGCTTGTTGTTTGGCCCGTTTCTTCAAGAAGTTCTTTGACGCATCGAGAATATAAAACGGAGAAGTGTCTCGCGCGATGTATGGCTTCATGGACTCGGCCCCGAGCAGATCAATTTACCAGGTGACCAAAGACCGGACTTCAAATATGTCACGTAACTGCCCATATTCCTAAAATTCCCTGCTAGGATCTGTCAATTTACATCGAGAGAGCCATCCAGTCATATACTTATTGATGTCAGCCCTGAGGGTGCACATACCCCGGAAGGACATTATGACTACTGGCAGATGGTAGTCAATGGCTTATTTTCCTGCCAATTAAAAAGTCATACAAAGAACTGAATTTTAATGCCGGAGAGTTCACTGAATGAAGCATATCATCATATTTCCAAATGGAGAACGTTAATGCACTCGGTAATGATCCACCATATGAAAACAGTCAACCTACAAGTTGAAAGAGGACAAATATTTCGACTTCCAAAATTCGCTGGAAGCCACCAGGCTAAATCCTGTACGGCGAGCATCTCATCTTTGGATATCAATAGCTATTAGCCAGACCGTATATAAATTCCGCACTCGTATTTCGAGGGTAGGGACACGCAATTTCAAAAGCTGGAAACATTCATTGTGGAATACTTGCTTAAGGGTGAACCGACCCCCCTCTTCCCCCACTAGTTCAGGAAATCTCGTAGGCTCTAAAATACTGCAATACGCATAATAGAGATTATATCCTACAATTTGGAAGTTTACAAGATCCCCACATCGGGGAACTGTAAATTTACGGACATTTGACATCGGATCTAGTGGAATAACTGGCTAGCATCAGAATTAGCTGTCTGATCCCTGCCGACCAGGTACGCTGAAACAGACATGGATGAAATTTCTTTATTACTTTCCATTCCGGAGGCACCCGCAATGAGGTAGAAATATCCTGAAATAAGCTAGTATTACGTTCGAATTATCACGGTATTTTTAAGCAGATCCCATAGGACATGTCTAACGTATAGAGGCAGGGGTTTACCATCCGCTACTAGTAAAGTCAACGGAGACAGACCGTAAGACTAAGTTTTCCTCGCTAGTTTTCAACGTGATTCGGGCTATTTTCACTTACCCGAAAGCGTTAGAAAAATACAACTAGTAACTGGGCAAAGCCTCCTTGGCTTGGACTCAGACTTTAAGCTTAAATAATTGGGCCAAGTTCATTCTGTCACATTATGTCAATTTCTTCGATCCACTAGATCTCACTTCCCACCACCAATATACTTGAAAGGAAACACATTTTCAAGACCCCTTCTGAAGTTAATTACGGAGAAATGCGTACGAATGGACATGAATAGCAATCATGTGCCTGCGTATTGCCATAAAATGAAATTCAAGGAGTATAGTTCTCGATTTTCACCCCCACTGTCTTTGTTCAACAAATTTGCCTTCCTGGTTTCCGGGTTTATCGATATCCAAGTCCAATATATCTGGAACTTTTAACCCAGCGGCCAAATGGTGCCGTATAAACCAGAGAGACACGCCATCGCGGTAAAGCCAAGGATCTTCTGTTCTACGTTGCCAAGTCTCGAGCTTAGATCTCAAAGTCGTCAATACGGAAGTGTAGTCTGGATCATCCACCAGGTTGTTGACCTCATTTGGATCATTTTGCAAGTCATAGAGCTCTTCAGGTGGCCGAAAGAAAAAGTCCTTTAGTTTTCGATCACCAATCATGATATCCTTTTCTGTTGAATTTCGAACATCCTCCCAGGAAAGAGAGCCGTATAAGTCAGCAGCAAACGGGAAGTCCAGTCGCCATGCTAGGTTTCGATGATACTTGAATTGACGGTCTCTGATAAAACGAGTGGGCCAGTAGTTTGTGACCTCATGGAATGTATGAGAACCAAACACATGATCGAACCCAGGAAGCTCAGAGGTGTTGCCAAGAACTGAAATAAGAGAGCGCCCAATGCGCTTCCCACTTTTATCTTCAACCCCTGGATGTCCCAGATAGTCGAGAATAGTGGGGAGAATGTCAACATACGAGACCAGATTTGGGCTGACAGCTGGCGGCTTGAGGGGATCTTTGATAATTAAAGGTAGTCGTACCCCTGCATCATACAATGTTGTCTTCGAGTTGATAAAAGGTGGCCCATTATCACTGATAAAGATGACGAGGGTGGAATCTGTCAGCCCTGCATCAGATAAAGCATCCAGTGTCATACCAACACCCTGATCAAGCCTATGGATTGAGTTATAGTATTGAGATAACTCCAATCGAGTACCAGGTGTGTCACTGATAAATGGAGGGACCTCCACATCATCTGGGCTATAATCTGCGTGTATGATTCGAGGATCGTACAATGTGTCATTCCCAAATCCACCTCGTGTTGAATCGCGGTGTGGGTCAATGAATCCAACCGTTAAGCAGAATGGATCTGGACTTTTGCTAGCGTTTCCAAAGAACTCTCTTGCTTGGTCGGCGACCAGAGCGACATCCCTTGTATTACTCTCTTGTATCTCTCCCCAGGGGTACACATTGGATGGCCCAACATGAATCTTTCCTAGGATACCCGTCTGATATCCAAATTGATTCAGTAAATGGGGCATTGTCTCAACGTGATCAAATGTAACAAAATGGTGTCGATGACTGGCAAGTCCATACTGTCCATTCTGATGAGTATGGAGACCGGTATAAATGACAGAACGGCTGCCACTACAGGAGGCAGTGCTTGCAAAGGCATTTTCAAACCGTGTTCCCTCATTCGAAAGTCGATCGATGTTTGGCGTGGCGATATATTTCGCGCCGTAGCAGCCGAGCTGCTTTCCAAGGTCATCGGCTATGAACAGAAGAACATTCCTTTTTTCAGACATGATTCGAACAGCGAAAAAAACAGAGATATCAAAAAGTGAAGATGGCCACTCAGAGGTCTCTATAGATGAGGGCTATTTAGGAACGATCGCCCCCATGTCCAGTGCGTTGGGCGATTCTTTATGAATTTCGCTTCTACCCCGCTACATGGCCACTAGCCTTAAATAGCCAATGGTACTTAAATACCGTTACAATTTACCACAATGCACCAATAGGAAGCTTAATACTTCTAGAGGTAATGGTCTTATTTTCTAACATGACAGTTCGTGCATTCTGTAAGATAATCATAATGCCACTACTATGGAATAGAAGAGCATGAGTCTTCATCCTTTAAAAGCAACGCGCCATATAGGTAGCAACTCAAGTAGTTGACGTGTATCACCTATATTTATCTCCTTTCTCCAAAAATACGGTAGAGGCTTTGAGTTATTGTATAACTCCCTTTCGCGTCTCGGGCAGAAGGCTTTGAAGTAAGGAATGACATTAAAATGCAACGCATCGCTATCGCTTAACCCGAGTTTGACAAGCGATGAACGAAGGTTGAACCTGATATCAGTTACGATTTTCCACCAATGAAGGGATTTCTTTATCCGAGCGTAATAATATTTCCATCGAATAACGGGGGCCGGGGTTGATGCCATCCGCACTGGCATGGCGAAGCAACGACCAATACACTAGCGTGGTCACGCAATTCCTTACCACCTATATTGAAGCTACACAAATCATTGATCTCTAAATATTACAAGGCTATTAACCAAACAGAAATCAACTTGTGAGGTCTTTATCTGGTGGGAAATAGATGCTGGAACTCCGGGCGTTTATGGCATCATCATTTTCGATAATAACGTGTTCTGCGGCGCACGTTAGCAGGCAGCTTAAATAGATACACCAGGATCTCAATTTAAGGTGTCAACTTGAAACTAGTAGCTCCAGGGATTTCATTATATTTTCCATCGTTTAATTCTGGGTGATAAACTTTGTTAGACCTGCTGCATCTAGATGGACAGTCCACCATCTGGCGAGGTTGGCTTTCATGAGCAACAGAATCCAAAAGATAAAACACAAGTGACATTGGCAGAGGACGGAGATTCCGCTCAGCCACTTTCGGTGTTCTCAGGTCTTTGGAAGCGTCGCGACAAGAGGGATCCGGATGCCATTGCTACAGTTCGCAGTGTTTTCGATGACCCACACCTTGCTCCCTACTACGCACCTCATTCTGATTATGAGAATCTTCATCGTTTTGATCCAAATGAACGATGGACAGTTCGCGAGGAGTCTGCCGTGAGGAGAAAAACGGATTGGACAATTCTCCTATGGATACTGGTTATGTTCTTTGGGCTCAACCTTGACCGTGGAAATTTGGGGAACGCCGCGGCCGATAACCTTCTGGATGATCTGAACTTGACCACGAATGACTACAACAATGCACAAAATATGTATCGCATTGGATTCCTCATTGCCGAAATTCCATCGCAAATGGTAGGTAAAAGGCTAGGACCAGATCGATGGATCCCGCTACAAATTATCGCCTGGAGTTTTGCATCAGGAGGGCAATTCTTCATGCAAGGCCGCAGTGGTTTCTTTGCGTAAGTACTCAGCCAAGGAACTAGGCGTATGTGTATTATATAGTACTAATAAACTCCCATCAACAGCTGCCGCTTCCTTCTGGGTTTCTTTATGGGAGGATTTATACCCGATTCAATTTTGTACTTGTCGTACTTCTACACAAAGACGGAGATGCCATTTCGCCTGGCTCTTTTCTGGTTCACCGACTCCATCTCCGGGGTTATCGCATCTTTCATAGCATACGGTGTATTGCACATGCGTGGAGTTGATGGCCGAGAAGGATGGAGATGGCTTTTTCTCATCGAAGCTCTTATTAGTCTTGTGATCGGCTGCCTCAGCTTCCTTTTTCTCGTTCCTGGGCCTACGCAGACGAAAACCTGGTGGAATCCAAGGGGCATTTTCAATGAGAGAGAAGAGACTATCATCGTCAACCGTGTATTGCGCGATGACCCCTCTAAGGGCGATATGCACAATCGACAAGCATTAAGCTTTGGCATGTTGTGGCAGAGCTTGAAAGATTATGATTTATGGCCAGTCTATCTAATCGGCATCCTTTTTGAGATACCAACAAGTCCACCCAAGACCTACCTGACTCTTTCTCTAAAGAGCATTGGGTTCGGCACTTTCCAAACAACTCTGTTGTCGATACCAGTCACCGTGTTTGCCGCGATCAATCTGCTCTTAGTCACAGAGCTGAGTGAACGGTCGAAACAAATATCCATTGTTGGTTTATTGACACAAGTATGGACATTGCCACTCTTGATTGTGCTTTATACATCAGCCGGGTCCTTATCCAATTGGGCTATGTACGCGGTATCGTTTGTTTTGCTAGGTTGGCCCTCGCCACAGGCCGCTCAAGTGGGATGGTGCTCTCGTTTGAGTAATTCTGTCCGAACGCGAACAGTTAGCGCTGCGCTCTTCAACATCACTATTCAACTTTCTGGGATTGCCTCCTCCAACATTTACCGTTCAGATGACTCGCCTTTATATCGACGCGGCAATGGGCAGCTCATTGGTATAAATGTTGCAACTATTATAGTTTATGCCCTTGCAAAATTGTATTACACTGCCAGAAACCAATGGAAGAAAGAACGGTGGAATACTATGAATACCGAGGAGAAAGCAACTTATCTTGACACGACTAATGATCAAGGAAACAAACGTTTGGACTTTCTCTTTGAGAGTTAATCTTCGAGGACTACTGCAAGGCCTAGGTGGCATAAAGGACTCTGGAAATGGAAAATGAGCGACCGCCGGCGCGCGTGAATAAGTTCGAACCTTGGCAACTTGAAATGTTTGAATATAATTTGAAAGTGAATATCCATCGATCCATGATTTAGATAACATTGGATTTTGAAACATCTTGCTCTCAAAATGCTATTGAGCAGAATTCAGATATACAATGCATGTGAATCTTTTGTGTTGATGACTTTGTTTCCAATCTCTTTCTTTCTTTCTTTATTTTTTTTGCAGACATAGCTTGATTATACAGTATCAATACTACTATTAGTTTTTATGTCTTATCCCGATCATTAAAAATTAAAATATACTTATGTAGATCCAGGGATGATACAATGCTTGTATGCGTGCTTTGATGTTAATTGTCACATTGTATAATTACTAGTTATCAGCACAGGATAAATCCCCACGGGTCCGCCCGAAAAGAAAACAACACGCGAGCTCCAGTTGAGGCAAGCCAGGCTGAAAAATCCGAGACAAAAAGCAAACATTTCTGAAGAATTCAAATCGTTCACCCCCCTTGGCGATTCGGAGGCGATTCCTGGGCCTCCTTCGCATTCCGAATTGGTACAAGTGCTTACCGTGCACTTCATGATATAAGCACCACGCCTACATTCACGCAGGGGCTCGCTCAATGCAAGTAAGATCGGAGCAGATTCGCTATTAATTGCTCAACGTAGCGAAAACAAATCCCCGGGGAATCAAAAGCCGACAAACAACAGTAGCTGCATCTCCCGTTCGTGAGCACGAATGGAAACTGTATGTACGGAGTACAGGTCGGTCGGGTATGATTGCCTCATTCTCGGGCTGCAGGCAACTTATGCGCCTCCATTGAGTCTTGCTCTTGGCATTCTTGGCAATACACCACAACATCGTGGTAACTTGATCCAGCCCCCCATTTCCCCCTTCTGGGCGCGCCTCCAAATACTAACTAGACATGCAGCTAACTGGAGAACTCAGCATGTATTTGCTACTAAGTCCGATTCGCCCCTCCCAGATACTCAGATTGTTCCTAAATCATGCATGCGACTGTAGGTGTCTCAGATGAACGAATGAATAAAAAATTATCTTTTCAACATTGCCCCCCCCCAATCTCTGCCCAATCTCTTTCATCCGGTACTTTGTTTGCGGGGATACCATGACAAGTCGAATGTGATGGGGAAATTCAGGGTCTTACACAACTGCCATGAAGAAAAGGGTTATCTATTAGGAATCAATTCAAACAATTGAATGATCTTTGAGACGACTTTTCCATCTCAATGAATCTCGACTTCACTATGTCCATCAGGGGTCCTATCGGGTCTCAGACCAAGAACCTCTTCTCGCCAACGCTTAGATTGCCTGCGCAAGATATACTAGCGTCACATGGCCCCATCAACCCTGGAGTTGATACGAAGTGATTCATTGGAATAAGCCGCTATCATCGCACGAAACTCTCAAGTGAAGATAGATCAAACGATGCGTTTCTTGGCGATGCCGGACGGCTCATCAGCAGAGGGGAATTAGTGGAATCATGCAACTGCACACGCTATAATCACCACGGTCATCTTGGCTGCAGATTTTCATTAGTGCAAGAACCCCATCTCACGTACATCTAGCCCGGCGGATAGACCTACATGAGTTTGGTGGCCAACATTAGCGATGGGAATGGATGACCTGCGCGAGGTGTTAAATAGCGACCCATACCCCTAGTCTTTGGAGTCACAATTTCAATTCAAGGAACAGGGACGATTTTCATTAATCCTTGTATTTTGGCCACTTCCACGCCCAGGGTGGTTATCTAGTCAAAGTCATCCCCGATAGCATTGGAGCCCTTGCTTTGAGCTTGTCCGCAATAAAGTCAAGGCCATTGTACTCTCCTTTTTCTGGGTATACCTGAATTATCTGTCATGTCTTCGATATCTACATCAGCGCTCAGCCAGGCTACTGTTTCTTCAAATATCTTGATCATAGCCAGGGATTCAGGGTCAGCAAGCGTTGCAAGTCTCGGACTCAATGGCTATGGAATTCCTTTTACTACTCTCTTGGTTCCACAAACAGGGGCTGAACTCCCTTCACTTGAAACCGAACTGGGAGGCAACTTTGGGGGAATCGTGGTTGCTTCTGGAATTAGCTATGATTACGGCGATTCCGGTTGGGCAAGCGGCTTAACAACCGATCAATGGAATCAGCTTTACGCCTATCAGCTTGAATACGGGGTCCGCATGGTCCAATATGATGTATATCCTGGGTCGGATTATGGGACTACCGTGATTGGCACTGGATGCTGCGACAGTGGCGTGGAACAGGACATCTCATTCACGGACGTGTCTGATTTCCCCACGGCTGGACTGCGCACAGGTGCTGGTGTGAGCACTGAAGGCCTTTGGCACTACTCGGCTTCAATTCTGAATACCAGTGACACCAAAGAAATTGCGTCCTTTGCTGCCAATTCGGTCGTCACAACTGAAAGTACAGCTGCGGTCATCAATGATTTTGATGGCCGCGAGCAGATGGTGTTTTTCATCTCTTTGGACCCCTCATGGAGTTCTACCTCAGCATATTTACAACATGCTTGGATCACTTGGATGACCCGCGGTCTGCATGCAGGATGGCGTCGCGTTAATATCAACACCCAGATTGATGACATGATGCTAACCACTAACCTTTACGAACCTGCTGGCACGACGTTTCGTATTACTCCGGACGATCTGAGCGCAATCCGTGATTGGATCCCAACGATTAATGCCAAGATGAATTCTGGTAGCTCATACTGGCCCGAAGTTGGGTTCAATGGCAACGGGAACATCGATACATCTTCCAACATTGATGATGGATGGGGTATTTGCAGTGGCGGTGGTGTATACCCGGCCGGTATCACTTCACCTCCAGCTGAGTGGAAGAAGCCTGTAGGAACTGGTACTGACCGGTGGCCTTCCACACCAACTACCTATGATTGGACTATCGACTGCACTATTCGGGACCCTTTGTTGCTTTGGTGGCAAGAGAATCTCAACAGCTTCGGTATTCTTTCTCACACTTTCACCCATGAGGCACAGGATAATGCTACATACTCCGATATCTACAAGGAAATTAGCTTCAACCAAGCTTGGCTGAAGCAGGTTGGGCTTGATCAAGGAGATCATTTCACTTCCAATGGTATCATCCCACCAGCTATTACTGGTATTCATAATGGTGATGCCCTTCAAGCTTGGTGGGATAACGGTATCACAAACTGCGTTGGAGATAACACCCGATCGGCCCTGCTGAATAGTGAAAATCCCATGTGGCCGTACTGGACAGTTACCTCCACTGACGGCTTTGATGGTATGCAAGTTAACCCTCGCTGGGCCACTCGTATCTACTATGATTGCTGTACTCCCGCCTGTACTCTGGACGAGTGGATTAACACCTCAACGGGCAGTGGTACATTCGATTACCTACTTGAAACCGAAAGAGACGATACAATGCGTCACTTCTTTGGACTCTATCATGACCCATATATGTTCCACCAAGGCAATCTACGCAACGTCGACACAGACCCCATTACTGTCAATGGAGTCACAGCTCAGTATTCCATTTTTCAGGCCTGGGTTGAGGTCGTGGTTCAAGAATTTGTTCGAATCGCCGAATGGCCTCTTGTAACTATCAATCATGCAGATGTAAGTTCGACATCTGTTTGTACACCATGTGTTGCTAAGATGTTTACTAATTATTATCAAAGATGTCTGCGGGCTTCAAGGCTCGTTATACCCGTGATGCTTGTGGATACGCCCTCAGCTACACCACAGAAAATAAAAAGATCACTGGGGTAACTGTATCAGCTACCGATAATACCTGTAGTGAGCCTATCCCAGTCACATTTCCCGTGGTTCCAACTAGCACCAAGGGTTTCGAGACCGAGCAGCTTGGCAGCGATCCTTTGACCGTTTGGGTTCAGCTCTCAGGATCCCCCGTTTCGCTCACTCTGTCCACGCCGATTGCTCTTTAATTGTCCGTTGAGTCGCCAGGCGATGGAAAGCCGTCTCGTCACCACCCCCTGGCATGCTCTTATCCATCTGCTGAATATAGTCTCTACGCTCTTCTTTAAGTAGTGTCACTTCAATGTATATTGAAACATAAAAAGCGTGCATACTTTGGTAATACAATGGTACCAGATATGATGATCTTGATGAATTCAAGAATTCCACCGATCCTTCAAAATAAATTAAGCCTTCTTTCTCTTTGACTCCCGGCTTTTAGTTCTGGGAGTTGATATGTAGGTTCAATATTCGTGATTGAGTTTCAATAAGGGGTTTATATCTCTTCGTCGTGATTCGGCCCTCTCATAGCATATTTCGGAAGAGGGGTGACCTGTCGCCCATTTCCAAAAGTTGTTCGTCGCTGTAAGTCTCTCTAATTTCCATCTCCGACAACTTGGCCTTTTGCTTGTTCGCATACATAAACCAAAGTTCTAAACCACACGCAACAAGTAGTCCCGAGACACCAAAAGCAAGCGACAACCCAAAGCCAGTAATATAAGTCGGACTCTCTCGGTCAAGGTACATGTAGCTCCCGATTATTCCGCCCGTATTACCCATGCAAATATTAAACGCACTGCCGATCGCACGTCGCTTCGAAGGTGCGAGATTGTTCATCGCCCAGGACGCCGCTGCCGGGTAGGTTGGGTAGATGCCCATACAAGCAAGGATTATGGCAAAGAAACCGACGCCGAGGTGAGATTCCAGTTGACCTTTGAGACCGACAATGATTGAGTAACCAATGATTATAAGCAGCAGAGGGGCTGCTACGAATGGGAACCGCCAGTTGTACCGGTCCGACATATTAGAAAAGGCAACGGCGGATAACGCGCCGGCAATGTACGGTGGCACCGTCATGAGCTGCGCAGTGGTGCCTTCAAAGCCCATGGCTTCAGTGAGAGTGGGCAGAGAGAACTTAGTTCCTATAAACATTCAGGGATTGCGTCAGTCACTCAGGTCTTGAGGTAAAAGATTGGTAGATGGCTACAAACCATAGTTGCAAGCAGACTGGCACATCATGATGTATGCCAGAAAATAAAGTCTCCAATTCTTCATGACTCCAAAAACATCTTTCAACGATATACTTTCTTGCTCTTCTTTAAACTGGCCTCCTTCCTTGATGAAATGCTGAATCTCTAGATACCGGATCTCATCTTCGTCCAACCACCGAGTCGAGAGGCTTGGCGAGTCTACAAGAAGCAGGAAGGTAGAAATTCCTAGTCCAACAGTAACAAGGCCCTCGATTATAAAGATCCACCGCCAACCCTCATACCCACCAACCCCGTCCATTTTACTAATGGCTGCTGCGAGAAGACCTGAAAATGCACCAGAAAGTGCGCTGGCGCAGAAAAATGCAGCCACACGTGTACCCAGCTCACGAGGCATATACCAAAGCGAGCAAAGATAAACCGAACCGGGAAAAAATCCTGCTCTGATTTTGCATTCAATAAGAGACAATTCTGGAAGGTAGTCAAATCTTGCTTACTCGAAAATTCCCAACAACACCCGCACGGCTAACAACCCGCCAAAATTTCGTACGACACCTGTCAACGTCATGATTGTTCCCCACGATACGATCAATGTACCCAAGTATAGGGATGGCCGAGCAAAGCGTTTGAGGAGAATGTTACTTGGTACCTCTGATCATTCCATTAGAGACGAACTAGTGAGAGCAGACAGGGTCTCCTCACCTAACAAAACATATGGGATAAAGAAAATACTGAGGGCGATATTATACTGGAGCCCGGTCAAATTCAAGTCTTCCGCTAACCCTAAGGTTTTGGCATTTCCAATGTTCGCCCTATCAAGATAGGATATCAAATAGAGGATAGCAAGCATGGGGATTAGCCTCATGTCGATCTACCGCCGTCCAGCTATTAGCTCCAGTCTTCGACCAAATACTTTTGATGGAACACATACCTTCCGAATAATCTGTTTCCTCTTCTGTGGAGTATAGTTGCGATAAAAGTCTGCGTCTTCGGACGAGAGGCCCAAAACATGTATATCGTCGATAGTGGTAATTATCGCATAGTTCTCCACATTTTCGCTGCTGCATGCCTTCTCGTCATCAATAAAGTCATCTTGATTCTCGGTGCGCATTATAGCGACGATTGGTCTTATTTGGGTTGGGAATATACTGGCTGTTTGAAAGTTAGAGTTTTATATGGCAGACGGTCCTGCTATTTATTAGCAAGGAACGGCCAAAAGCATGTTAACGATTGACTTTCGATGCGTGTGGCACTAAGGCACCCCGGGTTTCGTCCAACTTTTGGACTCCGGGGCCACCGAATCCGGGGTTCAGAAACCCCAGAAACCCTGTCTAGTAGCTTTCCAGGTCCCCCGCAATTCTCCGCCGTGGCCTATCTCACTCCGTCTTGGCGGCGATTGCGAATCCGCCCTCGGAGATAAGTCTCCGTTTTTGCCAGCGGAGCTTTCCATGCCGCTACTTGAAATGGATAGCAATATCTCAAGTGCTGTGGATAAGCCTTGTTGGTTACCCCACCCCCAAGATTTTGGACTTAAATAAGATGAAGACACACAAGATTTAGTGTTTCTTACAAGCTCGCTTCAATTCGCTCGCTGTTTTTAATATTTCGCTTCACGGCTTGTCTTATTCAGCCATTACCTCGCAACGAACACAATGAGCGAAACCGGAATTTTAGATCGCCTGGCCGCTCTTGACACCAACAGCGTATCCGATGCCCTGGACCTTCTGCAACTCGAAGGGGCCACGTATGGCATACGTCCACTTTGGGATTGTCCAAAGATCGTCGGCCGCGCCAGTACAGTTAAAGTCGGCCCCAAGACGGAAGTGGCGACAGCAGCACACCCATTTGCTGGAGTCATCGATTCCATTGTAACAGATGACCGTATACTTGTTATCTCCAACAACGGCTTGGAAGGTGTCTCTTGCTGGGGCGATATTATTGCTAATGCTTCAAAGCAAAGAGGGATCCGGGGGACTGTTATTGATGGCGTGGCTCGCGATATTAATGGCAGTCGTGAGGTGGGCTACCCCGTCTATGGACACGATCTTACCATGATCAGTGGGCGTAGCCGGATGGTACAGGTTGGCGCTGGGGTACCGGTGCAGATGCGGGGTGTTACTGTCCGCGAGGGCGATTATGTGATTGCCGATGAATGCGGGACAGTTTTTATTCCGGCCGAGCGTATCGAGGATGTCCTGGACATGAGTGAAAAAATTGATCTTCGGGAGAGTTTGATGATACAGGACATACGTGATGGCAGGTCAGTGTCTGATGTTATCAGTGACGCCAAATTTCGAGCTATAAATGTCGGAACAACGACAATTGCTGCTGTTGGGCATTAATAGCCCGAGGTTTTTGTGTAATAGACCAAACCCTAGAGAATAGTACTATATGACCTGAAAATCGACTGTTTTGTGGTTGAACCCCTGGTTATCATGTACTACTCACTTTATCATTACTGTCTGGGTGGATCGTATCCCGCAAGTGGCCCATGAATTTATGTGCTTTTTATTATTAAATATAGTATATCACCCCTCTCGGGTACTCACATTCAGATTTTGTTGCATGTTCCGAGCAACAAAGACTACTAGTATTCATTATGCTTTAATGATCAGGTGTTGATCTTTGATAAAACCGGCTCCACAATTTGAAACGGAAACAATGTAAAGAAGTCTATTCACTAGTATTCGTGTACCCATCTAAAGAGAATGACGTAGAGCGGAGCTTTTGAAGGTTTGTTCATTCTGAAATTGCAAGGTTCTAGTACTAGTAATAGTCGTATTCAATATTCTCCCTTGGGGTCGGGGTTTAATACGAGTAATAGTATTGCTACCGCACGGAAGTACTCCTGCCAACGTGAGATTAAAGTTCAACGATGGGCTAATGTACTACTTGACTATGTATTAAGATTCCATCGCGGTAAGTGGGCGCCACCACGAGTGATATATAAGACTATCCACCTGGGCATGATGGTTATTTTCGTGAGATAGCCTGAGATAAAAACAATGACGTGTTCGAAAGATTCCATATTTGAAACGAAACCTCGTCCAGAATTGATCCGCGTGCCTCGGCTTGGGTCCCCTTGACTGACATGTTGGGCAACATCCTCGCATAGCCAATCATCGCAGGTAATATCTCTGGAATTAAGATTCAACAATTCTAGTGAATGGGAAAGCATCTCATAATTCGAAGACAAAAGGATCTAAACAGGTTGTGGCTGGCTTGGCATATACTAGTACCATTTGGGTACTCGCGAGCGGCATTTGGAAGCGGATTCTGGCGTTCCGTCTGGGTCCGTGCAAAGGATTGGAGGACTCCGTCTGGCATACTGCGCGTCCAATCCAACATCAAGACCAGTTTTGATGTACAGTAAATTTCTTTGGGGCAGTCCTGGGTTATCCCTTATTCCGTGAAATTGTGTTGTACAAATGGAAACTCTTTTACTTACCGAATGTCCTTTAATTAGGTAGCCATTGTGGGGTTTGAGTTTCTTCAGGAAAGTATTATATATCATTCAGTCACAGCTATTTGAAACTCACGCGATCACTTGCAACATTGCTTTGTGAAAATCTCAAGACCGCTTGGTATCGTGACTTGAATCCACACATACTGGTATCCATTATATCCATTATATCCATTATATCCATTAGTACATGAAACATGTCACTATCCATGGTCACGGAAGAGTGTGTACCCCCGCTTTTCCAAACTAGTCTCAAAATTGACGAAGAAGAAACAAGCCCCCAGGGAGCCCGATCCTCTTGGAAAGAAGATGTACATTTCCTAGGCGACGAGAATGGCAAAATTTCCTTGCGCAGCCCCCCGAGCTTTAACAACACAGATGAGACGCGCACATACCAAAAGCAACACCTAGCGGCTGCATTCCGTGTGCTAGCCCGCCAGGGCTTCGATGAGGGGGTCGCAGGTCATATTTCCCTCCGGGATCCAGGCAATCCATCACTCTTCTGGATAAACCCGCTCTCAACACACTTCTCCCAGATTCGCGTTAGCGACCTAGTCCTTGTTGGCGAGGACGGTAAAGTTCTCCCCGGCGGTGCCCAGAGTGCTATCAACGGACCCGCATTTGCAATTCACAGCGCAATACACCGTGCGCGACCGGATCTTCAGGCTGCATGCCATGCACACAGTGTTTACGGGAAGGCATTCAGTTGCTTTGGAAGGGGGATAGAAATGCTATACCAGGATGCTTTGCGGTTCTATAAAGATCTTGCGGTATATCCTCGTTACGGCGGCACTGTGCTTACAACCGAAGAGGGTGATCGGATTGCGCAGTCGCTGGGCCCGACCTGCCGCAGTGTCATTTTGCAGAATCATGGTATGATTACATGTGGACGGACAGTTGATGAGGCGGCATTTTTATTCATTGCATTAGATCGATGTTGCCATGCACAGCTGCTTGCCAATGCCGCCGTATGCCCCGGATTCGAGAAGAATTACATCGATGATGAACAAGCAGAGGTTGCACATAGGAAGAGTGGTAACTCAAATAAAATGTGGTTGGCGTTTCAACCGTATTTTGACCAGGTTGTTAATGAAGAACCGGATCTACTGCAGTAACCACCACTGTGGACCGATTGTTCTAATAGTTTTGGAGCTTGGTTGCTTGTTGTGCCGTGGGCATGCTCCATCTTTATTGTGAATAGGTTGGCCGAGGACTCCATGTCTACTTCCATAGCGGACGAATATCATGTCATTTGTAGGTTCTCTGTTCATGAGTTAGACTCATCCATGTTAAATGCTCCGAGATTTACATTTTCGTTCATGAATCCAAATAGTAAATCCTGCCCAGGATCAAAGATATCTTGAAAAATCGCCATCTGTTCAAGATCATGTGAAGTCGGGGGAATGTTCGGAAACTGTAGACTATCCTCACAAGGTTGGTGGAAAGTCACATCTTGAGGCTCGACGACCGCTAAATAGGCGTAGTTAGCACTGTAATCCATAGCCATGGGTAAATCACGATGAATTGAGACGTACTAGATAGCTCTTCAACACCCTTAGCAGCCATGAGCTTACGAATAATGCGCGCGGTATCCGCGGCGCCGGAATTCGGCACACCTAAAGCATCTAAGCACCTTAAGCTTGCAGCTAGCAACATAGATGCTTCAGTATATGCATTTCTATCGGTAGCAGATAGGAGAGATGCAGTGTTCAGAACGTGGACGGTACATGCGACATAAACGGCGTAGCCTAGGAGATAGCTCGATTTGCGTAATGGGTAGATCGATTGATAACTGAGTACAAGACTGGTAATATGTCGTGAAGCGGTTGTACATCGTCTCCACGAGAATGCTGGTGTTCCAATGGTAGCAGTTTCGCTGGGACTGCTGGATACGACGATAAATGGGCGGTGCAGCAGGACAAGAAGAGAATAGTATGTTGTGAGTAGGATTATTCGATTTGGCGCGACCATAGGTGGTGAGTCTAGAGGATCTCTTGTCCAAGGCTCGTATATCAGGTGAGCTGGCAGATTGCTGTACCATTTTGTGAGAGTATCGTCGAGGTGGCGGATCTTTTGAAGGGCTGTTGAAGCAGTAGTGTCGACACAATAAATTTTGTCGATGATCTGGGTCATTATTTGAGATAGCGAACAGAGTTCCTGAAAAACAGTGACCGAATGCGCAAGGGGAAGTGTCGATGAAATAATGCGCGCGCCTGGAGAATCACAGTCATCATAAGGCTGCCATGCCTCCAGCTCCTCATAGGTATCTAGAAAGTCCCGCGAAACGTGGACATCCTGCAGTCGGATCGTGGGCGGACGTCCAAGATACAAACTCTGGAGCTTCTCACAGACAAAAGCGCCCCAAAATACACGTCGACGAATCTCGATTTCTTCGGCATTGAACTTGTTGTGGTCAGGATGTGGCTCAATATACAGACCCAGGTCAAATACCATACGCATGGCGTACCCGGTATACAACCAACCCTTGGACGTCATGCCTCTAGCGATGAATGTTGACCCAAGCATCACCAGCGCAATCACTGTAGGTATACTCGACTGAATTATTAAACCTTCTCGTAGCAACAGCTCATCGCACCGCGCGAAAAATTGCTGACCAGCTTCCGGCCCAGGGCGCTCGGAAAATTTCGAAGCGCATGCAAAAACAGTATAAAGCAAAAGGTCAGAGCAGTATGCACCACCGCACTCTAGTTCGCGCATGAATGTCGGTCGATATGTTAGCAGAAATGTGTGATGCTGTCGGCTCCAATGAAGATCGAGAAGATGAAGCGCTAGTGCTGCTGGCACCCCCCGAATATTTGACAGACCACGCAGGCGATGTTCGCGCTGCCTTTCCATCGCTGCATTCGCGAATAGTTGGTAACGCAGCGCGTCTGTGTTGAATTGTGGATCTTCGTGGCCAAACGCTCGACTCAATCTGCTGGAATGAATCACGGAAGTTGAGCTGAATATGCTATCACTGGCGTGAGGGCTTCTGGGCTCGTCTGTAGCACAGGTTTCCTTGTCTTCGTTATGAGATATTGAACTCTGGTCATTATTTCTGTGTCCGGGGATGTGACTGGTAGCGCGGTCGAGAGCCTCCCCAGGGAGCGTAAAATTTTCTTCCTGTATGATCGGACTTCCTATATCAGCTTCAAGACCACGTAGCAGTTGCAAGTCTTCGTGTCGCTCCCTCTCGGGGTGTATCGTGCTACCATGTGACACTCGCCCATTGACAATGACCACAGAGTCGAGTAGAGCCCTTCTCTGGGCTTCATCTGCGTCCTTTAGACGCGTCAGTACATGCTCCAGTGCAGATTTCTCTCTCTCAAGATGGTCGATCCTTGCCGCAGAGGGCCTCTGCTTCCGCGGTCCACTGTGATAGAGACACACTTTGTTGTTACTTCGGCAAGTTGAGCAGGTGGGCTTAGCACTGTCACATTTGATCTTGCGTTTGCGACAAAATTCGCATGCGCGGACCATTTTGCGGAGGAGCAATCATTTCCGAGTCGAATGTTTGACCGATACGTGCAAGTGGATGCCGAACGCCCGTGGTTGTTGGGGGCCATTTCGGCTTCCCCGCACTAAATCTGAGCGCCAGGTTAGTCTTGGCGTTGCCTAACCTTCCCACAGCATCACTTATGTTGAACGCATCATGCGAGTTAGTTGAATCAAGACCCATATTTAGTGGGTCAAATAACGGAAATATCGCGTTCATTACGTACCACCAGGGTGTGGTGCAGGTGCCAACTCGTAACGGATTGTGTCGCTCCGTTTCGCGTGCCACTTAATTGGATGCCTCAGGCAGAATTTATGTAGGTCTTGTATTCCCGGATATTCAAACTAAGAGCATTTTCCATCGATTGTACACGATTGTAGGCTATTTATGGTCAATTGAGCCCGCGCAAGGATTTTGCCAGTGGTCTCTTAAGGGTAAACTAAGATTACTTTGCTCAATCTTCGGCTCAAAACAACCACACCAATGCTGGCCGCATTCCCAATTCCCAAACACACATGTTTTTTTGGACATGTGAGTTGACATCTTCTAGTTAAAATAGTGTCGCACATTGGGCGAATGTGTGGAATTACCATACGCTGAGCCGCCGTACGTCAAATACCCAGCATCGACAGATCCAGACTGAGCCTTGATATCCTGCAAGTCCCCAAACAAAAAAACAGTTTGCATGCCCATAACCATATGTTGAAGAATGTGACAATGGTACATCCATACACCTGAATCTGTAACTCGTATCCGCCAAGCTCGCCAGCCTGATGGGGTGAGAGGTTTGGTCTTCTCGCGATACCGGTATAGGATTGCGGTGTCGCGTTGGATTGGCTGAGAGGATTTTAGTCTTCTTTCGTTTTCGGTGGCGTTATATTGTCCGTCTCCTCCACCGATGTCATAAAAATGTCTGCCATGAGCATGGAAAGGGTGGGCATCTACGCCCCCATTCGTGAATGTGCCTTCGTTCTGCCAGACAATTTCCAACACTTCTCCTATTTTGGCAGGGAAGGTCCGGGTAATGTTGTCGAATCCGTCGCCGCGAGAAATGGCACGTTGATAGGTCTGGCCTGTCTGTAACATTCCGTTATAAATGTCGACAAGGTATGGGGATTGCCGGAAGCTTTCGACCCAATCGTATCCATTCTGCAGCCATATGACGTGGTCACTCACGTTCTGGTGAACGTCGATAATAATTCTGCGGGTTACTTCCTCCAGTTTCGGAAACCCATCGTCTGATTGCAGAGGCTCTAGTTCATAATCGAGCCAGCCTTGGATAGTCTTCGCTTCGGGAAGGGGTGCTGGCGAAGGCACGGTCCTAAGATCTGGAGCCTCCCCGCCCAAATAATTTAACACTGCGAAATTTGTTAAAGTCTCCGGTCTAGCTAGTGTTGAGAGTTGGATGTAGAATTGTCGTGTTCTCGCCTTTTTTAACTCAGTCTCCGACTTTGCAGCCAGAAGCACGCTGTATCTCTGGCCACTTCCAATTTGTAAAAAATCCGTCTCGAGAGGTTTGGTAAAGTGACCATCTGCTTCGATAATAGAGACGTTGTGACTTTCAATTGCAAGCGAAACAAATGATAAAGCAGTAGCCCCGATGAATCTCAGCCGATATGATAAGCCGGGTTCAATAGAGATAGAAGCCAATTCACATGAGCCGGTGCTATTGGTTGCTTGGCGACTTTTTCCATTCACAAGAATAGCACCGGTCTCTCCGCTCCATGTGAAGTTATTTGAAGTCAGGCCGTCGGTAATTTGCTTATCGGTCTCATTGAAGAAGTCAGAAAGCATAATGGTACGCTCCTCGTCGTAGTTGAAAGGCGGTGGGTGCTTTGAATCCACGACAAGTGGGCCATTCGCAGTGACGGCTTGAAAGCCAATATGAGAATGGTAAAAGTAAGTCCCTGCAGAACCCAGTTCGGGCTTGACCTCATAATCAAAGAAATGACCAGCTGGAATAGGCCACTGGCTAGCCGCTGGAGTTCCGTCGGAGAATGGAGCTGTGAACGCAGTCAAACCATGCCAGTGCTGCTCGTGTTGTCAGTATATTTCTTTTGGAATCAAACAGTCGACGAATTGCTTACAATTGTTGCATTCTCGTGCTCCATATCATTGTAAACACGGATCCAACTCACTTGTCCTTCCTTGAGCCGTAGTTCCGGACCCGGAGAAGATCCGTTGACAAGGGCCGAATATCTCATCGTGCAGGATTCTGTATAATCGTGCGCTGTCACTCGAAGAATGTAATCCGGCTGAAAAGAGTCATCGTGATGAACAGTGCGCCCAGCAGACGCTGTTGCACATCTGAGAAATAAAGGCAGGCCGACGAGTATACTCCACATGTTTCACAGCTGGTCCAGATGTAAAGGGTGTTGCAAAATTGAGTGGAAATCGTGGAAAAGGGGAACCGTCCATTTATGAAAAGCACGCGCAGCGATGTAAACTATCAGTTTAGCCCCATATGCGAAAGCCCAATCCCGATTGAGAGATTGGGATCATTGATTTTGGGATACGAGACATCGTTTCAACGTGATTGGCTGGTTGTGTAGATCTTTGAGTGTTGTATTTGGCGTCAAAGTTCACGGACTGATGTAAAGCCAGGCGCATACCGCTGTGCATAGGGCCTTCGGTGGGTTATTTGAACCCAGAAACGGCATTGACCATCGGTCCAACCAAGTGTTTTCATCCGTTGCTCCCCTGTGAAGACCATTGAGAATGTGGTTGATGATATCTGAAAGTTTCCCTGGTGGCTGGGCGCCTTACCAGCGCAAGGGACAACCGCCAAGACCAGCTGCCGGCCTGGCATTTGGGGGGAGCGCCACATGATGCCATATTAGTTCACGACCGAATCACGCCGCTAAAGGCATTTCAGTATATCATTTATCGGCAAATTTCCGGTCGTATATGGGCCGGGTGGCTGAATAATCGCAATTTCGAGGCCGCCTCAAGACGGCTACGGCGAGGACAGGTTTGAGCTCGGTCAGGAAGTATACCATCGCAGCCTAGCCATGGGGGATGTCAACCTATGCCCGGGGTCGCAAGGAAGAAGCATACTAGACAATTCATGAACACTATTCCACATGTGCACGTGTTGCATGTGTTGAATTCATTTGGGCAGATGGAGACGCGATCTCCAATCATATCACTTGGAAGCACGGGCGGTGTAGAGTCCGGGTGAATGGGGCAGAGAGGCGGTGAGCCAGCGCGATGACTGATTACTCAACGCTGGCTCGTGTTTCAATGTTCAATTTGCACTTTGCATCTTGAGTGTTCAATATTTGTAGTGTTAAAAACCGGTTCTGATGTGTTTTCCGACGGTGCGGAAGGCATTTTAACCATCGACCATTCCCCCATTGAACAAATGCCGCTATGACGGAGAAAAGAAGAAGAAAGACAGGCTGTCTAACATGCCGCAGTCGACATGTCAAATGCGACGAGAGGAAACCAGAGTGCGAACGTTGTGAGAAAGCCAATGTTGAGTGCGCAGGTTATGCAGAGAAACGACAATTGAAAGTCCGATATCCGGGGCAAAGTACGGCAAGCACAGAGAATGAGAATCGCGGAGGGGAAGCACGAGAGAGAGCCCCTTCTCAACCTCTTCAAGTTCCTCAATGTGTCCCACTAAAGACTTTCGAAGAGAACCTACACTTGGTGCCTTTTCCTATCAATTCAAATCAGGTTCATCGGCCTCACTCGCGTGCCCGCGATCTCTTGGGTTATAACCAGTACGTTTCCCGAACTTTGTCCATATTGTTCTCACCAAAAGCCTTGCACTTCTGGAAAGACTTTCTGTGCCAAGCTGCCTGGGAACAAGAATGGGCATTTGATACTATTGTTGCCCTTGGCTCCATGCATCGTGCAGCTCTCCTACTTTCTCAAGAAGGCGGAAATTGTCGCGAGTACGGTCTAGACACAAAGATCGCTGCAATCCAAACGTACATCAGAGCCCTCGAGGGACTATCGTTGGATTTGCGTGGCAGGAATAGTCCCACGCCACTGGCGGTAGGGGTACTTGTTCTCATGGCCTATATTGAAGTACGTCTCCCACTCTCAACAACGGTAGATATTGGTATTAATAGCTCGTGGTAGTGCTTCTTAGGAAATATTCCTGCTGCGATTCGCCACATTCAAGTCATCCAGTATTACTCATTTACTATGAAAGCCGATGAAAGTTACCCTGTGGATGATTTTGTCTCACCCATCGAGTCATCTATCCGTGACTTAGAGCTCATCTGTCGTATTGTGAGACCCTTCCCAAGCCCATTAGAGCCTATTTCATTATCGAATGCAGAAAAGTCAACTGTGAACCTCCCCTTTTCTTTCTTTGGGTCAGTGGCTGGTTCATCCTCAGGGATACTTCAGCAACTACTTGAGTTCACATGTGCAGACCTCGACCTGAAGCATCTTGTGTGGTGCGTTTATGCAGCCCATTACAAGACCGTCTCCAAAGAGAAAGTTCTGGCCTTCCTGAAGGCCCTTGATAATTGGAGAACAAATAACTTACCAGCTTTGGACAACTTAGAACCAGAGCATTTGCTACCAAGCCACCAAAATTCCTCATATCAAAATCTGGGGAAATTGGAATTCCCGCCACCATGCTATAGCAATCTCCCCGAAGATTCCTGTTTGCCTCTGGCGTTATATACCTTCTACAGGGCACGTCTTCTCTGGGCGTTGTGCCTTCTAGGAGACCCAAAAGGCGAACTTGAATTGGAGACTTATTTTCATATATACCAGTTCCTTCGTTACACGAGAACCGCTTTGATCAGCCCAAACCACTCTAAATTCAATAGAAACCCGTTGTGTGAGAATCTGAGAATTGGATTTTCGCCCTTGCTTTATCTTGCGGGGCGTTGCTGTCCTACGGCATCGTGGCTTCGCTGGATCATTCAGGAACTCGAAGGTATCAAACATGAGGGTGTCTTCCAAAGCAAGGCATTCGCGACAACTCTTGACATTCTCCTTTCACTGGAAAATAAGAACATTTGTACTTGGAATCCATCTTTTTTTGGGCATAAATTTGTGCCCCCCGGCTCTCGGATAGTCGCTTTATTTGTTCCTGGTCTTGATGGCCGAAGCTACGAAGCATACTTTGCTCGGCCCGCCGAGACCGCAGACGATACGAAAGGGGATTTCATAGTTTCCAAGGTCGCTCGCTGGTCAGATGCGACAGCAGAAACAAGCCCTGTCAGCCAAGACTATAAAGCCCTTCAACAGCTATTTTCCAGAGAGTGGCTCATGCAGCAACCCTTGGTACGGAAATGGGTAGCATGGAGTTACGATTCTGAATTTGACTTCAATAAAGTGATTCAGGATCATATTACTGGTAATCGCCTTTTACTCGACACTGAGTCGATATAATGAACAATATGTAGTACATAAGCATGGCTATTTTTCTTTTGGTATCACAACATAATCAGAGAATTATTTCGCTCATTTTCCAGGGACCCGTAGACCCCGGCTTCCAAATCAGTAAAATCCCTCTCGATGGATTTTCTCTAACATCACGCCAGCGGCGCGTAACCCTTCCACTGCCGAATCTGCAAAGCCATTTGGCCCACAAATAAGCGCATCCTTCTTTTCTGCATTCAGTTTCCAATATTCCTCCGTAATACGGCCAGGATGAAGATGGATGTTCAAGATTCCAATGTCTGTTGCATTCAAATTGACACCTTTTATATTCGTGAATATATCGATTTTGATCTGTATTTTGGGTGGTAGTCTCGAAACCAGGTCATGCAATAAACGGACCATCACGACGGGCTCTCTCGTCGACAACGCTAATGTGATGGTCTTTCTCGGTGGTGCCTTCATGTTAAGTGCACTCAGCATTGACAAGAAGGGCGTGATGCCGATTCCTCCAGCTACCCATAAAGTATTGGATGCTGTTTGGCTGATGTCAAATTCCCCGGTGATCCCAACGATTTCCGCTATTACAGTCCTTTCCGGCCTGTAATTTGATCCGTATGCGTGATTTGCTTCTCTCAGAAGATCAAACAGAGCACCTGTCACCGTGCCCCCTTGTACCTCACGCATGGTCAATTCGAACCAAGAGATGTTCCCTAAATCGTGGGCGCTGGATACAGTCCATGTACGCACACGATCATCATTCAGAAGACTTGGCTTGGCATTGGACATATGTTGATACTGCGGTGGTCCAATCCAGTTCATGAAGTCTAAAACAATAGCCTGTCCGGGTCGGATGGATAATTTCTTCGCACCCGCATTCGAGTGAATCTTGAACCTGAAGACAGCAAGATTATCAGACAGTTGAATAACACTGTCCAATTCCGCTTTATGTGCGTTGTAATCGTTACACTCGGTCCCATACTCCTCAATGAGATATTTGACCTTCGGACTGTATGGACTTCGCTCCACATGAATATCTTCTTGCTGTCGAAGAGGCAAAGCATTTTCGATAAATCTGAATCCTGTCACTTTAATCAAAGTCACCGCTGACTGCCCTTTCATAATTTTGAGGGCATCCTGCCCTACTAAATTTTCAGCTGTGCCTGTCATATACAGGACATCTCCTGTTGTGAATGAGGGAATTGTCAAAGCAGCCAGTCCTGTTGCTTCGATGTTGCCAAGGCTCGATAAAAATCTGTTCCCCGAGTAGTCTGGAAGCACTATAGTTCGGCAGTCAGATGGCCTCACTCTCATAAATCCCGGTAAACCGCTTCGAGCATTCATTCCAGCATGCGAGGAAAACTTCGGCCCTACAGATCCCTCTGACAGGTACAAGGATCCGACGAAGGCTGTATCCGCGATTGAAATAAAGTCAATGACATTTTGAGGCAACCTTTCAGATTCCCAGAGATTTTCAATTTGATTACTGACCACCGGCCGTGCATCAGGGAATGGGACCAAGTTATAGACATTGATGTATTTCGGGCAGTTACTATTATAATAGTTGTTATTATTTTCCTTTGGGGGGAGGTTCGTCTTGTTCTTCGCATTTTTGAATGACCAGTGAATGCTGCTTCGATCTGGCATATGCTGAACCACTTACCCTAAAGCTTGGTTGACATTTATATCCAATCGGACGCTAAATTTTGTGGGCTGACAGATATTCATGATCTGTCCCGCGAATTTGTTGCGTCGTCGAGTAGAAAACTCTATACCGAGCCCAGCAGTCAAGAATCTGTCAGCATTTCCGCGGGTTGAAAGCTCGGCCTTCTTCCACGCCGACGCCGTATCTTGGAATGGATCTCCATCCCATAATTGCGCCGTGATTGATAATGTTATGGGATCTGGACTTTCGATAAAGCCGATGCCACCCCTTTCACCAGTCAGAATTGACGCCCAGGGACGACCATTCTCGTCAACAGTAGTAATGGGAATCAGCCTGAGATTTGAAGTATGAAATATACGGTGTTGCTCAGGCATTCTTTTCGCAACATGAATCCAGCGGTCGCTGACAGCATCTGAAAAGCCAAAGCGACGTTGTAAACCTATCTGGCTGGGATGCCATCCTTCAAGGTCGCTCGCCATGTTAGACGTCGTAGATTTGTGAATGATGTCAGCTCGAGTATTACGTTTTGAACAGAAGAAATCAAAAATAGACGATGAATGATATTCGTGTAGAAAACAAGATAGGATCAAGGAATAATATCAGCCGGAAAGGTGAGTTGCGTTTGATTTATGGAACATTCGCACGCTCCGCGCTATAAGGCTACAGTAGCATAGGAGAGATGGTCTCGACAAAAGCCGCCCGACGTAGGAAGTGTACCTCAGGTACTGCTCTCGCCCTTCTCGAGTGTCTCGCGTGTCTCGGGTATCTCGGGTATCTCGCCTAAATCGGCAAACTCGCCTTTTTGCCTCGATGATCAAAGGAATGATGTGGGATGACGACAGTCATTCTGGCTATTTCCATGACAATTCTCATATTTAGAATGCCAGTGCGGCCTAATGTTTTGAGCACTTAAGAAATATAAAGTCTGAGCACTTCTCTGGCTTAGCACTTCAAGTTCAAGTTCTCATCTCAACTTCGCAGGATTCAAAGTTTGTCCCGCTTCCTCTCCAATCACCTAGTATTCTTGCCCAACTCAATAGCAATATCCAACATGACTTCTCAAGAGAACATTCCGGTTTATCATTATCTTGATATTGGGCGCCTCGGACGTGGTGAAGTTGTCAAGTGAGTCCATCGTCCGCTTGTCCCACATATTTCTTGGCATTTGTGCCCAAGCGTCTTGGAAAAACTTGCCACTTACAATGTTCAACTCAAAGCCTCTTTCTGAAGGATGCTGGAATCGAAGTGCACCAAGCCCGTTATCCTTGGGATGCTTCGTGGTTGCAACAAAGCGAGAGTCTGAAGAAGCAGGGTATCACTCGTACTGGCAAGGTGCCTTCGCTCGAGTACAAGGGCCAAATACTCACGCAGGTAAATTCCAATTTTGATTAATTTATACATTCTCGGCTCACAACTTGAATGTCAGCATATTCCCATCTTAAGATATCTTGCTCGCGATCTTAACCGTTACGATGGGGATACAAACTGGGAGAAATATATTGTCGACGCTGTTTCGGATATCTACATTGACTGGCGGGTATGTATCAACTCCGAAATCCAATAGTCCCGTCACCAAGGCTGATTGCACAGGCAAAATGGGCTGCAAATCTGACGGAAGCCAGTGCTGAGTATAAAGACCAATACGTGGTGGAATATTACAACCTGGTAGCTCAGTACTACTCTGATTACGAAGGGCCATATCTTCTGGGTGAAAGGATCACCTATGTCGACTTTGCCATTTTCCAATCTATGGATAATGATGAGAGAACAGGAACCCTTCCGGTATGCTAAGCCAGACTTGATATCTTCTGTAAATACGAAGAACGAAACTTCACTGTGGTAACCTTTTGCTGACTGTCTCCTGCGAAGCTGGTACTTTCGGAGGCGCTGGTTGGATTCAGAAAGGCATTCGCGGCTAGGCCCAACATCGCTCAATACATCGATGTAAATCGACATGACCAGTAATAGCCCGTTGGTGGTTCTCTTATTCATGTATTGTTACTCCCAACCCTATTTCAGAGGACTTCATCGAATCATAGTTACGGACATATTACGTTCGAAAGTTCCCAAATTTCATAATTTCGTTTGAAATTAAATTGAATCATTTGATCCCGAGGTAAAAACTGCTAATTAGTTTTCAACTGCCAAGGCTGTGACGTAGTCCTCCCAGACCTTCCGAATGTCGTTCTTGTAGATGAAGTCCTTGTTACCACCCAGAATGTTGTCGACTCTAGCTTGCAGAAATTCATCAAGGTTATGTGTCTTCAATTTTGTCTGCTGTTGCATTTTGTCGTGATTATTGTCGATGTGTTCGTACCTGGCCGACAAGGAAGGTGGTGAGACGTTGAGTTTTTACGCTTTGAAGCTATTGTCCGAGATAACTCACATTTTGTGATAATAAGGGCTCCTGATACGATCGAAAATGTCGAGCGCACCTTGAATAGGACTATCCGACAACCTCTTTTCCTCGAGGGCACGTGCCAGAATCCATCCATCCTCCATGGCAAATGTTGCTCCGGATCCAAAGGCACCTATGAGAGGTCAGAGAAATTTCCACAAGCATGATCCGACCTTTTCAGTCTATTGCTTGCCTTGGAGGGGATGGCTCGCGTCGCCGATGAGAACCACCTTGCCCCATCCGGTTACACGTTCTAGGCGAGGTCCGGCATATCCAGCAAACTCCCTCCAGTGTCCCTCGGGAACAACCGCAACCGCATCCCTTACTCGCTTATCGAATTTCTGATAGAGAATCAGCAAAATATATTCTCCGTAGACTATAAATACTCATTTCATAGCATACCGACACCCGTGATGCCACTTTGTCATTGGTAGCCGATATTCCCCAAGGAACCGTCAACCCAGGAGCCTCGGGCTCTGTGTATGATCGCACCGTTATCTCGAAATATGGATCAGGATTTTCCGTTTCATCATCGACATCAGAGAAGTATACGTGACCATTTTGGCCCCACCACCAGGCAGTCGCATCAGTGACATCTGGGATATGGGTGAGAGATGACTTTTGAATAAGTACACGCCAAGCCGTGTTGCCTGTATTTCAACGAAGGGAAAGATTCGTCATCGGAGGTTATTACAACAGCGAAGGGATTTTGCAACTGACCCGTGAAGTGAAGTTCATGGTTGGGGAAGAGGATTCGTCGAACAATCTATCAGGTAATCTAAATAAATTATATTGTGAGATGAGGAGCAACAAGAAGAACACACCGAGCGTATGCCATCAGCGCCAACAACAAGATCCGGAATCACTTCTGTTCCATCTTTGAAATTTAAACGCACTCCACCATCCGGGACACTTTCCAATGACACAAGCTTCTTGTTATAAACAATGGTGTCGGGAAGCACCCTAGCCAGGAGAGCTGACTGAAGACGAGTTCTGCGGGCCCGGATAGATCCACGGACATCACCAGCTGAATTCTCCGGCTGCTCCTGAAGTCTCAGAACCTTACCAGTATGGCCATTTCTGTTTTTTGGTGTCAACCGAGCTGTACCTCGAGGCCATTTATTTGCTATACCAACCTCTGGTAAGTATTTGCTTGTGGCCCTCCTTTGACTCCGTCACTTGCTTCAAGAAGGTCCAGGATTTTCCATGCATTCGTGCTCAAGCTAATCCCAGCGCCAGCTTCTCGGGGCTCGGGGCTTTGCTCGTAAAGTGTCACATGAAAAGATGGAAGCTCAGATAACGCGATGGCAGTAGCAAGTCCCCCGGGTCCGCCTCCAATAATGGCGACTGTTGTCAGTGATTTCGCAATCATGATATCCTAGAGAATGGACTCAAATAAATATTTCCTCTTTTCTGCAGTGTACAAAAGCCGTACTAAGGGAGTTATGAGAGACCTGAAATTAAATTAATTCCGGTTTGTAAATGAATGTGTCCACACCTCAACTTATGAATGCCTCAATTAGCGATCGTAAAGAGGCTTACTATCACGTCACAGTGGATCTCGAAATCGTGATATCCAGGAGAAAGGATTCGCAAACGTGAAATAGGAAGCCTTCACTTCATTGGTTGTTCACGAAAGGCACTCCGAACGCTTTAAAACCTAGGCCTAGACTTCAGAAGGACCTGCAAATTAGGCGGAAAAGGGCTTGTTGAGTAGCCAATTATTTATTATTGCAATATAAACTAAAATCAGTCTGACCGGGCCCCTTCAAATGTACTCCGCCCACGTTGATCATGACTTGAATCTAGCAACTTGAAGGCAGAACCTTGGAAGTGTCAATAATAGATGGTTCAACCCGATCGGACTTTACATAGTTGCGGTCGGAAATCTACTATTTCCCACCCAGAATACAAACGAAAGTATCTACAGGGCAAGTATAGTAGTTCTGAGCAGAAACTTACATCCCAGGCGGAATGGCGAAGTTAAACTTGAATTCGTATCAATAAATATCTGGTAGAACACAGGGAAAAAAGTTTTTTTTACAGTCAGTCCAAAAAGTATTTCCTTGGCAATATCTGATTTCCAACGTGCTGTTAACCATACTTATTAAGAAGCTGCAACTTGAATGTGTTCTTATAGTACGGTCCTGACATGAATATTAGTTACATACCATACAAGTACGAGTAATTCAAAATAGCACGGTCGTTCGACTTTCAATCTATCAACAGCAATATATTCTTCAATGGTGTCTCTTTGGACTATATACCGAGATAATTCTTTGGTAGGCTTTAATATGCTCTTTGTAACCAGTCAATATTATAAGCACCCCGAAGGAAAACATTCAAATATTCTCCTTGATGAATCTAATCCACAGAAAGTAACTTCACTGGTAAGCTGGTTTCTACAGTAACGCTCTCTCCATCTATTTTTACATTCACTTTGAAATCTAGCCCGTGCGTATGGCGAATGCTATGGGTTGTGAAATCGGGATATAGACGAGGCGTCGGGTAGAGCCGCTTATTTCCCGAAAGCATACCAAACTCATTCATAGTAAGCTGAAACATATCACCGAGATTTAAAGGTTTGTTCCCTTTCCCAGTAGATACGACCAAAGGACTCTCAAGTAATGAAAGCATTTTATCCAGTCCAAGATTCGAGGTTTTAGTATGTGTATCACAGTGGCGTCGGGTATGTTCAGGATTCGATGTGAATCGAATGTCTGTCGTTGCTCGAAGGAAAATTTTGATAGAGTCAACTCTAATCTCACGCACAATATCTTTTATATCGTCACTTGTCTTTTCTGGTAGAGGATCAAACTGTACAGAAATTCGAAGGGGTTCCGGGTCGCTAAATCGAATTGACATCGGAGATGAGACAGTCATATTGAAATAGAATTCGGGCACTTTAGATGAACGAAGCAGGTTCCGTGTTTTCTGATGTAGTGAAAGTGTTGCATCTTTCATTCCAGGTAATAGTCGTTGGCTTTGTACCTTTGCCTCAGACTGGACTTGGCGTATTTGATATTCTTCGATGGTTTTCGTCGAAGAATATCGAATCTTGAAAGGCCATGTTATCGCGTGGATTTTGACATGACCCGCAGATTTATAACGCAGTGTAGCGACAAGAAAATATTTGACCTCCGCTTGTGCCGATTCCACATTTCCAAACATGCTCAAATTCCCGGATGCGAAGGGTGGAGGCAACTTTTTGTGGTCCGGGTGGTCTGGATTATCCACTGGTAGGTGACTGGTCACCTTGGTGTAAACATGATAAGGGTGTTTTTTAGGTCTTTCAGGAATTTTGATAGAGAATTCAAAGTTGAGTTTTTCGTCACTATCATGAGGTAGGTGAAGTGGTCCGTTGTGGATTAGAGTCTCCTGTGACTCGAACAAAAGGATATGCTCTGCATAGGTTTTTTTATGATTACTATGAGCTTTTCCGCCAGTCCTAATACTAGTCTCCATGCGGCCGACCAGATCAATCTTGACAGTCGCTTCCGGGGTGATGATACTGGCACCGCGCACAAGGTTTCCAATGATGTTGTCTCCTGGTGCAAAAATCCAGTTTTCCGGTGCCGCGACGTCGAACTTGAAATCATCCTCGGTGGCCTCGGGGGTAACAGAATTGTGCATCATCTTGTCTTCGAAGCCGTTAGGAGAACTTGTCCGCATTTTCGACAGGATTTTCAAGATCCAATAAATGGTGACAAATTTAGCCACATGGGGGCCAAATCTAATTTCAATGATCTGCAGAAGGGTGAAAGGATCAAAGCCACTGAAACCACTGCTCCTGACTGCCAGGAGAACTATGTTTAGCATGCGTCTAGTGAAAACTACGCCACCCGGAGTTTGACTAATTACACCGGCAAAATCCTAGCCGTGCCGTCGTACAACGGGGTATACCGGCCACCCCGGACAATGCGCTAGTGAATACATTGATGCCTGCATCTGCCTGATTTTAGACCCGCAGAAAACAATAATACCTGAATTACTATGTAGCTGACCATAAGTGGGCTAGGGCGCTATAAAAAAAAGCTATTGAGACTTTACAAAATCTGCCCTACCCACGACCACTTTTTATAAACTTTTAACACCAATCGATAGAGCAGTTTTAAGCGTTGGAGTGGAGATCATTAACGGTAGAAAAGAAAGATAATTATAGCACGAGCCTGGGCAGGGTCTACTTAAAAGACAATTGTGTTAAAACAGAACTCGTCTCCGAGTGAGCTATATCTGCTAAAGATCTTCAGCCCTAGAGTTGGCCTCAACCAGGCTTTTAAGGGCCGCCAAGAGCACCAGGATTTTGATGAACCAACATACCCAAATCTCCCTTGATGGCATCTTTCACAGTTCATCTTGGCAGCTTCTTGGACGAAATATTGTCTTTCAAACGGAAGCGTTGGGGAAAAGAAATTCAAAAAAAAGCCTCAAGAATAATGGCTATTCCCTCTGAGGAATGGCTACGCTTCATGTGACAAGCGAAATGCTCAGGCATCTTGACTGCGCCCCAAGTCTTGGCTGTCTTGGCAGGGACCCGAGATCCACACCACCCGGGGTCTGTATGAACTCCGCTATGTTTTAGTGATGTTGCATTGAGATAATTCATGCGGCATGCCTGAGGTCGCAATTGAGCCTGCAAAGTTCATGATCAACAAATTCAATTCAATCAACCGGTCGCTATTGTAAGCTAAATCATTGCTACTTTTATACTGTTCTGCATCAATATTCCAGGATCTTAGAGATATCTAAGATTCATAGTCAAAATACAGATACCAGATTGGCGATATTGCCACTGAGAGATATGGTCAACGTACAAAAATTGTGAGACCCTGCACAGTGCCTTCCTCCGGTACATCAACCCTAGCTGCGGGGCATGAAGGCATCCTTCCCGCAGGCCACGGCCCATATGCAGCATGCAACGGGATCGGAGATGGCCCCTGGTCGTTCGTGGATCTCGGCCGGCGACCCTGTCCGTTCATACGTGAGACCGTTGGTGTTGTGCAGACCAACGGCACGGAGCATGGGAGATACTAATTATTAGTTAGTGTCATGTATTATAATCTCCATGGAAACTGGCCGTTGGAAGGTCAGCGATTAGTTCTTGTATCAACCGAATGCTAAGTCTACATTGCGGAGCATCTTACATCTTCTTCTATCTTTACATCCTCTTTCTTGCTACCAGCTTCATATTCAACCTGGTCACCGTCTGTGCCCTTAAAAAATGCCCCTGTATGGTATTTGGAACATCCTATGGCCCGGGATCCTAACTAATAGCCATACTACCTCCGCGTCCTATTCAATGTTGATCGCAAAAACATGCAATTTGAGGACACTATGTCTATTACCCCACTATAATTCGACACCTTACACATCCACCCCCATATTGTACTTCCAGAGATATATTATATAGTCACAATGCTTCTCAAACGGCTTCTATTTCCTCATTGTGTTTAATACTACCACTGGCAGCAAGAGTCCTTGCCTTGTCCAATCACCCAAGAACCCTTAATGACTCTTCCTCGCCGATAACCTCACAGATAGTCCTATTCTCTATTCTAACACGGTTTGCAATGATATTGACTTAATACCATAGCCCCAAACCGCGGAGGACTGGCATTTGAATGGCCTTAGTGTTACGAGCTGGTCCTGCTGTATAGTGAGTAGGTATAGTCCTTCGGTCTATACGTACCTCAAGTATATTCTGCAGTTGTACTATTATCTTAAAGCTTTATATAGGCTTAGACTTATAAGAGTACTTACAAAGATTGTATAGAAGAAGAGCTCTCAATAGTTTATCGGAGACTGTTACGGCATACATGCATGTTCATATTCAAGCATTACCGTGTATATACATATTGATATTCCAAAGGAAAGATCAATGAATGACGTATATTGATATTAGAACGGGCACATGACTTACCGAGGGTTCTAGCCTCGGACCTCTCACGTGAAGTATATAAACCCTGGTTGGTATAAAATATATGAATGCTTAGAAGTATTAGACTTCTAAGGATTAGCTTCTATATAACTTTTATAAAGGAACTTAATGTAATATTACTATTCTTTATCTATTTAATCCTTTAACGTTAATCTTAATAATTCTAATCCTTCCATCTTAGGTTATCTAATAAAGATATTAAATATATACTAAACTATATCTATAGTCTTCTCTAAATATTCTATCTCTAACTTAGTAAGTCTAACTTAGAAGATAGTATCTTATAATAATAATATTGAAAATAAAGAGAGAGAAATAAATATCTATATCTAAAGATTAAAGAAACTTAAGATAGACTATAAAATATCTTATTATTTTCTATCTTAAACTATTAATATCTATTTTAATAGTATTAAGATCTTAGGGTGCGAACGGGTATATATTACTAAGTTAGGGGAAATAATAGTTAATATATATACACCGGTAAATAAACATAACAAACAGATATATCTGATTATATACGATTAGATAACTGTAGATAGATAGTAACAGATATAGACATAGATATTGCCATATATAAACAAACGTAACAGATCGTAACATATAAAATATACAGGGAGAATTAGGTAAATTTATCTCACTTTTGTGATTTAGTTTCTTTCTTAATTAGATCCTTTTTTAGTTTATAACTAACTTCTTTATAAGTAGTATAGAAGTATTTCTTTAGATTAGTATAGTTTTTAGTCCTTACTACTATATCTATATCCTTTTTATAAGCTATTAGGATTTCTATTTATTTATATAGGATCGGTCACGGGCTTCCTTAATCCCCTTAGGTATAACTTAGATATAATTTATAGCTACTCTATAGATAAATCTATATATAATAGCTTTAAGCCCTAGTAATATAAAAAATATATAAATAATAGCTACAATTCTTATTCTATAAGAATCAGTCTATATATCAACTATTCTATTTAATCTCTACCATCCGATATCCTTGCCTAGTCATAGGTCTCTAGCCTAATAACTTAGTAACCATTATATTATACTTAAGAAAGTTGAATTAAAATATAATTAGAGCAATAGTAAAGGTAAAATTAGTTATAAACTATATTACTAAAAGTAGTAATCTAAGTATAATAATAAGATTAAATATAAAGAACTAAATATATAATAGTAATAACTATTTTTATATATTCTAGTCCTCTATATACTTCTATAGTAACTCCAAGAGGGTAGATCCTAGAGTTACTATAACTTACTATATACTCCTAGAGTAGATTAGGAGTAAATAGTTATATAATTTAGGAATACCCAATTTATCTAAGAGAATAATCATTATTTATCCTAAGGAGGCCATTCTTAGTAGTCTCCGTACCGTTTTGTCTTTATATAGAGTATATACTATAACAGTTCGTAGGAGGCTATTTATAGCTCCTTTTCCAAAGTATTTTCTAGTCCTAGTACTTAGGGATCCTTAGATATTAGATCCCGCACGTAACTTCATAGCTCTATATTAAACGTAGAACTAATTAGCTTTTGTAAGTCCAAAGTTAGATTTAGCCCCTGTGGGTCCGTAACAACTCTTTAGGCTATACTAATTTTCCTCTAAATGATTTCTAAGTTTACCCTAAACTAATATTAAACCAGCTGTTAGCGCTTCTGTTACTACTAAGTATAAATATTCTTTCTTAGCTGTCAGATATATTCTAGGAGCCACATTTCCTCTGTTTACTGCGCAAATGTACCAGAATCTAGGAGTTCATTAGGCAGGCAGTGTATTTTCCTTCCTATTGCTCCTTCTCCTACCGATTCCTTGGATTCCTTTCAAATATGGGCCCATCTTACGAGGCAAAAAATGTTGGTGACACTAAGATATTTAAAACTGAGTAATAGTATTGACCAGCCACCCATTTACTAACACAGTGCCTCAGCGATCATCGCAAATTCGTTGAGTAGCAGGCAAGGCTCTGTAATATTTTATAAAGGATATGAAGTATGATCTCTTCACCTCCTGTTGACGCATTTTGACACAGCTGGACTTTTGCTCTTTTGATGTGAGAACCCCATAATTTGCGTCTTCTCCAGAGCTTTTTGAGTACCTAAACCAACATATCATTTTCCAATATCTCATGCTACCCGTAGCGGTAAAAATCACCGCTCAGTTCGACATTAGGTCAAAAGCTCCTTTGTGGAATCAGCTTATTGTCGGTATTTGGAAAATTCATTTATCGCCCGACAATGTTTGGGCCTGCCTTAGATGACTGCCAAACGGCTATCATATATTCTGCCCACCTCATACGAGGGCCCAGTAATTTTGGTAAAAAATTACGTGGGGCCGGTTAGGTACCGAATGTTGTGTTCTATACTGTGGCCGTGAACGATTGAACACACGGGCCTTCGAAAATCAAATGCCGACTGCCACACTGACACGGGGAAAGAGGACCCCGAGCTTTAGTCCACCAATAATTCTTGTTGGCTTTTTTGTTTGTTCAAAATCGCCTTAAATTAATTACCTCCTGCAATAAATTACTCTTCTGTTTAAAGTCAAGCATTTCAGCCAGCAACTTCTAGTCAAAACCACCTCATCCACTACCAAATCTCGCACAATTCACCATGCAGAAGAACATCTCTTTTTGTATCCTTATGTTGGCACTATCAACGACGGCATCAACCACGACATCAACCACGGCAACGAGCTGTGCACCGGGGGGTTACATGACCGCCCTAGCCAACTTCGACCTTCAACTTCCCATCGCATCATCTAGTGGAGATACGGCTGAACAGATTGCTGCCACAAAGGTAGCAGGCTGCAGCGGCTACCAAAATGCAGACTGGTTCTACTGGAATACGGCCAGTTCTTACCTCGTTATGAACGCGCCTCCAACCAGCACACCATGTGCGAAAACCTCAGGCAGCAAGCACTGCCGCACTGAGCTTCGAGAGGCTGTGCCTTCTAGCTGGAGCCCTTCGGGCACCAACACGATGAATGTCAAGCTCAAGGTGGCGCAGGCCGATGATGGAGACTATGGCACCGTTATTGGCCAGGTCTTCTCAGCGAGCTTTTCCAAGCCTATCATCGAGCTTTACTATAATCCGATCGGCGTTATCACTGTTGGCCTGGAGACAACGGCATCGGGAGGAAGCGAAAACTTCACCCAGGTTGGCACAATTCCGGAGAATACGGTCTTTACCTATGAGCTGAACTACTCGGACGACGAGCTCACAGTCTCGATCAATGGTGGAGAGGCTACTAATTTTGCCGTTACGCAATTGGGTACTCCGGATGCCTACTTCAAAGTTGGTGACTATAATCAGGGAACTGACGTTGCTAGTGAAGTTGATATATATAGCATCGATGTTGTGCACTCTTGATTTATGGCGAAGAGAAGTGGGGAGGCAGAGACAGACCAAAGAATGAATCAAATACACCACTCGCATCTTTCACCTCAGTATTCTTGTAATACCTTTAAAATATATCGGATTATTCGCTATATCAGCAACTTCCTAGGATTCTAGTTAGTGCGAAACCAGAGTCCGCTCACATCCCTTTCAAGTTGAACGTAGCTCTTTCCCATCATGTAATCTCTTGACTATATGTTACAACTGAACAGACAAATCTGGATTTTAATTTCTCTGATCTCACAATTTTGAGTAGTTTTCTTAAATTTACCTCTTGTCAAAAGTCCGAACATTACTAGATTGCGTCTTGAAAAAATTTGAGATAACTGATTCAACATTTATATGTGTGGACATCAGTGTATACCTTGCCCATTACCCATTTTGAATAAGAGCCTTGAAAGTTTCAAATAAAAAGAACATGGGAAAGTAAAAACAGATGAACGCAGGAAAACAATCAAGAAGAGACATTTGGCTTCTTTTAGAATGAAATATTACGAAATTGAGAGATGTTTCACAGACTATGCATGTTATGGTATAGGCATAGAGGACTGAGAATGATAGGAACAGCATAAAATAGTGAAATGGAATGAATTTGAGTGTCAAGGAAGACCAGAGAGGCGTTTTCCAATGGAAAAACGCAATAAGAATACAACTAGTCCAGAGATCTTAGAATGTCCAAGGCAATCTCGACAGGGATATGGTCCTGTGCCATTATCTTGCGAAGATCTGCAACCGTCGGTGGCTGGGGGTGCTGACTCCAGTGCTTCCCAAACAGCTCACAATCCGGGCCAGCCAGGATAGCTGAAGAAAAAGTGCACGTACTGCCAGCGACCACTTCACCCAATAGCTGAGGCACTAGCGTTCGGGGAAACATCACATTCGTATTTCCATGAGGCGAAGTGACCTTTCCGCGTCTTGGTGGCGTTGACACATCTCTGATGCCACTAAAGTCACCCAAGTCGCCATCAACACAGGCCGAGGACTCAGATTCGGTCAATTGGTCAGCTTGAAAATCCGACTTGGGAATAGCAAATCCCCCTTCTATCGTCCAGAGGCGGCGAGGACTGGTAATTTGGTGAACTCGCATATGCCATAGCGGGTGTGGGATAAGCCAGGTCTCAACAGTGACATCAGGCCAAGGATGCCATCGAGAAAAGAGAATGTTTCCACAAATCTTCACATCTTCACAGCTTTCTCGTACACGAAAGTGTATTCTGTCATCGCTGAGCGCAAGCATGCTATCAAAGGCGCCAGCCAAGAAGCCCCTCGAATCACTTTCGATACTGAAGCCATATCGTGATGAGTAGGCAAATTTGTTGTATTTTTCAGGCACATCTCTCATTTGAAGAGATGAACCAGGTCCAGAAACCAACATGACAGAGTGGCGTGGCTGATGACAGAAAACCATTCCTGGGATAGGAAATGGGACGACAGACTCACGCTTAGGCATGGACAATTCCGCTGATGCCCAGAAAGGATGCGTTTCTGGTAGACACAGAGGAGCGAAGACTTTCATTGCCCACCAAGGTGAGCCAGTGGAGCTGTACCGCTCGGTGATAAGTTGGTTTGGGTAGGCGTACCCCAATGTTAAGAGACCATCGCCAAGTCGTGATATGCGTTGCGAGGCCCACCATCGTAGGTGTCGCAGATACAAACCTTTCATGACCCCCCAAGGCAAAGCTTCTTCATTTGCCAGAGCCAAAGCACCCCAAAAAGCAGCGATTGCATGACGATAGATCAGGCTGCGGCCGTAAGGAATACACGCTCCGTCCTCAGCAAACCAATGTTGAAAGTTGTGGGCGAATTCGCTCGCCCGTTGACGGAATCGCTGAGCACGAGCAGTATCTTGTGGCTTATAAATGGCGTAAACTAAGCCGTAGAAATGCATAGCAAAGGCGTTGTAGTAGTCGATTCGTCTCAGGTCTCCAGCGTTGCCCCCATCGCGATACCAGCCATTCGCCATGTAAAGACGCTCCAAGTCCTGCAGATACTCTTCTGTCCCTTGCCAGTCCACATTCACGCCTACTCGTTCTAGGCCAAGGTCCACGAGAACTCGGAAGAACTTGTGATTGTTGTTTCCATGCTTTGAGTTTCGGCTTTCCAACAGCCAAGTCGCGACCCGGGTCTTAGTTTCAGCGTCCAACGGGTCCCATAGATGCTCTGATGCCAGCAAAAGCCCATATCCCAGGGCTGCAGCTTCTACATGGCGCTGATCCATGTCTGTGACGCGACCCCAGTATTCTGGGTGTGTTGGGTCTGTCCCGTTTTTCAGACCACTGCGATAAACATCCCAGTGGGGAAAGGAAGTACCCCCAGCAGCCATGGGCGCAATTCCAAAAAGGGGCCTAGCAAATCCTTCCAGATCGCAAGCTGCGCGATCCCATGTAGACCCAGAAGCATCAAGTTGGACGCGTGCTTTCCCGGGTGAAAAGAATGGCACTAAAGGCTCGAAGAGATTCTCACATGCCACAACCACATCGTCTCTGGAACGGAAAGGGTTATAGGCCAACGGGTTCATCTTTGATTGTGGCATCAGGGAGCAATCCAACATGATGAAGCAATGCTGGTCGTGGAGTTCTACTATTGCTAGTAGTTCTCGGGAAGGAAAAGATGCCAAAATATAATTTGAAGAAAGTATTGAAAAGGGATTTTGGCTTGATGAAAATTAAAAAAAATGTAGGGTCGACTACGTAGTTCGGTTGAGAACTGCGATTTGAATGGTTCTTCCTACCAACCTCTAGATCGATTTTCGGCAATCGGGAGAAATGGCCAGAAGCCGGTATGAGGGGTAAACGTGAGCTCCGGAATGCGCAAAAAGCCACGGGCGCGACTAATCCGACTCCGGGCAATACCCCGGACTCTTGATGGATTTCCCGTGCAGTACATCTACCCCGTGGGGTAGACCATTGGAGCTTAAATTCAAGTATCATGACCGGCGAACGAGGCACACGTCCTCGCAAAAAATATTTGCATTGTCATACCGAAGCCTACATCGAATACTATGCTTTCCTCTGTCACTTTTGCGCCCAATAGTGAACAAGGCATCGCTTTGCGGGATGTTTTACCACCACGAGACAAGCCATGGTGGCGATATTCGTCCATGTTATCATTGAATCTGCTCCTCCTGGGATGTGTGGTCGCCGACATGACCAACGGCTATGATGGAACCATGTTGAACGGACTGCAAATTATTCCTGCTTGGCAAACCTTTTTCAACAAACCCACGGGATCCGCATTAGGGCTGATCACCAACGGGACCCGGATCGGCGGAGTTGGTGCTTTATTCGTGGTCAACCCTCTCATCGAACGACTCGGAAGACGCCGACCTATCGCCATTGGATCTGCTTTTATGTTGCTCGGTATTGCCTTGCAAACGGCAGCTACGAACTTGCCGATGTTCATCATTGGACGAGTGATCATCGGATTTGGTAATACTATCCAGCAGTGCTGCTGCCCGATTCTCCTCTCTGAACTGGCCCATCCCTCCCAGCGAGCTCAAATTACCGGAATTATGAACGCATCCGGCTCGCTCGGTCAGGTGTTGGCGGCTTGGATTACCTTTGGAACCGCTAAGATGGTTGCTACATCCTGGAGCTGGCGTCTTCCCAGTCTTTTGCAGGCCTTGACGTCTATCTTCCAGTTTGTGATGGCTTTCGTTATGCCAGAATCACCCAGATGGCTGGTTTATAACAATCGAAATGAAGAAGCTCGTCAGATTCTGGCCAAATACCACGCCGATGGAGATAATGAGTCACCGTTGTTGCATTTCGAGATGATGGAAATTGAGAGTACACTTGAGCAGGAGAAGCTGCAATGTACTACCTCCTGGTTCGAGTGGTTCCGAACTCCCGCCAACCGCCATCGCTTTTTCGTAATCATTTCTTTAGGATTCATGATTCAATGGTGTGGGAATGCGATCATCTCGTACTATCTTCACCTCATGTTGATTTCCATGGGAATTACCAACACAGATACCCAGCTGGTTGTCAATGGCTGTGTGACAATCAATGGCCTCGTCTGGGGAGTGCTTTTTTCCACCCTCATCGACCGCCTCGGTCGCCGGTTCCTGTTCCTCGGTGGCATGGCCGGCATGTTCGTTGCCTTCACTTTGCTCACTGTCTTCACGGGAGTGAATGAATCTCATGGCTTCTCCATGACTGGGCTCAGCGCTGGTGCACTTTCCATGATTTTCATCTTTAACTTTTTCTACAAAATGGCATCCCCAACCCAAGATCCATACTTCATGGAAATCAGCCCGTATCATCTGCGCTCCCAGACATCTGTGATCAAGGCGTTTGGTGACACGGGAGCAAACTTGTTCAGTGGGTTTGTGAATCCAATTGCGCTGGATGCCATTGGATGGCGCTACTATATCGTGTGGTGTTGTGTGCTGATCGGTAATTTCACCACCATTTACTTCTTCTTCCCCGAGACCAAGGGTTTGTCTTTGGAAGAAGTTACTCAGATGCTCGATGGAAAAGCCACGTTGAAGGAACAGGCTTTGAATGAGGGCGACGAATCAAGCTTAAAGCAGCCTGTTGTGGAGCTCGAGGAACATGTTTGAATGGAATATCAAGGATCTGGACTGCCGTGGCTAACACGGCAGGGGAGAACAATGATTTTGTCGCTATGGAAATGAGTCAAATTTCGTTATTGCAGTGAAGGCAACATTCAATCTCATGTCAAACAATATGAAGACCTTAATGAAGCCGACTCGCCGTAGATTGAAAGGCGCGGCTTGATGATAATGATGATGATAATAATAATGAATTCTATACCCTAATGCTACCTATATAATAACGCGGTGGTAATATAGGTCGGGCCCCAGTGGCACTAGAGAATTCCCTAACGCCTAGACAATTTCAATCCCATAAGGAGTGGACAGTGCAGTACTTTAAAGCGGCTAGCACTAAGGCAAGCCCAGTGCTTTAAAGCGACCAGGGCACCACTTTCTGTTTCATTTGCGCATCCAGGGGCGCATTATTTTTATTACATGACGACTGAGACCCAAGGTCTATTTTTTATTCACGCAATACGGTAATAGTTACCCGCTACTCATCCATCAACAGCACGAGAACTCTATTCCTAGTGGCCTTCTAGTCTCGCTAAGTAGGGTATAGATGCCTAGGGAACTTTATTATGAGCAGGGGACTAGGAACCCCTCCCGACCAACCTCGGTAGATAAATTCCACTATAGGGGCCGCCATCCAGTTCCTAGTCTTATTAACTAAGACTAGGGCTTTCTTTTAGTAGGTGCCTATAAGTAGAATTGGCGCCGGTAACGGGATTGAAACCTGTGTCTCCTAGATTTTAAGATAGGCCCCTAACTACCTCGTCCTACTAGGATATTACTAGGTAGTGCTCTACCGCTATACTACTATGCCGGTGCTAGGCGTGGCTTATAGGCCTGTTTTTCTCTCTTTTTACTACTATACGCCCTAGTCGATATAACGTTTCTAAAAGCTTACGGTTGCCTAATTTAGAAGCTAGTTTCCTCGAAATTATAGATATTACGGGCTAGGATATCCTAGATATATCGCTCTAAAACGTTATACTAATGCCGAATTAGACTCATATCTTCCCCGTAGAAAGCCTTTTATAATCGACTAATAATTGCTTTCCATACATAAGGTCTTCTAGAAGGCGTTTAGTGAAGCGGTACGCCTAGTTTAGACCGACGCGACGGACCGCGTTAGGCGGCGTGTTAGGCGGGGGGTTTCGTCTTAATATGTTGTTTATATAGCTCTCAATAAGCTTAGGGGTGGGTGCTATATATCGACTATCTAGTAGTCTGATCTGGGTGAGGAAGGCTTTTTCTTGGGCGTTTTCAAGTGCTTTATTAGGTCCTAGGCGCGAATTGCGCGAATTGCGACCGTGGTAACGCGCCCGTAACCGCGTATAGGGTACGCCGAACTACCTAGCTAACGCGGCAATTTTAGGGGGTATTTCGTGTTTCACGCTTTTAAGCGCCTATAAGATACGTACTTCAATCTTTTCATAATAATCGGTCATGTTGGGTTAAATATGGGATGAATAAGAATAAAAGTTATGTTGGACTGAAAATTTACGTTGGACTGGGTGGGCCGTGCCACAATTACTAAACATCAGGGAGCGGGTAATGCTCATAACGCTAGGCTTAAATAGTATTGCCGACAGAGTACTACGAAATGAACGTTTGACCTGTCAGATGCCCGACGCTGCTTAAAATTGCTGGGAGCAATAGCCGAAATACGCCGCCAAGCACGATACCTATATTACTCCGGCGAACTTCCCCACTCACTGTTTCTGTCCAAAGCATCCATATTATACCCGAATACGCTAGATCTGCTATGTCCGACGAATACGAGGATCTTGCGCCTTCTGGCCAAGAAAACGCTGCATGTCAGTCTTGCCGTAAACGCAAGTTGAAATGTTCTCGCGAAATTCCCACGTGTTCACAATGTCAACGACTTTGTAAGTTTCATCCCTCTGCAATATAGCCTGTACCTGATGGATTTTCTCAGCCTGCCAATGCATATATGACCATAAAAAACAAAAGACAGGCGTCAAAAGTGGGGCGATTGAGAATTTAAATAGACGAATCGGTCCGTTATTCAATGAATAGTCATTACCTGTCAACAACAGTGGGCTTATAGCATGAACAGAAGCCTTGGAGCAACAACTTGTATCTACACCTCAACCACCAACGGAGCAAAGGAATGCATCCCAAAACAGAGAGGGGTGTCTTTATCATGCAGCGCTCCTCGTTGCAGACTCGATTGGCAGAATGCAGACAGGTGGTGGGGACTTTCCTCGTGGGGGCACGAACCTCATCAGTTGTACCGAACACTTAGCTTCCAACAAGCGCCGTTCAGCCTCAAGGTTGGAGACTGAACCACTGCCAAAACGGCAGATGACGATCTCCTACCCTGTCTCTTCACTAGCGGAGTCACTTTTCAGCCCTACGTTTTTGGAAATCATATCGAAATCCTATTTCTCCAAAATACACGCATGGATTCCGTGTGTGCATCAATCCAGGTTTGAGGGCCGGCTGAAAGACCCTACTGAAAGCCCTAAACTTCGAGCCTTGGTCAATGCTATGGTCTCATCCACAGTGAAATATCTCTCTGCTAGTGAGCTTGGGATGAAGCCAGATGAGCTTTCGGATTTAGAGACGAGAGCACGAACCATGGCAGTCCAGCACGCTATGGAATCTCTTTCAGTAGAGAATCTGCAGGCGCTGATTATTCTCACATTTGATCAAGTAGGCTTCATGACGAATACATATGATGAGCAAGGCTGATTATTTTGGCAATAGATTGGAAATGGGCAGCTTTCAAAGTCTTGGCCGATAATTGGATCATGTACTCGCACGGTGGAGTATCTTCAGCTCAACGTCGAGTCGGATGAGATTTCTAATCAGGCGCTTTTCAAACCACTCATGGTTCTAGATCACCCCAATGGCTGGGCAGAATCTGAAGAGCGTCGTCGGGTATTTTGGAATGTTTTTTTACTCGACAGGTAAGCCACAAGAGCCCAGGATATTCAAGCTTAGTATGCTGACCTCTCCAAGGTTTTGTGCACTTTCGACAAGGTACACTATTTCTTGACATTGGAGTGAACCAATAACTGACTGTATTTCTTAGATGGAGTACAAGTCTGACCTCAAGCAATGTGTGCCGCCGGCTACCCTCCGATGGAAACATTTGGGCAAAAGGAGAGAAAGCCACAACTCCGCATTTTGGTGTCTGGGATCGATCTGTCGCCAACATTGACAACTCTATTGCACATATTCCAATTCAACGTTCTGATCCGGCACAATCTACTCCGAAAGGAAACGTGCAAGTGGGAATTGACCCGGCAAACGTAGGGGCATTTGCCTATCGTATTGAGGCAACCGAATCTCTCTTCCAGGTCTGCTCGTTTTTCCTGCAACAATCTGTGAACTTTCGCAGTCGGGAGGAAGTGGGGAATTGGTTGACCAGGTTCAAAGAGTTGGATCTCCGCTTGGTGCAGTAAGTGCAGGGAAACTACTGTTACGAATATCTGACTAATTTGCGCACAGCTGGAAAACCTTTTTGCCTCCAAAATGGAAAGATTCAAACGTCTCTGTAGATGGAAGTACAGTGAAAATGGATCCTAATCTCACAGTTGCCCACTTGACTCACAACACATCGATGATACTCCTGCACCAATACGTGGCGTACCCACCTCCGAATTTAAATCAGATGGTGAAGCTGCCTAGTTCTTGCAGTGCTGAAACTTGTGAACTTGCTGCGATTGAGTCCGCATCAATTGTGGAAAAGTATCTCAAGTACACTCCCTCAAAAGTTGTCCCGGGGCAACTAGGATTCTGCGTTTTTGTTGCCGCTAGAACCTTACTAGGTAAGCCTTGCGTCTAGATTTTGTGAATTATAGCTAATACTTTGAAGTTCACTGGAGGGTATACGGCGACAGTCTTGCTTCTGAGTTTGATTTATTACTTCAGAGCTTGCAGTTGATGTCAAGGGGCTGGCAAGGAGAGCGATATGCTTCACATAATCCCCCAACAGACTTGTGGCACAACTATTACTCTCTCCTACTTTCCATGAAGGCGAGATTTGAGGAGGATGCGTCTTTTCTTCCACATATCTTGCTTAATCAGGACATGTATAACATCCCGGATTTGATTTTGCTACAAGGCCGGTGTGAAATGATCCGGAATACGAACCCGGTCGAGGCCGCCAGTGCACATCTTGTACAAGACCCCGATCAACTGAACTATTTCGATCCTCAAGCTGGCCATGAGCCATCCGACAAACGCACGGAATGCATTGATCTTGCAGAGGACAACTCTCCAAGCTTCCGATACGACGAAGCCTTTGGCGACTGCTTTGATGATGAACTGGCAGCCATGACTAGCTCTCTCCTTCAAAAACAGTTTCTGGAGTTAGATCGTGTTATTACGCTGGAAGGGACGGATTTCACTTCAGATAAATTTGTTCAATAGATATTATTGATTCTGAGCTCAGTCATCGTCATTGTGATACCTATGCTTCTTGCGATGTCTTTTCTCATAATTTCAATTTCTAAGATATAAATGTATTTGTGATCTTTGATTGTTATATCTGTCGCGCGCCTTCTACCAAAAGCGAAATCATGCCCTTCACCAGATGTATATGCAATATTATCACAATACTCCAATTCGCATTAGGCTGTTTCCAAATTCCAGGAAGTAGTAATCAGCGTAGACCAGTCCATGGTCGCCGTAAACCATAAGAGCATGCTCATTCTTGTTCGCAGTGGCATTCATGAGAATAGAGTCCCATCCTGTCCCCTGTGCGACGATCTTGCCGCTACCGTTGACGTGAAGAGTTGCTGATTGGGGAGACAAGGAATGAGCAGCTACATCTTCTGCAATTCGAAGGGCCATTTGGAGAAAAATAGACTCGCCTCCCAACGCCCGATGTAACAAAAGGAATCCATTTGCAGCGATCATGGCAGCCGATGTGTCTCGCGCGGGAACATTTCCATCTTCGAAGGGGGCATCAAAATCCCACAATGGAACATATGGGTGACTGTGCGACCCTTCTAGCAAGCGCCGGATGAAATATGTCGAGAGCTGAGTGGCCGCTTCCAAGAAAATGCGATCTTTGGTCCACCAGTAGGTTTGAGCGAAGCCTAGAATTGCCCATGCCTGTCCCCTGGATAAATTCAAATGCGGTTAGTCATACTTTAGGAATCGAAAAGCAAATCACAATGATTGGAGAATGATACCTGCTCCATGTTGAGTTATCAGAATAGCCCTGATGAGTCTGGTTGTGCTTCATTTTCCCGGTTTTCGGGTCCAGATTGCACACATGGAATGTCGAAAAGTCACCTCGCACAATTGTACGAAGTACCGTATGGGCATGGGTTGTCGCGATGTTGATCAGCTTTTGGTTCCCAGAATGATAGCCCGCGTAGAAGAGAAGGTTCATGTCTGCCCATTATCAGCCAATGTTCATCTTCGCAGATGAGTGTACGGGATTGAATATACATACTGCACATGCTGTCAATGATGACCAAAAAGTTGTTTTCATTGTCTTCGACCCAATGTCGGTGGCTCTTCATGCGGTCCCAGCTTCGGATAGCCCCGACACGAGCATCAAACCGCGAAGCCAGGCTATTGGCGGCAGTGACGATTCCCTCGAGGCTGGCCTTGTTGCCCGTAAGCTCCCAGTCCATCTGAAGACTTGGCATTATTATGAACCCCATGTCGTGAGTATCCTTGCGAGATGCCATTTGTCGCAGTGGCTCAGACCACTGACGACAAAGCGATAGCAGCTGGTCATGGAACTGGTTCCGGTCCACTTGCACAGGTAGTGGGAGGGATCGGGGGTACTTCACACTTCTCTCGAGAAGTGTGTACAATGAGCCAGGAAAGAAGCCACACGTCCAGAATTTACTTTCCCTCAGCTTGTAATGTCCCGCGTCCTCGCCTGTCGTGGGTACCCACTCCGGGTAACGATCAGGTAGATGCTGTGCCGCAACCACCCCGGGTAAGCCAGTGATCGGAAGCGGAGTTAAAATGGGAAGCGTGAAGGAAGATAACTCACAACAAGATATCGTGATGCAACATCCCAGATCTTAGAGACGCAGTCTTCTGTGTAAAGTCCGGCAAAGCTAAAAGCTACTTGCGTTTGGCTAGCGGGACTGTTGCAAGCCGGCGAATGCTCATTCGAATTGGATTTTAACACAGATGAGGGTTTCAAGGGAGTTTCAGGCAATTTGGACTTGCAGACTGCGGGGAGGGGCGTTGATTCGACCATTTTTAATTGAAACTTTGAGAAGTGACGTCCAAAAGAGCCAGAAGTGAAGCTGGGCTCACAAAAAAGCTAAAAATATGCTTTGGTCAGCGATAGATCAGTTTAAATACATAAATCAGTCACGGAGGGCAGAGAATGCCCGTCCGAGAGGATCGTCGCATGGCGTAGTTGACGGCTATCGAACTCGGATGGCGGAAGAAGCCCCGGCCGCTGTTTCCCCGGCCATCATCACCTGCAGCCACACATTATGTAAGGGCGAAACAACTCGCCTGAGGTTGAATTTCTCAGGTGCTCACACATATGATAGAAGGGCCGACTTACCGACAACTAGCCTCCGAATTTACGATCCTCGGTCGGATGTTTACATGAAACTATCGTTCCCCTGTACGAGGGAGATTTTTTGGGTATACCCGCCCCCTAGTCGGGCCCTCACCAGCGAGAGCGGTGAGCCATAGTCTAATCATTTCATAGTCTAACCAGGACTGCTAGAATTAAATCAGGACTAGCATGCAGACTTTTCTCAGTAGTAGCCTTTTAGGTAAAGAGTTCCAACTCCCCCTTTCAAACCCCATAATTCAACGATGCAGACCCGTGGGTACCGAATTGATTACCTTGCCTTGAATGATGGACCTGAAGACTGGATATCCTGCCAGGACGGGCCAGTCCCATCATCCCCACCATTTGACCATAGCCAATCAGCAATTGGTACCAGTATCGAGATCGCTAAGCTCAACTAGGGCTGTTGACGATATTAACCGATATACCGATATTGACGATACGATATCGACATAGGATACGATATCGGCTGCTTTGGAATTTGACGATATCACCACTCACAATATCGTTATATCGTATCGGCATTGGCACATTTTTCCTCTAGAATTATCTAGAGAGCGAACGGGCTTTCGTCGAATAGCAGTTTTATTTGATAATTTATGAATATAAAACCGGAATATCCTTATGGCATAATTTAACCAAATCCCTTAGTCGCTACCACTTATACCCATTGCGAATCAACATTAGGTTATCTATTAAAGATTAGAGAGCTATATGAAACTAACCAAAGTCTGCTTTTTCGACTAGTGTCAAAAAGTCTCTAGAATATTATCGTAGGTAGGGAACCTCAAGGTCATAACTTCCCTTATAGAATTATTTTAATAAGCTGAATCATTATTTTTGTACGCCCTAAATAGGAAAGGCGCTGAAAAATTAAGCACTTGAGGGTCTGTAATGGTTACTAAGTTGTCAGGCTAGAGACCTATAACTAGGCAAGGATATCAGATAGTAGAGATCAAATAGAACAGTTAATATATAGAACTGATTCTTGTAGGACAAGAATCGTAGCTATTATTTATATATTTTAATATTGCTAGAGCTTACTAGGGCTTAGGGTAGTTATATATTAATAGATATATCGTAGTAGATTTATCTATAGAATAGCTATAAATCGTATCTAAATCATATCTAAAAGGATTTAGGAATCCTATAATAATTTATCCTTCTCTTTCAATAATAGTTAACTTAACTATCTATATAACTTATATTTAATTAAGTAATTTATATCTAGTAGTATTATATTAAATAAAGATTCTAGGACTAATACTATCTTAGGTATCTTTATATATAGATATAAATAAAGTAATATAGGTGCTTTAATATCTTTAAGATAAAAGCTTTTTTCCTATCTTTTTAACTTTTATCTTTTCCCTTTTCTTAGCTTTTAATTCTTAACTCTCTATCTTCTTACTCTCTACTTTTATCTTATTTTGTTTTAATATATCTAAGACTACTACTTCTAGTATTTTTAGTAATCCTCCTTACTATAGCGGTTATTATATAACTAGAGGTAAAGATTGGGCTAGAGGTAGAGATAATAGGATTAATAAGGGTAATAGAAGTATTACTAGTACTTCTATTAGCTTATATCCTCTTTATAATTAAATTACTTACCCTTTCTTTATATTCTATATTAGATATACTACTAAAATAACTCTTTACCCTCCTAAGGATATTATTCCTAAGATCTATTATAACTAGGATTATATAAACTTAATTATTTATACTTTATATAAAGAGTATAGCAAAAATTACTTTTAGATAAGATTCTTCTCTAAGTTATATTTAATTTAGTTATTTTTATAGTTAGAGTTAAGATATTTAACTTCTATAAGAATCTTTATCTTTTTATTCTTATAGATCTTAGGATTACTTTAAAAGATATATTTAAACTATAAGAGCTAATTTACTTATTCTTAAAGACTAAATAATTTCTTAAACTTATTAATCTTAAAACCCTCTACTTTCTTATATATTTTAATCTTAGTTCTTTTATAAGCTATAAATAGATTATCTAAGAAAGCCCTAGTATTAATTCTAGAGACTTAAATAGAGAGCTCTTTAAGATAAATATAAATTATAAGGAACTCTTCTAGGTATTCTAGTTTATATCTTTTCTTTTCTAGAGTATCTATAATAATACTTCTAGATCTACTAATATTTTTAGTTATAAGGTTACTAGTAATTTCTCTAATAGATTTAGCTAGGTTTATATACTAATCTAAGACTAATTTAATCTTAGGTTATCTAATAATAAGAAGAAGAGATATAGTAGGCTTAGATTAAGTACTATTATAAAAAGATATAGGGTTTTAATATATAGAGAGTACTATTATTAATCCTTAGGTAGTTAAAAGAGAAGAATTAGAATTATAATAGTTACTAAGTTATTAGATTAGAGACCTATAACTAAATAAGAATATTAGATAATAGAGATCAAATAGAATAGTTAATATATAGAACTAATTCTTATAGGATAAGAATCATAGCTATTATTCATATATTTTAATATTACTAAAGCTTACTAGGGCTTAGGGTAGTTATATATTAGTAGATATATTATAGTAGATTCGCCTACGGAGCGGCTATAAATCGTACCCGAATCGTACCTAAAGGGATTCAGGAATCCCGTAATAAGGTTAGTAAGGTTCAACCCTAACCCCCTGGGGTCCGGGTGGATGTTCCTGACCTAACCTATAGGGGTAACTATAATATATATTATTATAGTTAGGGTAGGGTTCTTGAGTATAGGGGAAAAAAAGTGGGTCGGGATCTATTATAGTTTATCTTTAGCTAGTTACTATAGTTTTATCTTAATATTATATAATACTAAGATTTTAATATATTTTCAGCTACTCTTTACTTTATAGATAAATAATATTTTAGATTATTTAAAGTAGTAGAAATAGTAGTTATAAAGATCTAAAATTAGGAAGTTTTTTTAATTATCACGGGCCAGTGCCCGGTATAAGGTCATGTAGCACACGTGACTATAACAATCTAATACGTAGAACACCTACTTAGTAATTCTCTCTTTAAGCTTTTTATACATAGTACGTAGCCTAGCTCAATTAGATATAAATTCTGCTTTAGCCCTTTATAAATAAAAAGCTTCTAATTGGATATTGTAAAAATCTAGTACTATATACAAATCGTCCCTAAATCAAGAGTGATTCGGCGATATAATCCCTAAATAAAAGATATAGGAGTCTATAAGCCTATTATTATAGGCGTAGATACTACTATAGTAAATAGTATAGTTATAAGCTATATAGAGTAAATAGAATAAGCAAACTAATATAGAATATATAGCATAAGAAGAATTAATATAATAATACGACTAAGAGTATATTGCTTAAGACGAACAAATCTGTCGCCTAGAGATTATAATAGAGTAATTAGTCTTATAGTTAATAATAATAATAATAAGAGAACTAATAAGATCTTAGGGTGCGAATAGGTATATATTACTAAGTTAGGGGAAACAACAATTAATATATATATACTGGTAAAAAAAAAATAACAAATAGATAGGGCCTGATTATGTGTGATCGGCTAATTGTAATAGATAGCAATAGATATAGATATAGATATTACTATATATAAATAAATATAATAGATTGTAATATATAAAATAAATAGAGAGAATTAGATAAAAATATCTAACCCATAGGGGTAATTATAATCTACTAGATTATATTTAGGGTAGGGTACTTAAGTATAGGGAAATAAAAGTGGGTTGGGGTTTATTATATTAAATATTCAGTAGTAGACTATAATTATATTTCAGACTTGTACAAGGCTTAGAGTTTTATATATTTTATATTTATGTTTTAAGTATCTTCTATTTTAATTTTAGATTATTTAGAATAGTAGAAAGGGTAGTTATAGGGGTTTAAAATTAGTAAGTTTTTTTAATAGAGTAGAGAACCTGCCCGACTATAATATATTATTATATAAATACTATTATTAGATATCTAATAAGGTATAGGTAATTATTATTATAGGCTAGTGCCTAGTATAAGGTCATATAGTATATATAACTATAATAGCCTAATATATAGAATACCTACTTAGTAATTCTCTCTTTAAGCTTTTTATATATAGTATATGGCCTAGCTTAATTAGATATAGATTCTA